CGTGCTGCCAACGGTCTAAAGAAAATGAAGACATCTTGCCAGAGGCAAATTATCAATGACGTGAAATGCAAACGCAAATTATATTCTACTCTCCTCTCAAAGTCCTGCCAACTTCGAATGCTGCCGACACTTCGAAGTACCAGTGGCTGCTTGTTATCTCCCAAGCGTTGTAATTTGACTCAAGGAGCATTCATATCCCACTCACTTATCAATATATGTGTGCCCTTGGGGCACGACAAATTTCTCTTTGATTTGGACTCACAAGCTTTAACCTCTTGGTTCAATGTGCACGCACATGGCACAGAGTATATGCGACAAGTTCACTGGTGCCAATCTTATTGTTGGTGCTGCCTAGTTACTGAGTTGAAAACAGGCAATGGCGCCACTGTGACAGGTTTAGTTGACTATTTGGCTAGTAGTGTTAGCCGTCATTGGCTACTGGGACTTCTATGTTTCAAACCCCTAACACTATTACAGTACTGACCACATGATACATTATGCTGTGGTTGGCCTGGCCACAGCATCTTGGTGTTTAGCAGCTTTGCATTCAAGATCCTCCTACTCCATTCGGGCAAATAACCAGTCGTGGTTATTCACCATATAGCTTCTGGCCTTTCGTAAAGTAGCGACCTAGAATCAATATCGTGAAGCCCCTTGAACTCAGCTGGAGCTTAAGCCTCAGTATTTGTAGAATTACAGAGTGGAACAACTACTCGATTATGCCTCAGAAAACTTGTGGCCTAGCTAGTGCTGGGAGTACTGGGCATTGTAAATAGACAGGGAAGAAGTTAAAAATCATTATTAGTAGTAGTACGCATTACCTATCTCGGTTTCGCGAGCCTATAAATATATCGTATAATACACCGTGCCGGAGCCGGATGAAAAATACACGCTACGTATTAGGCACGCCTGAGCGGCGTCTACGCTGCGTGGTTCCGTCGCGTATCACGAATGGCTCTCACCAGCCAGACGTTTTTCGGGTGAGGTTGGCCACCCTCCAGGCCTCCAAGCCAGCCAGAATGGTTCGCGGGAAAGTGTGGTCCCTAGGTGCGTGCGCGCTGCGTTGGAGCAGCGCGAGCGCATCTATAGCGACGCTTCTCAGTTTGAGGTCGTCGTGTAAGTCGGCCTCAGTATCCGGGGCAACCAGTGGCAGGTGCTGCAGCACCTTACATATTGACGGCGGCATTGTCGTCGTCGTCGTGATTCCTTCTCTCCTCCTTCAAGCCATCGTCAACCTGTAAGTATTCCTCGTCGGCCACGAGTTAAAAAATTGACGCTCATCTTTCGACCGCTGATGATCAAGATAGCTCGAACATAAATTTGGAAGACACGCCCGTCCAAAAGGTCTTCTGATAATCGTACGAAGGGAGATACGCTACTTGGGCCCGTTCCTTGCCTTCTTTGTCTACGTCTAACACTGTATATACGTAGTTTCGAGAGGCATAAAAATTATCGTGTAAGTAAGGCCAGAGACAACCTCTCATATAGTGCCGCAGCCGACGAGTCTCGTCCTCCGTTAACGGCAGCACGCCAGCGTTGCCGCAATCTAAGAGGGGCATCCGCTGACAACTGAACACCCAGTGAGAATGCTTAGTCCAGCGAAACATCGCAGAGAGGGTGGTGATCTTGTAGAGCTTATTGGCTTCAAAGCTCTTCTGTTGCCACTGATTGGCATTTTTCCACTTCGAGGCTATGGCTGTGTTAACGGCTGCTATGCAAGTCTAGATGGCTTCCGAGTGTGGAAAAGAGCATGTCTGCCTATTTAATTGGTTTTGAACGTGAAATTTTTATTTTTATTATTCTTTTTTTTTGGGGGGGGGTGCGCCCTCGTCCGCGGCGGCATCTCGTTGTCTTCATTTCGTGGGTTCTTGGTCGTCCTCGCTTTCGTCGTGCTGACGATGCTGTCTGCTTCATCGATAATGGTAGTCACGGCTTTCTTGAATGGCTCGCTGGTGCTCGACATTGACATTACATGCATATCCCAGGAGTGCTCAAGGTTTCTCTGCGATGTGTAATGCCAAGCATGCTCTTGAAGTTTCAGCAGCCTAGAATCTATCCAATGCTGTCGCTGGTTGCCCCGGATATTGAGGCCGACTTACACGGCGACCTCCGTAAAAGAGCGCCGCCAGCGATGCGCATTACGCCCCTAGGAATCATACATCCCTATAAGCTGCACCGGCTTGGATGCGTGGAGAAGGGCGGCCAACCTCGCCTAGAGAACGTCTGGCTAGTATGCGCCATTCGTGATACGCGACGGTACCACACAGCGTAGACGCCGATTAGACGTACCGAATACGTGGCGTATATTATTTATCCGGCTCCGGCACGGTTTGTTATACGATAGATTTGTAGGCTCGCAGAAATTAAACAGGTAGCGTGTATTAATAATCATTATATTAATAATCTGTCCAATCTTCACAAGGTTTGACCTACAATGCAGCTGGTCACTGTGTAGAATATGTGGCATGAAGACCAGAATCGGAGGGTCTTGGTTAGTGAGAATGTTTACTCACCGCGATGTTTTATTTGGGATCGAAGTTTTGTTGGCAGCCCCAGCCATAATGAGCAGACCGGCTCACACATTACGTGACCTCTTTCCGGAGGATTCCAATGCTACCTCGACTTGACCGCCGCGAACGCACCGAATGAGATAGCACCAGATGCCCGACGCCATGGACGCCTCGGTCGGTCTATGCTCGCCCGGCACGATTCACGACTGCGTCAGATCCCGCCCGTCTGCTATGGTCTATCTACAAAGCGATGATCCAGGTCGTCCAGCGTGCACGACAGTCAAGACAGAAGAGATTGAGATTGTCCCTAGAGATGCGTATTCTCGGCCGACCTGGAACTATCGACTATTCCAATCACAGTCATGCCACTGATGCCGTCTTCAATCAAATCTATATTTCAACATTCTTCCTGTGGAACCACGAAGAGCCCAGAAGATTGTTTGCGGTCTGGCGCATACAGGCCGCGTTCTTGTAATTCGTGTCACACGTGGCTCTATCTGGCCACCGTATCACCCCGAAGACAGACAGCTTCTGCTTGGACATAGCACTCTGATACTAGATGCGTGGTTTCCGAGCTAGTCTTTCAGATGATTCGACGTCAGACGACCCGGAGCTGGTGAATTCATCTATGGTCATGTACAGCTATACCCGAATCGAGCGCCAATGCTGCTCACGACGCCAGAGCCACGAACCGGACTTTTGCAGTGTAGTCACAAGCTACCATGTGACTTCCCCGACTATGCGGAGATAGTAGGAAATTAGACACGATGACCCCTACGTGACCACCCTAGGACGTTGCAACGTGCTGAGGCCTTGCCCTGAGGGTTTCAGAAGGAGCGACAAGGTGGGATCGCGGTAGACCACAACCCTCCTTACTATGGCTGGTACAGCCTCTACGTCTGGTTGGCATTCCTTTGCTCATAGAATCTCGGTCTCCACCCGTATAAGCTGCCATGGGCTTTCTCTGCCGTCATGGTCGCCCGATGTATGACATGGCCATGCCAACTATGCTGTGTGGCCTCATGAATGCAAGAGTTGAACAGCTGAACAGTCCCCCACTCAAACTGAGACCGGCCAAGTCATAGACTCAGGCGAGCCAACTCCGGGACGGCTGCGTTCCGTCTACGCAGGTAGGGGCGATCAAGGATGAGAATAGACCTGGTGGTGTCGGGGTGTGTCGATGATACCGGGTCTGTCACCGTGCTTGTGACTCTAACTCACTAGGCAACGCGGACAACAAGCTCAAACAAACCCGAGAAAAGTAAGAACAAAGTAGTCGAGCTCTGCCGCTCGGCAACTTGATCCACAAAGTGTTCTTGCGACAGTGTCACAAGCAAAGAAGGGCTTTTGATATTATGAATGTACCACCATTCAAATTCCGGAGCCAATCAGCCCCGCCGTAGAACAGAAGGCATCAAGAACTGGGCGCCTACTTCGCTCAGCTATGGCGATACGCGTAGGCGCAAAACCAGGCCGGATGTGAAGTGTAGAACCGCCTAGGAGGAAGGGGTGAAGTGCGCACAGTAGCTGGCACAACTGAGGTACGTTGCAGAAGAAGGATGGATATGCAGACGAGCCATGCGTCACATCTCCATTACACATGCTGGGCAAGGCGGCGTCCCTCTAGTGCTCGTCACTGAGGTTTGCGGATATAATAATTGGCCCTAGCCCCTAGACCATACCGCGAGCATTTCTAAGATCGCAGTCCACACTGCGCTGGCAATGAATATGTGGAGGACGCGGCATTTGTGATGCTGTCCTGTGAACCAAGAATGGTCTCGAAAGAGCCTGTTGAAGCAGTACACGAGGTTGTCATTGTTCCACGATTGTTCGAATGGTGCCGAGTTGGCCAATGAACTATCGATGACTAATCCATCCCGATGTGGGGCCCGGTTTGCTGCTGCCGTGCCATTTCCCTGCCGGGTAGCCACTGCCAGACCCTTAGCGTGAGGACCTAGAGGACTTGAGCACGGGCAGCAGCGCGTTTCTCGTGGCGCTTCCCTGTCGCCTCTTTACGCCAACACCATTTTCCCGACTTTGCTGTCGCAGTCCTTTCCCTGCGTTTACACTGGTGGCCGCGATCCAGCTGTGGTCGTCTCACGTCCTGCTGTAAAGGCCTCCGTTATTACTGCTGCGGGACTGCACACGCGTTGCTCGACTTCCACGAACCAGCCCCAGAAGGACTCTGGTGCGCCAGCCTCAAGCGACAGCTACAGCCACGCGGCGTGACACCGTGATACGAGGAGACCTGTACAGGTCTCACACGGCTCATAGAGCGACCGAAAGAGCGACAGAAAAGCTTGATTCGAGTCACTTCGATCTCGTTTGCGTGAGATTCCGCAAGATCCGAGCCTTGCCCTCCCGACCTCGTCAAACGGTACATTCAGCACAGCCGCCGGTCTCGACACTTGAGTCCTTCTGAGAGAGCGCCCCGCCCACAGACACCTTCGCTCGAAACTTGCCTGCTCTACGTCAGCGACCTCCTTCGTCATGGCGGACTACGATGAGGGTTACGAGTACGAGGAGGACTATGGGGACGAGGATGTCAACATCACACCGGAGGACTGCTGGACTGTCATATCGTCTTACTTCGACACCAAGGGCCTCGTTTCACAACAAATCGATTCTTTCAACGATTTCCAGGAGACGACAATCCAGGAGCTTATCGATGAGTATTCCCATATGACGATCGACGAGAACAACCCACCAGTATCCAACCTCGACGGCGAGATCTTGCTCCGTCGCTACGAGATCAAGCTGGGCAGTGTCATAATATCCCGACCGGTTATCACCGAGGGCGATAGCACAACAGCGCCTTTGCTGCCATACGAATGCCGCGACCGAAATCTCACCTACGCCGCTGCCATTTACGTCGACATCCGATCCAAGACATCAAGCTGCATCGAGGAACCGATACCATTGCAGGATCTTGATGATGAGCAGCAAGCAGAGATGAGCAGAACTGGCGAGCATCCTACGAAGCTGACCTGGCATGTGGAATCTGACAACACTGGTTCCGAAAAAGCGCCGCAGAGCGTTTTCATCGGCAAGCTCCCTGTCATGGTCAAGTCCAAAGCCTGTCATCTGAGTCGCGAGACAGAAGAGGACCTCTTTCTGCTCAATGAGTGTCCCTACGACCAGGGTGGATACTTCATCATCAACGGTAGCGAGAAGGTGCTCATCGCCCAGGAACGCTCCGCGGCCAACATCGTCCAGGTGTTCAAGAAGGCGCAGCCCAGCCCATTCTCCTACACTGCTGAGATCAGGAGTGCCCTTGAGAAAGGCTCACGTCTCATCTCCTCGCTCATGCTCAAGCTCTATACCAAGGGTGATGCGAGCCGTGGTGCATATGGTTCCACCATCCACACCACTCTCCCATATGTTAAGGCCGACCTTCCGATTGCTATCGTCTTCCGCGCCCTTGGAGTCGTGTCGGACGAGGAGATTCTAAATCACATCTGTTATGATCGCAATGATAGTCAGATGCTGGAAATGCTTCGTCCTTGCATTGAGGAGGCCTTTTGCATCCAGGATCGCGAGGTTGCTCTCGACTACATTGGCAAGCGCGGTAACCAGACTACAGGCATGACTCGCGACCGTCGCGTGCGTGCTGCGAAAGACATTCTTCAAAAGGAAATGCTGCCTCACATTTCACAACAGGAGGGCTGCGAGACGCGCAAGGCTTTTTTCCTCGGCTACATGGTTCATAAACTTCTGCAGTGCTCGCTTGGCCGCCGCGACATGGACGACCGTGATCACTTCGGCAAAAAACGCTTGGATCTTGCGGGTCCGCTTCTTGCAAAGCTCTTCCGCAACCTCGTGCGCCGCATGACACAGGAGATTCAGATGTCCCTCCGCCGCGCAGTTGAGCAGGGCAAGGACTTCTTGATTGAGATCGCTGTGAAGCCCCAGATCATCACGAACGGCCTCAAGTACTCCCTTGCAACAGGCAACTGGGGCGACCAGAAGAAGGCCATGAGTTCCACTGCAGGCGTTTCTCAAGTGCTGAATCGCTACACCTTTGCATCGACATTGTCCCATCTGCGGAGAACGAATACCCCTGTTGGTAGAGACGGCAAACTTGCCAAACCGCGCCAGCTGCACAACACACACTGGGGACTTGTCTGTCCTGCTGAGACGCCCGAGGGCCAGGCTTGTGGTTTGGTCAAGAACCTGTCACTCATGTGTTCTATCAGCGTGGGAACATCTACGGAACCCATCATTGATTACATGATTACCAGGAATATGGAGGTTCTCGAAGAATATGAGCCCCTGCGGTATCCAAATGCCACGAAGATCTTCCTGAACGGGTCGTGGATTGGCGTGCACCAAGATCCCAAGACCTTGGTCAGAGACGTTCAGCAGCTTCGGCGGAACAATCAAATCCCAGCTGAGGTATCTCTGATTCGCGACATCAGAGACCGGGAATTCAAGATCTTCTCCGATGCTGGCCGTGTCATGCGGCCGCTGTTCGTGGTGGAACAAGAAGACAACCCGGAGACTGGGGTAGAAAAAGGGTCATTGACGCTCAACAAAGAACACATCAGGAAGCTCGAAAACGACCAGGCGCTTCCCCCGGGCAGCGATGAATATTTTGGCTGGCAAGGCTTGGTCAACGAGGGTGTCATCGAATATCTTGATGCGGAAGAAGAAGAGACATCCATGATCTGCATGACTCCAGAGGACCTCGAAACGTTCCGTCTCGCAAAGCAAGGTCACGATATGACTACAGACAACAGCGAAGAGCCCAACAAACGTGTCAAGACTCGCATGAACCCAACGACCCACATGTACACGCACTGCGAGATTCACCCCAGCATGCTTCTTGGCATTTGCGCCAGTATCATTCCGTTCCCAGACCACAACCAGTCTCCACGTAACACCTACCAGTCCGCCATGGGTAAACAAGCCATGGGCTTCTTCCTTACAAACTACTCGCGTCGCATGGATACCATGGCAAATATTCTGTACTACCCCCAGAAGCCACTGGGTACCACACGTTCCATGGAGTTCCTCAAGTTCCGAGAGCTGCCAGCTGGGCAGAACGCCATTGTCGCCATTGCCTGTTACTCTGGATACAACCAAGAAGATTCCGTCATCATGAACCAGAGCAGTATTGATCGTGGAATCTTCAGGAGTCTGTTCTTCCGCTCGTACAGTGATTGCGAGAAGCGCATTGGCATCAACACCATCGAACAATTCGAGAAGCCGTTCAGAGCCGATACCCTTCGTTTGAAGCAGGGCACATACGACAAACTCGATGACGATGGCATCATCGCTCCTGGTATCCGTGTATCTGGAGAGGACATCATCATCGGCAAAACTTCCCCGATCAATCCCGAAAACGAAGAGATGGGCCAGCGCACCAAGGTTCATGTCAAGCGTGATGCGTCGACACCACTCCGCAGTACAGAGAGTGGTCTAATCGACCAAGTCATTATCACGACCAATGCCGACGGTCTTCGATATGTCAAGGTGCGAGTGAGGACCACCAAGATTCCGCAGATCGGCGACAAGTTTGCCTCTCGTCACGGGCAGAAGGGCACTATTGGTGTCACATACCGGCAAGAGGATATGCCTTTCACACGTGAGGGCATCACACCTGACATCATCATCAACCCCCACGCCATTCCGTCTCGTATGACAATTGCCCATTTGATCGAGTGTCTTCTCAGCAAGGTTGCCACCTTGAAAGGAATGGAGGGCGATGCCACACCCTTTACGGACGTCACTGTCGACTCTGTCTCCAACCTCCTTCGCGAGCATGGGTACCAGTCAAGGGGCTTTGAGATCATGTATCACGGCCACACGGGCCGCAAGCTCCGCTCTCAGGTTTTCTTTGGACCAACCTACTACCAGCGTCTGCGCCACATGGTGGACGACAAGATTCACGCGCGTGCTCGTGGACCCGTCCAAATTATGACACGCCAGCCTGTGGAGGGTCGTGCTAGAGATGGTGGTCTGCGTTTCGGAGAAATGGAGCGTGATTGCATGATTGCCCACGGCGCGGCCGCCTTCCTCAAAGAGCGTCTCTTCGAGGTGTCTGACGCCTTCCGGGTCCACATTTGCGAAATCTGTGGACTGATGACCCCAGTCGCGTGAGTTTCTCCTGCATACACACTCCTATGACTAATGCCACTGCGAATACTAACTCGTCCCTTGTCACAGTCACCTAACCAAGCAGACATTTGAGTGTCGACCCTGCAAGAACAAGACACGGATCGCGCAGATTCACATTCCATATGCCGCAAAGTTGCTGTTCCAGGAGCTGCAGGCGATGAACATTGCATCCCGCATGTTCACTGATCGCTCGGGTGTATCGGTGCGTTGAGGCAAGCAGGAACATCCATGGGAGCAGGAGGCTGAGATCGGTTGTCTGGGAGGAGACTGATACTCGGGGATGTTTTTGCATGAACAAAAGGACGAGGTTCGGTGTACTCGCGTCTCAGAAGTGTGTTTTACTGCATATTGATTGGCGTTTTGTCTTTTTCAATACCTTCAGCTGAGGACTTGTGCATGGGCATAGCGCTTCAGTCTTAAAACGACATGATTTTCCCTTGCAAAAAGTACACTCCAAATTGAACAACTCCATCTCAAAACATTGTGGTCCCCACTGGTTTGTCCAGCAGAGCTAGTTCGGTTGTCCCTCTCTTCTCAATCTTTCTCATTTGCTATTCTAATTTGCGCCGACAACATGACATGGACTACCTTCAACGTGATGCTGCAGGGCAGTTTGTTCTAAAGATAATATCCTCTAGGCTAAGTGCTCGTTACGTGCCTTGATGGGATATTCTATGCAGGTGCCACTTCATGTGATGGGCGCCTTGACGGTGGGCTCTGGAGGGGGGTATTCTTCCGGCAGCTCCGAACCAAGAACGAGTTCCTCCGAACGACTCCAGCCGAGGCCGCCTCCGCTCTCTTTTGTTATCGAGGCCTGTTGCAAACGGAAGCTGGTGTCGACGCTTACATGATCCATGGGGGCGAATTCGAAAATACGATAATCGGCGTTGAAGAACCAACAGCCGGTGACAGCAAGACGCATGAAACCAGAGTGAGACACAACTATTATGACTTTCTCAGGCCGATTGTAAAGCTTCTCGAGTGCGGCCTGGGCGCGAGCCAGCAGAGCTGGGCGGGAGTAATGATAGCGGCTCGCGGCCGAGGAGGTTTTGTCCGGAAAGACCGGGTCAAGGCTGGAGTAATCTACCTGGGGATACTCCACAGCAACCTTGGCCACATCACTGCCCGTGTCGCACGGCTTAGCCGAGTTCTCTGGGAGACGGGCCATTAGCAAGCTGTCTCATTGACATCACAAGGACCCGGAAAGGTGCGGGGCTTCTCTCACCTTGCCAGTCCGCGTCGGCTTCGATTTTCACGCCCTTGTCGAGCAGCCAGTCTACGGAGCGAAGAGCGGTCTGAATGGTGCGTCGCATGGGGGAAACCACGACAAGGCCTGCCTGCTGGGCCAATGGACTGTTCATTAGGCTCTCTCGCAACGGCTTGCACTGCTCCAGGCCCAGGAGTGATAGATCCGGGTCGGGAATGTCATAATCCTCTAGGTACGCAAAGGCAATGCAGACACGTCAGACAGTCATCGCACTGATTTGGGAAAGGGTGGTGTATGGAGGAAGACTCACTGTCAACATTGTGCAGGGCCTGGGCATGGCGGACCAGGATCAGGGTGGGCGGCATCGTTCTTGCAAGCTGCTGCCGAGTCTGTGACACCTCCCGACCGAATGTGTAGAGGTCAAGGCAAGTCGGCCAGGGGGAAGGTCACCGGAGGCGGCACGTTGCAGGAAGGTCCACATTCCTTGCACCGGCGCCGCGCCGCCGGCCGAGACGTCCGGCACAGTGTCGCCCTGAGTATGGGCGCCAACTAATCACTGTGCACTCAAGTCAATCACTCGCCATCGCAGTGACGTGCACGCACCAAATGTGCAAGCAGGCCATGCGAGGTTCAGCACGACCGCGTGTGAACACACATCCCTCCACGCCTGTCTGCGCCAATCGCCCACGTGCAGGCTCTTAATCGCGCCGACAATGACCAGCATTGACGATCTCTTCAAGGCGCACAGCAACAAGCGCAAACTCGAGCCGCTTCGCAACCCTGGTGAGCTCTTCCCTTCCGGCGCCCACGCCACTGGGTCATCTCACCGTCACGGAAACTTGCTTGATCAGAGCTGATTCTTGTAGAGGAGGTATACAAGTCTCGCAGGCTCACCCCAGACGGCCATAGCGACCGCCAAGCTCGTGTGGACAACCACTCTGAACATGATGGCGCTGAGGACGACACAGCCGCCGGACCAGCGTTGCCGACCGACGATTATGGTCCAGATCTTCCACCCGATGACGGAGACGACGACGAAGGGCGCTTCTTTGGGGGTGGCATCACAACATCAGAGGCTCGCGTTCTCGACTACGTGGAGGGCGGGGACGACGTGGGCAAGGTGGGCTCCGACAGGATAGACAGCTCATGGCTGCGCAGGACGGCTCTCAACTTTGAGAAGCGCGTGTCCAAGAACGCCGAGCTGCGCGCCAAATTTGAGTCCGATCCGCGGAAATTCATACAGAGCGAGGCTGACCTCGACGCCGACATTAAAGCTCTCTCTATCCTTGCGGAGCATCCCGAACTGTATCCAGAGTTCGCCAAGCTCGGCTGCGTAGCGACACTTGTCAGTCTCCTCGCCCATGAAAACACAGACATCGCGATCGACGCTATAGAGATAGTCAACGAGTTCACAGATGAAGACGTCAACGCTGCAGAGCCTGAATGGAACGCGATGGTGGATGCGTTGCTAGAAGCCGACCTACTCGGCTTACTTGTTTCCAACCTGGAACGCCTGGATGAGAGCGAAGAGGTAGACCGGAACGGTATATACTATGCCATGAGTATCATCGAGAACCTCTGTAGTAGGACTGGCACAGCGGAACAGGTCGCCAAAAACGAGAAATTGCTGCGCTGGCTGCTCAAGCGCGCACAAAGGAAAGAGACAAACCCACCTGTGAGCCAGAACAAGCAATACGCAGCCGAGATCCTGGCAATTCTGGTCCAGTCATCCTCCCCCAACCGTCGCGTACTGGCCAGTCTCGATGCGGCAGACATAATGCTTCAACTTGTAGCCGCATATCGCAAACGCGACCCAGAAAAGGGGGGCGAGGAAGAGGAATACATGGAGAATCTCTTCGAGGCACTTACATGTGTGGTCGATGAGCCTGAAGGAAAGCTCCGGTTTGTCGAGGCTGAGGGTGTCGAGTTGTGTCTCATCATGCTCAAGGAGGGCAAGCTAAGCAAGGCAGCCGCCTTGAGGTTACTCGACCATGCTGTGGGTGGAGCCACTGGTTTTGAGGTTTGCCAGAAGGTCGTGGAAGCGGGTGGTCTCAAGACCATTTTCACCATGTTTATGAAGAAGTCTTTGGACGGGCAGACTGCAGAACATCTCGTAGGGATTCTTGCTTCCCTACTGCGATTGCTACCTGCCGAATCACCCGAACGCATCCGGACATTGGCCAAGTTTGTCGAAAAGAACTACGAGAAGACAATCAAACTCGTGCAACTAAGGCGAACCTATGCAGCCCGCATGGCACCGATAGAGCAGTCGATACGTATGGAGCAGTCGCGGCTGTCGGCAGAGGAGAAGGAGGAGGCCGCGGATGGCTGGTTCCTCCGCAGACTCGATGCCGGTCTCTACGCTCTACAGACGCTAGATGTTGTACTCGCCTGGCTGGTCGCCGAGGACGACGGAGCACGTTCAGTCATAGAGCAAGAGCTGGCTGAGAGGGACGAAACCCTGGCAGTGATCCGCAACACGCTACAGGAGCAATTGGACGGGATGGACACAGACGATGCTGGAGCCAACGAAAGCCGCGACATGTTGAGCGCGCTGTTACAGTTCGTACAGTAGGGAATGACAGTGAACAAATATCATGATAATGATTAGCCCAAATGCATCCCGGCCGCATCAATTTTCCATGTTGCAAAGTTCTAGTTTATTTCCTGCAGTCTTGATCGCATGTTGAAATATATCATTGTGTGGAGGTCAACATGGTGCCACTTTCCTGAACTCTCGGGCAGCGACCGCACATCATACCAAGAGCATTGTCTCAGGACAGACCATACATGGTATGGTGGTCAATGATGGCGGCGATAAGAGATGATTGCAACGAGTCTAAGGCATGGCCCAATGAGATCTAGAGTTCTGGATGACGATTTTGACTGCTTGCTAATGATGGCACAGGGCAACACGTCCGCCGGGCAGTCGACTTTCCTTCATTCGCCTCATAAGTGAAAGTTGTGTTGTGCGATCTTCTTCTGCCTTACTCTATCAATCGCCTTCGCGAATGCGACATCGACCAACCCCCCGCGATTTTGCTGAGGAGGTTGATATACCAGTGAAAGACTACGCCTTGCTCGGCGCCACAGGCTTCGGCTCGGCGACAGCCTTGAGGAGGGCTGCTACGACCTGTGCCTGGTTCTTCTGGCCAGCTGCCTTTATCTCCTTGATCTTCCCATCTGCCTCCTTGTTGGCCTCGTCCTCGGCTTGCTTGTTCCCTGCAGTATGCTCTGATTCGAACTTCTTGAACTCGTCCTCTTTGGCCTGTCGGTAGGCATCAATCTCCTTCTTGGCCTCGTCGCGAGCCTCTCGTACCCGCTTTGTCCGGTCTGGGTTTGCGCCGTCTTAGTGTATGCCATCAGGGGAGGGGGTGGTACGTGTCGACCCGGTAGTGGAAGATAGGGAGGTCAGAAATGTTTGCCGATATAGACGCCTTTACTTACACTCGCGAGCTGTGCGACCAGATTATTGTTAGCCTCGAGGTCAGAAGCTTTCTAACCTGTGGAAGAGTGGCTCCTTGGGAATAACGTACCTGACTGGACAATCTTGGAGGCTTCCCGCTCAGCCTGCGACGCATGTATTTATTAGTCTTTGTTCGGTTGTTGAGTAGCGGTGGTAGGACTGCCGTACATCGAGCAGGGTCTGTATGCCCGCGGAGTTTTGTGCTGCCTAATTGGGACGAATTAGTTGGATGAAACTTTGTAGGAAGGCTGCTCCAGCAGGCAGCTGCGCGCAGCCGGATGAGGGTAGAATGACAGCATACCATCTTGGGTCGAGGTCGGGTTGTGACTGATTGTGGCAGATGGCCGCTCTGGTCCAGAAGTAGTGCACAGCTGTTTGGAAGCGAAAGGCGACGATGCGACAAAGAAAGGGCCGCTTTCGAGGCTGACTGAACAAATGTGCGAGGTCGATGAGGGAGGTGTCTAAGGCGCAAGTGGATGAGGTCAGTCGCTGCGTGAGGCTTAGGTAGGCAGGTCCAGAGGAGCGGAGAGCTCTCAATCAGACCCTCGGGGAGCTCTTATGCATGTCTAGTGGGCATGCATGAGTGGGGCCAACAGCGACCAAGTTATGCAACAGCCAGGTTTGTCCAGCCATGTACCCAGACAATTCCAAGGCTAGGACAGACAGTGCGTACTGTGCTTGCCGTGGAGTCCCTGATGTACCCGTGAACCCGTCTGACATCGATGCTCACAGGTGGATACCTCATCGGGGCAGCCAGGTGCGAGCCATTCTTGAGCCACTTGAGATTTTTCTCTCCGAGATCAATCTTGTCATTCACACAGAGTCTCGCTACGAGCGACCATGTCGCGCGCCTCTCAACTGACCCTCGCGGGCACCTCGCTCTTTGCTGCCGCAACTGTCGTTTTTGTTCACTTCCAACAGAAGTGGGAGAAGCAGGCAAGTTCCCCTTCCCGCCCGGCACTATGGCGCAACATACCATTAACGTCCTATCACTCTTGCAGGCAATGCACCAGGGTGTAATCCGCGACATGGAGCAACAGCGCATTAAGAAAGAGCGCCAACTCGACTTCGATATGCAGCGAGCTCTCGAGGAAGAATACAAGAAGGGCCAGACCGTCACCCTGTCGCCACATCCCGAAACCCCATCAGCCTTGCCCCCGAACCGGTGATTTCGAATGCGCCGCGAGAATCTCCCTACCTGCCTCGCCGGGAGCTCTGCTGAATGCCGTGCTGGCACAGCACTCCTCACTCACGCACTCCTTACCGAGTCCGAGCTCGACGCTCCAACAATCTGCCATGCCCACCGCTCTGCTCCGAGGCCCAATAACGCCGGACCATGCGGCTTCTGTATGGGGAACCGGCCTTGAAACGCAGCGCCGAGTCTGGAGCTGAGCGTTAGACGGTTCCGCCGGTTATGCCGTATGCTTGCACGGAGGCAAAGTACCTGACACCAGCAGCGCGGTTGAGCAGTAAGACCAGGTTGTGGAGTTTGGCGTGGTGTCACCTGCAGTCTTTGTGCTCACTGCGAGCATGGCCGCACACCCGGGACTCGGAGAAGGCTGCCGCTCTGTGTGAACTGGCATGCACCAGGGCGAGACATGGGTTGGAAGAAAAACACAATGCATGTACACAAACCGAATATGTTGATGATTGTACTATGGAATACGAAAAAAACTAGCCGGGGATCAACCGGAATGCCCAGCTGTATACCCCTGTGGTTCTCTTGCAAGACGCGTGCCGCTTATCGCTACCCATGTTTAGCTCAAAGGACGAGGGTTGCCATCTGATATGCTTGGCAATTGAGATATGTGATGGCGGAAGTATGGATGTGGCGTCCTGAGCGCGAACGAAGCAAAGGGATTAGCACACTGGTCGACACTCCGGCCGATGCCCCACTTCATACTCCGAAGGCAGCTCCGCGTTTCTTTTCGGGGTTCGGCCAGCAGGGGACCCAGGCATGATGAGGCAACACTGCCTCTTGCGGATTTTGCCTCGGACACGGACCTGTCCTAGTTGCCTTGGTCGGGTCTTGCTGGGCATAAGACCATCCTACATTTCCCAGGCACACCACCGAACTGCGACTGCTGACATCTGAATCTGAACTCCCAGGCAGCCCGCAGCAGAACGATATGGACATGAAAGTCCCCCTGACGACAGCAGGCTCGGGCGTCGTGCTGCCGCAAAGCCATTCCCATCGACGTCTGCACTATCCTGTCAAGTTGCTCCTCGTTGTACTCCTCGGTGCTTTTGGGCTGGCCTGGATTTGGCTGCAGGGTGGTAATACACAATGTACCGGTGGTCGGCCTGTCGGGACACCACAACGCTGGTATGCGGGTGAGTCCCTGCCATGGCACTCATGTGGCCAGGTCGGCCGTCATACCGTCGAATGCAGCTCTCTCGACGTGCCCATGGACCACTTTGGCACTGCCGAGTCCAAGCACAAAACGTTCACCATCCCTTTGATCCGCCTTCGTGGTCACCCGCAAGCTCGTAACCTCCTGCTCAACCCCGGCGGCCCTGGTGGTAGCGGCATCGAATTCCTGTTCAGGAAGGGCGAGCAATTGCGGGAGGTCGTCGGCGACGATTTCCACCTTCTTAGCTTCGATCCTCGTGGCGTCAACGCTTCGATCCCTGCCGCCCACTGTTATCCTGACGCCGAGACTGAAGGGAGGCTGTCGTCTGTCCAGGCGAAGTGGGTGCTTGGGCCTGACAACAACCCGGAGCTCTACGCATGGTCTACAAACTTTGGGAGGGCATGTGTCGACACCCTCGGCGAGCATGGCGAATACATCAACACTCCGCAGACGGCCGCCGATATGAACTCCATTCTCGATGCCGTAGGCCAGCAACACATGTATTACTGGGGCTTCTCCTACGGTACCTTGCTGGGACAGACCTACGCGACATTGTTCCCCGAGCGGTCACACAGAGTCATCATCGATGGCGTGGCCAATCAGTTTGACTGGTTCAACCGCCCGCTCGACGCAGAGACGGTCGAGGACACCGAGGCTGTGCTCGACGGATTCCTGGACGAGTGTGTCAAGGCTGGTGACAGTTGTAGTCTGTCCGCGATAGCTAAAACGAAGCAGGGCCTTTGGGACAAGCTCATTGCCTTCGGGAACGAGCTGCAAGCGCAGCCCCTGAGCATCTACGTCAACAGTACCACCTGGGGAACCCTGGACTGGACGAAGCTGTTCCACGACGCAATTTTCCCGGTGCTCTACCGGCCGGCCGACTGGCCTGCGCTTGCTGGAAACCTGACCGAACTATTGCAAGGGAATGCAACCGACTTCCTGCTGCATTACGCCATGGGAGGTCGCTTCCCACGTCTCGACCAGTCCTTCTTCGTGGTGTACTTCAACGATGGCGCAAGCGGGTTAAAGCGCTGGCCGGAGGGTTACCAGGCCCTCGACGATATCCTCGTGCCGTTCTACAATGGCACCATGTTCCGGTCGACTAATACGAAGGTCTACTTTTTGAAGCAGCAGTGGCCAGTGCCGCGAACTCACCGCTACGTGCCACGCACTGGCGTCAAGACTGCGCACCCGCTTTTGCTACTGACGACCACATATGATCCTGTTTGCCCGATGGTATCGGCGAAGAACACCTCCGCATCCGTAAGTTTCCCACATGGATGACATGAACAAAAATTGCATCATGGGCGTTACAATCCAAGTGGTGGTGTACATCCCCATCGATTAGAGGGACATTTGGCTAAGCAGCTTTGCAGTTCATCGACTCGAAAATCATCGAGGTCAAGGGTTACGGCCACTGCTCCTTAGCCGTCCCTTCCAAGTGCATGGCCAACCATGTCCGTGACTTTCTGTACAACGGCACGTTGCCAGAAGCCGAGCATACGCAGTGCGAGAGGGATGGTGAGTATTTCCCGCGTGATGGGGACGTGCCTGCACTGTCTCTGACAGAGGAGGACGCGAGACTTCATGCCGCCCAGGTCCAATTAGCCCAGGACTGGGACCTGGCGCGGTGGTGGTGAATTAGTTCCAACGTCAAGAAACACAGATGTATATAATAATTGCGTGAGCGGCCCACCAGTCAAACTACGAGTCATCTTTGGTGAAATAGCAATAATGCAATCTGTCACGTCCGTCCAGACGTTGCCATCTATGTGTGCTAATGCAAAAGAGCCGAGGCGACAACTAAAGTGCTGGATCAGATGGATTGCTTGTCCCTATAAAGGTGGTGAGGTGCCACCGGGACATGTCAGCATGCTCCCGCGCAAAAGAGGCGGAACACCAATATGCTGTCGCGAGTGGACTCGTCACTTCCAGTATTAGTTGTGAGGAAGGAAGGAGAAACACAAACAGGTGCGCAGCGGGCGCGCGCAAATTTCTACAGACGTGCACATGTGCCATCACGTGACGAGTCGCGCTCACAAACCCACTCGCGCACTCTTCAGCGACAATCGATTGACATATGCGGCCCGTTGTGGGATTATGCAAATTTGTGCATGCCAAGGGAAGGGGAGATGCAATAGCCCGACGGGGCAGCCGTAGCCATGCGCGCCCACCCGCAGGCATGCATCACTCTTGCCTCGATTACCCTGGGATTGCCGCTAATATCTCCCCACTTCGACGTTGAGCTCAAAGCTGCTCCGACTCGGACTCGGCGCTGCCAACCACCACCCAGTTGAGCTTACCGAATCACCACTTGTGGCCTTCTTTGACCACACCCCATCTGAGCAGCCTGCCTGTCGCGACAAGAGCAGGACAGCTGCAACTTCCTCTCCGTCACACCCGGACTTACAACCCTCGGAGCATGGTAATCTAGCCCAGCTGGGTGCAACCGACATTGAGCAATGGCATCTGCTCTCTATCGCGGCGGCGCTCGCGCCCTGCGAGCCCTCCCGAATCGTGCTTCTCCCACCCATCATTTTATCGCGCGCCGGTGGCAGTCTGCGCCCGCAGACGGACAGCAGAAGGTATGTCACCATCATGTTACTGTTCCATGCTACCGCTTCGGGGTCTATGATTAACTGGTGCCCTGACTGGCAGCTTCTGTCTGCACATCTCCGCGAGGCCGACTCCACGGTATATGATATCATCGAGAAGGAAAAGAACCGCCAGAAACACTCGATCAACCTGATTCCTTCCGAGAACTTTACATCCATGGCCGTACTCGATGCTCTCGGCAGCCCCATGCAGAACAAGTACTCAGAGGGTTATCCCGGTGCCCGCTACTACTCAGGCAATGAGTTCATCGACCAATCTGAGCGGCTTTGCCAGCAAAGAGCACTGGAAACCTTCGGCCTCAGCGACAAGGAATGGGGTGTCAACGTGCAGTCTCTGTCCGGCGCCCCTGCCAATCTCTATGTTTACTCTGCCCTGATGAACACCCACGATCGCCTAATGGGCCTCGACCTGCCCCACGGCGGGCACCTCTCCCATGGTTATCAGACCCCAACAAAGAAGATCTCTGCCGTGTCCAAGTATTTCGAAACTATTCCCTATCGCCTGGACGAGGAGACAGGACTCATCGACTACGACAAGCTTGATGAGATGGCCACGATAGTCCGGCCAAAGATCATAGTGGCGGGTGCCAGTGCGTACAGTCGACTGATTGACTATAAACGGATGAAGGAGACTGCAGACAAGGTCAACGCCTACCTCATGTCTGATATGGCCCATATTTCAGGTCTTGTTGCAGCCAAGGTCCTACCCAGCCCCTTTGCGTTCTCAGACATCGTCACAACGACCACGCACAAGAGTCTTCGCGGCCCGCGTGGCGCCATGATCTTTTACCGCAAGGGTGTTAGGAGGACGAATCCCAAGACAAAGCAAGAGATTATGTACGATCTGGAGGGCCCAATCAACGCGTCCGTCTTTCCAGGCCACCAGGGTGGCCCCCACAACCACACAATCACTGCCTTGTCCGTCGCACTGAAACAAGCTCAGGCCCAGGATTTCAAGGTCTACCAGGAGCAGGTACTTCTGAACGCGCAGGCCCTCGCCAACCGTCTTGGCGAGTCGAAGACGAACGGTGGCCTCGGCTACAAAATTGTAAGTGGCGGTACGGACAACCACCTTGTGCTTGTCGATCTCAAGCCACAAGGAGTCGACGGCGCGCGAGTTGAGCGCGTCCTTGAGCTTGTTGGGGTGGCCAGTAACAAGAACACTGTTCCTGGCGATAAGTCCGCCATGATTCCTGGTGGCCTCCGCATCGGTACACCAGCAATGACGACACGCGGCTTCACCGAGAACGATTTCTCCCGTGTGGCCGATATTGTCGACAGGTCCGTGACAATCGCCGCCAGGGTAGACAAGGCTGCTCGTAAGGCAGCCGAGGAAAAGGGGGACAAGTATAAACTCAAGTTCTTTTTTGATCATCTCGGTAGCGGCGAGGATGACGCCGAGATCGTCCAACTGCGTGCCGAGGTTGCTGACTGGGTTGGCACGTATCCTTTGCCATGGGACGAGTCGGCCTGAGAAGCTAGTGGATGGCCCATTTTCAGAGGGTGTGCCTGACCTCGTGGAACGGTTCGAGACCACTAGACGCTGCGAGAATGACGTATGCGTTCTGGAATGGATCGCAGGACGTACTTTCTGCGAGGAAGCACAAAGATGGGCCTCACCGACCTTGACCTGAAGCTACGGAGCCCTGATAGCACGTCTGTAGGCTCGTGCGGCTCTGGTGGGTGGATCGAGACACCCCTGGGACTGATACCCGCGTACAAGTCTGGGGAAGTGGTCGATCCGCCGAGGCCGATTTACACTAGGCGTCGCAAGGTTACGAGACGGAAAAGTAATTCGCATCAACTGCGGAGACGTGACTTAGGAAAGGCGTCTGTATCAGACCGCATCGTTGGGGTGGATTTTGAGGTATTATAGTGCGAAGAAGCATCTGGCGTTTCGTGGTTTGGAAAGCCACACATCACTAAAAGAATATGCTCTTTACATTTCAAGCTCTGCTCGACAGACAAGTGCCATCGTGCTTGCGAGGCTACCGCTCTTGTACTTCCGCCGAGGAGCTGTTCAATAAAGGCGGCTTGTGGCGGACCGTGAAGCTCAATCTGTCTGTCCAATAAACATCCCGTGGTTGTTGACGACAGCACGTGTCCATGGCTTCTTCGAGGCGCGTGTCGTCATAGCACAGTACAAGTATTGTATGCCAGAGTAGGTCATTCCACTTAATAAAGTTTTCCAGGCCCCTTGCAGGTGGGCGGCATCGCGGACTGCCTTGTGTACATCGAGCTACTTTAACAATTTACATGCTGCGGCACTACCTACGTTGATTTGGCTTAGCCTTGTCGCGCCCATCAATAAACGGCATAGCCAGTGTGAAAAGGCAGCGGCTAAGATTCATCGAATATACAAATTACTCGCGTAGATTATTGTAGCCTGGTGCTAGGACCCACGCTCCTCCGGAGAGAACTTTGTTGTCAGCTCGGTCTAGTTGATGTGACACTGTCGTAGGAGTGCTCCTATTCCGTCTAGCGCACACCTCCGCCGGGCACTCTGTGCATGCAAGCAAGCCTCCTTGGAAGAAAGGAAGCAATCATCATCTTCATGAGCATCATTTTGCACAATGCACCTGTGTTGCAGACTGCATAGATAGTACCGATCATGGTGCTTACTGTATGTCGGTTTGCCTTTGAGCCTGGCAAGTTGACCAAATCACGGGATTTTGTCCCCAACGGGCTGGAAGTCAGCCACTGACGACGCCGCCCTGGTTCCTGTGCTGAGGGACCTTGATTTGTCGTGGGCACTGAAATCCGGTGAGCAAAGTGGGCCGAAGCTGTCGGGTGCAGATCAACAGTCTTCTTTATTGCATTCGCCTGGTCGCGAGAGACAATTGAGGGTGACGAGGATGGGAAGGAAGGACAAGCTGGCCCCTGCGCAAATGATGGCATACAGGGATCCGCCCGCCGAGCTGACAATGTGCACCCTTGGAACGGCCTCCATGTTCAAGCGAATGGTCAGAGTCATGCTGCCACGGTGCTCTACGAAATCGCATGTCATTTTTGGCAATGCCGAAACTACTTCTGAATACTGTAGACGTCGGCCTCAGGTTGTCGCAATGGGCGGACCCACCTCTCGTCAGTCACGGCCGGGTCAGTGCTTATCGCCTGCATGGTGACGCTAATAACGTACTTGTCCTACAGATCATGTACACGTTTCCGCCACCATGCATATTCCAACATACAAAGTGCTCTGGGATACTTCTGCGGACAAGCTACACAATAGCATGTGAGTATGAGTGTCGTTGCCGGCGATCTCATTTCCTCCTGCGTGTCGCTCGTGCCAGGCTGAATCTTTGATCGCTCCCATCCACGAGCCAATGGTTCTTTTCTCTCCTTCTCCTAGTACCTTATGATGCAACTGTGAACCTCGGGATCATGGCATGCCATGTGTCAGACAAACAAATAAACAAAATCATGTGCCGGCATGGCGAAGATCCGCAGCTCAGATAGTAAGGCACCCCGGGCAGGGAGGGTATCTTGAGGTAGGTCCTGCAGGCAGGCATGTCATTGTTGCGGTGACACGTCGTGAGGGCTGCACTTGTGAGACCGTCAATTCCGTTATCGAATCGACTGGCCTGTATTTTCAAAAGGGGGTTGGAACCTAGAAGTCTGCAAGTAGGACACTCGACGTTTTGCGCTGATAAGCCTTTCTGCATGTTATCGAGCGAGACTCACACAACGCGGATGTGTGGAATCACGGACAGGTGAGATTGCGAGCATGTCTATGATTGGCCTGCAGCGCATGATCACCGTTCTCTAAGAGTACCTACGAAAGCACTCAAAGTACTGAGTATGTAACGGGGTGGCAGGCGAAGAGACTGCTCTGCTCATTTGGGGCTCCGGCGCTCGCTTGCAGGACCCTGGGTGCCCCTGTGTGATGATCGCCCGGTGTGCCGCTGAGGCTCAAGAGAGCCCGGCAGGGCGCGCTCAGCATGTTGCAGTGTGGCGTCGGATCACCAAAGAAAATTTCCAGATCTCTTGGCAGACATATGCCTTTCGTGGCGAGCCTGACTCACTCTGCGAGTGCCCATCATGAAGCACCAACACAAGTACCTGCTGCCATTCGCGTAAGCCCTCCACCGCATCTTTGAACTGCTATTGTCAAGTAGCCCTGAGATAAGGGCAGGCAGGTGTGTGACCCCCTCTTCATGGGCCCACAAGTCCGCCAAACACGCCGGGTTACGGCGGTCGTCGGTCTAGGATCAGCAAGTTGTCATGCCGTTTGCGCTCGGCGGTGCAGTTTCCCGTGGGCACATGGATGGGAATGAGGGGTGGCTCGCAGGGTGACCCAAGGATAGGCGGTGGAGAGCCAGATGAGCGCACGGCCAGTGAGCATATACATTGGAGATGCGGGATATTATGGAGGAGCGCGGAGGTGGAGGATGGCTCCAGCGAAGCCTGGCGTACGCGGGGGACGTTTGGGGCCCGGTGCTCGGGTCGGCGTCTTAACGCGGGCACGTCGCACGCCGCACGGTCGAGGGTGACAAGACAGCCAGGTCCGGCAGGATCACCGTGTGCCACCATGCAGTCAGTGCCCGTGTCCGTCTGGGCATCTGCAGCGACACGGCACAGCAGCACCGAGCTGCGGTACGGCAAAGGCCTGCCTGCAGGACCCTGAGGATGTTGCCGTGCGCCATTGTGTTTAGCGGCCGCCACGCCGCTCCCTGGCTACCGCACGCCTGTTGCAGGTAAGTTCCTTGTGTGCCTGGGCGCGCTTAGATTTGAGACACGCAGTCGCCCACTGGCTCTGCCTTGCAGGCTAGGGCTCGAGAACATCCAGCTCTCTGCAGCGCGAGGTTTTCCGCTGAATCGACGTGGTGGGTGTCGGGCCGAGCAGGAGGCGGTGCCTGTTTGGGGCAGGCGCGGGGCTCTGGCAAGGGTCCACTGTCCTGCAGCACTGTGACGTCAGGCGTGCCCCACCAGCTCCATCGTGGGCGACGGGGCTTGCCTGTTTGGGCACTCCTTGGCGGCTCCTGGTGGCCCCTGCGTCAACCTCGCCGTCGGTTTCTGGTTGGAGTTCCAAACAACGGCGTCCGGCTCGTGCAACTTGGAACGGTCTGACTGGATATCACAACGGCGGAAAAACCGGAGACGCCCGTCAATCAGTCTGCTCATTCTCAGGATCCGCAGGGCAGCGCTCCTGACATCCCTTCGTCCCGTGATATTCAGGGGCTGCGCCCGCTGGACATGCATGGTGCTGCCAGCCAACATGGCTCGCTTGACTCGGCCATGGGCAATCAGCTTGCCACAGGTACCATGTGTACAACCATGCTCGCCATCCTACGACCCCCAGACGGGCTACTGAGCATGGACATCTGTCTGGGATGAGTACACTGGCCGTGGTGATTCGTCGATGGCGGCCGATGGTGCCGGCCCCATTTCTGTGACGAGCGAGCACAGCTCGACTTAACAGGTACTTAGACACCCCCTCGCTGGGGTTCTTGACTCGCCGGCTGCGCCCACACCTGTGCTACCCTTGCGAGGACGCCAGCGGCTGACTGCAGACGGGTGTGCCAGAGAATGCTACCGCCTGCGCTCACACTCACCTTGCGTCGCGAACCCTGGCCCGGCACAGGTAGCCTGACGTATGGTCTGCATTGGCCATCAGGCTCCCAGCCTCGTCCGCCAGGCTTGCTCAACCACGGCAGGTTGGTGTCAAAGTTCTGAATATTACCTTGCTCCGGGGGCTGCGGTTTTCCAGCGCCCATCAAAGTACCTCAAAGTACTTGCCTGCTTCGTCTGCCTCGCCCGAGCGTCAGTGGGGCGGCAGTTCCACTGTCCTTATCCACCCTTTTGCCCCTCCACGACCAGATATTGTTCCTGTAGCCAGAGAAATGGCCGCACCACACCACCAGTCTCCACCGCGTGGAGCCTCTTCGGACAGCCATGGCGAGGATGATAGTGATGATGATGATGATGATGGGCATGCGACTTGCCCGACATGTTCGGCTCACGCAGCTGCCTCCCGGCTCGTCCTCTTCTGTGGCCGATCCCGTGTATATATACACTTGTTTATCCCCAGATCAGCTCCCCAGACCCGCTCCGTCCACATATCTCTCCATCTCATCGGGCACTCGAGTCAGCTTCTGCTCTGCCCATCCTTCTCTCTGCCATTCGTGCAATCCTGCTGTCCTCGCAGTTCCGTGTTCTAGACCCATATTAGCAGCACGACCCTCACTCCACAACCATGTCGTTGCAACCAGCACCAGAGAAGCCCTCTTTTCACCGAGGCAGCTTCGCGGAGGAGATTGAGACCGCCAGAGTCGACCTTGCGAAGCGTCTGCTCAGAGGCGACTCCAATGACACCCCATCTGAGCGCGATACGCCCACTCTCAGCCCGTCTGGCAGTAACTCCCCACCCACGTCGGATTCAGACTCGGTCGTCAGTCCAGGCGAGGAGGATCTTGTCGCCGACAGCTTCGCCTTTGCCTTTGACATTGATGGCGTCCTTGTCCGCGGCGGACGGCCTATCCCCGAGGCCATCGAGGCCATGAAGGTCCTGAACGGCGACAACAAGTACAACATGAAGATGTAAGTCTCCACAGGACCTGAACGGGTAGCTGTATCGTTTAGTACGACCTGCTAACATTATGCTCTGCATAGTCCCTACATCTTCCTCACCAACGGTGGCGGCAAGACCGAGGAGGAGCGTTGCAACGATCTCTCCAAGCAGCTTGAGGTTGATATCTCTCCTGCCCAGTTCATCTGTGGCCACACCCCCATGTCAGAGATGGCCAACAAGTACGGCACCGTTTTGGTCGTTGGTGGCGAGGGCGAAAAGTGCCGCGAGGTCGCCCAGGGATACGGCTTCAAGGACGTCGTCACTCCTGGCGACATCATCAAGCACAACAGCGCAACAACCCCCTTCCGCAAGCTGACTGAGGAGGAGTACGCCAACTCCAAGGAGCGCGACTTCAGTCAGGTCACGATCGAGGCTATCTTTATTTTCGCCGATTCCCGTGACTGGGCTGGCGACCTTCAGATTATTCTTGACCTGGCCATGTCCAAGGGTGGCCGTGTCGGTACTCTTTCTGAAACCTTTGACGAGGGTCCCCCAATCTACTTCTCTCACAACGATGTCGTCTGGTCTGCCGCCCACGACAACGTCCGCCTCGGAATGGGTGCTCTCCGCGGCATTGTCGAGTACACCTTCAAGGAGGTCACCAAGGGCAAGACTCTGACCACTCACGCGTTTGGCAAGCCCCAGATCAGCACCTTTGAGTTCGCTCAGAGACTGCTCAAGAGGTGGCGCAAAAACGAGCATGGTCTCAATGCGCCCCCCGGAACCGTCTATTTTGTCGGCGACACACCTGAGAGCGACATCCGCGGTACCAACCGTTTCAACGAACAAGCTCCAAATGATTGGTACTCGGTCCTGGTCAAGACTGGCGTCTACCAGGAGGGTACCGAGCCTGCCTACAAGCCCCGCGTCACTGTCAACACCGTGCTCGACGCCGTCAACCACGGCATTGAGCGCGAGATGGCTCGCCAACAAGACAAGATCCGCGCTCGCAAGCCCGTGCTCAAGGGTATGCCTAAGCTCCGCCTGGACAAGGCTCCCGAGATGGCCATCTGGAGCCCGGACGAGGAGCGCGAGATTGAGATTTTTGCCATCTAAGCCACCTCAAGCAGGGACACCAGACTGCCTTCCCACCATTTTCACGAAGCACATGAAGCATCAGCGATCGTTTACTCCTTCAATTCTCGACCGGACTTCGACAACTATAGACCCAGATGATTTGTTTTTTGCACTAGATTGGGATGAACATGCAACAGGATTCTTGGTATTGGTGTTCTTTTATTTCTCTTCTCCAGTAGCACCTTTGGGACACAATTTTCTCACTTACAGACTGAAAATCTGGTTTCGCGCGCGCTCAAGATACCCCCCGAGCGCCGGAGGCCACACCTGGCACCTAGAGAGGTCCACAGATAGTTTGAACGTCAACAGTGTACTTCACACAAATCTTCCCAGACGCTGCTGTGCCCGTGGTGAAAAGAAAAGTGATTGGAGAAAGCGGCGACCTTAATTCTACATTGTGGCTGTCGCACATGCACCTCTCTTGCTGGATTTACTGCATTTCTCATCAGATCGTCAGAACTGGTCTTCGGCCAGTGAACATTGCCGTGGTTCATTTCGATCAAAATTTTAAACTGAGCTGCTATCTGCTGATCATTTTTATACAGATCATCGCGTACTAGACAATTACGGTCAGGGTTGTTGCTTGAACCAGTCGCTCTCCACGTCCATAGTGAAATTGACGATATTGAATTCATTTGCCAAGCTGCCCGAGGTCTGATTCTTGCCGTCATTGCCCCCACTTGACGGTGCTTCAGCGATGCCGTCCAGGCCAGCTGCATCCTCACCATCTGCTGCGACACCATTGCCGTTGGCTCCGTTGTTGTTTGCGCTTGACGAGTGCTCTCCATTGCCATGGCCATTACCACCAAAAGGCAGCCGAGGTACATTGAAGAAGTCAAAGACGTCCAGGTACTCCAGCTCCGCTGATGCCGGCGTCCGTACAGGGGTAACGCTCGGCAGCCGGCTCGGAGCGCCTGCAATGTGGCGTGGCTGTCGACTGATCAGGAAATCGAGGTCGAACGCCGTACGCCGCATATCCGCCAGGATCTTGACGGATGACGGCGTGTCGCGCGAGTCCCCTGCTGCACCACTTCCACCCATGCCTCTGTTGTTGTGAGTGACGTTGCCCGCTGATTTTCCGTGCGCACTAGGACTATTGACTGACGCCTCGAAGTCGTTGTGCTCGTCCAGCACGCGCTGAAGCAAGCGGCAGTAACGATCTGCCACAGGCCAATACCGACCCATCTCTCTCAGTGTATCGACCAAGAACGCAATGCGCGGGGAAACGGTGTGCTCTACAGTAGACCCATGCACAAGCAGCAATCGGGCAGAGACCCAGAGTGTAAAGGCAAAGGGCGGGCCGAGCTTGTGTAGCATGTTGCTTTGGACCACGACTTCCGCAAGCGCTACAACGTTCTCGACAGCTCCATGGCACCGCTGACTGGCGCTGTACGAAGGAGTAAATATAGGCGACCTGGTCGTTGGGTATGCGGCTGAGGAGTGCAGGCGCATCACGGCCGTGTGGTAAGTCGCATGTAGCATCACCCACGCGCAGCTCAGTGTCTTGCTAAAGCCAGGCTGAAACAATTTGGCCATGTTGCCATATTCTCCAGGCAGGCCGAACTTCCAGCTCGTCATGAGCTGGTCGAGCTCTTTATATCGCAGCTGCCATTGCTCGACGTCGCTAAGTGCGCTAATGTCGACTGGCTGCTTGAGGAACTTGTGAATCCTGGCCAGGATGCCTAGAATCTCGATGTAGTATGAGAAGGCGCCCAAGTTCTCAGGCTTGTTCGTGTTATGGTCGGGCTGGTCCGAAAGGTCGCCCTCGTAGTGAAACCATCTGGTCTCAACTTTCTGGTTCTTGATCCACAGGTCGTCTCGGCAGGGCAATGTGCGATCAATCTCCTTGTCCTCCAACGCAAAATCGAATGCCGTTGCTAGTGTAGCATAGCGATCGAGTAAGTAAACCATCCAAAACAACCGTCGCCGTGACTCGTCTTCAATGAAATCCTTCGACTCTGGCAAGATCATGGCACGCAGAGTATAAATCGAGGTGAAATTCGGTGACACCATGAAAGATGTGCTCTCGACCGCCAAGCCAAGCTGGACAACTGAGCGTGTGATCAAAGCCATAATATTCCAACCAGGCGGCCCGTTGCTGTCACCACAGAGGTCGAGCGCCAAAATGACAAGGGCTTGTAAGCTTTTTACTGATGAGTGTTCCATGCCATAAAGGATGACCTTTTGCTTGGAAATCGTGTGGTAATGTTGCCGTCTCTCCGATGTTAGACGGGGATCAGTCGAGTATCTGAGTGTTGTAGCAACGATCGCGTACAAGAGCACCCGATCTGTCTCGTCTAGAGTCGAGGGCCCAAATAGAGAGTCCAATGTCGACTTCCTGTGCAGAATCGGGCACCAGGTATTAATATGCTTGAAATAGAGATCTGTTAGGGCGTAGAGCAAGTCGTATGGTGGCAGGTCCTGGTCGGCAGAGATTTGGCTTTGACCTGGCGGTATGGTGATACCTGAGGATGAAAGTGCTTGCTGTTGCGGCTGCTGTTGCTGTTGATGGGCAGAATGACCAGTGCCGTAGTACTCGTGAGTAGCGGCACTGGGTTGCAGGCTGCCCATATGGCTTGTTGGAGAGACGCCGGCAATAGAGAGGTGAGATGGTAAGCTGTCGTGGCTGGAATGTATGGAGGGCATTCCGAAATCCATGGCTTGCGTTGCCTGCGCATACGAAGAGGGCTTCTGGAGAAACAATGCGGTCTCCGCCTGTGGAGTCCGCATGGGATCACCTGTCATGCCGCCAGTGGGCGGCCGGAACATGCTTGTGTCACGAGGTGTGCCATGATCGCTGGGTAGACTAGTATTGCTAGTCCGCACGCTGGGAGGGGCTGCTGGATGCTGGGGGTGATGGTGGTCATTGTGGGCAGCCGAAGAGCCGGCGTAGGCTGAGAGCGTTGTCTGGATGATTTCGGAATGTGACCTAAGGATCTCTTCAAGCTTGTCGAGGCGCTGCTCCAGCTCTCGGCCATAGCCAGCGCGCAGACCGGGTTTCTTGCGCTCGCGATATTCGCAGAAGACGCCATTACGCTTGCACCAGCCGCATGACGGTTGGCCACGATCGCATTTCACCTGATCCCAAGTTAGTCTGGCAGTTCCACGGAATGTTTGTGGTTGCTGCGCTTGAGGACGAAGGCAGGAATTGCATACCTTTCGCTGCTTGCAGCATTCACATCTGGGCAGGTCAGATGCGTCAGTGTGGGCAATTATCCCTAGGGGTTCGGTGGGAGCGGCAGTACGGGTTGCTGTGGAGAAGGGTGTACTGGCAGGGCTGGGCGACCGCTTGACGGGGGTGGCAAAGACGAGTCGCGATGCGGTTGGGGATATGGAAGACATGGTGGACGTGGACTTGGTGGACTCAGACGTACGAGACAGAGATGGGCCGCTTGCGCTTGCCGAGGCGAGAAGAGTGGCCGTCAGGGGAGTCGTGGTCGTCGTCAAGGTCGTCGCCGCTGCCTTCGTCACTGTGGCCGTTGGCGGCGGCCGCAGCAGCGGCAAGAAGGTCCCGGCCGGGGCCACTTAACCCGGGCATGCCGGCCGACGACGTCGAGAGGCGATGCTGGGGTTGATAGTGGTGCCGTTGCTGATGGTGCTGGATGGGCGCGCCGGACGCGGTCAGGCCCTGCGCGGCGTCCCTGGCTTGCATGGCGAGGTCAAGCCAGCCGAGAGCCGGCCTCGGGAGCTCGGGAGAGCAGGCCGGAGCGCAACTGGCAAGTCGGGGCGCCGCGAGTCGTACAGCGACTCGGGGTAATTGCCACTATCTGCGTCTGTGGATGTGTGGTGTGTGTGTTCCGAGGGTTGTGAGTGGGAGTGGAGCGAAGAGAGTTGCTTCGGGGTAATGTTGCACAGAGGACGGCGCCCCGGCGCAGGAGGAGAGGACCAGCCCGGCCCGCGTCAATGCCCTCCAGCGAGCACGAGCCGCCATTCAGATTCTGGGGAAGGTATTGCCCCGCACTGCTTTCTCCAACCAGCCCCAGAGTGTGCCCTGGCTGGTTCTACAGAGTGCGCCCCAGCCGTGCGTGGGGCTCCTCGCTCGCCATCATTCCGCGTGCCGAGGTCGCACTTTTTGGGCCAGGGATGTCAGCCAGTCGCCATTTCGCGTGTGCATTGCATGGTTACGCTTACGGAAGCCTGGTTCGGACAACATGCCATTGCATATCAGTCAAGTTTGGTCATTCTCTAAAGATGTCATGCGATGTAGAACGTCCAGCCAGTCAGCCAGGCAGTGTAAACAAATGAAACCAAACCCAAACTTCCCAGGGTTAGAACGCCAACAGTTCTACACTTTTCCGCCTCTGTCTTTCTCTGCTTCCACCTCGAGAAAATCAAGTATTCATGCTCTTGACACCTTCAGTTAACTTCTCGACCAAGCCCTTGTCTTCCTCGGATGCTGTAGTGGTCTCGGCCGGTTTGAGACCTGGCGGCGGCGGCGGCGTCAAAAGGTAGTCGGCAGGGATGAGCTTGGCCCTTGCTGCTGGGTTGAGGGTGAGGCCGAAGCCGGGCTTGTCGAGGTCTGCCGTCGTCAGAAACCCCTTGGTCGGGATAGGCTCGTCGAGGAAGAGATCGCCAAACACGGGCAACACGCTCTTGCCGTCGGGCGAGTTGGCTAGATACTCCTGGAAGGGAGTGTTGGGCTGTGAAATCACAAAATGGTAGCTGTACGGGCCGCTGGCATGCGGCACGACGGGGATGTCGTAGGCAGCCGCCATGGCCGAGACCTTGAGCAGCTCTGTCAGGCCACCGAGCCACATGACATCGGGCTGAATGATGGCGAGGTTGCGGCCCTCGATGAGCTTGCGGAAACCGTAGCGCGAGTACTCGTGCTCGCCGGTGGTGAACTTGATGGTTGGGTGCGCACGTTTGATCTGTTCAAATCCATCCGTGTCGTCGGGGGACAGACACTCCTCCCACCAGCCGATATCAAGGTCCTTGCACCGCTCGGCAATCTCAATGGTGTACTCGACGTTGAGACTCATATAGCAATCGACCATGATGGGAAAGTCGGGACCGACGCTCTCGCGGTGCTTGCGCAGGAACTCGACGTTCTTACGCATGCCCTCATGGCCGTCAGCGGGGCAGAAGGGCAACGGCACCTTGGCACCCCAGAAGCCCATCGCCTTGGCGGCCGTAGGCTCTGGACCAGTGCAGTAGAAGTTGAGACGCTCGCGAGCAGCGCCGCCGATGAGACGGTAGACGGGCTCGTTGCGTAGCTTGCCCAAGAGGTCCCAGATTGCTAAGTCGATGACGGAGATGACGGCGATAGGAAGGCCCTTACGGCCGTAGAACATGGAGGCGCGGTACATCTGCTCGAAGAGCAGGTTTGTGTTGCGAGGGTCGGCACCGATGAGGAAACGCTCAAAGTGCTGGTGGACAAGCCAGCAGCCCGGAGGACCGCCGAAGCCGGTGGCGAAACCGATTGTTCCATCCGAGGCTTCAATCTCGACGAGGAAGGAGCCGAGGACATTGATGCCCCATGAGGTGCGAGACTTCTTGTACTGGTCCCAGATGGAGCAGGGTGTAGAGATGTCCGAGTCTATGAGCCAGTGGCCGCCTTTGACGTTGTGGTAATCGCCGCCAGAGCCAACACCGCCAATGACGAACGACCGGACGGCCTTGATCGTGGGGAATTCGCGTACGGATGCCATCATGTGTGATGGTCCAGAGAGGAATGGTAAGGAGGAGAAATTGGTGAGAAAGTGAAGGACGACGAAGAACACTGCGCCTCTAAACCATTGGCAGAAGAAGAGGAAGAAGTTGGAGAAGGAGATTCGAAGTCAGGTACGTGGGCATGGCCAGAAGCGACCTGACTCCGCATACGGGACAGCGCGGGGAACCACTGCGAATTCCATAGGTTGCCGGGAGCATGTCACCAATGTGGACAAGCTCTGGTCCGAGCAGAGAGACCGAGGCCGAACCTCGAGAGCATAGTGGCTTCCGAGCGAGAATTGGCATTGGCTTGTCGGGCACAGCTTGTCCGATGCACTGAGACGGTCATGGCCGACTTTGTCCCCGGGAGAGTCGGGCTAAGATGGCCCGAAACGCGGGGCACGCGAACCATACTTTCTTCCCCACCATCGGAGACCCTGGATGCGCCCACCTGAAGCCCTCTGTCACCGGGGTTGTGTCGTGTCTATTAGCGAGCGACCTTGAGGCTACCGGATCCTCGCCATGTAAGACAAATTCGAAGCACGAATCACGCCTCGCAGCTGTCCTGCAAGATGCCGGCCACCAACCTGCTCCAAGGCAAGACTGCCATCATCACTGGTGGCACCACCGGCATCGGGAGAGCCATTGCGCTCGAGTATCTTAGGCAAGGTGCCAATGTCGTTGTCAACCACCTTGTAAGTCATCTTTGTGACAGTGCCTCCTTGCAACTTCCTCGAGGCGTCCGCCCGTGACTCACCACGACCTCCCCGAATCAGGATCTCCCTCGGGACAAACCTCATCTCGAGTCTCTCCTTGCCGAAGCACAGAGAATCAAGCAGGAGTCTGCAACGGCAGGTTTGCTCGAGCACCTGCCCGGCGATGTGCGCGACCCGGCCACGGGGACTGCTCTCGTGAGCCACGCCGTGGCCAAGTTCGGTGGCCGCCTCGATATCTGTGTCAGCAACGCTGGCGTCTGCCAGTTTGCCGAGTTCCTGTCAATGGAGCCAGACCTCTTTAGCAACACGGTCCGTGTCAATCTCGATGGCGCCTTTTACGTGGTCCAGGCTGCCGCTCGGCACATGGCTCTCCAACAGTCGCCCACTGGAGGCTCCATCATCGGACTCTCGAGTATCTCGGCCCTCGTTGGCGGCGGCTTGCAGACACATTACACCCCAACTAAAGCCGGCGTGACCTCCCTTATGCAAAGTACTGCCGTTGCCCTTGGCAAGTATGGCATCCGCTGCAACGCCCTGCTGCCAGGCACTGTGCGGACACAGCTGAACGAAGAGGATCTGGCCGATGACACAAAGCGCGAGTACATGGAGGGTCGCATACCGCTGGGTCGTACCGGCGTTCCGCATGATCTCGCCGGGCCAGCGGTTTTCCTGGCCTGTGAAGAGCTCAGTGGATATGTCACAGGTGCACAACTCCTGGTCGACGGCGGTCTTTTCGTCAACTTGCAATAAGCAGTTCACAACAATTCGGCAGTGACCGCATAGGCAGTCCAATTCTCACCATCGAAAAGTACAACCACTAGCGGCTGAGTGATCTCCCTGGCCAATATGGCTTCCGAGGGTTGAGTCGTGAAATACAACCCTGCTCGCTGTAAGCGTGGCAACCTCTCGTGTTGGTCCGTCTCCAAACAAGCCACATTGGTTGAGTATGGGGGCATCTCGGCAAGAAAAGGACTCAGAGTATCCAATTTAGGACAAATTCTTTTCTGAATGAAGATATTCTACAGTTCTATAACATGGACTTTCAAACCGATTTTATTGCACGGTTAATCTCAAATCATCGTGCCCCCCTTTTAATTATCTTTTTGGGAACCTTATCTTTGTCCTCCATTTGTAGCAGCAGAAGAAGCTGCCGCAGCTGATGATAGCAGAGGGTCTGTTGAGTTATCGTCGTTGTGATCATCTATGCGCTTGCTTCCGGCAGGCGGAAGTCTGGCCATGAACAGCACAATGAACCCCAACACAGCAAAACCCTGCAACCATAATGTTAGCCACATCATATGCTATCAATATCCCATGCAACAACTTACCGCATTGCAGAAGAAGGTCAGCCGCGGCTGATCGATCTCGGACATGGCGGCAAAAATGACACCAAAGAGACCTTGGGTGAGCAACGTGGCCATACTCTCAACGAGAGTGATGCCGCTGAGTGCATCTCCACGCTGCTCGGGCGGGCAGAGTTCAGACAACAAGCCTTTGGCGGCTGGCGCTGAGCCTGAAGCGAAAGGGAGGACGAAGCCGGCTGGAGCGAGTGCTTGTTAGCAAAGCCCTTTCTAAATCTGTTGGGGGTAATCGCAAAACAATCAATGGCGCAAAAGGCGATCAGTTAGCGCAGGAAAGGACTGTCGTGCTCACCGAGATAGACATGCCACCCTTGCGACGAGAAGCCTGCAAAAAATGTCACAAGTGAGTCAATGACGAGACTCCATCGCACAAAGAACAAATCAAACTCGATGCCCCAGTCTTCCTCGTCGTCTTGCTTTGTCGCACTGTCGTCGGTCGGTTGGTTGGCAGCACCGTACGTCTGCTGGTGAGATGCCTGCGGGGATAGCAGAGGTTCTTGTGGCACCTCTAGCCCCTCGGCGGCAGGGAAGTCCATGGGATCCGTGGGTAGGGTGTCTTTGCCCGCTTTGATGCTTGCCCGTTCTTCCACGTCGTCATCATCATTGGCAGCAACGATCGTCGTGGCGGAGGAGGAAATAGTGGCACCATTTCCAGCAATTGATGCATCAGGAGGTCCGCCGCCGTTGAACCATATTCTGCCGCCGGATATGACGCGCGGGAAGATGACTATCAGGAACATGCCTCTGACTAATGCATTTCCAAACATTAGGTAGCCGTTCTCGGTCGTGCTCCAGTTGAACGATGCTGTAGCGTAAAGCTGCAGCAGCGTTGGGCAATAGCCAGAAGCGAACTACCCGTATACAAGGTTAACACACGGGGAGAAACCACAATTGATACAAAATGGCTCGTGACGTACCACTCCGAGAAACAGACCAGTCGCAAGGAAGATAAGTCCGTAATTTGTAATAACCTTGCCGGACGCCAGCCTATATTTATGTGGCACGATGACCCGAAGAGGCGCAAAGAATGCCGCAATGCCGACTTTCTTCGGCGCCGTGGTTCCGTTCTTTTTGCTCTTGGCAATTTCCGTTGGCATAAATATGGCCCCATATATGGTGGAAATGACGTAGAGGAAAAATGCAACCTCGAAAGGTCGCCTTATGCCATAGAGGTCTCCAAGAACACCACCCACTGGTGTTCATGTGGTTGTTAGCTGGAGGGCTGGAGAACTTCATGTCTCGATGCAGGAAGTCGGATAATCTTACGTAAAAAGCCAAAGGCGGTGCCGAGCATGATTGCTCCTTGAAGCCGGCCGAATACAGCTGTGCGGTCCCGAGCCGCGACGACCTCGGCTACAGAAGTGTTGAGGACGAGCCTGTATCGTGTTAGGGGTTTCTGGCGCTGCAAACAATGCACAATCCGACTCACTGATAACCGCGAGGTCCACCAATGATGCCAATGGCCTGACAAGCTTGGAACACAATTTCCCCTGTTCGTCCGCCAATGGTGACGGCAAGGATCTGGGTCGACACCCGAAAGCCCAGGAGCGAGGTCTGGGAGACGTAAGCCCAGCGAGGACCCCAGAGCTTGATGAAGTAGCCGCAGACAAAGAGGTTGAAGACGCCGCTGAAGGAGGTTGACATGCCGAGGATGGACACCTGCTGAGCGGTCCCGGCGTTGATCTCACGACGATGACACCGGTCCTCCCATGGGCCATCGTAGGGTGGGTTGTGCGTGTAGAAACGGTCGCATTCCATCATACGGAAGACATAAAGGATGCTATATCAAGCGCCGTGTTAGTCGGCCGGACGCCATGAAATCAGCCGCCGTGACGCACTGGAGCACTTACGGCACTTGGGTAATGCCCAGGGTGAAGCTCATCAAAAACCCAGCAAGCAAGATACGGTTGGCTGGGCCCAGAATGGAAGATATTCTGGCTGTGATCGAGGCTGTTCCTGACGGCTCGTGCAGCACCTGCGGTGGAGCGGCCGAGTGTGCATCCCGAGCCTCAACCGCGCTACCAGGGCCAAGAAGCGGCGTAGTTTCTGATGATCTGCTTGCCATGGTCTACGCACATGGAATGCACGCAGAGTGCATGCAGGCAAGCGACACGAATCACGCAAGGCCAGGTACGGAGGGAAGGCTTAACGAGCCGGCAGCACCAAGGACCAATTTCAAAAGGGTTCAAAAGTTGGGGGAGAACAAGCTCGGCGTGATGGCGGTGCCGCCGGCCAAAGAAGAAGAGCCGTTTGATCGTTGGCCGGTGCAGGAGAGGATAGAGGAGTGGGGGCCCCACTCGGCCCCGAGACCGGGGAGACGCCGCCAGTGTGATGCGGGCGCTGATGACGAACTCTCGCTTTCCGACGGGTTGGCTGCGAGGAGGCGACGCACGCCGGAATGCGTCCCGAAGGGCCAAGGCGTATCGTGGGGTTCATCGAGCACTGAGGTGGTCTTGAGATCCAGTGCGCAGTGGTCAAACGAGTAGGAACGACTGCACCTGTGCTACCGCCTTTTCTGAACAGGGAACCGTTATTCAAGGGATTGACTTGCGGTGGACACGGGCGTAAGCGGTGGACGGGGCATTGCCGACACAGCCTGCAGTTGTTTAGGCGGCTGCTGCATAAAAGTGCGGCACGGCAGGGAATAGCGCGGATCTTGCACTTCCCCATCGGCCCCCGAGGCGGTCTCCCCCGACAAACCCACTCGTCCAACCCACTCGTCCTGCCTGTGCTTGACAACCCTTGCGTCTCCCATTTAGGAAGCTCCCCAGCAGGAGCTGCTTAATTAGAGCGGCCGGTTTTCCCATCCTCGATGACTGACTAATCCCCATGCCGACCTGCGGAGCCCCAGGTTGGTCAAGGTGGAAGTCTTGCCTCTCTCTGTCGTGATGCATCACCGTCAGAGTGTTTCTTGGACCACATTCAGGTCTCGCACTTTCCTCCTTCACTGGCACCCTAACGACAGTGAGAGCGTAAGACTTACGATGAGGCCCGCCTGATCTTGGTTGCCGATGCTACACAAGATAATACTTTCATAACACGAGCTTGCCGTCCCACTGTCGCGCTTGCAAATTCCTCGAGGCTCAAACTTTTGCCGCCACCCCAAAATGGCCGCAAGTACGGAGTCCAGGAAGGGCCACGATCATGTTCCACCAGGATGCGCAACTGAGCCTGAATTAAGTGAGGCATCTGCACCACAAGATGTGGAAACCAGAACATCCTCATCTAGGACGGCGTTCAGCGCCGAAAATCCCAAGGGCTTGGCACGGCACAGCGGAGCAGCCGCGGCAAACCGCACGGCACCACCGATCCCGGATGACGGCCACAACGCAACGTCCGCCCAAGCGAGCCTTTGGCAGCGAACTCTGACGATCCTCAATTGGATGCCAAAGCACTGTCGCTATGACCCGGAGAACCCCCACGGTTCACAAACTCCATGAATGTTCTTCTTGCCTTTGTAAGTGCCCGACTCTTTACACCCCCCCCCCCCCCCCCCCCCGACAGCCAAGCCCGTCATCCCGGGAAAATCAGGACTGACACGTCTTCTCCAGGCCACCACATTCACTGTCGCCAATCTTTACTACCCGCAGCCGATCCTGAATCTCATCGCAATCGAGTTTGGTGTCGACAATGAACGCGCGTCAAACGTTGCAGCTCTTACCCAGGCTGGGTATGCCGTCGGGTTGGCATTCTTATGCCCAGTGGCAGACATGGTCCCGAGGCGCCCTCTTATTCTGCTCTTGATTGCAGCGACTGCGACCGTCGTAAGTGTCATCTAGTGGACTCTTGTCGCCTGTTGTTCTTTGGATCAACGCTCTAGCATAGATACCGCGACTTGTCATGGACGCCACTAACGCTGATTTCGACCATTTAGTGGATTGGGTTGTGTTTGACACGCGACTTCAATGTGTTCCTGGCTTTGTCGTTTATCTGCGGCGTAGGGTAGGCTTGCAAACATGCACATCTGCTACCAGGACTGGCTGCAAGAGGCTGACACATTCTCCAGCACTGTTACGCCACAGCTGATGCTTCCGCTAGTTGGCGACCTCGCGCCGCCAGAGAAGCGAGCAGCCTCTCTCTCGATTGTAGTGTCTGGCCTCTCGCTGGGGATGTTGATAGCACGTATCTTGGCTGGTATTGTGTCGAACTTCACGGACTGGAGAAACATATACTGGCTTGCGCTCGGAGCGCAGTACCTGACGCTGGGCATCCTCTTCTTGACGCTGCCCGACTACCCGGCCAAGAACAAAGGTCTCAACTACTTCAAAGGCATCTGGGGCATTGTCGTCATCATTGTCACGGAGCCGCTTCTGCTGCAAGCCTGCCTGATCGGCTTCGCCATGTCCGCAGCATTCACGTCGTTTTGGACCACACTGACCTTCTTGCTCTCGTCGCCGCCGTACAGCTTCTCATCTCTGGAGATCGGCTTGTTCGCGCTGATGGGGGTTGTCGTCATCGTCGTGGCGCCAATCTGGTCCACGTTGATTACGGATAGATTTATCCTACTCTTTTCCGTCGTGCTCGGCCTCCTCGTCGATCTGGCAGGCATCATCATCGGAACGTGTATTGGCAAATTCACGATTGCCGGTCCAATCATCCAGGGCGTCTTTATGGACTCGGGTGCCATTTTTGCGCACACGGCGAACCGCGCCAATGTGTACTCGCTCGACCCCAAGGCGCGCAACCGCATCAACACAGCGTACATGGTTTTCAGCTTTGCGGGTCAGCTGACAGGCACAGCTGTCGGCAACAGGCTCTACGCGGAGGGAGGCTGGACATGGAGTGGCGGGTGTAACATTGCCTTTCTAGGATTTGCACTTCTCGTAGCAATCTCCAGAGGCCCCAGGGAGACGGGCTGGTTTGGCTGGACGGGTGGTTGGAGCATTCGGCGGGACCCGCCGCAATCGCTTCAAAAAGATGAGACCACTGCTGCCGAGGAGGCTCTTACATCAGGCGAAGCGAGCGACGCATCGGAGAAGCAGCAGCGATCATAAGATGAGGACACCCCTGCTCGAAGGCAGGCAGGGAGGAGCTGCTGGGGATTGCTGGATCTTACGTAGCCGTGACAGATCGAGATGCAGATGTTCCTAATTACTTGGTAATAAGGGTCCGTTGCCATCGACCAGATCCGCTGGAATCGTCGAGGACAAAGGTCAATTGCCCACCCTCAATTATCGCGATCTTGCCATCCCTGTCTTGTGAGAAATTGCGCATTTGTTGCTGGGAAAAAAAGAACATACTCGGGCAGAGAGTGAATCGAGAAGATTGCCGTATTGGGAAGGGCCCCACTCACTTTGCTCACTGGCGATAGGCTACGTCGAGCGCTAACATTTGGATCCGCCGGGTGCAGATATTCGAGTCCTTAGTTGCCAGGTGCGTAACGCCCGACATCGACTCAAAGGCACGTTGCCAGATGCTGAAGCAGGAGGGAGCCTGGCCATGCATGAGTAGAGTCTGAGCCCGGAACGATGGACCTCTCTCTTCTCAGCTCCTCATGTCTACAAAGCCTCCGAAAGTGGGGGTCTACCCCAGCAATCTGCTGAAATGTGCCGAGATGGCACAAAGTCATGACGTCTTGGCTCGATCATGGGCGTTTGTTGTCCGTTGTCAGCAAGCACCACGCACCTGGGAATCCCTACCCCTTCCGGAGCTTTTCCCCCTTCAGCAGGTTATTCCAGCCTATAGCCACCTCTAATTCCAACCGCATCCCCATCACTGACGTGACCGCCCCAATACTGCTTCTCAATCCACGGCATTTGCGCCTCTCATGCATCATAGTCATCATCATCCATCATGGTCCCGTGCGGGGGTTCTGAGGAACGTGCTTGCTGCCGGCAGATGGGCCACTAGCTGCCGATGCCATGCGAGCTCACCCCATGCTGCCATATAAAACCCAAAATGTAGCATCGACTTTTTGAAAGCTATGCTACAGAAGGGGAAGTCCGAAAACAGACCCGCCAGTCACAGCAACTCCTCACGCAAGCACAAGCACAACCACCAGCGACACCAGAATGGCTACATCGCAAGCCGCCTATGTGGCAGAGAAGGTCATTGGCCATGACGACAGCGCCATCACGGCCCAGGACGTTTCCGTCCCTAGTGGTGATACAGGCAAAAGTGACACCATGAAGGCTCTGTGCTGGATGGGCAAGAACAAGGTCGAGATACACGACGTGCCGCAGCCCAAGATCCTCGAGCCCAAAGACGTCATCCTCAAGGTCACTGGCAGCACCGTCTGTGGCTCTGACCTCCACCTCCTCCACGGCGTCGTTCCCGAGATGGCCAAGCATGACGTTCTGGGCCATGAGTTCTGCGGTGTCGCCCACGAGGTAGTCCTCACTTTCGCACGGCTCAGCAGAGGCACGCTTGCTGACGTATTTGCAGCTCGGCTCCGAAGTCAAAAAGGTCCAGAAGGGCAAGCGCTACGTTGCGTCCTTCCAGTTCGCCTGTGGTGATTGCTTCTTCTGCAAGAACAAGCTGTCGTCGCAATGCGAGAAGACCAATTCCAACCAGATCATGAAGAGCATGTATGGCGGACAAACAGCAGGTAAGGAATCTCCCCGTGGCGCAGCCTGCCTCGAGCTTACTTGCGCACAAGGTATTTCAGTCTGACTTCTGTTCCACAGGCATGTTTGGATATGGCCACATCACTTCCGGCACACAGGGTGGCCAGGCCGAATACGTCCGTGTTCCGATCGGCGATGTCAACCTCCTTGAGATTCCCGACGATGTTCCCGACGAAAAGGCGCTGTACCTAAGTGATGTGCTGGCCACCGCTTACAACTGTGTCCACGACACAGCTGTGTATCCCGATGACCAGGTCGCCATCTGGGGTCTGGGCCCTATTGGCCAATTCGCCGCCATCTTCGCTCTCAAGGCCGGCGCTTCCAAAGTAATCTGCATCGATACGGAGCCACGCTTGTCCTATATTAAGGAGCATTGGCCTGCCGAGCACAAAGGCAAGCTCGAGCTCATTGACTATAAACAGCTGTCCTTTGGCGTCACCAACAAGCCTACGGTCGTGTCTCGCCTCAAGGAGCTTTGCGGCGGCCGTGGCCCCGATGTCTGTCTTGAGTGTGCTGCCGGAGAGTACGCCAAGGGTTGGTTCCACTGGATCCAGATGCAGCTTGGTATTGAGCAGGACACGAGCGAGATTATCAACGAGATGATTGAAGGCTGTCGAAACTTTGGCCGTTGTGGTATTACTGGCATTTATCTCGGTTACACCAACACAATCAATATCGGCTCGCTCATGGAGCGCGGCATCCGTCTCATTGGCAATGGGCAGGCCCCCGTACACAAGTATTGGGAGGAGCTTCTTGCCATGATCCAGAAAGGCGAGATCGAGCCGCTAGACATGGTTACGCACCGTGTACGACTCGAGGATCTCGACAAGATCTACTACATGTTCGAGAAGCGCGAGGAAGCCATGCAGAAAGTGTACGTGCCCGCAGACCATCCTGGAGAGAAGTTTCGTGCAGTCAAACTGACACACAAATACATCCATACAGATTTGTTGAGACCAAGTTCTCAGCACCTGCTTGTGCTGGAAGCCCGTCATTGAAGCGCTACTGAGCGGCTGCTATGACTCAGCCACCACTGCTGTAATCTTTGCAGCCTAAGGATGGGAACTAGGCGGCGCGGATCAGCCATGTGGTTGAATGTAAGAGTAAGCCAGCGAAATGTGGCATCAATTGATGGGACTGGCGCTGGGGAAATGGTTAATGAATGTATGGGTGGCTCTCCCGATCCGGATATAGACATTTGACGTCTTGAACATCACAGGACTTTGCGCACATTTACGCCCTCTCCATGCCAGTAAATATAGCCGCAGTTTGTGCTTTTTCACCTGACCTCAAGAACAAAACGTTTACCAGACAATTCTCCCATCTGCGCCCTGACAAAGAAGTCATTTTGACGCTGACATATGTGCAGCAGCTCCAAGTGTTGAGGAGCACTTTAGGTATGCCTCAAGGTGATATTAACGCTTTCCTTCGGTGCCAGAATACGACGATCAATAATCGTCGCAAGCATGGCGAGCCTGGGCTTTATCCTACCATATTGTATACTCAGTAGATCAATCATGGCAATTTCTGTTAAGTTATGATTTAACAACCATCCTATGTGGATTACAGTGGAATGCCAATTCTCTAGAGATACTGCTGACAATTGGGAAAGACTGCCAGGTGTCGCTGAAAGGGAACGTGGCTGCTCTGGGAAATGAGTTCTTCAAAGTCGGCAAAACGCAAGGCTGATACGAGACCGAGCCCACCCCCCGACCATGTCTCAGTGAACGGAGCTCGGATGCCTGCCACAGTGGCATCGAGAAAGTGCCACCCCTCGACGGGTCAGCGGTGCCCCTTGGAGAGATGGTGCTGCAGAAACCAGGGGCTTACCAGGACCCTGGATCCATCAGGAACATGATGTAACGCCTGGAGACGCCAACTGTGCCAACTCCCAAGTTTTTACGTATGACAGCTCGCTGTGCAACAGACACACTGGGACATTCTAGTCTGCCGTTAGCCTGGCCGTGGGTGGGTGAGTCGAATTCGACTCGCGCTTCGGACTATTCTTCCGCCGCGTGCGGCTGAGTGGCTTGACGGACAAATTCCAGGGAGTACTCCATACTTGCACAGCACAGCTCTAAGTTTCCGGGAGCGCAAATGATGTCCACACCTGCATGCCGCCATCTTGACGCTAATCAAGCCCTTTGAAGGACGGCCTCCGCAATAGCCGGGCTACCAATTTGATAGGTAAGACACACAACAGTACCGTCTTGGCGGAAATTGGGCGGAGGTATGACAAAGTTGCAGGCGAGATCACCCAATCCATTCCTTAGGCCATTCGCACGAGACAATCCACGACAGGGTTGGTACGAACTCGCAACCGTATAACTGCGACGCAAGCCAGTCCAGTGTTGGGTGTCGGCTCTCGCGCGCACGCGCCCATGTCATCCATGGAGCATGGAGCCACGTATCAGCCACAATGTGAGCTTGACAGGTGAGCCTTGCGCGAAGGAAGCGAACACGGGTCGGCAGCAGGGGACGAAGCTGCACAGTAGCATCAGGCCATTGTGGAGAGAGGGCTGGTGGATGACAAGCAGTCCGGGCTGCCGTGATTGGCGTCGGAGCGGGAGCCGACACAAGGGCAGGCCTGTCCAGGGCAATCAGACGAGAACACGAAAACGACGCGATGGTTGGACGGGGCTTTTGTAGTACTAAAGCTACAGTGCTGGCGAGGGTTTGCGGGCGTGGCTGGCAGGCGCTCCAACGGGTGTTCAAGCGGCCAGACAGATGACGACATGGCGCATGCGGGCCGGCCTAGACCATCAGAAATGCAGGGCACAGGCTGCTCCCTCCGCGTGGCCAAGACCCTCGGCCAAGTGACATGAGCCGCGCTGGACAACTGCTGCCCGTGTCGCTGCGCACTGCAATATTGCGCCGAGCCGGACGGACATGGCCAACTGACTCAGATCTCGGCACGAACTGTTGGGAACGGCTGCGGCGAAAGAGCGATCGACACGCACAGGTGCCTGTGCAGCGGTGCCATCTTGGTGTCTGTTGCGACGGTGCCAGGGTACTGGAGTGCCTTCCTCAGCGTGTCACCACGGGGACCGGGGCGCTAAGGCTCGGCGAGGATTAGTGAACCACATAGCGCTGATCCTAGGGCCCAGATTCAGGGAGCCCGGCTTGACTGCTCTCTCCGCGAAGCTTCCCTGGTCTAAGCTCGCTTCGGCTGCCTGCAAGGCTGCCTTCCCGTTGCTCCACTAGCCCTTCAGTCTCTGCGCTCCCGGCATCTGCCTCCTTACGCTCTTGTCAACATTATTGTCGTCGCTGCTGCTGCTGGTGCCGCCGCGCAAACCCACTCGCTCCGGGTTCACCAAGCACCGTACAGATTGCTCATCTGCACACTCATTTGGCGCCAACGCTGACGGCTCTCGATCTCGACGCGACATCGCCCCCATCCCTCCCGCACCGGCTCGTTTTTGCACCGCGACGGTTTGGTGGTGCAGCGCAGCAAGACAAGACAACACACGAGCAGAGCACGCCCGCCGTCGCCACTGCGCCCACTCGATCCCGCCATTCTCACCACCTGGTCACGCCTCAACGACTGAACCGAAGTGCTAACTCGCATGGCCGCATCTCCTATCACCCGCGTTCGTGTCAAAATTCGCCCACAATGGCAAATCCCATAGGAGACGAGAGCTGGCTTGCTTACATCGAGGAGGAAACCCGTCGCGCCTTCGATCTCGATGGCCGTGTCAAGGTCACCGAACTCTACAAGACGGCCACGCTCGCCTTACCCAGCAGCTTGAGGATATGGCTCGCGTACTGCAAGTATTTTTGGTCATTGTTTACCGAGTGCCAGAACCCGAGCTCCACCTGGTCAGCCGAGGAACAGGCTCTTGGTCGCGAGCTCTTCCCTTTCAACTCTGCTCTGAGCCTGTGGAGCGATGGGTACGATGCGATCAAATACAGGATGAATGATAGCCATGAGTTCTGGAATCGCTGGATCTCCATCGAGATGGACCAGCTCGCCCGGTCACGCAACCCCGTCGGCATCCGTCGCATCACCCACTTGTTCCGCGACCGCCTTCAGATCCCACATGCAACTTGGGACGAGACCTCGCAGATGTTTTCCAGCTTTCTCAGCACCTACAACAATGCTGCCTACGAGAGCGAATTCCAACAGGTGACAGCCAGTGCGAAGGAGGCGAAAGCTGCGTATGAGTTGAGGGAGCCTTACGAGCTTAAGATTCTGAGCGCAATCCGCACGGATGACGAAGAAACCCACAAGGCCGTTCTGCGCGAGTATCTAGACTGGGAAATGGTTCAAATCAAGAAGACCAAGAACGTCCGTCTCGCAGTCGACCTTTGTTTCGGGCTATACGGCAGGGCGCTGACGGGCATCTTCGCTTTCGATGACGACATCTGGACCAATTGTTCAGTGTACATCTCTACCCTGCCGGGTCGCGCAAACGTCATACAGGCTCAGCTCACGTTACCCAATGTCCTGGACGTACTTCAAAGAGCTACTGCGCACTGTCCATGGTCTGGTCTTTTGTGGTCGCGTTACATCCTAGCCGCGGAGCGTGCCGGGCTTTCCTTCCAACAGGTCGAGTCCATCAAGCATGCTGCCACCAATACCAAAGCCCTGGACAAAAATGGCATGACAGGAGTCCTCGACATGTATGCTGCCTGGTGCGGCTATTTGAAGCGGACTGCGATGAATCCTAGTGCACATGAAGACTCTGCTGACATTGCAGAGGTGGGCCTTCTTGCCGCCTTGGAGGATGTGCAGCTTTGGGGGGAACGCCTGTACAAAGACGAGTACAAGGGTGACCCCAACTATCGACTCGAGCGAATTCTTACGCAGTTCCTCACCGAGGTCAAAGGCGACGTGGATGCGGCTCGGGCCACCTGGGAGCGAATGTCTCAGAAACCATTACTTGCCGATAGCTATGACTTCTGGCTCAACTATTACCTCTGGGAAATGGTTGTCTACTCGTCCATCCCCAAGCCACGAAGCCCGACCCCAGGGACACCAGCAGGAGGAACCATGCCAATGAGAGTACCCGGCTTGGCGACTGACATCTTACGCCGTGCTGTTGAGCGGAGAACAATAGACTGGCCAGAAAGAGTCATGGAGGTCTATTTGCAGCATTGTAACGACTACGAGCAGCCAGAGACTCTTCAACACGCCCTTGACCGAGTCTATAAGGCTCGTAAGGGTGTGGCCAAGCGCCGAGAACGTGAGAGCGCGGAGGCAGCAGCCGCTTATGCAGCACAAGTAGAGGCCGCGCAGCAGCAACATGACCAACAACAGCCTTATGCGGATGCGGCCGAGTCCCAGGATACCCCCATGCAAGACTCTCCAGCCAGCGCCAAACGGAAACGAGAATCGACACCGAGTGATCACGGCGCCGCGCAGAAGAAGGCACGGGCCAGTGACGAAGCCCTGCAACTCAAAAGAGACCGTGAGAACACCACAATCCTTGTGAGAAACTTGCCAGCCGATGCAACCCAGACTGCCATCAAGAAGTACTTCAGAGACTATGGACACATCAAGACTATCAGCACCAAGAAGGAGAACGGGCCAGAGAGCACAAGTGCCTTGATTGAGTTCAGCTCTGCTGAAGAAGCATTGTCAGCGCAACTTCGCGACAACAAGTACTTTGAACAATCACAGATCAGAGTTGTGCCGGGAACCGGCCTGACACTTTTCGTGACGAATTATCCCCCAACTGCTGACGAGCAATTCATGCGTGAGCTATTCAAGGACTGCGGAGATATATTCAGCATCCGTTGGCCCTCACTCAAGTTCAATACGCACAGGCGCTTCTGTTATGTTTCATTCAGCGATCCACATGCTGCGGAAGCTGCCACACGACTGGATGGAAAGCTGCTTGATGGCAAATTCACACTGCTCTGCAAGTATTCGGACCCGACACAGAAGAAAGCGCGCGAAGGAGCCGTGGCCGAGGGTCGGGAGGTCAGAGTCAAAAACGTGCAGATTGCAGCGACAGAGGACGACCTGAAATCCGTGTTTGGCAAGTACGGCAAGATATCGACCGTCCGTATTCTGAAGAACATGGCTGGACGGAGTGTCGGGACAGTGTTTGTGGTTTATGAGTCTGCTCAAGACGCTAAAAACGCCCTGCAGCTTGACAAGACCAAGTTCCGACAACAAATTTTGGAGGTCGAGCTGAGCAAAGAGACGAACTATAAACCGTTCGCCACGAGTCGGACGCGAGTAGAAGCCACTTCTTCACCGAGTCCAGCCACTACAGACCTGCCAGAACCCCAGCCGTCCGCAGGCCATGACCCAACGCCACGAGAACTGCAGGAGCGCACATTGGCCATCATGAATGTGCCCGACACGGTCAACGATGCCCGAGTGCGGTCACTGGTAGAGAAACATGGGGAGATTGTGAAGCTGGTTCTCAGACCAGACCATCAAGGCGCAATTATCGAGTTTGCCGACGCAACAACGGCAGGGCGCGCGGGCTTGGCCATTGATGGATTGGAGATTGTCCCTGGAAGGAAGCTGCAGACTGGCACAGTGAGCGACCTCTTGAAGGTGAGGCCGGAACACAAGCCTGATTCCAACCAGCCAGAGAATGCCAAGCCTGCATCTGCTACCAGCGACAAGAAGGCAGCCTTCATGCAACCTGCACATCACGTACGCAGACCAGCGTTTGGGAAGCCTGGGCCCAAGCGAGGCCTGGGTTTTGCCATGGCACAGAAGACGACGCAAACATCGTCTTCAAGCCCGGCTTCCGGGGACGTCAAGCCGAAGAGCAACGCGGACTTCAAGGCCATGTTCATTGGCAGCGTAAGCGAGAAGCAGGTTGAAGTCAAGACTAACGGCCACACCTCAAATAACGCCTGAGTCAGGAAGGACGACATACTTAATAGAGAACCTTTGATGAGCCATGCCTCGTCCTTGGCAAATTGTACTTTATCAGATACCCAGATCCCGAAATCAAAGGTGGGAGATATCATTCAAATTGAATGCATTTGAGCGATAGTTCTGCCATTCCAAAGTGCGGACATTTGGAGATAATTTTGACACGATGGCCTCTGAAATGCTTGACACTCGTAGCCCTGCATGATCTGCAGCGACAAGGGCTCATCTCTACTGCTAAGCTACAGCTTGCGGATATGATCTACGTTGCGGCTCGCGGTTGTGTTTCTCGACGGCCGCACACCAACGACGTCTTGCAGCCAACATCCACTCCAAGATTGACAACGTCCACCGTTCAGCATCGGTGCATATATGGATCTGCTATCTCTTTGTGTCTGCGAACCAAGCTTGCAACTATTCTGCTTTCTTCACGCCTTACCAAAGTCCTGGCTGAAGATGGTCTGCCATACATCAAGCCACTTTTCCTGCTGCGCTGTGAGCAGCTTCCCCGGCATCTTGAACGACCTGTTGAGTAATTCGCGAAGACGTGCACGCAGGGCCTTGATGACGAGCATCGATTTCCAGTCTGGAACACTGAAGCGGGCGCGGTTGCCATCGAGCACAATCACACCAGCGTACATCTGGGGCGGGGAGGGCGGGGACCGATGTTAGCCAAATTCACGCAAGTCGTGGCGGGATGAGGTTTGAAAACGCAACGAGCATGACTCACATCGATACGAACATCACCACAGAGCAAGGCAATGGCGAAGTTCTCTACAGCAGTTGTCTCGTGGGCATTGAGGAATCTGATGCAACAAGTTAGTGCCTTAGTCCCGAGGCGCTGTAAACAGGTAAGTAACAGAAGGACTTACTGCTTGGATTGCATGATGTGGTAATAAGAAAGCCACTTGAGTTCCCTGTTTCCCTTGTTGACACTAGACGGGTGCAGACTGATGCTCTGATTGTTGCTAATATTGCGGAAGCCCTTGTTCTCGCTGAGGAGCAGCTTTGGGTAAAAGCTCCACCCAATAACCGAAGCGGTGATCAGGTCATTATCGCTGTTGATGTTAACGCGCTGTGGTAGGTCGAAAAACTGGCGCCGCCGGCTGGAGTATCGCAGACGATTCAGTGTTCGCCTCTCGTCATCCGTGAGTCGGAGGAAGCCAGAGTCCACGAGCGCGACAAGCAGTTGCCCCTTGAGATCTTCAATGTTGGCTAGGGTTTGCGGCGACAGAAAGTTCTTCCTGCAATATTGGAAGTCGTGAGTTGTCGTCTGACAGACCTTTTTCCACGCAAGATAGGCATTATAGACGGTCAAGAGATCCGAGTCGCCACGCTTAAATGACTTTCTGACTTGATCAGCTTGCGATCTCTGCCCAAAAGGTGCCACAAAAGGCGATTTGGAAGACAATATGGCAGCAACCGTGATAGCCATGTCGAGACACTTGAAAATTGCACCTTGAAGTATCAACTTGCCAAGGAACACATCTAGTGGCAGGCGGGCTAGCTGATGACCAAGAGGTGTGAGCTCCTCTGCAGCCGACAGGGCACGCACGTCCACGAGCGCATCAATTGCACGGCGGATATTCTTTGCTGAAGGTGCGTCGAGTGCTTCACCAAGAGTCTCCTCAATGCCGCCGATTTTGCAGATTTTGACTCGAATGGCTAGATCTTGCAACGACAGGCGCAACATTTCTGGTGTTTGTTGGTCACTCATGAGCTGATCATGGCGATACTTTGTGAACATGTGGAAGCAGAGGCCCTCTTGTACACGACCAGCTCGTCCTCGGCGTTGCTTCGCATTCGCCCGCGAAATGAACGTGTCGAGGAGCCGGGAGAGTTGACGTTTCTCGTCAAAACGCATCTCGCGATGCTTCCCCGTGTCAACAACACAGGTAACATCGGGAATTGTGATACCTGTCTCGGCGATGTTGGTCGCCAAGACAATTTTCCTGACACCAGCGGGCGGCACGAGAAACGCACGCTCTTGGTCCTCCGTCGCGATAGTTGAGTGCAGGGGATAGACCTCCCAGCCTTTCTGGAAGAAGGGGTTGCCCAAAAGGAAATCATTGAGATTCCTGATCTCTGCAATACCCGGGAGAAACACAAGTATCGCCTTGCTGTAGTCGCTGTACGCCGGGTCTGTAGCCACGCGGGCAATAAGTTGAACGATGAGCTCAAAGTCGATCGTGTACTCATCCATGTGTGACAACGTGTTGCGAGTTCTTGCCGAGTAATGCTTGAGAGACCTTGCAGCGTCACTGGTTGATGTTTGGTCCTGCTCTTTATCACCCTCGGTAGGTTCGTCGTCGAGATCCGTCATCCTCTCTTGACCATGCTGTTGGTCGATTGTGTAGCCCGTCAGCTCGACAGCATCCTCAAGATACTTCACTTGGACAGGAAATGTACGTCCAGGTACGTTGAGTACAGGAGCTCCGCCGAGATAATCGGAGAACTTCTTGGCATCGACTGTAGCCGACATCAGGACCACCTTGAGGTCCTTCCTTCGTAGCATCAATTTCTTGAGCACGATTAGAAGAAAGTCTGAGTCGATCGAGCGCTCATGTACCTCATCAAGAACAAGGTGCGTGATCTCGCGAAGTTCGTTTGAGCCTTCCAGCATTCTCATAACGATACCCGTAGTGGCGTAGACAAGGCGTGTCTCTTTGGAAGTGTTGGCCTCTAGACGAATAGAGTACCCAATGAGTGAACGTGAAGATCCTAGATCATTCTTGTTCTCTCCGAGCTCCTCACTGACACGACGAGCAAGTGATATAGCTGATATACGACGTGGTTCTGTGCAATAAATCTTGCATTCTCTCCCGAGGGACAGTTGATGCTCCAGCAAAAATGAAGGAACTTGGGTGCTCTTGCCGCTACAGGTAATCACGTCAGCATTCTAGCTCTCAGGCCTGCTCCAGTTATCAATGTGATAGCCTTACCATCCAGTCTCACCACAGACAATAATCACCTGGTGATCGTCAACGGCATCGAGAACCTGCTTCCGAAATTGCCACATAGGCAGTTGCATGCGAGAACGCTAAGCCATTTAGCAAACTCTGTACAGACAGAGTGTTGTTCCTGCTGTCACTTACCAGCATATTTTGAAATTTGGGTGTCGTTGACTTTTCATGCCAGATTTGTTGATAATATGCGGGGTTTGCGGTTGTGCGATTCGACCTGTCATTGTTTGATTCATCGTTGTTCTCACCCGCACTCCGATTAGTGACACGGCCTCTGAAGGCGCCAGACAACAGCACGCCATCCTCCTCTTCTTGGTCTTGGCGTTTCCTGACATGGGCTCGAAGCTCTCTTATAGTAGACCTGTCCGACGCATCGATCTCTTCTTTGCGCGCAATGGCGAGCTCGGTCCAGACGTCTCGCCAGACCGGGGGCAATTTGAGATGAACTTTGTCTTCTTTGGTCATATTGAATATCGAGAAGAGAGCAACTGTGGCAATATAGGCTTCTGATGCCTTTTTATTGGGGGTTGCGATAGAGTTCATGGTGAACACGAATTGTCCAGGGTGCCAGAAGCTGTCTACCTGAGCCACGGTTTGGTAAATGGGAATTTCTTGTGGCTTGGACCAAGAGATGACTACCATGGACTTCGTTGCGTATGAAGTCTCGGAGACGATACTATAGCTGACCGTGCAGTTTGAGTCTCTGTGGTAGTGTCAGCAATGCACTGCGGTTGCGAGGTATGGGCATCTACCTTGATCTGCATGTTTCTTGCAGAATTTGACCAGGATTTAGACCCGCCCACTTGCCAAAGTCTTGAATGTAGACCTTCACGCCGTCTGATCCGTTTACCACGTTCCTGGTCTTGCCGGTCTTTGCGTCAGTCTCCTGTGTTGGTAGGCTGGCGAAGAGGTCGGTCAGGGCTTGGTCGTCATCCGAGTTGTCTTGCTCCAGAATCTCGGCAGCCATTTTCTTCGCTTCCCTTGCGATTTCATCGTCAGAATCTGTACTGTCAGCAGCTTCCTGCTCTTGATCCTTTGAGGTCTCTTCCGACACTCTCTTCTTGGACGCCGCATATTCTTTCTCGAGCGTGATCCTGTCTGCTCTCCACTTGTGCTCGCCGAGATCTTTGTCAAACAGAACATCTTGTTCAATGCGGTCAAGCTTTGCAAGCAGTTTCTGCTCTTCCAGATTGTCGAGCTCTGAAGCGGGTCCAGAAGGTGTAGTCAAAGTCGTACCGGACTTAACCTTGTCCTGCTGCGGGCGCTGAATTTGGAAGAGTTTGGCCTTTGTTTCAAGGTATGCTGGAATGAGATCGTCCGGCTCAATGTCCTCGTGGCATACAAGCGTGGTCTTCTTCGGTGATACATTCCTTGATGATACACTTTTCTTCGATTTGGCCTTGTTGCCCCCAGCCTTTGGCTCAACAATCATCGGAGTAGTGGCTCCAGACACCAATGGGCTCTCAAGTGGCGTTTCTTGTGACGTTGTTAGTTGAGACAAGCCCATTTTCTCACTTGCCACGGTAGACATGCGCAACACTTCGCGGGTTGTTTCATATAACGTACCAGACCCCGGTTTTGCACTTCTTGCCTTGTATTCATAAGTGTGCAGCTCATCCCCACTACACTCTCGAGCAAGCCAGTCAAGGGCTTCCTCCAACCCCCAAATGCTGTCCTTCGGGTTTGCAGAGATCGAAGTCGCGATATCGAGCACATGGAGAAGCGCCGATTTGACTCGATCTTCGCTGAATATGGTGCCCATAAGTGTTTCTTGCAAAGTCCATAATCTCATGGTGAGATCCTCCTCTGATGGGAGCTTGTTAGTTGCGGAGGTTTCCGTCGATGCTGGAGCTGAGGCTGAAAAGCGGCTCTCGCCTTGTATGAGTTCCAGGATGTGGTCCATGAGTTCCTGGGATAGCCATTTCCTGACATTGAGAGGCTCTGCCTGGCTGCGCAGAAGCCTACGGTCTGTCTCTAGCCTGCTCTTCTGACGTTGTGCATCCCGCCGCACTTTTTGCGCATGTTTTTCCACTAGAATCTGCAACTCTGATTCCTCGAGTTGTTTCTCAAAGTCCTCGGGCGACAAGGCAGCGGTGTCGTGCGCGCCCGCCAGCGGTTGAGTGACGGATCCAGGTACTGATGTCGTAGACGTCGAAGGGACGGCTGTCTCCGCTTTAGCCTTCGTCGTGGCAATGGGATCGTCTTCGGGTTTCTCCACGCGAGTGACCGGTTTTGAGGCTACTGAAGTCGTGGCAAAACCCCTGGCAGGATTCGCCGCGGGTTTTGTCTTCTTTTTCTTCGCACCACCCATGTCGAAGCCTCTGAGCCGAGCTTACACAGAGGCAATGGACAGACCACGTGTGCAAGTTTGTCGTCGCCGTGAAACAGTGGTTTGCTTGAAGAAGAGCCAAAGTCAGCTCGCGATCAGGGCCACCTGACGCTTGTGCTATCACAAATGATGCATTCATGGGGGTGGGGAAGAAATGAATACAGCGACTCGAGGGCTTACCTTCAAAAGTCGTATGTAGATGGAAACTGCCGAGCTAAGGTGTGTTGGGAGCTTGCGTTTCGAAGTGAAAGCGCCGGGAGACAAGACAACCCATGCATAAAGCTACGGATGCCTCGAGGAGCGACTGGGTCTTGCTGGATTTGCGACGGAGGCCGACGTGGGCCTGGCTGTTGTGACAGCTCTGGAGGTTTCGTAGTGGCAGCTGCAGAATTGGAAACTCGATGCTGCAAACATGCACCAGGGACTTTTTGGCATGGAGGGGCACTCTGACGTAGGGGGGGGATCGAGAACAAGGGGTGCTCCGCGCCGAGCCCGGGCGGGCCTGGTTCGGTGCAGTGGGCATCGGGCGCATCCAGGCACTGCCGGCTGAGCCTGGACCTGCCGTAACCAGCTCGCCGGCCGACACTCCAGGGCTGTCCTGAGACCGTCGCAGGATTTCGAGCCATCGGCACACAGCCGGCAGAAACCCCGCAACCGCCTGCCACATCGGGGCGTTTTCGCAGCAGCTTCCGCTAAACCCCACCACCGTAACAGCTGGGATGAGTGCAAGGACTAACGATATTTCGAGACACACCAGCTCAGCGAGTTGCCCGCAGCCGACATTCACCGACACGTGCCGCTGTCGAACGTAAGATTTTGCTTCAGAACTGCACCCGGGGCCGGCAAAGCACCCAAGAGTCCCTAGAAGCTCGAGGGGCAAGCTCCTCCGCAGCTCCCTATGTCCCGCCCGTAGTCACTCGCAAAAATGACTGAAGTCGCTGCTTCCCAAAGCTTGGACTGGGCGTCAACCCGAGCAGCCCTCGCCGCATCCTCTACGACCACTCGTATAGCTCAGTTGCGGTACATCGATGATCGCGTCCTAGCCAAAAGTTCGTCCTTTCTCCGCGGCAGATGTAGCCAAATCGCTCCAAGGGCGGTTCCAAGCTGACCTCCAGCTATTTCCAACAGATCTCGACCTGCAGTCCACTGCCCTCGTGCTCAAGCTCCTTCTGGGGACATATCACTACTATACCGACAGACCTTCTAGGCGAGCCGTCCAAAAATGCCTTGCATCCATCTTCGCGACCGTCGATGAGCCCAAAGTCATTGTGCCTTTCATAAGCGCCATTCGCACCGAAGCCAATAAATCGGGTTTAGCACCCACTGCAGCTTTTGTGCTTGTGGAATGGTGCTCAATACTGCTCAGCGGTTTCGCTGGAACCCCGCTTTGGGACCATTGCGGCCTCGAAGTCATTCACGCCAACGCTGCAGCTCTCGAACGATGCGTCCAGCCGAGCTCCAAAGTGACTGCGGCCCAGTCGGCACTGGTCATCTCGCGGAGAGGCATCCGCGGGGCATTCTGGTCAAAGGAGTTCCGCCCAAAAGCTGTCGAGGCAACAGTTCAAGCTTTGACTGCGAAAAGCGCGCAGCCTACTGCTCGCAATGCCGTGTTGCTTGGCGTGGTCGCTGGTGTGTGTGCTAGGCACGAGCAGGCAAAGGCGTTGCTGGAAACCAAAAAGGCCGACTACCTCACGTTTTACACAAGGGAAATCGTTGGCTCCCGCACACCCGTCCCGAGCCATATCCTGGAGGGTTTGAAGGATTTCTTTTGTGACTTCGTCACGGAAGAAGATTTGAACAAGAATATCATCCCGCCAGTGGAAAAGGGTCTTCTTCGAGCGCCTGAGGTGGTCCTTGAACTGATAGGGCCACTCTGCAACTCTCTCCCCACAGCGTTCGACTTGTCCGAGATTCTCTCGGATCACCTTCTGAAACCAATTCTGGCAAATGTCAAATCCACCAACCCAGCAATCCGCGCAGCAGTGCTAGCCGCCTTCAGGTCGATTGCAAAGAGAAGTCATGATGTTAAAGTTCTGGAGAGAATATCCGATGAAATCCTCACTCCACTCAAAGCCGGTAAACTTGCGTCTGCGGATCACAGAGTGCTTCACTCGGAGTTGCTTGGGTCTATCGATCTTCCAGCGGAAATTGCGTCCAAGATCACAGGCGGATTGGCTCCTGTAGCAGTGAAGGAGGGCAACGAGGCGGCGTTGACCGCAGAGCTTGGCCTGATAGCGAGGGCAGCAATTCGCCTGCTTCAAGACGATATCGACGTCGGCAAGCCGACGATCGACGCCTTTGTAAAGGGCTTAGCAGATAAGAAAGTGTCTGCTCGTCGTCTTTGGATACTGCGTACGGGCGAGATCCTCAGCCAGTTTAGCGAAGCTGCATCCTTGTCAGCCAACGTGGCGAAGTTTGCAGAGTCCATTTACCCGCCTTTTGCAGATGTGTGGACTGAAATCCTGAAGAACCCTGCTTCCGCCGTACAAAGCGCTCTGATCACGGGCGTGTTCGTTTTTTCGACACTATCATACAAGATCTTCTCAAAGCTCGACAGCGCTGCAGCCAAGGCTATCAACAAGAAGGCAGACGTCAAGAAAGAGAGCTTTGCAATGGATCCCAAGCCTTCTTACCTTGTGAACCACCGCATTTACAGCCGTCTGACGCTTGAGGATGACTGCAAATGGTTTTTGTTCAACCTGGCGGCTGTCTCTGCTGATCTAGAGACAGCTCCAACACCAGCCCAAGTGTCCTGGGCCCTAGCCTTGATCTATCTTCTCTCCTCCAACACTGTCCCGGCCACAATCCGGAAGTCTACTGGGGAAACAATCTCCACTTTATACGACGAGCATCCATCAGCTGTGTTCGCGAGCATCGTCACCGCACTTTGGCAATGGGTCGAGGCTTGCGACAGTGCCGACAAAGATAGCGTCGCAGCATCCGCCAAGTTCGAGACCAGTAATCTCAACATAGCACTAAGGGCCTTGTGCGTGAAAAGTGCACGCTCATCTGCCAATGGCGCCGAAACACGACTCGAGAAACAGCTGTGTTCAGTTCTTGTCCTTGCTCGCGACCAGCTTATTCCGCGGATCAGCTGGATCGATCTGTGCCTGAAGGCAGGACTTGACCCAGGGGCTCTGGCCAAGACGTATGCCGAGGACTTAATAGAGCAGGTGATTGAGAAGACAGGACCTACACAGAAGGTCAGTCGATCACATTCATCCTCCATTCAACAAGCTCAACTAACATATTGACAGTCTCCGCTCATAAAGAGCGCCGCATGTGACGCCGCCGCAGATTTAGTCTTTGTCGCGCCGGAGGTAATGACATCAAAGATTATTAAAATGCTTCACGCAGATCTCGATACGGCAGGGCTAAGCGAGATCGGACCAGTGGAGGCGGCAATCTTCCGCACACCGGAAGGCACAGCGTTTGTCGACGTACTCGCGAAGAAGTCACAAGTGGTACCGAATAAGAACTCAAAAGATTACGACACCCTGAAGTGGGAGGAAGAGCTCAGGTCGCAACTCGCACTGAAGAAGGGACAGCAGAAGAAGCTGACTCCCGACGAACAGGCCAAAGTCAACGCTCAGTTGAGGAAAGAGGCTGAGATCCGCCAATCCATCTCAAAAATAGAGGCAAGGCTTATGCGAGGCATCGGCATCGTTAAGAGTTTGATCAACGGACCGCCGACGGATGCATCATTGTGGCTCGGTCCCGCAGTGAGTGCTTTGCTGTCAGCAATGGAGGCTGGTGCCTGCATGATCACTGGCGATGCGGCACCGCTGGCCTATATCAGCTGCGCTGATAAAGTGACAAGCCGGCTTGGACCGATTCGGCCTTTCATTGGGGTCGCTACTCTTCGAGCACTGGACATCAGTTCATTGCCAGAGAATCTGATTGAGGAGGGCTTGGAAGAACTTGTCACACGGGTACTATATCGCCTTCATTTTGCAGGCGAGCAGCGGCCCTTTGACCCTGTTTCCGTCATCTACATACTCCCATTGGCTTTCGCTATTCTTCGCAAAGGAGGTGTGGGCGCGGCTGCCGATGACAGAGATGCGCAAGTGGTTCTCGCAATTGAGATCCTGGCTCTCCACACAGACGTCTGTGCTGATGAGAACATTCCAAGAGCTGAACTCATTTCCATTCTGATTGCAGCGATGCAGCAATACGGTCAGCATTACAAGATCATCAAGGACTGCTTCTCGGACTTGGTGCGCTGCGTAGCTCCTAACATGACCACTGCCGAGGTTGAGGTTCTAGCAAAAGGAGCCATTGCGCCGCAGGCATCTATCCGAGAGGCGGTACTTACCTCCATCAGCGCAGATGTCGATATGAGTGAGCTAGGATTTTCTGATGAGCTCTGGATCTCGTGCCACGATGATGTGGCAGAAAACATTGAACTGGGTGAAGAGATCTGGACTGAGAGCGAGTTCAAGACCACAAAAGAAACCCCATTCAGGATGCTCCCTTACCTCGAGAGCAAAGATGCCCAACTTCGGCGGGCTTCATCACGAGCACTCGCATCGGCTTGCAAGGCTCATCCTTCCACACTCGAGCAAGTTCTCACCCGGCTACAGGCATCCTACACTGAGTTTGCGAAGCCCAAAGTGCCACAACTGGACGAATTTGGCATGCCCAAGAAGACCGACCTGGCTGATCCTTGGGAAGCCCGACACGGGTTCGCAGCTGCATTCAAGGAACTGGCTCCCCTTCTTCAAAAGTTCCAAGTCGATGATTTCTTCGCCTTCTTCATCGAGGGTGGCCCACTTGGGGATCGGAACGCAACCGTGCGCAGCGAAATGCTCGAAGCCGCCCTCGCTGTGATCGAGTTGCACGGAAGAGCGCTCGTTGACAAGATGATGAAAACATTCGAAAAGACGCTCGCTGCGCCAGATAAAGGTTCTGAAGCATCGGACCGTGTCAACGAGGCAGTCATCATCATGTACGGAGCGTTGGCTCGCCACTTGAAGCCTGGTGACAACAAGATCCCGGTCGTTTTAGATCGCCTGCTTGCGACACTAAGCACTCCATCCGAAACTGTGCAGTACGCAGTCGCAGAATGCCTGCCACCGCTTGTTAAGACGTGCAGTGACAAGTCGTCCAAGTACTTCGACCAGATACTTGATACACTGCTCAACTCCAAAAAGTATGCTGAGAAACGTGGTGCGGCTTACGGATTGGCTGGACTTGTCCTTGGACGCGGTATCTCGGTGCTTCGCGACTACCGCATCATCATTACTCTCAAGAGCGCGACCGAGAATAAGAAGGAGCCCCAACAGCGTGAGGGGGCATTCTTGGCGTTTGAGTTGCTGCCAACCATGCTTGGTCGTCTTTTCGAGCCATATGTGATACAAATTGTTGACCAGCTACTGGCCGGCTTCGGCGACAGCAATGCCGATATCAGAGACTCATGCTTGGCCGCAGCGAAAGCGTGCTTTGCCAAGCTCAGCTCATATGGTGTCAAGCAAATTTTGCCTACGCTTCTTCGCGGACTCGATGACGACCAGTGGCGCAGCAAACGAGGAGCCTGTGACCTTCTTGGTGCCATGGCTTATCTCGACCCTCAACAGCTCGCACAGAGTCTACCAGACATCATCCCTCCCCTCACGGCCGTACTCAACGACAGTCACAAAGAAGTCCGTGCTGGCGCAAACAAGAGCTTGAAACGCTTCGGCGAGGTTATCGAGAACCCTGAAGTCAAGAGTCTCGTTGACATCCTACTGAAAGCTCTCAGCGATCCCACCAAGTACACAGACGACGCTCTCGATGCCCTCATCAAGGTACAATTCGTACACTATCTTGATGCGCCATCCCTCGCGCTTGTCACTCGTATCTTGCAGCGTGGTCTGGACGATCGATCTAGCACCAAGCGAAAGGCTGCTCAGGTCATCGGTAGTCTTGCCCACCTGACAGAACGCAAAGACCTGATTGCACATTTACCTGTGCTTGTGTCTGGGCTTAAGATCGCAGCTGTCGATCCAGTTCCAACAACGAGAGCCACGGCATCTCGGGCACTTGGATCGCTTGTCGAGAAGCTCGGTGAAGATGCCTTGCCCGACCTTATCCCGGGCCTCATGCAGACACTCAAGTCGGATACCGGTGCCGGAGATCGGCTTGGCTCTGCCCAGGCCTTGTCCGAAGTCCTTGCCGGATTGGGCACTACGAGGCTGGAGGAGACGCTTCCAACAATCTTGCAGAATGTGGAGTCCTCCAAAGCTGCAGTCAGAGAAGGCTTCATGTCGCTTTTCATATTCTTGCCCGTGTGTTTCGGCAACAGCTTCGCAAACTATTTGGGCAGGATTATCCCACCCATTCTGGCTGGTCTTGCGGATGATATCGAATCCATTCGTGAGACGGCTCTCCGGGCAGGACGACTGTTGGTCAAGAACTTCGCAACCCGAGCAGTAGATCTTCTCCTTCCGGAGCTTGAGCGAGGTTTGGCGGATGACAGCTACCGGATTCGTCTCAGTTCCGTGGAGCTCGTCGGCGATCTTCTGTTCAACCTTACGGGCATCAGTGGCAAAACAGATGATGATGAGGAGGATGCCGAGGAAGATGCCAAGGAAGCCGGTGCGTCGCTCCGTGAGGTACTCGGCGAGGAGAAACGCAACAAAATCCTCTCTGCTCTGTATATCTGTCGCTGTGACACGGCTGGTGCGGTTCGCGCTGCTGCCGTTGCTGTGTGGAAGGCGCTGGTTGCTACGCCAAGAACACTCAAGGAGCTTACGCCGACTCTCACACAACTCATCATTCGTCGTCTTGGTAGCTCGAATATGGAGCACAAGGTCATTGCCAGCAACGCCTTGGGTGAGCTGATCCGGAAGGCTGGCGACAGCGTCCTCTCAACACTTCTTCCTACTCTTGAGGAAGGCTTGCAGACATCTACCGACACAGATGCCAAGCAGGGTATATGTTTGGCTTTGAAGGAGTTGATCGCTTCGGCGTCTGAGGAGGCTGTGGAGGATCATGAGAAGTCTCTGATTTCCGTGGTACGGACAGCATTGACAGATTCTGACGAAGAAGTCAGAGAAGCAGCTGCAGAAGCCTTCGACTCTTTGCAGCAGATCATTGGCAAGCGCGCCGTTGATCAAGTCCTTCCCTTCTTCCTCAACCTATTGCGATCTGACAATGACGCCGAGAATGCCCTGGCGGCTTTGCTCACTCTCCTCACTGAGAACTCAAGATCCAGCATCATTTTGCCCAACCTTATTCCTACGCTCACGACACCGCCAATTTCAGCCTTCAACGCTAAGGCTCTCGCCTCACTCTCTCAAGTGGCTGGTGGCGCGATGAACAGGCGGATGCCAAACATCATCAATTCGCTCATGGATAATATCATCAATGCCGAGAACGAGGAGCTTCGTGTCGACCTGGAGAACTCCTTCGACATGGTTATTCAATCCATAGACGAGTACGACGGTTTGAATACTGTCATGAACGTCTTGCTGCAATTGGTCAAGCACGACGATCATCGCAGGCGCGCAGTGACGGCACATCGCCTCGCAAATTTCTTCTCCGCTGGTAGTGTCGACTACTCACGCTACAACCAGGACATCATTCGCGCGCTTCTCAACTCCTTTGACGACAGAGATTCGGATGTTGTCAAGGCGGCTTGGACAGCACTGAATGAGTTCACAAAGAAACTCAAGAAGGAGGAGATGGAAGGCCTGGTCTCTTCGACGCGGCAGACGCTGTTACGCATTGGTGTCGCTGGGGTCAATCTTCCTGGTTTCGAACTTCCAAAGGGGATCAACGCTATTCTGCCAATCTTCCTTCAGGGTCTCATGAACGGCACTCCGGATCAGCGGACGAATGCTGCGCTTGCAATCTCCGACATCGTCGACCGGACGAGCGAAAACTCGCTCAAGCCGTTCGTGACACAGATCACCGGTCCTCTGATCCGTGTTGTCTCTGAGCGCTCGACTGATGTCAAGGCAGCAATTCTACTCACCCTCAACAATCTGCTCGAGAAGATGCCAACCGCCCTTAAGCCTTTCTTGCCACAATTACAACGTACCTTTGCAAGATCTCTGGCAGATCCTACGAGCGAGATGCTCCGGTCTCGCGCTGCCAAAGCTCTCGGTACGCTCATCAAATTCACGCCTCGTGTTGATCCACTCATTGCGGAGCTTGTGACTGGATCCAAGACAACGGACTCCGGCGTCAAGACGGCTATGCTCAAAGCACTGTACGAAGTCATTAGCAAGGCTGGAGCGAACATGGGCGAGAGTTCAAGGACGGCGGTTCTGAATCTCATTGATCTAGAGACCGAGATGAAGGACGACACCATGACAATCACGAACGCCAAGTTACTCGGTGCACTAATTAAGAATGTGCCGACCGAGGCTGCCCACAACCTCATGAAGAATCGTGTCACTACAACGCATTTTACCAATGCGTCCGTGCTGGCACTCAATGCGGTCTTTGTCGAATCCCCGCGAGTTCTCCTCGACAGCCCGATGGCAGAGGATCTTCCGGACATTCTCTGCCAAGGAATGTCTAACAAGAATGTGAGTACAAGCATATCAGAGACTTTTGAGAAGTGGAAGTACTAATTCCTGATGCACGGCAGCTGTTCGTTGCGGACAATGCGATCTTGGCCGCTGGCAAGTACCTCATGACAGATTCGCCCAAGTCATTCGAGGCGATCAAGCCCATATTCACAACGTTGGCAACCATTATCGGACCTGGCAATCCAACTGACTCCCGGCGGCTGGCGCTTGTCATTGTACGGACGATTTCACGAACAGACATGGACATGATCCGCCCACATCTTGCGCTGCTGGCACCACCAGTATTTGCCTCTGTTCGGGATCCTGTCATCCCTGTCAAGCTTGCGGCCGAGGCTGCGTTCGTGGAACTGTTCAGCGTGGTGGATGAGGAAAGCAAAGTGTTTGACAAGTACATGGCTGCAAACGGAGAGTCCCTTCCGGCCAACACCAAGAGAAGCATGCAGGATTATTTCAAGCGTGTTGCGCTCCGCCTTGGTAACCAGGCACGAGAGAGGAAGGAAGCGGAAGGCGGGGCAGGCGGCTTAGGGCTGTCCAATGACGAGGTCGAGGACGAGAAGGAGATCTGGAGCGTGGGTGCTGTTGAAATGGGGGGCGGTGTGTTTGCCACGGACGATTGAGTAAGTGGTTAAATCTATAGGAGCCGATCTAGCGGCTCATATACTGTACAAAAACACAACTGCAGATTACACGGGTTGTGAGAACTGCACTTCTGTTGCAGCCCGGTGAATGTTTGGCCACGCGAGCAGCTTATGGAAACGCGGCCATGACAATAAAGTGCCTGCCTGCGGTGAGGTGGGGTATCACATAGGTTGCGAGAATAGGGCGACCTGATAGTCGTCGAAAGTTGACTCAACCCTCCGAGAAGCGCAGTACGTTGAGGCGCCCTTGCCTGCAGTGAGGCTGCCGCTACGCCAACCCCAGTGAGTGTTCAGGCAGTCTCATCATGATTCATCGGGAACATAAACGTGAGAAGCGGCATGCTGGCAAATCACTAGCAGGGCCCATGCTTGTTAGTTGTTCGAGGTGGTCAGTGCCCCATTCTAGATTGAGCGCAATACCACGCCTGCCCAGCGAGGCAGGTTGCAAAAAGGTCCGCTCACCTATAGAGGAGATACCCGCTTATCTTCAACAACAGTGGGCGAACTTTTTTTGCAACCGCCTCGCCCATGCAGGTGGGCGCAAGTTCGGAGGTCCAAACAGCGGATCCACCACCTTTGACGCTTTGACCACCTGAAGCACGCGAGCACGCTAAGAAGCTCACACAATCTTTCGCAGACTTGCAAAAAATTGAACTGGTCTCCCGAAGCGCCCCTCATCCTGAAGTCACCTTCCAACCCACGTCCCTACTAACCAACACAGCATACCAGCAACCGGGCCATCCACGCCGTCAATTCAGTCAAGATGTGAGTGTTTCCGCGCTACTCCCGAGTGACTGCCTTTGATGAATGGTCGATTTCCGATGATGGATCTGGCTTGGTCATGCGGCTTTGCGTTGGAATCGACAGTCGACTGGGAACGAGATTTGGGTGGCATCGGCAACTGGCCTCGAAACATCATCAACATCGGCTCGGCCACGACCAACAACCACCGACGATAAACCCACACGATACGGCTGCCTGGGACTTGCTGGATACTCGTGCGGAAACCAGACTAGAATTCAAAGGTCCTCATTCGCCATGGTTACATCACCCGACGCACATGTCCAGGACGGAATGCCACAATACACTTTCTCGACTACCACCAGTCCCGAGTAGACGCTATGCGATGCGGACTATCTTGTCGCCAAATGCCACTGCAAAGCCGAATGCCAGCATAGCCGCCATCGGATGACACAGCACTTCTCATCAAAATTGCGAGTTAGTAGTCGTCTAGGATCAGCTGCTAATTTCCTCGAAAAGGGTCAACCTCCGCACTCAGAAGCGCCTGGCGGCGTCCGTCATCGGATGCGGTGAGCGCAAGATCTGGCTCGACCCCAACGAGATCACCGAGATCTCCAACGCCAACTCGCGTCAGACCATCCGCAAGCTCGTCAGCGATGGCCTCATCATCCGCAAGCCCGTCACCATGCACTCTCGGTCTCGTGCCCGTGAGCTGAACCTGTCCCGCCGTGACGGCAGACACCGTGGCTTCGGTAAGAGAAAGGGTACCGCCGATGCCCGTATGCCTGAGTACGTACTTTCACAACTTCCATCAAGCAGAACGCCAAGGAAGCGAGCAGTCTTTGCTGCTTCTTTGTGCAAGCCCACCCAGTGAAATGCGTTCTAACAGTCATGTCTCTGCAGGCAAGTTCTGTGGATGCGCCGCCTCCGTGTCCTTCGCCGCCTGCTCGTCAAGTACCGTGCCTCTGGCAAGATTGACAAGCACCTCTACCACGAGCTCTACCACTCCAGCAAGGGTAACGCCTTCAAGCACAAGAGAGCGCTCGTTGAGCACGTAAGCTGCGACCATTTGCTCGATCGTGACTCATATGAAGCTGACATAATCTGCTGCAGATCCACCGTGCCAAGGCTGAGAAGGCCCGCGAGCGGGCTCTCGAGGAGGAGATGGACGCCAAGAGACAGAAGAACAAGGCCGCTCGCCTGCGCAAGGCCGAGAGACAGGCTGCCAAGCGGAGCGCGCTTACCGGCGAGGAGGAGACCGCATAAATGCTCAAAACTTGAACTTGCACATCACAAAACAAGCGCCTGATCTGCCGGGGAAGCCGTCGGTGGCGCCGTATGGAAGATTGAGGGCTGGTTGCATTTGGAGTCTTTGGTTGGGTCTCTCTCTTTCACGCCCAAGCGTCGATAATGTTTCTGTCGTCGTGGGCTTTGCATGTATGGCATTGAAAACGGATATCAATGAACTCTTGGCGCCTAAAAACAACAACAAACATCTCCCACGGATCTGCAATTGCATCGAGTTCGCGTGACTATATCTGCTGGGCGGGAATGTAGGCAACACTAAAGTCGTGGCAACACTTCAGTGTGGTGGTGGTGGTGGTGAACAAATCTTGCTAGCTGAGAGATCCGTGACGGACGACCCCATCGCGGTCTATGAAAGCTCGATGTCACCGCTTCTCGCTCAACTACGGATCAGAAACCCAACCGGCATCTACAACATAGCTGGCCCCCGTGATGGCGCTCGAGTCATCCGCAGCCAGGAACAGCATTACCCTGGCCACTTCCTCGGGTATGATGTCTCTCTTTAGGGCCTGCGCAGCCATAACCTCCGCGCGGTACTCGGCGGTGAGAACCTCCTTAATCTGCCTCTCGGTTGCGATGGCGCCCGGCATGATGCTGTTGACACGGACATTGTCCTTCCCAAACTCCCTGCTGTGTGTCCGCGTCAGGCCCACGATGGCAGCCTTGCACAGCGTGTACACGGGCAGCCTCGTCGCCGGGATCCGCCAGGTGATGCTGCCCATGTTGATGATGCTGCCCTTCTTCTGGCGCTGCATGGCTGGCACGATGGCCTGGGTGAGGAAGAACTGGTGGCGCAGGTTGACACTCACGTCAAAGTCGAAGCTGGACGGGGTGACCTGCTCGGTAGGCACGCGCGCCTTCTCCCCAGCTGCGCCGGCGTTGTTGATGAGTACGTCGACCACGCCGCCGTGTCGGCTGAGCGTCTCGTCCGCGCACTCCTTGAGCCGCTTCAGGTCTGTCACATCGCAGTGCATGAAGACGGGCTGCGTCGCGCCCGGTATCTGAGCGATGCGGCTCTGCAGCTGGGAAGCCGAGCTCTCGCTAATGTCGAGGAAGACGACCTTGGACTGCTGGCGGCAGAACAGTTCCACTGCTGCCGCCCCGATGCCCTCGGCCCCGCCGGTGATGAGGACCACCTTGCCACGCAGACTGGGATAGGTAGCGTAGTTGTCCATTTTTGAACGTTGCGAGAGCCTCTCCAGTCTGTCTCTGTCGTATAATGATTCGTCTTGGTCCAAGCGGAGTCCTGGCTGGAAGAGGCCGTCGGTCCGCGCAGTCAATGTGATTCAACTAGCCGAGCAGAAGGCGAGGTGGCTTCCAAGCCTCAAACTTAATGGTGCATTTCCAAGGCTCAACTTCGTCCACGAGTTTGCCTGGCTCGGAGCGTGCGAGCGTGCGGAGGTGGTGCAGATCCTGCGGTCGACAGCCTCAACCCCTCACTTACACGTATTCGTCTGCTGGATGTGCAGCCGAACCCGGCCATCAGCAGCCAGGCAACAATTAATGGCTACGTAATGCAGCTGACACAGCTTGCATGGTGGCTCGGTGCTATAAAGAAGAGCTCGCCTGATTGAACTATTGTCAGGAGTTTACATGTTTTCGTCAGGTGGAAATGCTGTGCGTGTGCTACGTCGGCGAGGTCGGTGACGAGATTCCCAAGCTTAGGCCAACAATCTTCCTCATGTCTTGCTCGAGGACAGATTGACATCATGGAGGAGCAATTCAGCATAAGAAAGGCGCGATTCGATGTCTGCACGGCGTCTCAAATAACAGGAGAGTCTCTTCACTGTCATCATCAGGAAAGAGTATTCTGTCACGGGAGGGAGAATTGACAAGGATGTCTGCTGGATCCAACCAAGCCACAGGGAGCATGCGCTGACAACTCCTCCAAGAAATCCTGCATGTTTCGTTTCAAGAGGCACTCGGCTCTGACGTGCACAACTCCGGCCATAGAGAGAAGAGAGTCCTGCTCGAATCCTCGGAGCAGCAAGAACCTAGATTGGCAGCTGCAGAATACTCTTGCACAATCAGGGGCACCCCAGCCTTCTATCTCATGTCCTCTGATGCGACTCCACGTGGACGTGTCGCTCCTATGCCTGTACAGTGGGACGATTTGACCCTGAAGTCCACACGACCACCCACACTCTGCTGAAAACGCATCGGCGGCACAGGCTTGCTTGCGGACAAACTTGTCGAATCTGACAGCCGTCCAGATACTATGGTATGGAAAATCGCTGTGGAGAGGGTGCCTTGTGCCCCACCACGAGGTGTCTTTGCCAATGATGTGACTTGTGCGCGTCCAGCAGGACTTGTTTCTCTTTATGTTGCGCCCTTTCGAACCTATCAGAGTGTTCCAGGTGTGAGCCTGTTCCGGCAGCGACCCAAGCCAAGTTCCTGTGTCAGTTGTGAGCGCGGTCGCTCGGTCCTCCCGCCACCATTGGTCGTGGCCCTGATTGAGGCAAGTGCTCTCAGAGCCCGTGCCACGAGTAGGGTCACATTGTGGAGTGGAGCACAGTGATAACGACATGACTGCTGACACTTCGGATCGTGCCTCGCTCCCCCGGGAGACCCCGTCCAGTCCAACCGAGCAGACATGGCATAGGGGCAGTGGAGTAGCAAGTTGGCGCCATGTGCCATCCATGGGCACAGCCGTCTCCAGTCGGGTGGATAATCATCATGGTGCCTTCAGAATGCCGCACTGCACACCGGTCCAGTCGGACCCAGTAATTTATCCCTGCCTGAAGCAGCCGCGCGGTTCTGTCTGGTGTCCGTTGATTTTCGGTCCTCCGTTTCCATGCGGCGGCCGGGATGGAAGTCTTGCATGACGGCCGGGCAGGCAGGCAGATAACAATCTCACTTTGCTGCACAAGCTTCTGTGGAAGACTACAACCGACAGCTCGTGATTTGTGCAGAGCACGCCAGCATCTCGCTAGGTGCTCTGGTGGGCTGGTCCGGTCTTGCTCGCCCGTTGACAGCGGCATGGGGGTCCGAGGGCAACTTGTCAATGCTGGCAGGCTGTGCGGTTTCACAATCCCTGCCCTCGCCCACTCCTCCTTCGCGGACCTCTTCCAGACCTCTCCACCCTGGCTTCCGCACTACAAAGTCCCAAAAATCTGCCAAGGGCTCGCCTGGCGCACAGCGCAGTCTTTCCCATGGGCAATCATTACGGGAGATCGGGCGATTTTATGCCGTGCCGATCACGCCCCATTGCCCAGACTCGATGCACAAACGTTCCGGAAAGGCAGGGGTTCCAACATCGCCACAGTCGACGACGACGACGACGGACGACAGGGACACCTTAAGACACGGCATTATGGGTGCGACAGCCTGTATGTGGAATCTCGAGCCTGCCAGCATGCCGCCATCCGTATCGATGTGCCATCCGAGTAGCCAGCGCATTAGGCAGAAGGTGCCTGAGCTTGTGATTGTGCCGCCCACAGATGTGCATTGTTTCATCTGCAACCGAAGGACTGATTTCCCATAAGCCACGTCGAGCGGCTCTGCATAGGGCGAGCTGGTGGTAAGGCACTTCTGCAAGCTGATTCGCGCGGCCGAGTTGCCGCCAACCGGTTCAGGATAGACGCCCGCGTCGAGGGTGCGAGTTCTGCAAGGGTCTCGTCTGCTCCCCCTTGGTGGGTACCCAGTCGTGGGCCACGTCAAAGCAGCCCAAAAGTTTCATCTTTTGTCCTTGGCTCTAGTGGCAGTGTACCTGCAGCTGCCAACGTGGTCAGCGCGCGCCCTTGGCCATGTTTCTTGTTCCTCGTCTTGTGCTCGGCGCAGAGCCTCGTCAGGCCCGAGAGGCCCTCGCAGGGGTCTAGCGAGACCTTGACCGTGGACCACACCTGCTCGTAATCCCGGATGGGGGCATGGGCCGAGCTATCACAGCCAATCGACTTACACCAGGCCCCGGCCTCCGTAGTTGATGCGCCTCAGGGGTTTGGGAGCCCCAATGTCGGGTGCCCACGATGGCTTTGTTATATCACACCCGTCGTCCCAACGGTGCCTCTGACTGTCCAGTCTTCGAGTCTTACCACTCTCTTCGTTCTTTACCAGAGTCTGTCTGTCCAGCAGTCTGTCCTTCTTTTCTTGTGCCTTGCCAGTCAAGCATCCACAGTCTTTATCTCATTCTCAACGGCTTCGGTCCGATCACCTCTCTTTACACAACCGCCGCTCGGCTCCAGCTTCCAGTCCTTTCTGCAAGACAGATTTATCCATTTGAAACCTTATCCGACTCATCAGACTCGACAGACTCACAGTGTTCACGAACAATCTCGAATTTCGAACAAAAGCCACACTAGAAAGATTCAGGTGTACATATTTGCACTCACAAACACCAAGATGCGTTTCCAGCAGAACCTCGTTTCCCTGGCCGCAGCTGCTCTCTGGGCCAGTGTGGCGACTGCCATTCAGCCCCCCTCGGTCAACGGGCTCAACCTTGTCTGGTTTGATGCCTTCCGCGGCTCGGCTGGCTCTCCCCCCGATCTCAACACCTGGACCATTCTGGACGCTGTCCATGTCAACAATGAGGTTCAGGACTACACGACCGCCAACAGCAACCTGCAGATTAGCGGCGGCGAGTCTATTCAGTTTGTTCCTCGCAAAGACTCCAGCGGTGCTTGGACTTCAGGTCGTATTGAGACCAAGGAGTCTTGGACTCCGGCGCCCGGCAAGGTCATGAAGCTCGCCGCCAGCCTGCTCATGGGCACGAACCCTCGCGAGATGAAGCAGGGCATCTGGCCCGCCTTCTGGGCTCTGGGAGACGCCATGCGCCACGGCACTGAGTGGCCCCTGGCCGGCGAAATCGACATCTTTGAGCAGGTCAGCGGCCACGACCAGGGCTGGGGTACCGTGCACTGCGGTCACATGGGTGGCGGTCCCTGCAACGAACCCTCTGGTCTCCAAACAAGCACCGTCTTGCCTGCTGACGGTGTCTTCAATGAGTGGGCCGTCACCATTGACCTGACGAACCCTGACTGGCGGGCTCAGACCCTGACCTGGCAGTTGAACGGCAACACCTTCAAGAGCCTCTGTGGTGCCGATCTCGGTGACGAAGCTACCTGGGCGACCCTCGCACACAGCCCGCTGTACCTGACGCTCAACGTAGCCGTTGGTGGCAACTGGCCTGGTCCCCCCAACGAGGTGAGTTTGCGTTGCACCATCTATTAAGTTTTTTGAAAAGAATGACTGAAGGCTGACGCTATTTCACAGGCCACCCTCGACGGTTACGGCGCCATGATGGAGGTCCACTGGGTGGGCGTCTACTCTTCTTGAGTAGTTACGTGCGAGTCTCTGGATTAGCAATGGCTCTCAAGTTCGCTTCTTTTTACAAAGCAAGGTCAACTCCGCAGCAGGGGCCTTGCGCGTCTTCTTCGTTTCTGCATATATACCCCCTTTTGTCGTTATGACCAGATGTTGTAGATACCAAATTCGAGATCAACATACACGCAGCAAAATAGACATAGAGGATGTCGCAACAATACGAACATCTCTTTGCTGCCTCTGAAGTCCTTAGGGTTGTTGTTTGTGAACATGCACATGGCGATAGTCCAACCATCCCGAGTTTGAGCGCGCCCGAAACATTGACGACGTCCCAAGTGATGACGAGTGATTGGCGTAATCGTGCTGTACACAGGGAGGGTCAGTATTCCTTTGAGACTACGCGTGGCCCTTTTACCTGAAGTGAATTGGTCAACCCATGTGGGCATCAGTGGACACGGGCAGGTCGCGATGATCATGACGGGGCCTTGTCAAGTGCCGTGCAGGAGACGACTGGTGGTTGTTGGCTAGGAGCGTTGGAGACACAGCACTTGCCGCGAACCTTGGCACAACACCGCATCGTGAGCTCATTCCTGCGTGGCGACCAGCGCTGGCTTAGTCTAGCGTGATGGGCAACACGTTACGGAGGAGACACATCAATAACTCGTCAGGTCTTAATTTTATCCTAGGCTATACCAAGCTGCGCCAAGTGATTCTTATGACCACTTTGGCTGCTGGCTTACAAAGTAAGTTTATCGAACCTCACTATAGCAAGCCACAGCAAGACCTCGAGTTATATCTACCTTTATCGCCATGGCCAATATCTTCCAGTCTTCTTCAGTCTTCTTCAATCTCTCCATTGTTGCCACCAGCAAAGCAGGTCAACGAACTCAAAGCTCATGAAGAGGAGAGGTGGCATGGTACATGCAAGTGCTGACGCGATTTTTATCAGGCCGAAGGAGAAGTTGTAAACATCCCTTTACCTCAATTATTCACTTTGTTGATTGTTCTTGAGAGGGCTAGGTCTGACGAGCTGATACAGCCCGCGTGTCCTGTGGAAGTTGAATTTAACTGATTCCATTGGATGGACTCGAAACGAACCATGCTGAGCAGTTGAGCTTTGAGGTAATGTAGATGTGTTGTTATTTGCCTGATGACAAGGATGTCTCGGAATAGACAGAAAACATCAGCAAATCCATACCAAGTATCGTGCACTTGGAGAAGATCTCGAGAAGCTACGAGTTGTGAGCAAGCAACAATCGAATTGGTTGCTGGACATTAGCGCAGTGAACTTTAATGCTTGGCGACGCTACAATGTGCAGTTTGCTCATTTCGCACGGCTGATGGATCAAATTATGCATGGATGCTGTGCACAACGTGAGCCCCAACCACCCATGCACACTGTGTGGGCTGCACGCACTTTAGACATGCCATGTGATTTCGCGTCGAGACGCCCCTTTGAGCTGTCACTTCGCGGACTGGAGGCGCGTAACCAGCAAGTAGTGGCGCCCTTTGAGCACCAGCCAATTCCACGACACAACCACCCATTCTCAGCCCAGGGAGTCCACACATCGCAGGTTATAAGGATTGTGAACTGGACCGGGAATAGCTACTTCGTCAAAGCACACTCGATGGTTCGCCACGAGGCCTCCTTGGCGGCCCCGGCCGAGGACGTCGACATGAGTGACCACGAGCAGTCCACGAGTGATGAGGCTGAAGACGAGTGGCAGTGGATCACAGCTGCGGCGCCAACGCCGTCGCGGCCGGAGTCAGCGCGCAAGCGAAAGCGGGACGATGATGGCAAGAGAATCGTTGGTGCTAGTCGTGGCGACGCAGAGTATCACATCGGCGACTGTGTTCTGCTGAGAGCCGAGGGACAGGCAGACTCTTGGGTGGCCATCATCTCCGACTTTGTCGAGAGAGATGAAGACGGAGACCAGGCTGCTAACTTCTTGTGGTTCGCCAACGAGAAGGAAATTCGGAACAAGAACAGGAAACGGACAGACTTCTTACCGGTAAGTCCAATGCGTTTGGGCAGCTTGGCTTCACGGATAGACTAATTGACCGCAATGTAGAACGAAGTATACATCACCCCGGACCATGATATAAACTCCCTCTCGTCCATACAGGGCAAGGCAATCATAATGTCCCAACAGGAGTTCACAAAGGCATACCCTACCGGCAAGGTCCCGAAGACATCACCTGGTTATGGCAGGACATTTGTGTGCCGCCGAGGATGCAATCTCAGGACGACAACGTATACCAATGAGCTGCTCTGGGAAGAAATCTACAGCGGGCGGGAGGAGGACATTGTTCAGCTATTAGAGATCATCGAAAAAGGCACCCAATCAACAAGGAAGCGGCGCAAGACGGCAGAGGCAAAGTCGGAGGCATACGAGGCTCCTCCGCCGGGCGGCGTGGAGGATGACGACGAGATTATAGCCACTGGGCGAGCACCAACCACACCGAGAAAGAGGCAAAAGACGTCTACTGTTGTCACCCCTTCTCAACGCAAGTAAGTGTGGAACACACACCATATTATCCGGTCTAGTCTAACGCCAGGGAACAGAATCATTGTCAAGAAAGCTCTCGAGTTTACTCCTCTTGCCACACGCACCCTATCCCCCAGCCACCACCAAGCATCTCCCTTCCAGATCGCCAGGGCGCAGCTGCACGTGGCATCTGTGCCCACAAGCTTACCTTGTCGCGAATCGGAATTCTCGGTGGTGTATTCACACCTTGAGGCCGCCATTACAGATGGCTCGGGAGCATGCATCTACATATCCGGTACGCCCGGCACCGGCAAAACCGCCACAGTCCGAGAAGTGGTGTCACGGCTAGACGAGGCTGTACAGGCCGAGGAGCTCGACGACTTTATTTTCGTCGAGATCAACGGCATGAAAATCACAGATCCACATCAATCATACTCGCTGCTCTGGGAGGCATTGCGTGGTCAGCGTGTCAGTCCCAGCCAGGCTTTGGATCTGCTTGAGCGGGAGTTCAACCACCCAAGCCCGCGAAGAGTGCCTTGTGTCGTGCTCATGGACGAGCTGGACCAGCTCGTGACGAAGAATCAGAGCGTCATGTACAACTTCTTCAACTGGCCAGGTCTTCGCCACTCGCGTCTCATTGTGCTCGCAGTGGCCAACACAATGGACTTGCCTGAGAGAACACTTAGCAACAAGATCAGCAGTCGTCTCGGCCTGACGCGAATAACATTTCCGGGCTACAACCACGAGCAGCTGATGAAGATTATCCAGTCCCGGCTCGAGGGTGTCCCAGGCAACATAGTCGAGTCCGATGCGGTCCAGTTCGCGAGCCGTAAAGTTGCGGCTGTGAGCGGAGATGCACGACGAGCCCTCGATATCTGCCGACGGGCAGTGGAGCTCGCAGAGGCGGAGAACAAAGACAGCACTTCTTCGACGTCTGGTCCATCCACACCAAGCAAAAGAGCGAAGGCAGCAGCAGAAGCGGCGGATGCCGCGGCAGCTCCCAAAGCCAAAGTACCGAGCTCGTCCAAAGGTCGTGTCACCATCGCCACCGTCAAACGCGCGATCAACGAGGCGACGTCGAGCCCGCTCCAGCAATATCTCCGCGCCTTGCCTTTTGCCTCGAAGCTCGTACTTGCAGCTCTGCTGGTGCGCAACGAGAGGAGTGGTCTGCCAGACAGCACCTTTGGCGACGTGATCGAGGAGATGAATCGTGCGCTCGTAATCGACGCGGGCTCGCGGCGAGTCGGCCTACTCAAGAGCCGCAAGCTTGGACATTCCACCAGCAATGCTACTAGTTCTACCAGCACGATCGCGGCCGTGCGAAAGCAGGACTTCAAATCAGTCCGGCTTGCAGGGATTGGCAGTGCCGCTGTCGATCTCACAGGTGCGGGTATCATTTTCCTTGAAGCGCAGCGCGCGGAGCGGCCCAGCAAGATCCGGCTTGCGGTGGGGGACGAGGAGGTGAAATTGGCATTCCGGGATGATCCAGAGATCAAGGCGCTCGGTATCGCCTTCTAGGGACGCAGATTTACACAAGATGGGGGAATCGACCGCCATGAGAATAGTGACCACTATCCAGGCCATGTTCCAGTCGCAGCTTGAGTGCTATGGCGTCTCCTGTTTCTCGTCAGTCATAGGGTGCTACTTTGTCCATGGAGACCAATAATTAATCATGCACATAAGCCCTGTCCGTGGGAAGCAGCCATGATATGCTTAAATAGGCATGCCAAATGTGCATTATCTAAGGGTATCCATCTCCACGTCACCAAGGAACTTATTCTTTCGACAAAATATGTACATTTTTCGTCCTGGCCATCCCATCGGTTGACGCCCTTAGTACTTGCGCCTGCCCAGAGTCGGCTTCCACTCAAGTGGGTGGGTCTCGGGGGTGGCTTTCTCGTCAGGCTTCCAGATCTTGATGGTCTTGTCAGCCTCGCCGACAATCAGGCGCAAGCCCGTGCGATCAAAGGTTGAGCTCATGATGCCAGCCTCGGCATCGAGTGAGCCGGGCTGCGCAATTGAATCGAGCGCCTGGAAGCGGTGGCCAGTTTTCCAATCCCAGAAGCTCATGGACCCATTATCACCGCCCGAGAAGAGAACGTCCTCGTTGGCAGCGAGTGAGTTGATGATGGCGTTATGACCCTCAAAATTGCCCATGAACGCGCCCTCGGGACACTTCCACTGCTTGATGCTGCCCGTGCTGCCGGTGGCAAAGGTGAATTCTGTAGGGTGCAGCGCGAGCGCGCGGACACCCTTTTTGTGGTGTGTGAGGACAGACATGGTCTTGCCTGCTGCCAGATCCCACAGCCGCACCGTCGAGTCCAGCGAAGCCGTGATGACCTGTGGGTCGGCTTCTTGGCACTTTACATCGGCGACCGTCTGCGTGTGGCCGGAGAGAACATGGATGTTGCTGCGTGTACGCATGTCCCAAACGCGAGCGACGCCGTCTCTGCCGCCTGTAACCAGAACATCTAGTGTTGGGTGCAAGGATAGCGTATAAACACCGCTGAGATGGCCGTGGTAGTGCCGGATAACTTTATTCGTTTCCAGGTCCCAGCATTTCACCATTTTGTCCTCGCCACAGGAGAAGAGATATGGATGCCTTGGGGAGATTGCCAATCCGCGAACCGTCGAGATGTGGCCAGTCAAAGTCAGCCGTAGGTTTCCCGTGGCCAGGTCCCAGATCTTGATGGTCCGATCGCCTGCACCACTGGCGAACCATTGATTCTCGGGCTCAACCGCCAGGGCCCGGACCCAACCCAGGTGACCTGAAATAACCCTCATGAGCTTCCACGGTGGGTGCCAGTCCGGCTTGACGTGGTGCGCCGCCTGTGCGCGTGCTGTTGAGAGTGCCTGTGAGGTGCCACTGCTGCCGCTTATGCCTGGTGTGGATGGGGGTGGTTGTCGCGTCGAGCGCACCAGAGCATTCGATGGCGACGGTATTGAGCCATTTGGTGCCGATCTGCTGGGGATGCCCTCGATGAGCTTTTGTGTCTTGCGATCTTCCGGGGCAGCACCACTTCCACCCGCGGTCACGGCGCTCTTCCTGGGGCCTTTGCCCTTGGCGCCGGCAGCATTTGCCTGTTTCTGGGCGAGCGGCGTGGGCAGCTCCCTCAAATCGCTGTACTCCGCATGTAGCCGTAAGGCAATGGCCTCTTTCTCGAGTTGCGCCTCGGCGGGATCGAGGATACGTAACCGTTTGCGAGTCGACTCGGCGGGCTGGCTTCCGAACAGGGCTTTAGAGCGCTTGGCATTTTGCAGTGCAAGTGCGCCCAGATCTGTCGAGGCGACCTCCATGGTTGAGGATACGTGTTTGGCAAGCTGACCGCGAGATGTCGACTGTCCTGCGAGCTAGGCAGAACCTTCCTGCGTGGCAGAGGCGAGGTTGGTCGCGTGCTGCAACGTGCTGCAAGTGCAGATGGTTCCGAAGAGAAAGGCGTCTGTCTTTATCGCGAGGTGGGATTACTAGGCTTTGGTTGTAGTCTGATGTTTGAAGCTGGAGCTTCGACGTTGTGGAGGACAATGGCTGTGGGATTCTCGGGCGACGATGGAGGTCGAATCCAAGGGCTGTTGGAGCGTCTCGATGCGCGTCCAAAAAATGGCCCGGGAGGTTGAGCGCCAGGCGCTTAAGTGCAAGTTCGGGCTAAGTGAATGGTACAGGCTCGTGGGCAGGTTCGGCTGGAGCCTTCCCAAGTCTGGAGCCTTCCCAGGGCGATGTGGGGCCAGTCGAGGTTACTTACACGCAGTGGCACTGTTGCCTCGTCACAGCTTAACGACGACGACAGAACCACCAAGAAGCCTGATACGAAGCCGGTCTTTGGGAGCTTCCTTCTTTGCCCATACCCAGATCCAGAGTCAGGTATCGACCAGCATAAGTATTCGTCATGGCCTCGGACCAGTCACGATTCGCGATCCACGCGGCTGCAAGGGAAGGCCGAGGTGAGTGCTCACATGGCTTGTTCGAAATCGCCTTAATTGCTGACCTGGAAATAGTTAGCACTGTCGAATCTCTGCTCAACGTGTGTAAATAATCATGGCTCCAGGCTCCACGGTACACCCCAGCTCATATAGTGATTCCCAGTCTGACCTTTCGCATTACCCAGGCCGATCCGAAGCTCGGAAAACTAAAGGACGACGATGGGAGGCTGCCCATACACTGGGCCGCCTCGTCGAACCAGCATGCCATCGCCCTCATGCTCGCCAACCAGAAAGGCTTCGACCCGGATGCCGAAGTGAGTCCTCATCCATCTTGAGAAAAGGGTGTGTCCCGCAGTATTCACCACCTTACATTTCATAGGACGACAGTGGCTGGACTCCATTGATGATCGCGGCCAGTGTAAAAGACTCCGAGGCCATCGTAGACTTGCTGCTTCAAAAAGGCGCCGACATAAATCAAACAAGTATGCACCATCGCCTCGGCCTCTTCAACCACCTGGACGTCGTTCCAAACTGACCATTCATTCCTCTGTAGACAACAGTGGTCAGGTTAGTCAGTGACCGATCAGTGTTCAGCCAGGGTTGCCCCCGATCCTGCCACAGGTACGCTAACACGATATGACTACAAAACCCCCGGAACAGAGTGTGATGCACTTCGTCTCATCCAAGAACAACCTCGAGCTCGCCCGCAAGCTGCTCGACCAGAAGCCGCCAGCGTCCGTCCGCATCCGCGACATGCGGGGCCAGTATCCCCTTCACCGTGCTGCGGCGGTCGGTTCTGCACCGCTGGTCCAGCTACTCGTCAAGCACAAAAGTCCGCTCAATGCGACCGATTCGGCGGGCTATACCGCCCTGCACCATGCCGTTGCCGAGGGACATGGTGAGTTAATCTAACCCCACACTGTCAATCTGACAATATTTCACAGTTGTACATTCTAGTACGGTGAAGTCTAGAGGTCGCCAGTGACTAACTGATTCGCCCCTTGCTGGACAGGTGACACCGCAGTAGCGCTGATCAAAGCCGGCGCCGAGCTGGATAAGCGGGACATGGACGGGCAACTAGCACTCGACTTGGCTCCCGACAAGGCGGTATGTGACCTAGCACCTCTTCGTTGAACATGAAGACGAGCGCCGAACATGCTGTGTTTTGTCTCTTTGGGGCCGTAGCTTTGCCACTTCGCTTGATCGTCCCCCTTGATACTAACAATACCTGCGCAGGTTCGCAAGTATATAGAGCGCGAATGCGAGAACGAAGGCATCGACCTGTAGGGGTATAACATGACCATAGCAATATCAAAAACAGAGTCTTCTGTAGTCATTGCCATTCAGCACTTGTATGCAATTCACAGGGCCAAGTAGCAACGATGAATACGCTACAGCTTTGGTCTGTTTGTCTCCATTTAACGACACAATGTGGCCTATCTGATGTGACTGGGTAGAAGGTTTACAGAGCCCCGGGAGATCGATCCTCGTCGAGGCTGCTGCTTGAATTCATTTAATCGTACGCTCAACCAAATCTCTATACATCGCTTTGACGTCCTGCACGTCTGCTTTGAGCTCCTCAACGAGCTCGCTCTTCTCTCCAAGCATCTCGAGCGTGGTCTGATACCTCTCATTAATCTCCGCGACTTCTTTCTCGAGAGTCTCCGTCTTTTGCCTCGCGGCCTTGCCCAATTCGGCCTCTTTCATGAGCGCCACGATCTCATTGCGCGCCTCGTCCCGCTGGCCTGATATCCTCGCGAGCTCTTCCTTGGCGGCAACCTTCTCACTCTCCAGCCGCCGGACTGCGGCACTAAGTTTCTCTACGAGCTGGACAGATGGCCCCGCACCAATTGTTGACACTGATACCATGTCGTGCAGTACGTTCTGGGGCGACAGTGGCGTCTCGACGTTGTCAAACATCTCATCTCTATCTTCCGGGTGTGACGGCAAGGATGGCACGGGCTCGAGGCCACCAAACAACGATGGCGAGTGCGCTGAGTGTCCTGAATGTGACGAGAAAACCGACGGCCGGCTCATCGCGAGCGCCGAAGGTCGCCTTGCAGGGGATTGCCTCTCACCAGCTAGACTAGGGGGCTCTCCATTGCTCGAGGGTGCAGAGGTTTTCCGCAGTTTCGTTGGAAAGTTTTGGAGTCCCAAGAAGTCGCTGCTGAAGGTCCGCTGTGGAGCCGACAAAAGCGGTGATTCAGGCCGGCTTCCGCCGTTGCGAACGGATGCAGATGCCACCATCGCCTCATCGAGCCAACCTCTCCGGTCGCTGCTCTCCGCTCTCTCGCTCCTCTCGGCCTTCCAGGATCGCTTTTGCTTCTCCAAATCGGCCTTGCTCTCCGCCAAGGCGGCCTCGGCTGCCTCTGCCCGCGCCCGAAGCGCTTCGAGCTGAGATTGGTGTGATGATAGGTCCTGCTTCACCTGCGGCAATTGTGTCTTGGCTTCTTCGAGCTCTTCTTCTTGTATCTTGGCACGTGCAGCCTGTGATCGGTCCAGTTAGTAATCCGAAAATGTCGACGTCATGTTGAACACAGTCTCGAAGTTTTGCACTCACCGCTTCGCGAGCCTTTTTCCGCATGTCAGACTCTCTACGCAAAGCTTCGTCCCTCTCCTTCTCCAGGCTTGCGACTCTAGCTGCCAAAGAAGCCTCCATTCCTTGCCAGTTCTCGCTCGCGATCGAGTATTGCGTCTGGAGTGTCTCAATCTGCCGCAATAGCTTTGCCTGAGCATCTCCTACGGCACCAGAGGATGCTTCCTCTGCCCGAGCTCGCAGTGCTTCCAGCTTGCTCTCGAGAATCTGCACCTCACCCTTGAGCTCGAGCTCGACCGCCCTCGACCTTTCCGCAGCGCGGTCTGCCTTCTCTCGTAGTTCAGATGCTTGTGCCTTCGCTCTGTCCGCCACTAGTCCTTTCTCCACCTCGAGAGCAGCTACAGCATCCTCCAGCTCACGGATTCTCTTCTCCTTGCTCTCAACAAGCTGATCGTTTGCCTTAGCGGCCATAGTCTTGTACCGCTCGGTTTCCTCTTGTATCCTCGCCTTCAGATCCGTAATCGTCGTGCTCTTCGTGGCTACCTCGGACTTGAGTCTGTCCACGTCTCTTTTGAGCTGAGCGACAAGCTTATGAGCATCCTCATTGGACTTCCCCGAATCCTCGGCATCCTTGAGGCGCCGTTTGGCCGAGCTCCACTCGCTTTCGGCTTTCTGCCTCGCGACTTTCTGTGAGCTGAGGTCCTTCTCGTTGGCTGCTAGTTGCGCACGCAGCTTCTTGATCATGGCTCGCAGCTTTTGTTCTGTGCTCGATAATTTCTGGCCCTCCTCCATCAACAGAGCGACTTGTTGGTCCTTGTCAGCGAGCTTCTTCTCTAAACTACCAGCCGGTGCATCAGCCGAGGTTGCCTTGGCACTGTCCAAGGCTTCGCGTGCAAGATATTGCAGTTTGGACTGCAAGGCGTCTACCCGTTCCGTATGGCCCAGTATCTCCTCCTGGTGTTGCGCGCGTAGCTCCTCCAACGCCTTTTCGAGCTCTTCCACTCGCGTCTCGTATAGTTTTGTGGCTGCACCGCCCGCATCAGAACTCACGGACGGTGTTCGTGCAAGTGGTTTACCTGCCAGGCCGGGTATCATCATGGTCGCCTCTGGCTTGTACTGGGTCTCAGCGGGTGACGCTGACCTTTGCTGAGCTCCCGTTGACCCCCGCTCTTGTGTTGCTGGCGAAGCGGTGGCGCTCCTGTCCACAACAGGAGTATCCAGAGGCACTGTCGCTTTGGCGCTCGCATCATCATCGGCAGAGAGGCTTATTCGTGGTGTATCTGTACTGAGCCGGGCAGGGCTGTCGGTCGATGGCCGTGCGGACTGGTCCAGACTGGGTCGTGGGCTGGGATTCGAAGACGCAACCTCAGTGCTACTTCGAGGCGCAGTGCTCTGAGAGCTGCCCTTGGCAGCCATGGCGCGGGCCAGGCGCTCTTGAAGGCGGTCATTTGTTGACCTCGATGGAGTACTGGATCTGGGTGGCGGCGTAGTTGTAGTCGTTGTCGTTGTTGCCGAAGATGTGGCAGTAGCACTGGCTATGGCTGGTTTCGAGGCAGGCGTTGATTTCGGATCATCCTCGGCCAAGATTGTATCGAGGCGCGCTTCGACGCCAGCAACTGCTTGGGACAGAAACGAGCCCCATCTTGCCGCCATGCTGTCGAAGTGGTGAGCGCGGAGCGCGGGAGTCGCTAATCTTTATGGTCGTTGCTCGGTCGGTCCTTGCGGCGGGTGCCCGGTTGTGTGCAGACTATTCAGGCCGACGGAGGGCAAGCTCACCCTCAAAGTCTGCACATCCCAGAGGTGTACGCCCCGGCTTTGATCTCTCTCGCGCGAAAGCCCAGTGATCGGAGAGGAAGCCCAAGGGGACACCCGCAAGCGCTTCGTGAATTCTAGGGAGCTTGGAGGCTGTGCTCGTCGAGAGCTCCTGCGTTCGGTCTCGCGGGGTCGCAGTGAGAACGTGTTTGTCTGCGTAAAGCTGGCTCGGTTGAAGGGGAGTTGAGGCTGCTAGTAGCAGGAAATAAACGATGGTGTCTTTTTCGCTGAGGGGCAGGGGTCCTGATATGTTGCGTGAGACAGTCGAGGGAGTGTTTTGAGTGGAACGGCGCACAGCGAGAATCAGCCAGCAATGCCTTGCGATGTCCTCGAACGGGCACTCAGTGATGCTGGGCCTCGCAAGCCAGATTGGCGTGGGACAAAGGAGCGGCAGGCCTTTGGGTCGAGTTGATGGTGTTGTTGGCAGGTGAGTGAATGAATGCCTGGGCGCACTGCCTCGCTGGAGCGCGCCAAGCACGACGCAATACGACGACGGATGGGGCGCTTGCGAGAAGCAAGGGTGCCGCCCCAAGATTACTGCGGTGCAGCCCTTTTCGACTCAGCTCCAGCCAAACAATGACGAGACCATACTCTGATCGAGCGACGTCGCCTGCGAGGGTATGACAAGAGCTGACAGGGGCCTGGATGGCGTTGTAACTCAGCCAGTCTGAGCCTGTGGCAGCAATTGTTCAATGTTTGGGGAAGCTGTCAAGCCCCGATCGAGCTCCCTCTCCGTCTAGACCGGATCCGGCCCCGCATTCGTCACGCCAGCCAGGCAGGCACCCGGACCTGGCAGGCGCAACGCAAAACATGCTGGACAGCACTGTCCCACAGGCGGCGTCATTGGACAATCAGATGGGAGTCGTCCGGACGTCCCATGCTATTATTACTCCTTCGTAGCCACTTCCAATTGCCTCCGCATTCCGGGCGCAACGGTCGTGCCAGGGGTCATCAAGCGTGCCGCCACCGGCAGGGTCTACGTCTGGCTGGTTCCAATGCAGTGGCAGCCACTTGATTGTGCGGGCGTTCATGTTGTGGGCGAGAGCCGGAGTCCGCGTCTCAGTCCTGGCCCGTCCACCCTGGCGCGGGCACGCAAAGCACAACCTGGCATCTAATCATGATTCGTAAGCTGGCTGCGGACAGGAACGTCACTCAGTCAATCTCAATCCCTCCACACATCGACTGCGCCCGGTGCATCAGACAGATTCATCCCTTGTTCACAGCCGCTCGTCACCCCTGTCGCACGCACCGGCCCGCTACAAGCAGCTTGGCGGTAATTGCTGGACACGCAACTACTTCCTGGCATTCTGTCCAGTTCAGAGAGGACTGGCCGCGCTTGGCCCCCTCGCAGCAGGCCAATCAATCGCCAGCCGTTCCCGACGATCCGGTGACTTAGACGACGGCCCGCGCCACCTTGGACCATTGCTCCGGCTCCCTGGAATATCAACTCGTCTTCTTAAATCAGGACCAAAAATACACACGCCGACCATGGCCTGGCATGATCTGATCAACGCTCTCTCGGTGCCCTACAAGGTCCCTGGTGAAGGCTTCTGGGGCCCCAAGACGGTCACACTCAATTTCTGTGAAGAGGTACCTCATCTTACGAGTTGATGCGCAGTGCGTCGATCTTGGCTGACCTGGTCCAAATCATCTAGGACTATGTCGTTACTCACTATGTCGCAGAACTCTGTAACGTGAGTGACATCTTTGTTTTGGTCTGAATTTGAGTCTGTCCGACCGTACTCGGGACGCTGACTTGTTTTGTGGTCCGCAGACAGTGACCAATTTCCTCTTCATTGTGCTTGGCGTCCGTGGTCTCCGAATGTGCCTGCGTAATCAGCATGCGCCCATCTTCGTCATCGCCTTTCTTGGCTATATGACAGTTGGTCTAGCCTCGACCTTCTTCCATGCCTCCTTGAAGTGTAAGTAACTATCTCCATCGTGCTGCTGGGCCTCCGGCGAAAAGAGTTCTTGTTCTTCACCACGGAATTTGAACGAGCTATTGGCTGATATTACCTCAATGCTTAGACTGGATGCAACTAGCCGATGAGCTTAGCATGATCTACACCACGTTCTTCATGCTGTATGCCACTTTTGCGTATGACAGGTCTCCAATCTTTCGTTTTCTACTTAGCATAGGACTTGCTGCAACTGCCTGGTACATCACAGTAAGTCTGGCCCAAAATCATACTTTCTTGGCATCTGAGTCGACCTAATATCTTGTGCCAGGCGAGATACTATGAGACAAAGGATCCCCAGTTCCACCAAGACGCATACGCGGTACTCACAGCCACGGTGGTGTTCTCGAACATGTGGATCATGGAGTATAGAGTGCGGCCACAACTCGAGACGCGAGAGAGAATAGCCACCGGCCGTGCAGACACTCCCTCAAGCAATGCTACCATGACCCAGATGTGGAAGATGGTTGCGACTGGTAAATCGGCTTTCACGAATCCTCGGCTGGCGTTATCAAACTGATCTTGTCACTTGCTAGGCCTGACCACCTTTCTGGGTGCCTGGGGAATCTGGAACCTGGACAACATTTACTGCAGCACCATTACCAGCTGGCGCAGAAGCATGCAGCTGCCCTGGGCTGTCGTCCTCGAAGGCCATGCTTGGTGGCATCTTGGAACCGGAATAGGGGGTAAGTCAGGCAGGCACAGCAGCACATATGCTGACGTTTTGTCCATAAGAGAGGAAGAATATTAAACAGGGCGTATGGACTGACCCTGCCTGCAGCGTACTACTATATCGTGTGGAGGATCTGGATCCACCGTTGTCTTGCAGGAGAGGAGGACAAGTTTCAGTTGGTCTGGCCCTCTGTCCTTACATTTCCAAAAGTCGTCTACCGACCAGTCGCGGGCCACAAAGAGGCCAGGAAGAACCAGTGATAGCGAACACACATTAGCTCGGGGAAGCAAACTGCTCCCCATGACCAGAACCCTGTCCAGGATGATGGAGGGACCATACAAAAGCTGGGGCAGCAGCTTCGCCGAGTCACACGAGACACTCATTGGCAATCTTGCAGTGCTTGGCAGTGACATATAGATATATAGACACTTCGACTCTGTCTGAAATTTGAAAGGCAGCTTTGCCTATGAATGATTTCGTGTAATTACTGGCTACGCAACGAGCGACCTCATCATGGGCTACCCGGGATCCACCTTGCCCCGGGCATGGCACCTCACAATTTCTGTGGACCTACAGCACATCAAAGTGCCCCGCGCCTCCAGGCCATGCGCCCAAGTCTGCACATTGTCGTTGCTCACGACGGAAGCCAGTCAAAACCCCTTCGACTTCAATCAACATGTCCATATCGAACGAAGCTCTGCAGAAGGCAAGTGGTGACGCGCTGCACGCTGGTCTTGGGGCGGGTTTGCTGTTGAGGCTGTCTCGCCCCAGTCCATGGCCCCCCTTTCAACACCGAGACGCTGTGTCGTGATGTTTTAAAGGCATGCCTGAAGAAGAACGTTGGCTGACCCGCTTACGCAACAGCTCCTTCGGGAGGTCGAGACGCAAGCGATCGCTGCTCAGCAGCAGATCTCGCTGGTCAAGACGCAGCAGGCCTCGAAGCAGAGGGAGATGCGCATGGCCCAGCTCACACGCGCGGAGCTGTCTTCTCTGCCAAAGGACGTCGATGTGTACGAGGGGGTCGGCAAGATGTCAGTCATTCAACCTGCAAAGAGTCACACAGCAGAACCTCTGACTTCCCGGGGAAGTTCTCCTGTCAGGATGAGCTACATACTAACGATGGGCACTCTAGGTTCGTGGCATTGCCAATGTCCGAGATGGACGGGAAGCTCGCTTCTCAGATCAAGGACGCTGAGGGCGAGGTGGAGGGCCTCGGCAAGCGTCTCAACTATCTCGAGATCTCTCAGAAGAACAGCCAAGAGCAAATAATGCGCATGCTCGGCGGTGCCAGCGCATCGTGAGGATGAGCTGGCGTGCGAAAGCCACCAAGAGGTGCCTATGGAGTTTCGCAGCAACCAATGCGTCAATGCCTCTGACTGCAGGGGCAACTCCTTTATGACGCTCCGTCGTGCCTATGTGCCATTTCAACCTTCTGCTTGGCCGCACGACAGGACATGGCGTGCCCTTCCTTTACGAGCTGGATCGAATCCGTAGAGGGTCCGGGACATGGACGCCGGCGTGGTGAGCATGCAGTAGCTGTCGAAGGGAACGGGGACACAGCAGATAAGTCGTAAGGAAAGACGACGTCGCCTTGTCTCTTAGGAGCCTGCTGGCAGGGCCGATCTTGTGGATAGTAACGAACGGTCACAGCCCATACCCTAAGGTAGACAGCTACCACTTATGCATAGGATCGATGGAATTGAAGCAGTCTAGCTTATGTGATGCGATATAGTCGTTGCCTTTCGTGACGACAATATGCTGAACAGGTTGGCCTGCATATTTGTACCTTGAGTCAATTCTTTGTGAGTGCCCGAAGGTTCACGATGTTCCGAGTCGAATGCGGCTTTGGTCACTGTCCGCAGATATTTCCCACGACAAGCGAAAAGACCGCTCAAGACCAGCCCATCACAATATTAGGCGGACAAAGAATACTTCGGTGGCCTTGGCGCCACGCATGTCTTCGGTCTGGTCCGTCTCGGGTTCATTACGACGACCATTTTACTTTCTACTTGTTCCCTCCCGCACCAAGACATCATTGCGCATCGCTTCCGCCCCTCACAGGGGGGTCAATGTCAGCACTAGCCGAAAAGAGATGGGCTCGGCAAGGATCGTGCTTCAAGCCCCATGACATCGAGCGAAGCGAAACTGGCTGGATCGTGTGCGGAACAGTTGACAGATGTGTCCAGTGCCAGAGACAAGGAATCCTTCGGAGCTGTGTGACCGAGGCCATCTCAATCGTCCACGGGAAGCAAGAATGGTCTGGGCGAGCTGAGAAGAACCCTCCTGGACGAGACGATGTGCTCTCTGGAGCATGGGCTAATAATAGAGCAGGCCCAGAGACAGACCCTGTTGGATTTACTGGGGCGGGGCTCAGCGACAGGATGCGACCCCTCCAAGTATAGCCCCTCCTTGGCCAGACATATGACCTGGTGGACCACAGAAGCACTGGCGAGGCAGCCGAAGCGTCAACACTTGCCTTGATCGACGTGCTCTCAGCCCTGCAAGGCGGCGGGAGCCCTTGCGAGGAGGCCCGTGTCTATTCGCTCCCTCGTGCGGGCGTGGGTTGTTGCGAAACATGGCGGCTGTGGCTGCGGCTGCGCATTGCTGCGGCCCCCAAACCGCGGATCCCCCCTGTGACTCTGTCTTTGGCGGCACGCTGCCAGCCTGTGACTGTGGCGGGTCCAGTACCCTTCCTTCCCAGCACATCTCCCTCGATCTCGTGAGCCATGACAGCGCAGCAAATCTGTTCGAGTGACCCAGCGGGTTGACAGCGACCAGTCACATGGCCTCCTCCTGCGCGCAGGCGAGCATCTCTCCCAGCGAGGCTATCTTTGGCAATTCCACTGTCCAGGTACTGCTGTCGGCCCCGTCATGTGTCCAGCCCATGGCTAACTCGAACCAGGTCAGGAGCCGTCGATGCCCGTCCCGGCCCTACGCAGCTGCTCCCGCTGGTGTGCGACCACGGCACCACGGCCCACACTAGTGACTGGCCGGATTCTCGACTAACATCCCAGGCCCCTTGTCTGGGCAAGGTCTCGACGTCTGGACAAAGGATAATCGAGGCGGTAGCGTTGACCCCGCGCCGCCCCTGCTTTTCAGCCCAGGCTTTGACACTAACAATGCTTGGTTTGCTGCTGGCCCTCTCCCGATAGCGGTCCAACGTACATGAGAGCCATAGAGGACCGCCCCCAGGAGAAGGGGGCTGGGGTCGAGCCGATCTCTCTGTCTGCTCTGCTGGCAAGACTTGCACCGTGGGCCGGCCTCTAGACGCCAGTCATACTACCTTATGGTACTTGCTAAGAAATTACCGGCTGGGTGGAGGAGACGGCCGTGGATGCTCGGCACCATCGAGCCCGCCTCACACCCTAGCCCCCCATGTATGGCAGCATGCATGCATACATGCATGCATGGCCTCAAGCGGCCTCACCCAAGCCACAGGCATCCATCCAGCAAGGGCTTGCCGGCAAAGTACTGTCCTGTATCCCTGTGGCCTCCGATGAGCTGGAAAGCAAGCACCGCGGCCCGCCACCCCACCTCCAAGACCGCGCTCCCGGTCTCACTCACATAAGCACCCCCCCGCCTCTCTGCTCCGGCTGACCTTTCCCCCCCTCTCCTCCTCTGCCTTTCTGACTTATACTATTCTCACTCTGTTCCTTACACTGCTGGTGGCTGTCGTGCCTTTCTATGTACAGCCCTGCAGGCGCGAGTGCTCTCTCTTGAAGCCATCTCAGTATATTTTCATCTCCCCCACTTACACACACATATCCAGTCCTGTACACCTCTCTGGTCTGGTGTATAACCACCACCCGGTATACACAATGGGCCCGCGTTCCAGATACAGCGACTCCTACAGTGACTCGGACTCCGAGCTGGACGTCCGGATCAGCCACCGTCATGGCGTCTCCCCGGGCCCTCCACCGCGGCCTGCCATGCGCCCAACCGCCCCCGTCACCTACGTTGAGCCGCCGCGCCCGCGTGTAGAGCGCCGGTACTGGGAGGAAGACCGCGAGCGCGACCGGCGTTATCTCAGCACCGGCAACGACCAGATGGTCATAACCACCAAGCACCGCTCCAAGTCCCGGGACCGGCGCGCCAGCTCGCCCTCCTACCCCCCCGTCGTCCAGCAGCCGGCCCAGCCCGTCGTGGTCAACACCCACATCTACAACAACTCGGACTCGGACTCTGACTCGGACTCGCGCGCCTCGAGCCGGCGCCACCACCGCAGACACCGCCGGCGCTCGTCCTCGAGCCGGTCTCGCTCGCGCTCGCGCGACCGCGACCGGTACGCCCTCGAGCGGGTCCGGACCGAGTTCGAGCTCGAGCAGCAGCGCCGCAAGTTCGAGGAGCTCGAGCTCCGCGAGCGCATCGAGAAGGAGGAGAAGCGCAGGGACCGCACCGCGCGGGAGGAGCGCGAGCTGCGGGACGCCAAGAGGGAGCTGGACGAGCTCCGGAAGGTCAGGGAGCGCGAGGAGGTCGAGAGGGCTGCCAGGGAGGAGCGCGAGCTGCGCGAGGCCAAGAAGACGCTCGACTCGATCCGCAAGACGCAGGAGGCGGCCGAGGAGGACCGCCGCCGGCAGCGCGCCGAGAAGGAGGAGCGCGAGCTCAAGGAGGCCCAGAAGGAGCTAGAGAAGATGCGCGACGCCAAGGAGCGCGACGAGCTCGAGAAGAAGATCAAGCAAAAGATTGAGCTTGAGCGTCTCCGCCAGGAGGAGGAGGCTGCCGCCGAAAAGAGGCGCCGCGACAAGGAGGCCAAGGAGGCCATCGAGAAGTACAAGCGGGAGGAGGCAGAGAAGATCCTCAAGGCAAGGGAGGAGCAGGAGGCCCGCGATAAGGAGTACAAGGCTCGCCTGGAAGAGCACCTGCTCAAGTCTGGCCTCGGCGACAAGGAGATCCAGGCGATCATGGAGGGCAAGAAGATAGAGAAGAAGAAGGAGGAGAAGAAGGACAAGGGCAAAGACAAGGATGACGGTGACCGGCCGGTGTATACCAAGATGCTCCGCCGCCACCTCTCGTTGGAGACCCTGAGAGTCTACAACTACGACTTCGTTCTTGATGCTGTAAGTCAAGACCTTCTTCTGCTTTTCGCCGGTGGAGCAGCCAACGCTAATCATGACCTTTTGGCACTACAGAACCCCGAGTACGTCCTCATCAAGAGCTGGGTGCCCGAAGAGCAGCAGGACATCCTGTGGCAGCACACCAGATACTTGCGTGAGCAACGGTCGCACGGCGGCAGGCTCATCATGTCCATCGACGAGAAGGAGGAGAAGCGCAAGCACCACCACCACATGCACCACCACCTGATGCCCGAGCCCGAGTTCGAGTGGGTCCGCAAGAAGGAGAAGAAGGACCGCAAGCGGAGCAAGTCTCCGTCCATGCTGGTTTGGATGGCTGGTGGGCGTCCTGCATAAGTTCGTAGACAGAAAGGCTCGTTTTTCTTTCCTTCGTGACTGGGGAAACGGGAATGAGGATCACGGGATCAACGATTGCTTGCCACACTGTACCACTTGCTTTTATCTTGAAATTCAAATATACCACTTTTCCCACTCGCCACAATTTGATGAGTTCAAGCAACTCTCCTTAGGACCAAAATGATGTATTGATTTGAGGGGGTATTATCCAGAACCTGTCAACTTTTTCTGTATATGGAGCTTGCGGATCCGAAACGGCCCGCCTTCGTGCCCTCGCGCTCCGTTCGTGATGATAATCATACAAATCCCTCGCCACCGAGAGCGACAGAGCTCTATCTAGGCTCCGCGGGATTGCTCTTTGCTTGCATCTTTGAGCCCGATCGGGCGAGACGTCGCAAAATCTAGTGTCAAATCGTGCACTGCCCACCAGCCCGGCGCAGGGAACTCGACAGTTTGTAGCTTTTTGACCTGGCCCATATGAGCTCAACTACGGCCACCCCTGTCCACGATACTAGAGCCGTCCCCGTTTGCGACTTCACAGCTTGACCTCCCCCTTCGCAATTCCACTTCCTCCACCGCGGCTCCACGTCCGTTCGGCACGACTGACCAGCTCTTCGTACAGCATCCACGCGAGCGCCGAGCTGACAGCCTTGCGAGTCATTCGCAGCGCCAGGCCGTCGTACAAGCTGCGGAACCCGTCCTCGCGGACCATGCGCGAGCACGCCTGCCACATGTTGCGGTACTCCCTGGGCCGGAGCTGGATGCGCGTCTTGACGGCGTCGAACGGGTTCGAGATGAACGAGCACGTCGCGCCCGCCAAGGCGCCGGAGGTGAAGTTGATTGTGGCGGATCGGGAAGAGGCCATGTCTTTGCCGCTCCCCCTGTCGGAGGCTGTCTGTATGGATGCGGCCGCCTTGGTGGCTGCCGGGTCGATGGTGGTAGGATACAGCCGACTCAGCCTCTTCTTGAACTGCTCGTACGTGAGCACGTAGAGGCCCGCATATGGCGCATCGCGGAGCGCCGTGGCCCCAAACCCGGCGAAAAACCCCGGGATCCGCTCGGTTCGATATATGTCTCTCGCGGCGCCCAATATAGACCGGTATGAATACAGATTCGACTCGTAGCGAACCTTGATCACGGTGAGCGGCATGAGGATGAACCCCGCGAATGCCCGCGCCGAGGCCCCGGCAGCCATGTTGGCCGTGTTGGACAGCTTCGGGAGTGCGGACGAGTATTGTTGTTGTTGTTTGGTTGACGGCTTTGAATGGCCATCGCCAAGCGGGATCGTTCCTGCTGAGCCTGCCGAGAGCAGAGCGGCCTGCTGACGGATCGTGTTCAAGGTGGTAAAGTATATGGCGGACCCGATCCCTGTGCGGAGAGCCGAGGGCGCGGTGCCCCGCCAGAAGGCGCGCAAGGCATTGGGAGAGGCGGCGATCTCGCGAAAGGAAGAAGTGATGGAACTGGAGCCGGATTGCTGGACGCGTGTCTTGAGCAGGTCGATCGGCTGGAGCAGGACGGCACCAAAGATGCCAGACCCGAGACCGGCGGCGAAGTGAAAGGCTGTTGTTGGTGGGGCGGGTTTGGGGTCAGCGGGCAGGACCGATCATGATGTGAGCAGGGAGAGACGAGGCGAGTAGCAGCTCACCCTTTGAAGACGACCCATTGGAGGGGCCGGACTGTGCCATAGCACCGGCCGGAGGCGCTGTCTAGCGGTCCAGCAGTAGCAGGGCGTCCAGCTTCGATCAGTCGAGAGGCACGAGAGCGTCTGGTGGGTGCGGGCACATGAGCCTCGGATGGGGCGGCGCACTGGGAGGTGCGGCAGCTTTGGCGATCAGGACGACATGTGGTCAGAGAGGGCTGCGTGCTCTTGTTGGTTTTGGGGCGCTTGGTTATGTTCGAGGCAATTAGGCGGTTTGCAGACTTCCAAGGTTGAGCTGCTTGCCGTGGGGTTGTGCAAAGTCGTGATGTACAAGACTCAATGGCAGGCAGCTCAGCTCGCATGGGCTCGGCTTAGGCAAAATGCTGAATCGTCGGGGCGTGACGGTGCCGGTGCCCGCCCGCCGTTCACTGTGGGCCTTCAGGACCCCCGGACCGGAGCCAGCGCTCGCAGCACGTCACGGCTTACCTCATCCGGCATGCGCACAGGTCCCCCAACAGCCATCGCCTCCTGCATTCGGTCTCTACAAATCGCGGTTTCAAACGGTGCGGTTCATGTTTGGAATTCAGCTCCTCTCTTCAAGCTCGAAGATGCTCTTTCTGCGCCACAGTCTTCAAGCGTGGTCTGCTACGACCATAGCACCGAGGGCCAGTATCCTGTTGCGTCGTGCTCCGCCAGCAATCCCTACAGGATCCCGCTGCGGCATTGTTACCTGGGGCCTTGTAGCGGTGCACTTTGCTTCGCAGACCTACTGAGGGCCCTCCTCTTGTAGCAATCAGCTTCGTTGAACCATGCCCCACAGGAATGATCCGCTGCTGCGACATTGCATGCATATGCTACCGTGTGAGGTCGGACGAAGCCGCGTTGTAGCCTAACCGATGCTCAATGACAATGTGAGACCGCTCCTCGTGTAGCTGTGGACTTTGTTCCGCTTGCTACGGCGCTGGCAGTTTGGCTGGACTTCGTAAGCCCGAGCCGCTTGTGATACTCTTTGCGCGGGTGGCAATGTGAGTCGTCAAGTCTTGGCCGCCGGGTCTGAAGTTCCCTTGTCCTTAGCACCAACAATGGACTCGAGTCTACCTGCCATGACCCGGTGACGCTTCACCACCTCAACCCACTCGTCCTCTGCCGTCTCCCCGACATCGATAGAGGCCAACAACAGACTGAAGTCACCGCCCAGGCGACCCAGACTGCCCGCGCAGTACAGGACCTGTGTTAGTAAGCTGTCCCGAGACGGCTGGTCCTTCACAGTCGGCAGGTATACACGTAATGTCTCCATCAACATCTCTATCAAATGCAAGGGGAAGGTCGCTATCGCTGATGGCAGAGCCTGGAGTTCTTCGGCATCCGATGTTTCCTCTGGTCCCTGCGACGGGGCTGGAAAGATGCTGCGAAACATGGAGACAATGGCAAAGCTCTGTTCCCGAAAGATTTCGATATAACGTTTGAGATACCGTTCTGTCTGTTGTCCACCAGACCATGCGGCACCTGCGCTGGTCTGCTGCTGTTGTCGCAACTTTTCCTGGTCGGCCAACTCCCGCAGCGGCTCAAGAGCACCCAGCATGGTAAGGAGCGTGGAAAGACGACATGCGAGGAACAAGGCCCCCAAGCCACCACCGTGGCCACCGGCACTGGTCTTGTCCAACTCGGGTACAACACGGCGGAGCCAGCTGATCGCACGCAGCGCCGCCGCGAGCTTGAGCCCGGGGGCACGGAGGCTGGCAATGAGGTTCTTGGCCATGGCCTGCATGGCATCCTCAGCCTGGCCTGAGACCGACGAAACAAGAGGCGAGTCCGGGTACAAAGCTTGCAATCGACGAATATGGCCATTCAGGTCGAGGGCGGACGAGTAGTTGGCAGCGGGAGTAGCTGAGCCAGACGAGATGGCAGTGGCGAGCAGAGTCGGCAGGTCTAGTACGTCCACTAGCCGTTCCACGTTGGAAGCAAGAAGCAAGGCTTTTTTGCGCGCGTTGAGTATCTCGTTGTCGCCAGACTTGTGATAGGTGCTGGAGAAGCGTACGGCCTCTGCATCGAGCTTTGGGATGGCAGCGGAAAGGTCGCTCGTGGAGGATTCGAGGACGGGGAGGGCTGCCCGGAGCTGAGCATGTTTCTGAGCCGAAGCTATGACAGCCTTGTGCGAACGCTTGGATAGAGACTGCAGCGAAAGTAGCAGCGAGTGTGAGGATTGGGAGAGGTATTGTTGCTCGACCGTGTCGATCTGGGCGAGGGGCATGGAGGCCAACGTCGAGAGATACTGGAGCGCAGCAGCGCTAGGAGCTGGGCGCGAAGCGGTTGTGTGGCCGACTGCGGAGGGGGTCGCTGCATCCGGCACGAGCAAGTCGTAGAGAAGGTCGGCCATGATGGCGTGTCCTGGGCCCGACTAGGAAGCAGCAGCTCGTAGGCGTGGTTATCGAGTGGCAGCAGTGGTCATGAGGACGGTGTCATGGGCGGTCGCAGCTCCGTCGTGAGGCAGCTAGCACGAGTGTGGGGCTGTGATGTCGCGACGTGGTGTGTTGGATGGAGGAGTGAGTGGACGTCGAGCCGGCCTGTCCTGGCCAGGCCACGCGGGTGGTGCATGTGGTGGTTGCTGTCCCGGGCACAGTGGGAAGCCTGCGTAGCACAGGACCCTGAGATCCACAGGCACGCTGCCGTTGGCCACTTACTTCCCCTAACGGCAGCTGTCCAGCTGCTCAGGTGCAGGGGTTCCCCCGCCGCCGCCCCAACAAGATGACATGACGCCCGCCCGCCGCCTTCACGAGCCATGCTGCGCTGCTCCTCCTCCTCTCCGCATCTTGCTCTCCCGTCTCCCGGCACTGCTCATTCACTCTCCCCTTTTCCCACCTGTCCAACGTCATTTGACAGTTCAGGCGTGCACCAGCAACGAAACCGTGTGCCTGCCTGTCGACGGCTAGATTCGACCTGCACGTCGCCATCAACTCCCCGCGTTGCTCGATCCTCGAGCTTGACCATCGGGGTCTTCGTCCCTGTCACGCGGATTCACCCATAAGCCACACTTGCTGCAGCTCCCTCCTGCCGCGCCTGATCACGAGCCCCGTCAATTTCGGCCATCGTCACGTCGAGTCTTTGCATTTATAAAGGACAACCGGGATTATTCCAAGCTGTGTTCCCAGCCTCTCGCCCCTACATCGAGCACATCTACGAGAGCACGATCTGAAAGACCTGAAAATCGCCCGCCATGAAGGACCCATTCTTCATCCCGCCGAGCCCGATCCTGAGCAAGGCTGTACAGCCTCTGGCGGACTTTTTCTCGCTGCCGACGCTGCCTCTGCACATCCACGAGATTGTCATCATGGCGTCCTTCTACCAGTTCGTCGCCACCGTCATCTCGCCCCTCGTTTCACTCCTCATCTTCCCTACTCAATATGAGGCTCTGTCACGCTCCAAGAAGCTCAGCTGGGATGTCCACGTCGTTTCCTTGGTCCAGAGCACCACCATCAACATCCTGGCACTCTGGGTTCTTTTCACCGACCAGGAGGTCAAGGAGATGGACTGGCAGGAGCGCTTGTGGGGTTATGACGGGGCGGCGGCCATGATCCAGGCCTTTGCTGCCGGCTACTTCGTCTGGGATCTGATCATCACGGCGTCCAATGTCAAGATTTTTGGGCTCGGCATGCTCGCGCACGCCATTTCGGCCCTGCTTGCCTACTCTTTGGGTTTCGTAAGTCTTGCCAAGAGGACGATCGCGTCACCAGCACTGCTGTTGCTAACCTTATTCTTGATGCGAAGCGACCTTTCGTGAACTATTACAGCTGCAACTTCATCCTGTGGGAGCTGTCATCCCCATTCCTGAACATCCACTGGTTCTGCGACAAGGTTGGCCTCACGGGCTCCAAGTTTCAACTTTACAACGGCTTCCTCCTGATCGGCACCTTCTTCTCATGCCGCCTGGTCTACGGTACTCTGAACTCGTACTGGGTCGCGAGGGACATTTTAGCTGGTATCAATGCCACGCCCAATGTGATGGCGACCCTAGCGGCCAAGGACGCTGCCAACGTCACTCTGCCAGTCACCCTGCCGGCTTCATACGAGCAGACCATGATTTACGTCAACGAGAATACCACCGTGCCCTTGTGGCTCGCGGCGGTCTACATCGGAGCAAACCTGACCCTGAACTGCCTCAACTTCTACTGGTTCTTCAAGATGATCGAAGCCATCCGCAAGCGGTTCGACACTCCGGATGACAAGGCCGCGGACAAGAAGACCGTCGAGACGGAAGAGAAGCCCAAGGGTGCTGTCGAGGGCGCCACGACCGCCCTCGATGGTCCTGCCACAGAACTCAAGATGCGGCCGAGACGCGGCACTCTTCTCGACGGTGAGGAGGCCGATCTCCCGCCGCCCAACTAGTCAGTCTTGGACCAGAGGCACAATGTGTGCGTAGGCTCGGCACGGTTCTGAGCTTCTGTTGGACGTCGATCTTAAGGGCACGTGTCTGAGTGCAGAGCGGGAATGGCCTGGTCTTGCAGGACGAGGAGGCGAGCAAAGGACGCTCCATTCGATATTAGTTTTTGAGAACTTTTGGGTGCTTGCGTATATATATATATAGAAACGCGATAATCACACTCTCGGTGTGCCCCGATTGATCAAGGGCGGCGCTTTATACGGAACGAGGCAATACATAGCTAAGGCAAACAACGAGATAGGTATCATATCGATTAATCAGTTCTTGCTCGCGACATCACCTTGTGTTTTCCCAATAGTCACAGCCAGCTAGGGCGGAATGGCAATGATAATTGGCTACCAAAGTGAAAAGTAATGCTGTTCCACGCGAAATGCTCATCGCGCGTGTGACCTTGCCAAAACGAAGAGGAGCAGCAGGAAGCCAGTGGTAGAACCAGTACTAATAAGCCAGACGAATGCCAACAACTTAGACATCTTCGAAGACTCTACGTAGCTTATATGTAAAGTATTTGTATATGTATATATATAGACATTAGAACCACACTCCATCCCCCCCCCCCCCCCCCCACATGTCCTGTCCTCCCGCTCACACGCATTGTCCATTCCTAGCGACTTCCTGGTCTATCATCATCCTTGTAGAATGGTCGCATCCCTCTCGAGCCTTACACGCCGTGCATGCTCGCCACCCTCGTGGCGCTACAGTTCAGCCAGAACCGTACGCGGATCGGGTTCACTGACAGACGACTCAAAATCCAAACGGGTTGTCCGGCGCTGCAGAGGTAGGCCACATGTCAGTCATCAGACGAGATCAAGGAGATGGCACCAAGCAATGGTGCAAATAACTTACTAGCTGCGGACAAGTTTGCACGACGGCCCGTCGGTTGAGGCGCAATCTTTTCTGTGACTCCGAAACGCACAGGCGGCGCAGGGCCCGTCTGCTGGGGCTGAAGCGGTTGCAGTTGTGGCGGGGGTGACGTGCTGTTGACCCCGTTGCTGTAGCCCGGGCCGGCGCCACCACCCACGCGGGTGAAGCCGCCGAATCCGGCACCAGTGGGTTGGGGTTGCATGGGCTGCATGGGCTGCATGGGCTGCATGCCGGTCCTGTCGGGCTCAAGAGCCGGTGGCAGGAAGGAGTTGATGCCGGTCTGCTGGGGGAACTGCTGTTGTGGGGGCTGACCAAAGCCACCTGCGAAACCCGTGGGCTGATTGTTGATGGGCGAGAACTGCCCTTGTGGTTGGAAAGGTCCTTGTTGCATCTGGCCCATCTGAGGCATGCCCGTCATGTTTGGCTGCATGAATTGATTCGGCTGGAAACCTGTCGGCTGTGGCATCATGCCAGGGTTGTAAGACATGCCTGTCTGCTGGGGTTGGAACATCCCCATCTGCTGCTGCTGCTGTTGTTGCTGCTGCTGCATCATCATCATCATGCGTTGTTGGTTGATCTCGTTAAGGCTTTGCCCGGGAGGAGCAATGCCCGTCGCTTGAGGCTGCATTGGGGGCAGATTGAAAGCGCTTGGCTGGGCAGACTGTGGTGCTGAGAGAGCACGTCCTGGCGGAGGAGCAATCATTCCACTGCCAACACCAGTCATTGCGGGAGGTGTCGGGCGTGCACGAGGTCCAAGCCCGAGGCCCAAAGGCTGCGCCGGGGCTGGCGACCCCGTCTGCAAGGGTTGAATGCCTGTGATCTGCTGAGCGACCCCAGTGAAGAAAGAAGGAGTGGCGCCTTGAGGTTGGGTCTGTGTCAGCTGTGGTTGGAGCGCGGATTGCGGTTGCGGTGGCGGCTGTGTGATCGCCGGTGGTGGTGCTTTCGTGGGCTCCAGCGGTTGTGAGAGTAAAGAGAGCTCCTGCATGGACTGAGTAGGAGGAGGCTGTGCCGGCTGAGGCGTGGCCTTGGGTTCCGGAGAAGCGACTTGCGCCGGTCTCGCAGGGGCTTCGGCTTGCTTCGAGGGCTTGACATCCCACGCATCATCGTCGAAGCCGCTACTGCCTGCAGTAGTAGGGCTCTTCGTAGTCTTGGGTCGGCTAACCACCGGGGAGCTCGTCTCAGAGCTGTCGGCACTGTCGTCCTTTTGCTGAGAAAAGGCCTTGGGGTCAACTACATCACTCGTCTGTGTCGCTGGCGCGGGCCGCCCCTTCCGAGTGTTATTTCGTAGCGTTCCACCTGGGCCGGAGAACAGGCCGCCACCGCTTTCACCATCATCAGCCGCCTTCTTCTTGCCGTCGCGCCCAAACTTCTTGTCTAGGTAACGCATAACCTTCAGTATGTCGCCTTCCCGGAGTCCAAGGTTGCGAAGGACACTGGCATCGACATCGGGCAGTACGCTCTCGTCCATGGAGTCCTTGATAAAAGCTTGCGCATATCGCTCACAAAGCCCGACAGCGACGTCGCACGACAAGAAAAACTGGAACCAGTCGTAGTCGGACTTTGGTGCCTCAATGGTCGCGCCAACCTTGGCTCCTTGCGGTCGCGAGGAGCTGCTTGAACCACTAGGCCTCGACTTTGCAGCTCGCTTAACGTCCGACAGGGGACGGTCTTCGTCGAGCGACTTGCCTGTAACCTGCTCGACGTACTCGATGTCCTCTACTGACATCTTAGCCACAGGAACGGCGATCTTGACACCATTCATCTTGTGGAGGTTGATCTTGCCGTCCTTAAGACCAAGGAACTGGGCTTCGACACTGAACGACTTTGAGCGGTCTGTCCAGGATCGGACCTTTTTAGGGTCAGGCTCTGCGTGCATGGGTCAGTGACTTTCTTCTTGAGATGATGGAAGAATGCTTCAACTTACTAGACTTGGAAGAGCTTGAACGTGAGCTCTCGTTCCTAGTGCTTTCACGCCGACTGCTTCCGTCTGTAGGCTCCTTCTTGAGAGCCTCGCGTGTCAAGCGTTGCTCTTCGAGTCTGTTCTGCGCCACATGAGATTTTCCTGCATTGATGCCGGACGTGGACGATGCAGCCATTGCCGTTGTCGGCGTCTTTACCGTCTCAGTGACCTCGACATAGCTGCTCGGAACGACGCCTTCCTTGCCGTTTTTTACTCTGCGAACCAACCACCACTCATCGCTCTTGGTGTCATCAAGCACGATTACGTCGTCACCAATGGCGACAGTGACCTCGTCATCACCTTGCGCCATGAAATCGTACAGCACAAGACCCTTTTTCTGAAGCTGGCCGGTCCCGGCGGCAATGACCTCGCGGAGGCCTTCGGCACGCATAGCACCGGAGAGCTCGCCCAATGCGCTCACAATCTCCTCAGCAGTGTCCTTGGCTCCCGCATGGAAGTCGATGCTCTTGCTCGGCTTGACGAGCTCCATAAAGACGTGCTTGCCTTCTCTCGAGTAGTGCGTCATCTTGTCGGCGGTCCACTCTTGCGTAGGACCATCCTGCGCATGCTCAGGAGCAATGAGGATGACGCCTGTCTTGAGGTTCACGCCAAGAGTCGTGGGCATTTTTTTCTTCTTGCCCATAACTGAAACCATTTCGTTGATGTTGTACATGTGGAAACCTCCAGGCGCAATCCGTGCAGCCTGGCTGTCGCGCGAAGCTTCCTCATCGTAATGGCGACTCGACGTTCGAGGCGGCGGCGAAGCGAGGGAATCATCGTTGCTCACTACAGATTGATGTCTCGGACGGTTCGGTAAAGCAGGACTGGGCTCTTCCTCGGACTCTGAGTACATCTGTCTGGAAGGAGCTTGGATTGGGCTGGGTGGTGAGGCGCGGACTGCGCTCCTGCCAGCCATGACGCCTGCCAGAGCCGCGGCTGGTCCGGCCGGTGCTTCGGGACTCGGAGGAGCCACATCGTCGGCGAACGACACTTGGCGCGGCGGCAAAGGCGGGCTCGCAGGTCCATCGTCCTCTTCGACGCGCGCAGCCGGGGGCCGAGTTGGAAGACTGGGTGGAGGTGGCGCGGCGGCGGCGGTGGCAGATCCAGCATCGACCATCTCGATGTAGTTGGCTGGGGCGAAGCCGAAGTCACCCTCGTAGGCGACCAGGATCCAGTCTTCATCAGTCGTGTCGAAAACCTGCAACTGTGCTTCTTCCGGAAAAGACAGCTCTTCATCGGTCTGGCGGGTATATTCGTATAGAGAGCGCGCGTGGCCAACAGGGCCGACCTGTTTAGAGCAGACAGCGAGATTAGCTTTGACACATTGTGTATCGCCGGGCAATTGCCAGCATCACGATAGCGTTGGCGGTACGGACCTCCTCGACATAGTTGTTGGGTATCAAGCCGACAGGCTCGTCATCGTCCTCCACGTCGGCCTTCTTCTTGGCCTTCCACCAATCATCATCTGTGCTCTTTTCGAGGACGTAGAGGACGTCCCCTTCCGTGAGCTGAAGCTCGCCCTCTGATTGCGGCGCATAATCGTATATGGCCTTGTATACACCAAGAAACCCCATTATGTTCGAAAAAGCGCCGTCGCTTGCGCCAGAAACTTGGACTCGTGAGGCAGGCCGGGCAATTGTGATCGGGCTCGAGAGCTGCTAGTGGCGCGCATGCGTGCGGACAGGACACGGCTTAAATGAGGGGGTCGCTCCTATCGCCAGACCACAGTTGGACTCCGCGACCGGACTGGCGGTTGGGCGATTCAGGATGGGATCTGCTGCTGTCGTTCAAGGCCTAGGGAACGTATCCGAAGCTGGCGATGGCGTCTTCGGAGCAAAGTTGGTGCTCGTAAAGGTTCGATGGAGCGGCCGTGGAATTAGGGGCTGGGCGTTGCCTGGGAGAGGGTGAGTGCTGCGCGGGCTGGGCGGCACAGGGGTCGCTCGACTGGCTTGTGTCGGCTCGAAGCTCTAGAGAGAAGTCTATAACACGGAATGAGTGCTGTGTAGCTCTCGAGCTGTCGGAGACGCTGCCTGTCGACTGGTGAAGGAGGCACGAGTGGCCAGCGGATTGGGCGTGGGAGGTGTGCTGGGGAAGCGGAGCTGGTGACATGAGCACAGTAACCAGGAGACAAGAGGGATTGGAGCCCCGTCATGCCCGCCTGTCGCCGGTGCTGGCGCCTGCGTAATTGAGAGAGAGGTGGGAACTGGATTGGGCAGGGGTCCCACAGCTAGCGAGTAAGGCATGGCTCGGCGCGTCCAGCTCCTGCTGTCCGAAATACTGATGCACACAAATCTCTATAGATGACGCGTGCCGGTATATGCGGACACCTGAGATCCAGTCCATCTGTTCCCGGCGAGCGATGTTTCTCTAGCCTCCATCTGACTGCCGTCCTTGACAAAGAGATAGACGTGATGCTCGCATGCCAGGAACCTAGCATTCATGGTTTGACTCCACAAAATATCCAGCGCTTGTGAATGCCTTGGGCCCAGCCAAATTGGTTGTTGTCTCGTTCCGTAAGCTCGATCGGATGCAGGATGACACACGCAGCTGGCCGTGCCCGCAGGTCTGACGTAATCTGCACGACCAGACAGGCTACTCCGCTGTTCACATTGCACAGCTGATTGCCCACGCGAGTACAAGCCAGTCGTTGCTTTCAATACTTATTGGTGCATTCTATGAGGATTTAGATATTGCATCAGGGGCCAGTAACTACTTGAAAGCACCCGGGTTGGGTCGCTGTGATCATCCACGTTATAATATTGCAGTACAGCCACACCAAGTCATATCGACATGTCTTCTGACTTCGCATCTAGTGCCCTTCCTCTGTGCCGCTCGGCTGACGAGTCAGATGCTGCGAAGCACTCAGATCGTCCGACTCATGCACCGAGCTCTGCCTCACGCTCCCTCGTCGAGAGGCTCGGGTCATCATGCCAGGCAGGTAACGCGGCTCATGGCCTGACAAATGTTTATCGCCGTCGGGGCCCCAGGGTCCATCTTGCGTCTTGTTCCCCACGGGAGATCCGAATGCATTTTGGCCAGCTCCGGGAGGAAGGTCAGCCTGTGAGACAGATCTGGGCAGTCTCAAGTCAGCTGCTGTGCTGATACTAGGAGCATGGGCCTTGATGGACGAGTTTGGTGAAGCTGGAAATGTTTCCGGCACGCTCTGCTGCAAGGTGTCAGGGCTGGTAACTAGGTCACCAGCTTGTGTAGCCGTGTACTTGGAAATCCTGTTGCAGAGGCCCGAGTCAGTAATGATGCAAAATAATTTCAAGCGGGGGTAGCATACATGCGGTGTTCCTCGACCCAAGTGTGGTATCTGAACTCCTCTCTGCGATCCGGCACGTTTGTCTTGACCATCTTGTTCCCTTCTCTCCCCGGCAGGTTGTACCGGTCACCTAGCCATTGCTGTTTGATGGAGTGCTCGTATCCGCTCTGCTTGACCGAGTTCTTGGCCAACTCGCACATGTCGACCGGGCTGAGCTTGTAAATCTGAGCCGCGACAGCATATTCTTCCATGAGGGGCTCCTTCGTGAAGGCAAACTGCAGCGGGTCATCCGTTGACAGGGAGACGTTCAGTCCGCGGCGGAAGTATTGGTAGAACGGGTTTCTTTCGTATGCGAGAAAGAGGGCGTTGTTACTGAGAGGCGACATGGCAATGCCAATCTGTTCCAGATAGAAGATATACTGCAACAGAGGCACCTTCCGAAGTAGAAGGCCATGACTGATGCTATGGCAGCACAGAAGTGCGACCGCCAGATGCTCGCTGTCACCCGCTTCTCCGCAGTGTGGCCGGAGGACAAATGTGTTGAACCCACGCTGTCGGCGCCAGAAGTTCAGTGACGTCATGTTGGCAAACAGGTAGTACTGCCAGTAACTATACGGAGGGTTCTGCTTGGAGGTCCATTCCTTTGGTACTGGGAACTTCTTGTACAGCCGCCGCTCGATCTTGCTCTCATCATCTACGCTATCGAAGCCGATGACTCTCTGCAAGAAAATGTGCAGTTTCGGGTGGCTGGTGGGGTCCTTCGTCACTTCGAAGAGTGGTTGAAAGACGTTTTTGATGACTTGCTCGTACGACTCCATGAGATTCGAGGCCTTGTACACATCGTACAGGCGAGGGATCTGGATCAGCCATCGTACGTTGTGCGAGAAGAGCTTGTTGTCCACGACCCAAGCTGCAAGTTTATCCCATTCATCCAGAGACTTGCCGTAAATTGAGATGCGCCATTCCACCATCTGGTACTTGCTGGATTCCAAATCAGCAATCACCTCCTTGGTGATTTCAGCGAGATACCGGCCTTTGATGAAGTTGTCGGTCTTGAGGAAGATTGTTCTCAAACGCGACTCGCCAATCGGGTTGTATTTCAGGTTGAACTTGTCAAAGCGGTGGAAGGAATCGGTGTGTGCCTAAAAATGAGGTGTTATTCGGACGACTCGGGCACAGCAAGGACAAACACTCAGCAAGCCACCCAGTGCTTCCACTTACATGCATATCAAGAGTGTCAATGCTGAGATCGTAAGCAGTCAGGTTGATGCTTTCAAAGACCTCCGCGAGTGTGAGCTCCTTGCCATCTCGGTCGAGGACAACTTCGTCGGGATGCTTCTTCATTTTGCTCTTGATGAAGCGAAGAAGGTGCTTTTGGTTCATGCAAGCAGAGTGGTGTACGTGGGTATCAACCTTTCTGACGTTGTAGAAATCTCTGTGGGGCACCTTCTTGCTGTCGGCGGTCTCCTGATACTCATTCAAAAGGGTGTACAAATTAAATTTGCCCTCCAGGTACTGGAGGCGTCTGAAGGCGAAGCTTTTGCTGGGGCCATCAGACGAGATTGCCAAGATTTGCTCAAGGTCGATATAAAAGTCCTTGAGGGTAGGAACGCCTACTACTGGAGTGTTGGCCACTTCTGCTGCCGAATTCTCGAACACTTGGTAGACGCCGCTTTCGTCAAGGCGATAGGTGAACTCGCTTGGGGGTGGGAATGGCGCGACTTCCGCCATGTCAAAATCTTCTCCAACATCGTGACCGGGCTTTCTCTTCCTCACAGGCTTCTTGTTCTCGTTGCCCTCTGCGCCGGGGTCTGTCGATCGCGAAGGGGTAGACTGTGGCGGCGGCAGAACCGTGCTGTTGCTCATGCTGTTATTACCAGTCACGGGAGCCGGTGGATCCTGATGTCCAGCTGGACCGACCCAAGCAGGCTCGGGTGGTGGTGGGTAGATCTCCCAGCTGGGCTCGTCCTTTGGGTTATCCCCATCTCTCTGCAGCGAGAGCCGAATGTACTTGTGGCGCAGATCGATGATCTTCTGAATACTTTGGAAGATGGTGCTCAGCTCGGCCGTTATGTATGCGTCGCCAGCGTCCCCAGAAGCAATTCCATTCGTGAGGCCGTCAGGTTGTCCCACTCCAGGCTGGGGGCCTTGTTGGCCGTGGACGGCAGGGTCGAGGGAGATTGGTGCAGATGTGGGTGGCAGCTTGACAGAAGGTCTAGGATACCCACCCAATGATGGCTGCGTTGCAGTCCGGGGCTCGGGTCCAGCACGATGAGAAGTAGGCATGGCACCTGCAATGTGCGGAAAGTTGTAGCTTTCAGCAGCTGCCGAAGGCAAAGACATTTGGCTGGCGCTTGAGGGAAAGTGTCCGTTCACCGGGGCCTGTCCAGCATTGTGCAACGAGAGGGTATCAATGGCGGGCAAGCGAGTACCTGCCGAGAATGCAGGGCTCCCATGGGGAGTGACCTGAGATTGGCCCCAGGCCGCTTCCCCGGTCTTCACCAGATCCAGTTGGCTTCTCTGGTAGAAGAGTTTGGCATCCGTCTGCGTCATCTGGCGCTCGGCGACAGGATCGTGGAAGGTTGTCCTCTTAGGAAGATCGCGAGGGAGCATTCCGTCCTGATACTCTGGTCGAGACTCTGCAGTACGGCTCGTGCCTAGACCATGCCCAATTGCACCCGCCTCCGAGTCGCTCTCCGTCTCATTATCATAGTCCTCGGCGCCGTCGGAGTCATGTTCGAGCTGGTGGTGCGAGGGGTGAAGCTTGGGTGAAGGCTCCTCGGAAGGAGGGTCGTGGTCGAAGTGCGCAGTTGCTGCTTGCCCAGCCGGTCAGGTCAGCGAAAGTGCCACGGGACAGCACATCCATGGCTAGGATGAGCATCGCAAAAATTGAGAAGAAATTGGATCCAAATTGTACTAACACGCCATTTTCCCAGCGCCCGAACTAACAGCCTTCGTTCTAGTAGTTCTATCTGAGGTTGACTAGACCGATCAGGGAACAAACCACTAGCCGTGACACGGTTGATATGGGCTGTAGAGACAGGGAGCCGTCAATGTTGAAGAGAAGATGAAGAGATGGACCAGCAGGTTGAAGGTGTCTTGCAAAGCAAGACCCAGGTCGATGGCAAGGTGGGGTTTGCTCTGAGCTGCAAGGGCGCTGTTTGGTCAACTAACCTAACAGAACCACGTCAAGCTGGTGACGGCAATTGCAAGATGCGGTGGAGACCTCCCAGGTGAGAGAGCGTGGGGTGGGGTGTTGGACGGGTCGTTGTTTCAGCTCCTCAAGTCGACTCGGCATGCCAGGGTATGCTCTGCTCGACAAAGTGCAGCTTCTTTTTTTTGTGAAGTCCAGGTCATGCAAGGTACAGTCATGGTCACCATTTTTTGACTCATCCCCAAGCAGGCCAAAACCGTATTTCGGCCGTCTGTGGCTTTGTTGCCTTTCAACCCACGGGAGGCTCCGGCGGTCTCCGCAGATAGCGTCACTGGTGGGGGACTCCGCGAACCCTGGCTCACCTAGGTGTAACTGTTGACTAGAGTCCATTTGTTGACCTCTTCAGAACCTCACCATATAATTGTGCTCTGTCTTCTCAGAATACATCCACAGCGGAGGTAGCCAAGTGTTGGGACTTTGGGATTGGCAGCACGGCAGGATATCATTGGTGTGTACGTGATACGTCCAAAGCGTGCGTCCGGGTTCGTAGACCAGAGTATCTTTTACCGGATCTCAATGAAGTTGCAGACCCTGGCGCACTACGCCTCTGGCCGGTGGCCGCCCGCCGCTGGTGGTGGAGTTTGACCCTGGTCTGCGCCCGCACTCCGCCGACTTCCGAAAGTCGGCAGCAATGTTCTAGAAGTCCTGGTACTTCACAGGGCACTGACGACCATCATCGTGGATCTGGCTTCAAGCTCTCAATGGCTTGACTACCGCAGGTCGAACTTAAAAATGGTTGTCTGCGGCTACAAGCATGATGCCCTCAGCTAGAGCTGGTGCTTCCGCCACGCCATCCTAACCTCAGCCAATTGCGAAAGGACGTAGATTGGCTAAGTGAGCTCGCACTGTGATTAGTCATGCACTCATGCACCAGACGTGTCTCGTGGTCGCCTGGAATCAATTAAAGCCCACCTGGGCAGGCGCGTCAAGCATCGAGCAAGACGCGTCGTCTCATGCCCCACCAAGGAAGTCGAACTTGTCTGCTCACTGTCAACACAACACCAACGCCGCTGAGGAACTAGCACCCCGGCACCGCTTGCACATATCGATCCACGACCAGGAAAGCAGCTGCTGGTCGCCGTATTTCCAACGAAAACTTGTTTTCCCTGACTACAAGCATAGAGCACTGAATCATGGCCGGTTCGTTGTCAAAAGCCAGTGCTCCGTTGCTGTGAGCTGGTCGCTAACTATCCCAGATTACGGCGGTGGCTACTCGACAACTTCCTACGGGAATGGTGGAGGCGAAGGCGGCGGCGGCTTCATGTACGGTGGCTCCCAAGGTGGCAGCCAAGGCGGTCAGAAGGTGAGTCGCCTTGATGCAAGCCGGCGGATGGTTCTTGTGCCATCCATGCCTGCCAACCCGTGCTGACCTGGCTCTACGATACGCACAGAACTTCGCCGATGAATCATTACGGCCAGTCACCATCAAGCAGATCATTGATGCTGAACAAGGCGCCCCAGAAGACCCCTTCCGGATCGACGGGCAAGAAGTCACACAGGTCACCTTTGTCGGCATGGTGCGCTCGATATCCCCACAGACGACAAACATCACGTACAAGATCGATGATGGCACTGGCATCATCGAGGTGAAGCAGTGGCTCGACAGCGATAAGCAGGACGAGGCGTCCTCCAAGGCCGACATCCCTCTCGACAGTTACGTTCGCGTCTGGGGCCGAGTTCGCAATTTCAACAGACGGCATGTTGGGGCTCATGTCATCAAGCCCGTCCAGGACTTTAACGAGGTGAACTATCACCTCCTGGAAGCCACTTACGTCCATCTCTTCTTCACAAAGGGCGGGCTGCCCAGCGCTGGTGGTGCAAATGGCTCAGGCGGCGACAGCATGTTCGTCGACAACGACTCGTACGGCAACAGTGGTGGAAATGCCAGTTTGGCTGGCATGTCTGCCAATGCCCGTAAGATGTTCCAGTGGCTGCAGAACGCGGAAGGCGGCAACGAAGGTGTCAACTTGCACATGATTGCGCAGGGTGCTCGCATGTCCGTACCGGACGTCATGGCTGCCTCGGAGGAGCTGATAGGTCCTGGGTTGATCTACACGACTGTTGATGACGAGACTTTTGCTATTCTCAGCTACTGATAAGCGGAGACGGAGTCGGCACATAATTAAGAGTATAGAAATGCGATCAAAACTGGCGAGGACCCAAGCCGGATTCTGACGTTCTTAAACCAACATTTTGTCTCGCTCGATCTCCAGCGGATGCATGGCCACGTGGAATGACCTGCAATATCAAAGCACCAGGCACATATATTGGCCTTTGCAAGGGTCCCCGTGGCTCAGTCCAGTGACGTCCATATTTGAACAATCGTGGGGCTGATGCGCATGGATTGACTAGTCGTGGAAATGCTTTCACGGCAGAAGTAACTTAGGTGTGTAGACATGCAGAACCTCAGGCTTCACCAACATATGCGTTTGGCGACGAACGCCACTGCAAATGATATGGTGCGGACACTTTTGCGCCGCCCGGAAGCCATATTTTTGAGTGCAACTGAACGGCCAGCTGCATTCGTTGCTCATCGCAGCACACCATTTGGTCGCCCTCCACAGTGTATAGTGCTCGCCCATGTGAGATAGACACGGTATCGGCGGCTTGCTCAGGGGTGCCCCTTGTTGCAGATCTGACTAGGAACGGTAGGCCAGCCGTCAAGGCTAGCCCAGCGCAAGCTGGCCATCGCTAGCCGCGCAAAGCCTTCACGACGTAAGCGCATCGATTACCTGGCGCTCTGGTAACTGCACAGTATTGAGCTTCAGCAATCAAGGTCACTGAGCCACAGCCAGGCACATTCACAGGCCCCTCATCTTCTTGACTCGCTTGACAGTGTCAGCCGAGGCCAGAACATAGAAGGCAGGCAGAAGAGAAGGGTTGTTCCCGAACCCAAATCGTCTTTGTCGTCCCAGTGACAAGTTTCTTCTGACAAGCTGGGCACGGTACCACACGGGTCGCATACGGTCCTACGTTTGCCAATTTTGGGCGCGACACGACTGACTTGCGCCTCGACCACACCATCATTACAAGGCCATACTTGTGCCTGCCTACATCTCGCCAGCGCCAACCGGTCTATCTTCAATCGGAAACCATTTGCCAGAAGTCTGCATCATCCTAAGACTGCGCGCACTGCTGCAACATCCCTTCATTCTCGCTCCTTGCCGTCCTTCTTGCGCGCCCTCACGCTGAATGTGGTGGCGCCCATCCGCATTGCGAAGTAGCATTGCGACTGTCCGGCACTGCACCGCATCCCGTCCTTCCTCCTCACCGCGGATCTTCTCTCTCGAGCCGGTGTCTCGTTGTCATTCTAGGCATCTGAAGTGCAGTCTTCGGTTATTCCGAACCACAACCACCATGAACGGCATTGCCTCAGCGACCCGACCGAAGCGCAAACACGGAGCCTCATCACCCAACGACAGCCGACCTCACAAGCACCTTAGACCGACGAATGGCAAGAACTCGCCCGGCGAGAACACCCCCGATGTCTCCCTAGCGTACGACGGGGTCGAGGAGGCCTTTGACGACCTACCACAGAACCAGTACAGTCTGCTGCCAGGCGACACGGCGGAATGGCAGGCCACTGTCGAGCGTGTCGTGCGCAACGTCGTCTCGATTCGCTTCTGCCAGACATGCTCCTTCGACACCGATGCGGCTTGCGCGAGCGAGGCGACCGGCTTCGTCGTCGATGCCGAAAGGGGCTACATCCTGACAAACCGGCACGTCGTTGGATCTGGTCCGTTCTGGGGGTATGTGGTCTTCGACAACCATGAAGAGGTCGACGCCTATCCTGTTTACCGCGACCCCGTTCACGATTTTGGCATACTGCGGTTCGATCCCAAGGCCATCAAGTACATGCCCGTGGCAGAGCTGAAGCTGAGGCCTGATCTGGCCAAAGTCGGTTGCGAAATCCGTGTGGTTGGTAACGATGCAGGTGAAAAGCTCAGTATCCTCTCAGGCGTCATAAGTCGACTTGACCGCAATGCTCCCGAATACGGAGAAGGCTATAGCGACTTCAACACGTGCTATTACCAAGCGAACGCAGCGGCGAGCGGAGGCAGTTCCGGCAGTCCTGTAGTCAATATTGACGGGTTCGCTATCGCGTTACAGGCTGGTGGACGATCTGATGGCGCGTCAACAGACTATTTCCTACCCCTCGACCGACCACTACGAGCTCTTCAGTGCATCCAGGAGGGCAAGCCCGTGGAACGCGGCACGATACAGTGTCAGTTCCTACTGAAGCCTTTCGATGAATGCAGACGGTTGGGCCTCACCTCAAACTGGGAGGCTGCTGTGCGGTCTGCCTTCCCGAAAGAGAACAACATGCTCGTCGCCGAGATTGTCTTGCCGGAGGGTCCATCCCATCACAAGCTGGAGGAAGGTGATGTCTTGCTCAAGGTCAATGGCGAGCTTATCACACAGTTTATCCGCCTCGACGACATATTGGACTCGAGCGTGGGCAAGACTGTGCGACTCACCTTGCAGCGCGAGGGCGAAGATGTCGATGTCGACATTGACGTCAAAAACCTGCATGACATCACTCCGAGTCGCTTCTTGACTGTCGCGGGCGCCAGTTTCCACGACCTCTCATATCAACAAGCCCGGCTCTACGGTGTTGCGTGCAAGGGCGTGTTCGTCTGCGAGTCAACAGGTTCCTTTGGCTTCGAGAGCTCCGATCACGGCTGGATGATCCAGTCTGTGGACCAGAAGAAGACACCTGACTTGGACACCTTCATCGAGGTGGTCAAGCAGATTCCCGATCGCAAGCGTGTCGTTGTTACATACAAGCACCTTCGCGATCTCCACACATTGAACACGACCATTGTCAACGTCGACCGCCATTGGGCAACGAAGATGCGCCTCGCGGTACGGAACGATGAGACAGGTCTGTGGGACTTTAAGGACATTGCCGACCCGCTCCCCCAAATCCCGCCGGCGCCTCAGAAGGGAACGTTTATTGAGCTCACGCACACATCTCACCCAGCCGTCGCCGATCTCGTGCGGAGCTTCGTGCACGTCAATTGTACGATGCCACTCAAGCTCGATGGATTCCCCAGGAACCGGAAATGGGGTATGGGCCTGGTCATTGATGCGGACAAAGGTCTCGTCGTGATTTCAAGAGCTGTCGTGCCATATGATCTCTGCGATATCTGGCTCACGATAGCAGACTCGATCGTAGTGCAGGCTAAGGTGGTGTTCATGCACCCACTGCAAAACTATGCCATTATCCAGTACGATCCCAAGCTGGTCGACGCACCAGTGACCAGTGCCAGGATGAGCAGTGAGCCCATCGCCCAGGGCGCTTCTACAACCTTTATCGGCTATAACCGGAGCGGACGCATTGTTCACGCTGCTACCACTGTCACTGAAGTCACAGCCGTATCTATCCCGGCCAATTCTGGTGCTCCGAGATATCGTGCAACCAACGTTGATGCTATCACCGTCGACACGAGTCTGAGTGGGCAGTGCGGCAGCGGTGTGCTAGTCGATAAAAACGGCACCGTCCAGGCTCTGTGGCTCACGTATCTCGGTGAACGGTCGCACAGTGGCAGAGACGAGGAGTACCACCTCGGCTTAGCCACGCCGACACTCCTGCCGGTAATCTCGCAGATCCAGCAAGGGCAACGCCCCAAGCTGAGGATGCTCTCGGTCGAGTTCCGCGCGGTGCACATGGCACAGGCCCGGGTGATGGGAGTTTCCGAGGAATGGATCTCCAAGGTGTCCGAGGTCAACAAGCACTCGCACCAGCTCTTTATGGTATCGAAGCGGACATTTGAGCGCCACAGCCACCCGCAGGTCCTGCTCGAGAGCGACATTGTGCTCACTCTGAACGGCAAGGTCATCACAAAGGTATCCGACTTTGACATTATGTACTCGCACGACGTGCTTGACGCCGTCATCGTCCGCGAGAGCAAGGTGGTGCACCTGCAGATCCCCACCGTCTCGGCCGACGACGTCGAGACGGACCACGCCGTGTCCTTCTGCGGCGCGGTGCTGCACAGCCCGCACCACGCCGTCCGCCAGCAGATCAGCCAGCTACACAGCGAGGTATACGTGTCTGCTAGGAGTAGAGGCTCGCCCGCGTACCAGTACGGCCTCGCCCCAACAAACTTCATCACCCATGTCAACGGGAAGCCCACACCGGATCTTACGGCCTTTCTGGCTGCCGTGACCAAGATCCCGGATAACACCTGTAAGTCTTGCCCAACAGCAATTTGAACCCCCCCCCCCTCCCCTTTATTCTCTGACCGGTTTTTCGTCTGGCCTCCGACCAATAATACTGATCGTGCTTGTCCAACGTACAACAGATTTCCGCCTGAGGGCAGTCACCTTTGACAACGTCCCGTGGGTCATCACCATGAAGAAGAACGAGCACTACTTCCCGACGACCGAGTGGGTCAAGGACCCCTCGGACCCGTGTGGCTGGCGGCGCACCACGTACGAGGACGATGGGAGCGTCGTGCACGGCGAGCCGACCGAGGGCGTCAACCCGGGGGCCATGGTCGCCGAGGACGGCGGCGCAGTCGAGATGGAGGAGGATGCCGCTGATGCTGTAGAGACTGCGAGCTCTTGAAAAGGACGGGGCGGCCCCGTGTGTCGTCGATCTGCCGTGGTGTGTGGTGTTGTGTGGTGTGGTGTGGCGTGGAGCGAAGGGAGAGTTGGTTTGGAAAGTGCGGCAAGACACGGTGTGACAGACAATTGTACAAGATAGATGCCATCAAAGTATCCCCCCCGCCTTTCTCCCGTCTGGTTCCTTGCCGCTATGGTGCCGACAAGCTCGGGTCGGGCGCAGGGGCACAAACATGTAGCATACAATAAAGACAATGTGCAAGAGAGACAAAGTCATGCAAGTTCTAAAGTCTTGGCGGTTCTTTGAACGCTCCCCCTCGCAACAGTCTGACGCGAGACGATGGTTCTTTGGCGGTCCAACTGTACATTGCATGACGCATTATAGTCTAATCCGCTGGCTAGTGTGAAGCTTTCCACCGCCGCCGCCGCCGCCGCCGCCGCCGGGGAGGCCGAACGTGTATATACCTGGACAAAACATCTCAAAGCCATCCGAGCAGTCTATAGTTATACAACAGTGGAAATGCAGAGAGAGAAAAAGTACCCTGTGCAACAAAGAAGAACGTCATAGAAACCACGCACACAATGTGTACTTTTGTCTATAGCACCATAACAACTGCCACACCTACGGCCGCAAGAAGCCCAGTGCCGACTCCAGAGCCACCCATCTGAGACCATCTACTGTTTGCTGCCGCAATGGGCACGTTGGACGAGGGTGTCGGGACCGCCACGCCGGTGCCTGGTGCCGTGGAGGAGGAGGACGGTCTGACTGTGGGTGCCGGGATGAGGATGGTCGAGGTTGTGCTTAACGGCGGTGCCGTGAGTAGAATGGAGGTGGGAGTGGTGCTGGCGGCGGACTCGTCCGGGGTAATGACGGACGGAATGATTTCCGACGACGTCAGAGTCTGGCATGTGGACGGCCCGTGGGCTCCGCCGCCCGTGCCGGTGCTGGCAGAGGTCTCGACGAAGATCTGGCTTGTCGGCGCAGCGTCGGAAGGTGTGCTTGCCGGTGGAGGCAGCACCGGAGCCGCCGTGTTGGCCGCTGTGTTGGTGGTGGTCGTAGGTAGGCCGATGTCGTTGCTGGTAGGAGGAGGAGCTGGGGCGGGAGCCGGCGTGCTGGTGGGCACAGAGTCCGAGGTGAGCACCCCGGGGAGGCCGTATGCCTGAGCACACTGCTCGAGAGTCATGCTGTCTGGGCAGCACCAGGTTGCACCCTTGGCGTCGGCCGAGCAGAAGAAACCAGCATCACAAGCATCTGAGGGATTCGGGTCAAGTCAGTCACGCTATCCTTTTCCTGTCCCGTAACAGTTGTGCTGTTCAGTTTGCATGGATGACAATGGCTCACCTCCGCTGCCGTTCGGGCAGCAGGTCTGCTTGACGCTGGGGTCGAAGCAGTGGACTTGGTTGTCGGTCGAGGCACAGGTCTGGTAGTTTGCGCCACAGGCTTCCGGGCAGGTGTCGCCGGCACCACAGAACTGGTCGGCCGGCGTGTAGCCAGAGTCGGCAGACGACCGCCGTCCGAGGCCAAAGCCCATGGCCTGCCGGACTGACATCCTCGCAGCCGTGCTGGCTCTGTAGGGCTGCCGCAAGGGCTCGGCCACGGAAGAGCCTACGATAAGAGCCAGTGCGGTCATGGCCATCGGGGAAAAGCTGGAGACGAGCATGGTGGCCGTGCTGGAGATGGAGCGAGTGGGTTCTAACGATTGTGGAAGACGAACGAAGTCAAGATTACGCTATGCAATGAGGACGAAAGGGCCGAGATCAACCCGGGCTGAGAAGGAGAGGGAGCGAGCGACGACGTCGAGGATGATGAGACGAACGGCCGGCGAATGACACGAGAGTGTAGAATAGAGAAATATGGAAACGGTGACGCAGAATGGAAGAGAAGAGAAGACAGCCGCCACGAGCCGCCAGGCAGAAACCCAGCGAGAGTCAGAGGGAAAGTAATTGGCGAGGTCCGGGAGGACGTGTACGAGAGAGGCCCGGTGGTGATGTTATACCCGAGACGGATCGACAGAGTACCTGGTGTAGGTAGTGACCGGGGAATATCTACATCAACTGCCTGCCCCAGATGACAGCCATGGATGTACCGGGTACATGTGGAATACTCAAGAATAGACAGCCAGCCCAGTGTAGCGATGGCCTTGCACTAGTCTAGGCAGTGGCAGGGGATATCAACGCATCCATCCGGGGAGCTTGGAGGGCGCCCTGGCCGTCTGTTTCGAAACACGCCAGCGACCTGCTCTATGCGCCTTGTCGTCGTATGGAGCTGCGGTGCAACTAAGGCGCCTAGGGGCATAACCCAGCGCCTGGCAGGCTGTCGCCGCCGGACAAAAGTCAAGGTCCCTGCGGCTCTGGCCAGCTTTGGCTGCCTCTGATGGCGTCCCCTGTCCCGGCATGCGGCGTCGTTGGCTTTCCCACTCTGGCTCTGGACCTTATTTAGGGTCAGCGCGGCTAGATGGACGGTCGAAGATGCATGCCGTGACCAGGGTGTCGAGTGGTTGCCGCCGGGCTGTCAGGACGGCAGGCGCCAGAGCCGCCCCAGACAACCCTGCAGCCATCCCCAGATGAGCGTATGATTGGCTGCGTACCTGACAGCAGCGTTCGCCTAAGACCTGACAGGGACACGCCAGCCTGGGCCGCCCCCCTCAACTTGAAACAGAGCCAAGAGCCCACTGAGCAGAGCCCAGAGGTTCAGGCCTGTCAGGCGACAGCAGAGAGAAACAGCATGGAATGGGCAGATCTGGATGCAGCTATGGCCATGCAGCGGGGCACGTCATGGTAGGGCAATGCTGCCGGCCGCGCTGGCTTTCCATTTGTCGTATTGTGGGGGAATTGCTTGGTCCATCGTTGCCGCCCAGCAGGTGGGGTCTGCCAGACTATCGGAGCCCACCCACGACCACCCACCCCTCATCAAGCAGTCCATGTCGCTCTATTCGGTGAGGATAGGCTCTGCTTGCGCCAAGTGCTTCACCTCACCAGACGGGGTCCTGACCTCTAACATGGACCAGGCGTCACACTACCGGTCGACCTACAGGGCGTATCCGCATCTCACGCCAGAAGAGTTCGCAGAGGTCTGCCACCATCTGGAAAGCAGATATTGCAAGGCGACCCTGGGCCCTCTTCGCCGGCGATGGCGCCTCCACGTCCGCACCGCCCTCAGCACCTCGTTTGACTTTGACAGCGACCATGCCACCTACTTGCAGATCAGGCGGCCCCTGACTTCTGCCAGCTCAGCCGAAGACGACGAGCTTGCTGCGACGTTTGGCACTTTCTCCTTTGGCAGTCTAGAAGGCCAAGATGATGTGGTCGTGGCAGACGATCACATGGTTCAGATGGATGAATCAGATGAGGTACGTTTCAGATGCTAGGGCCAGGAAAGCAACACTGTCTGAGGAAGAACGACTCGATTGACATGGACAACATCTACATGATGACAGTCCGTACTGCCACGACAGCCGAGGCGCTTTGGAGACGGCTATGTCACCTACGAGATACATTACCACCCAACGTACCGAGCCCCATGCTTGTGGTTCAGCCTGCATGACTTGCCTGTGCATGAACCTGCCTTCAACGTCGAGACAGTCTTTCGGAGGCTTGTTCCTGATGAGTACAAGGATAGCCTGCGTCGCGTTGGGTCTGTTGGTGGCATTTCGGCTGACGTAAGTGTTTTCCGCGTCGAGAACCTCGCTTCCGTTCCACGTCCCTGCCATCGGCCGCTTGTCCTGCTCCAGATGTGTCAACAGAGGAGGTTCCTGTCCCACTAGGCGTCTTGTATTTCGGGCACTACCTTATCCCGTGGCTAACTTTTGTCTCCCTGGCTTGTATGGGCAGCATCATCCTCTGACCGGAGTGCCGTCGTTCTTCGTCCACCCCTGTCTCCTGGGTGATGCCATGGACGGCTTCTCATGCCCAAAGGAGGACTACTTGATGGCCTGGCTTGGTCTTGTTGGTGGTTGCGTGGGACTTTGGGTTCCAAAAGAAATGGCACTCGCCACGGCTTGAGCATCGCCGCTTGTCGCCCATCTGCACGCCAGCTGAACATTCCCAGCCGTGCATACCAGTCGTCCTCGACGCGATGCCCATAGGCACATAGAGTGCCATAATCCGCTGCAGTACATTTCTGAGATACTGCATGTAGCACGCCCACCTCACTCGTCATCACTGTCCTCCTCCATTGCAACGTCCGAGTCACTGCCGTCCTCATCGTCTTCCTCCTCGTCGCGTGGCCGCTTTTGTCCGGTGGCTTGTGATGGCTGCGCCGCTGACGGGGCAGCTGCAGCTGGCACGGAAGTGTTCGCAGCAGCAGAGCCTGGCACGGGGGCATTGAAAATGCTCTGTTGTGTCGCCGTCATGTCCACAGCCGCCGCAGCTGTGCCGGGCATCTTGTACGTGCCATCGAGCTTGGCAATCGTGTCGGACTTTGACTTGGCGTATTGTATCCTCTGTCACACAAAGTCAGTTTGGGGCTTCGTCGAAAGTGCTTGCAGAAGCCGGCATGCAACTCACGAGCTCCTTGCCCAGGAATTCGACGCCCTCCAACGAGCGCATAGCCTGGGTGGCAGCTTGCAGATCCCGGTACACAATGTGTGCCTGGCCGCGCATCTTCATCGTCTTGAGGGCAACCACATCCAGGACCGGGCCATATGTCGAGAATAGCATGTACAAAGCTGTCTTGAGGTCGTCTTTCTGAATCTTTGCTGAAGGCAGATTCGTCACATATAGCGTCTGGTTCGGCGGAATAGGGGCCGCCTTGGCCGCGGTCGTAGCCATTGCTGAAAGTGCGCCAGTCGCGCAGAGTGTGCTGTGTGGAATGCGGTGTGCGGAATGGCTGCTCGGCCTGGAGAACTGGTTGTTGGGTGCCTCAGTCGCGCTTGATCGATGCGCCACGTACGAGAGCCAATTGGAGGGCGTTCTGGACGTTTAATGAGATGTTGGAATGGATTGGCCGTAATTCTGTGTCTGTTGTGGCGAGAGTTGTGTGTCGGTGCGCGAGCGCTTTGCTGCTTGTGAAGCCGTGTATCGCGTGCGTGGGAGATCACTCAGCATCACACAAGTTATCGAGTTTGCGGGAAGCTTACCGCTCAGGCTCCACGGGAGAGCTAGCTTGGGGGACTGCACAGCCACTAAGATCACAGTCCCAGCACTGTGGTTCTACGAAGCTTAGCGGGGCCCTCGCTGTCAAGCCTCCCGTTGAGGAGACATGTTCCTGGAGCCTTCGCAGCTCTGTGTGTGGCTGGGCACGCTGGTGGGGTTCTCTGTCGTGCAGGGTGACGCAACAGTCGGCAACTCACGGTCCTGGGAGCTCCCTCCAGGCTCCAAGCACGTACTACTCCATTACCAGTCGCGCTCTTCTGCCTCAACAACCCAAGCTCCTCAATATCACCAATCGATGTCTGCGCGGTCGCCCTAGATCCTGTATACAGACCGTGATAGTAGAGCGTTATACTCCTATCACAATTCCCGAACTCCGAATCCGTCAAACCGCAGCCTGAAGCCATGGCCGCCCCTGAGGTTCACCACCTCTTTCACCACCCGATTGCGGACCACTCGTTCTCGGCCGATCGCAACACGCTCGCAGTCGCCAAGGACTCCACAGTCGAGCTATATGGTCGCGTGGGCAACGCTTTCAAGCTCAAAGACGAGCTCAAAGGCCATGACAAGACCGTCACAAGCATCGACATCGCTCCCCAGAGTGGTCGCATCGTGACCTGCTCGCAAGGTGCGTCCCTCTTCAATGCTTTGTTGCCCCGTTTTGCCGTGGAACCAGCAGACAGCTGACTTCGGAGCCCTTAGACCGCAATGCTCTTGTCTGGGAGCCCTCGCCAAGCGGCTACAAGCCCACCCTTGTGCTCCTGCGCATTGCTAGAGCTGCCACCTTTGTCCGCTGGTCGCCCTCCGAGACCAAGTTCGCCGTGGGCTCTGGCGACCGCGTGATTGCTGTGTGTTACTTTGAGGACGAGAACGACTGGTGGGTGTCGAAGCACCTCAAGAAGCCGATCCGCAGCACGATCACAACGGTCAACTGGCACCCCAACTCGGTGCTGCTGGCGGCTGGCTCGACGGATGCCCATGCGCGCGTTTTCTCGGCCTTTATCAAGGGCGTCGATGCTCGGCCTGAGCCCAGCGTCTGGGGTGAGCGCCTGCCCTTCAACACGGTCTGCGGCGAGTACCTCAACAACTCTGCTGGCTGGGTGCACAGCGTGGCGTTCTCGCCCAGCGGCGACGCCCTCGCCTTCGCTGCCCACGACAGCAGCATCACCGTCGTCTACCCGACAGGACCAGAGCAGCCGCCGCGCGCCGTCATCAGCGTCAACACGCAGCTCCTTCCATTCCAGAGCATCATCTGGAACGGCGAGGCCGAGATCATCGCGGCCGGCTACGACTGCGAGGCATTCCGCTTCCAAGGTGATGCCTCGGGCTGGCAGCTCGCTGGAACTCTTGAGTCCAAGGGCCGTCCGGGACTTGGCGATGCGGGCCGCGAGGAGTCGGCGCTCAACATGTTCCGCCAGATGGATCTCAAGGGCAAAGTCAAGGACGACACGCAGCTCAAGACTGTGCACCAGAACACTATCTCCACGATCCGTGTGTATGAGTCGAACGGTGGAAGCGTGAGCAAGTTCAGCAGTAAGTGACACCCAAAGCAACTTGATCTCCCCTTGGGAAGCGACTTCGAGGAAACATTTCTAACAATCTTGTAGCAAGCGGCGTCGATGGACGTGTTGTCATTTGGAATGCCTGAGTGCGCGGTTACGGTCAAAAATCCGGATTCCGATGGCCAGGGCCTGCGGCCAGCACCATGCCCTTCGCTCAGGAGAATTGTAGCATCGCAGTAGTCGTGCTCTGTTAGATGGCACGCGCTCCACTGAAATCAAGACAAAAGTCAAATGATGCTACAGCGCGGCTGATAAAGTTGCATGCAAGCGTGATTAGTCGAGATTTGCTGCATACGAAACATGCAGGCACTTTATTTAAAGTGTATGCCGTGACCGAGTCTCGGGCTAACCCCTGAAAAACCCATTTCCTACCATGGAATGCATAATATCAATGGCAGACCGTCCAATACGCTCGCCTGTCGAGCATATGACTTCATTCCAAGAGACAACAAGCCTTGTACTCTACCCTAGTTTCTCCAGGGCTGGCTCCGGCCGATCTGGATTCTGGAAGCTGCCTGCCAGGCATAACCCAGGGCCCAGGCCCAGGGACCCTCCCCACCTCTGGTTGCCCCTCCCCCACCAGCGAGCGCATCGTAAACAACAACACCGTTTAGAAATTAGGGCAGCTCCAGGCTAATACATAGGTCGGGCCTCCTTTTCACCCATCTGACTGTCCATCTGCGAAACTCTGCATACATCTCGCATTTCTCTTGATACCCCCCCGGCCCTGGTTGTTTTCTCTTCCGTAGGTCTCGCCGTATTTCACATCCACATAGCGCACAAGACCCGCCATGGCTGCTGGCTCCAAGGTTTTCTCCCTCGAGGGCAAGGCCCTCAAACTCGACACCGCCCAGGACCTCGAGGCTCACATCGCGCCTCTCCGCGCCTCAGAAGATGTCGAGGAGGTCCGCATTCTCGGAAACACCCTCGGTGTAGAGGCATGCAAGCTCCTCGGCGAGGTCCTTGCCACCAAGAAGACTCTCAAGGTAGGCTTCCCTACGACTGCACCATTCCCGGCTCGTTCTCTTCTGATCTCCCACGACGCCCGTCAACTAACCAACCTCGTGCTCTTGTTTTCTCCGCCACCATAGATCGCCAACCTCGCAGACATCTTCACCGGCCGGTTGCTCAGTGAGATTCCGGACGCGCTCGACTCGCTGCTGACGTCACTGCTCAACCTGCCGAACCTGCACACCGTCAACCTCAACGACAACGCCTTTGGCATCAACACGGTCAAGCCCCTCCTGCCGTTCCTCTCGAGCCACGTGCCCCTGCAGCACCTGTACCTCAACAACAACGGCCTGGGCCCGCACGCGGGCATCCTCGTCGCCGACGCCCTGTCCGAGCTCCACGGCAAGAAGGAGGCCGCCCGCAAGGCCGGCCAGGCGGTGCCGGACCTCGAGACCGTCATCTGCGGCCGCAACCGGCTCGAGAACGGCAGCATGACGGCCTGGGCAAAGGCGTACAGCCTGCACGCCAACATCCGCGAGATCAAGATGGTCCAGAACGGCATCAGGCAGGAGGGCATCTCGCACCTGCTCAGCGAAGGGCTCAACCACTGCAAGCAACTCCGCGTGCTCGACCTGCAGGACAACACATTCACCATCACCGGCGCCAAGGCCCTCGCCAAGGTCGCCCCCCTGTGGACCGAGATCACGGAGCTCGGCGTCGGCGACTCCCTGCTCGGCGCCAAGGGCGGCGTGCTCGTCGCAAAGGCCCTCGCCAAGGGCGAGAACAAGAAGCTCGAGATCCTCCGGCTGCAGTACAACGAGATCACGGCCGCCGGCGTCAAGGGCTTCGCCGAGGCCGCCGAGCAAGGGCTCCCCGCGCTCAAGAAGATTGAGCTCAACGGCAACAAGTTCACCGAGGACGACGAGGGCATCCTTGCCCTGCAGGAGCTGCTAGGCGACCGCAAGGAGAAGCTCGGCGGAGACGTCGTGGACGAGGATGCGTGGGGCGTCGATAGCCTGAGCGACCTCGAGGAGCTCGATTCCGACGAGGAGGAGGAGGAGGAAGAGGATGACGATGACGACGAGAAGGACGACATCAAGCCCGAGGTCAGGGCGCAGAAGCTCGTCAAGGAGGCCGAAGAAGCGCAGGAGGAGCCGACAGTGCAGCTCAAGGACAAGGACGTCGATGCGCTGGCCGACAAGCTCGGCAAGACGCAGATCTAAGGCCCATGCCTATCTGTGCTTGCTGAACTCCCCCGTCTTTTGACGGCTAGAATTAATAATATAAAGAAACAAAACGAAACAAAGAACGATACCCAGCCACCACTAGATCATAGCTGTGTCCTTGTGCGTGAGGTTGGGCACGATTACCCTACCTGTCCCCGCCCTGTACATTCATCCAAATCATCTAGACATGCGGTTCGCGTCTTCATCACGGGCTTGAAGCAAATACTGCAGTTGAATCACAGAAACGTCGAGTCTGCTCAGTGCAACCGATGCATGTGGAGCTCTAGTTCATATATAAAGTGAGATAGGAGGATTAGGCGGGAAGGAAAGGGTTAAACAAGAAAGAAGAGCAGTGTATGTGGTTTTACAGGAGTACAATGGTGTTCGGACCCACACTTCTTGTCCGCTCCCTCTCTTTCCTGGCTCCGTCGTGCTCGTCCTCCAGTGTGTCTGTTCTTCGCCTTCAAGATGCCCAAGATACCCAAGCCCGCCTTCTGATCACAAGTGCCGCCAAAACCTCTTTGCTTTTTTGCCTTTGTTACCCTTGCTGTATCCACTTCCATATAGCTTTGGTGCCTCTGCTCGCGCCCTGTATGCTGAGCAGAACATCTTCGATAGTAGTGGTGCCATTTGTCATTGTCGTTGTGCGTCGTCGTCGTCATCGCGGATCTATCCTTATAAAACCTCACCAATGATCTTGGCGGCCTCGCGGTACGTCTCGAGGAGCTTCTCGCACTTCTCGCGCTCTTTCTTGACCCCATCGTCTTCGTACAGCAGCTCCTCAAAGAGCGTCTCCTTGTACAGGTTGCTCACCAACCGGTTTTGCACGACATCTTTGCAGTGATTGACGAGCAGGTGCATGACAGCCTTTGGTACCTGATCGGCGATCGTCTCGCGGACAATGTTGAAGTAGGAGGAGATGAGAGCCCGAATGAGCTCCGTCTCCATAGCTTCCCGCTCTGTCAGGGCAGGCTCACCGTTCTCACCCTATAGTCTCATGTTAGCTAGGCATTCTAGCGGAAGCAGTGTCTGAGGCTGACAAAACCCAAAGTATGGGGCAAAACTTACAAATTGGGAGTCCAAGCCAAAGCCAAGACCCTTCGGGCTCGTCTCACCACGCAGCAAAGCATCGGACAATGCCGGCCTGTGTGTGAGCTTGTCCTCTCCACGACGAATGCTGCCGCTGAAGGTCGGCTCTGCACTCTGGCTCACGTGTCGCGGTAGTGACGAGGAGATAGGGCTTGATCCCACTGGTGATGGAGCACCCGCGCCCTCCTTGCCAAAGAAGTAGTTCAAGAAGGAGTCCTTCGGGTTCGCAGCCTGCATGTTCAGTCTGGCTGGCGAGGCGGATCTTGTGCCGTTCATGGTCGCAGCGAGGCTACTCGGGCCGATGTCTCGGACATTTGACAGGCTTCGGGCGTTCTTCATGGGAATCTTCTTCGGAGCCACGTCCTCACCAGCACCTTCCGCCTCCTCATCTGGGCCGTCACCGTTAGACAGCTCCTGGAGCCTCTTCTTCTCGCGGCGTTCGCGCTCCTCTTGTATTACTCTTTTCCTCTCCCGCTCCTGCTTGTTGGTGACAACATGGCTCATTGCGGCCGCGGCGCCGAGGAAGTTGGGATGGTTGGTGTTGATGTATGCTCGCTGTATCGAGATCAGGGACTCGACATAGGATGAAGCCGGCCCGAGACGCTCTCGGAGAAGATCCGAGACAACTTCGATGAGCTTGGCTTGCAAGCGAGGGTACCTCGATAGCTCTGTTGAGCCACATGTGTGGCAGATCTTGATCAGCTCCTCGTAGACGAGCTCAACACATCTTTGGCTGGGAATCTCGAGCAGCTTGATCTGCGGCTTCACAAGAAGATCGAACGCCATTTCTGGTACAAACAGACTTGGTCGGGGGCCAGTAGAGTTGCGGATCGCAGTACGGATGTCGAGCGCAGAGAGGTTGCTTGTGGGGTCGATAGTCTCGAGGCTGTGGCCGAATACCGAATTAAAGATGTAGTAAATGCGAGCACCGCCAGACAGCTCCTTTGTGGAGATCTCAGTAGAAGTACCATCTATGGAGGAGATGAAAGACGTGGCGAAGCGTGTCATGAGCTGCAGGATCATAGAACCCCGGTGCTCCTTGCCGCTGAAGTGCATGTCACCATAGCTAGCAAGCTCTTGTTGAGTCTGGCCCATAAGGGTGTTGAGCCGGGCTTTGATGTCAGGAAGGCGTTCCCGAATGTGTATCATAAGGGTCGAGTTGAGAGTCTTCGCAAGGTACTGAGTACCGCACCGTGTGGCAATGTTTCTGTAAGCCGGGTGGTGACGGAAGAACTCGCTCTCGGCCTTGAGGGCTTCGTCCATGGGCCGATTGCCCTGAATGTCCTGTTGCGACCGATTGACGACACCGATGAAGCCCAGCTTCAAGGGATAGACGCGGCCAGACAGAATATCTAGGGCGTTGGTGCCATGGTCCATGAGGTCGACCTTGGTAAGCACACCAATGGTGCGACGGCCGAGCGGATCGACATGACGGGCAAGCTTGAGGGCTTCCGAGTTGACAATGTCGACGTTGGCGGGGGAGACAGCGAGGATGATACTGTTCGGCTTGGCAATATACTCGGAGATCAGGGTACGGGTTTGTTTCTCGATATCTGCAGGCTGATCACCGATAGGAACCTGTGTGGGGTGGGAAAGGCATGTCAGTAACGTTTATCCCAGGTCGTCAAAAGTGTCGCAGCGCCGATCCAGTCGGCCAGCCGGGTCAAACAAGAATTTGCAACATGAGAGAAGCTCGACATACCTTGGTCAGACCGGGCAAATCCACCAAGGTGAGGTTCAGCACATGTGGCGAGTAGACCTTGAGGTTGATGGGCTGGCGGTTGATTCCCTTGTTGCTTCCTGCGACACGGGCCGTCTCGTTCTCAATCTCGCGCTTGACATCGCCGAAGTCTGTGAAGCGTCGGCCGGAAATGTGGTGGAACTCGGCCCATTCGTTGGGACCAGCCTGGGTCGGGTTGCGGTAGGCGGCGTGGGTGTCCTGTATCGTCTCGTCGGGCTCGACGTTGATGAGCTGGAGGATAAGAGGTCTGCGGGTGACGATGCCGCTGCCACGGGGCAGGAAGTCGCGGCCGACAATGTTCTCGAGGACGGAGGACTTTCCAGCAGATTGAGAGCCAACAACGACCTGGGGAGAGAAAGAGAAGAGTCAGCTGTCAGGCCAACAAAACTCGGCATGACACTGTCTGTAGTGACGTGTTAGTAGGCAGAAGACGTGGGAGAGGCTCACAATCTGGGGGAGATCTAGCGAGTCTGTGCCGATGGTATTGAAGACGAGGTCCTGCAGCTGGTTGACAATGCGCAGCAGGTCGTCGCCGAGAGCGGTCATGATGGCGGATGGGGTGGCGGCGCGAGCAAACAGGCGAAGGGAAAAGAAGGAACGAGGTGTCGTCGGGTCAGCGCGTGGTCAGGAATCGAGAAAAAGGGCTTCTGTTCTCGACGGTGGCGACTGCGACCGCACGGCTTGGGACGAAAAAAGACGAGTGTCCAACAAGGAGTGGTTGGGTGGCTTTGTGACGATGCTAGCCGTGCGGTTGGAGGAGATATCGTGCCGTGACGAGGCAGAACCGGTTTATCTGGAAGGCGCCGGCCGGAGACTCGCTGGCTGGCTGGCTGCATGGGCGGCGGCGGGAGGTACCTGCGGCGTGTATGGGGGCTGGCGCGCCGGTGCGCGTACCGCCAGGGCCGTGGCCAGGCACTGCGTCAGTCCCAGCAAAAAAAACATGGGCCTGGTGCATTTCGAGACACCCGACTGCGGCTAGCTGGCTCTCCCCGGCCACTGTTGCTGGCCCAGGCACACGCCACCTCATCACCCGTGCCTCGCCGTGCCTCAGACAGACCTGTCCTGCCCTCGGCGGCTTGGCCCACTCATCATCGAGACAAAACTGCCCCCAATGGACGGCACGTAAACAATGCCAGCCACACAGCTCGCAGGGCTCCTGCGATTCACACGCTTGCATACCTCCAGCCAGCCCGTCCGTCTAATTAACGACTCTGTCCTAGGACTGTGGGCAGCGAGCAACCTATAACCTCGGTTATGCGTCCCACAATCGTCCATTGCTGGCCTGGCCTGGACTGAACTGCACAATGCGGAGCACAACATCCGGCTTGACCACGAAAACGCCAAATACGTACTCGACTCAAGCAACGACTAATTAGAGTATTAGAGGCTTCTTTGCTGCCTGAGAACGACCCTCTTCTTGCCCTCGTAACCCAGTCCTCCCTCGTCCATATGTGCATGTATTTTCCTTTACCTCATGGTTCATCTTCCGGACTACAGGATAATGATACCTTTTCCACTACCTCCAACCCAAATCACACACGTGCGCTTTGCCACTTCCGATGTTCCTGGATCATTTCAGCCTGGATGGGCCCGGCGAGGCCCCTGGCCATCGAGCGTGACTGCATTTGCGATCCTGCGCTCTCCACGTGCGTTGGCTGCCCACACGACAAACAACAGACGGATAGCATTGCACAATATATTCGAGCTCGGTGCTCTCGTAATTAATATGTCATCCCAGCTTGCAGGTATTGGTCAGGGTTGTGCGATTCCACCGCATGGAACAGTGCAGATTGCAAGCTCTATAAATTGCACCCCAAGCCTGTCACACACCCCATCGAGTGCAGGGATGCAAGCTCTTGCCGTGGGCAAGGCGTGAAACGAGCCACTATTCCGGAACCATGCCGTTACGGCGCTGCTGCGTCGTATTACATGATCACGCACACAACCACCTCCTGAAGTGAGGCCGCGTTGGCACCAGTCCTGCCTGCCTCTACCATCAGGACCCCCGGATCTGCCCAAGAATTTGCTGCAGCCTTCTCAGTGCTGGGAACCCAGATGGGTCGCCCACAGCAACTGGACCTGGCTGCTCGGTCTCTGCGTTCTCAACCTCCCGCCGTGCTTCACGCACGAGCGAGCTCAGATCTCCCCATACCTCGTCGGTGTACCGTGTGAGCACTTGTGCCCATTGCTCTTCCCAGACGCGCTGCGACTCACCCAGCTGGTCTGTTCCCATGTGTGCCATTCGCTCTTTCGCGGCGCCAAGGTCGCTATCGTTCACAGCAACATAAGACGGAACGAAATTGAGCAAGTTGTTCCAGTCGATTGGCCGATCCCCAGTGCCGTCAAGACCGTCCCCGAAAAGTGCACGTCGCAAGGATATTCGCTCCTCTTCCGAAAAGATGGGTTCGTCCTCTGACGTGGCCGCCATGACTTCCTCGTACATATTAGAATTAAGAAGTCGCACGACATCTAGACCATCCTGGGCCGGTGCTGCCGCCTCAGATTGCATCCCGGCAGAGCCGAACCTGGGTGAGTCTCCGCTTGGCTCATCGATCCGGTTCATCTGGCGCAATGTTGTTTGGGATCTGTCGCCTGTGTCTGTTAACGAAGACAACGACAATGGCGGTTCCAGAACTGGAATGCCGTCTAAGAAGCTGGAGAACGCGGCTTCCTGTTGAGCAGCATGCCGCTCCGTGTCCAAAGACCTGAAGCTATTCTCGCCGCTCGGATGGTGGTCGAATGCTGAGTTCGATGGCCCACTGGCAAAGGCGTGTTGGTCGCGGACAGTTGGCCGTTGTCCAGATGGGAGCAGGCCAGAAGAAGAATTACTAGCACCAGCTTTACTCGGGGGAAGAGCTTTTCCGATGTCTGAACCATTGGCTGTGCTCGTGATCAAATTGCTCGCCAACTTTGAGGCCGATGACACGATTCTTGAACCTATGGACTGATTCGTATGTGCTGGACCGCTGGTCATCAGGGGTGCTTCCAAGGTCGTCTGCTTGCCTTTGCCCTTGTCCTTTGTACGGGATTGGGTGCCTTGACCTTCAGAAGAGTCACGCGGGTCTCGATTACTCCTATCCATCGAAAGAGTCTGTGTAGGCGCCGCGCAAGAGCTTGTAAGAGTGCTGTACTGATATCCCGTATATCACCTCTTGCCCACGATCCCGGTTTTGGTGGGGATGATTTGGCATGTGATTGATGCAGCCGCCTTTGCGTGGGTGTCTCCTTGCGAGTGTCGTGACTTGTCGCAACGTCCAAGAGTCCGGGGGGAAACACAGTAAGAGAGTGCCGAATATGGAATATGGGAACCTCCGTTTCTCTTGAGCTTTGGGAGTGTGGATGTCGGGCCACGGTGCTGCTGATCGACTGAACGGGCGAATCTTGCAGTCGGCACCGGCCGGGTGTCATTGGCATTGGAATAAGCTCGGCCCACAGTCACGGAGGCCCGGACTGGGGTTCAGAGAAGTGCCGAGCGTGCCTGCATCCTCCTCGGCGAGGTGCTACAGGAACGTCAGTGCAAGTGATGCGCCATCAGTGTCGCGTGACAAATACAAAGGCAAGGGTCATTGACCGTGACAAGGGAGACAGCGATAGGTCGTCAAAGCACGGACAGGATCATGACTGCGGTTGATCACATTCGCTCTGCCAGAGCCAGCTGCCGCGTGCTTCGTTGAACACCTCAAGTTCAGAAAACCGTTGTATTAAGGCATGCCTCGGTATCCTCACCAAGCTGAACACGTCAAGAAATGCCCTTGGTAGTTTTCACACTGGTAATGAAGCATCCAGCATGTTGACATCCTCAATTTTGTCGTGTGATCGTCCCAACCAACAGCGGCACAAATACCTTTGAAGCTAAAGCAGGAAGCGTTAATTGGGCATGGCGTAGCTTTGGCAGCTTTGGCAAGCTGCTAAAGGCAGCAAGCACCGGACAGGTTAGCTCTCTTCACATTCAGGTTCATCGAGATCTCTGGCTGCACGTCCGTCACGCCACTGCGCGGTAGTAACAACTGTTGGACACACGCCGGCTTCAGACAATGCCTCAGTCGCGAGTGCATCTTTTCTGCACCGCATTAGGTCTTTCGGATGGGCCACAATTGTCGAAGGACATGCGCTGTGCAATAAAGCTCCAGCAGGGTCCGTGATGTGAGACATGATGGTTGTTTTCGAACGCGCATCAGCAAGACTGGTGGCGCTCCCAGTGACGAAGGAGACCGCGCGGGGCAAAGGGTATCCTCTGCCAGCTCTTTTGAGGGGCTTAATGATAGTATTGTTGCATAGCGCCAATCGCCACACGTGCTGGTTGCAGATAGCTTCAGGATTGCGGACGGGGAGCTAACTGGGGAGCTGCTCCGTTCGAGCGATGACGACTGAGGGGTGGGTGGTCGACCAAGGTGGGCGCTTGTGAGAAGGAGGGGCACGCATAGCCGCTGGCCAGGATCTCTGGCGATAGCGCCCATCAGGCGGCCTGGCCTGCCTGCCTGACTTCCGGCGTTGCGCACGGGAAAGCCGGCGATCAGGTAAGCAGCCACGATTGGGCACCGGGCGCTGGAGTCCCTTGCAGAAAAGAAGACTGGCGATGGCTGCCCATGCAGCGGGACGCTCGGGCAAGCACTCGAGTTGTTGATGTCCACGTCAAGGAGCGGGCAGCGGGCAGGCAGGGCGGTCTAGGTGGGGCGGGCCGGCGAGGCAAGCACCCAAACTGCAATGTCAAGTACTGCGGAGCACCACCGATTGCTAGCAGCACCAGCTCTCTCGCCCGCCCGCTGCTTGCATTACCAAACACCATCGCCCACCACCTGCTGCAAGCAAGCCATCATCTCTGCTCAACACCGCCTGCCCGCAGCTCCCTCCACCACCACGCCATACAATCCGCCTCTACCTGCTCTGCCGTTGGCATCTCGCCCGTCTGCCGCTCAGTCTCGCCTAGCCCACCCCCGGCCAGGCTCAGCTCCAGCCTCGCTTGCCTGCTCGCCGCCTTCAGCTGGACTGTCCCGGGCCTGCCTGCCCTGCACGTCGTCTCGCCACGATCTGTCTGATATTGTCGCCGCCCAACACCGGCAGTTCCACTCTGCACCTCTCCTCCCACCACTCCTCCGCCCGCAACAACCCTCGTCCATACTCTCGACTCTGACCCGTACCATCGCTGCCGCCAACGCACTTCACATCATCGATCCCATCCGCCAAGCCATCGTCCCCCTCGGTCGCGCATTTCGCTCGCTCCGTCCCGCCCGCCTCTCTTTGGAGCTTGCCCCACGTCTACACCCGACCCGGCACATCAAGCGGCACAGCTTGTCAACCCTGTCCCCGTCTGCCTCCAAGGCCGTCCAGCAGTAGTTTCCAAGTCCCTCCTCGATCTAGAATCCTTTGTCGCCGGCCGGAGCTTTTGTGAGCTTCAGCCCACCTGCCCGACTCGAATATGGTGGAAGGAGAACAAAACTCCCCCACGTGGAAGTTCACCCAGTAAGCTTCACCGGCCCAAAGCTCGCCTTGCACACTGCATCTGTCATGCCGCATCTTCCTCTTTGCACGGCGCCTTCGTACCGTCTCGCATGAGTGTTCCGGCGCTAAAATACATTGTGTGCAGGTGCTTCGGTGATAAAGGTGACGTCGAAGACATCACTGAGGGTAGGCATTCCATCGCGTTCTGATATCACTCCACCTCATTGCTTTGCTGGAGCTGGTGGCTATCAGGTCAGGCCCGGGCTGCATAAGACTAACACGCTGGCAGCTGATATCATTTCGACTGTCGAGTTCGACCACACGGGCAACTATTTGGCGACTGGAGACAAGGGCGGCCGAGTCGTGCTGTTTGAGCGCAACGAGACGGTAAGCTGGAGCTTTTGAGCCGTCCACCCCTTGCTTGCGTGCATATGGCCATCTACGAAGCACATCTGCTGATGGATGTCATAGAAAAAAACCTGCGAGTACAAATTCCACACCGAGTTCCAATCACACGAGCCTGAATTCGACTACCTGAAGTCCCTGGAAATCGAGGAAAAGATCAACAAGATCAAGTGGTGCCGTCGCCAGAATGCCTCGCACTACCTGCTGTCGACCAACGACAAGACGATCAAGCTGTGGAAGGTGTTTGAGAAGTCATTAAAGGTGGTGGCGGAGAACAACCTCTCGCATGATGTGACGCCTGGCAGTGCGGCAGGGCTGGGAGGTGGCGCGCCGAGAGCCATTCCCCAGTCGACGTTCAAGAGTGCTGGTGATCTCAAGTTACCGCGCTTGACACATCACGACACAGTTGTGGCTGCCGTACCCCGCCGAACCTACGCCAATGCCCACGCATACCACATCAACAGTATCTCGGTCAATAGCGATGGCGAGACCTTTATCAGCAGCGACGACCTGAGAATCAACCTCTGGAACCTCAACATCCAAGACCAGAGCTTCAACATTGTTGACATTAAACCAGCAAACATGGAAGAGCTTACGGAGGTCATCACTGCTGCTGAGTTTCACCCCTTGAGCTGCAACTGGTTCATGTATGCCAGTTCCAAGGGTACAATCAAGCTGGCCGACATGCGTGAGAGTGCGCTGTGCGATCAGCACGCCAAGAGTAAGTGCATCTGCGGTTTTGAGCACTCATGAGCGCCTTGTCCAGCCGGCAGCATTCAGGCACTAATCTCGCGCGTCACAGTGTTTGAGCAAGAGGAAGACCCGTCCTCGCGGTCCTTCTTTTCCGAAATCATCTCGTCCATCTCAGACGTGCGGTTCTCACATGACGGCAGGTACATCCTGTCACGCGACTACCTGACAGTCAAGATTTGGGACGTCAACATGGAGAGGCAACCCGTCAAGACCATTCCGATCCACGAGCACCTGCGGCCGAGGCTGTGCGACACATACGAGAACGACAGCATATTCGACAAATTTGAGGTGGTCTTCTCTGGAGATGCCAAGAATGTCATGACGGGAAGTTACAATAACAACTTCATGATATACCCATCTGATCCTGAGAAGGAGACCGAAGTTGTCCTGCAGGCCGACAAGTCTGCTTTCAAGGCCAAGAAGATCGGCATTCCCACGCCAATCAACGCTTCATCGAGCCCGACAGCCACTAACGGCGGCAAGAAGGGCGGTTCTCGTGCCAACAGCCCAGCTGGACAAGGCCAGCGGATGCGCAAGGAGACAGATGCGGACCAGATTGACTTCAACAAGAAGATTCTGCACATGAGCTGGCATCCGTTCGAGGACAGCATTGCTATTGCAGCGACAAACAACGTAAGTCCATACATACACCCAACTCATTGACAGGCACAGCTAACCGGCATCTAGTTGTTTGTATTTTCTGCTCTCTGAATGGATACCCAGTCACCAGACATGCCTAGCCGCATTCTATCGAAACCCCCACGATGATGTTTTTCTCTGCGTATAGTTAGGCTATCCAACCAGGTCCCCACTTGGAAGCGCTTTTTTGGTCTCGGGCCCGCGCAAAATCTTGGACCAGTCCCAATTCCTTCCAAGAGGCGGCGCAGCATCGTGATGGATCTTAGGGCCTGTCTGGAGGATCTCTCAAGAGACTGGCGCTTGGTTGATCTTTCGACTGGGTGTCGGCAGGAACTGAGACATTATTTGTGACTGTTGGGACAGTCATCTGCGACTTCGTGTCGCCAGTCGCGAGTCTGGGCCTCGATGGAGCTGTCTATAGCATGTCCCGGTACATTTGTGAAGGTATAGACTAAATAGGCGATAGGATTAGCCTAATTCAACCTTCCAAGCTCAAGAAGTAAACCATACCTGGTCTCCAATGTTGTCTCCGCAATGCGGTCAACTATCAACCTGCACGGCATGTCGTGATCCAGAGCTGTCGCTACACAGCCGACCTGTTTTCATAGGATAGTCCTATTCTTCATCAAATGCCGCTGCCTGACTGGCATGCCCAATCAGTGCCCGGAACGAGTGCCCGAACACCCGCTGCTCTGAGCTGTGCAGGCCTGCCCAAAGAGACTGTTGAGTCTGGGTCATTTGCAAGCTTCGTCGTACCGCGGCCAGATCAAGGCGACATCATTAAAGATGCGCGCACCCGGTACCCGGTGCAAGGCATGGCACATGGCAGCGCGTCCGTTTCTTCACTGTCATATACATTCCTTGAGCGCGCGCAAGCTATATGTTACGGACAAAGAAAAGGGGACATGTGAAGAGAAAACGCTCAAATCATTTTTGACTTGTTCCCGCGGAGGTCCGCCCCTGAGCCCTCGGGATACAACCACCACTCCGTCGGCGTCCATGGGGGAGGTTTGAAAGGGGAATGCGGGTTTTTAAAAACGGGCCGATGTGTGTTTTGTTGGAACCTTGGCCTGCTACCGAGGGAGGGAGGGAGGGAGGGAGGGGTCGAATCCGTAAAGCGGTTGAGATTTCCCCAAGGGAAACGTTTGACAAGAGCTTTGGGCTCCTCCTGGCCCCGGGGGAAAAGCCTCGAGGGGGAGAAGAAGAATGTGAGGAAGAAGAAGAAGGAACCGAATCGTCGAGGTAGACCACCCTGACTCCTCGGAGATGCGCGATGAGGGTGATTACGAGGTCTCTTTAAGCTGCTTGTGGGATTTATATATAAAAAGAACAAGAAAAAGGTCAAAGCTACGAGGCACCCTTAGACAAAGAGTGTATTGATTATTATTTTTTTATAGCCATGAACGATAACCGTCAAGGGAGGATACTCAAAAAAAAAAAAAAAAAAAAAAAACAGGTGTATCGAAGGGGAGTGATCAATCTTGATGTGGCCAAAGGCACAGTACAGATTTCTCAAGGGGTCAGATCATCAGCATCATCATGCCCCTCGTCCTCCTACACGGCGTAGAGAAGAGGGTTGATCTCGCTGTCTTCTATCCTAGTTCGGCCGTTGCTGCTGTTTGACGTCGCCGACTGTATTGCCTCGAGTAAGTGCTGTGCTTATGGCTTTGCATTTCCGATCTTCTTTCTTTCTTTTTTGTTGTCTTTCTCTTATTATAAAAACTTCTATGATACGTAGCGAAGGCCAGATGGACATCGGAGAGCACTAGTTCTTTAGGTCGAGTACTTGGTAGTTTATTGCGGACGTGTCCAGGCTCTAACTCTGGGACTAGAGTAGACACGGAGTCCGTCAATCACTAAAACAAAGCCCTGGGTATCAGTTCTCATCTTCCAATGTGCAAAGTTCCCCGTGCGTCCAGAAAAGAGATCCAAGCTTTGTAGGGGACCGACATCCTGGTATTTTGGCGCGACTCTCGCATCGGAGGTTTCATATACTTCCTGAAGGCTGATTGCTTTTTTATTATTATCGAATTAGCCAAATCCTGTCAGTGATGCATGGTGTGTGTGTTTGGGGGAAAATTTCATCTCTCTCTCTCTCTCTCTTGCTAGTACAACCGACTGAGCTGTTGAGAGGACAAGTCAACATGCTTCACAAGGAGGGGGGGGGGGTTTAACATCACGAGCGGGCCCAGTCAGAATCCGGTTTCTGATGCCAAAACGATTGCCAGTATATGTAAGTGCCGCTCCAGAAACAGGGGGGACAACGCAGGATAATGTGCACGGCTGCCGACGATGCAGAGGCCCAATGTTCCTGGCGGTCTTGCTACTCGATAGTCCAAGGAAGGCAACTGGCGTAGGCCCGCATTGCAGAGCTACCACGATCCAGATGCGGAGAATACTTAGCAGAGGTAGCAAGGGCTCAGATATCAGAAGTCTAGACATTTGTGAGGTCAACGGCAGAAGCTGATTCACCCAGCGAGATCGACATGATATTGAGCGTCTCAACGACTCAGATGTATTCTGTCTAGGCTCTTCTGTTCTCTCTTTTGTTCCTCATCTCGCTACATAATCCGGGGCAGTAGTGCTCGATTCAGTAAGAGCGCCATTTCTCCTAGCTTGTCTTCTTTCCTGGAGCGACAGACTTCCGCTTGCCCCCAGAATCAAGCGAGTACAACCCACCAGCGGAGAAGACTATTACTGCCCCAACCAGCGTCCCGGTTGCGAGACGGTTACCAAAGAGCCAGATGCTGAGAAGCAAACTAACAAGCTTGCGGATGTTGAGCACAATCGTGACGGTCAAGGCAGTCGATGTGGCTGCAAGGAGGTTGACTCCACGTATGCAAGCGTACTGCGTCAGGACGTTGAGAACAAGATAGGCGAGCTGACTGGGCAAATACGCCTTGCTGATCAACTGCAGCAACGGCTGTGGGAGTCCATCAAGAGACAACATCTCGGGCGGAAAAGGATTTGCAAGAGGCGGACTGGCGGCGAGCTTTTTGAACTGCGATATGAGCGAAGACGTGAAAGGCAGGAACAATGGAAGCGATAGAAGATGAGAGTAGAAGAGATTTTCCTTCCACTGCGGGCCGTACTTTTTGTAAGTCGCCTCGGTATATAGGCCCATGATGGCCGACAATACTTGAGCGACAAACAGAATCGCCAGGCCCATGCCAAAACTGGCCGCATCGTCACCTGACGACTTGTCGGCGGTGTCCTGTCGAGATGTCAGTTTTTGGCCACCTCGTGTTAATTTCTTGCCGGTGCGTCTAACCTTGGACTGGGCGTCTGACCAGGCAGCCTGGATGACACCGACGGTCAGGAGCAGGACGGCCACGATCTGGATGGTCGAATACTTTTTGCCGCACAAGCTGCCCGCGATCATGGTCGTGATACTGCCACCAGAGCGGAGGATGATGTGCACAGGTACCGATATGTCGTAGCTGAAGGCATGATTGTTGAGCATGTTTATGGCGAAGAACAAGACAATGTTGATGAGCCAGCGGCTCAGAGGAACCACATTGGGCTTGAGGAAGAACGGAGGCCGCGACACATCAAATTGGGAGACATAGCCCGTCACAGCCACGAAGAGGAACTGGACAAAGGTCAAGAGCGTGCCTGGGATGTGGTTAGCCTCAAGTCACTGGGATGCATCTGCTTTGAATGAACGAACCACTGGCGGGCTCGACCCTGCAGAAAAGAAGTCAGTATCGTGCTGCCCGAGCTCTGAATGAAAAGAGGAGAAGGGGGTTTAGACTCACTTGATGATTGCTTCGAGGGCAAACACCTGCAGGGCCCAGAGGAGTTAGCTACACGAACGACGACAACAGCGTGGGGGGGGGGGGGGGGGGGATGGACGGACATTGGAACAGCAGCCTCCGAAAATGAGCGAGAGCATGACGCCGACGGCGAGCCAGGCGGGGATGGTCTCGATGAAGAAGCGGCCGGCGAAGCCCATGAGGCGCTTCGAGGCGGGCCGCTGGTCTGGGATGCCATAGAGCTGGGCCTTTTCGAGCGAGGGCGCCGCATTGATGACCTTGGGCGTGCTGGGCGGGTCGCCGGGCGGGGGCGGCACGTCACGCAGCGTCGGGCGCCGCCGCGCACCTTTTCCGGACGTCATGGCCGGGGTTCTGCTGTTGTTCCCTGCTAGTCGGGCAGGCTGGGGATGAGATGTTTGCTGTTGTTGTTGTTACGGTTGTTGATGTTGTTGTGCAAGGGAGGACGGGCGGCGACAAGCTCACCCACAAGGCTGCAGGTTGTGAACAGGTATTATTATTATGGCAGGAACAGGAACGACAGGGTCGCGGAAGCCAAGGCGCGCCAGCCCCTGGTGGCGGGCAGGGGTCTCAACCTTGTCGTCAGCCACTAGCCCGATCTGGTATACAATCACTCCTCTCTGGATCTCTCCAGGGCTGCATCGTTGGATCTCTCACTTTCCACACACCTGGAGTCTAGGACACTCTGCATCATTTCATATGACTCCATCTCAAGGAATTGCAATCACACGTTGAAATTCGAGAACGCTATCAAAACTCAAAACTCAAAAAAACAAAAAAAACACCCGTCATGCCAAAGAATGTACACACGAAGTCCCTCTCCTACGCTTTCTTTTGTTTGTCTTCTAAGAGAGGGAAACCTCACTCGCCCTGGAAAATCCCTTCCTATGTCCGGACCAACCCAGCTTTTACAGACGAGGCTGCGCCGGGCGACCGTCTCCATTCTCGCCCGGCGCAGGCCAGGTTACCTCTGGCCATACGTGGCGGATGGCCTCCCAGATGTGGCTGTTTTCCGAAGTAAGATCATCATGTTAGCCCAGATGTGACTTTGATAAATAGATGTGTAATGGTGCAATAGGGGGTGTGTGTCTTACCTGACATAAATAATCTTGAGCCCGTCCCGGACCTCCTGGGGCACTTCGCGGGCGTCCTTCTCGTTCTGAGCGGGTAGCATGACGGTCTTGACGCCCGCGCGGTACGCGCCAATGACCTTCTCCTTGATGCCGCCCACGCGCTTGACGTGGCCAGAGAGCTGGAACTCGCCCGTCATGGCCATGGTCGCGGGGACGGGGCGGTGGGAGAGGAGCGAGATGAGCGCAATCGCCTGGGCCATGCCGCTCGACGGGCCGTCCTTGGGCACAGCACCCGAAGGGCAGTGCACGTGCAGGCTGCGGTTCTTCATGATGTTCTCTGTCGGGTTCTGCGTCAGGCCGAGCTCGTACGCGTGGTTGCGCACCCAGCTGCGGGCGACCTTGACGCTCTCCTTGAGCACCTCGCCGAGGTTGCCCGTCAGCTCCACGCTACCGTCACCGGGCATGTCGAGAACCTCGATGAAGAGGATGCCGCCGTTGCCGCCGGTGCTGTAGGCGACCAGGCCAGTGACGATACCGGGCTGGCTGTTTGTCTCGGCAATCTCGTCCTCAAATCTCTCGATACCAAGGATCGCCTCGAGATCCTCGACTGTGACATCTGGCCTGAAAGAATCGGGTCGACCACTGTCACCGGCCTCGACAAACTCCACAGCCTTTGCGCGACATACCGAGCCAATCTCGCGCTCCAGGTTGCGCACGCCAGCCTCGCGAGTGTAGGACTCGATGATCTTGGAAACAACTTCATCATTGAACCGGACTTGGTCCTCGCCTAGTCCATTCACGCGAATCTGCTTGGGCACGAGATGCCGCATTGCAATGTGCCGCTTCTCGAGTGTTGTGTAGCCAGAGAACTCGAGCGTCTCCATGCGGTCCAGCAGCGGTCCGGGGATGGTGTCCAAGCTATTGGCGGTAGCGATGAAGAGAACCTTGCTAAGGTCAATCGGGGTGCCGACATAGTGGTCGCTGAAGTTGTGGTTCTGCTCAGGGTCCAGAACCTCAAGCATGGCTGCTGAAGGGTCGCCGTTGTGGTTCGCCATGCCGAGCTTGTCAATCTCGTCAAGCAAGAAGACCGGGTTGGCGACACCAACCTTTCGCAGGCCCTGCACGATCAGACCAGGCATGGCAGCCACATAAGTCCTCCGGTGGCCCCGGATCTCGGCCTCATCTCGGACACCGCCAAGCGAGATCCTGTGGAATTTGCGGCCAAGAGCCGTCGCTATGGATCTGGCAATACTCGTCTTGCCCACTCCGGGCGGGCCGATCAGGAGCAAGATGGGTGCGCGCTCCGCACGCAGCTTGCCACGAAGCATCTGCACTTTGAGTCCGCTGGCACGGATCTTCTCTTCGAGGTCGCCATCGGCGGGGGCATCCTTCGGCGCAGCGTCCTTCTTGGTACTTTCCAGAGCACTGTTCTCCTGCTCGGCTTCCTTGACCTGCGCATCGATGGCCTTGTTGGCGGTCTGCATCAGCCTCACGATCGTGAGGTATGACAGCAGCCTCTTCTTGACCTTCTCGATGCCGTAGTGGTCGTCATCGAGCTGCTTGCGCGCCCGCTCCAGGGACCCAGCGTCGATTGGGTCGTCCGTGATGGCGGACCACGGGATCTCGGCAAGAGTCTCGAGGTAGGTCCGGACAACCTGGTACTCCGCCTGGGCCGGCATCATCTGCTTGAGCCGCTTCAGCTCGCGCTGTGCAACCTTGTCGGCTTCCGGGGTAAGCTTGGCAGCCTCGAGACGTTTCTCCAGCTCCTGCAGCTCATCAGGCTCTTGCGAGTCTGCTTTGTCATTGCCGCTGCCGCCAGCACCAAAGAGGCTGCCAACGTTGAAACCCTGACCTCCGATCGGCAGAGCTCCCCGGCGAGACTTCCTCTTGGGCATTTTGTCGGCATCCTCGGGATCGATGTGGATGGGGATCGAAGTGCTGGTGACGGTGGTGATCTTGATGTTGCCCTTGATCTCGCTGACTTGCTTCTCGATGAGCTCGATGACCTTTTGCATCCGCACGGACACATCGATGGCCGCGAGGACCTCGAGCTTCTCCTCGTAGGTTGCCTCGACGACGTTCATCATGAAGTCGGCCAGGGCCCCGGCCTCGTTGAGGTGCTTGGAGGCGATGTACTGCTCGAGCCGCCTGGACAGCAAGGGGTTGAGGCCTTGGCTGCCACTGGCGACGAGAAAGGCAGACACCCGGAGGTACGAGACGAGGTCACGCGAGGACGACTTGAGCCTGGTAAAGAGCTCGCGGAAGCTCGCGCTCGAGAGCTCGTCTGCGCCGATCTGGTCGACGTGGGGCACAATCTTGGCCTCGAAGAACGGCTGGTCCTGCGTGACCTTCTCTATCAGGACGCGCGCGATGCCCTGGACGACGAGGCTGAACTCGGCGTCGCTCTGGCCCTGGATGGCGTTGATCTTTGCCTGCACGCCATAGCCGTAGAGGCGCTCCTTCTTAACATTCTTGCTGTTGGCCTCGAGCAGCTCGTTGTACTTGTCGGGGTTCTCCTCGAGGAGCTTCTGGCCGCGGCGGCTCAGGAGGGGCGAGCTAAGGGGCACGCAGACGATGGCGACCTGGTCGACGCGGAGCTGGCCCTTGGAGGCGCGTGTGTAGACGGTGGAGAGGAGCGCAGGGACATCGGATCGGCTCGGCGGGACGGGGACGCGCAGGACTGAGCCTGGGTAGAGGACGGTGCCCTTGGCGAGCGGCAGGATGGGCAGGTTTGCGGGCGGGATGCCCGCCGTGGGAGCCATGGCGATGATGGCAGTGACGCGCCAACCAGCAATGCGCAGTCGACAGGGTGTGGTGGTTCGTCGGGGGTTAGTTGTCAGGGGAATCAAGGCAGAGATGACGAGGTCGTTGACAAGCGGCCGCGTCGGTGATGTGGATGTTGGTGTTGGTGTTCTTGTTGTTGTTGTGCTGGTGGTGGTGGTGGTTGTGAGGGTGGTTGCGGTGGATGGATGGTTCTAGAGGAGAGTGTTGTCTGCCGTAGCTGCTGTCTGGGGTCGATGATGATTGATGGATGGCCGTCCTGGCCGGGTCTAATGCGCCACCCCAGATGCCTGGCCAGGGGGGTCGGACGGGGCACTGCCGGGCCCGGGTGCCTCGGCTCGACGCTGAGCATGCGGGCGGGCAACGGCCTGGCCCGTCCGGACTTCGGCCAGCCAGCCCGCCCCACTCTGGATGGCTAACTGGCTGGCGAACTGGCCTCGAATGAACAGACTGCGTGGCTTCTCGAGATGAACACTGTCAGAAGGGGGTAGAGCACTCAGGATCAAACTTCATGACGACCTCCGAGGTCTGGACTGGCTGGACATCCGAGGCATTTTAAAATGAGTCACGGCTTAGATCTGACCCCCTTCGTTCACAATACACTCGCCCATTCAAGTGATGATGGGTGTCATGTCGCGGTAATTCACACTACTCGTGCGAGACTGGCTTAATCTGTATATCGGAGCAACACGCCATCTTTAACTTGTCTCATCGTCACTGCTGGGTCGGCGGGACAGAGCAGGATCTAAGACGGACACGGTCGTATTCCCGCAATGGATGCAATCAGCGCTACGACAAAACAGTCATAGAACAACAGCCTTCCCATCCTCGATCCAGCCCCAGTGAGCTGCCATCTCCGCTCATGCTTGACAATCCCGGACGTTCCTTCTTATTGTCCTGGCTGTCCATAGCCGAGCAAGATTGTTCGGACTACAAAATCTATCCAGGGGATACGCGCGAAGAATGTGTGTAGACAAAGTCCCAAGCGACATGAAAGCTGGGAACTGCTGGCGCGCAGTCACTTGCTCTACAGAGAGCATTGACAGATCCTCTGAGGTTCACATAGGCGGCTGTGTGACCTGGAAGAAAAGCGATTATGGTGCCTTGAATACTTGTCCCCTCTGTAAGAGTTGGAGTTTGAGAAAGGCTGGAGGTTGTCTGGGCTTTACTTTTGATAACTTTGCGAAGCTAGTGTCACAGGGAAAGGAATGGCCATGATGCATACTGAACGCCTGTACGCTGACTGTCAAGATTCAATTGATATTTCATCCTCTCAACTCCTCAGAATCTCCCAGAGGCACATCACAAGTATCTTATACCAAGTAAAGGATTCGATTGCAGTGGATCTCATATTCTAAAACCAAGCCATCAGCAGCCCAGTGGACTTGCGAAAGCAATCAATAAATGCTGAATTGGCGTACCAAAGACTTCGCTTTCGCAGATGCTCCAAGCTCAAGGAGTGTCTTGTAGACCAATGCTTGAGAACGATATTGGTGGTACTGATCAAGTCGCCAATCATGGCACCCTCAATCACTGCCATCGAGTTTTCAGCTAATCGCCAACTTATACTCTGGCATACAAAGCATCTACGTGCCCAACTGATGATCTCGGATCAATCTCCCAGAGTACTGAATCCGCCCCCTTCATCGAAGGTCCAGCATGATCCCTGGGTTCATTGTTGTTCTCCCTCGCCACGATTACAGTCCTCAAGCCACCAACAAGCGCAAGCCTTGGTGGCAGTAAGCTCTCTTCGCCCTTGGCTCCTGCTTTGTAAGAATGGGCTGCGCATGAATTCAGATAAAATTGACGATGTCCAGCCTGCAGGGGTGAAAACCGGGGCCATCAGAGAAACCGGAACATCGACGAGAGAAAGTTGAATCTCTTTGCTTGATACCCGATACGAGAACAAGCGCTGCTCAAGATGTGTATGAATAGTTCCGGTCATCACTCTAAATGCAACTGGGTTCGTCTTGCTCCTGAGAATTGCTCGTCCTTTGTATCAATGGCGTCATTTCATCCGGTACACTTGTCGCATGGAGTATCACTCTATAGGCTTTGTTTGATCTTCCACTAAGGGGCAATTCAACATAAGTGAGGCATCTACTGTTACCTGGCAAATTATTTCACTCCATACAGTGGACAACAGAGACAGGCCGCAGACTCAAGGACAGGCTGCCGATTCTTCCCCGTAAGCGGCACTATCACGTTTTCCAGTACACACCATACTACGCCATGTTACCAGGTTGAAGATGAAGGTACCATGACCTTAAGTGGCTTAATCCGTCCATCATCTTCGTATCACAATGATGGTGATCTAAAACTGAAAAAAGAAAAAAAGAAAAAAAAAGCACTTCCCAAACAACCTAAAAGAGCTGGGTTTTTCTGTCGCACCCTTGTTTACTATCATGTCGATGGATACTGCCGTCAGTTCGATTCTGCACATTGACACCACAGCCCAACCGAGGAACATGTCACTACACCAGGGATGTGCTTATCCAAAAGAGCCCCCAAAACAGTGGAAGGTCATGCGCTCTCTGAACAGCCTGGGCGAAGCATTCAAAAATCAACCTTGGTTACAAACATGCGAAGCTCGCTTCTCAGCGCCAAGAAGCAAGACCCCTATCAGAAGGGGGGGGAGGGGGGTGGCATCTTGGGGAGAACGGATTACTTCTTTGTTTCTGTGTAACAACGTTTTGTTCCTCTGTTTCTGTCCCCCCCAGCGTCCAACGTCGGAGACATATCCAACGGCCAAACGTGTTTCGACGACTACTACATTGAGCAAGAAAACACCATGCGAGCCGAGACACTCCAACGTTGTCAAACGGGCCCCCGGGGGGTGATATCCTGTGGTGGTCTCTTGATGTGACGTGATGTGATGTGATGCTAGCATAGCTGCATGTCTTTTTGTTTCTTGGTGGAAGCCTCGCAACGGCCGTAAACACACAAGGTCCCGGCTATGCGGGTGCAGGTTGCGGACGTAATCTGGACAGGTGCCGCCGCCACCCCTCCCCTCCCCCTTGCCGGGGTGTGACAAGCACGGCGGAAAAGCGACAGTCGCGGCCACTCGGAGAAAAAAGGACTGAGCTGCCATGCGGGAACACAAGTCGAGAGCGGGCTCGGGAGCGAGAAGACGCTGGAGAACGCTGGGGAAAAAAACCTGTCGTGCAACGAGACACCCAGTCACGGCAGCTTTGATTCGGATCTTCGTGGTGACACGGGACCCCCCCTTGGAGCATTTTGTATGTGGCGCTGGATATGCCATGGGACCGCGGGAAGCACTTGGACATGTAGCCGGCGAGTTGCTTCTACGCACATCTTTCTGCAGCTCACTCACATGTCCTGGTGGACCGTTGCCTGGTGATGGAGTTGATGTCGGTTGTTATTTTTCCAAATGAGGCCTCACTACAGGTCTCGTACTTGTTTCAATGGAAAGAAGATACGCGAAAAAGTTCGCTCCAAGTCATACGAGACCCCACATGCTCGTGGCGGGCGAGTTGAGAAGTCACCATACCACCATCCCATTCGTGAGATGATGACACGCCAACCTGAGATTACAAGGCGATCAACAGCGGCCGCATCACGACAAAACCCCGTGCTCAAACCATAACGTGTAACTTTGCTCTTTCCCGTGCCAGGCCCTTGCAGCTGACTACGCTTCCGATACAATACTCGGACTCCTAAGACCACGGCCATGGATTGTGTTTGATGGCGCCCAGAAGGCCCGGCCTCATAAACCTGCTGGCAGACATGCCCGTGATTTCGTTCTAACTGCAAGGCCTCAAGCACACGGCGGAACCACAACACAGCCTCAGAAAGTTGGTGAGGAGAGCACAAGGTTGAGATCAAGCATGCATTCCTGTTACTGCAATGAAGTTAAAGCGTCACATTACGACAAGTGTTTGGCAATAATACAGAAATCGCGTGGTTGTTTGTAAGTCAGCGTATGTATGGACAGCACTGGCACCTCGTCTTCCGCAAGACGGTTACCGAGACCAGAAGGCAAAGCACTCAGCATAGGAACAGGTGAAAAGCAAGCGTGGATTCCTACTGTTCTGCCTCCCTTCACATCCACCAGATGGCCTCTCAACCTTTGACACCAGTGGAAGATGTCAGATAGACAGGCTCCAATGTCGTTTCCAACAACCGTCCCACCCCCTTTTCTGCACTCAACAGTACCAAGACCTGCCCACTTGGTCTTTCCGTGACAGCACAGTCTACAGAAGATCTGGGAACTATTCAGGGGCAAGTACCAAAACCCGTGGCTTGTGCCACTCACCCACCAGGAACGTGCCCAGCATCTCGCCCGCCTCGAAGCCATCCATCTAAACGCCTTGTACTCTGGCTGGGAGCATACAAGCTATGAGTCATTCACCGCTCAGTCGGGGACTTTTTGTACGGTGTGTGCGAATAAAGAATAAAGCAAACTCGAAGCTCGCCAGGGGGCCGGTGGCAATTTCTCAGGGGCGGCCGTTGTAAATCTGCCCCAGAGAGCATATCAAATACATATCGGGCACACGTACTTGTCCACGCCGGCCCAGACTTTGACATCAGAGAGGCCGGAGATGACAACCTCTGGCGTGGCATGTAGCTTGCAAACTAGTGCTTGGTATAGTCGACCGCGCCAAAAAGCAGTTGCGTTGCCACACACACACACACACGCAAACACGCACAACCACACACCCAGCACCCCCCACTGGGGGTGGCCAACGGCGGTTGAACCTTGTCTGGTATGTGTGCTCCCATCGCTTGGTGCCACCAGGGACCTGTCCATGACAGGAAGGACGACGCGCGTGAACAAGCCCAAGTGGTCCCGAGATGTCAGGGGCCGTGGCGGTGATATGATGGCCATCAGGTCCTCGACGGCTGGCGGTGAGACCGAGGGCCCAGTAAGGGGGTTGCGTAATGCAGCTCGACTCATCATCACACAGCAGCAGCAGCATGCCAATGGATGCCGACGCCCTCTCGGCGAGGGCGATGCAACTGCTCTGTGCAGCAAAGCAAGCAGGCGGGCACACCCAGGACCAGCCGCCGGTCGAATGCAAAACTTAATCGTGCAGCACTCACGTGGGAGGAATCTGCAGCTCCAGCCCTCTGGCGGCCGCCGGTGCACCAGACAGTAGTTAGTCACGTTAGTTGCGTCCCTAGGTACGCAGTTAACTAGTCCCTGCGGCGCGGGAAGGAGCATGCGACCCTGCCTGCCAAAGGGGATTTTTTTAGCAAGTCGACAAAAGGTAAAAAAAGAAAAGCAACGGCCATGCAAGCGGAAACCCAAAAGGGACCGGCAGCGAATCGCGGACTCGCAGGCCGGAGCGGACGCGCGACTGTCACACACTTTTTCCCGAGACAAGAAACCTAGAGGCGCCTAGCGTGCAGGCTCGTGTTGCTTCTTGTCACCACCTCCATTGTCTCTGTGCCCTCGGCCAGCCCGTCTGGCCCTCGGATATTCTTTCCAGCATGGCCGCAAAGATGCAACCGACGGGCTATTAGCTGTCTGAAACCTGGTGCTGCGCAGATGCGCCGCCACGAGGGCGATCGCCACTTGGCTTGGGCGTCGTCTCCATTGCCGTCACCATTTGCCCACAAGCCCGTGGCTTGACTGACTGACTGACTGACGGACTGACTGACTCCTGGAATATTGCGCGGCATGGAGTCGTCCTGCTGCTGCTGCTGCCCACTCTGTTGGCGTCATTGACCTGCCGCTGGTCCACGATGGGCGGGACGAGTCTCATCCCAAAGGTCCCCCCGGGGACTTGCGACACCCACCCACCTCGTGCCCGCCGCTGCCAACCTCCGATACAAGATCGAGAGTCGCTGCCCAAAAGCCTGAGCCCAAACCAGGGCGCCTCGCCTGCCTGCCTGCTTGCCTCCCTCCCTGAATGGGCTTGCCGCAATCCGGACTAGCGAGGGCAATGCGGAGGCAAGCCCGGTCGGGCCAGCCGCCGTACCACTCCCTTGGACCCGGCACACCACGAGGCGCCACGCCCGAGCCCCAGCCTGCCGATGCAGGCTAACTCACAGCACGCCATGGCATGCGCCGGCCTCTGGCGCTGCTCCGGGGCCCTAGCCTGGCTCGCAACCCGAGTATGTACTCAGTGTACGGGGGGACAAGGCGGGCGGGCGGCGCCAACAGCGGGCCCAGCTATTTTCCAACGGGCTCTAGGATCAATTGGGCACTCTCTTCGCCGGGCTTGTACAATTTCGATGCTAGATTCTTCTAGTCCTGCCGCCGTGCCCGACCATGTCTCACCTGCCCCGGCACCTGCCCACAACTCCGGGAGGCAGGCGTCTGTCTGTGTCTCCTGGGCCCGCGTCGATCACTTCTGGTGCCGCGCGGTCGTTGCTATATGCAAGACACGCCGCCATTCCAGAAGATTTGGTGTGTGCAGGGACCAGTTCACATGCAAGCGTCTGAGCTGGCGCTTCTGACAGCTCCGAAAATCAGCCCGGGACCCCGGCCCGGGACCACGCCCTGCTCCAGATGCTTTGCCGCGGGAGCGCAGTGTGCTCTGTCCAACAGAGATGACATCCGCCGCCCGCCATACGTCATTACCAACTCCGTCCGGTTCTCGTCAAGCAAGACCTGCAGGCAGCACGTCTAAACCTTCGGCACGATGCCGGGCTGGGCTCGAGCACTCTGGGTGGGCGTGGCAGCCACCTGTCGTCCATACGCCTCCGACGTCGTTGGTGCAGCATTGTGCATCAAGCTGAGACCCAGCATTCCGGGGCAAACCTTGGAGTCCCTGAGCTCGGATCATGTTGCAGACTCTCGGGTAACATGTCTTGCGGTAACCCACAAGCCCGCCACCGGTCAGCTGAGGCCACTGGTTCCCAGATGTCTCGACATGTCATGTGCCCTTGAGACATCACTAATATGTCGGCGCAGACGACCAGTCGGGGGCAGTGGCACGGACTCAGGGAGGCCGATTTAAACTTTGCATCAATTTCAGCTTCGTGGTCGCTAGCGCGCCCGCCAGGCACGCGGCTTCAGTGACGGAACCAACCCCACCCCCCTTCTTTGGCCATGCCCACGCCGGACCACTGTCGTCTTGTTTCCACAAACCCCATTCCATGGGTTCGTGCTTTGTTCGTACGATCCAAAGACACGGCATTCGACCTAGGCAGGCTAAGAGACAAAATAGAGGGTCGTGGTGGAGTGGCGCAAAAGGCACAGGTGCAATTGCCGGGGCTAAGCTGGCGGGTCATTGGTCGCCTGCCGGAGCATGGTCCTTTTGTTGTCCAAGTGCCGGACCCCTTTTGATATGTTCCTGCTTTCCTTTTCCAGCGAAGCAATCCGCGAGGGCGATAAATGTGCTGATCGGGCGTCACGATGGGTCTCCTAGTCGGGATAGTCTCATATATGCAGTGCTTCGGTCATCTATTACTCATGTTCTGGAACATCAATACCCAGACCGCCATTGGGATCAACTGCTAGAAGCCCCGAGGATTCCTGGACCTGTAAAGCTAGCGTCTGTTGAGGCGTGCGAGGAAAAGGGGGCGCAGAGAGGGCGGGATATGACGTTGCCATGGCGTGTTCGAGACAAGACATCTCTCGAGCTTGGGGATATGACTGATGCTACCAATCTTGACGCCCTCTCCCCTCTTTCACCGCGATATCTTCACCGCGTTTGACACACCGTGATGCGCGCTGACAGGAGCGCGGAGAAGCCCATGGGCTCCAGGTTGCGCCGAGATTGGTGTGACGGGCGATGGGCTGGAGACGTCTGCAGCATGGATCCTGGCGTGACACGGATTCAGCCCACCGGTGAACTGTGATATCCGACTTATGAACCATCATCGGCATCATAAAAGCCCGACTATAGAGCAACGACAGCACGGAAAACAATATGTCATCCCATGTCAGTTAAGATGAGCTGTCAATGCGCTGTGGACGTCCAGTGCAACGAAAATCAAAGTGTTAATCAAGCCCAATATGAAGCGGGGGTCTTCCAGGTTCGGCGGCGGATAGTGCCGTATCTTGAGTACCGCAAGGTTTGTGACACACGAAGCGAATCGTCTTTTGCAGCGATCGTGCAGCAAGCCAGATAATCTTGCTCGCGATGGGAGCTCACAGTTATGACAGCCGCACGGGGGTGCAACCCGAGTGACCAGCTGGGAGCAGAGCCGGCGTGAAGGGGGCTAGGAGCATGCTCCCGGCATGTTGATGTCAACGTATCAGGCTGGCTTCCTCAAAAGGCACTTTTAGGCAGGTGATAGCGACCGTTCTGTTTGCGCATTCGAACTCGTGATGTAATGAGCCAGCACTGCTGGTAAGTGAGGCTAGAGCCCTGCCGAGAAGATGGGACGAACCAGGGGCCCAAACCCTGGCAGCGGTCAATTGAGCGGTCGCTGAGATTGCATGTCATCGACTCGCGGTTCTAGTCATGATCGGAGTCGCAAGGGTCTGTTGCACCGTACTCCATCCACCGCGCCATTACAAAGATGGCGTACATTGATGTGCCTGTCGGCCTCCACACTTGCACCACCCCTGGTTTTGAGGTTAATTTCGGAGGGGCATCCTGCCGGTTGCAGATAACCTGATAACCTGCCTGGCAGAAGAACAGCTTGCTGTCAATTGGACGGATAATTCTGCAGAGCCATCAGGCGGGTTTGACGCGACGACTGACAACAGCAAAATTGAAAGCTGATTCCATTGTCCATGCGGCGCCGCAGCCGGATTTGTGCATGCTTCAAGAGAGCTGTGCCATGGCAATATAACGGAGTGGTCATGGCTGCGATGGCTTGCCGTGACAAGTGAATGGTCTGCTAAGCGAGAGTGTGATCGCTTGTGCACGGCGGAACTTGATTTGCGCACCCGCGCAGATCCGTGAGCTACCCTCGTGCTAATGACCGGGTTTCGCCAGAAATTCTCCGGAGCATAACAAAGAAGCTTCAGGTGAGCGCCCTTGCTTCGTGAGGGATGTGGCAAGTCCAAAGGCATGGCTCTGAGTAGGACACTTACTCGTTGCAGTTAGGGAGGAGACGGGGGACCCTTGAACTCTCCACCTCGGGTAGAACCAGGACAGGTGCTTGCGGGCGGAGACAACTTGGAACCATTTCTGTGCCTCGCGCTTGTGACAACTCCGAAGGCCGCACAAGAATAGGTCGATGCTGCATGTATTCGCTTGCGTGTATGGTTAGATGCAAGCAACCCCTAATTTTTTTTTTCCACCTCTCTCGTCTTGACCAGCTGCATTTAGTGATCGGTCCGACAGTGGCCAGCAGAGCCTCTTTGCTTGGTGCACTAGCTGCGTGGTGCAAGCCACGCTGGCGCGGTTTGGCACGTGCCTGCAGTTTGGGGGACGTGCTAGTTGCGGCCTGAGCCGAGTGCTGACTAACCACGTGCGTGCTCGGGATGCATTGCTGTCGAGCCCTGTTCCCTGCAATAAGATGTGCACCCGGTGCTGCGGAGCTGCTGCAGGACACAGTTGCCCGCTCCGGGTCCAGCAACGATCAAGGGTGCCTCTGGCGTACCAGACCCTGTCCGTTGCCCACGATATCAGACGAATGCTGGACCCAAAGGTTTGGAGTTGTGTCGCATCTGAGCAGTGGGGTGTACAAATCTCGGTCCGAGCCCCCGTGGCTGGTGTGCGTGGGGTTCGCCCACGCCGGCAGTCCTTGTCGTTGTCAGTCGCGATTCGTCCCGTTCTCGAGGACAGCGGGGCCCGCATGGCCGGCTCGCCTGGCCGTCTTCCTCTTGCCACACCTGTGGCATAACCCGGCCTCGCCTGCAGCTGACGAGCAGCCATCGTCAAGAACGCTGTCCTTGCGCCAACCAAGTCGCCAATCTCAAAACATGCGTGCATGCATGAGTTTTGGCGACAAGGGCTCCCCGGCCTGGCGGTGTGCTCGCCGTCACACCCAGTATGGAGATATCGCAAGGTCGTTTGCGGAGCCGCAGGAAGGACAAAGAGGCTCCGGGAGGGGCTTGCAGCATCGAGGCCAAGGCAGGTCGCGGCACTGATCCTTTCGGCCGGGTCATGTCCGGAGGGTCTTGCATTGGGCCCTGAGCGCGCGCGTGTCTCGACGTTTCTGAATGTGACGTGTCCTCGTGATGCAGGATGTGGCTGCCCCAGGCTCTGACGGAGGATACACCCTCGTCATCTTCCCCGCAGTCGTCCATTATGCAAACCACATCGCGTGACAATGCCGGAGTGCCGGGCGGTAGACGGAAACTGGTTTCGAACGATGATGTGCCGTCCCCTGGTCGCATTCCATAAGGACAGGCTGGCACGACAGGCGGATTCACGGCAATGGCTTGCACAAACATTGACAACGAGGAGGTCGAACCACAACCTGACAGCAGGGACGGACCAGAAGCCCTTCACGGAAGGCGCCATCGTCTGAAAGCACTGGAGATCGTTCAGTGCGAGGGCGCTCATGATCCAGGCGGGGGAGCTTACGCCACACCAGCCGCACTGTTGCACCACTAGCACATGCGAGCATTCGACAAAGACAATGCAAGATGGCACCGTGACATCCAAGCACATGTCAGAGGTGCAGCGGTCGAGATCGGACAAGGAGTTGCCACAAGGCCAACCGGGGAGGACTGGGTAGGTCCCGGCCAATCAAGAAAGCTCCAGTATGCGTACACAGAAATAGGGTACTGGGTAGACTGCATAGACGGCAAAGGCAGACGCCCGCGGCAACCACCTGCGATCTCCATGCAGGATCTTTGCTCGTGGGGGATGGATAGACTAGGTCCAGTATCGGTGCTGTAAAGGCCGCTAGAGAGAACAAGCGACACGTATGGCGTGGCTTTCTGGCCAGAAGACTGCTTGCTCTCTCCTTCGAGCAGTCTGTTAAAGTTTGGTCAGAGTGTCCAATGGCTGACGTCTCCTGCTCAGCGATTGACCAAGGAATTGATAGATGGCCGACACGAACGTAGGGGCACCCGTGTCGGACAGCCGACGTGGGTGCAAGTTTTGCTGCTTCCGATTGCGTATCCGCGGTGATGCCGTTTTGATCTCATGGCGGCAGCGTTTCGGGCCTGCAAAGCGAATGCAGCGAGAGATTGGCAGGGACGTTCTGACCATTCCCGCGACACAAACGAAACCGCAAGAGTTCGGACGAAGGCAGACAAGGGCTGCCTTGGGTCGAGACCCCGATGAGCATCGCTGCGAGCTTTGCATGAACAGACGAAACGCGAGGGCCGGAGCAGAGCAGGAGGGCCACGAACTGTTCTGCTTCCAGCTGCATGCTCCCCTTGCGAGCCGAGTGCTTGGCACAGATGACGCTGCAGGGTCCGTGGTTTCACCAGGCGCTAGCTGCGTGCAGCTGTCGATCTCGCTTGGAGCCGGCCGCAAGAGCTGAGATGGCTGCAACGGCCACTAGCAACGACCCGTTGTGGTGAGCCGCCCGGTCGAGTCGAGCCAAGGCCCGGCCACATGCCCGGTTTTTCAAATGAAGGATCCCTGCGCGCAACAGAGACGGGCCGCCCTGGGGGCATTGGATCGTCATGCGTGCCCACCACTGAGAGCAAAATATCGCCCGCTGGTGCCGTTGGGGTGTTTAGGACCACGACCAACACGTACGACAGCTCTCCTGACCTGAATCTCTGCCGAGGGTGGCATCCCGCGTGGCGTCCATGACAAGGGTTCTTGCACCTGGCTGCGGGAATTGATTTTCCCACCAGCGACAGCGTGGAGCAGAGCAGTGTCCCGCAAGACACTCCAAATGAATGTGTCAACGAGATCAGCGCGAAGACCCAGCTGGGCCTGTGCGTTCCGCATGGCACCTCGCCCAAGGAGAATTTGAGAATGCGATGGCTGGTCGATCACCTGCAGGGTTCTCGGGACGTGCAGGGCCATCGACATCGGACGAGAGCGGCATCCTACGTTCTGTAACCACAGATGGCATCATGCGACGTCTGGAGTGTGCTTCGTGGGGGGGGGGGGGCAGCAGTCGTCTGTCAGTTGCTGTCTCTCCAATCTCGTCCCTGGCCCAGACCGCGTGACATGTCATCTCGGTCGGCGGATCTTGCAGACTTCAATCCGAGCGGGCAAACCGACGAGCCAGGAATATTCACGAGAGACGGCTTGTGTGATCAAGTGGTTCATTGGACCACTCCCGGAAAGTTGACAAGGTCAATTAGAATGGACATTGTCGTTGACCAAGGTCACAGAGACCATCAGACAGTGGGGTTGTCGGACCAGAAATTGACTTTCGTCGCTGGCGAACCCCTGCTCGCCCAAACTCGTAACTGCTAGAGTCCTGCACGTCGACGGCCACGATTAAATCGCCCGCCGTGATGGCGATCTCTGCCGAATACATACATGCTGAGTGGGTGATTTGACTTTTGAGTGCGCGATGCTGGAGCGGCGTCTCGCATCGCCTTGCAAGCCACTAGCCAAGCAGCTGTCGTGACGATCATTGGGGTCCCATCGATGCGGGCTTCATGTCTCGGTGTCGCAGGCGATAAATGAGGATAGCGTGAGGCACGGGGTACAGTCGAGTCAGACTGGACTCGGTCGTCCTCGTGAGCTTGAATATGCCACTTTGTGCGGCGTGGCGGGTCCATGAAGAGGATCGTGCCTGCCTACGCTAACGTAGCTGCAGCGCCGCCTAGAGCGCACCTGCCTGCCCGTCCACTGCTTTGTTGCTGGATCTGCTGCCAGATTACGCACACCCTCGGCACTCAGCTACACACTTTGCAACCCTGGCCTGCCTTTCCGCCACGAGACCACCACCTCTGCCCAGGCACACCCGTGCGTCCTCCGTGCACACGCTACGGCCGATGCACGCTGTCCCGCTTTGGAGAGTCTCTCCGAAACCTTAACCGGAGTGCCTGTGGCCCAATAGTGCCTCCGAACAATGGCTCGTCAGGACGCCAAGCTTGGTCTACCCCCGAAAGAAATTCGCCGTAGCCACCCAGCCGAAGCCGCGGCAGCCAGACAACAACCCTTCTGTGGGAGGGACAATCATGATCCTGAGCAGCGCTGATCCCAGCAGGGCGGAACATGACCGCTCGTACGAGTCAATGCCATTTGCACAACGATTGCCAGTGCTCATTTGACAACGACTGGCTCTCCGCGACCACCAAAGGAGCCCCCATGACCACTAGACGTGGCTCTCTGGCGACCTTTGCCGGGTGCCGTCGCCCCAGGCGCAACATTCACAACGACATGCACAATTTGCGCCCGTGCGCGTGCGTGCACAGATAGATCATCAGAACGTGAGAATGCAATATTCAGCGAGCATGACCTGGCCGACCTCTAGGGTCGTGACAACGACAATGTGAGCTACGTGCGACGCTATGCAAATAGTGCCCTCGACCATGTCGCATAGCTGGCTGGGGTAGCAGGCATGTGTCTCTGCTTGTGAAGATCGCCCCTCGGAGGTAGTTCCGACCAGGGGGCCGCCGTTGTTGGACCAGCTCTAGTGGGCGAAATGGTTGTCCCACTGCCCTGACGCGCCTCTGCATCCACCGTCAGCTCAGCCGACGCCACTGTCGAGAGAGACATCATCAACATTCCCCTCGTGCGCGCCCGCACCGGTAGAGAAACCAGCTTGACGTGACCTCGAACCAACCTGCTTGCCCGTACAGAATAATGCATCTTCTGAAAATCCTGCACCCATGACTAGGTGGTCGGGATGTTGCTCGCTGGCTAGGGCCTCAAGTCGCATCCATGGATCGATCAGACCACTTGTAGCTGGAGTACCTGCCTCGGTACTTGGGACCCAGTGTGTTCTGAGACTCGACTTTCGGCCTTAGTCAGACACCAATACATCCACGCCCCATCGCCCTCGCCTGCTAGTGCAACTGGCGACCGTCTTGTGGCTGCAGGTTGGAAGTGGTCCTCGCAACTTACGTACGCTTAGGTAGTGAGCTGGGCAGGGGTCGCCCTTGGCTCAGAAGTATGTATGATGCAGTGCGTGGCCGTAATTCATGCATCCAGAAGACTCGCGCGCCGCCAAAGTGTGATCTGGACCACTTGCTCGAAATGGCAATCCAAGACAGGCAGGAAACTCTTTCGCCGGAGTTTTCGCCGACGGGCCGGGCGACCATTGAAAATTATACGCTAGCCGTTGCTTTTTCTCCCTCACTTCATTCTTGGAGTGCAGGGACGGCACAATCGAACCTGTCTGCTGGGGTACGACTGTCAAATCCACGAGGCCGTGCAGCACTGACAGAAGGCACGCAGTTTGGCGGCTTCTACCGCGTGTTCCATGCCATGTCCCAAGCCGGCACCCGCCGCCCGGGATTGAGCGCTTGTAACATGTAGTATGGTAGCGGCTTGCACTGCAAGGACCCTGGCAATAATCCCGGCCCGTGAGGACGAGAGCACGGCATTTTCCGAACTGGCTCCAGGCCAACCCAACAACCTGAGCAAAAAGTCGGAGCGCACACTCGCCCTGCACCTGGTCCTCCAGACGCCCAGTGCTGTCCCTACGGTTCCAGCCCGCCCTTAGGTCATCATTGCCCGTACAAAACCAGAGGAGGACATCAACAGCGACAAACTTGTTCGTTCTGGGGTCTTTGAACAGCCGCCTCCTGCTGCTGCCTTGCCCGCTCTCGAGCATGCTCCGGAGGCTCGGCCGTTGGCGCGCTTGCCGTCACCAAGGCCGCCTGCGCCTTGACGTTTATGGTCGAGCCTGTGCCTCGTGATGGGGACAATCAGTCACGCATGGCGCCAGTGCAGTATGTAGTGTGTCTTAGTCTAGTGTCAACTACTCTGTCTGGGCTGGCAGCAATCATCTCAACATTCGGCCGGAACCCTATATCGACAGCCTAGTGAAGCCGCAACCAGTCAAAGTACACTAGCCATGCCTTGTGCACCTTGACGAGGACAGGGCCGCCGCTCCAAGGTTGACCTGGACAGAAGGCAGCCTCCCCGCCCATCGAGGCCAGAGCCCCATCACCAAATTAATCCGAAGCTGGGTCCAATCTGCCACCACGGAGCGGCGGCTCTTTGTGTCGTGCCTGGCTGTCGAATAACCTTGGCTGAGTGACGCCCCCCGGGCTTCCAAGGTTTGCTGGGTCCGCCACTGACTGACCACTGGAGTGCCAGCCCCCAGGCCCCTGTCACGGCCGTTGCCAAAAGTACGATCCGCCCGTTTCTGCCATCTTTTTTGTTGTCTCGCATAATTACCACCGGCCCAGGTGCCCAGCCAGCTCCGCACGCGCTTGCTGTGTGTCCTTGCTTGTCTGCTGCTCTGCCTCTCTGCCCTTGCACCTCGTAGAAGAAGGACCCGCTCGGCCTGAAAACGGGCGCCGGCGCTTCCTAGGCTCGAGCATCCGAGGAAATAAAGGATCTCTGCCTCGCGTCTCGGAGACGTCTCGAGCAGCAAGCTGATGCGGCGCGGGCAATCAGCCCAAGGACCGCCGGCAACTGATGATGCAGCAGCAGCAGCAGCAGCAGCAGGCGTCACGGCAGTCCACTCGTGCGTTTGGACCCATCGGGAAGATGGGATGACAGACAGAGGAGGCGTGGGCGCAGTAGTGGCATGCAACTCATCTCTTTGCCTTGCCTTGCCTTGCCGCTGTGGGCGGGCAGCCGTTGCGCATCATGTCGTTCCGGCCTGTTGGTCTAGCATATGCCCATCCCCTTGTATCCAACTAAGAGAAACCAGATTTCTTGTCGTGCACGCCCTGACACTGCTCTCACGTTCCCACACATGGCTACCATGTCAGACCCCTGTGCTGCGGTCCCCTGGCCCTCAGCTCTGGGCTGGGTTCCCTGCTAGCAGCAGTGCCTGTCAACAACCCGTCCCACAAATGGCTCGCCGACCTCTGGGTGTGTGTGTGTGTGTGTATGTGTGTGTGTGTGTGTGTGTGTGTATACGTACGTTCATGTGTGTGTGTGGGTGTGGCATGCGTGCGCGCGAGCGAAGCGTATGCTGGTCAAGCTGCCGGTAGGTACAGCAGCGGTGCCCACAGGCGCAGCTTACCTGGCTTTGCGACTTATTACTTATTCGCTCGACGTCGCATCGCCGTTCTCGTTGCGGCCCGCTCAGGGCCCTGTCCCATGGGTTGTTCCTGCCTTCTGTGGGCCCTCCCAGCAGCGCACCGCCCTTCCCCGACTAACAGCAGCCCGCGGCTCCGCCAGCGCCGCCGGCCCTCCTCCCACTCGCACACCCCCCTTCCGCCCATCATAGCGGCCAGGCTCGTTAATAGTCCATATCATCATCGCCGTCGCACACGCAGGGCACCTACACGAGACACCGTCCTTTCACACGCCGGCCGTTGGCTAGCCTCTCGGACCTCACCTGTCTTCTCTCGGCCGTGCTTGCTGGCACATAAGAAGTTAAGGTTGCCTGCCGACGTCGCTGCTCATAGCCAGGCCCCGTCCCAGCTTGACTTGACTGGCTGGTCTCGTCTGTTGCTACCACCACCCCCGGCGACTTATTCCCCTGCCCGAGCTACATCACCTCCACAACAGCCCGCCTCCACTACGGCGCCCTTCCCTCAAGCTCTTGCTTCTGTCCACCAGTGCCACAGGTCGACAGCTTCTTTTCTTCGACATCCGCCATTCTAGCCCCTCGTGCCACTCGCCTTGGCCACGAGTCGTTCCTGCAGCTGTCCGGCATCCGTTGACTTGTTGCTTCCCGGAACCACCTTGATCTGTTTCGCACTACTCGGCCTCGCCGCCTCGATTTTCTAGCCCGCAACACGTCTACCCATCTTTCACGAAATCCTCAACGACTCGTGCTTGGGCTTCCATCGCCATCACAAGCTTGGCCTATATCTGACGTACTTGCCCGTCAGCATCCCGTGCTCAGTGCCTCGCAATCCTGACTGTCACAGCTTGCACCTGTTCCGATCCGGCACGCTCCTGACGACTTCTTCGCTTCTTCACCGGGGTTTTTTTTTGTCTTCTTTCTCCTCTTCATCGCCCTCCTCTTCTTTTTTCGTCTTCATACTGGACGTGGCACTGAAGTCAACGGCATCATCGACAACACTGGCGATCTTCCCGGGCTCGTCGGGTCTGTGTCTCCAACTAATTCCTGGCCACTGCTATTTGGATTCTGCATCGACCTTCCTGGGCCCCTCGATTTCGTCGCTGATTTGAAGCTCGAGGACCGAATCTCTTCCGTAGTCGACGGTAGGCTCGCCTTGGTGTTTGCAGTCTACTGACGAACAGACTGTCGTCCGCTTTTCCAGGCGACTTTGGTTGTCTCGATCGACGGACCTTTTGTCACCGGCAGCTGTGTCCTCTTCCAAGCCTTCCCATTGGACATTCAACCCGCTGCGTAGGCCAACAGCCGCGGGTTCCCTGCGGCCTTTTACCAGGCGCCGTCTTCTGGACAACCACTTTTCCACGAGCACGCAACTCTCGGTGCAAGCCGAGACATATCCACCCTGGCTTTCCTCAACCCAGACCACTTCAAGGCCAGGGCAGAGGCAGAGCGCGCTGCCCATTCACTGGCATATCCTTCTCCGCCGATGTCAGGATCTTCGCCACTCCCGCCCAATCCCCATCGCGACGCTGTCTACCGAGACCAAAGGCCCTTCGACGCCTCACGACAAGATGCGTACGGTGGGGATTCGGGCGCGCAAGGGCGGTCGCACGGCCACAGTCCAGCGCAGTTTTCGCAGCTTCCGCCAATGCAGATAGGCCCCCGTTCAGCCATTTACCATGACACAGAACGTCGTCCATCGCCATATGCGCAGCCAGAGGACTCATCCGTGCGCCATCGGCCGTACTCGCCCCAGCTGTTTCACAGCAAGCCGGAACCTCGATACCCTGGGCCGTCTACCGCATCTTCAGGCTCGTTGCTTGGTTCCACGTTCCCCAGTGTCGCCCACCAGCAAGGTGGTCAAGAAGGCGCTGACGCCTCCTCTCGTACGTCGCCAAAATCGCAAAGGAAGACGAAGGGCCATGTGGCGTCGGCCTGTGTTCCGTGCAAGAGAGCTCATCTCAGGTAGGCTGAACTGATATCGAACGAGGACACTCGAAGTTTGTGTGACTAACGGGTCCCAGGTGCGATGGTATGTTGATAATTTCCCCAAACTTGCTTTCGATTGCTGCCGACGACGCACCTCTCTCGACTTGCGCAGCAGCGTCTCTGCCGTCCGAGGGTAGCGCGGTGGTATAGAGGCGTCCGCGTAGCCGACACGCCTTTGCTGGGCCACTTGCAATGGCTTGATGATGCACATCATGGCTTTGCCAGCGACCAAGCTATTGTGACTCACCAAGCGTTCCTTGTTGAAGAGTTTCAGCAAACGTCGCCTTTGTGATGAAGAACTTCCGTACGCACGATCTTAATACTGACCTGATTCGTTTATACAGCCCAGCGACCATGTTCACGGTGCCTAAGCAATGGCAAAGACGACGCGTGTGTCGATGTGCAGCACAAGAAGAGGGGCCGGCCAAGACTCAGGGATGATCGAGAGTCGAGGTTTGAGACCGCGAGATACGCCCAACCAGACGAGCCATTATCACGACGGTCTTCTTTGTACTCGCCAGCGATATCGACAGCCACATCCTACGATGACCCCCTACGACGAGCCCAGTCTTACCGAGCCATCAAGTCGCAGCCTAACGAACCTGAGGCAACTGATTATCAGCCGGTTGAAAGAGCCACGTTTCCGCACGTGCACCACCAGCAACCGTCTGTCCTGGACCGAGACCAGGATCCCGTCGCATACCTGAACCTCGACTTATCTATTGCGAGGGCATCGGAGCCATTCTTTGAGATGCTAGGGTCGAGAGACGTTCTGGGCCGACGGCTGGTAGAGATTGTCAGCGCGCACGAGCGAGATCGGCTGTCTGCACTGCAGTCTTCATTGCAGGCGGAACAGGCCCAGCGCGAACCAAATTACTTACCCCCAATCTTCTTGAGAGAAGAGACAGATCGCTTGGTACGGAGCCTCCCGCTCGGAGGAGACGCTCTTGGGAGATTCCGGCTGGATAGGATCGAGACCATCACCTTTATGATGGCGAATGGTCAATTGAAGCCATGCCTGACGCGGATTGGGCTGGTCAAGGAAGGCTCGATATATCTCGTCGTTCTGCGTCCCGACCTCCCAGCGCAGCGGCCGCAGGGGATGCCGCAGTCGTACGGTCCGAGAGGTTTTCCACCTCCGGCGCAGACAGGTCCACGACACCCAGGTGCTTACAATCCTCCACGGGACCCTATGGGCCATCCCGCTTCGGGACATAGCTATGGAGGTTCCAGCCAGGGCTTGCCTGCAACAAACCAATCGCGTCCTGAAGGGCACGGCGGACGGCCCTATTTGGGGTCCCTGCCGCCACGAGCAGATACAGCGGTTTCACTGTCGGGCCATACCCCACGAAGTGAGCTCGCGGCACACCGGCCGACGCCCCACGAATATCAACTCCCACCGATAAGAATGACTCCACAGCTGCCTCCGCAGAGCACCCCGATGTGGCAGAGAGATGAACGTCCAGGACGAGTTGATATCGGAAAGATCATAGATGGTCCGACGCCACCACGAAGAGAGTGATACAGCTTTGGGATCTGAACCCTGGTTGAACCACATGAAAGTTGAACGTGACCTCGACTCAAGTGCAAGATGGCACAAACAATGGGCAAAGACTGCGCATGCTGCTATCGCCACTACACAAATAGAGCAGTTGTTTCGGCAAGCTGTTCTTTGTTGTCTGGATGGCTGTAATTTGAGAAAAGCAGGATTGGCTCTGGGCCGACACCGCAAGCTCATGAAGATTTGTCGATATCTCCTGCACCAGTTCAGCTTTCACTCAGTCGATCTGCCCACCAGAATTTCGCTTCGAGATATCATCACTCGTCGTAAAGCTCGTTTTCGTGCATGACAGAGGCATTTTCCGGTACCGGACCCTGGCCGAACTGCGTGTCTGGTGCTGAAGGGTGTCAGATTCCCTTGTGAGATGACCGGACATAGAGGCCAGTGACCGTCGAAAGGGAAGAGGGAATTGATCCACATCGCGTCAGCAACACGTCTGAGTTCATTGGGAAATTGCTCAAACATGAGTCGTGTTTCAGTTATGCTCATCCGGTATGATGGCCAGGCCTCATGTGTTGGGCGTGCCTTGATTTTTACAACCACTCTCATCCACCGCAGGAGCTCCACGAATAGTGCCGGTAGTGGCGCGCTGAGGCGGTGTTGAGGGCACTGCTGCGAAAGCCATGGAATGCAATTGAGCCGATGCGGGATTGGCGATCAGCTTGCCTTGGGAGCGGCCATCGGCCATCGTGCCCATGTTGCGATACAAAGCTGCCAGTTGCTAAGACACGTGCGTGGGATCGGCATCCTCAGACGGCGTCTGCTAGAAATTCATGCCACATGTTCGTGTCGGAGGATCGTGGCAGCGAATGTGGGTTGCATGATCAGTCTTTCTCTGGGTGCGAGCTCATTCGGGAACAAGATCTTTCCAATCCTCAAAACCTAGCAATGATTGAGAGAATCACAACATAAAACCCACTCTCTGAACCGTATGTTGCCAACGCACCAGGGCAACGAGCATTGGAAAACGAGCCCATTTCATCAGCCCGTCCTCATGGTGGTGGAAAGTCGAGTGAGTGGCTTGTCTGACATCTCGTTGTATCGGTATGAAGGTCGGCACGATGTCAATGCTCGTGATCGAGGAGGGAGGCAGCGGCCTCAGGGCCAAGGGGTTTTTCGAGGCGTCTGATCGATACGGTCAGGGTAGATCGAGACAAGACCTAGCTTGTCCATCCAAGATTCACAGACTGTTGTGTAGGTGTGGCACAGACATGTGGAGCAGAGAGTACCAAAGGAGAAGAAAGGTCACGATGGGGAGAGAGGCTCGGTGTTGTCGAAATAAAGACGTGGCCCCTAGCTAGCTTACAATGAATGCAGCTAGCAGCCCTGCTCTCAAACGAGGGGGCACTGCCTAACCTCTTGGAGGCTCTGCCAATCGGAGATCCGCCCGGGACACGCAGTAGTGGATGAAAATTGGTGACCCGCGACGTCAGTGAGCTAACGGTGGAAACCCCAAAGTCCCAAGATGCCCAAGGCGCTAAGGGGGTGTACCTTTGGGGACCAAGAAAGGCAAAGCCCTCGACTTGTGACCATACATCACCGGGAGGATGAGGAGGAGGAGGAGGAGGAGGAGAAGATCAAAGACAAGAGGAGAAAGAGACGGGTTTGAGCCGACGAAAGGTAACAGACCAGACTGACCGGGAGCATGGGCGCGTTCTCGTCTTCCTCTTCAGATCTTCCTTCGGTCACTCTCCTTCGACCCCGCCTCGCGTGGCCGTCATACTGCACAACGGGACCCGGACTTGATACCAGAATGAGGACCAAGAAGGAGAAGGGGGAACATGGGAGTTTGTGTACAAGTAGACAAGATGAAGGCGAACTTGGGAAAGGAGGAGAGGGGGGAGGAGGAGGAGGAGGAGGAGGAGAAAAAGGAAGAGCCGCTGGTTGCGGCGAAAAGATTCAAGGATCGCCCGAGATTGGCGGTTGGCCGAGGACGGCAGATAAGTCAAGCCAGGACATGGGGCGGAAATCGTTTGGGTCTTTTGCGCGCTGGGAAACGTCGATCGAGGCCTGTAGGTTGCGCGCAGAAAAAGCCCTTGGGAGCGAGCGAGCGAGTGAGCGAGTGAGGAAAAGCAGTCGGCGGCCCAACAGAGGAGGGGGCGTGAAGGGGGGATACCAGGCGGTAATAACTTAAGTGTGGTGTGGTATGGCATGGCTTGCCGGCGAGGCGGCATGACAAGCAGGATATTAATACAACACTGCGCGGTGCACAGACTGTGTTTCCGTCATGCACCGCACTGCACACAATGCTACCGACAGGCGAGTGCATAACGGCAACAATGGACATTGCCGCGTCCCTCTATGTACTCGCCGGGCTCCTGATCGCCCACCGCCCTCGTCCTCCTGCTGCTCCCCGCAGTAACGTTTTGATCGCACCACCCACGACGAAACAAGCACCCTGAGGAGGACGCACGGGGTCCAGAAACAAGAAAGTTGTGGAGAAAAATCTCCGACTGGCCCAGCTGGGGCCGGGGGCGCATTTGGGCGTGGTATATTTGCCCGGATCAGACCGTGCGGAGTGAGCACCAACATAACGCGACTCCCAACCACCCTCCTTGTTGGCCCTACCTAGGCATCCCCGCTCCTGTGCAACGGGGGCGGAACGAGTACCCCTGCCTCTGATTTCGACAACTGCGCTCGAGTGTGTGTATCGAGAACAGCATTATGATGGTATGTAGCGGCTTTGCTCATAGACGCGACATGATGGCGATAAATTGTGGCCATTCGACTGGAAGTCGGAGGACAGGCGTCTCATGGACATCGACACGCACTGTCCGGCATGGCCTCTCCCTCTCTCTCACCTCTGCCAACTGAGCATCTACCTGGGCGACGGACGAGTCTTGGAAACGCCACCCGTCGGAGATCGGCCCAGGGTCCATGCCGCCGCCTCGCAGAGGCTGTGTGTGTCGAGCGGCGCCTTGTGGTGGTTATGACGTATGACAGGTGGGCGATCCTTTCGTTGGCTTCCGACGGCATGGAGTAAGTAGTTCAAGCCTGGCGTGTATAACCACCTGTTGCAGCATTGGCAGCGTGGCATCCGAGCCATTTGCTGTTCTGGAGAAGGGCTGAGACATCGGCCGGTGCATCATCATTCAACGGCCGGGCGAGAGCTGCGTTGTCTCAGGCAAGCCTGCCGGCGCAGGACCAATTCGGCAGTTGGCGGCTGCCGTTGTGGTCATTGTTGTTTGGTGTCTATTTCCGAGGTGGTGTGGAGCGGGAGCTTGTGCCTACAGTTGGGGCCCAGAATAATCCGGCCCAACCACCCCACCGACGCGAACGCGTCGCGCCACCTGCAAACCCTCCCTTCTTCAAAACCACCATTTCGAGCGCATTTTGAGGTTATCATGGATGATTTTGTTGCTGGAGTGTGCGCCGATAGGCTGCCGAAGCAGGATTTCACTCCTAAGAAGAAAGCAGCTATCTGCGCCGCCCATTTCGCAGGTGTAACGCACCGCCGCATTGCCGAGCTTACGCGGGCCTCCAAGTCAACAATCACCCGCATTATCTCGGACTGGAAAAACAACGGCAACCTAGCCAAATCGCCTCGGAATGGTCGCAATGGATTCACAAATGCCCAGAGAAGGCGCGTACTAACTATCGTCAAACGCAAGCGAAAAGCGACGTGGCCAGAGATCATACAAGCCATGCCCTTCCAGATCTCCAAGACATCCATAAAGCGCATCATTCACGAAGCTAAGCTACGTAAGTGGAAAGCTCAGAAGAGGATTCCGCTATCTAAAGAAGCACGAAGAGCTAGGCTTGCATTTGCAAGAGAGTGGCTACCAAAAGTCGACGAATTGCAGGAGGTACGTGTAAGTGAAGTTGGTGGGATTATGCTGACTTGATCTAGGTGATTTTCACGGATGAGTCGTCCTGCCAGAACTCCACAAACGCACCCGCGCAATGGGTATTCCGCTTCCCAAGCGAGAAATGGGACGACCAGTTCGTCAACCTTAAATCGCACGTTAAGGCGAACCTATCCATTATGGTTTGGGGTGCCATATACCTGAAGAACGGCGTGGGGTGCCGGTCAGAGTTGGTGATAATGCAGCGCGAATCGCAGCCAGATCCCAACAAGCGAAAGAAGGGCTATACGGCCTGGAGTTATCAGAAGGCATTGCGCGATGGCTTCATCCCAATATACGACGATTGGCAGGTATTTCAGCAGGATAATGCAGCAATTCATTGCGCAGAGAGTACTATGGATTGGCTCGCCGTCAGGGGCATTGCGGTACTACCAGACTGGCCAGCACACTCGCCAGATCTCAACCCAATTGAGCACATTTGGGCCTCAATGAAGCGCCAGCTAGTAAAACTGTTTCCAAACATTATGGCCCTCAAAAGAAACGACGGTGATACCTCCCAATTTGAGGAGTGTTTGAAGTCGGCGTGGGCAGCAGTGCCGGAACGGCTGATCACAAAGGTCCTCACTACAATGGACCGTCGCCTTCGCGCAGTGGCCCGTGCGCGCGGAGGATACACCAAATATTGAAGCCGCCATCGCCAGCTTCAAAATGCAATAATTACTACTCGATTCTGACCTCGTTTGACGGTTCTGTGGCCTTTTGTCGTGTGCAAGTACTGTGCAGCCAATTTTGGTGGGGGGGCTTGGGCCGGATTAATTTGGACCTGATCAGAGTAGTCTGGAGTGGTCTCCAAGACAAGGTTCCGCCGGCGCGCGGCACTTGCGTGAGATCCCCTCGAACCCCATGATGGTTCTTTCGTAGAACACGGGGCCAAGGCATTCCGTGGCCGCGCAAGGAGCCAAGAGAGGCGTCGTCATGCTTGGCGTAGTCTTGAATGGTCCATGGGGCATGTATTGCTGGGGCGAACACGAGTCTGCGCGCGGAGCAGCGCCTCTCGAGAGCCTGCAGCTTTGTGAGACAACCGGGGAAGGTACTTCGTCCAGCGCCTGCATCATGCTCGGCAGTCGCGACCCGGCCTGGGTCCCACTTTCCCAACGTCACGGGCTCACAACCGCCTGCCTGCCCTGGGATCGACGCTAGAGCTGAACCAGCTCTACGACTCAACGGCGGCCCAGTCCATCTGTCCCGACACCTTGCATGGAGGAGGTCAAGACCACGCGTTGCCACTGTTGTCACGGCGCTCCATCGTCGCCATAATCGATCGCCTGGCCCCCGACACCCGGTGGGTCTGCAAGGTGAGCCGTAATGGATGTCAACGAGCCTCGCGGCACAAAGAGGAAGGCCAATGACGAGTCCGCGGACGACCCGGCGCACGCCGCCCGCCGCATCCGCGCCCTCGACCCAGACGTCGTCAACAAGATTGCCGCCGGCGAGATCATTGTTGCTCCCGTCCACGCCCTCAAGGAGCTTATCGAGAATGCCATAGATGCCGGCTCCACTTCCCTAGAGGTCCTTGTCAAGGAGGGCGGCCTCAAGCTCCTCCAGATCACAGACAACGGCCATGGTATTGACGTACGCATCCCCCGCCTGCCCTGGCGTCATTCGTCGTTTCGCGTGACAATGCCCTGTACTAACGAGTCATTTAGAAAGAAGACCTGCCGATCCTGTGCGAACGCTTCACCACCTCGAAGCTCAGCACCTTTGAGGATCTGAGCAACATCAACACGTACGGCTTTCGAGGCGAGGCCCTCGCCAGCATCAGCCACATCGCCCACCTGCAGGTGACCACAAAGACGAAGGACTCGGCAGCAGCATGGAGGGCAAATTACGAAGGCGGGAAGCTCACTCCAGCCAAGCCCGGGCAGTCAGCAGATCCCAAACCTACCGCAGGCCGGCAGGGAACTCAGATCACCGTTGAGGACCTCTTTTACAATGTGCCGACCCGGCGCAAGGCCTTCCGCTCCCCCTCGGACGAATTCAACAAGATCATCGACATGGTCGGGCGTTACGCCATCCACTCGCAGGGGGTAGCGTTCTCCTGCAAGAAGCACGGTGATGCTGGCACGGCCATCACGATATCGTCCCAGGCATCAACCGTGGACCGCATCAGACAAATTCACGGCGGATCCGTAGCCAACGAGCTTATTGCGTTCGAGGCCCAGGACGATCGCTGGGGTTTCAAAGCCTCAGGCTGGGCCACCAATGCTAACTACCACATCAAGAAAACCACATTGCTGCTCTTCATCAACCACCGCAGCGTTGAGTCGACACATATTAAAAAGGCCCTCGAACAGACCTACTCGATGTTCCTGCCCAAGAACGGCCATCCCTTTGTCTATCTCAATCTTGAGATTGACCCTCGCCGCGTGGACGTCAATGTTCACCCTACAAAACGCGAGGTACACTTTCTGAATGAAGATGAGATCCTGCAGTCTATCTGCGACAACATCAGGGAGAAGCTCGCCGCTGTCGACACGAGTCGGACGTTTCTGACACAGACGCTCTTGCCTGGTGCCATCAGCCAGGACCGGGACGACCTTGACGATGCCGGCAACTCCCTAAAGACGCCAGCACCAAATCGCCGATCACAATCACGCCCCAACGAGAACAATCTGGTGCGCACCGATGCGTCGCTACGCAAGATCACTAGCATGTTCCAAGCAACATCTAACTCACCAACACCGGGAGGGGCGGGCAGCGCTGCTGCAAACGAACCCTCTCTGGATCCCTTGTACGAGATCATTGAGCGAGAGCCGATTGTATGTCGTCTGACGAGCGTGCGGGATCTGCGTTCAGAAGTCCGGGACGACATGCACCACGAGCTGACTGAGATCATCGCGAGCCATACGTTTGTTGGTATCGTGGACGAGCAACGGAGGCTGGCTGCAATACAGGGCGGCGTCAAGCTGTACTTGATCGACTATGGTCGCGCGTGTTTTGAGTATTTCTACCAAGTTGGGCTGACGGACTTTGGAAACTTTGGCACCATCAGATTCCAGCCAGCGCTCTCCCTGAGAGACATATTGCGGACTGCAGCCGAGCACGAGAAGGCGACAGCTGCAGATGGAGAGCTCATGGACGATGATGACTTTGATATCGACGAAGTGGTGGCCAAAGTTGAGCAGCAGCTCATTGAGCGCAGAGAGATGCTGCAAGAGTACTTCAGCCTCGAAATCTCGCCATCGGGTGAGCTGTGGAGCATCCCACTCCTGATGAGAGGATACACGCCATCGTTGGCCAAGCTGCCCCAGTTTCTTCTCCGCCTTGGCCCTTATGTGGACTGGACAGAAGAGAAGGCATGCTTTGAGACGTTCTTGCGCGAGCTGGCCAGTTTCTACGTCCCTGAGCAGCTGCCATCGCTCCCGGGGACAGAGCAAGCAGAGGAGGACATACCGGATGAGGTGAAGGAGCGAAGGGCGTACATCCGGCGGACCATCGAGCATGTCATCTTTCCGGCGCTTAAAGCACGATTGGTGGCGACAAAATCGTTCATGAAATCAGGCGTCCTTGAGCTGGCCAGTCTCAAAGGGTTGTACCGCGTGTTTGAGCGATGCTAGTGTGACGAAGAGCTTAGACAATGGAGCTGTTGCTAGTAACAAAGTTTGTGACTATCGACCATGTTGGTCTCGCTCAAACATCAAGACACTGGCTGGGGGTCCAAGATATCACGAAATAATGAGATGAATGGATGTAGTAATTGGCATGGACCATGGTATCAACGCGCAAGCGGCGTCGAATGTGCACTGAGCCTTGGAGCTGTTCCCTTCCATCTCGTGTCTATAACCGCTGTGCAGAGAACCACGTACCAATGTCACAGGAGGGTTGCTAATGATTTGAAATTCTTCGTTGCATCATACTTGACTAATCTGAGAACATCCGCAAGCCACCCTGAATGGCCAAATGGTGAATTGTGTCTGAGCTTTCCATGGGTCAAATACCCTCTGTCTCTCCATCTCTCCCGTTTCATCAACGAACACGGCCCGGCCCTTCCAAGGCAGAACAGAAGGAGACTTCATGCAGATGTCGCAAGGAGCTCCTCGTGGCTCAATCGGAAGGGGAAAAAAACGTGCTGCGACCCTGCTTCGCGATTGAAGAAACGCCGATTAGAACAGCCCTTTCCGCGGGTGTCCGTCCTTGTTGGGGGGGGGGGGGGGTTGAAATGGCGGGAGGGCTTTTGGTCAAACGGGGATCCAGTCCATTCATCACACCTCGACGGGCTCATACTTGTGCTGAAGCTTTGCCTTCTTGTAAGCTCGTGATGCCTGCTCGCCGTGGCCCACCGCCGCCGCCTCTGCATCATAATCCGCGTCATAATTCTCATCACCATCATCATCATCGCCGTGATCGTTACCGGTGCCGTTGTTGTTGTGGTGGTGTTCGTGCTCCGTCTTGACTGCGAACTCGCGGTCCTCGTGTGCGTAGGATATCTTCTCGTTGTTGGTGCTGTTGCTGCTGGCACTGTCCTCGTCCTCATCCTCCTCGTCCTCGGCCTCCTCATCGTCCGGGTCTCCCTTGATGGACTTGCTCGCCGCCTTCGCCGCGGCGGTACGTTGTCTTCGCGGTGCTGCTGCTACTGCTACTGCTGGTGCTGGTGCTGGTGCGACGCCCGCGGGCCGGCCGGATCTCTTCTGTCCAGCACCGCGAGCAGCAGTCTTGGTGCTGCTGCTGCTTTTGCTGCTGCCACCACCGCCACCGTTGGTACTCGCCGGCGCCGACGCCGTGGCAAAGGCCTTGGCCTCGGCCTTGATCTTGGTGGCCATGTGCGAGAGCGACTTGGGCGTGCGGCCGGGCATGTTGAGCTGGTCGAGCTTGATGGAAGCGCCGCCGGCGGAGGTGAGCTGGTGGATGATCTGGACTAGGAGCTGGTACTGTTTTCGAAACAAGACGGGGGGTTGGGGGCCAAAGTCAGTCGAGATACAAATATCGATATGCCTATGTATATAAGCCAATGTGTGTGTGTGTGTGTGTGGACAAACGGGAGACAAGAAGGGATGAGTGTGGTAGGAAAGAGGTGTGTGAAAAGAAAAGCCTTGAGGGAGGAGAGGGGAGGACAGTCGGTGATATGTTGAGGTTCCATTGCCGGGCTGCTTTGCTGCTGACAGTTACTTCCTGATAAAGGGCTGGATCATGACCGGACCATGGAGACAGGAAGGAGCAAGGAATTGGGGCCGCAGAGGTGTGGACGCGTGTGACATGAATCTGAGTTGCCCCCAGGGGATATCCACAAAACGGCAGAAGCACGCTCGCTACACTCATGACTTGCAAGAGAGAAGAAGAAAAGAGAAGTGATAGCGTAAAGTTGGAATGCGCACCTTCTCTCCATCAGTCCAGGCACCGCCTTTGGCCGATGAGCTGGCCATTTTGATTTGGGGGATGGCTCTGTCGTTTGGTTGGTGAGGAGTCGAGTGGTGACAAGGAAGTGAGCTTGTGTTGCCTGTGTACACTGACTGGTGGGCAGCAGGATACGTCTGTGTAAATCAGGGAGGGGCGGTTGCAGTCGCGCTACTGTGTAGTTGTTGACAAGAAGGTTTTGAGTGTTTGCAGTTGAACAGGTAGAGTTCAGGGTTGTGGTGATCAGGGGAGTCCACAGTGACTTGTAGAAGTTTAAAAGTTGTAAAAATTGCAAAAGTGCTTCCCTGACGGGGGGTTCTGGTGGTGGTTGTTTTTCTTAGTTGCCGAAACTGTATTGATGGTCTGGTTGGCAAGTTGACTGGTCGAGTTGGACGAATGCCAGACGCGAGTCCGAAGATGTGATGTTTTGTTTATGATGGAACGAGCAGCTTCCTACGGGGGAAATAAGGAAACCGGCAGCAAAAGAAATGCAGAGGGATTGTCTCTGACCATAGTGCAGGTTGTAGAAGTAGGTGGTCAAGTTGGGATACGTTATTGTCAGCCACAACAGGTCTGCACAGGAACACTGGTGGTCAATAGAACTGATTGTGCTGTGAGGCTAAAGTGAAGCGTCAGACAGACAAGTACTAAATGACACGGATTCATGAAAGCGGCTCTTGGTATCCTTGATACCCAAGTCTGTTCTTGAACGGTGCCTGCTCTGTGGTTAGCAGCACATCCGAAAAACAGAGATATGCTCTGCCAAACGAATCATTTCAATTCTCCTGGGAGGAGCATTGTCCATTACATTCTTTCACTGTTGTCAACCCACCCACTAACGGACGTGAGCACCACCACAGCGTTCTTTAGACTGCATGATTCCACCTCAAACGAAGTTCGGGATTGCTGCGACAGTGTATTAATTCTTGTATTCTGTTTCCGGGGATATATATATAAACGACACAACATGCATGCGCCGCCCACCCACTTCACGACGAGCAGCCTGGCATGCACCAGTTGATCCGCTCCAGTCAAAACCGCCGCTCCTTGCTCTGCAGCCCCCGAATCTCACATGCGGCGGATCTCCTGCTCGTTCGTGTACTGCTCGAGTCCGGAGTCGAGGCTCTCCCACCACTTGAAGAGCATCGACTCGCAGATGAGCTTGAACCAGGGGGTGAACTTGAGCGAAGGGTCCTTGAAGAACTCGCGCAGCTCGTCGGGGCTGACGTATTTCGTGTCGCGGACCTCGTTGGGGTTCGGTACGACGTCGACCTTGGCCTTGATGAAGAGGATGTAGTCGACTGCAGAGACTCGTCAGCATTATGAAATCACTTTTCTCCTCTCCCCCCCCCCCCAACCGTCCCCGGGTATTCTTTCACAAAGGGCATCTAGCACTCACTCTCGTGCTCACCCCACTTGCCGTCGCTGGGCGCCTTGTAGTGGATGCGGGTGAGGAAGTGGAAGTCGTCGAGGGGCACCTGCTCGGCCTTGATGCCGAGCTCCTGGTCGAGCTTGCGCTGGGCGGCGCGCTTGACGCCCATGATGCTGTCGGGCAGGTTGCTGCCCGTCTCGCCGGGGATGCCCAGCGGGTGGGAGCAGCACGTGTTGGTCCACATGTCGGGAAATGTGATCTTCTCGGTCGCCCGCTGCTGGAGGAGCAGGCGGTTGTTCTCGTCAAAGAGGAAGACGGAGAAGGCGCGGTGCAGGAGGCCCTTGTCAATGTTGGTCATGAGGTGGCCTGCAGTTGTGCGAAAGGGGTTGTCAGCTTTGCTGTTCACTCTCTTTTGTTGCAAGGGCGGCCTCTCTTACACAGCTTCTTGCTGGCCGTGCCGATTGGGTTGTCGTCGTTGTCGAGGACGATGCACACCTCCTCCATGAGGCGGATCTGCTCCGCATCGTGGCCCTCGAGCTCGGACGAGCTCGTGTCAATGTCTGGGAACAGGCGCAGGATCGTCTGCGCCGAGGGCGCCTGCTCCTGTGTTATCGTCGTGGTGGTCGACATGGTGCTGTGTTGCTGTCCTGTGCTGTGGCTGGTCACTGGGGCAGAAGGAGGAATCGGCAGAAGGGGTGGTATGGTATTTTGTGTTGGCGGTGGCGGTCAACAATTGTCGACTAGACTCTAGTCGGCTGGCGGCGGTAGTGGTGGTGGTGGTGGTTGTGATAGGGATGCGCTTGCGGGCAGCTGCAGGTCGCTAGCTAGTGGGGGAAAGAAAAGGGCCCGGAGGGAAATGAGGGTCCTGCACTTGGAGAACGCCACCCACACGAGGGGTCTCCCCGGTCTCGGTTGTCTTTGTGACGCTTGTGAGTGGTTGCTTGTCAGTAATGTTTGGACAAGGGCTGCGATCATCACCCCATTCGTTGACTTTGTGTAATATACCACATGACAGTATGTATGTGTATGGTCCTCTATATACGCCACCCTTCCGTCGCCGGCTACTGCTTCTTCGACGGCCGGGCGTTCTTGAGCCGCCGCTGCTCCTTGAGCTTCCGGCCCTTGCGCATGTCCTCCTGGCCCTTGAGCTCGTTGCGGTTGATGCCCACGCCGTCCTTGTACTTGCCAATGCGCTTCTCCTTGGCCTCGGCCACCCGCTTCTTGCGCACGTGGTAGTCGTCCCGGAACTTGTCCGCCTCCTTGGGCGCCTTCTCCATCTTGTGCTTGTACCGTGCCCCGTTCGGCGCCATCCCCATGCCCGGCCCGCTCTTCTCCGTCTCGCCCACCCGCGGCAGCTTGTTGATCCGCTGGGCCTTCTTCCACCGGTCGAACCGTCCGCTCTGGAATGACGCAGCAATCTTGACGCCAGACTCGCCGCGCACCATCTTCGGCTTCAGGCCCTTTGACCCGTCCTCGTCGTTGAGGCTGCTCACGTACCGCGAGCTCTTCTTGTCCCATCTCAGCTTGCCGCCGCTCCGTGTCGGCTCCCCAAAGGCCTTGGCCGACTCGTCGTTGGTCAGGTCCATCTGCACGTCGCGCGCGGCCGCCATGAAGTTGTTGCCGTCAGCTCCAGAGTGCACGCCGTATCCTCTCTCCTCAGCAGCGTTGATGCTGCGTGGTGCATAGGACATGAAAAACTCATCGTCGCGGAACGTTGAAGGACCCTTCTTCTTGTTCTTTGACGACTTGCCATCGTCGTCGTTGTTCGTGACTGTGATCTCCATCTCGTCGTCAGAGTACTCTGGAACCGCCACGCTTTCATCATCGTCGTCGTCAACGGCCTCTGCACCGACTCCGATGACTTCGTCGTCTTCGTCATCGTCGCTCGCGTCCAGTGTCTGCTCCACCATGACCTCGTCCTCATCAGACTCATCCGCAGCGCCCACGTCGGCAGTAGCAGCAGTCCTCCGTGGCCCGAAGCGTTGTCGTACAGTCTTCATAATCTCTGCCGCCTCATTTCTTGTTGTCTTGCCGGTCATGCCAATCTCAAAAATTGTCTCCTTGGGCTTGAACCCGCTAATCTTGGCCAACATTTCGGCGCGAGCATTCTCGGCATCGCCAAGCTCGTCGCCGAAGACCGGGTGCAACTGTGTCCATTCCCTGGAGGCGACTATCTCGCGTGCGCGTTTCGCACTCTGTCGGGCAGCCGAGTTTCTCGTCCTCATGTACTGCTTCTCAGCCTTAATCGAGACTCGTCGCAATGCATTGATGTCCTCGCTTTCGTCGATGACCCGGTTCAGCCACTCGACATTGGTCTCCACCTTGCTTCTCATGGGAGCACCAACGCTGATGTCCTCGGCAAAGTTCAGGCCATCCGAGCCAGCCTTGCCCACCACCAGCTTCTTGCCCAGGAAGAGCTGCAGGTCGAGCAAGTATGGCGCGTCGATATCCCGCACCAAGCTGTAACTCCATCCGCGCTGACCAGCACGAGCAGTGCGACCAACACGGTGGACGAAAACCTTTGGCTGAGGCGGGAAATCGTAGTTGATGACGTTTGCCAGAATCGGAATATCGATACCACGCGCGGCGACATCTGTGACGACGAGGATATTGCACTGACCCTTTCTGAACTTTTCAACCTGCTCTTTTCTGGCAGTTTGGTCGAGGGAGCCGTACACGTAAGACACGGAGAAACCGGCATGGTCGAGAACCATAGCAAGGTACTCTACGTGGTGCTTCGTGCACGCAAAGATGATGGTGGAGTGCTCTGATGGCTTTTCCTTTTGGCGGGGACCATCTGGGCCTCGTTTCCTCTTCTTGGACTGCTTGTCGCCGTCCACCTCGACACCTTCGGGAAGTCCAAGGGGCATCTTGATGACATCGTGCAGGATGTGAAGGAGGGTGCCCTCCTTCTCAGCACCCTTGACGCTGAAGAAGGCCGACTGCAGGTCGGGCGATATCTTGGTTTCCGCGTCGAGTCGCACAAGGCTAGGCTCTTGCAGACCAGCTCTGGCGAACTCCACGAGCGATGCGGGAAGTGTCGCAGAAAAGAGCAGAGTCTGTCGCGATAACGGGAGAGCGTGCAGAATCTCCGTGAGCTGCGCCGCAAAACCCATCTCGAACAAGCGATCCGCCTCGTCGAAAACGACGTACTGAATGGAAGACAGGTTCAGACTCATTTCGACCTTGAGATGGAGGAAACGTCCCGGCGTTGCAATGACAATATCCGGATTTGAAGTCATCGAGCCAAACTGCTCTTCCAGACTGTCGCCACCGACCAGTAACACACACTTCAGATCCGTGCCCTTGCTGAAGTCCTTCACAACCTTGAGGGTCTGCAAAGCCAGTTCTCTCGAGGGCGACATGATTAAGGCACGAGCGCCAAAAGTGGCGCTATGAGTACGCAGACGCTCAATCATAGGGATGACGAAGGCAGCGGTCTTTCCGGATCCTGTCCTAGCCATACCGACAACATCTTTGCGGTCGAGCACCAACGGAATGGCCTTGCGCTGAATAGGCGTAGGAACAGAGAAGCCCTTCCGATTAATGGCCCTGAGCAAGTTGGCATTGAGTCCTGTTAAAGGTCGATTAGCATTTGGTGCGTGCAGCGCGTCCTGACAGCGCGAGAATGTGTATACGTACCCATGGACTGGAAGCCGCCGCCCTTCTTGACAGATTTTCCCTTGACGTTTGTGTTTTTTCTGAACGATGCCGACTGCTTCAGCGCAATGAACGCCGCGTCTCCCTCGCTGTCGTCGCCGTCGAGAATGTCGCCAGCGTCAAAGCCGCCTGCCGCGCCATTATGGTCGTTCGCGAACAAGTCGCCAAGAATGTCGACCTCGTGCTCGGAAGCCGCTGGAGAGCTGGCTCGAGGCATGGCGGCGTCTGGAGGCTCGTTCCGAAGCCGTGACTGCCTTGAGCGAAGCGTTTTAGGCGGTCCGGCGCCTGACGACGAGACCAGAAGCTGCCAAGGTGTTGAGAAAAGACGCTTCAAAGTCTCTTCGTCGCAGCAGGTCTCTGAATCGTGGTGGGTATTGCCGCCTGTGTGTCGTGCCGCTTCATGGAGTTCGACGATGTCAAAGGCAGGGTCTCGATCGGAGCTCTGGCTGCTCTGTGCCTGCTTCTGCTAGCCCAAGCCCAGAACTTTTTTTCTGGGGCACCCGTTATCATGGAGCTTATCAGGCTCCAGCCTCCACTGGCCAGTCCCTGCCCCAGCGGCCCCTCCAGCGGGCTCTCGAGCGTCCTTAGCTGTATGCAAGTGGGGCTACCCTGTCAAGCGGGCTGATCCCTGCCATTGGAAGCGCTTCTTGACGGCACCGGCGCGACTGCCTCCTCCAAGTCACTCACTCTAGTTGCATCGCCCACGCTGAGAGGCAACGCAGCCGTTCATCACGACACAAACTCCGTAGTGCGGGACGCGAGACTCAGACGGTATCAGTTGTTGAAAGAACAATAGACTCTCCCCGCTCCCCGGCACACGCAAGACCACCCCAACACAATGACTACCCCGGATCCCGCGCTCGACGACACAGACGCCCTCGACTCGCTCGAGAAGGAGGCCAGGGAGTTCGACAAGGTATGTGCCAACGCCTGCGGTTCCTGGCTCATTCAAGAACGTGGAGGAACCGTACACTAACTGCGTCGCGCGGAACAGGATGCCGAGATCGACCGCATTCTCAAGGCTTTCCGGCTAGATGCGTAAGTCTCCCCATGTCCTGATTTCCATCCACGCTCTCATCCTCTCGCTGACATGTATTGACATCGACACACAGCTACGCAGTCCTCGACCTCATGCCCGGCGTGCCCGAGTCAGACATCAAGATGGCCTACCGCAAAAAGTCCCTGCTCATCCACCCGGACAAGACCAAGAACCCCCAGGCCCCGGACGCCTTTGATCGGCTGAAGAAGGCGCAGACGGAGCTCATGGACGAGAAGCACCGGGAGCGCCTGGACGAGGCGATTGCCGATGCGCGCATGCTGCTGATCCGCGACAACAAGTGGACGGTCGACAGCCCCGAGCTCAAGACGGCCTCGTTCGCCAAGAAGTGGCGCGACAAGACGCGCGAGGTGCTCATAGACAACGAGATGCGCCGCAAGAGGCAGCTGAAGGCCCAGATGCAGGAGGAGGGCCGCGAGCAGCGCAAGGTGGACGCCGAGCTCGAGGAGCGCAAGCGCAAGAGGCAGCACGAGCAAGACTGGGAGACGACGCGGGATCAGCGGATAGACAGCTGGCGCACGTTTCAGAAGGGTAAGTCCGGTAGCGGCGAGGGAAAGAAGAAGAAGAAAATGAAGCCCATCGGGTAGTGGATGCGGATCTTGATCGATGGGAATGCGGACCTACAGGCGCACCAAACTTTCCCTGACGCGGGGGATCGGACGAGCATCCGTTACGGGCGATGATCTTAATGACGGCAAGAGGGAACATTCAGAGCAAACGGGAACACGACTCAGCAACGGCGTTTGTCGGTCTGTAAGTTTTTGAAAGATTATCTGAAACATGGAGCTTTTATGAACCTAACGCTATGATTTCGTTTTCCAAGCTGATTTCAACCGCCCATGTCAGGGTGAGGCTGTCACGTCAAGAGCAGTGTCTCCCACCATGACGCACAATACGGCTTGAGGTAAGTCAAATGGGGGCCCGAGTGTGAATTCCCATGTTCAACCTGTCCTCTATCCTTATGATAGTCCGCATGTGACGTCTCCTTGGCGTGAATGTCCCCAAGTCGTAGCCACGACTTGTTGTCCAGGCTCAAACCCCTTACGGGTGGTGCTTCTTCTTATACGAAATGAAGCGCTGCAAGTTGAGCACCGTCTCATCCGCCCGTGTCCGGAGTTCCGCAGAGGCTCGCTTGTCAATCTTCTTGACCATGGCCCTCAGCTTGGGAAGCATGGCCTCAAAGTGCGGCAGAAAGTTATCCTTCCAGAAGACCTCTTTGTCACAGGCCTTGTCCTCGTCTCCGTAAATGTCAAACAGCTGGTTAAGCGCCTCCACGGCACTGGCAGGTTGCGTTTCCGGTAAGGACGCCACCACGGTGATGAGGAACACTCCAATCTCTCGGTTGAGCTCGACCGGCGCCGGGTCCTGCGCGAGCTGGCCAAGCACGCCAACACACTTGACGCCGAGGCTCTGGAAGGGATCCTCGTCCTCCTGCTGGGCGCCTTCGCTCGGAGGAGCAGCCAGGTTCTGCGAGGCATGGTATAGTGAAATAAACTTCTTCTGCTCGCCGTGGAGCAGGCCCTCCTCGTGAAGAGCGCGCGAAATCGCCCACGCCAGGCTCGTCACGCTTGTCGCGAGGTCGACGTCGGATGTGTCGCTCGCGAGAACGGGCGCGATGGCGTCCTTCCAGATGGCGCGCGCGGCGGGTAGCCAGGCGGTCTGGATCGGGCTGTTCTGTGGATCTGAGAAGTCGATGCACGAGATGGTCCAGGAGATGTTGTTCAGCGCGTTGAAGGCGCAGCTACGCACTATGCTTGCCGACTCGTCCTCCTCCTTGGTCTTCAGGGTTGTCTGGCAGACTTTGATGATCTTGGGCACGGCATTGTGGATGAGCTCCCGCAGCGTCGGCAGGTCGTCGATTCCTGACGCCTCGTCTGGGTAGTCATCTGCGCCAGTGACCATCTCCATGTCGGCCTCGAGCTCGTCCTGGTTCATTTCGTCATCGTCGTCATCGTCATCGTCCTCCTCGTCTCCATCCTCGTCCTTGCCGTCTTCAGACTTGCCATCGTTGATGTCGTCGCCTTGCATTACGTCGTCCTCCTTGCCGTCGTCCTTGATACCGTCCCAGGGCTCGTCGGCAGCCTTGGCGTTGCTCTCCAGGGCCTGCTGCAGGGCGGTGCCCATGGACGCGAGGATCTCCAGGGCCAGCCTGAGAACCTCGACGGGACTTGACGAGCCGGGCTCGTTGCTGTCGGCACCGTCTCCAGGCTTGCCCAGCTCTGTGCGCTCTAGAGTGGAGGCGAGCGTCGGGATGAGCGCGGCATCGCACCCGCCATCCCGGCCGGGGTTCTGGTCGTGCCAGCCCATGACGGAGAAGACGTTGTGCAGCACTCCGCACGCGAGCACGGCCTTCATCCCGTCGCCACGCTGCAGGGCCGCGAGGTTCTCGTAGCAGCCGGTCTTTTGGCCGTTGCCGGTGGTACCGTCGGCCAAGAGGATCTCGACAAATTGCCTGTTGTCCTCGGACAGGGTCAGCATGCACGACAGCGTGCTGTTGAGCACTTCGGCGGTGGTGAAGTCGGCGGCGACCAGGTTGAAGAGCATCGTCACGATGGCCTCGTCCTGGGCGATGCCCGCAAGTGCCTCGTCCTGCGCCTCGGCAAGACCTTCGAGAATGGCAGCCAGGGCCTCTGCAATGATCCAATGGAACGACTGCTCTGCCTTTGTGAGCTTTGTGAATGCCGGCGATTGTGACGAGATGCTCTCGTTGAGCTATGTCTCAAAGTCAGTCATGTACCTTGGGTATTGACAGGTTTGTTGGAAGGTTTTCAGAATGCAAGAACGCCACTCACCTTCTTCGCGGCATGGTGAATCGCAGTTAACACATCAACTCTGTACAAGTGCACGCAGAAATCGGCCTCCTCCTCGGCCACCAGCACCCGCAGGATCTCCCAGCCGGCGGCCCTGCTCTCGAGGCTGGCGTCGGTGAGGGTCTCCTTGAGCACGATCTGGACGACCTGCTCGCGAAGGAGCAACTTGCGGCACTTTTGGTCCTGGATGATGTTGGCGATGGCGCCGGCCGCGGTGGTCCGGGACTTTGGCTCGGGGCTCTGGAGGTCCTTGAGCACGGGGAGGATGCTCTTCTCCCGGAGGGCCGCGAGCTCCGGGTCGGAGGGCGGCTTGACGGGTTTGGCGATGGGGTCTGCCCGATGGCCGGCGGCGGCCTTGCCTCTGCTGCGTCTCGACTTGCCCATGTCTGCTGTCGCTCTGGGTGTATGTTTCCTTTCCAACGACCGATCGAGGCTTGGGAAAAGTTGTCATGTCCAGGAACGTCGAAGAAATTTCATTGGGTGCCGTGCTTCTTCAACGGTTCAACTTTTTAGTGGGGTCGCACTTTGGGCTGCAGCTTGCAGATCGTCGAGTGGCCCGCATTTTGCTTCTGACAGGCTGGTTTGACTTGCAGGCGGCTTTGCGGCATTGATTGACAACTTGGCATTCTAAGTTCTGACAACACAATGTAAGCCCGTCGATCTTTTGACGGGTACCGAAAACGATGGCACTAGATATGGAAATCAGAGATCAGAGGCCGCACTTGGGCAGTCAGCAATGACCGCTATCCCCGTTCAGGATGTCTTCGTGCTGAGGACGGCCAGGACAGAACCGACAAAGGCATTTGAGATTCCAGGCCCTACATATGCTGTCCATTCTGGGTTCTTCCTTGCAGGGTGACGGGCTCCGCATGCTTTGCGGGATGCTCATGCCGAGTGCAAGTCTGAACCATGACTGCGTCCTTTACATAGCAACGTACTTGGATTAGGCTGGCGCTATCTACCCCAAGTGATGCTGTGGAACCCTTGTCTGTGGCCCCACTGGAGCTCTCACTCGAGTCGGAGCAGGTGCGGCCTGCACCCTTGCCCAACGGGGTCCAAGGCAAGCAAGGGCAAGCTTGCGCGATCGACTCTCTCCGCCAGGCTGTCATCCCACGAGACCCTCGCCCTCCTCGTAAACTTGAACCTCTACAACACAAAGGCCGCCCGCACGATCACTGACCCACGGTCTCTGTCGCCTCGCCCCGCTCAACACGATCCAGGTCGATACATGCTGGAGAGGGCAGCATGTAATGCCACAGCGCACAGGGTAGCTCATCCCTCCCCTCGCCCGCCGATAAGCTAGCTTCCCGGCCACGGTCCCACGCACCCCCACGACTGTCTGCTGCGAGACCAGAGGCACGCCTCCCGTGGCTGCCACCACCATGCGGACGTACTTCCTCAGCGATGAGGAGCTCGGCAAGAAGGACGACGACCACAAACACCACAAGCACTCCAGGCATGCCAGTGGAGGAGGATCCTGGCAGCCAGCCAGGTCGCCTCGGCGCAGGCTGCTGAAGCGCGCCTTGCTGGCTGGCATGCTCGTCGGCTTCATAATATTCTTCATCCACAACATACCAGACATGGGCGGCGCGCATCCGGCCATGCGGAGACCAAATTGGAGGGACCCCAAGCAGGCGGCAGCGGGCAAGGGCAAGCCGCTCGCGGGCAACAATCCTTCGCGACCCCGGCCGCCCTCAAGTCAGCAGCCGCATCAAGTCCAGCATGTCGGAGACGAACAGGCTGTGCCGAGCGAAGGGGACAGGTCGACTTTAGCTGGCAAGGACGGGGAGAATTCACCCCTGACGCCCGGTCCCGGGCTGGAGGAGCGCAACTACAATGGACCGTTGAGGTTTGCGAAACTCGCCGTATCATTACGAGGCATTGGCGCGACCAAGGGAAACCTCCCCGACAACAAAAATGTTCTCTTCGCGGTGTCCAGCCTGAAAAGTGCTGCGACGCTGATACCCATGGCCTGTGAGATGGGGCTTGAGCTGCGCAGCTATGTCCATGTCGCCATCATGGGCCGGAGCGACATACACCTGACTGAGCTCAAAAAGATCAACGGGGCGGACGAGAGCTGCAGTCTCATATATCATGGTGAGAGCTCGTGAGACCCAAACGCCCAACAACTTCACGGGTAATCGCTAATCATGAGACCATGTTCAGATGCACGGCCCGACTATAGCCAGATTTCAACCGAGTCGCGGATGGAGACGGCGACTTTTAGAGCATTTCGTAAGTGCAAATCATCCTTAAGACGTGTCCTGGTTACTAACTAGGAGACAGACCATATCCACACATACGTCCATCCTCAAGCAATCTTCATAGACGCGTCAAGTGATGAAGATCCCTTCTTTCAGCGAGGCGCGAGACAACAAGCCGATGCAGTGGGCAATACGTTGATCGAAGTGCCGCCGAATGCGGCAAGAAAACTATCATGGGTCTCCAAGCTCAATAGCAAGGCCCTACGCAGTAAGTTTGGCGGACCCCTTTTTGCTTGGAAAGGAGGCTAATGGCTCACCGCGTGCGACAGTATGGAACAAGGTCACTGTTGATATCCTGATCCAGGCGACACCAGGTACCACGGGCGGCCTTGTCAGGCTTCTCAAGTCGTTGAGCGAGGCGGATTACACTGCGGGCTCCTTGCCACACATTACGATCGAGCTTCCGCACGACGTCGACATGCCGACGAGGCGGTACCTGGAGAGCTTTTCTTGGCCACCAAGGCATGTGCACAATCCCTTTGACGCGCATCTCCTCACCCTGCGTCATCGCATACCCAGCAAGCGCCTCGACGAGGATGAGGCGGCGGCTCGGTTTGTCGAGTCATTCTGGCCGTCGAATCCTGGGCTCAACGACGTTTTGCTGCTATCGCCACAGGCCGAGGTTTCTGGCAACTGGTATCATTGTAAGCAGCGAATATCCGTAACCAGCCAAATATGAGGCATGATGGTTTTCTGGCAGGGCTAACCAAAAATCCTCTGCATCACTCAGACGTCAAATTTACGCTTTTGGCAAACCGCTTCCAAGCGAGTATTACCTCGGCCTGGGATCGGAAGCTCTTCGGCATCAGCTTGGCACAGCCCCGGCAGTTACTTGACGGCAAGACGGCCTTCTCCATGCCGAAGCCCCAAACCAAGACGATATGGCAGGATGGCAAGGACCGAGACGTGGTAATCGAGTCGCACCTATGGCAGGCGCCGACGAGCGACGCCATTCTGATCATGGGCGACAAGTGGGTTGAACTGCACGATTTGGTTTCGCGGACGCTGGGTGCATCTACGACCCCGGCCTCAGGCACTAAGATTGTGAGCAAGCAGTACCCGTCCTGGCTCGAGCATGCCGCCAGATTATGCCGCGCCCGGGGTTACTGGACTTTATACCCGGGCGACCGGATGGCCCGCGAGCTGGCCAGCCTTCACGGCGAGCTGGCCAAGGCTCCCGAGGAATACACGGGGCAGACCGGCCGCCGGGTCCAGAACCAACGCGCGCAGGGGGAGAAGCTGCTCTCGGACGACGCGAGCGAGACGGAGGTCGAGGAGGCCCGGCGGCGGCTCAAGGCTGAGGCGGACGTGGGGTTCACGCACACGGCGCTGCTGTCGGTGCTGCCGAACCAGGGCCACGTGATCCCGCTGCCGGAGCTGCCCTTGCTGGCGTGGGACGGGACGGAGACAACCTTTGACGGCAACGACGAGGCCGCGGCCGGGTATGCGGCCGAGTTTAGGAGGCAGGTTGGCGGGTGTAAGCGGGAGGACGATGTGCCGCCGGCTGTGGCAGAGTACTCGACAAGGGACCTGTTCTGTGAGGCTGCGTAGCCGTGGAGAGAAGGGAAGGAGATGAGGGCTTGAGGCGTGCGAATGAACATTGGCGTGTCACAAGTTCCAGGAGGGCGAATCATGCCGCCGCCCGTATGGCTGCAGAACCAGAACGAGAAAGGAAAAGGAAAAATATTCTGGTAAATAGTAATGTTCACGTGGCTTCATGACATTGACCGAGCTGGCCTCGCTCCAGCAGTCGTACCCACGAAGGGGTGATCTAGTCCGGGCTTTGCGAACTCGATCAGTGCTCTCTTGTGATGAAAGTAGATACAACATGTACATTTTGATGATGAGAGGAAGCGGGGTATCAATGCTAGCCGTAACACACGGCCTGAGGAAGAACAAGCTAAGAAATCAAAAAAAGAACAACAGATTATGCTTCGCTGAGGACAGGGCTCACCCGCTTCTCTCTCCCGTATTCCTTTCCCTCGCGGAAACCCCTTCGCAATGGAGCATTGCGGCTTCAGACGAGCCCATCAACCGAGACACCACCGCCGCTACTACTACTACTACTACTACTGCTGCTGCTGCTGCTCCATAGTGAGGAAGCGAGGCCCCTCAACTTGTCCGCGCACCGGACATCGGCGGCGTGTCTGGCGGCAGCGGCAGCGAGCGAGGCACGCGAGGATGAGGTGGCAGCAGCACTAGAAGCAGAGGCCTCGGGGAACACGAGCGCCGAGACGCCGCGGGAGAGCGAGTCGCACTGGAGATCTACCTTGATCTTTGTCACGACAAGGAGGACTATGCAGGTTGCGACGATGGCGAGGCCGATGAGGGTCATGACCTGTTATTTGGTTTGGTTGTGAGAAATTCCGCTTTGCTTGAGCATATGTGAAAGCCGTCAAGCTGTATGTGCTGAAAGCAGAAAGGGATCAGGGGGGGGGGGGGGGGGGAGGCGAGGAAAGGTGTGGGTGTGTGTGGGAGTGTGAAATCTGGGAAGGAGAAAAAGAAGAGGAACATACCGATTGCGTGCGCCAGCCGGTCTGGACAATGGCGGCCTTGCGAGAGTACTTGTTGAGTGTGTTTACGTAGTTGCCGAAGCCGAGCGCGAGGCAGGCGACGGCGAGGAGCCAGAAGATGAGGCCGAGGGGCCGGGCCATGCGCAGCTCGACGTCGGTGGCCTGGGACTTGAGGTGGAAGGACAAGGTGATGGCGACGGCGACGACGGCCATGTAGATGGAGAGGCGGAGGTAGCTGAGGAAAGTGCGCTCGTTGGCTGCGTGGTCGCGGGCGTCGGACGAGTCGTTTGAGAAGAGCAAGGGCCCGAGGAGAGGGGCGGTCCAGAAGGTGGTGCCGGGGCCGATGCCGCTGGTCGGGTGGTGGTGGTGGGAGAAGCAGGACTCGACGTCAACGGGGGCGAAGATGCCGCAGCAGTAGCCGTGGTGGTCACGGGAGTGGCGGGAGGACGAGGCCGAGGCCGATGAGGAGCGAGAGGGCGTGGCCGTGGCCGAGGGTGACGGTGACGGTGAAGGAGAAGGAGAGGCAGTGTCACTGTCGTGGATGTCAAGATCACGAGAGCGCTCGGGAGGAGCAGCGATGGCGATGGAGGGCATGATGGGCGGCGGTATGCAGGCTCGTGGCCCGCGCGGACAGGACAGACAGAGATGGAGGGCGTGGGCAGGTGTTTGAGCAAAAGGCGAAAGGTTGGCAGGCCGTGATGTGTGAGGAGAGAGTGGTGGTTGTGGATAAAGTGAGTGGTAACAGTTGGGAGATTTATTACTGTATACACGTGCAGGGTTGAATGACATCAATTGGGAACCCCGGATTTTGACTTCTTGGGGGCGGGCGGGCGGGCGGGCGGGCGTGGAGAGCAACGAGAGCCGCCGGCTGCCGTGCGGCGGCTGTTATCATTTGACTGGCCGGTTCCCAGTTGGGGGCTCCGCGAACCGGCGGCGCGGGGGGGAACTTTGTTTGTTAGCCATTGGCGAATCGGCGGGAGGCTTGTGCAGCCGCAGTTGTACGTGCCTTACATCCATAGATAACACTATGTTCTTGTGCACGTGCAAGTGCAGGTGCAAGTGCAGCCTACGCCGTTCAAGATCAAGTACGTACTTGCCTCAAGGTAACTTGATGCATACCTGGCTACTTTAGGTACCGGTTGACCACAGCAACAGAACAGCAGCCTCTGCCAGTTGACAGGGAAATCCCACTGACGGCCGGCGAGCGGAGTCGACCACCGAGCTGAGGTGACCGGGGGTAGCATCGTCACACATCCCGGCCCGTGGAGCCCGCCCGTCCAGACCTGGGCTCCTGACCTCCGGGGCGGTGTCTGCGTACATATAAGGACGTACCTACACAGAGCCTGGCGAGGGGCAGAGAGATCAGTACGTAGACAGAGGCAGCCCTCGCCAACAACAAGATGCCGCCAGACCACCGGCCTCGGGCCATCGCCAGCAAGCCCCGCCGGCCCAGCCACGACATTGCCTCGTCCTTTGCCGCCAGCTTCCGCTCCTCCTTCCTCTCCACCTCCCCCTTGGCCCAGGAGATTGTCGCCCGCGACCTCGCCGTCTGCTCTGACAACGACGACGAGGGCGGCGATGACTATGGCGACGACCACAGCAATCCTGGCGCCCGAGACCCAGACTGGGCAGACGACGACGATGCCGGCCCGGCCCCCGTGCTCTACACGCAGCCCATCGACGGCGTCGCCTTTGGCTTCCGCAGGCCCAGCATCGTCCTGGACCAGGGCACCCGCGCCGGCGAGCTGACTGCCGCCAACAGGGCCGTCCGTGAGCAGTCCCGCCGGGCGGAGCGCAGCCTCCTCCGCGATAACCACATCCTCCCGCCCAAGCACGACCGCTCCGGTGAACAGGGCCTCTTGAACACCCTCTACAGGCGCATGTTCAGCACAAAGGTCCCTCTCGATGCCTATGACGACGACGCCACCGAGAATGGGGCGTGCCCGCCATCTCGCCGGGTCTCGGAGACATCGCCGCTGCTATCAGATCATGCTGGAGCGGCCCCCGCACCCGAGGATATCGCCAACGATCCCGCTCTGCTGAACGAGCAGTGGCAGGCTGCGGTCGAGTCGGGCAAGATCAAGACCACCTGGCAGCGCGAGGCAAAGACCATTGCCACCTACTCGCGCTCCCTCATCGTGACGTTCCTCCTCCAATACAGCATCAACATTGCCAGCGTCTTTGCCGTCGGCCGGATCGGCATTGCAGAGCTGGGGGCGGTCACTTGTAAGTCTTGAGACACCCAGGCCCGTACTTCGCATATAACAAAGAGAACAAGATATTGACATGACTCTACCTTCTAGTGGGCTCCATGTCGGCCAATATCGTCTGCTACGCTCCCATGCAAGGTCTTGCCACGAGCCTTGACACCCTCTGCGCCCAGGCGTATGGTTCGGGCCACAAGCACCTCGTGGGTCTGCAGCTCCAGCGCATGACCTATTTCCTCTGGGTCCTCATGCTGCCCATTGCGGTGCTCTTCTACTTTGGCACCGACGTGCTGCTGCGCATCGTCCCTGAGCCTGAGTCCGCCGAGCTCGCGGGCTTGTACTTGCGCGTCATCACTTTTGGCATCCCAGGCTTCGTCGCCTACGAAGGGGGCAAACGCTTCGTGCAGGCCCAGGGCCTGTTTGTTGCCACCACCTATGTCCTGCTCATCACGGCGCCGCTCAACATCCTGCTCAACTGGTTCTTCGTGTGGCACCTGGGCTGGGGCTTCATCGGGGCGCCCATCGCCGTTGCGCTCATCCAGACGCTCAACCCGATCATGCTGTTCCTGTATGTCGTCTTTGTCGATGGCTCCCAGTGCTGGGGCGGCTTCACCAAGCGCGCCCTCAACAACTGGGGGCCCATGGTCCGTCTTGCGCTTCCGGGCATGATCATGGTCGAGGCCGAGTGGCTGGCCTTTGAGATTCTCACGCTCGCGACCAGCCAGTTTGGTGCAGACTATCTTGCGGCGCAGAGCATTCTCGTCACGTTGACCTCGGCGACATTCCAGATCCCGTTCCCCGTCTCTATCGCCGCGTCAACACGCATTGCCAATCTGATCGGGGCGAAGCTGGCCGATGCGGCAAAGACCTCGGCCAAGGTGGTGAGTCAGAAGCTCTCTTTCTCTTTGTTTTTCTTTGGTTTTTCCCCCATTTGTCTGCAGTTGCGTGGTGCCTGTTCATCCGGAAGCAGATTTCCACGGTGCTGTCGTCAAAGACCATCTGCTGACAAACGACGTGGAAAACAAAGGCCGTCGTAGCAGCGCTCGCAATCTCCCTCCTCAACACGATCCTCCTGTCGACCTTGCGCAACCACCTGCCCCTGCTCTTCACCTCGGACCCGCGCGTCGTGTCCCTCGTGGCCGACCTGATCCCGCTCTGCGCGGCGATGCAGGTCTTTGACGGCATGGCCTGCATGGCGCACGGCCTGCTCCGGGGCATCGGCAAGCAGGGCTTTGGCGGCTACGTCAACCTGCTGACCTACTATGTCCTCGCGCTGCCAATCAGCTTCGCCACGGCGTTTGGTCCGCTGGGTTGGAAGTTGGAAGGGTTGTGGCTGGGCGTGACCATCGGGTTGGCCATGTAAGTTGTTCTGCCTCTTTTCCTCCCCTCTCTTTTTGATTGTTACGGTCCCCTGGATTCCATTTTTTTTTCTGCTTTGTATTCCTCGTCCATTGGGGGAAAGCTCCGTTGTCCAGCGGGGAAAGCACAATCAGAGCGCATTCCGCTAACACACTTTTGCTTTTCCTCGACAAAACAGTGTCGCCGTGGTTGAGTACACATACATCTACAAGTCCGACTGGAATCAGTCAGTCCGCGATGCCGAGCGGCGCAATACCGCGGGTTAATATATATATCTAGACCGAGGCAACAGCCGGTAGGAGTCAATCAGTCAATCAGCAAGTCGGTATTTTTTGGTTTCAGAACCCGAGCGGGAAAGCCAAAGCATAGAGGGTTTCTCTTTTCTCTCTCTTCTCCGGACTATGTCTGATTTTGTTTTCACGAAAGCGTCTGTGAAGTTTGAAGACACACAAGGGCTACAAGGCTCTAATGAGGGGTGGGAGGTTGAAATAAAAAAGTAAAGCAGGGGAGAAAGGAAGATCATAATTGTTGGAGAAAGCGTCAATACAAGAAATGGCCTTGGAGCCAATGACCTCCATGGAATCTGTGCTACTGTGTCCAAAACAAACAGCCAAGCGGAACGGCATCTCCCACTCGCGCAAAAGAAATGCGCCTCAGCCACGCAAATGTGACATCAAGTCCCTGTAGGGCTGGGACAGACTCGATCAATGTTCCGCCTCATATCACGATTCCTGCCACGCGCCGTAGCCGCACGCCCAGGCTTCAAGTTTAGCACATGCTCATCTTTGACAAAGGTTTCTATTTTTGACCTTCTATGTTGTCATGTCTAGTACAATATCTGGACTGAAGAGGGCATCGAGGCTGTGTTGCCAATCATATCGCAGGGACGAAGCCGCTGCCGAGTCTTTCACTGCCCCTTTGACACCATCAATCGTCCTAGCTTCCAAGGCCCTTATTTGCCACCTTCCCATTCAGGGTTCTGCGCACACATGTTAGTCGATACTCGTCTATGAAGTTCAGTTATTTCGTAGAAGTGTGCTTACCTTGCGCAGGATAACCAGCCCCTCGAGTGTGCTGCTGAGGCTGATGTACTCGTCGTCCTCAAGCTCCGCACGCTCTCCGTGAGCAAGAAGGACAGGTGTTGACTGCGTCTGCCAGCCTGTGATGGTCTTGGGTCGACCAGCTTGGCCAACGACGTCGACGGCTTGACCGACACGCACGTTGACTGTGAGCGGCTTGAGATTCTCGTCCAGTGTCACCAGGAAGCGTGGGTGCATGGCCGTAACCAAGAAATACAGCAGGTAGTGTGATGAGGACGTGATGAACGACTTGGCATCAATCATGGCGACGAGCACAGTCAGGAGGCCAGCAGTCGATACTCTCGACAGGTTCTGGCGGTCAGTATGGAAGGGGTTGAGCGACAGGGTGCCCTTGCCCATGTGCAGCAGTCCCTGCGCGATGCGGACCATGAAGAGAGATTCCTGGTCTCGGTGGTAGTAGCTGGCAAGCTGCCTCAGCAGCTGCGCCAGACGGGCGTTGTTGGTACCTGCACCCAGTAGACCCATCGCAAAGATGGCGTTGATGGCGACATCATTGTCGGTGTCGTGGCTGTATCTTGACAATGTGTCGTAAACCTTCATCTGGGGGTTGCTGGGGCTGATCAGGCCCATCGCCAGCGGCACAGCACGGCGGATGTTGGCCTCGCCGTAGTGCATCAAGTGACCAAACTGGCGCAGGACCATCTCTTGTCCGATGTCCTCACCCATGGCGACGAGCGCAATGCCCAGCACGGCGTATGCTTGCAGCAGCTCGTCACCCTTCTTCTCATCCGAGTCCTCGATGTGCTCATTGCAGATGTGGAGAAGCTCCTGAATCTTGAGCACCGCACCAGTTCCAGCCCAGGCACAGATCTCTGCGAGCACAGCCGTCGGCCTCGCCATCGGGTGGTCGACAGCCTTGAGCGTCTCGAGAATGACATCAACCTCCTCCTGGCGGCCAAAGTAAAGGAGGCCAAGGCCGAGGGCCAGGAAACGGGTCCACTTATCCGTCAGGAGCGTCTTCTTGTCCTCGTCCAGGAGCAGTGTTACAATAGCCTCGCCAATCTCCGGGTTGCCAGATCCAACAAAGATCATACCGCTGGCCAGCGCAGCCATCGCGGGAATTTGCATCTCGTCGTTTGAGCTGTTGATGATGGGCAACAAAATGTCCAGCAGATCCTCCCTCTGCGAGCCAGAGTACGAAAGGCCGAGACCCATGATGGAGGCAACGCGGACCAGGGGGCTCTTGTGCTCGAGCTTGTCCTGGTCACCCAGCAGAGCCAAAGCAGGGTCGCTGTCGACACGAACGCCAGAGTTCATGATACCGATAGCCAGCATGGCACCAGCAAGGATCTGGGGCTCCTCGGCGTATGTGAACTTGTCGACCTTGTCAAGACCGTTCTCGACGTCCCACATCAATAGCGTGCCGAGCGACGCGACGGTTGACATCATACCCTCGTCCTTGGTCTTCCACACCCAGCTCTCCTTCTCCTGCTCAACGAGCATCATCTTGTCCTGGCCGAAACCGGCATTGACAAAGGCGTTGACAAAGGCAGCAGCGAGGTTGTGGCGCGCGGAGTCCAGATTCGTCATGCCTGCGACTCTGCTGCTCTCCAGGTGACTCTTGTAGATGTCCTCGGTTGTTTTGGGCTCGAGAATGTTGAGTTCCTTGCCAAGGGTCTTGAAGTACTCGGACAGCTTGAGGTTGCATAGCGCCTCGTCGATCTCAGTCCCATCCTTCTCGTCCTCATCCTCCTTCTCGATGTCGAGCCAGATCTTCTGGCGACCAATCATGAAAGCGAGCTGCTTCTTGAGCGCCGGGTCGCTCGCGCTGTCAAAGTCAGACTTGATGAGGGAGAGGTCGTTGAGGCGGATGGCAATGGCCATGGCCTGAGTGTGCTCCTTGTATGTCTTGTATATGTCGTGCGCCACTCGCAGGAAGTGCTCGTTGTCCGGGTACGTGAGCAGGTTCACCATGCTGGCCAGGTACAGGCAGACACGGGGGTAGGTGTTCTGGTCGACGAATTTGGGGAGCTCCTCAATGATCTCAAGTTCGCTCATCAGGTCGACTGCATCGGCCTCGGCGTTGGACTTGAGGAACAGAGGAACCAGAATCCGCGCCAGGTCGATGAGGTCCTGCACCGCCTCGTCTGCTGTAACACGCTTTCCAAAGACCTCGCCGATCTCGAGCGCCAGGTGCCGTACGTATTCGTGACCCCATGACTCGATGTCCTGAGATTTCGACTGTAGCCGGTAGTTGAGCGTATCTTGGCGGCCCTCGTCCGAGAAGGTCATGCCAATGACGGAAAGCACATCGGCAAGGGCAGATTTGTCGTCTCCCTCGGGCCACTCGTCGTAACGCTGGACCAGTGTTTCGTAGTGTGGCCTCAAGAACTTGAGTGGCTTCGGTACGGCGGTCATTGACGATGTGGAGGTCTTGATGGAGGTCTTGATGGCCTCGAGGGCGGGCTTGTAGAGAGTCGCATCGGATTCCTATAGCAAACGGTCATGTCGATTAGCACGGAACTGTAGCTGCCTTCAGCGCGCGGCTGAACAAGGGAAGCTGTCATACCGTCAGGCGCTCAACGAGCATTTCAAGCTCGCTCTTGAGCTGCTGGTCCTCCTCACTGAGCTCCTCCTCGGCTGTGCACAAACGTTAGTTCCAGCTCACACACTCCTCCTCTGTGCCCGCTGATGTGGAGGGGTAGCTCAACATACAGCCAATCTTGTCCTCGTCCTTCTTGCCGTTAGCCTCGGGCTGGCCATCCTTCTTCTTGCTCTCGTCGACCTTGGTCTCGACAGCCTTGCCCTTGCCCTTGTCGGCTGACTTTTGCGCATCGTTGTCTTGCGCCATGGTGGGTGTGGCGGGTTATTGAATGACCCCGGCGGGTTGGAAACGCAGGATCAGGCCGCGGGCAACAGCAGGCAGGGCGCTACTGGTAGCTTGGACAGTGCGCTTCGTCTTGTGGTATATATCTTCCCTGTACCGAGAGCGGTGTATCCGGACACGGCGTGCAGGTGTCGCGAAAGTCGTTGGTGCAGGGTCGGCGAGCTTGGAAAGGAATGGAATCGAGGATGTGATGATGCAACACAGGTGTCGGCCTGGATCCTTGCGGGTGGTGGTGGTGGTGGTGTGCCAGCCAGCGAGCTACCTTAGGTAAGTCTGGGGGGCCACACTCATCAACCGCCGCAAGCAGGTGCTGAGCTCCAGCAAGTGGTGGCACTCTGGCGTGCGGGCGGGCCAGCCTCAGCAACCAGGCGGCTTGTCTCAGCAACGACGACCATCGACGTTACGCGAGGCTCTTGCCGCCTAAAAGAGGGTCCCTGCACCCAGCTGGCGGTACCTGGGTACGTACATCGGCGATAAGATAAAGGGATGGGAGCTCCCCCCTGCTCACGCTCGCTCTTATCGTGATTTTATTTTTCGATGCTTGGTGGGGTGGTGAGGACGTCACGGTACAATCGGCGAGGGGTCTCTCAAGGTGTATCGCGAATCTGGCAGTCAATCAATAATTGAGTGTGGTTTCGAATACTATATCGCGATTCACGACGAGGGAGTTCACCCATAATCTCTCCCAGCCCAACCCTCTACCCATACAGCAATACGGCACGACTTCCACTACCGAACACTTCCCTCGAGCACTTCCACAATCTAGCGACCGCGATCGCGGCAAGCAAACCGCCAACATGAAGCTCGATTCCAAGGCGATGCGGCACCTCACGGCGGATGACTGGCGAGTCCTCCAAGCTGTACGAAGCCCTCATATCTCCCTTTTTCATTTTTGTATTGCCTTGAATTTCAGGGTCTCCCAAAAGCACAATCGCGACTAACAAGAAACCTCCCTTCCTACGACGCAACCCACAGGTTGAACAAGGCTCCAAGAACCACGAACTCGTCCCAACACCCCTGATTGAGAAGATCGCCCGCCTGCGCGGCGGCGCCGGCAGCACGCGCAAGTCCATATCGGCGCTCGCCAAGGTCGGGCTGATTGCCCGCGTAAAAGAGGCCAAGTACGACGGCTACCGCCTGACCTACGGCGGCCTGGACTACCTCGCCCTGCACACGTATGCGAGCCGGAAACACATCTACAGCGTGGGCACCCGGATCGGCGTGGGCAAGGAGTCCGACATCATGATCGTCGCCGACGACACGGGCGCACAAAAGGTGCTCAAGATCCACCGGCTCGGCCGCATCTCGTTCCGCACGGTAAAGTCGAACCGGGACTACCTCCGCAAGCGCCAGGGCGGGTCGTGGATGTACCTGTCGCGGCTGGCTGCCGAGAAGGAGTTTGCGTTCATGAAGGCCTTGCGCGACGAAGGCTTCCTCGTTCCCGAGCCCATCTCGCAGAGCAGGCATACCATCCTCATGGACCTGATTGATGCTTTTCCCCTCCGGCAAATCTCGCAGGTCCCTGACCCGGCTGCTCTCTACGCCGAGCTGATCGCCGTGATACTGCGCCTTGCCAAGCACGGCTTGATCCACGGAGACTTCAACGAGTTCAACATCTTACTAAAAGAGGAGCGCGAGCAACAACAAGCTGCTGCTGCTGCGGCGAGCTCAAAAGGCAAAGACGCAGAGTCGGCTGCCTCCTCTTCCGCCGCCGACCAGGAAAGCAGCGCCAAGGTCACCGTGACTCCAATCATCATCGATTTCCCGCAGATGGTCTCAATGGACCATGTCAATGCAGAGATGTATTTCGATCGCGACGTCGCATGCATCAAGCGGTTCTTCGAGCGGCGGTTCCACTTCGTCGCGACCGAGCCGGGGCCGTTTTTTAAAGACGCCAAGAAGACTGTGGGCAAGGACGGCGCAACCAGGCTGGACGCCACCGTCGCGGCATCGGGTTTCACCAAGAAGATGTTGAAGGACCTCGAGGCTGCCATCAGAGAGCAGCAGGAAGGGAGAGGGGAAGGTGGCGAAGATGAGACTGCCCGCTCTGACGGAGACGAGGATGGATATGATGAGCCTTACGGCTCTGACGATGGAGAGGAGCAGGAGGAAGGAGAAGACGAGGCCGAGGACAACATGTCCGGGCCTCGGCAAGCAGAGGTAGATCAGGAAGCCTTGGAGAAGCCTCCGCATCCACAATTCGAGAAGCTCGCCATTTCTGATACGTAGATGGTCGGGAAGCGAGACAATAAACCATTTGTGATACCCAATCAGTTTTTGACAACAGTTGTGTGTGCCCATCATCTATAAGGCTTATCGGCGTGGCGCCCACCGGCCTATCTGCAAGAGGGTGATCACAAAGAGAGGACGATCTTCTAGGACAACTCATTATTTGTCTGATCTATCAATGTACACTACAAGTAAGTCTAAACTTTTGGTGACCCATACCCCAAAGTACAGGATCATAATACATGCCGATTGCTAACGATGAGATACCCTTAGCCCTTCTCACCTGGTTCTCAAAGACAACGCCCAACGTCCCCCATCTGCCATCTGTCAGTACTCACTCACATTGCCATGTGATTCTCTGACATACTTGACCATGTTGAACACCATTGCACTACCTGTCTAATGATCCAGACCGATGAATAATGCATATGATCAAAAGAGCCCCAAGAAACAGAAAAGTGACTTCAGAGTCAGATATGGGCAGCCAGAGCCGAAACCGGCCTGGTACCATTAAATCATGTTGTGTATTTCGACCCCGAAGGAAGAGAAGAAGCGGAAGAATACCCGAGTCGACATTCCTGCAGGGCCCTAGTGCAAAGTCTACTGCAGGCATTCACTTGGCTTCGGCCTTGCTGGGGGACGAGTGGGAGGTGCCATCAACGATGGCAGGACCGTTGACCTGAATGGTCACACTCTCGTTGTCAGAGCCGTTTTCCGACGGGGTTGCATTGCTCGATGCAGATGAGCTGACACTGATTTAATCAGATGGTCAGCTTGCACAAATGACATGTTGAGGGTGAAAGGGAAACACTAACGGCGCCTTGCATCCGGAAAAGGCCTGAGCCTCGGCAGAACCGGAAAGAGAGCTACTGCGTTGACCATTTGCACTTCAACCAAAAGTCAGAGACAGTTGCTGAAGTGCGCACGGCAACAAAGACTCACAAAAGACTGCCGCTGCCACCGCCACGCTTCCAAGCCGGCTGATTGTAGATGGTAGGGTTCATTCCGACAAGGGGAGTGCCGTAGGCACCGACGTTGTACTCGTTGGTTCTGAATTGGCGTCTCTCGGCCGTGATACGCTTCAGCTCCTTTTGCTGAGGAGTGTCTGCGTAGCGAATTGAGAGCTCATTGCCAGCTGAACCGAGCTTCTGGCCCTGGAACTTGTGCATGATCTCCTCGCAAAGCGCGCGGCTCTCAAAACTAGACTTTGCGTTAACGAGACAGCTCGACAATCTGGGTTTGCGCATCAGAACATACCGGGCGAAGCCGACACCACGGCTGTTACCAAGATGGTCGCGAAGAATCTTGCTGGAGAGAATATTGTAGCCGAGAAAGATTGCGCCGAGTTCCTGTCGCGCAGCGAATCAGCGGTGAACATGAGCGACGACCAGCTGTGACAAATGACCAATTGCACGAACTTACCATCTCAGTGGTCGACTTGGGCAGGTTGGAAATGTAGAGGTTGGTGGAACCCTCGTCACCTTCGGCCTTGAGACGGGAGTTGAACGACTCCTGATCGATCAGAAAATAGTTAGTACCGACCGAGGCCACAAGTAGACAGTACTGCATGTGCTTGATGATGCGAACCCGTGCGAAGCCAACTTCATATCCCAAGCGGTAGAAGCCGCGGATGCACTTCTCCGAGTCGCGAACATCGTAGAACTTCGCGAAGCCGAAACTGCGACGTGTTTCTGTCAGCACATGGGCACGAAAAGCTAACACGCAGTCCGCGGAGCAGCAGACTCACCCCTTGCAAGCACCGGTGGCAGTATCAATGATTGCTTTGGAGGTCTCAACCTTTCCAAACCGCTCGGCGAACTTGTAGAGAAGATCGTCGTCCGTGGTGGGGTGAAGGCCACGAATGTAGACATTGCGGTTGCCAGGAATGTGGTTGATGAGACTCTGCTCCAAAGACTTCATGTTTTCCTGGGGAGTGAAAACGGCTGGAACAGCAGAGGGAACAGCAGGTTCCTTCCGGAGCAAAGCATCAAGATCACGATCAATGACAGCAGGGATGGCGTGAAAGCCCTTGGGGTGTTGCATCGCTGCGTTTGCAATAACCTGCTGGGGCGAGGGAGTCGTGTAAGTGGAGCGGTCAAAGACAGCCACACGGCCAGCCTGATCGCGGGCAGGAACATTTCCGAAGAACGGTGTTGCCGGGGCAGACTCGTTGGTGGAGTAGGATGAGCGACGGTTCTGCAAGGCCGGGACCTCCTTGGGACCATGCTCGGGATGCTCGATGATGGTCGCGGGACGGCCCGGGGTGATCGGGAGCAATCCATATGGCAGGGGGAAAGGGGCCTGCGCGTTCTGCATGTAAGGATTGAAGAAAGTATTGCTGGGGGCATCAGAGTTCTGGCCATAACCAAAGGGAGCAACACCACCAGGGTGGAAGCCAGGAGCATAGATGATTTGACCATCGGGCATCTGGAGATAAGGGCCTCCCAGGCCAGGCATGGCAGCAGCTTGGCCAGAAGGAGGTCCGCTAATACCGATACCACCCATCTGAGCGACAAGAGAGTTCACGGTGGCATCTGCGTGGCCCTGGGCATGACCTGCAACAGCTGTAGTGTCGGGCATGACTCCGGGATGAGTCGCTATGTATGCAGCAGGGTGGCGACCCTGACCCTGGTGAGCTGAAGTCGAGTTGCTGCTTCCGCGTTTGGCGCCGTAAGGGTGCTCGGCTCCCATGATGTGGCTCGGGGGATAGGTCATGGTCATCTGATCGATACATATATTAGCTTTCATGAAGAAGTGATTGAGCACAGGCTGTGAATAGGGCCCTTTAGGTTTTCGAACAAGCGGCCATGGAAGTCTAATGCACAAGTATTTGGGACAAACTGAATGCAGAGTAGAAAACTTGACCCCATGTTGAAGTGCATCCTGAAGGTCACGACCTTCTTGAGCTGGGAAGGAAAAAGAGAAGAACAGGGGCAAGGCGGCTCAACAACATTACCTTGGCAACAAGTTTTCTGCGATGAAATTCAAGAGGAATCTGTATGGTACTGCGGATTAGTATGCGTCGTGAGGCACGTAACAACCATCATCGCGGATTCTCGGGTCGTGGCCATGGCAAGTGGCGTGGTGTGGGGAGAGGAAGAAACAGGTGCGAGCAGGTCAAGCCGTGCCAAAACATTGTGGCGTGAATCAGGTTGAATTGACCAAGTAAGGCTGGATGCAGAAGACGACGTGAGTAGAAGCTTCGCGGGAAGGGTCTCGGGGAAGATGCAGTGCAGAGTGGTTGACAAGCGAGGCACCCTCGCTTACCTTGCTGATGGGGATAGCCTTGTTCAAGCTGTTACCAAAGGTGGTGAATCAAGCGAGTGGTAACGAGTAAAATAGAGGAGCTAGACAGCAAGATGGGAAGTGCCGAAGTGACTGTGAGTGCTGCGGACAGGCTGCTGGATGACTTGATGCTGTTCGGGAACTGAGCCGATGGGAAAAGAAGAGTGAGAGTGGGAAGTGAAGGGAAGGAGACCGGCAATGATGGGAGGAGGCTGCACAAATACGACATGGATTGATGTTCCTACCTGCATGTGAATCTGGCAAGAACGAACAGCTGGCTCTGGTGAGAGGAAGTCGCGACGTAGTTCCTGGACGAAGGCAGTTGCGAGGCGCTTGTTGGCAACGAGTCTGCAAAGCCGTTGTGTTGATGCGGGTGCGGGACAGGGACGGACAAGGGATAGCAGGATATTCTGGAAGGGATAACTTCTGAAATGTATCGAGGGCTGACCCAATGACTATGAGGTAGAGATGGTGGCAGTGGTAAAGGGCTAAGAGTGTGTAGCGGATGCTGTCCCAAAAGGTTGGTATTGTTGCTGCTTGAGGCTGCGTCCCGGATGATCGTGAGGTCAGAACAAGGTGTGGCACCAGAATGCTTGCAACCCACGTGGCAGAGCAATAAATAGACTCGCAGGGCAGGAAAACGTGGCAGCCACACGGTCGATCCTTGCCAAGGGGAGCCGCGCAGGTTGGTTGCCGTGGTTATTATGCACTCGGTGCCTCAGATCCAGCGTCGGCCGGGAGGCTGCCTGAGAGCCAGTCTTGTGAGATGGATGTGAGTCGAGGGTGAGCTTGGATATCATTCCAAGTAGAGAATGGGGCACAGGCTTTGCCTGGGAGGCGTTGTGTAGCCTGTCGAAGCATGCCATCCGGATTAGTCGTTATGGCGTTCGTAAATGTGATGGTGATCGTGCCTTTCTATGCTAAGCAGATGAGAACGCTTAGCTGCTCGCCCCAGCATTTGACCTGTCCCAAACCACGCCTGAAGCTGAGGCAGACACTGACATCGAGTCCATCCAGAGGCCGCTACAAATGTGCAGATTCGACCTCCATAAGCCCTTGTTGCGAGCTGCCGAAATTGTCACATCTCTGACCATGTCATAGCACTTGAAAGATCCATTAGGAAGTTCATTAGGAAGCCTGTTGCTACTGAAGATGATTTTAAATGCTCTAGAGGATAATTCCAGATATATGACAGTATATATGGTCTAAATGACCCGAGATGCCTTGACGCAATCTATTTGCATGGGTATCGAGTTCCAAGGAGCCTGCCTCGCCCCCCTTTGGAAGGCGTGGGCATTGCCACATTCCGCCCCTCAGGAGGGCATACCCACCACGCCTATTGCGCCATACGAACAACATCAAAAGAATGACACAGTTGTAGACTACAAAGGCAGACGAAAGGAGACGTTTCCCCCCGTTCCGTTTCGATCAAGACCAGACATCCTCCTGTGACAAGTTAGCAGCTGTCTCATAAGTCTGACTTGGCTATGCAAGTTTCGAGCACGTACCTGGTACTGGTTGGATGCGCGCATGGTCTTCACAATATCCTCCGCCTTGGACTCTGGAATGCCGCGCTGCTCGGCGATGATGTTGATGAGCACGGAGTGGACCTCGCGCGCCATGTTGGCAGCATCACCACAGACGTAAATGTTGGCCTTCTGGAGGAGGAGCTCATTGATACGCTTTGCTTGCTCCTTGAGACGGTGCTGGACATAGACCTTCTTGGGGCCCTCACGGGAGAACGCGTTGATCATCTCAAAGCTGTCGCCCATGGTCTTTTTGTACTCGTCCCACTCGGACTCGTACAGAAAATCCTCGGACCGCTTACGGCAGCCAAAAAAGAGGACGGTGGGACCCACGGCCTCACCAGACTCTGCTTGCTTGGCTCTCTCCTGGATGAATGCTCGCATGGGCGCAACACCCGTGCCAGGACCGACGAGAATGATGGGCCGCGAGGGGTCGGATGGAAGCTTGAAGTTGGAATGTCTGACGTGAACGGGCACGTGAATGCCATCGTACTTATTACGCGGTCCCATAATCTCGTAGGTGAGGCCGTAGGCTTCAGGGCTCGGGTCGCCGTTCTGCTTCTGTTTGAGGGCAAACAGGTAGTTCGTGGCGACACCCTTGAAAGGGTCCTCGCGGCCGGGGATCATGACGTTTTCGACGACAGCTGTGACAGAGATCTTCTTGGGCTGGACCAGAGACGAGGAAGAGATGGAGTAGTACCTGGGCTGCAGCTTTGTCAGGCCCTCAATGAAGGCGGAGAACGGGATGCTTTCCCACTTCTTGCCGCCGCTGACGACACTCAGAGCTCGTGCAATAGTGTAGTGGTGCTTGCTGATCTTGTCCTGGAAGTAATCCTTGTCGCTGCCGAGCTTCGTCATCTCAGCCTTGGTCTCCTCATCGGGGGCAAATGCGGCGAGGGTACCGAGGAACTGGCGAGAGACGGGAGCGCAGATTTCGAGATGGTAGCGAACAATGGCGTCGTACGTGGTGGGGGTTGGGAAGGGGACCTTTGCCGTAGGTTCGAGAGCCTTGACGCTGATGACAGAGTCACGCTTGCCAGCCAGGTTAAGCAGGGAGAGGAACTCGTCGACTTCCTGACCAGGGTTCGTGGGCCAGATGGCAATGTGGTCACCGGTCTGGTAGGAGAGGTTCGAGCCACTGATGTCAATCTCGAGGTGCAGGCAGTTGCGGTCCTTGACGGTGAAGAGTTCTCTGGATTCCGTGATGGGAGCAATGTAAGGGTTGTGCGAGTTGAAGGGGCCCTTGGCGGTACCTTCGAGGTGCATCTTGTTGGGCTCGCCAAGGTAGACCTCGGGGGAGTCCTTGGTCATGTTCTCACGCTCGGAAATGCCAAATGTGGGCTCGTAGACGGCCTCACGCTCTTCCAGGCCCATCTTCTCAGCGAGGGCAGTCCACATAGGCTCCTTCCATGCGAGGAAATCCTCCTCCATGGTGCCGGCACCATCGTCACCTTCGCCAGCCTCACCAATGCGGTGAGCGCCGGCCTTTTCGAGAGCCTTGTTGACGTTGCGGACCATGGAGTTGTAGTGCTCGTAAGTGTTGTTGCCGAGGCCGAAAGCGACGTACTTGAGGTTGTCGAGAGGCACCTCGCGAGCCTCGGAAAAGGCGGTGTCCTCTCCGGTGATGAACTCGTAAAAGTCGACAGCGTTATCGGTCGGCTCACCCTCGCCGTAGGTGGCCAGGATGAAGAACACAACCTTGTCCTCGGGCATGGTGTCGAGGTTTTCGAAATCGTAATCCTCGAGGTCGGCAACCATTGTTTCAAGACCAAAGCGGCTCTTGCCTTCCTTGGCGAGACGCGAGGCGTAGTCTTCAGCAGTACCAGTCTGAGAGCCGTAAAAGATGATGCAGTTCTTGCCCGATTCTTCCATCTTCTCAATAATGTTCCTCGTCTTGCCAGCCTTGAGGCCGTTGGCATTGCCAAAGGAGTTGGCATAGGGGTCCTTGGTCACGCCCCAGACTTTACCCTTGGTAAAGTAAGCGGCAGTGCCGGCCAGGATGACGGAGAGGACCATGAGGTCCAGGCTGTCGAGTTTCGCCATGTTGACTTCGGCCGAGGTGCTACACGATGCGAGTGTGTACGGAGGAGGAACGCCGCGGCGTGTGGGCAGGCGACAGCGATGCTAGCCGGTCAGCACGGTGAGCAGGTAGGCCACGCAGGGTTTCTCAGTGGGATGGGTGGGATGAGGCTTGAAATCCAGGCTGCGACAAAGGAGAGGGCGACAGGCAGCGTGGAGTCGGGACTGCTGGAAGCGGCGGGCCCGGAGCTGCTTTAAGGGGGGGTTGAAGTGCAGAAAGTTGACACGAATAGCGAAATGCGTGGGTGCGCGAAACCGGGGCCGGGAGACGGGGATCAACGGGTTGGGTGTTGCGGGAGAACAGCGACCCTTCTCTGTGGTCGGTCGGTCGAGGAGGGGAGTCCGCTCGGAATAGAGGGGCGGACGGCAGCTGGGGCGGGAGCGGAACTCACTTGACTACTGTAAGTCGGCGGCAACGCTCCCAGGCTTTAGCAGACCGAGGACTAATGTGGTGGGTGGCTTGATGATGACTCGACGAGATGGGCAGTCGGGTATCTAGAGGCAGGTGGCAAACCAACGCCCTGCAAAGGCAGCAACAGGATACAACAGGAGAGCAATGTGGGAGTAATTAGCAGCAGAAAGAATCGTAGTCCTTCATGAGTGGCGCAAGTAGCGTACGCATGTGCCTTAAGGCCCCTTGAGCCAGTGTAAGCAGACGGTAGGCAGGCGAGGCAGGGGCACTTCCAGAGACGCGCTTGATTGACAGGGTCTATCCATACCACCTCACTTCATCTGGCGAACGACGGCATGCTCCTTCGCCCCGAGAAGCTTCTAGGCGGAGGATGACTCGGCGCCCAACATCCCCACTGCGCATGGGCTCGGATTCGATTTCCCTCACCACCACCACCACCAGCGGGTCGGATCGTCCGATACGGGCAGCTGTCGTCTGTCGCATGGTCCGCGGCATCCGGGTCGCCCTGTCGCTCAGAAGCGGCTCGTGCCTGTCGAGCCTGTGTTATGCTCGCTGTCGCGACAGCCGCAAAGTCTGAATCCCGGCGCCTCTGGTGGTGGCGGCGTGGCCACCGGGGCTGGTCCTGCGAGTCCTTTTGGCTGTGAGACAAGCAGCAGGCTGCATACCATCACATGCCCGTCGCCGTCACTTGGCTACGAGTCTAGTATTCTCTTCGCTAAGCTCAACGTCTACATTCTGCATAGGGCGATGCCAGGGCAAAGATGACTGCAGCGCGTCTCATCAAAGCACTAGGCACGCGGGGCTGGCCACCCACTCAATTCAGTCAGTCCACTGCATAATACTCCGGAATCCTGGCGGGCCGTGGCACATGCCCCTGCTCGGATTTCGTTTCTTGGCCAGCTCAACCTCGTCTGAGCACAATTCAGACCTGGAACCATGGTGGTGCATCGCACTCTGTTCATACCCCCCAGACTACTGTAATTAGCGTCCCTATCCTTGTCTGTGCAGTCCCGGAAGCCAGCACAGCCGTTCGCGTTCGCGTCTCTCATCGCCGCGTGTGGCTCAGGCACCGAGCTGCCCTCGAATTAGGCCTGGCAGGAAAGATCCCTGCTCCAGGTGTGCTGGCTAGATCGTGCTCAGCACGGAAATGAGGTTACTTGCAGCTCGGCAGCCATTCCGAACTCCTCCCAGATGGTGATGGATCCTTGGCCTTGCCGGGATGCAACGACGGGGATTGTACGCCCACAGCTTCGGGATGACGGCGAAACAGTGAGTGCGGCCATGGGCCTTGGCTCGTTGGGACGAAGCCACATTTTCTCCATTCTGTAGCTTTAGCGGTCCGGCAGCTATCTTTAGACCATGCCTGCTCAACCTTGGGCTACCGTGCTAATGTACATAAGACAGGGACAAGCCTTAGTAACCTGACTCAGCAAACGGGCTTGGTTACTCTCCCGATGGCATCAAGATGCCTCCACGGCTACTGGCCACGGTCCTGACACATCATAGGTCGTGTGTATCATCTGGTTCGCCATGAACAACCAGCTTTGTGGCCTGCGGGACCGTCACCCTAATGTACGCTCCATTGTCACCAGCTCGCGCCACCGTGGCCGGCAGCTAACAACGGCACTGTTCTGGTCATGGCACCACACAAACGGCCCGGCGCGCGGCATTCACCACATCTTCACGAGGTTTGTGTCATCTCGGTTATGCAAGTCCACGTGCCCATCCTCCAAAAGTCGAAGAACAGCACGTCTTTGCGAGCGAGCGAGGTCCACGTCATTACCCCACGATTTTCAGTTCTTAGCCGAGGCAGCTAGGCGTTTACGCCCCCGCCGTCGACGCGCGAAGCTGCGCGAGGGCATGATTGCACCGAGGTGGCTTGGCAACCCCCAGATTTGTTTTCGCTGGTCACGGATGGGGTTCGACGGCATGGCATAACGGCAGTGCCCGTCGTGGTCGTTGCTTAAAAGTTGTCCCGCGTCCTGTCCGACAATGCGGGGGTCCAGGGTTCTGGTTCCTGGACTACCTTCAGGCGGAGTTTCTTCCTCGATCGGACTGGACACACATCCATAGCGACTTCTCTTCAAGCTCGCCCTGGTGCTATCTGAAAGGAACATGGCAAGATACAGCAGCGTGTGCCTGAATGGAGGTCTGTTCGCATCGTGATCGTTCATCCGAAGGATGGCGAAGACGCATCACTTTCATGGCCTTGGTAGACCGCCTTGTCCCTGTGCATACCTCCTTTAAGTACCACTTGCTTGCCCCACTTGAGGATTTGAGATGAGACGGGGACATAGCCTATCTGCAGTTGAGTGGCCGAGTGAGGGCCGACCTGTGGCATACAACAAACAGCACTGAGTTGTTCCATTTGATATACGAGACAACGAAGGAGTTGAGCAACACCACGCAACGCATTCTTTACATGCAAATACAATGGCTAGTCCTGGCATTATGATCTGCAAATACGAGATACTGGGGACTCCAGGAGCACAAGGCGCGACTCCTCAAGCGGCTTCTGCTGTACTTTTAGCAGCTCCGATGATTCGTCCTCTGGTGCTTGAGTACCACAAGACGAAGTTTCGGGAAGGCCAACCTTGTCACAGTTCCAGCTGACATTCTGTAGCACGTGGTCGACCTAGGCCTTGCTTGGATGACTTTGAACCACGAAACCAACCACCGGGCTGTCCCCAAACACTTCCAAAGGGCTAGCGTGAGTTGACAGCCCGTCCTGGGTTGCAGCGTGCCAGCCAGGCGGCCAATAGCGGGCCATGTCCTGGCCCCAGCAGCGCTCCTCTGCAAGGGAGCAGGAGAGTGATTGATGGCTGGCGGCTGGGGAGTGAGACCCTTTCGAGGCACACCAGATTTGGGGTTCCTGGACGCTGGGACGAATCCTTGTCAACAACGCGGCAGCCAATCGTCCGACTATTGCTCGTCACCCATGCTGCCACCACCCAGTGGCATTGATCAAGCGCGGGCCAGGGTCAAGCTCAAGCTCAGGGCGCCGCACTGAATGGCCCTCGACTGCCGTCCTCAGCACCTCCTCCAAGGCGACCCCGACACCGCCGTGCCCTCTGCCTCTCCAGTCCTCCAAGCGCCAGACAATGGGCCCTGCAAGCCAACAATGGGTGAGTTGCCGCCAGGAAAGCCGTCCGTCACCTCGTGCACAGAAATCCTCCGACGCCGTCTGCCAGTTGCAATGTATCTGAAGCACTGGGCCCGGGCTTGGTCTCTAGGCCGCTGCCGCCCACCTGGGCACACCACCAAGATCCAGGTTGCGCGCGCTGTGCGTGCCCCTCCCTTTGCCGGCCATCTCGGCGGCAGCGAGCAGCGAAGCCGCAGTTCGTGCTTGTGATCGAGTGTGTGCTGGTACCTCGCCGCATGATGCAGCACCATATGGGGAGGGAGCCGCGCCAATGCACTGCAGCGCTTTCCATGTCCCTGCAATGCTGTGTGACGCACGAGCTTGTCGTCCTCGAAGCTCTTCCCCAGGAAGGATGTGTTCTGGCTGACACCAGTGGTCCATTCTTCTAGCTCCGGCCCCGATGCTGCCCGATGCGCATCTGCAAGACTCTCCTACTTACCACACCCAACGGCCATCTTCACGCCTCAACACCCTGATCGACCAGGAGACCGATGGTCGGGATCACACATTGCGGCACAGAAGCCCCGACTCTGCTGTTTCTCGCTCCGTAGTGCACTCTCGCGAATCCTCGATAGACAAAATCTCTTCAGGCGGCGGCCTGGCAGGTATCCCTGAATCGCCTCGAAACGTAACATCTGCTGCTTCACCGGGTCTACGTGGTGGTATACCCCGAGGTGGACTTGGCGGAATCATCGAGCGTGTGGTTGACCCGAAATCGGCGACATATGGACATCACCGGCAGACCTCGATCGTCCACGGCATCCAGCACTCGAGAAATGGAAGCGCCAGTTCGACGTCCAGCCCGCTGAGCCCGCAGATGATTGCTGCGGCAGGGGTTGGTTTCCTTCCCGAGCGTCCAGACACTCGAACATTGCACAGGCTGGACTCGGAAGTGTCTCTAGCCTCGATGGCTTCGAGAGCACCGACTGCGCTTTCCGGGGCTACAGCCACCAGCGCTATAGGGCAAGCCACGGATAGGAACATGTCCATATCAGACGTCCCCAGCGATGCGACTGTGCGCAAGTCTGAGCGCAACCAGAGCAGGACTCGGCGTGATCACAGACAGCAACAATCTCAATCGGCAAGACCACCACAAGCCAGGGAGGAAAGCCTGCCATCTGTTGGCAGCTATGCACTCACCGTGTTGTTCACAGCGGTATGCTCACCCCTGCTCCATCATTGCGTCCGTCCCATGTCTGACTTGCTTTTAGTTTACCGCGAGCGCCGAGGAGAAGATCAGTCAATGTAACACTGTCCCCTTTGACCCTGAGCCGAACATCGAGGCGATATGCGGGCAAGGTGCCGATCCGGCCTTCGACCAGTTCATTGTCGCGCTGGCGCAGCTGGCCAAGCACAGGCCGAAGCCGCTCATAGACATGATTATGCTGTGGCGGAGAAAGCGGAGCGAAGAGGCGAACGAAGCCCGTACCGAGCTGCAGGCAATCAAGGCCGCACAAAATCCAGCAAATGCTTTAGTGCGACGCAACACAGAGCCTCTACAGATGATGGCCGGTGCCGGTGCGACCGCTGAACCAGTCAAATCGCCAATGCCAGAATCCCTCGCAGCTAAGCAGCTCTACACAGCTCAGCTTGAGCGGCGATCTAATGTCGCCATTTTCATACTCTGCCGCGTCTTGTTGGAGATCATCAGCCAGAGCACGTACGAAAGCATTGGAAAAGAGATGGAGAACAAGCTGGAGGACATAATCTTCGGCCAATTGACGATGGCGGACTCAGAGCAGCTGCATCTATCGCCGTTGAAGATGGCCAACTGGAACATTTTTACACAATTGCTTGGCGCTATGAGCGACATCAACTTTGTCATTGTTACCCAGAAATTCATGTCTAGCCTTGAGCGTCTGCAACAAGAGGCCGCGTCGCGGAGCCCTGCCATTCTCAACCGATCAGTGGATGGGAAAATGGAGTTGATTCTGGGCGGCATGAAGCATGTACGCATCAAAATCGACAAGGAGTCTGATTGGGAGAAGTCTTGCAACTTCCTTGTCGCTCTTGGGCGGCTCTTTGCCAACTCCCATGGTCAGCGGGTCAAATGGGCGTTTTGCCACGCTCTTGAGAACTTCCTCCTCCCAGTTGCGGCAAATGCAACCGCTGCGCACCTGACTTCGCCTCGTTGGGGTGAGGTAATCAGTAACATTAGTCCACGCCTCGCGCAGATGTTCGTGAAACCTCGCCATTGGCACACAGCGTTCCCCCTCACGGCGACCATGCTTTGTGTCTCGCCACCAGAAACCTTCAGTTCGCAATGGCTGCAATTGGTGCGACCCTTGCAGACAAAACTCAAAGATCGTAGCACGCGGGCTGTAGCCTTGCAGGTGGTATCGAGGCTGCTTTGGAACTACCTCTACCGGTGCAACGAACCAATAACGGCGGTGGCCCGTAAGGTCGACGAAGTCATGCAACTCATCTTACCCCCTTCGCGGCGTACGTTTGCACCTGTGGACATTGCGCCGGCAAGCCCAGTAGTTCAGATGATACGCTTCATCGGCTACAAGTTCCCCGAATACTGCTGCAAGAGCATCATCTTCCCCCTCATCAATGCCGAGCTTTTCATATCCAACAAAGAGCTCAAGGTAGACCAGCTCGACCCGGACAGGGTTGTCATCGGCATCAGGGCTTTTCTTGCCATGTTAGCTGACCTGGAGAAGCGCGAGCATGGGCGGCCTCCGTTCCCACAGAGTTACCCTATCTTTGCATCAGAGCGTCAGGGTCCAGCCTCCCCAATGCCCACCTCCTTGCGAGGTGTCTCGCGTCCAGTCCCGCTGCTGGCTGAACAGGATGCGAGCTTGTCCAAACCTGTCATAACTTCCAACCTCGCCGAGGGGGCTCTCGAGTGTTACAAACAATTCTCGGAGATTTTGGGGAAAATCACGATTATATGCGATAACGCATTTGGTGGGCAAGCTGCGCTCGACGAGAAGTTCAGCACTTCTGCGGGGCCTAAGACGCCCATTTCTGATACTTTCAATTTCACCAGGAGAGATGATCAAAACCCTGTAGACCAGAAGCAGTCTTTCTACGACCTCCTCCACGTTGCCGTCCAGGCTCTACCGCGCTGTCTATCGGCCGAGATCCCTTTCACGCCGCTGATCAACCTCCTCTGTACGGGTACAGCCCACGTGCAGCGAAACATTGCCGATTCTTCGGCACGATCGCTCAAGTCTATTGCACATCAATCGTATGCACAGCCTGTGACGACTGGCTTTGCTCGCTTCATATTCAACTTTGACGACAGGTACTCAACCATGTCTGATGGTGGTATGCTTGGACCAAGCCACATTGAGAGCACTCTGCGACTCTATGTTGAGTTACTTCAGATCTGGCGCGATGAGATCCGGCAGAAGACCAAGGAGGCCGCCTTGAACTCGAGCGATCCCAATGGCACCGACAAGCGCGGGATGCAGCTGGATCTCTCGAATATCTGGGCTGAAGTCGAACATGTCGAGGCACGTGGACTGTTCTTCTTGTGCTCCCAGTCTCGGCGCGTTCGGCATTTTGCCATCACAGTCCTCCGCCTGATCACCGAGTTTGATGAAGCACTTGGGAAGAGCGGGTCAGAAGAGGCAGGGGATGACCGTCTGATCAACATTCTCGAAAATAAATCGAAAGAGGTCATGAGTGTCAAAGACGACCATCTGTCTCTAGCAGAGCGCAGCCGGCTACAAAAGGGCATGCAGAACGGCAACAACCAGGGAGCTCTCATTGAGCTCTGTACGAGCGATGTCTCGTATGACACCACGCTTTGGTTCAAGCTATTCCCAAACTTTATCCGCATCGCCTACGATCGGTATCCATTCACCGTCACCATTAGCCGTGACCTGGTCTGCGAACGCGTGCTTCAAATGTTCCAACCGATCATGGAGCTCGCGAAGCCACGTCGCGGCCCTTACTCTGGTGCAGAGCCTAGCAGTGGTCGGTTCCCCGCCAGGTCGCCCGGAGCACACACCGATGTCGTTGTAGAGCAGTGGAAGCTGTACCTGACATTTGCATGCACGACATTGGGTGATACGGGCACTTCCAGTGAAAGACCGTCCCAAGACAGCCAACACGCCCGCAAAGCGTCAAAAATCGCCGACAAGATTGTCTCCGCGCGAACTCTCTTCAAGTTTCTGACCCCACTGCTCATGGCGCCATCCGCGCCAGTGCGTGAAGCTGTAGTTCTCGCGATGGGCTCTATCAACATCAATACCTATCGCGCCCTGCTTGAAGACCTGCAAGCTCAAGGGATAAGATGCAACGACGACGCCAAAGCTCGACTACACCAGAGGGCCAACAGCGGTCCCCGACTAATGGACAACCGGGTTGATCTGCTCCGTACCGAGCTGACTCACGTTTACAAGTTGACGGCCCACTTCCTCAAGGATCCTGTTGCGTTCAACGATGACTGGATCATGAACTACCTATGCTCGTACACCAAGGACCTCAAAATCTTCCTGATGGACGGCGAAGTGCAAATGAACTGGGAATACCAAACACTGCGGCGACATTATTGTGGGCTCATGGAGGAGCTCTTTGAAGGCATTAATCGTACTAACGACCCGTCGCGGTGGATGACATTTGAATCCAGGAAGTCATCTTTCACACTCATGGAAGATTGGTGTGGATTCTCGCCTAACCAACAGGCGATCAAAGAGCGCGAAGACACCATCAGACAGTCTGTCATCAACCAACAGGCACTGGGCGAGCAGCAGACCATCTCAGCCTCTATGGAGATCGAGAAGAGTCGCCTCAGAACGGCGGCCCTCAACGCCATGGCTGCCTTGTGTGCAGGGCCGATCAGCGTAACGACAGAAAGCGGCGTCGTCCTTGGCTTTGACAGCCGAAGAATGATCCAGTGGATTGAGAGCACGTTCGATTCTGGAAGCGATAGGACAAACGCGAGTGGCCGACGAGCTCTCAAGAACATGCTCGTTCACAACAAGGAGTGGCCTTACCTTCTCGATCACTGCATATCTAAGTGCTACACTGCTCAAGCCATGAAGGTCCAGGAGAACTATTTTGCCGTGGTTACGGACGTCCTTCTTGAGCATCCGGATTACCCGTCGCCGGCCTGGAGACTCCTCGGCCTTTGCCTCTTCACGCTGGGTAACGACCAGAGTGAGGTGCGTTCAAAGTCTGCACGGGTGCTGCGTGCCCTAGAGGAGAGGAAACAGGCTGTGCGTGGCACGAAGCTGCGCGATTTCGATGTCAGCATCTCAGATAAGACGAAAGCGGTGTACAAGCTTGCGCAGTTCGAGATCTCGATGCGCCTTGCAAAGCAGAACCCGGACATGGCGTTCCACATCTTCTCCGAGTTCTCCTTCCATTTCAAGAAGCTAGATCAAGGCGCGCAGAGGAACGCGATTGCGGCCATTCTTCCGTGGATCCAGACGATTGAGCTCCAGGTCGATCCAAATGGCGGCCCTACCGCACAATCATATGTGCTCCTCGCAAACCTTCTTGAGTTGACCATCAAGTCCAGCGCTGCTCTCCACAATGAGGTGCAGGCTCTATGGCAAGCCGTGGCGACTGGTCCGAGCCCAGGCAACGTGCGCCTCATTCTCGACTTCATCATTTCGCTCTGTCTCGAACGTAGAGAGCAGAACTTTGTCGAGTACGCGAAGCAGATTGTTGTCTTCTTGGCGAGCACCTCCAGCGTGTCTGGTAGCAAGGTCGTCGAGTTCCTGCTCATGCAGATCAGCCCCAAGGCTATGGTGCCGAATGAGAAGCGCGAGACAAACCTTCCGCCCCCAGACATCATCCAGCTACCGTACTGCGCTGATCTCTCGGAGGTTCTGCCCATTGGGCCAAAGCAAGCTGGGCTGTCCTTGGGCCAGCTCTCACTTATTCTCCTTGTCGATCTCATGGTGGCGCCGATTCAGTTGACCGCTGACAACCTTCCGCTTTTGCTCCATGTCATTACCGTGCTGTGGGATCACTATACCCCTCTTGTGCAGGAGCAGGCGAGGGAAATGCTGGTGCATTTGGTGCACGAGCTGGTCATCTCCAAGCTGGACGACGATAACAACACGGCATCCCCAGAGACGAAAGCGTCTGTTGAGCGCCTGATCGAGTCTGTCCGCCAACATGAGCAATCGGTGGTATGGGGATACGATGACAATAACGGCAGGGTAGACGACCGTGAGCACAAGGTTCCTCCCGGCATGGAGAAATTGACCTCGGAGGTGGTACAGACGTTCGAGATCAGTTTCCCCGGTGTCAAGGAGCAGTGGAGCCGCCTAGCGTTGACCTGGGCGACGTCGTGTCCTGTGAGACATGTGGCGTGTCGGTCGTTCCAGATCTTCCGTTGCATATTGACAAACTCAGTCGACCAACTCATGCTCGGCGACATGCTTGCCCGGCTGTCAAACACCATCTCAGACGAGGACACGGAGATCCAGGCGTTCTCTATGGAGATCCTGACTACCCTTGAAGCTCTGACCATCAAGCTTGAGGCAGAACAGCTGCTCACATTTCCACAGCTGTTCTGGACTACATGTGCCTGCCTCGACTCGATCAACGAGGCCGAGTTCCTGAAAGCTGTGGACATGCTCAACGTGTATCTCGAAAAGCTCGACTTCCACTCCCCTATGGTGCGGGCTACACTACTCGACGGGCGCCCTCCGAGCTGGAGAGACGACTTTGGAGGACTTCAGCCGCTGCTCTACAAGGGCCTGAGATCATCTATCTGCCTGCAAGCAACGCTGAAAGCGCTGGACAGCCTGGTCCAGCTGCCAAGCGATCCGCTCATAGGTGATGACAACCGCTTGTTCTTCACCGTCATCGCCAACTTTCCACGGTTCATGCAAGCCGTAGAAGACGGCTCTCTGCCTGATGATGTTCTTGGCACAGCTCAGATTCTGCATGCTGTCGCCGAGGCTCAGGGCCTAGGCCCGCTCTATGCTCTTCTCGACGTTCTGGCGCATTCTCGAATCGGGTCGGGCGATGACTTCCGTGCCGAGCTATTTGCTGCGCTCCGCGAGTTCTTCTTGCCACAGCTGGATCTCGAGATGATCATCATGCTGATGGGCTTCTTGACAAACAGCAATGCCTCGGTCAAGATACAGACGATGCGTCTGCTCTGCACCATCCTCCCGCAGATTGATGTGCGGCGGCCTGACATTTCTGGGCTGGGCTCGGACCTCATCTCACCCCTGCTTCGTCTCCTGCAGACCGAATTCTGCATGCAGGCTTTGGAGGTCATGAACTGCATGATGACAATGACCTCGACGCCAATGGACGATCTCCATGTCCGAATGAGTATGACCCATCCATCCGCGAAGGCTACCAGGAAGGAGTACGACCGGACAAAGAGCTTGTTCGGCATTCCCGAGGAGTCTGGCTGGGCTGTGCCAGTGCCGGCTGTCAAGACTGAGAACACGCGGCACAATGTCCACCAGGCCTTCTACATCTGCCAAGCGGATGCCGGCGAAGGATTGGCAACGGAACCAACGCCAACTCCCGAGGTTGAGTTCCACACGGACGAGTACAACTTTGGATATTTCGACATGTCGAGTCGTAGCGAGACAATGATGTCAGATGACCTGCGTGGTGCCGACCACGTGGCCGACCTTGTGACGAAACTCGACAGTCTGGACGACTTCTTTGACGACATGTCACAGACGTCCCCCAGCGACGGGCGGTCTTCGCGCACCGTAACCGAGTTCACTGGAGACGGTTTTGAGAATGGCCCTCAACTGTACGACGAGCAGGTCTTGCCAATTCTCCAACAAGCCTCGAGCAACACATCGTTCCAGAATGGCTTCGTCGACCGACCAGTACTCCCACGCAGTGACACTGCCAACACCATGACTCCTGGCGCGTTCAACGCCGGGCTTGCCATGCGTAATGCAGCTGTGAACCGCCCGCTCATGCACTCACGCTCGGTCACTAGCCCGTCAGCACCTGCATCGTACCAGAACCAAGTCGGCGACCTCACCTCGGATGAGGAGTACACCGAGGACGTGTTCTCCGACGGCGATGAAGACCTGCGCATGGCCCATGACGGCGGGCTCCCGAGCGCGAGCAGCGCAGGCTTTGCTGTCAGCGGCACTGGTGGCTTCAGCCCGGTTCTGCCCGCCAGCGCGGGTGCCGCCAGCGACGGCGGCTCCTTCTCGTTCGAGACTATGATCAAAAACACCAAGCAGTCCACGCGGACACACATGCGCCGCCTGACGGGCGGCAAGACGCGCGAGGCCGAGCGCCAGCGGGACCTGTTCCGTACCAACAATTCCACTGGTGGGAGCATCTCCGGGGTGGCGATGGGGTCGCCGCAGGTGCCCAAGGTGCCGGACTCGTACCTCCAGCTCTCGGCCGCTGTCGCCGCCAAGCCTGCGACGCCATCCTCAGCGCCGGGGGATATGCTCTGAGTGGGGAGATCCGGAAGTGTCAGAAGGAAGAGGGAATCACATATACCCTTTGTTAAGGAATTATGGCAGTTGATTGAGCAGATGTGTGAATATTTGATGTCGACATGTATGTCTGCGAATCTGATTACGACTGACTGGTGGGTATGACAAGAGCTATATATAAGTCCTCCACGAAACAGTTCCTTGTTGAGAAGGAAGCACTAGACATGGTAGATAAAGACCTACGACGACATGCTTGGGTATTTAGAACTAGTGAAGACGCCGACATTATATAGAAACGTGGGCAGAGCCTACGAGGAACACGAATGTCAGAATATATCCACGGGAATCAGACTGATTGGAGCCGGCCTTGCAAACTCTTGGGTGTAATTGGGGTGACCCGAGAGGATGAGAGCGACTGAGTAAACGATCTCCATTTTATCAATTCTGATTTCGCGCAAACAAATAAATCGTTAGGATTCATATTCCTCAACCATGTTCTCAATATGCAAAGTGCATCATGTCGCTTGGCTTAGCCTAGAACTATATACACCTTACGATTCGCTAGAGTCTTCGGCCTCCCCCCCATCTTCTGCTACCGTCTTCTTCTTCTTTTTCTTCTTGTCTTTCTTGTCCTTCCTGCTCTTTTCTTTGTCCTTGTTCTTCTTCTTCGCCTTTTCCGTCTCCTTAACCTCGACTGCGCTTCCACTCTCCGGTGCCTCGCCCATGACAGCGTCGTCCTCGCCGTCAACAACAGCACCATCGTTGTCCTCAGCACCCATGGCCAAGATCTCAACACCACCGGCGCTCCACCCGCGGATCCTGTCCTGGTCACAAGTCTCCCACAGCCTGCGGATGACAGCCTGGTAGAGTTCGGCGTCACCGACGTCCGCCGCAGAGGCGGCCCTTTGCGTGCGGAGCCAGCTCACCGCGCCGAACCGCGTGATCAGCGTGTCGCTCCCGCCCTTGATCGTGGTGGCCCGGTATATCAGCCGCAGGACCTGCGTGCGCAGGTTGTTGCCCATGTACGGGTTGCACGCGAGGGCAAAGACGCGCTCGAAGACCTTGCGGTGGTGGAAGAGTGCCAAGTCCGCCTCGCTGCGGAGCGAGTCGACCAGGTAAGACAGGAGCCAGGAGACCTCGGTGTAGAAGGTGCCGTCCTCGCTGGGACCATCAGTGACAATGGTAGAGAGCAAGGGGATCCGATCGAGCGCCCAGGTCGGCCCGCTGGTCAGGAAGAGGTTGACTTTTTCGTAAAGCGCGTGGAGTGGGTTCTTGAGCACATCGATGGCGCGCGCGGCAAAGGACAGGATGGTGTTTGGGACTGTGCCGGCATCGACCGGATCGCCTCGGGTAGATTCGATGAGCTCCATGAGCAACAGCCACATTTGCTCGTTCTCCTCGTAGGCGGACTCTCTGATTTTCGCAGCCATCTTGGCGAGGGTGACGAGGGCTTCCTTGCGGATGCTGATGTGCTCCGAGGCAAGCAGCCAGATGACAGACACTGCATGGCCCTCTTCGACAAGCTCCTCGGGGGCCTTTGTGGACCACTTGAGCAGCGCGTTGTCTTTGATGGTTGGGATTGGAACAGACAGAATCTCGACGAGATCATCTGACCAGTGGTCAACGTTTGGAATATTACGGCTGAGGACATCTGTCTGTCCAGGACTTGCTTTCGTTGAGGGCTCGGGAGACTGGACAGATGCTGTCTTTGTGGGAACTGTGAGCTTTCTGGCAAGTTTCTCGTCTCCCAAGGCGGCAGCCCAGATGTTTCTCGTGGATGTGAGGAAAACAGCGGAAACACCGACAGCCGCTGAGTGACCCAGATATGCCGAGAGGAGTTCCACAAGTGCTTTGATGAGTTTTTTGTCCGGGGAGGAGGTGATGAAGAAGGGCAGCTGCTCTCCTATGGTGATCATGATGGGACTCGCAGCGGTATCTTCCGACGGTATGCCAGCTCTCTCCAGCTGCTCCTCAATCTTCTCGAGGTACTTGATGGGAGAACGTGCGCAACGCTCGAAGCAGTTGTCGAGGTAGCTCCAGATGCTAGCATCAACACCTTCCGCTTCCTTCAGCGCGAGCACAAGCGGCTGCAGTCCTCGTGACATTTTTGAGCTCTCAACCAACTGGTTCTCGTTGGCGACAAAGTCTAGAACATCCTGAAGTCGTGCATCGGCGAGTTCAGTCGTGCTTTCGACGTAGAGCTTGAGAAGTGTCGCAAAGGGCGATAGCTCTTTGCCAGCTGCCTTGCCGAACCATCTCATACCTGGAGAATACTTGGCAATGGTGCACAAGTGCTCCAGCTCCATTAGAGCCAGAGCCGCATCACCACCCTCATCGGCTCGGCCCTCCACCCTGTCAATGGCCGCTGAGAGAATGGGCGAGACGTCGAATTTAGCCTTGAGGGCCAACTGCGGGATGTTCTCATAATATAGAAGAATCAACCGGCTCGCAGCCTCCTTTTGTAGCAAGTCGCCCGCTCCAAGACCGCGGTACAAGGCAATAACATCTTTGACGTCAGGTATCCTTTGCTGGACATCATCAATAAGTCTTCGCGAGGCCTGCTTCCAAAGAGGTCCAGCGGTCGCACTTGCTTCTGCAAACATTTCAATGATCTTTGATAGCCTTTGCAGTACCAATACGAGTATTCGCACAGCATAGAACGAGATCAAGTTGGACTTGTTCGCTAGGCACCGAGTTATCACTTTGAGCGTGAGGGGAGCTGGTATCACGTTGCCGAGCAAGACGTGTATCGGTGGCGGCGTCCTGGCAAAGCCTTTTTGTCGGCCAAAGAAATTCGGCACCGACAGCTCCATCACATTGTATAGAAGGGCAGCGTACCCAATCCATGTCGCGGAAAGCTTAGGCTCAAATGAGAATGCCTTCTTGTGAAGGAAGTAATGCGCAACCAGCTCAGGGACGTTCTTCAAGATGGACACTAAAAGTTCGCTTTGTTTCGTGCTCGACCACGGTCTTAGGGTCTGAATGAATTCTGCGAGAAGGGAGTTTCGGACTGGGATATCGTTCTCGAAGCTCGACATCCATGGTATCGTATCTAGTCCCTGGTCCACAAACTGGTCAAAGTCGGCCAGCGGTGGCAGGGCATCGGGGTCAATGCCGTCGGGGTAGTAACCATGTTGTGAACGCACGACGCCGCCGGAAGCATCTGTGCATGCTGCAACCAAAAATCGATGAGCTGTCTCCTCCACAGTAGGTCTGTCCGGGTCTTCGTCAGATGCAGCATGGCTGTAGCCATACAACGACGATATGCGGATGAGCGACTGTGCGTTCAACAGTCGCACTTTGGCGTCTTTTGAAAGCTTTTTGTCGAGGATCACAGAAGCGCGCAGAGTGTCGAGTATTTCGTAGATGAGCGCGGGGGGGTCCTCCCGGAGATGTCTCATGAGTGCAGCAACGACATCTTTCTGCGAGAGAAGATCCTTCTTGGCTTCCACATGTATGTACTTGATTGAGCTCAAGAGAAACCGGATCGCGTTCGTTCGGATGGACGGTCGTTTCGAAGATTCGACGCCATCGCCGAGGTACCGCAGGCCTATATTGCGCGCAAGTGCTTTGAATGTGTTATTTCTGGCTCTGAATATTGGGGCCGCCAGCGTGCCGCTGTCAATGCAGACTGCCTCTCGTAGCAACCGCAGAGTCGGTGATATTATGAAGTCTTTTCCTTTATCGGCTGCGAGGTTCTTCGCGATCAGTTCCTGTTGCCGCTTTTGCAGGAGCGTACGACCAATGCCCAGGCCGTGAGCCACCAGGCCATTGTTGTTGGAGATGACCTTGAGCAGAAGCGCCAGCACGGCAGGGACCGCGGACATGACGCTCTCATTGTTGACCTGTGCCGCCATGCTCCACGCCTCCATAAGATCTGGGAGGTATATAGGGATCTCATCTTCAACCTCTCTGGGCTTCGTCGAAACGAGGTACTCGGTGACCATCTGCAGGTCGTCGGGCCTGACAGTCTCGCCCCCCGCGATGATGCGGTCGAGGATATTCTTGAACGACTGGATACCTGTGGATTTGTACAGAAAGAATCAGCGACAAGGGTTGAGTAAGTGACTGGCACAAGAGGCCTGGCGCACCGTGACGAGCCGTCTGCATGTCCTGCTCAAAGGCAAGCAGCTGGCGAAGCTGGCGTGAGTTGTAAACTTCTTCCGACGTCGGTGTATCGTGAACGTGATTCGTCTTCTGCCTCTTGCCGGCCTGGGGGCCATCGCCAATGTGGGTTTTGCGCTTCGCCATCGTTGCTGCCGTCCGTTGTTGCGCAGAATGGGGATGTGACTATTGCATGCTCGATGCGCCGCAGAGGTGAGGCGGTGCCAGGACGAATCGCCCGACCAGATGATGGGCTTGTAGAGCTCGTGGGACCTGTGAATATGTGCTGGCTAGGTCGTGGATGTTGTTGCAGCAATTCGTCGTCCTCAATCCGGCGCCGAGTCTGAAGTGTCTGGCAAAGGCTGTAGCATCATGAAAGCTGCATCTCGCCTGGTGCATAACCGGGCCCAGCAGACGAAGGGTCTCGCGCCGCAGCCCAGAAAAAAAATAGTGCCGCTAGAGACCACCTCCCCACCTATGACGCCCCATGCCCACAGGGCACTCCAGGGCTGGCGTCGATGGTTCCAGGCACCTTTGGCGGCAGCGCCCCACTCCCCACCCTTCAGCCTTTAAAGCCCGGCGCACCCTTGCCTGCGAAATCCGGCCTGTGATTGCGACCTCCACATCATCTTCGCAGCTTCCAAGCTTCTTTCCCACGACTGCCTTCCATCTGCTCGACGCCGCCGCTCTCCACACCCGTCAGAGTTCGCAACCGACGCTAGAAACACACCAACATGGGCTCCGTCGTTATTCCGCATCTCAACACCGGCTGGCATGTCGACCAGGCCATCCTGTCCGAGGAAGAGCGCCTGGTCGTGATCCGCTTCGGCCGCGACCACGACCCAGAGTGTATGCGCCAGGACGAAGTCCTCTACAAGATTGCCGACCGCGTAAAGAACTTTGCAGCCATCTATGTTTGCGATCTCGACCAGGTCCCAGACTTCAACCAGATGTATGAGCTCTACGATCGCTGCACAATCATGTTCTTCTTCCGCAACAAGCACATGATGATCGATCTGGGCACAGGCAACAACAACAAGATCAACTGGGTCCTCGAGGACAAGCAAGAGCTCATAGACATCCTCGAAACCGTCTACCGCGGTGCTAAGAAGGGGCGCGGTCTGGTTGTCAGCCCAAAGGATTACTCGACGAGATACAGATACTAAAGGGCGACTATGATTGTGGTCTTGAGGTCCTGCTCTATCGCCTCCGTAATGCTCTTCATGCGCAACGGCCACATTTTGGTGTTTTGTGACACCACCAGGACCGCCGCTCAAAGTCACAATGCAGCTCAGCATGCGCATACTGAACTGTGGGCGGGGATGGAACATCACAGCACTCCCCGCCTATCAAAATCAACCACCATTCGACTCATGAACAGCATGCAACCACGCCACACAGATGTGTTCCTTCCATTCACCTCCGCAAACAGCTCTGCCAGACGCACAAGGGGACCCGGGCTAAGGAGGAATCATTCATCTTGTCAGGGTTGGTCTCACCTACCTATTCCTCGCACGTTCACTTGTACATACCAGCTTACAATGATTGGCTCCTCACGAAATGAAACGACTATACCCCCACAAAGAAAACAACGTGTATCGATGCTGATGGTGCGCCTGCATGGAGATATCTCTCTTCGTTGATCGCACCGAGTCGCACACCAGCCGCGGGGGGCGTTCCTGTGCAAGTCGACCACTCGTCTGGGTGGGAGCATGACAGGCGCAGAGAGCGACTGTCTCTCCCGTTCTTGGTCGCTAAGTGAATGTGCCTCCTTGTAACCGATGGCTCTAAGCACAACTGCTTTGCTCCGCTTCCAGACCTGGCTCTCGTGACTGCATGGCGGACTGGCGCCTGGTACTTGAAAACAGACCTCCCTATTTCGAGGCCCTCTTAATTCGGATGACATGCCGTTGCTTTGAATTGCTCCTTTTCGGGGGAAGGAACTCCACTCTGGACCGAGGCCCTGGTGGTCATCTATCTTTCCAGTGTGCTTTATCTTTGATATATATGACATATGGTATTTTTTTCTCTTTGATAATCTCGATACTCATACAATACACATACATGTCCGCTCTTCGCACCATTTCATCAGACCTCCCTGCGCTCTATATACAGACTCTAATTCTCGATCCCCTCGTTTGCATCTCCCAACCGTCTTTCCAGATGCGTCGCGTGGCATCCCATATGATACCTCTCCCGCAGAGGATATGCTCTAAACGCTATGCTTCTATGTACAATATCTGATGGCACCACGGCATCGTACCCACCAGAGCCCGTGCGTTTCTCTTTCGCCTCGGCTCCTCGTCGTCTATCAATAAAGGGATGTTCTCCACTTTACGCGCGCGAGACGAGCAAGAACATGAGCGCAAAACTCGCCACGGCCGCGGCGGCGCCCGCGGCAGCGCCCTCGAGCGCAATCAGCGAGACGTCGCGCATCCGCAGCGTCACGACGGTCTGCATGCTCGACAGCTCGGACGCGGCAGCGCGCCAGTGCTCCGGGTCGAAGAACTCGTCCCATGACGTCGGGACGAGATTCTTGTGTAGCGAGGTAAAAGTGCTGGTGAAGGTCGCGGATGGCTGTGTTGATGAGACAAGCGCCGGGCCGGCTTGACTGTTGATGATGGCTGGCTCCTCGGGTTTTGACGCGACCTCGGCGGGGACGGCGGTGGTCTTGGTCTGCTCGACTTCGGTCACTGCCGTGGCAGGCGCCGCAACAACAGGAGCGGCAGCGGCAGCGGCAGCAGCTGCTTGTGAAGTGCCTGGTCTATGGGCCTGCATGAGCTCGCGCTCGTGCGCAAGAGCCTCGCGGACCTTCTCTTCGAAGCCCTTGACGAGCCTCTGACGCCTCCAGGGCTCGGCACCAAATTGCAGGACGAGGAATAAGAAGATGTTGACGGCCATGAGACCCCACGTTCCCCACGTACTCATGCGGCGGATCTTGTCGCTCCAGATCTGCTCTTCGTGATAGCGCGCAAGGATACCCGAGCTGAGCTCGCGGTTGAGACGCTCCGCCTCGCGCTCCGCTTCCTCGAGCGCGGCCGCATTGTCCGCCACACTGGCCTCGAGCTCGTGGTCCTGCCGATAGAGCATCGTGAAGCGTTCAAAGTCCATGGGGGTCCAGGTCTTCTGCCGGGCCAGCAGCGTCGTCACCTCGCGCTGGGTGGCGGCACGCTCGGCTACCGCCGCCTTGTACTTGAGCCGCGTGTCGTGGAGATGTTTCTGGGCCTTATCGAGGGAGTCTTCGAGCGTCGTGATGCGTTCTTTCAGCGTCTCGATGCCGGTGTAGCCGGTGAGCTCATTGATGCGCTGTGACGCGGCAAACAGCGTGGTCTGGGCGCGGTCGATGAACCTGGAGAGGGACTCGGCCACCGGAGACGTCTTTGACTGTATCGCCGACGGAAGCTTCGGGTCTTCTTCTCTTGAGGTGGTGGGTTTTACATCGGTGGCCCGTGGTGGTGTGGTCTGATTGGTACCTGACGATCCAGAATCGACAGATTCACTAACTGCCTTTGATGGAGATATCGGCTCGATAGGTTTCCTCTCCGGAATCTGCGGCTTGAGATGTTCAAAGTCGAAGTCTGTCGGCGGCGGTCGACGTGAAGCCGCTGCGCTTTCTTGTGCTCTGTCATGATTGGCTTCGACACCATGCGATGGTTGCCTGGGCGGCTGGCCAGACGAGAACAGGCACTGTTGGAGAATACCCTGCTGGACCCGAGACCGAATCAGGCTGGGCGGCGAAGGCATTGGCCTGAAATATTGCCGAACATGCCGGACTCCTGTTGACAGAGGTCTCGAGGCTTGCCTGCTAGCTAGTCGTGATATTGCCCGCTCGGAAGACGGTTTGGGCGACAGGGCCGAGGCAGGCCAGCGACTGAGCCCAGCGAAGGGTCTGCTGGCACCTGCCGCTGCCATCGGGGGCTTGACTGAAGCCGGAAGGTCGGCGGGAGGACACCTCGTCGCTGGAAGGCTCTTTGCCGTGTGGAAGCGGCGTGCGCGTGGCCGGCTCGGGGCGGGATCGAGGGGAAGCGGTTACGGAGCTAGAGGTGTGAGAATGATGAAATGTCGGCGCGCACGAGCTTGCTGCGGACAATGGGGCCCGGGTGGGGCCGGGCCGCGTCGGCCGAGCGCACCTGCAAGTGGTGCCCATACAAAAGAAATAATACCGCGGGACGGGAAGAAGAGGAGGACAACAACAGGCACCTGCCCGCCAATCACGGAGCAGCGACATTTCAACAATCCCAAGCTGGTTCCCGAGCTTGAGATGATTGGTTGCAAGCCGCATCTCAACACATCCAGTACCCGAACGACTCGCATGCCCCAATTGTGTGGGGTTGTCTGACGTCCTCTAGATACGTACTGGACCGCACTAGGTCTTACAACAAGACATGCTTCCTCCGTTATCAAGATGCCACATGGTGGCCACCTGCGCAGGCGTAGGTCGTGTGTTCAGGATGACGACGTACACCAGTTGATGGATGACCCCATGACTGGGCGATGGTGTGCCGTTGAGCGCGGCCCCTGAGGCAAGGCCTGCAAGGGCGACTAGCGCACTCGAGTAGTTTGTCCTACACGCAGAACAGGCAAAGCATGATAACGTAGCACAATGCCGGCGCATAGATGGAGATAACAATCTATGGGCATTGTTTGGCGGAAGAAAAGGGGCACGTTATGAACTCGCTCTATCGTATCAGCACTAATCTGGCGTGGCCTCGTCAGTGCCAACCACTAACACCATGCACGCAGCAATAGTACCATAAGGCAGCCATCGGCCCCTGTAGTACGCGCACATTTGAGACACCATCGGCTGCACCCGGCTGATTGATTGCCTGCCCTACGACAACTGCGCCCACCAGAGAGGTCTGTCCGTACCCCGTGGGACAGGTAGGGCATAGCAGTAGCGCCAGGCTGCGGGGCCCTAGCCGAGTTGCGCCTGACGGGGAGGTCGGCTCTTGGCTGCAAGGACCTTGCTGCAGGAGGCGTCGCTGCCAAGAGCGACGGGTCGTTCGCCCATCCCAATGTACCAACACGGTCCAACACTGACCTGCTTCTGGTATTCGGGGCTCTGGTGGTTTGCGCCTGCGGCTGGGCCAGCCACGACACTAATTGCGGCCTACTGATGCCTAAAGTCCAATGCTGGCAGTCTCGTGACTATGTCCTGCCTCTTGGCAGTGCTGACTCTATATTGGCGGAGCCTAACAACACACGCCAGGTAGCCTCTGGGTGCTGGCGCCATGTCTCAAATCCAAAGTGTTGGTTCTTGTACGCGCCAAGACCTGTGGCAACGGGTACTCTGTCAGGATGTAAAACAAGTCGAAGATTGCGATGTGGGGGGACACCGTTGCTCGGGCGTCCTCTAGCTAGGTGAGTGGCTCCTCTGACCTGATGTCCAGAGGCCACGATGTCCCAGTGGCTTCTTGGCGGCTGCGATGCTTCTTTGGCGGGTTACAATCAGGAAGCGTGGTCTCGTCGTAGAGCTTGCCTGGCCTGGTCCGGCGAACGGTGCCGTCCAAGGGCTACGTGGAAGGGACCTGAGCGTATCTTTTGCTGACTCGGGCTGTTTGGAGGAAATTTGTTTGTCCTGCGACAGCCGTCGTCATTGCATTTGTGTGGGTGAGGGTGCCATGGCGAGTGCTCTGGCTGTTCGCGTGCGTATGGGTGTGTGTGTTCGTGTGTGTGTGTGTGCCTCTCTCTCTATCGCTCTCTCGCGCGCTCTTGGCTGCCCATTAATTAGTACCTTAGGTACTACTACCTTCCTGCAGTGAGCCGGGGGAGCTCCTTGCCAACGCCAAGAGCTGCTGGGCGGGACCCCTCAAACTCCAACCTGGTTGCTGCAGTGGCCGGGTACGCGCGCAACCACCCCTGCCTCGTCCTCGATAGACCCCCGTCACCCCAGCCTCGGCGCTCGGCCTGCCTGCCATCTCCAAGACTCCAAGAAAACACCAAGACCACCCGTGCTGCTCGAGGCGTACACCCTTCTCTTCAGCTGATACATCTCCCAAGCCCTTTCTCTGCATTCCCTCCCTCTCGCGGGCTTTCTTGTACGCTGCGTAAGTGTCCCATCCCCCCTTGTCTTTTCTCCCCAACGCCTCTCCGGCCCCGTCCAATACCCCAGCTGTCTCGGAGCTTCCTGGCTTCTCCATTTTTACTCGCCAGCAGGCAACCCTGTTCCCTTTCTACTTTGCTTGTCTCCTCACCATCCAACTGACCCGTCCATCCCTTCCCTCTCTCCGATCAACAGCATACATCCTCACAGTCGAGAAGCACCAAAGATCGAGCGTCAGTGCATGGCCCATCAGCCAGTCTGGTAGCTCCAAGTACGTCATTCCCTTACCCAACAGAGCTGTTGCTTCGCCCTCCCGAGCTTTCCACGCAGGCGCGTCGTGTCATCAACCTTGCACATGCTTGGACAGCAATATTGCTAGGTCCCAGTGCGGAACTTTGCAGATTCACAGAAGCTGACACTTGCAACTCTTGCAGCAGTAAACCATCCTCTCGAGAAGACGAGGCCGCCTTGTCCACCCTATCTCCCCATCTCCCTGATCTTCTCGCGTCGAGACTCGACGCACACCAGCAAACATGGTCAAGAACGCCGATTGGAGGGAGTCGAAGCTGAGGACTCAGGTCCTTCAGGCCAGAATGTCTGCCAGGGGCCCTTTCTCCATCGAGAGCCCCGGTGCTGAAGACGTCGAGGGCGAGACCAAACCCCGCCGGCACCCTCTCGCTGCCGAGGGTCTCATCACTAAGCCGGCCGACAACATGACGACCGCCTACGAGCTTCTGCGCGCCACAGTCGCCAAGTATGGCAACGCCAAGGCCGTCGGCTCGCGTCGTCTTGTGCGCACACACCAGGAGACCAAGAAGATCAAGAAGATGGTTGAGGGAGTCGAGCAGGAGGTCGACAAGAATTGGACCTTCTTCGAGCTCAGCCCCTACGAGTACCTCAATTACAACGAGTTTGAGAAGCAGGTCCTCAACCTCGGATCGGGTCTGCGCAAGCTCGGCATGAGCCAGGGCGACCGCGTGCACATCTTCGCCGCCACCAGTGCCAACTGGCTTGCCATGTTCCACGGTGCCGCCTCGCAGAGCATGCCCGTCGTCACTGCTTACGACACTCTTGGCCAGGAGGGTCTCAGGCATTCCATGGTCGCCACCGGCGCCAAGGCAATTTTCCTCGACCCTCACCTTCTTCCTACGCTTGGTAACGTGCTCAGCGATGCCAAGGAAGTGCGCCACGTTATCTGGAACAGCCATAACCAGGTGAACCAGAAGTACATTGACAGCCTGAAGAGCTCTTTCCCCCACCTCACTGTCCTGAGCTTCAAGGAGCTTGAACAACTTGGGGATGACAACAGTGCTGAGCCGACCCCGCCGACGCCTGAGGACCTCTGCTGTATCATGTACACTTCAGGATCTACTGGCACTCCCAAGGGTGTACCTCTGAAGCACAAGGCTCTGATTGCCGCAGGTAGGCAGTAATCTCTCCTTGGGCCCATTCCTTAACTGACATTTCTTCTTTCATAGTCACTGGCGTCAGTGTTGTCGTTCAGCCATTCCTTGGCCCTGGCGATAGCGTACTGACCTATCTCCCACTTGCACACATCCTGGAGCTGGTCTTTGAGAATGCAGCTCTGTACTGGGGCGCGACACTCGGCTACGGAAACCCAAAGACCCTTTCCGACTCGTCAGTCAGAAACTGTGCTGGCGATATTCGCGAGTTTAAGCCGTCGGTGCTGGTCGGTGTCCCAGCAGTGTTCGAATCTGTCAAGAAGGGTATCCTCGCCAAGGTCGCGGCCGGCAGCCCTATGGTACAGAACATGTTCTGGAGTGGACTCAGCCTCAAAGGCAAGCTCCTCGCCGCTGGCCTCCCGGGCACAGGCGTTCTCGACTCGATTGTGTTCAAGAAGATCAAGGAGGCGACTGGTGGCAGGCTGAAGCTCTGCATGAATGGTGGCGGCCCCGTCGCCAAGGAGACCCAGCGCTTCATCTCGCTGGCTATTGCTCCCATGATTATTGGCTACGGCCTGACCGAGACCAGCGCCATGGGCACGCTCATGAACCCCTCTGAGTGGACGTCCGAGTCTATCGGCGCCATGCCTGCTTCGATTGAGGTCAAGCTCGTCGACTTCCCCGATGCGGGCTACTTCGCGACCAACAAGCCCAACCCTCAGGGCGAGATCTGGATCCGTGGCGACTCTGTGATGGAGGAGTATTACGAGAATGAGGAGGAGACCGCTGCTGCCAAGGCACCTGGCGGCTGGTTCCGGACGGGCGATGTCGGCGAGTTTGACAAGAACGGACACCTCAAGATTATTGATCGCAAGAAGAACCTGGTCAAGACGGCCAATGGCGAATACATTGCCCTGGAGAAGCTCGAATCCGTCTACCGGTCTGCCGCCGTGGTCGGAAACATTTGCGTGTACGCGGACCAGTCCAAGGCCAAGCCCATTGCCATCATTGTTCCCCTCGAGCCAGCTCTCAAGAAGCTTGCCGAGGAGAACGGCATCGCCGGCAATGGAATTGACGACCTTGTGCACGACAAGAAGCTGCGCAGCGTTGTGCTCAAGGAGCTGCAGAACGCCGGTCGGGCTGGTGGCCTTTCTGGAATCGAGATTATTGAAGGTGTTGTGCTGTCTGATGAGGAGTGGACTCCTGAGAACGTAAGTCATCCCCACGAGGTCTGGTTTTGTCTGCTGCACGATACAAGTATGATGTATGCTAATGGGTTTCTCTCTGCAGGGCCTTGTGACTGCTGCCCAGAAGCTGAACCGCAAGGGTCTCCTTGCCAAGTTCGACAAGGAGGTCAAGGAGGCGTACGGCACATCGAGCTAGACGGCAAAGGTCTAGTCCAGGTTGCGCTGCGCATGGGAAGGTTGCCCGGGAGCTGGTGTACAACACGTGTCTGTTTGCAATTGCTGTTTTCTTGTGTTTTTCCATTGAATTGATTCCCTCCAAAGGTTCTGCGACGACTCTTTGCGGTCGCGAGTAGCATAGTCAATGAGTATTTCCAAAAACTTGTGTGTCTCGCTCGCGTGCAATGGGCACGGCCTTATCCGGCCTGGACACCTCATGCTCGGAACCATCTCCGGGCGCTTATCTACCAAGGGATTCGGGGGGCTGAGATCTGCGCTGACGGTTCCACGCCAGACCCCTGGCCCAGAAATACTACCAGCCCTACTCTCTGGGACGTAATTCGCCGCCTAAGAACGGATGGTCAGACGACGTGGGAAGGGGCGTAATTGGAGGTTACGCTGGCATGGGATGGGCGACTGGTGATGGCCTTGCTCTTTGTCTTTTGTACCCTCGACTGCCAACCGCTAGCTTGCTTGCCCCTGCCCGTTGTGTTGCCGAGAGTCCAGTAAACAAGTGAGATGGCCCCGAGAGGGCAGGGTCCTGCTGGTGAAAGTCAAAAGTAAGTATGGTCATCCTCGCAGTAATTGTTGCATGGCATGCACGAGGTGCCTTGCATAAATGGGTTCTGATGCGCCGGTGTGATCGACCAGAATCTGGGACAATCCCCTGCGCGTGGGATCTGCCCCTCCCCTCCTCCTCCACAAACGTGCACGCGTGTCTCTCGAGACGCCCCTCCCTCACTTGCGCCACCAGCACGCGCCCCTCACAGCAGGGCAGCAGCCCATCAGCATCAGCATCAGCATCATCGTCATCATTGCCCTCGTCGTCCCAACCCGCCCACCTACATACGTACGTACCTGGTTACGCACCGATCCTGCTTAGCCCCCACTCCGGACGGGGTGGCATCTGCGCACCCGCCCACTCACAATCTCGAAGGCGCCAGCTCACTGGCACAGGATGGTGCGCTGCCTGGATTCACACCAATCAGGGCCAAAGGCGACCTCCATCCAGTCGACATACATACCAAGCATCAGCACCGGCCGCTCGAGAGAGCTTGTCTTCCTTGACTTGTGAACCGCAGCGGACAGGCAATCCAGCCCTGGTCGCCCCCGCTGTGACGAGACAGCCTAGCTCTACGTGAATTAAGGTGGCATGCCACCCCGGGTACCAGAGCCTGCTGTCCCGCCCTGCCCGTCAAACGCAGCAGAGCAGAGTCGAGTCTGGCCTGGTCCCCAGCCAGCCAGTGGCCGCCGCCGCCTCCTTCCTGCCTAGCAACAACAACCCTTGCTCTTGCAGTCGTCGGCCGCCCTCCCCTCACTTGCTCGCGCCACTCTAATCCCACCACCACCACCACCACCACCAACACACGCTGACGAGCTCCTCGCTGTCTCCTACATCCTTTTTCCCGGGGCATCCACTCACGCAACCACCCCACGACTGCGCGCGCAGCCACCCGCCTTGTTCGCACGCGCTGTACCACTGCAGGCAAGACACTTGACGTCGCCATTCCGAGGACACAAGGCTGCTCCGGCATCGACGACGATTGCTCCTCGGCAACGACAAGGCCAAGCACATCTGCTCCGCTCTGCGACGACCGGCAGTCCTCTGCGCAAGATCCACTCCGGCCTTTCCGCTAGCCAGCCCAGCCCAGGCAGGTTGCTTGTGCGAGTGACGACATTAGCTGCGATCGCAATAACCCCGACAACAACACAACTACTTCTCCCCCCAAACGCCGCATCGGCGCCGCCGCTCAAGCCGAGCCAAGCACACCTCCCGCCCTATCATCATGGGCAAATCGTGAGTCTCGACACTCTGGCGTCTCTTTCTGATGCACCAGTCACAGCAGAAGCAACCACATACTCTCGTTAGAGCGCGGTCTGCAAGACAAGACTGCTCTGCTTGAAGTCGTCCTCCTATGCCGTCTCCTCGCACAGGGCCCCGCTTAGATATCAATCTGGACTGACGAATCCTGGCTCGCAGGCAGTCCAAGCTCTCTCAAGAGCAACTATCAGAGCTCCAAAAGTCCACGCACTTTGACAAGAAGGAGTTGCAGCAGTGGTACAAGGGTGAGAAGGGTCCTAGGCAGTTTGCGATTCTCAGTCACAAGTCGTCGTCTGCACCTGGAGCTAACGGCACCACTTGTGACACAATCTAGGCTTCCTAAAGGACTGCCCGTCGGGTATGCTCACCAAGGAGGAGTTCCAGAAGATCTATCGGCAATTCTTCCCGTTTGGCGATCCGTCGTCATTCGCCGACTATGTCTTCAATGTTTTCGACTCGGATAGATCAGGCTCGATCGATTTCAAGGAGTTCATCTGCGCGCTAAGCGTGACGAGCCGAGGCAAGATGGAGGACAAGCTCGACTGGGCGTTCCAGCTGTATGATATCGATGGCGACGGCAAGATCAGCTATGATGAGATGCTCAAGATTGTTGAGGCGATCTACAAGATGGTAAGGATCGATACTGAATCCAAGACACTGGGAGTCGCGCATGAGACTATGTGGTGTTATATTAGAGAGAGTCAACATACTGACCACTTCTGCACGGCAGGTCGGTTCAATGGTGAAGCTGCCAGAGGATGAAGATACCCCCGAGAAGCGTGTCAGGAAAATCTTCCGCATGATGGACAAGGATGAGAACGGCAGCCTTGATATCGAGGAGTTCAAGGAAGGCAGCAAGCGCGACGAGACTATCGTGTCGGCATTGTCACTGTACGATGGACTGGTCTGAGCCAGGCGTCTGCGGTCGGTGATCGGAAACCAGGATTGGGAGTCAGAACAACTTAGGCATGGACAGCGAGCGAATGGAAGGATACGATGAAATGGGACCGCTTCTTATCAGCAGTCATATCAAGCAGAAATTACAATATTTCCATCTGATCCGGAAAGCGTACACTCGTTGGCCGTGGGCTAGCGCACATAACGTCATGAGGTCCCAGCCGGCCGTCACCAGGCATACCAGAATGTTATTACTTACCCCTGAGGCGAACAGAACCACAACCGCCACGACAACCACCACCATCAACAAAAATCCCAGCCTATCGGCATCAACACTTCAAGGATTAATTACAGCTGTACAAAAGGCCCGACCCTGGGAGGCTACGCCACTGGCGAATCACCCGGTGTGCAAAACCATATCGGTCCGGTATCCAGGTAAGAAAATGAAAGAGAAGGACAACGGGGACACCAAGGACTGACCACCACTGACACGAGAGAGAGAGAGAGAGAGAGAGAGAGAGACAGACAGACGGACGGACTCGCATGGCTGAAAAAAAACAAAAACAAAGCAGTAATGAATGATGATGCAATGCATGATAAAATGGATGAGTATGCTCGTCGCTTAAAAAGATAAACAAAAGATGTACACAAACATGGACATGGGATGATCCTCCTCCTCCAGTAGTAGTAAGAGGCTACTTTAAATACAATTATTGATGATTCCGTTGCGCTCGTCTCGTCATGTGATTTTTCTTTCTCTCAATTCCCTGATGATGCCTGCCTGCCTGCCTCCCCGCTCTCTCTAGGGCTGGCGGGCCGTTGTTGCTCTCTCGCTCGCTCGTTCACTGTCATCTCTTGTGGACTTCCACAACCCCCACAGCCACGCACACGAGACAGCTCTACCCAACGACGGCCTTCATGCTCAGACTCTCGAGGAATCCGCTCAGGTCCTCCTTGCGCACCTCGACGACGCAGTGCTCAAAGCTGTCAATGCGCACCCGCGCGCCCGTCTCGGCGGTGACGTCCTGGAACGCCACGCCAAACTTGTTCATGCCGTACCCGCGACGGCTCCGCGCCTCCATATCGTCGTCGTCTTCGTCAGAGTCCGATTCCGAGTCGCTACCTTCAGACTCTGTGTCGTCCTCATCCTCATCATCTTCGTCATGGCCAGCTGCGCGCCTGGCAGCCCGCTCCTCCTCCTTGATCTTCTCCTTGTTCTTGCGCCGGAGCTCGCGTTCTTTGGCTCTGGCCTCCTTGGCGGCACGCTTCTCCTTCTGGACTTCCCGGTCAAGGAAGCTCGTATCTGGACCACCGCCACCGCCGGTGCCGACGACCACGTACACGCCACGCTTCTCGTTCAGGCTGGCGACCACGAGGGGTGTTCCGCGCCCACCATGAGCCAGCTTGCCTGCAGCATCCTTCTCTTGTTCCGCAAGGGCCTCGCCAATCCAGAGTGCAAGCTTGGTGAGCGCTGCTGGGTGGGTGAAGAGGGGCACGTCAGGGCCATCTTTGATGACACACATGCGAAATGCGTGCAAGTGCTTGATTTGCCGCTTGCCGATAAGAGAGGTACCGGTGCGGAATATGGCGCGGTGGAGATATTGGGCAGTCGGAAGGCCAGCTTTCAAAGAGTCGATACTGTTTCTTACAGTCAGTCATTCGGTCTCATCCTGACCAGGGCTGGCACACATGGGGGGTCTTCTTACTCTTCGAGGGCATCATATGCCTCCCAGAAACGGCTGACCCATTCTTCCGACTCGGCTGCGCTCGAGTCTTCTTCATCCTCCTGAGTTGGAACCGATCTTATCCTGCCATCCTCGACAATCGTGGCTGGCGATTTGCCCACTTCGAGTAGAGCGCCGATCACAACGCCAACGTCCTGCGCGCTCAGCGTGGCTCTCCATCCCCAGCTCCGCACGAAACCCCAGCCATCTTTGGCGCCGCCTCTGTCCCTAGCATCCGTCTCTGCGGCTGGTACCATGTCGTCGAGGTTATACAGCGAAGCATATTTGAGTAGTTTTGTCCGCAGTTCCTTCTTCAGTACCATATCCATATGTGTATAGCTCTGTTTGCACTGGACAAGACTGACTCCCATCTTTGCGAGAAGTTTGTGAAGGCGCTTCATGCCGCTATCACTCCATATGCGCAAACGCGAGAAGAGATATGGGGAGTGGAGCATGCTGTCGTAAAGACTCCAATGCCGTATGAGGAGAAACTTTGGCTCAGGAGATAGCCGAATGCTGGTGTCTTCTGGGCTGCGTCCGGTGGTTGGTATTATTCCAGCACTCTCCGCAGATGACATCACTTTGCCCGCCCCGGAGCCGATCTCTGGAGGATTTAGTCGTCGTACTTCGTCTCGTAAGAGCTGTCTCATCCGACTGCCACGAACACCCATCCAGCCATTGGCGACTCGAGAATCCGAGCTGCGGCTCGAGATAGCGAGGCCCGCCGATGATCGACCGTACAACTCCGTCGAGGTCACTCCCACAATGGTCAGCCAGAGCAGATCATTGTCTTCTCGGCCGAGCTCGGATGCGAGCCAATACATCATCGCACTGACCGGCTCCGAGTACGAGGCTCCCATCCGGTAGTACTTTTCGAGGATTGTCCGGTTCGTTATGCGCATGCGCTGTAACCTTCTCCGCAACGCCCGCGCTGATGGACCCCGAGGCGGCTGTGCGGCAGATGGTGTCTCCTCGGCATCTCCAGACAGAGCAGTGGCCGGCTCCTGAAGGTGAATGAGCCCCCTTTGCGGTGGCCTGCGGGCTGGTTCAGGAATGGGGGTTGACTGTGTGGAATCTATTAGCAACTCCACTTTGTGTACAGCTTCTGCGCGGCAGCTTACAGAATTACTTCTCCTTCGTTGTCTGGGCCGGTCATCATCCTCGTCACTGCTCTCGTCGCGATCTGACCATGACTTCCGTTTCTGCCCCGGCAATGGCTTGACTACATCCTTCTCGGCTTCTTCGTCATCATCTTCTTCTTCTCCTTCGGTATCGTCATCAAAGGCCCCTTCATCATCACCTTCGATCTCTGGCATGTCGAGAAGCGCGAGGTACGCATCCCGCTCAGCGTTGAGACTCTCCTGTATATCCCCGTCATCGAATACGATGATGCCCCCCCGACCAGGCTTGTAAGACCGTCCGATACATCCTCCCACGACGCCATCGGGTGCGCGAGTCTGCAGAGCGGATGAGCCTTCCACCTCGGGCTCTGGCGTGTAGCCTCCGAAGACATTGTGCAGATCCCACGGCCGCCTGGAGTCAATGACCCAGACTTCCACACCGCCAAAGTCCAATGGCTCGTCTTCAGACTCAAAACCAAGCGAGGTTCCCAGATCAATCATGCCGCCCACGCCGAGGCACACGACTACTCCGCCGCTGCCACCTTTTGTTTCCCTCATGGGGCCTACGAGCTCCTGCCCGGCACGAGCGAGGTCCGCATAGCCGGCGACAGGATGTATCTTGTGCGGGATGTAGTCATGCTTGAGCAGGCGAGTGAGTATGCGGCAGGCACACAGGGAGTCAGGCTCGAGGGCTGTCAGGATGAGGACTGGCGGCGAAAGCGGGTGTCGTGTGTTCTGGAGGTGGATGTAGAGCTTCGTGATGAGGTCGCGTGGTAGATACATGATGAGAGATCTACGGACGCGTGTTCCCCATAGACGGTGGTGGCTTCATGAAGGACTGGCGCTCGAACTAGAAGTTGTCTCGTTCCGAGGATATGACAGACCCCCGCGACGAGGATCGCAGTCGGTGTAAGTGAGCCCTGGGCAGGTGGAAAGTATGCTCGCTATGTTGTTGCTTGGCGATTGGGACTCTGTGGCTAGTTGCTGTTGTCCCTCGAAGGTGCTCGTCTTGCCGCCAACCCGAGAAGGGAGAGAGATGTGCTGCTTCGCTTTGGAAAGGTGTTGTGTGGGAGCTGGCGGTGGGCGTGCGTGGGCGGAGCGGGACAGAGGAAGCACTCAAAGTGGTGTAAGCGGGTGTTTATGGCGTGGCGCGCCTGGCGGGCGCACGACGCGTGCTGGCAGGGCCAAGTACCTCATAGAGTGGTGCATGCATGTACCTGCGCGTAGCAAATCAATTAACGGCCGCTCCCGCATGGGTGGTACGCACCACGCCCAAGCGCGGCACTGTGGGCTCGCACTTTTATGCAAGCTGGACAGGGATGGTTAATCCAGTGCGTACATTGCACAAGGGCGCGGGTTCACAACTGTCGTCCTCTTAAGAGATACAAGGCACTGAACCCTCTCGTCGTCAACTCTACGGCAGCCACCACTGACGGCACCAGTGACGAGACGCGGCACGATGCTGCCGCTCGAGGATCGTCTGCCATGAGCAACACTGCTGCCGAAAGCGCACAGCTCCTCCAGCACTGTCAAGACGCGATAGCGAGCATCCAAGACGAATGCAAAGCAGCATTCTTGGTCGAGACAGCCAGCCCAGCTGATGGTCTGGCGGGCTGTGGACATGCTCTCGTCCATCTGCTTGGTAGATTGGCGGATCGACTACAAGTGCGATTCGCCACGTCCACCAGCGATTCAAGAGGTACCGGCGTCCTGGACAGACTCAACGATGTGCTTTCCATCACCTATGCCAAATTCTACGCCTTCCTGTACAAGGATCTACCCTCGTGCTGGCGCCAGCTTTACACAGATGCCAGCATACTCAAGTTCTGCTACCTGCTTGCTCAGTCCGGCCTCGGGTGTCTTGAAGTTCTCTTCCCCTCTGCCCAGCCGCCGGGAGTCGTAGTTGATAGGTCCGAGCTCAAGGAGCTCGTCAGGGTTCTTGACCTCGCGCTGGTGCTGGCTGGGGGTGCGGGCCAGAAGCGAGGCCGGCCATGGATTGACAGAGCTCTTGACCTGTTGTATCTTCATCACAAGAGATCTCTAGCAGCTCTACAGCTTTGTGAGGGACCACCGGCCAAGCGAGTCAAGACGTCCACGGATCGCGATGAAAGCCGCATGCCGAAGACGTTCTCGGCCCATGAGCCGTTTACTCCAGAGGTGCAGCATCCAATCGAGACTGTAAAGAATTTGACCATGGAAGATTTCCAAGCCCGCTTAGACAAAACAAGGAACACCACGCCAGGTCCAACGCCGCTTGTGATCCGTGAGTCCATCGAGAGCTGGCCAGCGAGGTCGTCCCGAGCGTGGAGCCAGCCGGACACTCTGTTGACTGCAACCTTTGACGGTCTCCGTCTCGTACCAGTCGAGATTGGGCGCAGCTATGTGGACGACGGCTGGGGCCAGAAGTTGATCACCTTTGCCGAGTTCATACAGGACTACATAGACCCGTCTGTACAATGTAGTGACTCGACGACCCGCCATCCCAGTCCCGAGAACCACGCAGGCCGCCCAGCTGCTGAGGTCAGCGTTTCCAACCGTGTCGGCTATCTCGCCCAACACCCTCTCTTCACCCAGCTGCCCTCGCTAAGGAACGACATCCTCATCCCAGACTACTGCTACACAGCTCCTCCACTGCACCCGACAGACCCGACCATGGACCAGCCAGAGCTCGAAGGGCCCCTTCTCAACGCGTGGTTTGGGCCACCCGGGACCATCACGCCGTTGCACACAGATCCTTACCACAATGTCCTCGCGCAGGTTGTGGGGCGCAAGTACGTCCGCCTGTATTCTCCACTGGAGACAGATCGCATGAGGGGCCGCGGGAAGGAGAATGGCGTGGAAATGGGCAATACGAGTCTCGTTGACATTGGTGTGCTCGAAGGGTGGGATAGCGCCGCCGAAGAAGACACAGGTGATGAGCAGGCACAGCGGGACTTGGCGGCGTTTAGGGAAATCCCTTTCGTAGATTGCATTCTGGAGCCGGGCGATGTCTTGTATATCCCTATTGGCTGGTGGCATTACGTCAGGGGATTGAGTGTGAGCTTCAGCGTCAGCTTCTGGTGGAATTGAGCGAGGTGGTGAGGATTTGCGGGACGGGCAAACGGTATCAGGACAGTTGTTCATCAGTAAAAGTCCAGTCGCATTTACTATGGCCATAGAAGAATATATTTGAACTTCAATAATTTTATTCATTTATCATTCACATATCATTTCGTTTGTCTGCAGCTTTGGGGGGGGGGGGGCAGTTTTAATCACAGTATGCTATTAATTTCAGATATCCTTGACATAATCCTCGTGGTTCCCATCCACATCAGGGGGATTTATCCCATCCTCAAGAGCCTTGACATATAAGTGTCCCGTGCGATATTCCTCATCAATCTGCATAATCTTGGCTTGTAGGCTGATTCTCACACGCTCGTTGTGTTGTCTGTCATGGCGCATGTCTTCGCCATCCACACCCCCGTTCCGCCGCAAATGCCTTTTGCGAGACTCCTGCGTCTCCACAAGCAGACTCGCAACGGGAGGCTCGTCAGGATCCTCGTCGAGGAGCTCAAAGATACGGGTCTCGCCGGTGGCCCAGTCCGTCAGTTTGGGTGGACTGCTGTTCAGGTGTTCCTCAGTCAGCCCCGTGGTCTGCGTCATGTAGTTGACGAACCCCCCGTGACCGAAGACGAGGATCGCCGGGGTCGGCCGGTCGTCGTCCTCCACGTATGCGGCCCTCCCAATCATTATGAGCATCTTGACTGCTTCCTGTCCGCGCTGGACGAGGTTCTCCGGGTGCCAGAGGCCGTGCTTGAGATGCCATGGCTTGTTGTTGTTGTTGTTGCTGTTGTCTCTGTCGTTTACGCCTGCCGGATTGCCTCCTCGTGGGTGCGTAGTGTCTGCCTTGCGAGCGGCGGCGGCGAGCTTGCCGAACGTCGTGCCCACGAGCAACGCGTCTTCCGGCACGGGCTGCACGAGCTGCTCCAGGTTGAAGTCGTCCAGGCCGCCAAGAGGGAGCGTGATACCAGGCTTCCCCCGCAGCTCCTTGTCCACGAGCCGTCTCAGGTGGCCGAGCGGTCTCGTCCGGTCAGAGAACCACGTCGTCTGCTCGGCGATGAGCGGCGAGATGGTGATGCCAGACCTGTTGTTCAGCCTCTCGGCCGGGAGCGCGATGATGGCGGTCTGGATCGCCCTCGACAGGCTCGAGATGACGACGGGACTGTCAGTGGTGACATGGGAGATGTCGGGGTTGTCGAACATGTCCTGATACTCTGCTCGCGTCTTGCTGGAGCAGTAGTCGCGGCCAGACATCTCGGCCTTGGACCAGGCTGCCCTTGTCTTGTCGGTAGTCAGCAAGGGGTCCATCTTGCTGACGGCAGAGTTGTCTGGGACGTTGGACTCGGACTCTCCATGGCGTGTGAAGATGACCCTGTAAGTTCGTGACTTGTTTCGTCCCGGTGCCATTTCTTTGTGACTCGGCTGCATAGGCTCTCCGACGGCATGGACTTGCAAAGCTGTTATGGCTGAAGGGAGAAGCAGGATCCTTGCTGCCCTCTGTGCGAATTTAGCAGGACACAACTTTTGACGAACCAGTAATGGGCACTCCTTTTTCAATTTCTACACGGGTGCTCATGGCTGTGAGCCAATCTGCTAGCTCGCAGAGCAGCTCTTTACGTATCTGGCATGCTCTGGGCACAATGGCATAGACTGGTCGTTGTGCTTGTGTTACCAACACCCCACAAAGCTAGTTTGCTTAAGAGCAGCCAGAGAGGCAGAGACATCCATGCATCTCAAGATGCATCCTACAGTCTTGCTGCCACTAGTGGCACGAGCAAAAGGATGCCCCATGCATGTACGCGCAAGAGCCCGCCGCATCGGTCTGCACCCCATGCATCGTCCTCTGTCAAGCATTGGCTGCTCGGAAACCGAACGTCGTATGTGCTCCGCTAAGACCAAGGCCCCGGATACCCCAGATATGAGCTTTGTCTGCGCCAGGAAGGCCGCCGTGCAGCCGGTGTGTCCATTCCTAGCCATGTGGGCGTGAAAGAAGAGTCGAGCTGAACAGCTTGGCCGTAGTGCGCATATAATGCCGCTCAGGAGGACAGGAAGAATGGAAGGTCGCAGCGGGATGCACACCAGGATCATGCATCCCGCAAGCCGAAACGGTGAAGAAGAGCTAGGGTGGACAGAGTCTCGGCACCAGAAAGTTGGAGACCGGCTCGTCTCCAACGTCGAGTACTGGAAGGTCAGACGAGGACAATGTGAGCAGCAGCCGTCCCTATTGAACCTCGAGCGATGCTGCAGAAGCTCACCGGCCTGCACTTACATGCTCCCTCGAGGCCAATCGGCGTGCGCCGTTCGGCTGGTCTGTGTTTCGGTGGCATGCTGCTTGCTGTTGACCGGCTCGGTCCGCCACTGGGCAAACATTCTTGGAGGAGGGAACTTTGACCCCTGAGCCCTGCTGTCTCTCCGGTTTCCTGGTATGCGGGTTCGGCCCCGCCACCCTGCGTTATCAGTCACGAGTCGAGGTTGTCGGTGAGCCAGCGTCACAAACCAAGCGCAAAATACACATCTCGTCAGGTCACTATGAGTCTAGTCCGCAGCTTTCGTGGCCCAGAACCAAAAGAGGCTTGGCTGCCTTGCACGAAGAGACACACCTGGTATATTATGATACGAAGGCCTTGCTGGTGCTGTACATTTATCCCCACGTACCACCGCCACCTCCTCCGCGCCCCTTTCCACGTTGTGCGCTGAGACGCCAGTCGTCCTCCCCTGCAAACTTGTTGTGTAGCGGCACGATGCGCTCCGCCTTTTTACGCTTGCTGAGGGTGTTGCTTGGCACCATCTTGAAGAATGTCGGCGCCACCTCTGTCAGCCACTTGGGCTCAATCGCCGTCGTGTAATGCATGTACTCCTTGCTGGTAAGTACCAGCTCATGGTAGATGACCCATTCCGCTTGCTTGCCAAACAGTGCCGAGCTGGGATGCAGGTACACCGGTGTGCCCTCGATTTGCGTCTTGTAGCCCTCGTGCGGGTCCTTGCGCGCCGTGTTTCGGAAAAAGCCAGAGCACAGGGCACGGCGAACTTTGGTCGTGTCATTGCCGCAAGACGCAATAGAATGCCGGTACCGGCTCATGATCTTGATCAGCTGCTCGCGCACATCCTTGGCCCTCTTCATCGAGCGCGCCTGGATAAAGTTTTCCTGACACCAAGCTTGCGAGTAGCCGCTGCGCTTCCATCCATTGTACACGTTCACCAACGTCAAGTGGTCTCCACTGGGGTCGTGGAATTTCGCTTTCTTCTGGTCGGCCTGGTTTTGCTTGTCTTTTGGTCGGTAGAAGATCTGGGTCAGCGTCAACATGGCCACAATCGATAATACTTCGTCGGAGCAACCCATGTCAACAGAGGCAATAACCACTTTCGCGAGTGACGGGTCCATGGGGAAATCAGCCATCTTCCGCCCTAATCGAGTCAACAAGCCTTCGTCGTCCAGCGCCGCCAGGGCATAGAGCTCTTCGAGGGCAGTAAGCATTGTATTAGTGGGCGGTGGGTCCATGAAGTCGAAATGAAGAAGGTCGTTGATGCCCATGGCTTTGAGCATGAGAATCGTATTTGATAGGTTTTGTCTCTGGATTTCGGGTATCGTGGTGGGCAACATCTCGGTCTGGAATGCTGCCTCTGTGTATAGCCGGAAACACTTTCCGGGCCCCGTTCGTCCAGCACGGCCAGCGCGCTGGTTTGCCTGGGCTTGACTGATGGGTGTCACAATGAGCGAGTCCATGCCGAGCTTGGGGTCGTAGGCATTCTGCTTGACAAAGCCTGGATCGACGACGTAGTAGATATGGTCGATCGTAATAGATGTTTCCGCGATATTTGTAGCGATGACAACTTTTCGTGTTCCTGGCGGTGCCGGCTCGAAGATCCGGCTCTGGTTCTCGCTGGGCAGCGCGGAATAGACTGGCAGAATAAGAAGCTCGGGAACATTTGGGCCCAGCGCTTTCATACGCTCGTGGAGGATCTCACAACTCGTGTCGATTTCCTCTTGGCCTGTCAGGAACAGCAGGATGTCGCCAGCTGGCTCCGTCAGATGGATCTGCATGACGGTGACAAGCGCCGCATCCAGATAATCGCTCTCGGGTTCACGAGAGTACAGGATCTCGACGGGGAAAGTACGTCCAGGAATTGTGAAGATCGGGCATTCGTTGAAATAAGCCGAGAACTTGTCGGCATCAAGAGTGGCCGAAGTGACAATGACTTTGAGATCGGGTCTCCGCTGCTTGAGGGTCTTCTTAAGCAGACCAAACAAGATATCGGTCGCGATTGTGCGCTCGTGTGCCTCGTCTAGCATGATCACGCTGTAGCGCTTCAAGTCTGGGTCGATAAGGATCTCACGCTGCAGCATGCCATCCGTCATGTACTTGATCTGGGTCGCCGGGCTTGTGTGATCCTCGAAACGAATCGTGTAACCGACTTCCTGACCAAGCTGGCAGCCAACCTCTTCAGCAACACGTTTTGCTACTGACATGGCTGCGACTCGACGCGGTTGAGTACATCCGATCATGCCATTTTTGGTGAAGCCAGCCTCCGCCAGGTATTGTGTAAGCTGTGTCGTTTTGCCAGAACCTGTTTCACCGACTACAATGAGCAGCTGGTTTTCGTGCACTGCCTTGATCAACTGGTCCCGGAAAGCATAGACAGGAAGACTTTGTCTCTGCTCCTTGATTGAGAGATGTGTGCGCTTGCCCATGGGCTGTGTCTTGGAGACCATCGCACGCTTCCACTCGGGGACGGGTTCCGGTTTAGAAATGTTCGCCTTGGCACTGCGGAGATCGCTGGCGAATTGTCGACTGTCCGGATTGGCCATCGGATCTTCCCACTGTTTGGAGAGATCAACTTTCGTCTGCCTGGCCTCTTCCTCGGCAGCTTGCTGCTCCTTTTGACGCATTTCTCGTCGCTCTTTGGTCAATGAGGTGCCAGACATAGCTGCCCGGTTTAGCGATCCGTCCGGCGCTTTGACGACTCTGATGGGTGATAATTCGAGGGATTGCTTGGTCTGGCCGGCAAGGAAAGGTGGCTCTTCTTCTCGAATCTCGATGTCTACATCTTCTTCAAGCTCAAGCTCACCTTCACCCCTGAGAGTTGCCTGGTAGTCTTCCTCCAAGTCCGGATAATCAGAGGCTTTAGCGACACCTGACGCGATCAGCTGTCGAATCTCCCATCTTTCTGGTGACGTCATCCGCTTCTTCTGTCGCCTTGGCTGGCTAGCATACTCGGCAAGTGAGGCAGCGTTGGAGTCCTCAAAGCCATTTCGGCCACGGCCTCCGACCACTTCCGCATTGGCACCAGAAGCAGCGAAACCGCGCCCGCCAGCCATTTCCGTGTTCGCTCCTGATCCTAGCCGCGCTTGTGGCACCAGGTCCTCGCCGGTGTTTTGATCGACATCCTTCATGGACAGGCCGATCCGGTTGCCCTCCAGTTTGATGACCTTGACCTTGACCTCCTGGCCTTTTGAAAGGATATCCTCGGGATGATTAACTCTTTGTCCCTGTACGAGATTGGAGATGTGTACCATTCCGTCAACCTTGCCCCGGACACCATGCAGGTTGACGAAGGCACCAAATTCCTTGATTCCTGTGACGTGGCCATCGTAGACCTTATTGAGAATCGGCTGTTCGTCGAGTTCGGGTTCTGGCGCGCGCCGAAGGCGATCGTCCTCGTTGTCGTAGTCGTCATCACGCCGCCTCCGATGTGATTTTCTCGACCGTCGCTGCTCGTAGTCGTCGTCTTCGCCGTAGTCCCGCTCCCGACCTCGCCGCCTGCCCTCTACTGGACTTCTTGATCGTTTCCGTGATGGCGGGTCATGATGTGTGGCGGCGCGCGACTTGCTCTCCAAGCTTTCCAAAAGCATGAGCCCCGTGTCGTCGTCGTCGTCATCGACAGGAGGGGCCTTGTCCGGTATGCTCAGGCCCTTGAACAGAGATTCTTTCTCCTGCTGTGTTCTTCGATGCGAATCGTCATCATTCGTGGCCGCGCCGTTTTGTGCCCGCGAGGCGTTTTTGAAGGTGGGATGCAACGTGCGGATGAGGCGGTCGATACTTTCAAAGAGACTGTCAGGCCAGCCGCTGCCGCCCATCCCCGACAGCTTCTCTTTGAACTCATCGAAGCTTTTGCTCTCGAGTCGTTGCGCAATGATGAATTCTGCCAGGACCTTCTCCGAGATCCCCAGGTGGTTCTGCAGCTCCGAGGTAACCTTAGACACGAGCGAGAGGAGCTCCAGCTCCGCAAAGTCGTCGAGCTCATCCATGGTGCCGCTTGTGCTGGGGTTCGCCGGGCCGTGATAGAGGAGCGCAGTGTTGCTCTGCTGATGTATTGTCGGACGACAGGCTGACCACAAGATGCACGGCAGGTGGCGCGCAGAGGTTGTGACGTCTGGGCTTGGTCCGCGACTGTAGCCGCGACAAAAAGTGACCAGGGCCCTGCGCTAGCGTTAGTGAAAGTCGATGTGTTATGTAAGCACATTGAAGCACCTGGCGTTGTTGGCAGGAGAAAGACGATGAGCTTGTATTGGATGGCTGTGCTATAACGGCCACTGACTTTTAGGCAGGAAAAAGAAGGCAACACAGATGTCTTTAAGTCTCTTGCCTCGTCCTCGTCCTGTACCATTGATGCCGCTGTGTTCGTCGAATTCAAGGTGCGCAATGCTGTATCTCCGTTGGGGATCCCTGCACATTGGCACGCCCATAACTTTTCCTTTCTCCGTTCTGTGCCCTCCGAGCCTCCGGCAACCATGCGCCTCTGTTCCCCTACGAATATCGACAGCGCCTCTATCATCTGAATGTGTAGAGGTGGGACAAGATATCCTGTACTAAATGAAGGTGTGTGTCAGCATTGCGAACAATAGCACAGAAATCTTGTCGATTAAAGTATGTGGAGGAGCAGAGTGGGTCAACTAATTCATTTCTGACGGCGTCGCTCTCTTTGGCGAGGGCAGCTTCGGAGCAAAACGACGTGTGTGTAGGCCCCCTTGAATTCGGAGTCTCTTCAAATCATAACATAACAACCCTCTGCAGGGTCAATGCTGTTACGTGAGACGTAATAGTCGGACGTATGGGATGGCGCTCAATGAGTTGTTTAATCGTCTTGGTGCAGAAATCGAAGATCCCGAGGAAGGTACAAGATCAACCATCACCTTTCCACGATACCAGTCCGAACGTTTTGCACTCAGGGCCAGGCGGCTGATCAGGACTCTCTGTTGTTAGAAACATTCTTACTGTTCTCGCGGGAGATACCGTCACAAAATCTTGGCTTCGTTGACGCCCACGCCACCAACATCGATTTAAGCATCGCCGGCAAAGAATATGTCATTACACAATCCCCTACCGTTCTGTCAGTTGTACACTGCCTATTGACTTTATAATCCCGCCGATGGTTCTGACGCGTCATCACAGAACGTCAAATCGCGAGGGTGGAACAACGGGTGCTGGTGAGCCCCCTCAACTTATGGCTGTCGTGCTTCAAGATTATTTGACTGATGGCAGTGACCAGTCGTCTGGAAAATCACACCTTTAGTGGCGGAGTATCTTGCCGCACCAGACAACATCCTTCGTCTGCCCGGCCTTCTCTCTCCCAGCTCCATCGTGATCGAGCTCGGCTGCGGAGTGTCGGGCCTGATCGGTCTTGTTGTCGGCCCTACAGTGCAGAGATATGTCTTGACTGATCAATCGTACGTTGCAAGATTTGTAGAGAAAAACTTGAGCGAGAACGAGGCTGCGGTACGACCAAAAGGACAGAAGAAGAGAAACGCAAAGCTACCTGCGCTGCGACAGCCTGAAAATGTGGTGTTCAAAGCTCTGGACTGGGAGCTGGACGAAGTCACACCCGCCCTGACTGGCCTCGTTCACGCCAAATCATTCGACCTTGTCATCGCTTGCGACTGCATATACAATGAAGCCCTGATCGAGCCGCTTGTCAAAGCTTGTGTCGATGTGTGCAAGCTGCGGGCGAGCGATGACGATAGGGGTGCCAGCAGCAGCGAAGACAGTTCTTCGGCGAGCCCAACGCTGTGTCTTGTCGGCCAACAGCTGCGTGATCCGGAGATATTCGAGGCCTGGATGAAAGAGTTCCACAAATACTTCCGCACGTGGCAGATACCGGACGCTGCGCTCTCGCCCTCGCTCCGCTCAAGTCCAGGATTTGTCCTTCACTGCGGAGTTTTGAGAGAATCCTCGCATGAATGATGGCTCTCCATCGGGCGATTAAGCAGCACGAAACTGCCCTGACATAGCTAGAACAAGCATAAACCAACATCGACCTTGCAGTCACAGGCGCTTGCGCGTGCCATGCTAGCTCAGAACGACTTCCAGGTTGACTCGACTTAACGTACCTGAGGTACACAAAAAGGCTTCTCACTGCCCTGGTGACTTTTAAACACTGAAGCAGCTCCCCGGACGGGATGAATCGTCATAATTACAGCAGCTCGGTGCACATAATACTGCCCAGGAGGAGTCCATTGATTGGCCACAAGGGCGAGTGAAGGGGCCGGCCCTAGCCTACCCACTGTGGCTCGCCCTGTCGGAAGCCAGCTTTTGTTGTGTTTACTTTGACCAGCCAATCACAACCCCTGCCCACACAGGCATACCGTTCACAGGCACCTGCTCCCCACACTCCATGCTGGATGCTTGAGCTTCCAATCCCAGGCGTGCCCTGCTTCTTTTCGTGATTGCACACCACCTCACCTTGACGTGCCGACACGACCACGCGATGCTCCCCGTTTGAATATACACCACGACTTTCCGGCGCCACTAACAACAGCACGGCGTTCCCTCGAAACCCGCCCTTTCACTCTCCGCTCCGGATACCACAACCTCGACGCGTCTTGCTGCATCGCAGTCGCCCATCCTAGGCGCCATCGTGATGGGAGGACCACGAGCGGCGCGTCTGCCCGTGGGTTCGGCGCCATGGATTGCCGAAGAGCGCGCGTCTGCGCAGCAGATTGAGCAAACAGAAGTCGAGGAATTCTCCTTCTCCGCTCGCAACGAGTTCGACTGGCTGCACGAGCACATGGCCGACATATTCAGTGACAACCAAATGTGCGTACATCTCGCCATGCGTTCACGCAACGAACCCATTGCTGACATTATCTTAGAAATGTGGCGGAAATTTTCAAAACACCAGGCAAACTACGGGGGAAAACCCCTCGGACGGTTCGCAAGGTCGATCATATGCTTGACAACCGCGCCGTATGTGTTGCGCGTCCCATTATCGACAATGTACAACAGCTAACACCAGCTTTAGCCCCTTGCCAACCTATTCTCTTCTTCTCCAAAACGCGCTGGAAATATCGCGTCTTCCCAAGCGCCTGCTCAGAGTACGACTCCGGACGTTTTCGTCAGAGCCGATTCACTTGTTCCCTCGACGCGTCCCGAAACTGGCCCGGTAGCGGACGAAGGCGGACAAACACAGCCCATGGGCCTCAAGCCCTTCTCAGTCATCGATTCTGGTTACCATGGAAGCCAGTCTCAGGATACAGTTGCTCACGACGACGCGTCCTTGCTGTTCTCCGATCCCGTTCTCGAGTCCACCCCAGCTGTGAATAGGGTGGCGAAGACTGGACGTGTAGCTTTCCAAGGCTCCCCAGAAAAGACAACCCAGACTATGAGGCAATCGCCGGAACAAACAGTAGACGCGATTCCAGAAACCACAACCACACAGTTTTTCACAGCTCATGGGCCTGGGGATCTCTTCAATGTCAAGGATGCGGCTGTGGCTGAGAGTACGACACCCAGCGGATCGCCTGCCCGAAGCGCCGCCCCTAGCTCTTCCCCGAAAGAGGCCACGAGCAAGACATTACCCCTTCAGACTCCAGCAGCGCCACCACAGCCTACGGAACAACGCGCCGTGGAACCAGTCTTGGACGAGGTATCTGGCTCGCCTTCAGATGGATCAAGCCCTATCAGGCCGCTCCCGAGAAAGAGCAGTCTAAACTTTGCCACTTTACCCGCGCGTCAGCCTATGGTGCACAAAAGCATTGGGGGTCATCAAGCATCGAGAACCAGTTACATTGGGCAAAACCGGAACAGCTACTACAATCGACACACAGGTGGCAAGAGCCTTGGTCGTGCGAGGCATGACTTGTCGGACGAGGAGAATGATGACGCCGATATGGAGGACGCCACAGCACATGGCATGAAGCACATGCACCAAGACAGCGCCATTGCGCACAACAAGACGCAGACGCAGCGTCTTCAGGACCAGATCAACATGCTTGGCCAGGCGAATCAAAATGCTCCAAGGTCGCAGAAGTCATCTTCAGGGGCGCTCACTACGCAGACGGCACAAAACAGCGCGTCTCTTCCCCAGACCAAGCCACGCTCGCCACCCAAGAAGCCGACCACACCAGGAGCTTTCCCGGAGGATGATGATGATGATGACGACGACTGGATTGATCCGGCTGGGCCAGTCGAAGATGCGGCGAAGGCGCTCAGTCCTCGGCCTCTTCTACCAAAGTACCACTCTGCGGATGTGATGGAAGGCGTAGCAGGCAAGGACACTGCCGGCGGTGATATGTTTGCACCAAGAGCGCGAGAAGGATCCCATCCACCTCCAGTGCCGCCTAAAGCAGCAAAGCCCTTTGGCCACAACAAGTCAGCATCAGTATCGGTCTTGCCGCAGACATTTAACCGCGCAGATGCAGACGATGCAAACCGTCTCAAGAAGACGATATCCGCATCTAGTACTCATCTGGGCGTTGTCTCCGAAGACGGCCGCCCTGCCACACCTTCCAAGTCACCCTCTCGGAGTTTCAAGGATAGCCCGATGAAGTCTGTCAAGAAAACTCTGGGATCTCTGTTCGGCCGAGCTAAGGAGCTTGCTGCGAGCAGTGAGGCCATCAGTGCCAAGAGCAAGGCATCCTTGCTTTCCTCTTCGACTCTCAAGCTCGGGCTTCATGCCACACCTTCAACCGAGAGCCTGTGGCGCTTTGGGAAAGACCTGCAAATGTATCCCGACCTTTCTAAGCATATGGACGACGGTGGCTCCATGGCTCCGGACAGCCCGAAGCGCGCCGAGGGTCATCGAACACGGGCCTCTCTGGACAGGGAGAAGGCTGAAGAGAAGCGCAAGGAAAAAGAAGCAAAGGAAGCCCGCCGCGAGGCGGAGCAGATGGCCAAATTGGAGAAAGCCAGAGAGCAGGAGCGGGAGAAGGCCAAAGTGTTTACCAAAGAGCAAGAAAGAATTGCAGTCATGGAACAGCAAGTTGCACTTCAGAAGCAGCCATCCCGAGAAGCGGTGGCACAGCTCCCAGCAACAACACCAGGCCAAACTCAAAAGACGACGCGCACCAGTCCTCGAAAAGCCAAACCGCAGGCGGAGACTGATGAGACGCGCGATCTTGATATGGCAGACGTTCCAGGCTCCATGCCTCCTCCTTCGGTGCCACGCTCGGCAGCGCCCGCGTCCGTGCCGCGGAACAGGGAGATCAAGCGACCCGTGCGTCCAGATACCGCAAAGACAAGGCAACAGCCTACCGTCATCCGTGTCAACACTGGCTCTCAGCATACCCAGCTCTACCCCTCCAATAACACCCTCGCAACAAGTCTTTATGATACCTTGAGCACAGGCCCACAGTCGTACCCGGAGAGCAAAATCGGCCAGCCTTCGTCGCAACACAAGTCCTCGCTACAGAGCATGGGGAGCTCAACTTCTTCAGCCGCTACAGCGGGAAAGCCCAAGGCATTGACTGCAGCTGCAAAGAAGAGGGAGCAAGAAGAGAAGGAGGCGCAACGGAGACGAGAAGCAAAAGCTGAGTTGGATCGGAAGCGGGCCGCGCAAGAAGAGGAGAAGAGGCAGGAGCACCAGAAGAAGTTGGATCTTGAAAGGCAACGCGAAGAAGAGCGGAAACAAGCCGAGCTCAAGAAGAGCGCTCAGCGGCAGGCGCAGATTGAAAAGGCAAAACAGACGAGAGCGCCACCACCGGCCAAGCGGAATCAGCCTACGCCACAAGCGGAGCAAAGCCAGAGAGTCGACCCAGGGCCCCCTCGACCCCAATCGCGCATGGCACCAGCTCGTCCTCAGGAGGATCTTGGGCGCTCGATCCACAATGCGCAGAAGCCGGCCCAGAAGCGCCAGCCACCTGGTGCTGAGACGCGTACCGGGCCAGGGTCACAGCCCGCCGATGCCAAGCGGATGAGAATGACTAGCGACTTTGATAATGACGGAGGTGCCGAGAGCCATTCCAGCCTGAAAGGAGCACCAGTTCGGCCCTCCGGAGGCTTCAAGAAGGTACGTGTGCCACACTCGCTTGTGCGCAAGCTACCAATACTGACTGTTACTGCGTAGGATGTGCCGCCCAAAGCTGCATTCCCCACTGGATATGCAAATGCTCCTGCGAGCGCCACGAGGGATCTATTCAGGCCTGCCGTGACGGGCCAGCACGGTCAACAGGCCAAGGCCGGCCACCCACTGGACATGGCTCAGCTATCGAAGGGCGCGATCCCCTTTGCGTCGAACCCCAATGCTCCTGGTCCGGCACACAAGACTCCTGCAAGGCCGCCGGCTTACGCGGTTGCCAAGTCCGCTATCAAGTCGTCAGCTAAGGCGTCTCCCCGCTTCCAGAACGGAGAGGACATCGACTTGCCCGATATCAACACGGATGATGAGGACAGCGAATACGAAAACCCCAACAAGGGCATGACTGCTGCCTGGGCGGAATCATCTCCCCTGATTTCTAACCTAATAGCACAGGAGCGCGTTGATGTCTTCCAGGTGTTTGGCCCGCCTGCTCCGCTGAACATGGAGGAGGTCTTCCCGAAGAGCAAAGATCGATTCCACAAATTCCGCCAACGGACCTCAAGTGCCAACTGGAGTGGCGCAGACAGACTCACCGAGGACGAGATCCGCCGAGACATGGCTGCAAGGGAGAAGATGCAGAGAGATGGTGCATGGAGTTATGAGATGAGTCGCGACCTGGCGTGAGACTAACGACATTTTCAACGTCAGAGGCATAATGTTTCAGTGCCAGCCTGTTCTTTCTCCACCTCTTGCGACAAATGAAAGACCACGAGAGGCATCACGAAGGCGTTGCGGGTTGTGTTTGGTACATTTATTTTAGGCGCCACGACCACTTCCGACGAAGTGGTTCATGATCATTCAAGTATATCATGGTGATGATATGCATTGTTTTCAGCAGGCATACATATATTGAGGCATGTTTCGTAGACTCTATTGAATGAGGATCAGCGTTTTGCAGAATCGGCCACGTGAGACTTTCTTCTATTCTGTGCCAATCATAAGAGGGGCCCGAAAAGCCTCTATGTTCAAGGCGATTGGGCATATCCTTCTTGGACTCAAGGAGGATCTCTAGGCTTTTCCCCTGCATCAGCAGAAGACTATCAAGGAAGCAAAGCTCCCAAGGTGGCGATGGAATGAATGGCTGGTTGCCACCATGTCAGATGCGCTCTAGCGCAGATCTGGAGAAACATAAGCGCAGGCGGTGCAAGCGAGGCACCTGCCAGACCCACCAGGCGCGATTGTTGCCAATTGCATCATTCCTGTTCCAGCCTAGGCCCCGCGGGTTGCCTCGTCACTCCAGATCCCCCACTTCGACTTTCCAGGTCGCGACCATCTGGATGCACATGTAAATAACAGCAAGCCACCACGAGAACACTGCCAGAGAGAATACACCGCAACCGGCCTATACATACGGACGTCGCATGACGCCTCCTACCACAGCACTTGCCTCGTTACGATCACTTGTCACTGAGCAGCAGAGCATCTGACAACCAGGCCGTCCAGGTGGCCACCAGCGTCACATGCACTAGAGGCGGCTGTGCAGGCAAGGCAGGCATCGCTTCACGACCAACCTGTTTGCTAACGACGCGCATCCACGCAGAGGCCGCCGCTCGCTGGGATTCCCTGGCCTCTCTTGGCGATCCCACTGCTGGGAATGAAACGACAAAGTATTTGACCCTGCCGCGTTTCCACCAACACCACCACACCCACACCCACTGGGCCAGCATCAGTGGCCGCCGCCCCAAAACACCGCCAGAATGCCAAAATGGGACAAGACTCGCAACTACTATGCGGACCTCGAGCTGTCTCCCACTGCTTCGGCAGACGACATCAAGAAGCAGTACCGCAAGCTGGCGATGAAATGGCATCCCGACCGAAACCCGGGCCGAGAGGCCGAGGTCAGCCCTCGCTTCCAGCTTATCCAGTCCGCCCACGAGATATTGTCCGACGAATCCCAGAAGCGCCAATATGACGAGGCTCGCGGCTCGGTCAAGGGCCGATACACGGGCGCCTCCGGTGTCAGGGGAAATCCATGGGCGAACGCGGGAGAGGGCTTTGCGCCTCCTCCGCGCCGTCAAGCGCAGCAGTCATCGAGTACACAGGCGCGGCCGCCGCCTTCGTCAGGAGCTCAGCGCTACGCAAACTTCACTAACGGCATGCCAAAGACCTCCCGTCCAAATCCCGAAGACGATGTGCAGTGGCGTAGGAGCACGGCATCTGCATTTGAGAGCATGCGAAAGGGGCGGTCCAGAGCACCACCCCCACCCCCAACACCTCCACGAGCCCCGACATCTGCCGAGCAAGATCCGAGAACTCCAGGCTCAGCTGCAAGGCCACCGCCGCCCCCGCCGCCTCCAAGAACAGCATCTCAGGCACAAAAGGCACAAGCTTCGTTCGGGAACAGTACAAGGAGGACAGGGTTCCACCCGCATGCTCCAGGTGTCGGTGATGAACCACCCGTCACGAGCAAGAACTACTACACCGACAGATCGCACTCACAATTCTATGATGTGACTCCTCCAGAGCCGACCGAGATCCCGAATGCGTCGCAAACATCGTCCGGGATTCCTGATCCCTTAGCGCAATTCCGAGAGACCGGCGCCGACAGGCGATCAAGCACGCCGTACACTACCGGGGGTGGTGAGAAGACAAGTCTATTCGATTCCGGCCCTGGGCTAGGCAGAACAACCAGCACGCGAAATGCTATACCCCGTAAAGAAGTTCCAAACAACAGCCGGCCTCCAAGACCAAGGAGCTCGAGCCCGAGCAAATCGGGAGGCGATGCTTCTACGCGCCCAGACTTTGCCAGTCCATCCCACTCACGTGCCAGTGAGCGCTATACGCCCCGGCCAGAGACAGCACGAAATCGACCCTTCTTTGATGATGATGATGATGCATCGCCTACCAGAGAGGCCTCTGCCAAACGTAAGAGGGCTCTGAAGTCCTGGATGTTGCTGCTTTGACTAATCGTTTGGTAGATGCCACCACCACCACATCGACATCGCAGGGCCAACAAGCCTCGTCAGTGTATGCCACTATTGCCAAATCTTACAGTACATCTGCTATTCAAAGCCCACGGACCAAGTCTCGGAGCGAGGGAGTCGAGCCAGCTGCTTGTCGCACCTCTTGCTCGTACCATGTTCGATTGGCACAGCCCATTTCAAAGCACGTGCGCTTCAGTATATCAGAACAGTCTCCTAGTGGAGACCCTGAGACGGCACCTCCGACTCTGCTGCCGCACGAGACTGAACAGCTCAAGCAAGTAGCTTATCTGGTCAGCAGCCGCGCCAGGTTCGCAGGCGAGCCTGGCGAGTGTCGTGCGTCGTGCCGGGCCACGAACTCTACATCTCCTCATTCCTCTCACCAATATAGCTACGTAACAAAGACTAACTCGGTGCACACAACTAGATTCGGAACCAGTGATGGCGCCGGTCGAAACCAGTCCGACCCGGCCATGGCCACAAAGGCTAGCGCTGACAATATCAACATGAGCTTTGTACCTCAAGAAGGCAATGGCAGCTGGCAGTTCACGGCAGGAGGAGGAGCTGACGAGGCGCCCTCGCCGCCCAAGCCGAGATCACACTCGGCAGGTCGTCCGGTCCGTCGAGCTACCGGTAGTAGGGGCGCGAAACAGCAGGCGACGGCTAATTCCTCCCCTCGGGACTCACCGCAGCCCCAGCAGCCAGACGGCTTCTCCGCCGGCGAGTGGAGTGAAAAGATCAGCTCCCAGCATTTTGTGCCCCAGCCGTCCGGCAGTGCATCAGCCTCACCCACGCGCCGCGGGACTGGCAAAAAGTCCAAGCCAGTGAGGAAAACGACTGGTACCGCCGGACTGGTCGACGATGACGACAGCGAAGAGTGGCAGGAAATTCCCAAGCCCGCCTCAAGCGGCTTTGAGAGCCCCATAGCCATGGACATTGACACGCCACCACCGCTTGTCTCAGAGCCGCTGACACAAACACGACCTGACAGTGCCCGCAAGATACCTGTGGAGCCAAGCAGACCAGACTGGAGGGCAGGTGCTGGTAACGTTCCTGCAGCGTCAGTTTCTTCACCTGCTCAAGAAGATGCGGTGACGGCTGGCGGGGCCAGTGTATCGAGCCCATCTCCAGCATCGGCATCCGTCCCTATCAGCCTCTTTACTCCTCAAATTGGTGGCTCGGAAGACACTGAGGAGTTCAGAACGACCTTGTCTGACCTGAAACAGACTGAGCCATTCTTGGATCCTCCGGCCACAGGATTGAAGTCGTTTGCCGACCTTCAGTCTACGCTGCCATTCCAGAGCCGACCTTCCGAGCATATTCCGATCGATAAGAAAGCAGTTGTACCGTTGGAATTCCCCACAGCACCCGTGGCGCCGCGTCTTCCACCCACCGTCGCCGTTGCAGGCATTCGTCCGAACATGTCGACGTGGAGGAAGTATGTCTCGGACTTCAACAACTACATGGAGAAGTGGGAAATCTTCAATGGGAAAGTCGTCGAGCACTTCCGGCAACGCCAGGTCAACATGACGAAGAGACGTGAAAGATCAGGCACCGGCTGGCTTGAGTCAACCTCGACCGGGTCCGACCCAGTCACCGACTACATGAACGAGCTGCATCAGGACTGGGATGTGCGGCGAAAATGGACGGACGCCTGTAACGACCACAAGGACCGGGTGCGTGAGTTCTATGAGTTCCGGGAGCGTATGAAATAAAGGTCGAAGGGTTGTCGCACTTGGGACCGGCCGCTTTAAAACGACCGAGCGAATTGATAGTTGGCTTGTACATATGACGAAGCACGCAATTCATTAATAGACCAGCGCTGTTTGAGATATAATAGGGAATTAGAAGCAGACGTCGCTGCAACACCTGAAGTGCGCAATGACTTCGAAATAGACAGGCTCTTGACCCCGGATTTCTGGGTCTTTGAGGCCCCGAGTAGCATGAACTCCAGCGACTGACCTGAATATCCCAGGTTCCGATAATCTCACCTAGAGAAGCCTTCAACAGTCCGGTCGAGACATGAAACGTCTCAAGTCTCTCTCGGGTCACATGAGCATCTCAAGGCGAGGAGCACCCAGGCCAAGCCGCACGGATCTCTACATCTGGACATTTTGTGTCAGGCGGCTGGGACTGCAACGAATATATACCATAATATGCTTCGTCTCCTCCATGAAGCAGTAACCAATCAGCAATTCACAAGAGTTGCTTCCCCTCCATCTCGATTGGTCTAGTGGTCAGGATACCTGCTTGTCACGCAGGTGGCCGGGGTTCGATTCCCCGATCGAGAGTTACCTCCTCCTTCTTTTTGCATTTAATCTGTATCTTCTTGTTGCCCTGTCCGCGTAAGCAGCTTTTTTTGTGTCGCAAATGTTTCTAGCTATCGTCCTCTGGCACAGAGTGGGTGTGGTGGTGGTGGTGGTGGTGGATGATGATGTCTACGGGTAGGATTGATGGAGGTAGGTACTGCTACATGTCCTCCTGGTTTTGGGTTCATTTTCAAGACTGCTCTGTTCGTGCTGCTTGGTCGAGCCATTCCAGGTGCAAAAGCACTGAGGCAGCACCACGCGCCGATCTCGGATACACGAGAGATGCTGGTCTTGGTGGGAACTGGAGAGATTGCGGGCTCCATCGGCCAGGGCGGTAGCGGCTAGAACTTGTGGCCTGTGGGGTTTGAAGCTTCCGAAGGCGGGCGGCTCTCAAGGGCCGGCATGTACCTGCTGCATCTGGGAGCATCTGCTACCAATACTAACTAATACTACTACTGCTGAGAGAAGCGGCCAGGCAGTCTCGTGTGCCGCGTCAAGACACGAGGCCATCGTGGTTTAATACGGAGCACACATACTCGGCGTGTATGTGCTTACCATGTTCTGCGGCTGGTCCATCTATCTGCTGGACTCTTCGTGGCTGCGATTGGGTGTGTGTTGCCGGGAAATCAGCCACAGCAAACAGCCCGGGCGGTCCTATCTCTCGACTTCTCCCCGCCATTCCATCCCCAGCTATCTCCTCCTCACTTCCCCATACTCCGGAAGCCCTATCGGATCGGGAAGGAGCCTTGGAAGGCAAGGGTCTAGATAAGTCAGCTCAGCCGGGCTGGCTTGGCCACAAGCCCTTGCCTGCCGCCGTAGGATCGATGAGAGGAGATGCGGTGGTGGGAAGCCGGACGACGGACCCGAAGGATGGCGGGAGCCAGTCCAGTCCCCTCCCTGTATCGGGGGCCAGAGTCGTTCGGGAGTTATGGCCCGCTGAACAACATGCGGATTTGATCCAGAGGACACTTTGAGCCGTCCAAGGCACTCTGGACTGTTCCCTGACCGCATGTTGCTGCCGCTGCCGCTGGTGGTGCCGCTCTGGACGCGGTTCGACTCGCGACCCCATCCGGGAGTACCAAGGTACTTGTGTGCCTACCTGAGATATGTAGCCTCCTCAGGTACCTCGGCAGGCAAACGGACGCTACCTAGGTACCTCGCAGCAGGCAACTGACATGACGTTGTGTGGAGCCGGCCCTGCCTGCCCCGCCCGAGACCGGGGGGTCCCAGTTGGAACCCACTTGCACGGCCAATGGCGCCCTGGCAGATTCAAATGCGCTGTGGGGATCACCGCGACCGGAGGCCCTCACGGCCGGTCCGATCATCGGCTCACCGGATTCTCTCTCTTGGAGGGGCGGCGCGTTGTCTGTGCACGGCACGGCTAGATGTTGTCCCATTGTTGGGTGGTGTGCCGCGTTGCGTGTCTAACTTGCGGGCACCTGGGAATAGAAACTCAGACGGGGCTCCAGTGGTAATTGGGAGGGGGCGATCACGGCGGTCTCGGCAGTGGGCAAAAGGCGACTTTGGGGTTTTGGCCACCTTTTTTCCCCAGGAAACTCAAAATACTTATTAGCCCTTGGCCCCCTCCAACCCGAGCGTCAGCTTGTAAGACCCCCTCCCCTCCCACTCCGACTTGCCTTGCTCAAGTATTTCGCCTGGTCTATTCTACCAGTCCGGCCTCGTCCTTGTCTCTTGTTCCTTGGTCACAGAGATCCAATTCCATATCAAGACTGTGTTTCTGCCCCGCCTTCGTGGTCCTCGACAGCACTCGTCGAAAAAACAGGCCAGTTACACAATCCACAGCACCGGCTGAACGCAGCCCGCCCCTACGTCACCATGCCTTCCGCCGAAGGTGCCCCCCAGACCCTCTACGACAAAATCATCTCCGACCACATTGTCGACGAGAAGCTCGACGGCACGGTCCTGATCTACATTGGTATGTGGTTACCCCAGGTTCAGAAAGGGGAACAGCAATCACTGGGGGGTTCTGGCTTTGCACAATTCTTGCTGACAGTGCTTTGCGCGCCCAAAAACAGACAGGCATCTTGTCCACGAAGTCACCTCTCCTGTACGTGCAGCCTCGACCATTGCCCGGTCCCAGAGAAAAAAAAAACCCCGATATAAAGCCTTTCGATTGGTAGGATAGCGAGCACATTGGCTGACATTTGATGCTTTGGCACTGTAGCAAGCCTTTGAGGGCCTCAAAAATGCCGGCCGGAAAGTGAGAAGACCAGACTGCACTCTGGCAACCACAGATCACGTACGTTTTGACATCCCCTTCCTGTAGTGGGAACCACGAATGCCATATACTAACCAGTGACTTCCACACCCATCAGAATGTTCCCACCACCTCGAGAAAAGGCATCAAGGACATTGCGACATTCATCAAGGAGGACGACTCGCGCGTGCAGTGCATGACGCTCGAGGAGAACGTCAAGGACTTTGGCATCACGTACTTTGGCCTCGGCGACCGCCGCCAGGGCATCGTCCACGTCATCGGACCCGAGCAGGGCTTCACTCTGCCCGGCACGACCGTCGTCTGCGGCGACAGCCACACGTCGACGCACGGCGCCTTTGGCTGCTTCGCCACGGGAATCGGCACCTCCGAGGTCGAGCACGTGCTCGCCACCCAGTGCCTCGTCACGAAGCGCAACAAGAACATGCGGATACAGGTCGAGGGCGAGCTCGCCGCGGGCGTCAGCTCCAAGGACGTCGTCCTCCACGCCATTGGCAAGATCGGCACCGCCGGCGGCACCGGCTGCGTCATCGAGTTCTGCGGCTCCGTCATCCGCGGCCTCAGCATGGAGGCCCGCATGTCCATCTGCAACATGTCCATCGAGGGCGGCGCCCGCGCGGGCCTCGTCGCCCCCGACGACATCACTTTCGAGTACATCAAGGGCAAGCCGCTCGCGCCAAAGTTTGGCACCCCCGAGTGGGATCGCGCCGTGGCCTACTGGCGCTCCCTCCAGTCCGACCCGGGCGCCAAGTACGACATTGACGTCCAGATCGATGCCAAGGACATCATCCCGACAGTCACCTGGGGCACGAGTCCCGAGGACGTGGTCCCGATCACCGGGGTCGTCCCGGACCCCGAGACCTTTGCGACCGAGGACAAGAAGGCCGCTGGCCGGAGGATGCTCGAGTACATGGGCCTGACGGCCGGCACCCCGATGGAGGAGGTCCCCGTCGACAAGGTCTTCATCGGATCGTGCACAAACTCCAGAATTGAGGACCTGCGGGCCGCCGCCTCTGTCGTCAAGGGCAGGAAAAAGGCCGACAATGTCATCGCCGCCATGGTCGTGCCCGGCTCTGGCATCGTCAAGGAGCAGGCCGAGGCCGAGGGCCTCGACAAGATCTTTACGGACGCGGGCTTCGAGTGGCGCGAGGCTGGCTGCAGCATGTGCCTGGGCATGAACCCGGACATCCTCTCGCCCAAGGAGCGCTGCGCCAGCACGAGCAACCGCAACTTTGAGGGCCGCCAGGGCGCCCAGGGCCGCACACATCTCATGTCACCCGTCATGGCCGCGGCCGCGGGCATCGTCGGCAAGCTCGCCGACGTCCGCAAGCTCACGGGCTCCACGTCGAGCCCGCACGTCGAGGCCTTCCAGGCGGCTCCCTCGTCGTCGTCGTCGGCGGCCTCTGCCGGCAAGCCCACACCCGACAGCAGCATCGCGACCGACGACGACGCCAAGGAGCGCCTGGCCGACGAGCCCGAGGACAGCTCGCCGACCACCAACACCACGCCCGCGGCGAAATCCTCGGAGAGCGGCGGCGGCGGCATGGAGAAGTTTGTCGTGCACAGGGGCCTCGCGGCGGCCCTGGACCGCAACAACGTCGACACGGACGCCATCATCCCCAAGCAGTTCCTCAAGACGATCAAGCGGACGGGCCTGCGCGACGGCCTGTTCCACGAGCTGCGCTTCGACGGCCAGGGCAACGTCAAGCCCGACTTTGTCCTGAACCAGGAGCCCTGGACGCAGGCCAAGATCCTCGTCTGCACGGGCGTCAACTTTGGCTGCGGCTCCTCGCGCGAGCACGCCCCCTGGGCCCTGCTCGACTTTGGCATCCGCTGCATCATCGCGCCCTCGTTCGCCGACATCTTCTTCAACAACACCTTCAAGAACGGCATGCTGCCCATCGCCATCCCCAACAAGGCCCACATCGACGCCATCGCCGCCGAGGCCCGCGCGGGGCGCGAGATCGAGGTCGACCTCCCCAACCAGGTCATCCGCGACGCCGCCGGCACCGAGATCTGCAAGTTCGACGTCGAGGAGTTCCGAAAGTACTGCCTCGTCAACGGGCTCGACGACATTGGCCTCACCCTCCAGCTCGACGACAAGATCTCGGAGCACGAGCGCAGAATCACCGAGACGTGGCCCTGGATCGACGGCACCGGGTACCTCAAGAGGACCCGCGGCGGCAAGCTCGCCGTCAAGCCCGCCAAGGTGCCCACGACGAATCGCGGCGAGGAGATCAAGGATCCGATCGACTGGTAGTTTTTCTTTTGGTCGTCTTTCCTCCGTGGAGGCTTTGTTCTCTGGTTTTCTTTTGGGGGTTTCCTGATCCACGGCATTCGCCGGCTTGATTTGCTTGGAGAGGCTTTGCTACTGCTGCCTTGCTTGATCGTTTTCACGAAAGGGGGAAGGGAAGTTTGCCACGATTAACGAGATATCTCACGACCAAAATTCCTCCGCTGATGGATATAGGAAGAGAATGCAAAGAAAGTAAAAGTAAAAGCGTTCCTCACATATAAATGATAACTGCCGCTCGGTGGAAGCCTAAGGTGATTTGCATGTCTGTCGTGAAATATTCACTCCCATACCTGTGTGAAAAATGCGCAGCTGAACATTTTGCTCAGCTCAATGAGCAAGGACCTGTTAATATGCGCAGGGTTCTTCTCGATGCCATCCAGTTGGTTAACAATATGATGTATATTTCTACTTGTGTAAACACTCAGAGTCCCTCAGCGACTGTCAGCATGTCCCTAGTCTTTCCTGTTTGCAAGGAGCTTACTTTGTTTCCCATGCGAATCGAGACCAAGACCACTTTCACGACCCATATGGGAACCAAGCTTTAATCCAGTTCACCACAAGGAAAGCCCAGTAATACAAGACACCTGCGGCAAGGACATACAATATCGTGAGTCCGAGTAACGCCACGTCCGCCCAAGTGGTTCTGCCGACCCGCATCCTCCATCGGATTCCCGAGCGCCCGCAGAATACCGGCCTGATCGCCAGCCACCAGGCCCCAATGATACCGACAAACATCAGGAATGCCAGATTCAGCACATTGAGACAAAGCTCCAGCTTTCCCGGTCGGAATTGAGCTGCACGCGCGGCATCATCAGCCTCACAAGCTTTAGCCACCGCAATCTGGGCCTTGACATGTCCCTTGTTTGCACGCTTGCAAGCCTCTGCTGCTCGCTTGTGTGCTTTCCGTCTCCCACGTTCCTGTGCTCGACCGTAGCCAAAATGTAGAGTCAGTGGCTCTTTCCTGCCCACATTGCTGCAAACATCGTCAATAGAGCGACCGTAGTGGTGATCACGAGTGAAATAGTCAGCCACGCCGTCGGATGAGTGCACAAGATTTTCCTGGTCGTGATCATCAATTGTTGGCCAATGATCGCCATTGTAGTGACGACTGAAATCCCCCGAGCCTGGGTATTGTGACGCCAGCAGAGGGCTCTCCGCGGGGGACCGGTCTTGGTAGTGCTCCCGGAATCCTCGTACCCTAGAATCACGGAGACGTGAAACCGATTGACCCATGGCTGTGTCTTGGTATTCTGGCACAAAACTTCCGGTATGTGATTGGTTTCTGACGTCACTATCTTGGTCGTCTTTCGCCGCTTCCCCGGCGGTGCCTGCGATGTTTGTGTCGGGGAGCCACGAGATGATGGTGTTTGTGATGGAGGCCCACAGCAGACTTGTCACAAATACATTGGGATGTTGCTGTGCAGGGACACGTTCTCCTGCTGTCGCGGTCGCGGATAATATTGCTTGCCGCTGGAGCTGTGGCGATGTCTCTCTCGGCGTGCGTGGCACTACTGACACTCCGTCGATTTCCACGGCCAGCTGCGCTTGCGACGTGGTCACCGCAGGGCGCCGTGATATAAAATCTGTCTCTGGAGCGCTCTGGCTTGGCATGGACTTCTGCGAATCTCTCGATGGCAGGATTTGCTGACAATGTCCTATCTCGGCTGTGCTGATTGATGAGTTGTGGTAAGCGTTGTCCTGTGCCCATAGGTCCTGGTCGCATCCAGTAGTGGTGATGGTGGGTGTGCACGCAGACGATTGATCGAGGCGTCGGACTTGAGGTGTGCTGGTGCGCTGTAGAGGAACCAGTGTGTTGTCTCCCAATTTTGAGATCATCTGGTGATATGGGATTCCGTCGGCTTTGGTGGGAGCCATCTCCATTATAGCGCCTACCATGGGACTGCTGCTGTCGATGCTTTCTCTGTCCAGCAAGCCGATGTGGGCTTCTAGCCACGTTTTCAACGCCATCTCTTCTACTTCCGTGGCTGTATCCGGTGCCGGCATGCTGGGATTGCGGTCGAGCCGTTCTTGTTCTAGTAGTGAGAGTGTTGGTGGCCATTGAGTGATCGGCTTTCGTGTTGGGGCTTTTCGTAAAATTGTTCTTGGTAGCTGAGTTATTGTACCGCACTGAGAGCTCATGCGCCCTTTCCACCTCGACGGGAATGAGATCGCTGTAACTGCGTTTGTGTGCTGGTTTCTTGCCAGACCCAATCGCTCCTGTGAGTGATTTGTTCGTTTCAGTGCGGTCATTCCCGTCTTGGGTCGTATTTCCGCGACTGTGTTCAACAGATGGAGTGGGTTTGCCAGCATCAGTGGCTCCTCCCCGCCGTGGTTTTGACAATAGTGAGCGTGGCCTTCTGCGGAATACTTCGAGGATAGACTTTGAAATGTTGGCATTCTTGTCATCTCCGAGCTCAATAGAGTTCTTGCCATACTCTCTTCCACGGAGGTGCAGCTTGGTCGTCTGGGGGCTGTTATCCCTTGCAGACCTGCTGCTTCTCCATGGCATAAAAAAGACGACTCGGGATTTTCTTGCATGTCTTCCAGGTGGTCATGGGACGGTACCAGCTGCTTTTCTGGTGTTGGTAGCGCCAGACACTCCTCATGCCTATCGTGAGGTCCTCCAGCCGGCTCCGTACCATGCCGCCGAACGACAGTGCTAGTCGAAAAAGAGCGGGCTATGTCATCGCTTCCAGGCTTCTTCTGAGGTGCTTCCACAGGGAGAGGAGTGCTTGAGACCCCCAAAGGCTTCCGAGGTACGGAGCGAGACTGCTCGTAAAATGTTGCGAAAGTCCCTTGCGTATCTTCCAGCTCGATGCCTTTTCACACATTGTTAGTGCTTCCCTGCTACCAGACATGACTCTGCCAGAGAGCCAATACTCACCGCTCAGAGGCGTCATGGTGCCAGGACTTTGTGTGATCGGTGTCAGTTTCGGTTCCGCAGCACTTGACCAGCGGCCGTGACTGCGCCTTCGTCCAAACAGATCACGTTCCGCCTTGCGCCGATCCATGATGGACTGTAGGTTCCGCAGCCTGGCATCAGCCTCTGCCATTGCCATTGTATCAATATCCTTTTGTCTCAGCTGACGTGTCTCCTGACTCCATTCCGTTCCACGATATTGCTTTGCCTCGAGAGCACCATGGCGAGGTCGAGCAACCTCGCTCAAAGGCTCTGAAATGACAGAGGTGGTGGGCGTGAGGCCGGCCGTCTTGGTGGCCGGGCTGACTCCAGTGAACTCGAGCCAATCTCCAGAAGCCTTGAGTTCTCCCTGGCGCCGTCTACTCGCCTCCTGGGTTTGTAGAACATCCGATTGCTGCTCTCTGGCGGTTACTTGGTTCCCGCTACCGCTGTGGTGACTATGCATGGCCGATCGAGATGGCAAGTCATCATCATGCATCTCCGAAGCTGCGCTCCGCCGTCGATATGTGTGCCCCATCGCAGAGCCAATCGTCCCTTTCCGCCGCCTTGGAGCACTGGCGCCACTCGTGTAGTGCTCTCCCGTCGATGGCCCATCGTGCTGTTGGCCCCCGAGCTGGTAATCATCATACAACCCAACAGAAGTCTCCCGAACGGAGTCGGCCACATTCCACTCAACCAGATGATCAGGGTCAATGTCTAGCTCGCGGTAGGCCTCCTCGCCGATGGTCTCCTCGGGATACGGCCGCAGTGTGCCTCCTCGCTCAGGGCGGTTGGCTGGGAGCAGCTTGCTGAAGAAAGTGCCGACAGCCATCGTGCGTGACCTGTGCGACTGCCTTGGATCCGCAGACGACATGGCCGAAGTCGTGGTTTATAGCGTGAGACGTAACAATACTGAATGCCAATGATTTCATGACCTGGGGGGGCGTGAAGACATCGAGGTCCCCCGTGGCATCGTGAGCAGCGGCAATCGAGGAGAGCTGGGCATCACTTTCGAGGCTCGCCCAGTGTGCGGATCACGATCTAGCCAGGCAGCCGCGAGTGCAGCACCAGCTGCTGGTCGCGCCTGCCATGCCTGACGGAGCTGGAGGCCGGTCGGTCAAGTATGTGCAACGTCCTTGACAGCTGCTGTACCAACATTGTCTCTCTGGTGGTTAAGCTCTGACGGTTTAGCTCTGACGTCGTTCTTCAACAAACTCTGGGCCCATCCGGCGGCTCACCCAAAACTCAAATTCGCCAAGCATCAAATTCGAGACAAAGGTGCATGGAACCAGCTGCATTGCTATTGAATCGACGGGGAGATCTGGATTGCTGTACAACCGGCTGCACTGCTGCGACGTGCGATGATGAACTATTGTGAGCAGCGCTATGCGTTTCAGAGCTTCCTCGACATTTCACTCGACGATGAAGACTTTCACGGTCACCATGCATGTCACTGCGCCTCAAGAAATCTGCCCTGAGTTCATGATTAAAACGTATATCATTAACATAGGGAATCCAGAATGTTGATCAATCCCTGCGCAGTAGTCTCGAAGTGTCACTAAGTATTTCCGACCTCACCGGTTCCACATAGAAGGGTACCTCTCGTAGCTGTTCCTTGGTCGCTGTGTCCATGGCTGCTTTGGCGATGGTACAGAGTCTGGGCCCGGAAGTGTGCCAGTGCTCTTCCGTACACTCTTAGCCGGGCTGGTGCTGAGCTGCCTGTCTTCCCATGCTTGCTGCTGCTCGTACCGAGCCATCTCCGCATTGTTGCGCGGAGAGCGGTAGTGAAGATCGCCAATACTAGCAGCTTTCTTCAGGGGCGAGCTGGGGTGGTTCATGACTCCCAAATAAGCCCCATGGCCCGCATTGGACGCTGTCGAGACCGCAGAGTCGACCATGCGAGGATTGAGACCAGCTGCAGATGACGGCACAACAGCACCTGGCGTACTACGGCGGACTGTTGACGGTCGACCATACATGGCGCTATTCATGCTGATGTCTGAGCGGCGAGAAGGCGCAAGCGGAGTGATTGGGCCGCTGATGTTGTTGGAAGTGTTGTCCCGGTAGGGAGGTGTCGCTCGAGATGGTCCTTCATTGCTGCTCTCTACATACGGGTTGGATCGCGCGTGGAAGCCTCGCTTGAGCTGCACGTGGGGCGTACCAAGCTCGACGTAGCTCTCGCCGCTGCCAGACGCATCGGTCACCAGCTGAGTACCAGCATCCCGAACGCTCGGGTACAAGCGCGGATGCACGAACTTGGCGTCGTACTCGTGCATGACCTCCTTCTGTACCACGGCAGTATCCTTAATCTGCTGCGAGTACTTGGACTGGACGAGCCACAGTTGTGCCGAGATGATGACCTGCAGCAGCAAGCAGTTGAAGACCGTCACGCTCGGCTGCTTGGCAAGTGCCTCGAGGGGCAGGAAGACCCAGTACACGAGGATGTGGGCAGGGCTGAAGAGGCTGAAGATGCGTAGAGAGATGGGCAGAGGATCCCAGACGGAGAGCTGCCAGACATCGTTGGCCTTGTCTGGATGAGCGCGAGACTCGGCACTGTCGGGAGCCATGATGTCGGCGAGGAATCGTAGCGGCGAGGCTGTCGGTGGGTCATCCTTGACCCGAACTCTTCGAGCCGAACTTGTCGCAGGCTTGGTCTCGACATCTGCTTCGAACAGGCGGTAGTAACGGGAACGGGTCATTGTGTAGAAGGCGTTGCAGAGCGAAAAGGCCATCAGAGACCACACAATGGTGCCAACCTGTAGTGCAACCACCGCGCCTTGTAAGCAGGTTTTCCAATAAGATCAAACAGAACAAGAGGTTTGTTTTGCGTACCAAGAACGACACCCATCCACTGATGGAGGGCTCATCAAACACCGAATCAGCCGCGCCGTGGGACGAGCCACTGTTCGCCCTTGCCAGCAGGAAGACAAAGTTCATGCCCACGCCAATCTGCGTGCCTATGGCCTGGGAGTCCCAGTCGCGCGTCTCAATCTCCTCGGAGAGCCAGAGAAGGAAGTCCATGGGATCCAGGGCGGCCTTGATGCGCTCGAGGAGCGGCTTGCGCCGCACGATCCGCGGCATGGTCACGATCGTGAGCGAATGCTGATGGCGAGCTTGTGCAGGTCACGAGATGCGACCACCTTGGGCCGTTCGGGGTGGACGCGCAGTGATGCTGTCGATCAAGATTCCCAGAGATTTCGTCTGGCTGGCTGCCGGCAAGCCAGGGTTGCGAGGGCGTGGCGTCCCGGCGTGATGGGTTTCGTGGGAGTGTGCCTGTCGTAGTTGTGATGATGGGAAAGTTTGTCGCAACCAAAACAAAATAAACCCCTGCACATGGTTGCCGTCGAGTGCAGCTGGGAGCTGCATGCACATGGGAGGAGCTTGAGCTCCAATAGCGCCCTCGCCTGCCTGCAGAGTGGGCCGCCGACGCCATACCTGCCTGCGCCCAAGCCAGTGGGGGGATTGGCCTGGGCATGGCAACTGCGCTCCCAGTACAGCCTGCACCTGCCAGGGAGCTCTGACGACCAAAGACAACATCATCGACCTATCCTCCACATCCCGTACCTGCGAAGCGCGAGCGACCTGCGCCAGCCGTCCATCATTCCAGCGACACATATACAATTGCGCGATCCGAAGACATAGACCTCGACCCACGCCAAGTAGGACCCAGAGCGCGCCCCCTCCTGCCGAGCTCCGGGGACTAGTCTGAAGCCAGCATACACTTCTCCAGGTCCATTGTATAAACACAGACATGGCCGCATCGCAAGCAGAATACAAGGACCGGCAGTTCCTGGCCGTCATCGGCGACGAGGTGTGTTGACCTCCGACATGCGAGAGCGTTGGGGAAAACTCTCCCTCTGATCCTGCAAATGTCCTCTGCTCATTCACCGTACTAATGGCCGCATTCTTCCACAGGACTCGGTAACAGGCCTCCTCCTCGCCGGCATTGGTGTATGTTCGACTTCTGTCCCTCTTCCTTCCGGCCCTTCGATCACAGCCCCCCCCTCTACGTGCAGCGAGACACCACCCTGAAAGACCATTTCAAAGCGGTCGTTTTGTCCCCTCACGCAGCGAATCTCACAAATTCTCGAATGCCAGACCTGACTGACCCTTTAACCACCGAAAACCTACAGCACGTGACGAACCCCCCGGACTCGCAAAAGAACTTCCTCGTCGTGGACGCCAAGACCGAGACCTCGGCCATCGAGGCGGCCTTTGAGTCCTTCACCACGGAGCGCAAGGACATTGGCATCGTCCTGATCAACCAGCACGTCAGTCAATCCAAGTTTCCCCACTGCTGTGTCCCTTTTGGATTTCAAACACCGCGAAGTTTCCAGCAAGCAAAGATTCTTCTGGCTATCTCGCCCAGTGCTGCGGCGTTTTCAGAAGCAGCGGCGGCAAACATGTCAAGTGCTGACCATGAGTGCGCGTACAGGTGGCCGACAAGATCAGACATCGCATCGACACATATACCTCGGCCTTCCCCACAGTGCTCGAGATCCCCAGCAAGGAGCACCCATACGACCCAGAGAAGGACAGCGTGCTGCGGCGTGTGCGCCGCCTTTTTGGCGAGTAAGAGGGTCGCTGTTGAATATGCCGGTCTTTTATTTGGCTCGGGCTTGAAGCATTGAAGAACAGCCGGAGCGGGGGTTTGGCAGGTGGTCAGATGCGACATGATATGTTATGGGCAGGCTACACATCCGATTGTCAACGGGGGCGGAAGAAGCAGCTACGTAGCGTCTATATAGCATTTTGCGGTCTGGAGGAACAGGACACGCGATAGAATGATACAATTTATCAGTACACCAAGCTTGCAAACACAAGGGCCAGAACCAATATGTATTGCTATTTCACGAAAGAGAAACCCACAAGGCGCGCCTTTATTAGCTCGAAGCAATGTGATCAGTCTGAGAGAGACATCCTTTAGTGGAGAATTAGAGATGAAAAGACAACCGCAATCCTTGAACCATTCATGACCGTTGCGTCGTGGAAACCATGTATGACTGTCACCGTACCCCTTGCCACCAGCCCTCAATTCAGTCTGAAGAGGCCAAGACGTTAGAGCTCCTCTCAACATCTATTGCTCCTTCATGTGAGCTACAACCAATCAGGATGACAATCTTGGGTCGTCGACGTCAGATGCTTCCCAACACCCTTTACAGCTCGACCGGCTCCTCAACACTGGCCTTGCGGCCACCGAACTTGACGGTAGCGGTGAGGCAGGTGATGGGCGTATCGTCCTTGTTGAAGACCTTGGCCTCGACGTGGTAGGTTCCCTGTTTGGCCAGCCGGTTAGTGAGTCATTTTCCCAACACCATCCCGTAAAGATACATGCACGACCACGTGAAACGAGATGTCCAAAGCACGATTCGCGTCGGCAATGGAGGGCTTTAGAAGCTAGCGTCGGGGGGGCCGGGGGGGGGGGGCAAAGACTTACGGGAGGCACCTCCTTGGGGATCTCGACGCTCTTGACGACCTCGAGCTTGCCCTTCTCGATGGGGCACTCGAGGTCGACGTTGCCGAGCTGCTCGCAGAAGTCGGCAGTGGTGCTGATGAGCCGGATGAGGCCGTACTTGACGACGAGCTCGACGTACGCGCCGTCCTCGATGGGCTCGAGCACGGTTCCAGAGGCCTTGATGAGCAGGTCTGTGCCCGCCTGGGGCGGGTTGGGTGCGAGGTCGACGTTGTCAATGATGACGGTGTCCTGGCTGCGGTCGGCGTCGCAGAACTGCAGCGGGTTGTCGCCAGGGACATCCAGGGCGTCGCTGGCGCCGACGTTGCTGCTCGACGAGAGCTTGTTGCTGAGCCAGCCGCTCGGCGAGGCTGTGGCCAGGCCGAGGGTGGCGATGAGCGTGCTGGCGGTGGAGAACCTCATGGCTGCTGATGTTCTGCTCTGATGGTGCTGAGCGGTCGCGCAAACAGGTGCAGTGGCAGTTGGGAGAAGAGTGTAGCTGCAGGTAGGCCACCTAGTGCAAAGAAGGTAGAGTTCGTGCGTGTGCGTGTCTGTGTGTGAGTGTGGCGAGGCGAGGCTGCACGAACCGGTGACGGAGGTGGTTGCAGGCGGGTGCGCAGTGTGGGTGGGTGAGATAACCACTCCGCATTGGCAGGAGCCGCCCGCAGTCCAGTTTGGGGGTGGTTGGTCTCTCGACCCCAAAGGCGGGCTCGAACTGTCTGTCCACGGTGGAGCAGTTGCCCGGGCGAGGGGGGGCGAGACCTCCTGGCCCTGGGGCGGCTGTGCAGCTTGTGATAGGCGGAACATGGAGCCTGCAAAGACGTCATGGGTCCAGTTTGTGTTCGTGCGGCCAGTCGTCCCTCGATTTATGCAATGGCTCCAAACTAACCTTATGCACCACAATTGTTTGAACATTCATTCACCACGGAGCACATAGAAGTCTGTGCAAGACACTGGAAGGAGGGTTATATGCTCCCTCGTCGAAATATATCAGCACTCCAATCTTTCATGCAGAGGCTCGAGACTGCCCCCACCAAAGCACAATACCAGCAAGAGTCACATCTTCAATCCGGCAGAGGATCTCTCATGATTAGGTTTTCGTTTCTCGTAGCCAAGCAGCATCAGATAACAATACTCCCGTGCTCAGGATCACCACCAAGAACCGACTTTGGGCTCACAAGTTTAGCCATTAACACTGATGAAGGGTATACTAACTAACAAACAACGACTTCACCTACTCCACACACAAACCACTTCCTGCCTGCAGTCTCTTTTTCAGAAAAAAAAAAACCGAAGAATGCTTGCCAACGCGCACCCTGGTGGTCAACCCCATTCCCTTTAATAGTAGATCTTCTCATCCCAGATGGGAGGGCGAACTGTTTCAGTGTCCCACTCCAGCTTGTTCTTGTCGTTGAGGGTGCAACCCTCGTCGGTAATTGGAATCACCTTGTCGGTGTCGCGAATCTCCTGCTTCGAAATGCCCATGCGATCCTCGGGGATCCAGAGCAGGGGGGCTGGTTTACTGACAGAGGGAGGATAGTACGCATCGCGTTCAGTCTCCGCACTGTAAAGGTTGTCAAAATCGATGCCGTCATGGGGCACCAGACGACGCAGGGTCTCATAATCGGCATAGGCCCAGGGTTTCAGCCACTTCGCGATGAAGTTGGGCTTCTTCGGGGGTGCTGACGCCTCCTCCGGCACAACCTTCTCGTTGGCATCGCCGTTGCTGTGGCCGTTGCTAAGCTGGCCAGTGAGCCTGGCGCGTAGGGACTGCTCCTCGACCCCCAACGAGCGAGGGAGATTGGCGAGGAGAGGAGCCATAGCACTGTTCATAGTGAGGTGGAACAGCGCGGTGAAGACGAGGAATGCGATCATCAGCACCATCGGGCCAAAAGCAGCAGTTGCGGCAAACAAGCCAACCATGCAAATCTCGGCAATGTAAACACCGACAAGGAGCTGCTTCAGAGCCCGAGGATAGATGAGACCGCGCGTGTCGATGTTGCTGTCCGTGACAAACAAGATGTTGTAGCGCCACGCGAGATAAAATAGCCCCAAGCCGATGCAACCAAATCCAAGGACCAGGGGGGCAATGGTCGCGTAGACAAGACCTTTGAAACAGTCAGCACACGTGCGCAATGTCCAATCTTCTGATATATAAAAAGAAAAAGAGAGACTTACTGATGACCGCAATGTTCGTGTATACGGGCAGCAGACTTCCCCACGAGATAGCGCTGAGAGTCGCCCACTTCTGATACATGGCACGCGGAGTTTTGGCCAGGAACTTGTAGACAAGCGTGAAAATGACGAAGCCCACAACTTGCGCAAGCACATTACCAGCAATGGTCAAACCCTGGACAACAAAGTATGGGAGGTAAAAGTTGGAGGCTGCAGGAATACTGGTCGCGAGGACGGAAGTGATGCTCGTGGGGTCGTTGATGATGCCCCCGATGACTTTCGGCGCAGCGGAGGACAGGGTCGTGATGAGAAAAACTTGGATAACCTGGAAGGCGAAATAGGCGTTTTGAGTGAACAGCTCAACTCTTGACAGGGAGGGCTCGCCAGAGAGCTTTGCGCAAACTACACAAAAGGTTAGTGAGAAATTTCTGTGACGATCTGCAGACCTAGAAGACAACGTACGTCGCATAATAATTGGTACCAACGACATCAGGATGGCGAGAGCGACTGATGGCAAAAGACCCGTAATCACACCCAGAAGGAAACCGGGCAATTTGTTGATGAAGGACAGCCATGGAAGCTTTTCGATCAGGAAGGGAATGTTGGAGATGGAACCAACAACGGCAACCGGAATAGCCCAGAAGATGATTAGGACAGTGATGAAGGCAATCACGGCAAAGCGGCGAATTACTCTCTGCCACCAAGAGACCTTCAGAGCACTCCATACAACCTCGCCGGGGGTAACTCCAATGTACTTGGGGCTCATCTGCAGTGCCTGGTGGTGGGCGAGAACCTGGAAGGCAGACTCCGCATCGGCTTGTGTGGCAAATTCGATGAAGACGGAGGGAATCTTTTTGTAGTCGCCAGAGCGGTACTTGTCCTGGGCGGCGGCAGTTTCCGGAACTAGGCGCATCAGTTCGCTGCGGCTCCATTCGATCGTGTCGACCTTCTTCCCGACAAGGCCAAGAGGGCCGAGTCTGTGAGTGGGCCGCTTCTTCTGAGGGATCCATCGTGCTGCGACGCTGCCAGGTTCAGCATCTAGCTGAGTATCGTCGCGGATGCTCGCGTCGCCTCCCTTCTTGACAGCCTTGAGGCGTTCGGCGTTTGCGAGCTGGATGAGCTTGACCTCGGCCTTCTCGAGCTTCATGGCCACCTTGTCACGCTCCTCGACGAGTTCATCGACATTCTTGCTGTCGCCAGTAATCCAGACGCGGCGTACCGACTCTCCAAAGACCTTGCGCAGCTTCCGCTCGTCGAGGTAGTTATCGGGAACTGAAACAAAGAGCACCGTCCGCGACGAGATCCGGTTGGCGTAGAAGGGAGAAAGTAGGAAGGCCTGCCGCAGGTTGACGTAGTAGATGTTTTCTCTTAGGATCATGTAGAGGACAAAGCCGTAAAAGACCCAACAGACTAGGGCGTGGGCGAACAGGCGGTTCTTGCCCGACATGGTGGAGGTGTCGACATTTCCATATGTGAGAATGTCGAGCTGTTCCAAGTTGTTGCCACCGGTGATATTGATGGGGAAAAGAATCGGCCAGGTCAAGCAGGCTCCAAAGAAGCAGATGGCGACAAGGACCTTGAGGAAGCGGAGGAACAGGTACGCATCAAGAGACTGATGCTGAAGAGCGTGGATATCGGGCGTCTTCCAGAAGCTTGGTATCCAATTCAAGAAGCCCGAAGGCAGCGGTGGAGTTCGCTCTCTGTCGCGAAGACTGCCGATGTACGTCCTGGGTGCGTAGAAGCGGCGCTGGCTCATACGCAGGACCAGGAAGATGAGGATATAGACTCCTGTGACCACGGCAACAGGGACCAAGGTCGAGATGAGAGCTACATGTCGGTGGTGACCATTGTCAGCATGCACGAGAACAAGACACGTCCAGCCCGCTTCAGGCGTGAATGTCAGGCTGGTAGAACGATTGGCTTACAGCTCAACGAGATGGGTTTGTTCCCGGGATCGTCCGTGGCCGAGCCAGCCTGACCACTACTCATCTTGGAAGTTTTGTCTTGGGGGCTTTGCGTAAGGCCGCCGCTGGTCGTGTGAGAATTACGGCCACTGGGTAGCTCTACTGGAATAAGTGAGGGCCCAAGAGCTGGGGGTGAGAAGAGAGCGAGGTTACGGAGGACTTAATATTTTTCCTGCACATCACAGGGCCGGCGGGCTGGGCTACTCCTGGATCCTGACGAGCTGGAATGGTCGCACGGGCGGGCGCGCAGGGATGGGCTGCGGGTGGAGACGCGCGCCGGCAGACAAGAGGCGTGGCTGGACGAGGGTGGTGGTGGTGCAGCGGGGGGTGCAGCAATAGTCTGTTTGGGCAGATTAGCAGGCTTGCTTGTTTGGGCGCGCAATGATGTCAAAAGCGCAATCGGGCAGGGGCGCCCGGTGGGGCCATCCCAAATGTCATCGGCGGCCACGCAGGCTTTTGGCGGCGGATCGAGAGACACCCTGGACCAACGTTAATTCGTCCCTGCCAGGTATGCTGCGATTGGAGGCAGCCAGTTTCGGCCACCGCCAGACAGCAAAGAGCTGAACACAGCCATGAGCAGAAACGGTCTGGGCCCAGAGAGGCGCGCGTGTCCTTGGGGTGAGCTCCCTCCCATCAGACAGTCTCCCTCCGGCACACAATATGCTCGGCGTGGGCGACGAGACGGTGCAATATGGCATCAACAAGGACAGGGGTGCGCCGCCGTGCATTGAGCCCCCAGCCAAGCTGCCTCCCCGGCGGTCTGGACACCGCGTGGCTGTGTGGAGCCTCACTTGAGCAGCGTGAGGGTGCCCGACTGCTTCACAAGAAGCCCCGACTGCTCAGGATCATTTGCACTCGCGTCTGAAGCGCTTGCTGGCTATGGGTGCAGGCACTCCACTCAATGGGTGTTCAGTTAGCACAGTCCAGGATACATCCAACAACAGTGATCGAAACCGGCTCCGTTCAGATCTAAGCGTGGTTAGGCGTGGTTCCTGGCGCAAGATTGCACTGGTCTTCTCCATCATCATCGGCTGCCTCCGCTCCCAACTGAGACCTTCGGGTGCCCACCATGGAGCAGGCCCGTGCCCAGTGCTTCTGGAGTTAGTGCTCAAGAGGGCTGCCCGGCGCACAGCAAGGGTCTGCGTATGTAAAAGTGCCAGAGGGTCCTTGTCGGTGTCTTCTCCAATGAGGCTGGAACCGGAGTTGCGTGAATGTGCAAACGACCATGTCGACCAGCAGGGCTGCACAGAAAACTGAGTCATGAGCAACTCCGGCTGTTCGGATCTGCTGCGCCGGCAGTGTCGTCCGACTTAGACTTGTTCTTCGAGGAGGTTTGCGTTGATGGTATCAGGATATCAGGGTCCGTCGCCTGGAACTTTGGCTGAAGTTGCATCGATGATTCCATTTCTCAGCTTGCGTGGGGCTGCCAACCACACTGGACCTGTCAAGCTTGTGCCTGCCCGGTTTCTCGTGCTCCACGCCAGGGGCTTACAAGCTGCGCCAAGGGCCACTGTCGCATTGTGACATCACCCCCACCCAAAGCAGTCGCTCTGCCTCCACACCTCTCTCTCTCTCTCTTGCGTCCTGCCAACTCAAGAAAGCAGCCAGGCATGATGAGTTTCGAGCTGCACTCTCACAGTCTCTATCCGGTGAGATTGCCGAACATTTCGGAAGTCCCCGAGATCGTAGCAAGGATGAACACGATTCTGTACCTACACTGTGACCTCTACTGTCGAGAAATCAGGGCCCTCAGCATTTGCTCCAGTATGACGCGCCCCGGAGGGACGCTCTGTGACAGCAACCGCTTTGGACGCTTCTTTGTGTGAGTTTACGGCTCGCCAGGCACTAGTCTTTCTTGGCCGTGCTCATAGACTTTCCCCCGCTGCCATGTTTCTCTTGCAGCACATGCTTCCAGATTGATTGCTCTTGTATCATTCATGGGTTCACGCCAAGCCGTTTCGAGCCGTCTGTGCATGGCAGGCTGGCGACGATCAACCCCAGGATCCACGATCGATATCCAGCACACATGATGGCCATCCCGTACTGGCAAAGCGTCGTGCGTGTGCATATCAGTATTGCCGTCACTCTTTCGTCAAAGCGTGCCTCGGGGCAGCAGATGCGGCACCCCGCGACCACCTTGCCTGATCCTCGATCAAAATTCGTGAACTACGTGATCCTTCCAACCCTCCATCCACTGTCGGCTGGTCTTCACCCGCCATACCTACAAGGACCTTAGGTTCAGCCCCGTCTGAGGTCACGACTGGCGGCCTCAAACGCCACGTTTCGAGTGTCTTTGTCCGCTCAAGCACAAAGTTGCGGTAATTGGTCAGGGATTAACCGCAAAAGCCACGGATGCAGGCATGACACGACATTGATTGACTATACCAGCCAAAAATGTCAGGCGGCATGAATAGTTCTACAGCAGACCCTGGTTTGCACTGACAGCTAAAAGCGAATTTGGAAATACGGGTTGGTGACGTGTACTTAGGTAGACATGTTCGTGGACCGTTCTAGACTTCTGAGACGTAAACGCGCGCAGAGGGACAACACGGCACACCCTGGCTGTGGCTTGCCGGGCTGCCCACTCCATAATAGATCTCTGTCGCGAATAAGCTCTCACGATCTACTGTCTGGGGGCACCATGACACACAGCCACATTACACCCTGCGTGCCTGCGGAAGCCGCGATGAAATTGCAGTATCGTGAGGCATCTCAGGGTGATCCGCAATCTATGTGGTGCGGCCGCACCTCCAACTGCCCTTGCATGGGTGGGCGGACGGACCTTCGCGGGGTCGATCTCAACTCCCTCCGATCATTTGGGAGGGAGCCAAGCATGCCTGAAGCACAGCTGAGTGAATGCCACGAGTCTTGATATCATCAGCATCATTACCCAAGGTGCGTTGGTAGACAAATTCGGCCACGTCTTTATTGGTGACTATTTGTCCCAGCTGCGGAGGAGCCCAACAGTCCGTTCGCGAGCCTGGCCTGGCCTCTTGGATCCTTCTCCGCCGTGCTGCACAAGGAGTCGACGAGGAAAGATCTGCAGGCCATCTGGTGAAGGCTATCGAAAACGCACGCCCACATCCGCAAATGGATCTGAATAGTGCCAGGGCTGGCGCGTAGATCGTCACTGTCATGTGCCCGCGTGAGCTATGTACACCTGCCCGCCATGAATGATCAGACAGGTTCATTCATGGCGATTACAGAACCATTTCGCGCATCGCCCCTGGAGAAACAACAGCTTGATGATTACTATAGCGCACAGGCTGTTTTTCTGAACCCTGGCGGGGTCGTTCCTTCGTTGACTTGGGTTTTCTGTTCTTCAACATCACCCACTTGCAACGAGCATGACCCAATGCCGTATTTGGCCATCGTGCGCTGGTGCTAGAATTCGGTGGCATGCCAGAACGAGTATTTTTTTTCGGTCGCTGATGTCAGCTCTGGACTCTCTGGCGCACGCGTGACAGCTTGGAAGTGAGGAGATGCTCGGTGGTGGCTCTTGACTTGAGGCTCCAGGTCTGCTGGCTCTCGCGGCGGCGGCATGTGCCTCATCCGGAGACAGAGGGCCGAGGGTCGCTTGCATAGTCACCCAAATATGTCTCCCCGTCCGAGACTTGTGCAAGTTTGTGCCCTCGGGAAGATAAGTACAAAATGATGAGACAGGCATACGTCAACAAGTGTGTGTCCGAGGCTGTGAGCATGGCACACACTGGGGCGTACGAGCTTTCCAAAGTGTCAACCTCGACCTCCCCGGGACGGGACACATCAGTGCACAGACGAGAGGCAAAGGCTGAACACCCAAACGATAGTCTGCTCAGACGCTGCAGTGTTCGACATCTGATGTTCAGCGAACACACTGCAAGACAAAAAGTGACAGCTCCACACAACGTGTGGTACTGGTTACACGATCTCGCCCGACGGTCCAGGCCTGTTTCGCAATTGTGCATCGTTTCATCCCCCTTCGTCACTGCTTGCGAAAATCTTCGGCGGTGCGAAGTGTGCCAACTTTTCCGAGGCGTACGCGTAATTTCAGGTGTGGTCTGGCGGGGGCGGTACGATAACCAAGGAACCCTGGACGACACTCAGAGAAAGGAACCTTAATCGCGATTAGCCGGCCAATCAGGATGGCGGGGCTCGACGTTGGAGGGACCCTTGGCAATACTGTACTACCAGAAGGAAGGCTGCCTTGGAAAGGCGGGCGTTGCTCGGCCAACGCGCCTCCGTGATCAGCAGGTGGAGTCAACATTGCGCATCCAGCCCTCCAGCCTCGCTGCAGGCGCGCATGCATGCTAGAGAATAATGCGTGCGCATTGGTGCGCTCGCCTGCGCAGTGGTCGAGTGTGGTCAAGTGTCTTACTCTGCCAGAAGTCGCAGGCTGGGACTCTCTGCCGCAGACTGTTGCCAACCTCTCCAGAAACCACTCAAACCTCAACGACTGTTGGGCTGCTATCACGCAACAGGACGCCGTCCCAGGAGCAACGACTGATCCAAGCAGGCTTGAACGAAACCCCTCATCTGATCGCCTGATTCTGTCGAACGAGAACCATAATATATCCAGAGCCACGACGCTGGGGGACCCTGACGGTTCATGTCCTAGCTCGACGACCCCTGCCTCCGTCCCGCCTCCCCGTCCAAACAGCACAACTGTCACTGGCCTCATTTCCGGCCGTGCCCTCTCTCGAACCCTGCCAGCTTCATCCTGCACCCTAGAGTGTTCACCCCTCCGCTGCCGCAGTTCGAATAACGATCTCTCAGCTGCGTGAACGCCACGGACATCATGGACATGTGCCTGCGCTGGTGAATTTCAACGCCTGGACAACTTCACCCCACGACGGACGGACGGTCGCCTCCTACGCAGTCCGCTGCGGCGCCCAGTCCAATGTCTCTGCAAAGTCTTGCGCTCGCCTTTGCGGCAGGCTGCTTTGGTGTCGCGCAGGCTCAGACACTTCCGTACGTGCCGACATCGATTCTCCTGCCAGAGGCCAACATCGTCCCATTACAACAGAACATCTCTGCCAATCTGGCCTATGTCTTCGCGACCAGTGGGGATGCTGTCAGGCTATTCACTCTAGACGTCTCCGGGTCCTTCGATGCTTCATCTCTACCTCTCGAACCAGTCTCCACCAGCTTGCCTTTTCTCGGAGACTCAAGTACAGCCTTTGCGCCTTCGCTCTCCGACAATGGCTCACTTATCGTCTACGCCGGCGACTGTTCATCATCAGAGAAAACCAGCGTCTGGACTCTAAACTCCCCGGCAGACTCCAGCACGGCCACATGGGCCCAGATCAAGACGACCACGTCGTCCCGAGATGACGCGCGAAAGATGGGCCCCGGCTTTCTGGGAAGCAGTTTCAGCTTCTCTACGACACTCGAGCCAATCATGTCGAAGGCCAGCGTGTATGTTTACGGCGGCATGTGTCCCAACGCCAGCTCCAATGCGACTTCTGCCCAGTCAAAGGCTTCATACTCGAACAAGATGGTCAAGCTCACGCCCGCGAAGGCTGATAATGGAGGGTACGATGTCGCCCTAGTCGAGAATCAGGGTCCTCCTATTCCTGAGGCTGGCTTCACCTTCACGGGGCTCTCCGCTTCTATTTCGAACCGGTCCGGCACCGTCACCCAACAGGTCAACTACGTCCTTCTTGGGGGTCACACACAAACTGCATTCATCAACATGAGCACCGTGGCTATATGGAGTCTCCCGGAGGAAAGCTGGACGTTCTTGACCAACGTCGGTATGGCAGGCTCCGGAACGCACAACACTGAGCTGAGGGCTACCGCAACGAGCGTCGATAGTCGCTCAGGCCATACCGCGATTCTCAACGAAGACGGAACGGCGCTCATAATTTTCGGCGGCTGGGTGGGTGACCTTACCCAGGCAGCATCGCCACAACTCGCCGTGCTCCAGATAGGAGCCGGCTATGGTGGTATCAGCGAGTGGCAGTGGTCTGTACCCGAAAAGCAGCCAGAAAGCCCAGCGTTATACGGCCACGGAGCCACTCTCCTGCCCGGCAATGTCATGATGGTTTATGGTGGACAAAGGATCCAAGCAGCATCTGGCACCAAAACCCGACGACAGAGCCCAGTGGTAAACAGTTCCGCCATGTTCTTAAACCTCACATCCATGGAGTGGACGAGTAGCTATACAAATCCTTCGTATACAGGCCCCGGCATCGGACAATCAGGATCCGCCACGACTTCTGAAGACACAAAGAAGAAGCTGGGCTTGGGTCTTGGACTTGGCCTAGGACTGGCTGCCATCATTGCAGCGCTGCTGATCTACTTCTGGTATCGGCGCCGCCTTCAGCATCGGCGCACCATCCGCAACTCAGCACTCCAAGCACTGGCCCAAGACCAGACCCGCTACGTACACGACATTGACGGAGACATGATTGAGCGCCCTGGTGGTTTCTCCTGGTATGCCAGTGGTGGCGCCGCCGGATATCAGACAGAAAAGCGCTCGCTGGGCTACGAGAGTCTCCGTGGAGCCCGTGCCAGTATGGATGCGAGCATTGAGCCCTGGTGGGAGGAGACTGCGCCGCAGCACATCCGCAGGAAGCCGGTTGCAGCGCTCGCTGGCCGTGGTCAGTATCAGCAAGCGCCAACGAGCAGCTTTGAGCAGTCTGTACCCGCTCATGGGTCCCGAAACATACACCCCATCATTGAGGCAGACGAGGATGGGTCGATGCATGATGCCGATATTGCGAACCACAGAATGAGTCTCTCGCATGATCCTCGAGAAGACCATGACTACTCGGATCCTTTCGTCACGCCGACCCGTGACTCAGCATATGCATTGCCTCCACCGAGCCGGGGGGGCCGGACACCTAGTCCCGAGCGTGTCGGTCCAACCACGGATCCAGAGGTGCAGGACTGGATGACAGACGTCGACACCGCAGATGCGCTTCTAAGCGGTCGCATGGTGCCAAGGGCAGTTGTGGCTGGTGGCGGCCGGACCTCACCAACACGGCGAGCGACTGTCCGATCGAATCGATCAATAGGACAATATTTTGGAGACGACGACTCGCGGACAGGGAGCAATTTGTCTGAGTCGAATCGCAGCAATCTCTCCGGAGGATCCGGGTCCATTCGCGTCCGCCCATCGCCAGGATTTGGTGTGGCCATGACAGCGGCAGCCGCCGCCGCCGCAGAGGGCAGAGGCGATACGGCAGGGAGCGGCTCTTCTGTCTCGACACCCAGCTACAACACAGCACGGACCAGCTTCCATGCGTTGCAGACCGAGGGCCCTTCGTTGCTACTTGGAGGCAATAGAGATCCAGACTATGACGATACACCTGGAAGCCCGAGCAAATCTAAGCCTCGTCGCGGTTGGCTCGGTAGCCTCCGGCGGGTCTTCAGCGGAGGCGCGACTGTGCCTAGCCCTCCTGGCAGTGATCGTAACGACAGCCCGACTCGGGACATATTCGCCGAGACCAGCGACTTCGATGCACGTCGCGGAGGACTTGGCGAGATCGCAGCTGGCGGTCTCCTTCGGAGGAAAGGTGGCCGTGGTGCCTGGGCTGACAATGGACATGAACGGTCCTCAAGTCTTGGCGGTACGGATTACGGCGGCTACCAGCCAGCACGAGCCCCGGACGACGATGAGGACTGGGACATTGAGAAGGAAGTGGAGAAGCGGCTTGTGCAAGTCATGTTCACGGTGCCTAAGGAACGCTTGAGAGTGGTCAATGCCGAGCCGGACTTTGACGGGGAGAGTGCTGTCTTTGTGGAACCGCCGGATGTAAAAAGCGGTGATGGCAGCCTTGCTGGTGCTGGTTCGAGCGGCACTGGGAAGGAGAGTCAGGCTAGGCCGGTCACACCAGACATCCAGCATCCCCCGACACCACCACGGACGACATCCCCATACGAAAAGGGCTTGCCGTCCATCCCCGGCCGCATGGTAACCCCTGACAGGGAAGAGGCGGAGCACAGGACGTTCAGTTTCCAGGGCGGTGTGCATGATGTGGTTACGCCACGCAAGGACGAGCATCTCAACAGCAGTGTCATGGGAGAGAACATTGACCAGACAAAGAAGGACCACCGGCGGTTCAGCTTCCAGCCAGAGGAAGTCCTCAGCATTTCGCCGGAAGCTCGAGAAGGGTCGGACAGTGTCGCGACTCGCAACAAAGGCAAAGCCAAGCAAGCCTCTGGCAGCTCAGACGGGTCTGACGGCGAGAGGCTCGTGGCCCTCGAGCGCGAGATCAGCCTGCTCGGAAAAGAGCTCGAGTCGGATCAACGGCGCGCCAGCGGGCCGGCGGAGAAGCGGCCGCGCTCTGGCGTGTCATCGGGCATGGTATCGGATGGTGACAATTATAGCGAAGCGGACGTCTTCTCCGCCGAGGCGGTGGAGATCGCGCGCCCTGCGACGCGAACTCGGGTGCTCCAGATGGTCGAGAGCTTTGAGAGCTTGACCAAGGCGCCGAGCCCGGGGACCACGCCCTCGAGGTGATTGCAACCTATCCACAGCTTTTGTGTTTTCGATGCGTTTAGGGCCGGTGCGTTTGTTCAGCATTTAGTGTTGGCTATGGCTGGATATTGATTGTGGGCGGGAATACTTTTCTTTGGCCGGGATGGGGCAACTCGTGTTCACGGCGTAATATCTTTGATTTCTCTTCCTTCTTCACATCTCACATGCAATCTTATTTGAAGCGTGGGGTTTCTGGGTACCGGCGCTGGGTTTTTGTACGTAGCATACCATTCCGAATTTTGGTGTTTCAAAACAGACGGTCGCTCCATTGGGATTAGGGGACGAGCAGGATGATACCAGGTTTAGCAAGACAGCTGATTTCTCCCCCGGGAGTGAAGATGGTGGGGAGTATATACATTCGTTTTCTCGCACATCCGATTACGGTTCGGCCTTTTTATTGTTATGCAATGGTGATTGGGGGTCCTCTGAGTGCACCACGCCGAGTGGCTTTCCGCACTGGTATCTAATACCTCTTTCGTGGGTTGCGATGGCGGCCGTTCTCGTCAGCGATACTTCTGCTGGGCATATGCCTGGCGTTTGGTGTGGGAAGGGAGAGGGGGGGAGGTGGCATATACCTTGGTTGGCCTCGGTGACGGACCCTTTTATGTGAGCAACATTGTTTCAACTGCCACAAAATGAGTCTTTCGGATAGTCGAAATGGTTGTTGTCAAGGCATCCGCCACACCATAGCGAGTTATTTGTGACAGACGAACTGGTCATCCCACGAACCAACGGGTCGCTGACAATCTGATGAACTCTCGATCACCGGTTGCCCTTGGAATTTCGAGAGCGAGGATGGGGATGATTGACAAGTTTCGCCCCATTCAGGCGCTTTGTTCTGTGCTCTTCGGTGCAAATGGTTTTTACTTGGGGATCTGACTTGTACGATCTGCCCCAAACGGTGAGAAAAGCACATGGCAATAAGGGTGATTTCAGTGCGGATCGTTGTGTGTCCCTGCTGGAATTTCATTGTTTGCACCCCTAAATTTGATATTGCTGAGCGGGATAGGTTCACACTACTACCTAACACGTGCCCTATCGAGAAAACACACCACACCAATCACGATATCGAGTTTTACCTCCAGAGGTCCTCCCGCTCGGGACTTGCGCCAACAAGCCTCGCGAGGTTCGGGTACACATACCGAGCTGCCTGAGGAGCATCTTCACGTGGTTTGTTTGGTACGACCTCCTCAGAAGGGGGAAACAATCCAGCATGCGAACTCGCAAATGACCCCATCTTCAAGCATGCTCTAGGAAGGCACGTAGACTCAATCCTGATCTAGCAGGCTTGTTCATTGTAGCTCATTGATAACACTAGGCATTGTTGTGACCGCCTTAGGACAACGACCCAAACCCATGATCTATCAAAGAGAATGCGCCAAGACCGTAGGGCAAGGCTGCCTGCCACTCTTCGAGATATTGGCACTTACATCACAGGGGTCGGCTTGCGACGGGCATCGTTCACATGATGAGCCAAGACAGCAGTATTCCAGGGCATAGGACATCGGCCTTGGTGCTTCAGGCCCTAGAGACCATCCCCGCGAAACCAAGTAATGAACAAACACATCAGCAGAAGCCACCTCGCCCAACCACCCCGCAAACCGGGACACAGGATCGTCAGAGCGATCATCGTCCGGCAGTTAAGAAACCGCCACTCTGTGAAGTCATCACGGCCGGTTCCTTGACTCGCTTGCCGTGGGGATGACCGAGGCCTTCACGATCGCGCTTTCCCCTGTGCTCATCAGTGATATAATGGGCGGCGACAAGACAGGCTCAAACCAGAGAGTTCCCCGTCGGGACAATAAAATCTTGGAACGAACCCTGTCCGGGACTGGGGGAGGTTGGCCGGGACCGGGGATCGCTCACAAATGCAGGGATTTGCCCTGTTCGGACAGTCGCTGTCGATGAACACGCCTGGATTGACAAGGTGGAGGGGAAGAGCAAGGCGGCGACCGCGCGACAATGATGAAGGTTGCATCACTCTTGTAGGGTCTTTAGCAACTCAGTAAAAATCGGACATAGTGATGCTCGGTTGTTGTATCTGCCGCCGCAACGATGACGATAATGTCGTGCATCACGGCACTAGCCCCCACAGGACTCGTACAGAGCGAGAATGAGCGACTTGTCACGGCAGGGCCAAGCAAGCATTGATCGAGTGGCGTAGATTAGCCAGGAGCCAAGCTGGCAGGCAACCCACGTGTCAGCGTTTTGGGCGACCTTGATGTGACCCCGCGAACTTGTCCTTATCGTGGGGGATGGTCGCTCGACGCCGTAGAAACCTTGCAAGTGGTGTAGTTACCCAGCTTCCACATTCGCGTGTCAAGCCGGCGGAGGTGACACCGAGACCGAGATAGTTCGATTCCCTAATGCTCGCTTATCGGACTGCACGTCCGTGACCGACATTTACAGCACATGTCTTGTTAGTTTGTGTAGAAAGCAGCCTGCCGAGATGGCATCTCACAGGAGGCTTCGCAGGGGTGCTCGCGCAGCCCAAGAATTGCAGTACCCGTCTACCGCAAGAGGCTCTGCCTAAGAGCTCTTGACAGTGTTGCCGTATGCTCAACTTGGTTAGGCCTACAGTCAAGAGGCAGCCTGCGATACTGTGGTCCAGGCCCGGTCCTACTCGATCGCGGCGGGGACTTGGCTTGGAGCTTTACTGCTCTGTCTTCTGCCCACGGACGGGGCTGGGAAGCTGCCTTCATGCATGCATGGAGGCTGCGCTTGCGTCTGCACGGCGACAATGCTAGGTTCGTGGGACGGCGTTCCGCCCGACTGAGCACAGTAGCGCGATGCAAGAAATCGCGGGGGCTGGATGTCTTGATTTCCGCCTACGCAAGATTGCGATTATTAGATTATTAGGAGACCAATGTCGCTCCTCGCCCATGGCGAACCAGATTGATCTTCGCGTCGGGAGAGGCACCAAGCTGTTGCGAAGAGCAACCCGCAACAGACTGCACGCGGATGCCATTGCCGTGAGGGATGCAGCCGTGCATGCATCTATGCACATGAACGAGAAGCTGCTGGTGCATGGCACAAGCCGCCCCTCGAGGGTGCCTGCGGGTTTGGTTGGCTGCTGTTTCGACAAGACCCTGGACCGCACAAGATGGGTGGTGAGCGCACAGCACACCTGCGGCAGAGATGCATGTGCACAATACGAGCTGCACCACTGTATCAGGCGCTCCCCATCAGATCAGCAGCACGCCAAGCCTCGACACCGGCCACTGAAAGCACTCGAAAGGCTGATGGGCATCGTCCCGGTACGATGGGGGGTCTTTTGTCCAAGCGACTTCACGCCTTGTGGACACTGCACCATCGCCCAGAGGGGTCGTGTCGAACTCGAAACGGCAGCAGCACCGTTGCTGGTCGTCGTCCCAGGATCTACAGGGTCTTCTTTGCTGTGACCACTCTGCCAGGCTGGCCCATGCCGGTGGTTTTGGTTTTGGTCGCCAGAAACAAGATTAGTTGCTGCACAGGATGCCAACTCGAATGACAAGTGCCGGACCGGCCCTGCTTGACCCGAACTCTGGCAATTTAACGAGATCGCTGGCGCCAGGACTAAAGCGGGCGAGCCACCAGGACGGGATTGTGCTCATCCGAAAGGGAAAAGCCTAGCTTTGTCCGCCAGGACCACCACTACGAGTGCGGACGCGTCCTTGGCGGGTCCCGTCGCCCTCAGCCTCGCTGTCGTTGTTTCACCAACACGGGCTGACCGTGCCTGTGCACTCTCGTAGACCGGCCAGCCGGGTATTGATTGGCGCCAGGCGGAGGCAGCAGCTGCATTTAGATGGGGCTGACCCTGGCTCCTCCCGAGATCTGAATGGGTCTCAATGACGACATGATGGGTTCGCCGAACAGGGGCATGGGGTTGAGCATGGCCGACGATGAAAATTCTAGACACGAGCGGCGAAGGATGGAATCGTCAAAGAGGCCCCGCTTCGTAAAGTCAGCTTGGTATGATCGCTGTGTTGTGGATGATCCGCCGTGGCCGTGAAACGACAAGGACTGTCGTGATGAGCAGTGCCTATGCCCATCTTGATCAGCGGAGCGAGTCCAAATCTTGGAGCAGTGAGAGGTCAATCCTCATCTCCACCGCCCACAGCTGCCGCGCGCTTGCGGACCAGCAAGCAGGCAAGCAACAGGCAGCAAACACTCCAGCGGCCGACCTCTCTACTGGAATGCAGTCGCGCAGCGTCTCAAGAGCTTTTTCCTGTTGCACGAAGTAACATAGCACCTCGGCTGTTGTCGAGCTCGCGGGTGCGCCGGATTGAGACTTTGGGGTGACTCTAGACAGTAGGGACTGGCGCATCGACCCCTCGCTGGCTGGGCTGGAGAATTGAACGACAGTAGATTGGAGGAGGTCTTGGATGGCCTGCCAACAACATGGTGCTCCCGCAGCGACCATGCTGATCATTGAGAGGTCGTACGGGCCAATGCTCAGGCAGGGGTCCGGCCAGGGCGCCTGCTGCCCCTTCCTCGTGTTCTGTGGGCACGACTACAAGTGTACTGTCATACTCAGTGGTCCGGCCAGTGTCCGCGTGGACTGCTCTTCCCAGGTGAGGATGTTGGATGACCCCAGCCGCAGAGCCATTGTCGATTTGTCGTCGACAGAAGGTGCCCAGTTCGGAGATGGCCTGTTGCAAGGTTTCCGCCCTCGTTGGAGAAGCTGGGGATCGGGCATTCAAGACTGGAGGCCACGTTGTGGGAGGCGGCCGCTGATGGAGGCTGACGTGGAGCACCGAAGTTAGCATGGGCTGCGTGCGTGCCCGCTGAGGCTGTCGTAACGAGACGTGGTGGCACTCGCAGCGCGCTGACAGTTGACTGACCGGGGGGCGGCACAACTCTGAGCGGGAGACAACAAAGGACGAGCCAGACCTGCGTGCTTTACGGACAGGATCCTGCCCGTGCTTCTGGAGGCGGAATCTACCGCCGCCAGCACCACGCCCGCGCGCTTGACCTTTTTAGAGTTTTTCTGTTGTCTCTGGATGATCCGAGGGTGACTGCTACATCGGTCCAGTGTTGTCGTCACAGTCACGACCAGCTCATCGTCGCTGCTTGGGCCGCTTCACCTCTGGCCCCGACCAGTGCGGCCTGTCTCGGCCAGCTTTTCTTTCCACAGACATCACTCTTCTCCTTTCGAGAAGGTACAGCACCCGCAAGCGTCGCCTCGCCTCCTCCACCACACGTTTTGTCGATATCTGTTCCGTGCCCGAATAGTTCTGCTTGGTGTCAACCTTGTTTCCGGGATTGGCTGAGCCCAAGCATCCAAGCCTGGGCCAGATTCCGACAACCTCATCCGGAATCCAAGTCGAGTAATTAGCGCGCTGGGAGTCCCTGCGAGTGCTTTCCTTCCTGTCGTGCGTATCGCTCCGCCTCGCCGTCGCCATCTCAAAGCTGCTGGGCGGCACGACATCACCAGCCCCGAACGACTCCTTCCAACCATCCTGTAAGTGCCGGCTCCGCAGCACCGTGCCTTTTGGCCAGGCAAGCAGAAGAAGTCTAAACAAACAAACAACATCACATCACGTCTCCTACCATCACCGGCCTGACGCTAGCCTGGCTGCTCTGCCCTGCCCTGGCTAGTGGAGCGGCCAAGGTTGCTGGTGCTAGGCCCACCCACCCATCACTGCCATCTCGCATCCACCACCGCGCCCCTGCCCCCCCACCCGCACCTGCTCTTGCCAAGTTCGTCCCCCCGGTCGTCCGACTCCTGCCGCTCACTCACGCCTAACTCCATATCCTCCTGCTAGGTCCTCTCTCCTCTGCCCGTTCAAGGTTTCCTCTCCTCCGCCTCTTGCTCCCTGTTGTGCCAATATCCGTCTTCTCGACGCCCTCTCATCCAGCCCTTGCCGACCCGCTACGCCGTCCCCTCGCTCGAGCACCACCCCGTGCGGACGACGAACAAAGTGCCCTGTCGGCCCCTTTCTTCCTCGCACAGCGGACCATTCACTTGCCTCTGCTGTCTCCTGCCAGGTCATGGCAATTGTCCGATAGAAAGTCATACACGATTGTGTAAGTCTGCGCTGCCTTGTGTCTCTCGCTAGACGCGGACAATCGTTGCAGGCCATTCGACCAACCAACCACCCTGTGCCACACATGACAAACACCACCGCCAAGTCGCCCGCAACAACAATCCCCCCCAGTCCGGCCATAACCCCCTTCGATACCAGGCACACCATTGCGCCCTCACAAGATCAAGTATTGACAAGTCGGCCCCTCCGCGCCAGGTTTTCCTATCGCCTGTCACTTCAAGCCTCCAATATGGCCTCATTCCGGTCAACGGTCAGCCTGACGGCGCTGGCGGCCTTTGCGGCCGGCCATGTCGCTGCCGGCCATGTCGCTGCCGATCTCATTCCCATGACCTTTTGCGCGACAATCAACACCGCTTCAATGCCAGCCAGTATGTTGTCCCCAGAACGATTTCCTGGCCTGGTATCAGTGCTAACACTCCGCAGATTCGAGCATATATCAATCAGACGGCCTTTGCCGCGATTTCTGCACCCTCAGCAACAACGCGTTTGCGGTCATCAAGGATTCAAACTGCTGGTGCAGCGACTACTTGCCAGCCTCCAGCATCCAGGTCAACACCAACAAGTGCAACAAGCCGTGCCCGGGCTTTCCTTCAGACACTTGTGGAGGCGATGGTGTCTGGGGATATATCAAGCTGAGTGCCCAGCCTTCCGGCGTCAAGGGCGGGGATGATTCCGGATCCTCTCAACCCACAGTGAGTATTGCCAATTTCTTTGTCTCGATAAAATGCTAGTCTACCGGGTGAATCTCCTTGTTGTTGTTGCGCCTCAAGCCTGCTTCCATCGCTCTCTCCCTCGTCCCCGGTGTTTAACCAGAAAGCGCCATCAGGAGACTTCGACGACGACGGTGCCGGATCCCACTACGCTCATACCCACGCCGACGCCAAAGCCAACCCCCCCTCCACCTCCGACCTCAAGGTCAACGTCGAGTAGGACGGTACAATCTGTATGATTACGCTGTTTTCCTTGACTGGCTTTGCGCGCCTTTACGATTAGCAAATGAGATTGCGTGACACGTGCAATTTGAGCTGCCTCATGACTTGGACTAACCCTGTACTCTCTAGACTGAACCACCTTCGCCCACCAACACAGGCACCACGCCCCTGACCATAGTGTCGACAGTGACTGCGGATGGCGCCACCAGCCAGGTCACCATCACTTTACCACCTTCGGCGAACAATTCCGGGAACCAGGCCAGCAATGGCGAGTTGTCGACAACCAGCAGTGGTCTTTCGACTGGCGCGGCTGTCGGAATAGCCGTTGGCGTTTTGGCCGTCGTAGGCATCATCATCGGCGCGGCAGTCTGGTTCTGGCTGCGTAGACGGAAGCAGAACCAGGAGGAGGCTGCTGTTGAGCGTTCCAACAGCGGCCGCGGCAGCTCTGCGGGCATGATGGGCACACCACGCACCGAGATGGCCTCCATCTGGGACAGCGAGCAGCTTTCGACAGGCAGGCGAAACAGCCGACTGATGCCGCACGATCCCCGCATGGACCCCTTCGCGGGCAACATCTACGCCCAGGCTAACAAGAGCCGCGAGAGTATCAACACTCTCCAAGACAACCAAGATTATTCGAGAAAGGTCTTGCGCACAACCAATCCCGACCCCGACCAGGACTGAGTTTAGCAACCTCGACCCACGATGCGCTGGGAAACACAATGTATAAAACGCGTACAGGCTACCAGAGGCCAACCATTGATGACGCACACGACATTTCTCGGCCACAGACTGCCAAAGACACCCCTTCGCATGTCGGTTTGTAGGCATTTGCATTTTCGAAAATACCACCATGGCGTTCAGGAACAGGATTTTGATATTTCCCTCATGCACCTGGGGCGTGCAGGGGCGACTGCTAGGCAGCGAGCCACATTTCGTTTTTTCAGGGCGGGAAGGTGGTGGCCCGCCCGCAGCAAAGCCTTTTAGGAGGCGCGCATACCATAGGAGCTGGGCAGGGTTTGGCTACGAGGAGGTGCGAGCAAGCACCACCTGTTCTTTTCTTGGAAGCTGTCCAGACTACGCAAACAACAAAGGTGGTTGCCATACGAGGTCGAACAATGGGTCGCACATACTTCAGAACAATACAACAATTGAGCCTTTGTGCTCGTCAACAAGTCACTCTGGTGTCGTCCACCTCATATGCACGGGGTGTTTGATGAGGTGCTGCGAAATGGGTTTTATGAGCCTGGCGCGGCAGGCCATGTCAGATTGGCGGTCCAGAAGCGGCGGCGTTAGGGTGAAGAAGCCGTCGGCAGACGCGGCTTCCGGCTCGAGGTAAGGGTAGTGCGAGGCTGTCAGCAGGTGGCGCAATCCATGGTCTGCCAATCTGACTAGCCATGGAGCGCTGGGGGTGAGCCGGTTGCAGAAGGGCAATCAATGTCTTTGTTGCAGCAGACTCGGAAGCGGTGTGTGTAGACGATTTTCCCGTGTCCTTTGGGACCGGACGACGGCTCGTGGTCGAGTTGCTTTGTGAGCCTTGCTTGCTTGTTTGCAGGGGTTGATCTCTCTTTGTGCCGTCTTGGAGATACACTAGTGGAACTACACGAGTGGGAAATTGACCTCCGTTCCCTAAGGAGCGATGCAATCATCATTACGGCCAGGGCACTAGTTGGATGCTTAGGTACATGTCATCGAGCATATCATATGTACCTTGGTTTGAGGGGCATGCACAGACAGACACATTCATTTATGCGTGCGTGCATAATAATACACCTGTCTCTTAATGAAGGCTAGAGAACAATAACAAGACCAGATTGCCCAACAAGAAGAAGAAAGGGGTGGGAAGTGGTGGTGGGAAAGAGAGATTGGCATACACGTGGAACAAGTGAGCGAGAGGGGTGTGTGTGTGTGTGGGATGGAGGGTGATTGGGTGTGTCCCCTGGTGCGGGAAGTGGTGGGTGTTTGTGTGTCTCGAAACGGAAGGGGCTTGCCTGGTGGTTGGGGGCGGGTGATTTCCTTCCTTCCTCTTCTCCCTCTCTGCATACAACCCGGCCGCCAGTACGTACCTGACAATGTTATGTCGGGTGCAGCATAGCATAAATCAATGGAACGACACACACACACACACACCCGCCGCGTGGCAGGCCGGGAGCGGGCGGGCGGGCGTGGCTTGGCGGAGGTGGTTGCTCCGGATCGGCAATTCTCTCTGCGTGTCTGTGTCTGCGACACTGGGCAACGGGACCACGCTTGCCAATGAGAGCCCGGTGCGTGGTTCTGCGTGCGACGGAGTGAAACAGGTCTCGCGCTGTAGACGCAAGCAAGCAAGCACTAACAACTAATTACATACACCACTTACATCTCTACCGGGTTGCACGTGTGGGCGTGTGTACATGTATGTGCATGTCGGCCAGTCACGGACGACACGGATCTGCATGCATACATACATCTGCAACGCGCGAGCGTGTCACGCTTGTGCCTGTGCGAGTAGGTGATCGCCGGCATCCTGCTGCACGATGCCACAAAGTCACGGCCAGTCCTTCATTATTACGTGGTGCTCGGTCTGGACGGCTCCGGCTCGTGACTTTGGATGACGTAGTCATGTTCGCTTTGTCGAGACCAAGAGCAGCAAAGCAGCAAAGCATCCAAACTCCGATAGTTCCGATTACCGATTACCTGGTGATACAAACCGAGACAAACATTGTCACGGATTGCCGCGAAAACAACATATAACAACAACAGCACATAGACCAATACAGCACAACATCCAGTAACTACAGCACAACCTCGTCTAACTACATGTCCGTTCTTACAAAGCATAAACTCACCCACTCACATTCTGCCAACTCTAGATTTGCGCTTCCCCACCCCAGGACCTGGGCAATCGAGATCTCATCAGCCTTCATCTCCCAGATCGGGCCTAATTCAGTCTTCCTGTGACCAGATCTGCACACCACCCACACTACTGTAACAACGAACCAAGCTTGGATGGGGGGAGGGCAACGTTCCCGCCCGCAGCTTTACTTACCTAGGTAATTAGCGCGTTCGAAACAGAAACAAACGAGCACTCATTCTCTCGACTACTGCTGGCTAATTACTGTTGTGTTCTCCTCGCACCCACACACACACACACACACACACACACACACACGCACCCATACACATGCATATCCACAACTCAACCCAAACTCCCGCCGGACCACCCGGAGCGCCCGGCATCCCGGCAGCCTCGTTTGTTGATCTCCTGTACGCCACGCTTTCCTTCTCGTCTCCGTCCGCAAAGGAGGGCACGGCTCTGCACATCATCATTTAACCATCACCACTTTTTTTTTTCTTCCCTTTTGCCTTTTCTTCCTAATTTCGCTTTATCTCCTTTTGTCTCCGGACCGTCTCCCGTGAAACCTTGCTTTTCCTGTCCATCCTTACCCAAAAAAAAAAGAAAAAAAAAGAGTGGTGTGCCCACGATGCTCGCGTTGTTGTATCGTGGGTTTGCGTGTCATGCCGTGCTTACCTGTCTGTTTGACCAAGTTAGGCTTAGTAGACGACAAAGACAACGACGATGACGACGACGGGGCCTTGGCAGCACAGTGTCGTGCAGATGACACAAAAACTCTAAAGAGATGCATGCCTCTTGTTGGACTCTTCTTTGCTCGAGCACTCTAAACCTTGGGTGACACCGGATAGTGGCGCCGGGTCTTTCCTTGTTACCAGTTCTCCCCCGCTTTGATTTCAACTGTAATCGAATGTGACCATTTTATCATCGTCGTCGCCGTCGTCAACAAGGTACTTGATTCAAGCACCGACATATTCAGACCAAGGTGAAGACACTCAGAAATAAACAATCTCGCGTACGTACGGGTAGGATCGGAGGAGGGGAAAAGTATGTATAGTTTTGCACACGCCGCGGCCCCCCCCAAGTCTTGTCCAGCTGTATAATTATGCTTGGGATCTCCCTTTTGTAGCTTCATAGCACAATTGCGCGCGCGTGGCACACACCGTGGTGGCGGCAATAGAGAAGCTTTCCCTCCTCCGTCCCCAACACTCTATCATTACAATCCTTTTGCTCACCACGTTCGAATACGCGCAAAATCTCTTGACACCATCCTCCACACCCTCCCCGTATATTCACAGTTGCCGATATAATCGTACACATAATTAAATGACCGCAGAAAAAGGATACAAACGCCTCCGACAACACAAAACGCAAATCCACACTCTGTAGAATAACCCCGGAACTCCCCCCTCCAGTGATGCAAATGTCTATCCAGAGAAAAGGAAAACGAAAATAGTTTCACTCGCAAGGCTGCTGGTGTTGCGGTGCAAATGCATGGTTGCCGCCACAACAAGCCCCATAGGCCAGTTGCGTCCGATCCGTTGTAAATGCGAAGTATAGATTTCTCTCTTTGGTATATCAGGGGCAGGCTCTGCCAGTTGTAGTTCGCTCGGTTTGGAAAAAAAAAGGGAATGAGGCTCTCCGTACAGTGACAATATCAAGATCCGAAACGCCGTTTTGTTGTGCAATATTGTTTCCCCTTTCTCTGCTCGGTATTGTCTCTGCTTCGCGCAAGGAGACGCGCAACCAGACAGTTCCCCGCTTCCTCCTGTTGGTACACATGTTCTGTTTCTTTTGTTCTGTTTCTGTCCTCGAACATTCTTCAGGTCTGCCAGACTGCCATAGTAAAGCCTCGCTGTTGACCTGGCCCCTAACGCCGCTGTCTCTTTTCGCTCGGCACTCCGCCTGGCCCCCCAAATCCCTCTTCGCTCTGGCGCTTCCTGGATGACCGTTCTTCGCCACCTCTGCGCGATTCGCGCCGCTCGTCTCCCGGACCTCGGGGCCCGCCGCTCACGCCAGCACTGTTGCTGTTGCCTCGGCCTGTTCCACTGCCCCGGCCTTGCTCGTCGTGCCTGCTGCTGCCACCGCCGCCGTTACCATCCTGACGATGACGTGAATCTCGATTTCTCTCGCGCCCTCCCGAAGGAACCTCCCCACTCCTAAACCCAGCAGGACTGTCACGACCTGGTGCTCCCGATTCGCGACCAGACCTGCGCGAGGACGAGTCCCTTTCGCGTTCACGGCCAGAATGGAGGTTTGGGGGCACTCCAGACTTGCTGTCTCTCACATCCTTTGAGCCTCTATCCCTGCCAGGGCTGCGCTCCCGGCCGCCGTGTTGACCGGAACGGATTGCACGATCTGGACCATCTTGCTCGTGGCGGCTACGTTCATGGTCGTGGCGATCTGGCCGATCGGCGCCATTTGTGCCTCGCTCGCTCGGCTGCAGAGGATCCATACGCTCATGGACAGGAGTCGACACAGGTGAAGCTCCCGTTAGGACCTGTGCATCGGAGCCCGCCATGGTGCGTGAGTTTCTTCCGCGCGAGCCGCCACTAGCAAGCGTGCTCTGTATGTGGTCCAGCTGCCGCCTTCCGCCAGTCCGACCACGCCCCTCGTTGCTTGCAGGCCCAGTCGGCGCAGACATGGGGCTGCTGTCCATGTCAATGGGAAGTGGACGGTGTCCGGATCCGACTGGTGGTCTGTCAGGCGTTTGCATTGGTGGCAATGATGGGCGACCCCTTGGCGCAGGCCCACTCGGCGGCGCATTTTGTTTGTGTATGTGTCCCATGCGGTCGGGATGCACAGGCACGGTATTAGCTGAAGGCGCTGCCGCGTACGGCTGCTGAATCGGCGGGCCTGGCGAGCCAGTTGCGTTGTTGAGATGTCGGAGACGCTCCGGGTGAATGCCACCCGCTGGTCCTGTAGGAGCGGCAGGTGAAGCGTTGGAACTGGGTTGCTGAGCATACTGATTGGGGCCCTGGTTGCGTCGCGAACGTGATGATGCAGGCCCAGTGGGCGGGAATCCACGATCAGGCGATGGCGGTCGTGGGAAGTCGTGACCAGGCATTCTGTTGTCGGGGCGGCCCGGAAGTGTGCTCGAAGCAGCTCGCAGATTGCTTCGACCACGGCCACGCGGGCCTTCTGGTGGTACACCACTTGTATCAAGTGCTGATGGGTTGCCGTTCAGGCGACCAAAGTCAGGATCTTGTTGACTGAGGCGTCCATGGTCCATTTCTCCTCGAGAAGGACCAGGCCGATGGAACGCACCTGGGTCTCGAGCTCTGTCGAATCCTGCACGGTCAAGTTCATGGTCCGGGTTCCTCGGCAGTCTCGAACCAGACGAAGGAACAGACTCCGCACGGTGATCTTGACGTTGAGACCGAGCGCTTCTCTCATCTCGAGCCTCCGTCATGCGAGGTTCCGCACGCTCGCCACGTCGTGGTGATGTGCCATGATGACGCTCGCGGCTGTCGTCCCGGTCTTGACGACTGGGGTTTCGAACATCTTGAATAAGAGCCGCTCTAGCTGGATTGATGAGCTCCGTCCGTTCTTCTGGGCGCTCGACACCCATCATACGTGCTCGTTCGGGATTGAGTGATGGACCCTGCGCGTCTGGAACCTGATGTGGCGGCGGCATAGCCTTCGACAAGGATGGACTGTCACGGGGACCACGAGTCGTCTCAGAGGATCGGCCAGAGCCCGATGAAGGTGCGCCACGGTCTCTGCCCTGTCCGCGCTCAGGTGGCCCAGAATCAGCCCTACGACCACCATCAGAACGATGAGCTGAACGGTCCCGATCTGTGCGAGGGATGTCTCGTGGTGTGGTTTCTGGTGCACGACGATCCGGGGTTTGTCCGTCACGACGCTGAGCCCGCTGGTCTTCTACGACCCTGGGCCCGCGAGGCTCGCGAGAGTCCCGCAGCTCCCGGTGATCTCGAGCTGGGTCGCGCACAGGCTCTCGGCTGTCCCTATCGCGAGCCGCTCTGGTCTCTTGTGTTCGAATCTGTCCGTTGAGGTCTTGAGTAAAGTGGCCGGGCATTGGGACGTCCGGGCGACTTGGTAGACTATGAAGCTTCGCGTTGGCTGCAGGACCCAAGCTTGATACCCGGCCGGACTCCTGCCTCGACCCGTTAGGAGGGCGTGGTGTTGTACCGCGACTGGGTAGGCTTCGAGAGTTTTCGGACCTATGTGACACTGCGTTGATTTTGTTCACAGTGTCACTCTCTGCTAGCTTGGGAGTCGCGCCTCGCGTAGCCCCGTCGTCAGACTGAGAAACAGGTCTCTGAGATGATTTGTTATCGTCGACTTCGCCGTCCTCTTCATCGACGGTTCTCGTGCTGAGAGCTATGTCAGTACTCGAGACAACAACCTTTGCGCATCTATGGTGCTCACCTGTCTGGGAGAGGTTTGAATTCAGGCGCGCTCGGTCGAAGTGAAGAAGACTTCCCTCCAGTCTTCTTCTCATCAGGCACGTCACCAGTCTACATAGAATGTTAGAAATTGTCAAATGCGCACCGAAAGAAGAATGAATGCTGACCGTGTTTGACCGGAAGTCCTGCACAATCACCCATTTCGTCGAGTGCTTCTTAAGTGCTGATAATGCCGTGTTGGCGGTAACTGAAAGATCAACACGATGGCCCGAGCCATCCTCCGTGTCGTTCTTCGAAGCTGCTTCGCGTTCCGCGATGGTGCCGAGAACTTGCAAGAACTGCTTGCCCATGAAGTTGACCGCAGGGAAGTACTCAAGCCCGGACTTCAGCACGGTAATGGCATTCCTGATGTGCATCCATTCTGAGCCATTAAGACAGCTTCTCAGAGCAGCAGCAAGATTTCGGTGCCAAGTCCAGAGCAGATCGCGGAAGGAGTCATGGTCCATCTGCGCGGTTGGCTTGCCTTCCTCGTCAAATGCTGTGGCAAAACCGAGACGACCCTCCTTGACGGCTTCTGACTCGAAAAGTGCCTTCTTGCTGTGCCAACCCGATAAATTACCAAGTGTGAGCTTGATGAACCGGCCGAAACATTCGGCCTCACGCACACTACAGCTGAAGATCATGGCGCGCAGCCTGTTGACACTGAAGAAACGGTCGTACAGGCTGGCCAGCTTGAAATTCGGCACCTGATTGGCGTGGAGGAACATCAACATCGAATGGCAGTATTCTGCGTCAGCTGGTGATAGTAGAAGGCGAGGTACGAGGCATTCCTCGATGAGGGTATCTGAGACGACATTGGATTTGCCAATCGCGGCAGGGAACCACATCGAGCTTTGCTTGATGAGGAGAAGCCTGGTCTTGCCGAGGCGCTCCTTGGACGCGTTGATCTCGGCGAGGAGGTCTCTCTGCACCTGTTGAAGTGCAGCAGTCTTTTTCTCCCTCTTGGTCTCTCCATTCCGACTCATGTCGCTTCGATCTCTGCGCACGTCATCAAGCTCCCTTGCTACATGCACAGATTCAGCATTGTAGCTTGATCTAGGGACCGCCAGATCTCCTGTTTGCAGAGACCAGAACAGTGCGAAGAACTCGGGACTGATGTTCTCCAGTGTGTGTTGCGGGAGCAGCTCACGTACGGCTGCGATGGTGGGTTCTAAAACTTCAATGAAGCGATCTGACTTGCGCCCGTTGCTCTGCTGCAGGTCAGTCGACTTCTCCGCTGACGATTTATCATCAATAGCCATCGCATCGTCGGTCACGAGAGCATCGCCAGAGGGCTGTGTTGAAGCGCTATCCGCAATTGCCATCACCGCGTCTTCGGCATCTACAGCAGGGGCTGCAGAGTCAGCGATGGGAATGGTACGCCCAGCACCAGTCATGAGATAAGCAAGACTTCCACGACCGATGAGGAAAGCAAGGGCAGGCTCAAGACCAAAATCGGTGAGCAGTTGAGGCACGCTGGGTATTAGGGCATCGAACTCCTCTGGCGTGAGGTTGTGGCGCAAAAGCTCGACGAACTGTACCAAGGCTTGTTGAGAGTCGTCTAAAACAGTCGCGAGATACTTGACGTGGGCCTCGCTTTCGGGTACCTTGTAGATTGCTGATTGTCGGTATTGCGCAATGTTGACCAGGAGTTGAGATGCGAGACGCGTTTTCTTCAATGAGCCCATAAACCTCGTAGCGCTCTTGTCCGACTCAAATCGCTTGTCGCCCAAGTGTATCAAGGTCTGTCGCCGCAGAAGCTCTCCGCCAGTCAGCGCTGAGAGTTGCGCCTCTGTGAAGTCGATGCTGGAGACGATGCCACCCATAGATGAGATGAGCTCCTTCAGAATGATCAGATCTGTCGAATTGCCCCGGCCAACCTGGTCGTTGACATACTGGATCACTGGTGTTGGATCAATATTGCTGAATCGTCTGAAAACCTTGCCGGAGAACTTTGACAAAGCTTGAAGCCATCGACTTGTCAGCAGAACGGAACTTTCCTGGGTACGACTTCTTTGCTTGCCACCCAACGAGCTGAGCAAGGACCAGACAAGCACATCATAGCCTAGCTCTGTAAAGTACTTAGTGCACTCGACAAAAGCCTCGATCAGATTGCTATAGGCCTCGATTTGATCAAGGGCGACCTTGCAGACAATGCCCGGTGATGAAAGTGCAGTCTTGGCAAGTTTCTTTGCGGAGCTCGAAATGTTCTGCAGGGATAGTCGCTTGAGTGTGGCCAGAGTGTCTAGACGAGCAGCCTTGAACACTTTTGCCATTGCTGGCAGCCTCGAGATCTGACCTTCGTAGCACTCGGCATATATGTTGTAGCGAACCTGTGTCGGGTAGTGCTTGAGGAGGTCCCAGACAGCAGCCACAACGTCGACGTTGGAGGAAGTAAAGCTCAGTGCAGGCACCAGGATACGGCGTAGAAGGTCCTGCCATCTTGCCATATTCTCCGCGGACATGTCTTGTGCGAAGCTCTTGACGCCAATTGCCGCGATCTTCTTCACCAATGTCGCTTCTCTGCCAATGTTGACACCAGAAACGTTGAGCAGCGTGCTGCAGAGTGTGAAGAAGTCATCGACCGTCTGGCAAATGGGAACATTATCTGCCCATTCGTCGAGATAGAACTTGTATAGCACACCCTTGCTTACGCCGTCGGCATGTGGCCATCGGAGAATCTTGGCAGCGGTGCCCTCGATGAGTTTGACACTACCCTTGGCCGTGCCGCTTTGGTCAACGGCGACGTCTGGCTTGACAATGCTGGCAGGAACAGGCCGGGCTTCGCGCGGTTGGCTGTCCCTGGCGACTTTGTCGATGGAGTGCAGAAGAATTCGGTTGATTGCTGGGTAGATCTCATCTGGATAAGCATCGGGCAACCACGGGAACCGTCCAAGCAGGAAGAGTGCCTCCGGAATGGCACCAACAACGAGCAGGTGTGTGACAAGGTCCGCCTTGTGAGCCTCACGAGGTTCAGGGAGCGCCGCTTCATCGTCGGTCTTCGCATCAGAGGCGTCGGCTTTGGTCGCATCAGTCTTCGCGGTCAGCTCTCGCTGCCTGGGAAGGGTAGGAAGCGTATCGTCGGTCAGAGCTCCGGCTGACAGAAGAGCGTTTGGCTCAGCTCCCTGTCGACTGGCCCTCTCCTTCTCCTCGAGTTCCTTAATGCGGCGCTCTCTGACACCATCCATTGCCTCATCTGATGGCCAGAGGTGAGGATACAGATCAATCAGGGAGACAAAGCCGATTTTAATGAGGAATGCAGCAAGATAGTACAGGTTGGCTGGAAGGGTCTCGGTCTTGTCGCGCGCTTCAGACGTATAGAAGCGAAACTTGAAACCCAATAGCTGTGCTGCGGTGCGATTGCCCGGGGGTGGCAATGTCTTTGTCGCTTTCAACCACTGCAAGGTTATGTCGGCCTTGTTATTTTCCTCAGAGAGCTCGTCAGTGAAACGCTGCAGCTGCTCTTCATTCAGTTCGCGGCCGCCCAACTCGAAGAATGCATCCAAGTGATTTTGGCGGGCACGCTGCCAAAAGGTGCGATCTCGGGCGAGGCACTGCTCAAAAAGTAGTGCGTCGAGTTCATCTGCGCTCATGTGTTCGTTCTCAGGCAGAGCCCAGCCCGGCAGACCGCCAGTGAAATTTTGCTTGGCCTGCTCAATTTGACTCCGGGGCCACCAAGAGCTCATCCGCAGAAATCGGGTATAGAACCGAAGATTTCTGAGCATCGTGGCGGAGAAAACGTCGATGACAACATCAAGAACACGTCCTACGTCCAAGTCGAATGTGCCGATCAAGCCCTTGACCCGCTCCCAGGCAGCATTGACGAGAGCAAAGTCGAACTCGCGGTTGTAGGGCGTTCGATACAATTCAGCGGCTAATTTGGAATACCCCTCCGATTCCTCGCGCAAGAGGTTATAGTTTGCTTGCCGGTAGAGCTGGTTGGTCGCATATCGTACACCTACTCTGACAAACGTGCTCCGAATGAGACCAAGCTGTTCCAGTGTCGTCGCATCCAGAACCTGTCGTATGAGGTTTAGCGATAGTCCCGTGCTAGCGACAAACTCTCTCAGCTGAGGAATGGATGCGGTCTCTTCCGAGTCAGCGAAGACTGATATCGTATCGAGGAACAATGCGCGCGCGTCAAAGTCGAATGAGATCTCGTCCTCGGCGGTATCGTCCGACGTGCCTAGAATCTGCTTGATGCATTCTCCCGCATCAACCGGCATGAGCTTACTCTCAAGCACAGCACGGGTGAATTCTTGAGATATTGTCGAGATTTCCTCAATGTCCTCGTCATTACGGGACTTGATGCCATACTCGATAACGTCTTGGCGGCCACTGTTCTGCCAGTCGGCCATGCGCGATTCGGTAAGCACTGTATAACAAAAATTCGTCGTGATCGGTGACCGGGCCTGGAGCGATACTGGGGTGACAGGTTCAATCGGGGTCTGCGGGACGCTCGAGGTGGTTGGCTGGATTGCTGAACTTTGGGCGCGAGATACGGCTGGAGACGGCGGAGCACGATTCGTCTGTGACGACTCTCGCCGCTCGTTCCCTCTTCGGCCATTCCTGCCCGCACCTGAGGCGCGACGGCCTTGCGATGGACTACCGTCTGTGAAGTCTCGGTCATGTTGCGCCAGATTTGTGTCGGCGGGCCGGTGAGGCGCCGGCCGGTTGGCACCGGACTCCCGGTCGTTGCGCTTCCGTTTCGGGGGCATGTTGCTGCAGAGAAATTGTCATTGAGTGTCCGTTGTGATGATACATCACTGATTGGCGGTGTCGTGAGCGAAGAGTGAACTTCGCGACTCGCTGTGTGGTGTCGGAGAGAGAGGGCGTACTTTTGCTTGATCGGTGGACGATACCGTCGTCGTCGCTTTGCGTATGATGCACGGCGGCGCGGCCTGGTGCGATGGGTGGATTGGTGGCAGGAACGCGTCGGCGCACAGCGAGATTAGGACAAAGGAGATTGACAAGGACGAGGAAAAGAATGAAAGAGAATGTGGGATGGGCAAAGATCAGCTTGTGCGGTTGCCCATTGTCATCACGACGAGGAGATGACAAGCAGCACGCAGTCTTGTGCAAAGGACAAGCTGGATGCCGCAATCAGCCTTGTCGAGGAATCACTAGCGGGAAGAGATAAGGGATGCTCGCGCCCGGAGTGTCGTAGTGCTGGGCGTGCGAGGAGGCGGATGGACGTTGGCTGCAGACGAGAACTGCTTGCTGTGAGGCAAGCTGCGACGATGCGATGGATGTGTTTCGCGTGGCTCCAACAGAGACCCGTTCTTTTTGGAGAGGCAGATGGGGCTGGCCACAGCGCCTGCTGCCAATCATCATCGTGAGCGGCGCGTGAGCTGGTCCTGCCAAACGGTCAATGCTCGTGCTGCAGCTTGGTCGCTTGCTTAGCTAAGCCTCGCGTCCTGAGGCGGCCGGAGGAAGGGGCGCAACGCCAGGCCCCACTACCGTCGGGTTAGGGGTCTGTTGCCAATCCGTCAGCGCTTTCTCCAGCTTCCGGAGACCGGACTTAGGTAAGCCACATCCCGCCTCGCTATGAGTCTTTGCTGGAGAATGACATGTGTGTGTAGTGGAAGAAATAGAGTGGGGGAGGCGTGATTATTGACTAGCATCGACGCCAGCTTGTGATCAGTCCGGACGGGTTCTGCTCTTGCAACATTGTTCGTTTCCTGTCACTTCTTGGTCCGTCATTCACCACTCACGTTGCCGCTTCGTGTGGGCAGAAGGACTCTCAAGCACACCCCGACGGGCATTTACACCATCGCCACCCCCGGAGGCGATCTCGTAGCCATGGCAGTTCCGAACGAGGCTGGCAAGCTGGCGCCATATGGTCAGTAACCCCATTCCTGCCTGCGATGTCCTAACATTCTGGGCTTGCTATGATGTTGTCACGCTCGGGACCCCAGTGGCTGAATACTTCCAAGAAAGAACGCAGCAGCAGCCAGAGAACCCCTTTGCTGCCCTGATACCGGACCAGAAGATCGCCATAGTACCGAGTTTCACGCTTGAGTCGGGCGAGACTCTCATCAATGTGCCGCTGGCATACACCACTCTCGGCAAGCTTTCCCCCGAGGCTGACAATGTGATGGTCATCTGCCACGCCCTCACGGGCTCAGCAGACGTCAGTGATTGGTGGGGTCCGCTTCTGGGCGGCCCTGGCCGTGCCTTTGACACATCCAGATTCTTCGTCATCTGCATGAACAGTCTTGGAAGTCCCTACGGCACGGCCAGTCCAGTCACTGCCAAGGACGGCGATTTGAAGAAAGAAAGATATGGCCCCGAGTTCCCTCTGACCACCGTCCGCGATGACGTAAGGTTAGTTATATGCTTCCGCCACTTGTCATCTCTTGCGGCCGGCAGACTGACCAGCTATCCCAAGGCTACACAAGCTACTGCTTGATGATCTCGGCGTCAAGCAAGTTGCTGCAGTGATTGGGGGGTCCATGGGGGGAATGCTCGTACTGGAATGGGCATACTTTGGCAAGAACTACGTCCGGACGATTGTGCCCATTGCCACATCGAGCCGGCACAGCGCCTGGGGAATCAGCTGGGGCGAGGCTCAAAGGCAGAGCATCTACGCAGACCCCAAGTACGATGATGGCTATTACCCCTTCTCCGACCCGCCCGTCACGGGGCTTGGTGCTGCCCGAATGTCGGCCCTTTTAACCTACAGGAGTCGCAACTCATTCGAGGCTCGATTCGGGCGCAATATCCCCGACGCCTCCCGCCAGCAGACGATTCGTGGCAACTCACGGCCCAGCACGCCTTCGGAGGCGCATTTCCATATTCACAACGATGGCCACAAAATCACACGGACTTCAAGGACCAACAGCCACACCGACAAGGCAGCCGCCGCCTCCGCTGCCGCGGCATCGGCAGCTGCCACAAAGCCGATCCTGTCCGCAGTCTCCAAGGAAATCGCAGAGAGTGAGGGGGCACCATCCCTGGATCCGCAATTCTCTGGTCCCAAGCTAGGCGGGGAGCAGTCGGCCCCTACATCAACCTATTTCTCCGCCCAGTCCTACCTCCGCTACCAAGGGCAGAAGTTCGTCAAGCGCTTTGACAGTAACTGCTACATTGCCATCACGCGGAAGCTAGATACCCATGACGTCTCGCGCGACCGCACCGCCACGATCCCCGAGGCTCTTGCCATGATCGAGCAGCCTACTTTGGTTCTTGGGATTGAGAGTGACGGCCTGTTCACGTTTGCCGAGCAGGAGGAGATTGCGGCCCACGTCAAGAATGCGCGCCTCGAGAAGATTGATAGCCAGGAAGGCCATGACGCATTCCTGCTGCAGTTTGAGCAGGTCAACCGCTTTATTCTCGCCTTTTTGAACGAGCACCTACCAGATATCATGCGGCGGGAGGGCGAGCACGTCGAGGAGGCTGCGGTTGGTGCCATGACCAAGTCAAGCACATTTGGAGAGGCCGAGGTGGATGATATTACAGCCTGGTAGTTTCTGGTCGGATAGAGCTTGAGTACAGAGTGCATGGCTTCAACATGCCATTGCGAAATTTTATACCTCTCTATTCATGGAGTGCCTCACATGACACGACCCCGATTCGGACCATGCAACTCGTGATTTGATGGTTCCACGACTCTATTATCAAGGATTTCTAGACGAGACGGCAGTCGAGGTAGGGTGAAGCAACACTTGAGCGCTGTGTTGCCAAAAAAGCTCGGGTTCCTAGCACCACTTCAAAGCATGAATCAACACTTGCCGTTCCGTGAATCTTCGAGGCGGCTCGGCGGAGCGGCGCCATTGACCATCGCGAGTAGTGTACCATTGGAGACTGTCCTTTGCGCAAGTGCCGAGTCGCTTGTGCACGAAGCACGCCGCGCTAATCAGGTGATTCATCGTGATCAAAGCTCGATCTAAACGCTCCCTATGTCTTCTGCTTCGTAGTTTCCCGTCGATCTATCAGTCCTTCGACACTCTTGTGGATGCATGGCTGCATTATCAACCTCAAGTCTCGCTTCGACGATCCCTTCACGCTGGCATCGCGTCCATCCGCATCATCATCGCGGTCTCCTCGTCCACCTCCTCCTCTTGCCCGCCACCGCTGCCGCCGCCGCCACCGTTCCGAATCAGCCCAGCCTGACCCCTCCTAGCCATCTCCCGCTCAACAAAATCCCTCGTGACCATCCCGGACTCGAAGAGCCCCGCCTCTTCAAACTCGTCCTTCTGCCTCGACACCCACGCACCCAGACTCCGCATCCCGACGACCAGGAATCCGAGCTCCTCACGGTCGACGTCAAACACCTCCCACCAGGCCACGTCGGGCATCCGCGCGCCGAGGTCCCGCGCGGCATTGTATATCGCGGCCACGGCGAGCGCGTTGGGCTGGTGCGTGAGGTACAGCATCTGCGGGGAGAGCAGGGCCGTGTTGAGGTACGCGCAGACGAGGCGCGAGATGTCCGTTTTGCTGCTGCCGCCGCCGCCGCCGAGAAAGTCGAGGGCCTGCAGGTATGTGACTGCCAGCGGATGGGGCAGGGCGACGTGCGTGTCAAAGGACAGCGAGTAGAGGATGCGCGCCTCGATCTTGAGCATCTGGGTCTGCCGCGTCGTGTAAGCTGTGTCGGAGAGGTAGTATGTTGACGGGTCGTCGGTTGCAGCGGCGCTGCCGCTTGCTGCTGGTGGCGGCGGGCGGAATAGCCGCGAGCTCGGGGAGAGGAGATATGCGTAGACGTTGCAGATGTCGCGCGCCGGACACGGGTGAGAGCTCAGCTTTGCGACGAGGTAGAGAGAAGTTGCTGAGGCGTCCTGTATTGGGGCAGTCGGGGTTTAGCAGTTGCAGCGTATGACACGGGAATGGAATTGTCAAGTCCGCAGAGACTCACGCTAAACTCGTAGAGAAGGGGCGACTCGACCAGCCAATATCGCGCGAGCACGACGTTGGCGCAGGCTGTTACCGACTGTGGTAGTCGCAGAAGCAGACCAGCCGCCTGTGTGAGCGTCTGAGTCGCGAAGAAGACGACATCTTGAAGATCTGACGGAAGCGCGCCCGAAGAGGTGCGCTGGTAGAGCTGTTCGATGGTGGCCAGCGGATTGGTCATGTGCGCCATTGCGAGTATCCTGAGGGAAGATGGCGATGTGGTGTCGTCACACACGCAAAATGCAAAGTGGGTGGATGCTGGAAAGCGAAGGAGAAGCTGATGAGCTTTTAGCCCCCCAGCTCCGGTCCAGCCTTCACATGTTAATGGTCGATCTACGGACACCACGCCAGCTTCGTGAATGGCCGGATACACCTAGGGAGAGGTCCGATGTTCTGATTGAGGAACTGGTTCCAATTGCCTGCCAGAGGGCGATGGGAGTTGACAGGTATGGCCGCGAGCTGCTGACGATGACGAAGTTGTGCGGCTTGGGAGAGCTAAACGGTTGTTTTTAGTGGCCAGGCACTGAAGCTGTGATGGCCGATGTCGCTGGAGAGGCAGACAGACAGGCAGGGCCAGCCCACCGGGGCAACCCTTAAGCCACTGCGGGGCAGCGCGACAGCTGCTGGAGCTGTCGCGACTGGAGTAGCGGACTGGCAGGGGTCTTTGCGGTCATCCCGCACCACCAACACCAGAGCTGCCTAAGACCGTGTGGGCTGTTGGAGGTGACCTCACTCTCCCCCCACGACATCAACCACGAACAAGCAGACCAAAAGCACCACCCGCACATCAGAAGGTGCGCTCCCACGACCATCACCCCCGAAATACAGATCTCTCCCTCTCTGAACAGTAGCAGCCCCTCTGCTCGCTGTGGCAAGGCTTGAACGGCCGCTCGTCCCGTCCCCCGACAACCAGCAGCAACCCCGCCGTGACCTGCACGAGCATCTCCTCCACAATGTCCGCGGGTTCGAGCACGCTGCTCTCGACCCAAAAGGCGTCTGACTCGGGCCTCCAGGCTGTCCTGCACCCTCTGGTCCTACTCACAATCTCCGACTACATTACAAGACACGCGCTCAGAGAACAAAAGGGCCCGATCGTCGGTGCCCTCATCGGTCAGCAGCATGGACGCGAAGTCACAATCGAGCACGCGTTCGAGTGTGCCACCATCGCCGTCGATGGCAAGGTCCTCCTTGACGCCGACTGGTTTGCCCAGCGTCTCGAGCAGAGTAGGTCATGACTTCACCATCAGAAGCTTGTGTTTTTCCAGCAGCTTACCAGGAGGACAGTGAAAACGATCCACAAGTCGCCACAGCTCGATCTCGTCGGCTGGTATACAGTACTCCCCAAGACAGGCCCGACACCTTCGGTGCTCCCAATCCACAACTGGATCTTGTCCGAGCACAACGAGTCCGCTTTGCTTCTCGCCTTCCATTCCGAGGAGGCTCTCTCACATTCAGTCGGAAGCAAGCTTCCTCTAACAATATACGAGTCGAATTGGGAGGCCGAGGACACCAAGCAGGAGGCGGGAGAGGACAAGGAGATGAAGGACGGCGAGGCGCCTCTGCAGCTCAGGTTCAGGGAGCTGCCGTACTCGGTGGAAACCGGCGAGGCGGAGATGATAAGCATGGACTTTGTCGCGCGTGGCGCGGGCAACGCGACCGTTGTGCAGCCGAGAGACTCGAAGAAGTCCACCAAGACCGAGGTTGATGGCAAGGGCAAGCAACCTGCGACAGAAGCATCAGAGGATGCCGCAACAGACGAGCACATCCTCACGAATGACGAGGAGGAAATGATTGCCGCGCTCACGGCGAAAGCGAACGCCATCAAGATGCTGCAGGCTCGCATCAACCTGCTCACGACATACCTTGAGAGACTGCCCGAATCCTTCAGATCAGGGGAGAAGCCGATGAGCAGCGACCACCAGACACCTGGTGATCAACAAACCATACCGTCCTACACAATACTGCGCTCGATCCAGGCGCTTTCGAACAGACTATCACTGCTAGCGGCGTCAGACGCGTCGACGGGCCTCGAGCAGGAGATGCTCAGCGAGGCCAACGACGTCCACCTCATGGAACTTCTGAACGACGTCATGCAGAGCGTCACCGAGGCGAGAGGCATCGGCAAGAAGCATGGCGTCATCGAGTCGGCAAAGAACCGCAAGAACAACATGGAGAATCTGGCGGATCGCAGCGCGTACATGTCCGGTGCCGGAGATCTCACCATTTGAACTCTTTTGTCTCCCGAGGGCACGACAATATCTCATGCTTGAGCATTTGGCATGAACTTCGCACAGGGACGAAGCGGGGTCCGCGCAGCAGCAGTTGCTGGCGTCCAGACACTTTCAAACAGATGTCAATTTGAGGCGAGGCATGACAGGAAACTTCAGATCGTGGCTTGGAGCCTCTCATCAGCACGGGGTAGCGTCCATGGAGGTATCATATCTCGAGGTGGTGGTAAGGGCTCATCGCAAAAGCCGAGTTGCGTCCAGCGCCAAGGTCTACGGGGTCCTGTTTTCGCTAGCGATGGGTTGCAAGGACTGGCATGACAAATTGGCCGAGATCCGGATCAGGCACGAGATGCGACCTCACCACAAGTTGGTTCATGCAAGTCATGGGAGTAGCACAGTACATACAGCCGAGCAGCTATGAAGTTATGATAGCGATGATTATGAGACATCGAAAAGACAGACCGGCAAGAGGCGTAGAGCATAGAGCATACTCGCAGATCGACGAATGGAAAATCTATCACTGTGCACATGCTGAATGTGCGAATGTCACTGTTTACTGGCTGAGTGCCCCCTTCAATGACCGAGTTGCGGAAACATGCACGAAAAGACAACGCGTCGAAGACATACCCAATTGACGAAAATAAAGGTATAGAAGACCATATTGAGTTCCCAAGATATGCCAATTTGTAGTCTGTATCACAAACATCACGATGCATGGCTAAACCGACGCCTCTCAAGAACAAACAAAAGATGGAACTCCAAACTCCAGAAATAGGACCTCGGCAACAACTAGAAACTGCGTACCCTCAGAGCTTCCAGAAGGACAGATACCTCAGGCTTCAATGATAACCTTGATGACGAGGTTACCGTCGTCATCTGATGTCCGGCAAGCAAGCTCGAAGGCCTGCTTGGCAGCCTCGAGCCCTTTAAAGCGATGTGTGATCATGTCATCCAGGCTTGGGAACCCTCCAACACCACCAGCGGTGCTTGCTGAGCAGAGCAACCGAATGCCAGCAGCGTATGTGTTTGCGTAGCGGAAGATGCCAAGAATGTCTATCTCCCTCAGATGGGCGACCGATATCGGTAGTGTCTGGATCGGAGTGCCCATACCAACCATGATGAGCTTGCCGCCCGGCCGGGTCGCATACAGACCGGTGTGCATGCAAATCTCTTTGCCCGTACATTCAAAGGTGACGTCGACCCCCTCGTCTTCGTCTTCGTCTTGGAGATCCGGTGGCGGCCTGGTCAAAGCAAGGACCTCAGCGGCCAGACTTTTAGCGTACTGCAGCTGTCCCTGGATGGAACTGGCGAGCAGACTAGACGCTGTCCGGACATTCACCTCCACCTGGCTTTGCGGAGTAGTAATACCGGAGTTGGAGGCTGAACCGTAGGTGGAGTCCTGAGATGGCTTCGGCACAACAAAGCCATGTGTGGCAAAGCCCTTCTTGAGAGCATAGTTGACGCGCCCTTCGTCAACATCTGTGATGGTCACACTTGCACAGCCAGCTCGAAGAGCCATGGCAGCGGTCAGTAGCCCGACAGTGCCGGCACCCGTTACCAAGGCTGAGGACCCCGGAGCTGGCGACGCCCGGTTGACTGCATGGAGCGCGACGGATAAAGGCTCCAGGAGAGCAGCAGCATCGAATGATACATGGTCGGGAAGCCTAATCGGCAGGCGTGTCAGTAGACAAGCGGCAAAGCTGTGCACGGCACGAATTGCCGACGAAATGACAGACTTACTTGTAGCACCACCTAGCTGGATGGTTGATCCGTTCCTGGAGTGTACCTTGGAAGTGCGGGACGCTCTTGGCACTGCTCCTGAATCTCATGCGCTTGCACAGGTTATACCGCCCTTTGCGGCAAACGCTACATTGGCTGCATGGAATGCCAACCTCTAGGGCAACTCTGTCACCTATGCCAAAGCCCTTTACGTCCTGGCCGATGGCTACGACTGTGCCAGAGGACTCATGGCCAAGAGAGAGTGGGCCACAGGCACAGAGGTCTCCGTTGGCAAACCTCTTGTAATAGGAAACATCAGAGCCACAGATGCCCGTTGACCGGATTGCAATCTGCAGTTCGCCGGCAGCAGGCTCTTCAATAGTTCTAGTCTCCTATATGCAACTGCAAGTCAGCCTCTCGAGACAGCTGAGGTTGAAATAGAGCTGACATGCATCCAGACAGGGGTACAAGCCAACTGGTGTGACTCACCAACCGCAGATCTTGGGGCCCATGTAGTACTGAAGCATTGATAGTCGAAAGCTTTGAAGAAATTGGGCTGTGGTCTGCTGATACAGTAGGCATCGCAGAGGGAGCCATGGTTCTAGAGGCGGACTAGTGGCGCGGGATGACCCAACGACGTGGGACAGGAGCGTGGGATGCGTGGGATGGAGGGCCTATCGGTGACCGAAGCAGTCTCTCCAATACGAAGAAGCCCTGGACGGTATGGGAGAAGCGTGGGGGTGAAGTAACAGAAGTCGCTCTAGGGAACTGATATAAGTCTCTGGAATGACCCAACTTGCCTCCCTATTTCCTGATTGCTTGATGAGGTCGAGGTATTGTTGGCTTTTGGAAGATTTTGTCTGCAGCGACACCCGACTGCCGTCATGGACGAGAGACGACTTTTGTATGCCAACGGCCTGTGGAGAAAGCTGGGTAGGACACGGAGAGCAAAGTACGAGCCCTCATCGACCGATGGCGGCCCAGTGGCTATCATTTCCAAGCACATGCACGGAGGGCGGAGCATTGTCAAAGCGGTAGCGCAGGGCTTGTGAGGCAGAGACATGACGACACGGCCCAGTCAGATATCTCGGTGTTATCTCAGGCTCCTTGAAGACTGCTCCTCGTTCCGGAAGAGCACATGGAAGGAGGATAGCTCCGTCGTGCCCAGCCCGGGTTGTGCAGTCCATCATGGGCCAGACAGATCCTTGCTGGGCGGGCACCCATGAGCCATGCAATGCAATGCGATGCGCGGTGCGCGCCTGTTTGGGATGGCTCACGTCGAGGTCGTCACTCATATTAGGCCGGAAGCTGGGCCGGGAGTTGAGGCCGGGGCTGCAGGGGAAGTACATACGAAGTCCAGTATTCCAAGGTCCTTTGGTGAAAGTCTGAAGTGGCGTTGCATCCATGCTGTTGACGGGGATGTGCAGACAGCCACCGAGGAGCCAGAGAATCGTGCCCGTGGGCGAAATGACTTGCAGGGAGGGGCGGAAGGAGTGCTGGTTTCCGGAGGTCGTCTTGAGGCGATATCCCTCTGGCCAGCTAGCGAAGCACGACCGAGGCATGGCCGCCGCCTGTGCAAGATGGCCGCAGATTGCACTCAGGTTTCACCGGCAGGGCAGCCAGGGGGCCATGCTGTTCTCCAGGGTTGCTGCTGTTGATTGATGCTGGGACGACTGGCCGTGCAGATGCGTCCGCCCAACCCATCCCGGGACAGGGAACCTGCAGCACCCAGTCGGTTGCATGCCCGCCGGTACCGGTGTCGCTATAGCTTAGCTGCCGTGAAGATGGAGTCGTGGAAGGATGACGCGAGGGCTAGACACATTCTCCACCCAACTTCTGTGCTCAGAGGCAAAAGATGCTCGCCAGCAGCAGCGATTGTGCAAGGCCATAACGGACAGTAGCCGGATTCCGGGATAGAGGCCTGGGGCGTCTCATGCAAAGCGGTCGGCGAGAACATATGGATGGCTTTCGAGGGGCGTTTTAGGGGGCAAAACCTTGATGATGTGGCCTGCCAGGCTCCGCAAAGGAGCGGCAAGTGAAGCCAGAGGCGCAACTCGCCAGCGCCGTAGAAGCCATTGCAGCATGTGCGTGTGTTTGGCCACGCCACGGTAGGACTTGCTTGGACACGACAAGGAAGGCACGATCAGGGTGTACAGGGAGCCCCACCAACCATCACGGCACGCCTGGAAATCATTTACCAGAGTCCCATGTGCAATCCTGGCCTGTCTCTCGACTTTCGCGATGGCACACCAATGCATTGCTCACCGACTCCCACAAGCTTGCCCAAGTCGACCGTGCCTCTCAGGAGGGTTGACGACACATGCAATGGGACCACCGCTGCCCGATCTTCTGTCATCAGTCCTGGTGATCTACCACATGCCCGTCGTCAACACCATGGTGGCTATTATCTCAACCTCGACACTTCGTTCACCAGCCAGCACTTGAATGCGGTTTTGTAGCAACAGACCAGCCCAGCTCAACCCAGCCCATAGCACCACCTGCCAGCTAGGTGGCTACCATCATGCACGGCCAAACCTTTGATCAAGCTTATACCAGGTGCAATATGCCGCCTGATTGCACAGGAGCATCTCTCCAAACACTAGCACGCCCTAGGTCTGCTTCCAAACACATGGCGACAAGGGTTGTCTACCCTGAACGGCCTCGCTGCCGCTAGTGATGTGTGTGAGTCGTGCCATGCAGGATGTCCCGGACGCCCTACTCAGGCTTATCAGTTGGAGCAAATTCACTTTGTCCATCCTGGCCGGATACCTGCAGATCCTGAACCTCGAACATGTGTGCAACACCCGCCAGGCGCATCCGACTTGACAAGCAGAGACCAATTCCTACGTTTCCCCACAGGAGCCGGAACAGCTGTGTGGAGGATCAGCACTTGCTTGGCGTCTTTGAAGAAAAACGTCTCCACCTCTCAACTGGATCATCCGGGGCCCCAAGCTTTCGTGACAGCTGGGTACCTGATATTATCCGCAGTCCTTGTGTCGCCCACATCAGCCGGCGGTTGCTCGGGACGTCAGTCAAGGTGGAAGCCCATTCAGCTTTCCCCACTCAAGATATAGAGGCTCTACTATCTAACAATTTAACTGCTACATCCCCACAATCCGCGATTGTTGATTCGGTACTCGTCGAGACATGCATTGCGGAAAGCTCCTGGTGGTGAAACACGACCTTTGCCTTTACCAGCAACTAGTTAGAAACATGTCTGCTGGGCTCTCTTGGTATACACTGTCTCATTCGTCCCAGCAAGCTTACTTCGCTATCCATCTAGTCCATTCTGTGGTGACCGCCATCTCTTCCATTCGATGGCATAGTCCAGGACAAGCATGCACCATTCCAAATCCACATGCATTGCAATGAGCCGCGGACACAAATTGCCGTACCTACATTGCAGCCGCGGTCTAGGCTCTCGCAGGCAGGGGCCGAAGTGCCGAGGACGCACCTTGACTTTGGCGAGTGGCTGCTCAAGCGGGCTCGCTTGTAAACGGTCAGCACGTAATCTCCTCTGCCTCGTCCCGGATTCCAGGGTCCAGGGCGGCTAAGGGTACCTCAATCTAGAGCCAGCTGGGCCCACAATGCCTCTCCATGGGGACGGCGGCCCTGTTCTCGGCTGGCAGCCTGGCTTATTAGAAAGTGGATGGGTAAGTGACTAAGATACTTCTCATCAAGAAGTGTATGCCTGAGCAATTTTAGCCGCCTGCTTTGTCAAGATTGGCGGCCGGCCGGTGAGTTCGAAACGTCGTGTGTCCATCACGGGCCAGGATTGTGCCTGTTCCGCCCGCCACCGAATCGGATGCGTTCCACGAACTGATCACTGTAGAACCCGCAGAGCACAGAGCCCAAGAAGCAAGAGAATCGCAATGCTACGCCCTGCCGCAAACGACCATGATTGGCTCGATAGATGACAGCATGGTTTGAATGCAAAGGGACGGAAAGGGGTTGTACATGCCCCAGATTTGTTCATTGCATGCTCCCGCCGTTCCTATCTCAGGAGCTAGGTATGCCCATCCCATTCACGATCCAAAAAGAAATTGCCCGCCACTGCCCAAACCAGGAAAACATGCCGAACATCAAGAGAAACCCATGAACGCCAGTGCACCACCCGCACGAGCACATAGGTGCATTACATCTTGCCCCCTTCCGTCTCTGCCCTTTTGCCATGCATATGCAGAGTTCCCGTCCCGTTCAATGATCGTCGTCATTGTAGTCGTCATGGTCATCATAAAATTACTTGAAGTCTGCTGACGTCAGCGCCTGCACCATACTCGTGCCCTCGCTGAAACGGGTGCGGAAGATGCGGTTCGCGTTCTGGAACATGCCGTCCTTCAGACTGACGACGATGAACTGCGAGCCCTTGAAGCGGGTCTTGATGAGGCGGCCAATGTTCTGGGTATGCGACAGATCCAGTGCGGCGTCAACCTCGTCAAGAATGTACATTGGCGCGGGCTTGAACTGCAGCAGGGCCATGATCAGTGATAGCGCAACGAGCGACCTGCGGAGTCATGGAATGTTAGTCAAATGTGTCCTTGCTATACAGCAGGGCGATCTGGAACACTTACCGTTGTCCACCACTCAGCTCAGTGAGGCTCTGCTTCCAGACTTTGCCCAAGCACACCTTGACCTCAAGACCCTCATTGATTGTCTTGCCTTCCGGTGGGTCAAGCTTCGCGAAACTGCCGCCTGGCAGCAGGTCCGAGAAGATCTGGCCAAAGTCGGCATTGACCTTCTGCCACGTCTCCTGGAGCGCCTTCTTCTTGTAGTCGTCGAGGCTGACAATGGTCTCCTCGATCTTGCGCTTGTCACGGATGACCGTCTTCATCATGTGCTTGAGAGCCAGCTCCTTCTTCTCGACACTGTCAATCATGTTCATGACCTTGGGGTTGATCTTCTTCTTCATGCCCTGGAACCGCTCGATGAGCGTCTTGAGCGTGGCCTTGCACTCGGCGATGTTCTGGCCCTTGAAGTCGTAGGGCGTGCCCGACCGGCCAAAGTTGTCCTTCTCATCGGCGATCCAGTCATGCTCCTTCTCCATATCCGCGACTGTCTTGACCGCCGTTTGCTGCTCCTTGTTGAACTTGTCGACCTGGTGCCCAAGCTTCTGCATCTCGAGACCTTCCTCGGTGATCCGTGCGTTCTTGGACCGCGTGGCTTCCTCGAGAGCGCGCAGCTCGTCGTCGAAACCAGTCAGCTTGGCGCGCTCGTCGTCGAGCTCCGCCTGCGCAGTGTCGTGCACATCCTGCAGATCGGACCGTTTCTTTGTAATGTCCTCGATCTCCTGCTGCTGGCTCTTGATGGAGAGCTCGACCTCCTGAAGCTGCTCTCTGGCAGCAGCGAGGTCGCTTCCCACTTGTTCGGAGTCCAACTGGGCACCCTGCAGCTCCTTCTGCAGGTTTTTGACAGTGGTGGAATAGTTGGCCAGCGCCTTGCGCAGCTTGTCGAGGTTTGCCTGGATCTCCACGAGCTTCGAGTCCTTGTTGTTCTCGAAATCCTTCATGTCCTTCTCAATCCTCTTCACGTCCGCCTGCGCCTCGGCCTGGCGCTTCTTGGCTTCCACGCTCGACGACTTGAGCTGTATGATTGTCTCTTTCATGTTCTCCACCTCCTGGATGATGGACGACGATGAGTTGCCACTGATCTGCTCCTCGGCAAGCTTCGTCTCGTGCTTCTTGAGGTCGAGCTCCTGGTTAATCTTGCGTGCTTGGTCGAGCTTGGACTTTTCGCGTGCGATTTGGCTCTGGAGCTGCCCGAGGGACCTCTCGGCCTCGCGGATCTGGCGATTCAGCTCATTGAGCTTTTGAAGGGTCACGAGAACACCGCTCGAGTTGGGCGAACTACCTCCGGAGAGTGTTCCGGATGGGTCATACGAATCACCCTCGAGCGTAATACTCCGCATGCGAACATTGGGATCAAAAGTGACTCTCTTTGCCGTCTCCGCATCGTGGCAGACGAGCGTGTTGCCGAACACGTACTCCATGGCCGCTGACACTTGATCGTCGTAGCCTACCAGAGACAGGGCTAGGTCGACCTTGCCGGGCGCAAGCTGTTGCGCCGTCGCAATGGTCTGCGCAGAGGCCTTAAAGGCCGAGATCTTGTTCAGCGGGATGATTGTGACGCGCTTCCGCAGCTTACCGCCCTGTAGCAGTTGCGTACCAGTCACCTCATTGTCGACAACGACATTGTAGAGGCGGCCTCCAGCACATATCTCCAGGGCGGTTCCGGCTGTGGTGTGCTCCTTGTCTAAAGTGAAGAGCTGAGCGACGAGGCCTTTGACTTTGGACCGGTCAAAGTTTGGTGTAGGATCTGAGTAGTTGAAGTCGATGTTGGCCACTTTGCGCTTGAGGGCATCAGCTTCCTGGCGAAGCTTGCGTATGCTCTGTTGCAGTGTCGTCTCTTGCTTGTAGAGTGCCTCCTCTTGGCCTGGCTCAAAGCCGAGTTTCGAGAGCTGAGCCTCGAGCTTCTGCGATTGAGCTTTAAGCACCTCAAGATCCTTGAGCAAATCAGCATTCTGCTCCTTGGCCTTTTTCGCTCGGGGTTCCTCCTCCTTGATGCGCTTTTCAAGATGCGATATTTTGACCTTGGCCTGCTCCTGCTCCGTCGCTGCAGATGCCACTCGGGCTTTCGCATCGGAGAGCTGTCCTTGGTAACCACTCTCTTGACCTTCCTTGGATGCGACACCGGTCTGCAGTGTTTGCAGCAGTTCTTCGTTGGTCTCGGCTTCCTGGCTCATCTTTTCGTTCTCGGCCTTGGCCTCGTCATACTTGGCTTTGGTCTTCTCGTGTGCTTTGGTCTTGTCCTTGAGCGCTGCCTCGAGCTCGGCGACGTTCTTCTGCACAGCAGTCCGCTTTTCCTCTTCCTCGGCTTTACTTGACTTCTTGAGGTCAAGCACTGTCGCAAGCCTGACAAGCTCATTGGAGTGCTTCTTGACCTGTTCGTCCAGCGCCTGGGCCTTGCCTCCTTTCTTGAGCTCCTTATCGCGCTGCGCCCGCACGCGCTTGATGTCCTCTTCCAGATGGGAGATCTCGCTCTTGAGCCTCGTGGCCGACTCCTCGAGATCTTGCTGTCGTTGCTTCTTCGTGTCGAGGTCCGTCGCGGACTGGGCGAGCCTCTCCTGGTACCTTACGTAGTCGTGTGCGACCACAACCCTTGTCAACCGCTCCAAGTCGTTCTGTGTTTGTTGAAAGTCGAGGAAGGCGCGCTTCTCGGTCCGCAGCTTTTCGAGCTTGGGCTCGATTTCGTCGCTAAGCAGGGAGCCGATCTCCTGCAGCTTCATCTCCTTCTTCGCCATCGTCTTGAGCGCCTTGTCTCTCCGGTCTTCGAACATCCTCGTGCCAGCCGCCTCTTCGATCATGGCCAAGATCTCCACCGCCTTCATGTTGAGGACCTTGGTGATGCGGCCCTGCATGATCAAGAAGTTGGGATTGTTGATGTTGAGCTGGACGGATTGGAATAGGTTCTGGACCGTCTGCTGTTGGGCTCGATGGCCATTGATCAGGTATTTCGAGGTGCCTCCGAGGACGATCTGGCGCGTGACGCTGATTGTTGCATATTCCTCAAAGCCGATCGGCGACTTTGTCTTGTCTCTGTTGTCGAAGACGATTGTGACGCTCGCTTTCGTGACACCGGCTTGGCCGCGCTTGTAGATGAGATCCTAAAAATGCCAATAGAGTGAGCAGCGCAGCCGGGCTGTATGCAGAGCGCGTTTGAACGGACCTGAAGATTCTGGGCGCGGACTGTCGTCATGTTCGTAATGCCCAGCACGAAACAGATGGCATCCAGGATGTTGGACTTGCCACTGCCGTTCAGGCCCGTGATTGAGTTGAAGCTCTCGTCCCTAAGCGGCACAAGAATATCCGTCGTCGTCGTCAGCACATTGCTTTGCGGTCGCATGCCTGGTGTCACCGCTCCGCCTTCAGGGGATTATTCAGGGACTTACCAGCCGGAAATGACTGTTCGGACAGCGTACGACTTGAAGCCGTCGATCACGACTTCGGTGACCCTCATGTTGGCGGGCGCGACCGTGTGCGTCGTGGTGCTGCTGCTGCTGTTGAGTGTGGTTTGGCGATGTCTTGCCTCGGGGACATTTGGAGGCTGCCCCTCTCCGTGTTATTTGGGACGGGGGTTGTATGTTTACTTTGGGCAAAGTAAACATCGGAATGGCCCGTGCGCGTGGTGCATCCCACCTTTGCCAAGCCGCTGTCCCTGGATGCACTTTGGACACGCGAAAGAGACGGATGGGGTCCACATGTGCACTCTCACAGGGCAGGGCCACGGTGCCATTCACGGATTATGGTGCTCCAGCAGTTCTTCTTGAGAGCGAGGTTCCGCTTCCTAGACACATGTTCCATGGTGATGACGAGCTCCTGCCGAGTCGCCTTACATCCAGCATAGTTCTGCCAGCCTCTCCTGGATCATAATGTCATCGTCTGTAAGGCACACGGATATACTCCTCGAATTTCACGCAAAAGATATTGTTCTGCCCCGTAAACTCTGGAACACCGGAGATACTTTTGTCGGGGCTTTTGCTGTCATAGATTCGCATATTGTGAAGTTGAGTAATGATGAGCATGGTGTATGCACACTTTCATTCAACCGCCCGTGCACCCCCAGGCTATAAGCTGCGGGATTCCTGTCATACTTATTGCAGTGGTAGTTTTAATTCGTGACATATCGGTTGGTGAGGTTCAAAGATGACAGGCTGCTCCAAGATGCCTGTTGTTCTTTTCCAACTCTGGTCTGGTTCCGCCGTAATTAGCCCATCACCAAGTTGCGTACGTCAGCGGGAGGTCGCTGCGGCTGGTTGACCGGGGTGGTGGAGATAGGGACGGAGAGCCGCACCTGCTGGAATCCACTCCGCCGTGCCGCACGATGATCTCCGGACCTTTGCCACGCGACACCACTGTGCCGGTGGCCTCTTGCCAACAAAGCCCGCTCCGCTTCCCATCACCACCAACACCACCGTAGATCGGAGAGGACACGACAGCCTTTACGGGTGCTGCCTGACATCTGCCGACTATTCTGCGCTCTTTCAACACTGCTTGAACAAGATCCCGCCGCAGCTGCGCACACGACACCAAGCCATGGCAGACGAACAGATCTCCTTACCGTCCCTGCTCCTTATAGTAGTCCTCGGCGGCCTCATCGTCAGGTACCTCTTTTTCTCGCCTGCCGTCACCACCACGAGCCAGCCTCGCGATGCCGCCGCCGCCGCGCGCCAACGCGAGACCCTTGTCGAGAGACTGCAGCAGATGTTCCCACAGGTGGATCGGAGGACAATACTCTGGGATCTCCAGCGCAACGGCAACAGCATTGCGGCCACGACAGAACGGATCCTGGCCGGCCGCATGGAAACGGTACGTCGCGCCTCGGCACTTACATCCCTTTGCTGCGGAAGAGCCAGCCTGCTTCGCCTGGACCGCGAGCGAGTTCAGCAGCGCTGCGAGCTCATCGATCTTGGATCACTACCTCTTCCCCACTGTGATGATGATGATGATGATGATGATGGCCTTGCGAGCTGACATCACATGAACTGGCAGCCCCCGGTAACATTCCAACCTCCCCCACCTCCGGTATCCTCAACAACATCCGCATCGTCTGCCTCGCAACTGCAAGCCCAGGCGGCGCGCTCGAAGCCCGCCGAGACGGACCTGATCACGCGATACAAGCTGCAGAACAAAGTCAGCAGCCAGTCTCCCGCGCAGGTCGCCGAGGAGCAGACTGATAGCAAGGGCAAGTCATGGAGCTCTAACAGGGAGGAACGACAGAGCGCCCTGCAGCGAAGGAGGGACGAGATGATTATCGCAGCACGGAGAAAGATGGAGGCAAAGATCGCGGCGGAGAAAGCGGCGGCAGGTCAATCATGAGATTGCCGGGGAAAAGGTGACTTTGCAGAGATAGAGCGCGTTGCATGACGGCGTCCAGGGTGGCGAGGACAGGTTTCACTCGCCAGTGGTGGTGCGTATATTGTGTGTAGAGGTGGTGCCATGCCATCCTCCATCAGAGCAAGGGAATGCCCGCAACCAAAGTATTCTTTACATGTTCCTCGGTGGTATATCACGAACTCGAAAAAGACACGGTTGCGTGGATTTGTCTACCATCAAGTCTGGCTGCAAGGTTACCCGCGAGACAAGTTCGCAGGCTCGAGGCGTGCGCCAAATCACGAGGCCCGTTTCTTTGCTGCAGTTTGGCCCATCTGGGCTTACAACATCCGAGTACATTTATACACCCCGTAGTAGTAGCAACAATCTGCGACTGGATCATCGGTGTCATTCCAGATGGCAAACAGTAAAGAGCGCTATGGAATGAACCAAGGGGGCCTTCATCCGATTGTGCACCTCCTTTGCACGACTCAACAAGGTGTTGCCCATGTTGAGCAACTAGTCGATCAAGCACATGTTTGCGCCAAGGATTCGTTCGACAGACACGCAGAACTTGGTCTGCGAACAATTCTCTTTCCGGATCGAACAGGCCGTGAGCAGCATTTCACCACATAAGAACACAAACCTTGTTGTTTCACAGTCCGGCTGTCAAAAGATTGACGGCCGCGATGCATCAGAAGCATCAAAGTCGACAGTCAAGAGCCACCGGTTCGGCTGGTTCCGAAAGCGGGCCCAAGAACGAGCAGCGTTTCTCTTGTTCACTAGCGTGGAGGTGCAACCAGAGGCCAGACAGAATGTTGGGGGTGCTGGCGTGGCGGCATCAATTCTTTGGGGGGCGCGCTGGCCAGTGGGAGTCGCTGTTTTCACATGTGACAGACCGCAGCCTTCTTATCGGAACAAGACACGGGGCTAGGCCTGACCTGTGGCCCCCCAAGGGTCCCCGTTTTCGGCTCATGCAACGAAGATCGCACGGAGCGACGTCCCTGGGCTTTTTCTTCGATGATCCCTTGCTTCTGGTACAAATGAAGCCGCTGGCTGCGGCAGTAGTTATCGCTTGAGCCGCCCTCGGGACGAGTCCGCGATGCTTAAATCCTCTCCGCCCTGATAGGGAACCCACAGCTCCTGTTGTCACGCACCGCCTCGTGATCCGGTCCCAGGGATCAGGTGTCCCCGGCCAGTGGGCCATTAGACTTTTTGACACGAGCCAGCCACCCCACCACCAACGACTCTGGAATCCTGGCTCTGCCTGCGGTGTGGTTTCAGGAGATAGGTCCGCCTGGCCATATATCCGGGAGATCTTCTGCCTTGATATTCCTGCTGCTGCAAACCCGACAGCCCTCGACTCCCTCCCGTAGCAGCCTGGCAGAGAGGATCGAAGGGAGCCTTATCGGCCTCCACCACCAAGACAGGCCTCTACGTCACGAGCCAGACCTCGCAACAGAGAGCACCACATCCAATATCAAATCCCGCGCGCCAGGCAAACACGACTGAGACAACAACATGCAAGCCGACAGTCACATGGTGATTGACATGCTGCCGGCCGTCGTGCAGACTCGCCTGCCGGCCCTGCGAGCCCTGCAGAAGTCTATAAGCCGCGTTGTGCCGGTGCCCAGGCTCCCCAGATCGTGGCCCAGCTCGGCAAGATCCTCTCCGCCCTCAAGTCCGCCTCTCGACGCTGTGGCTACTGGTGAGGATGCTGCTGGGCTAGATCTTGGTCTGCCTTCATCGTCATCCTCCTCCTCCTCCTCGTCAGTGTCTTCCATAGACACAGTCACAGTAAACAGCTACAGGATGGACGCTACCGTCCGCCAACGATCCGGGCCAATGGTCCACCAGCGAACGCCGAGCGGCTTTCTCATGACACCGCTCACGCCCCCGATACAGATGGACGAGTCCGGGGTCAAGTGGCAGTATGCACAGCAAGGTATGTGTTGCCCACCACCAGCCAGTCTTACAGGCGAGCAGAGTACTAACCTTGCACTGCAGGCAATATGCTTCATGCCCTAGGGGCACAGCAAGGCGGCAACGACTCGGCATTCATCCGCAAGTCGTATATTGATGGCGTCTCCTACCTGCTCAAGGCACTGCCCAACAACCTCGACGAACATGAGCTGGCAACTATCGAGCAGTCGCTGCCGACGCAATGTCTCAGCCGGGGCAATAATGCGGTCCCCGACAGCAGCGTCCAGTTATACCAGCAGCAGCGACAACAATACCAACAGCAGACAGAGCAAAGCCAGCTAGAAGTGCTCTTCCGCCGCGCGATCCGCAAGGCAGCCCTCCAGTTCGTGCTGCTGGTGTATCTTCTCGCAAAGCTTACGACGGTCCTCGTCCGCCTGGCCGCGCACTACGAGGCCAAGTACAACATCTCGCACCAGGTCCTCACACACGGGGTCGCGGTCGCGAATGCCGTAGGCCACTGTGGCATGGCCCTCGCTGACAAGGTCGCCCCGGCCGGCGACGGGCGACTTGGACAGGCCTTAGCAAAGGCAGGAGGTTGGGCGCTGGACATTGTGTCAGGTGCGATACAGGAAGGGTTGAGCGAGGGCATCGAGGTTATCAGCCGTCGGCCACAGCCGAGTCCGAGACTCGGGTGATGGATATGGATAGAGGAGGTGTTGTTTTTGAGCGACAGATACGAACTTTACGACCTATTTAATGAAGAGTGGATAGCATAGAGACAGGAGATTACAGCCATCTTGATCATGTCCATCTGGAGGTCTCTTTCCTTGTGAAAGACTTTGAAAACTCGATAGAACCAAGGGACCACCGAGTGTTGTTCGCGCAAGACAAAGCTATCCATGGATTTGGCCAACGAAACCGATGGTAATCTAAGTGCAAGGTGATTGGATCTGGAAGCCGCTATTGACCGACCCACTTGCGACGAGTCCCTTGCCCCATAAATTGTCTAGTCGCGCGGGCGAGGCCCGTTGTCCTGCCTGTCACGCCTACTAAGAAAAAATTCCCTGTTATCGATATGCCCTACCTGCGCGAACTGCCATGGCTCGTTCTCCTCCACCCAAAGAACCAGGTGGAAAGTCTCGTGTTCACCATCTTTCGTCTGAATAGCCCGATCTCGGGAATTTGCAGTGTTCTGTAACAAGCCTGCAGCACATAGTCCTTTCATCCACTCTCGTGCCCTCAGGACTACCTCGATCGTACTTTACACACGAAGCCTCCGACATTTCCGCAATTGCCTTTTCGCCTCTTGTTGGTTCGCAATGTTCCGACCCGCCGTCCAGCGGCACGCCCGCCTGGGCAATGTCGCATACCGGCAAATCGCCTCCTTCTCGTTGCAGCGCGCTGCTGCGCAGCGAAACGTCGCGTCCGCTGTTCAGATGACCCAGTCGCGACCAGCCGTCCTCCGGCCGACCATCCTACGTCTCGTCCCACGCCGCTTTTACTCTGCTGAGTCCGCAGCTGTACGGGAAGAAGAAGCGATCTCGGATGACAGAATCACCAAGTTTTCCGATCTTCCAAAGCTCGGCGTGGACCAGAAGCTTGTCGATGCCTTGGTCCACGGCATGAAATACGAGGATATGACCGATGTCCAGTCGCTCACCATAAACTCTGCACTGCGGGGTGTTGACCTGTAAGCCATATATTCTTCTCATGGGAGGATGCCAGCTTCGCTTTTTAGCGGGAATACCAGTTTGCTGATTCTGCTACGTCTCTTCTAGTGTCGCGCAAGCCAAGACCGGTACCGGAAAGACTCTTGCCTTCTTGATTCCTGTATTCCAGCGCATGCTTGCTGCCGACCCCAGCCTCGAAAGCGTCCGTACCAAGCGGCATGCCTCCTCCGAAGATATCCGCGCTATTGTCATGTCGCCCACTCGTGAGCTTGCCGAGCAGATCGGTGTGGAGGCTAGGAAACTGGCCAGAGGCACCGGCATCGTTGTGCAAACCGCCGTAGGCGGCACCCAAAAGAGAGAGGCCTTGCGCAAGATGAGGAGCGAAGGATGTCACTTGCTCGTGGCCACCCCTGGAAGACTCAACGACATCCTTTCTGATGAGATGGCCCGCGTTGCCGCTCCAAGGCTCCAAGCAGTTGTGCTGGACGAAGCCGACCGCATGTTGGACGTTGGCTTCGCTCAAGAAATCGGGCAGATCATGAGGAACCTGCCCTCTATCAAGCAGGTCGACCGGCAGACATTACTTTTCTCGGCCACCATCCCAGACAGTGTTGTGTCTCTTGCCAAGTCCATGGTCAAAATCAACAACTTTGAGTTCGTCCAGACGATTGATCAAAATGAGGCGCCCACACACGAGCGGATCCCGCAGAACCTGGCCATCGTTCATGGCTACGAAAACTGGATTCCTGCCATCCTTGAGATTATCGAAAACGCTCAGAAGAATTCCGAAGCACCGTTCAAGGCGATGCTCTTCCTCAATAGCACCGCCACCGTACAGTACGTTTACGAAGTACTGGCTAAGACTGGCCCATTCGCGGGCCGTTCCGGCCTGCCCCTCTGGGACATTCACTCAAAGCTCACTCAAGGTCAACGTACTCGTGCGGCTGAGTCGTTCCGCAAATCCAGCAGTGGCTTGCTCGTCTCATCCGATGTCACTGCTCGCGGTATGGACTTCCCGGGAGTCACACACGTCATTCAGATCGGCCTTCCTCCCGACAGGGACCAGTACATCCATCGAATTGGTCGCACCGGTCGTGCCGGCAAGTCTGGCGAGGGCTGGTTGATTCTTACCGCCGAGGAGATTCGGGAGGCGCGCAACCGCCTTCCTGGTCTGCCTATCAAGCCGAATGAGTCCCTCCAGACGGCCAAGGTTGAGCTTGAGAAGGGCATTCCTGAAGGCCCGCTGGGAGAGGTTTTCCAAGAGGTGAAGGATGTTTCCCAAAGGCTTCCCGACTACATGTTCAATGACGTCTACATTTCCTTGTTGGGAGCAAAGAACAGCCGATATTGGAATGTAGAAGACACTGTCGCTGCCTTGAACCGGTGGTGCAAGTACGGCCTCGATCTTGCCCAGACTCCCGCAATGTCTGCTGGCTCTGCGCAGAAGCGCGGTCTTGCAAGGGTCCCTGGACTCCGATTGGACCACGGCGGTTCTTCGAGGTCTGGCTCCAGAAGAGACGATTACGGCTCGAGGGGCGGCTTTGGCTCAAGGGGTGACTTTGGCTCGAGCGGCGGAGACTCTATGCGTCGTGACCGCGAGGGCAGCTATGATCCATTCAGCAAACGGATCGATTCTCGTGCCGGCGGCGATGGTTACGGCAGACATGGCGGTGGTGGCCGTCGTGGAGGTGGTTTCAGTGGCCGTGGTTCTGGTGGCGGTGGACGAGGCGGCTATGGTGGCCGCCATGGTAGTGGCGGCGGCGGCGGCGGTTCCTACCGAGACTCGTCTTTCTAAGCATGCCTAGTGCTCATTGACGTCTTGGTCTGCCAACTTCAGATTACGCCAACTCTTTTCATGTACTACCACCACCACACCCTTCTCCAGCGTCAGCCAGCAAAGAACCCTTCCACCAACGGATCATTACGACGACGTGCAACTTCACGCCATTCCCGACCAGGCAGAGACCACATTATTCGTGGGTTACGGCGACACGATTCCCACGATTCATCCTCGAGGTCCCTCTTCTCCGCAGAGGTGATGCGGGCTTCATTCCCAGAACGTCATCAACAACTATCGCCAATGCTATCCATTTGGGCATGAGAAAGTCTCTACTTCATCAAACCTTTCTTCTTCGGTCCGCATTCCTCATGTCACAGTATTCCTTCTTGTAGACCTCTTTCGTCATGTCAGCTTCATACCTTTTGTTTTCATTACTGTATTATTTTTCCCCTCAAAGCTGGCGTGGAGCGGAAGAGTAGTGATTGTAGGATATATCGAGCGTGAGATCGCCGGATGGGTAGCATTGTTTGAGTACAGTGGCGACGTTTGTGGGCCACCAAAAAATCCGGGAGGGGAAGGGGGGCGTTGGTCAAGCATTTTTGATGTAACAATATGATATAGAAATGGGAAATGCGAGAACGAGCGTTGTGTTTTGAAATGTTAACATTCTATTGAAACCGTGGGATGGCATGCCTTTGATCCCGCGGGGAGGACAGCTATTGAACGACAGACGGTGATTTTGATGCCGGAATGACGACCACGCCCTGTTTTGATCTATGCATGTTAGCAGTATATATATATATATATATGCCTAGGCTCGATAGACTTTGTGCAGTTTTGGCTCGGGATGACGTCTTGGCATCTCTCTTCATGGTGAAGCATAACGCAGAGAGGCACGTGGTTATCTTACACCCAGTTTGCAGTTTTCTTTTGGCAGAAGAGTCACACACAGCTGAGAGGGTCACGCCCGGTTCGAATCACTGCCGATCACAGGCTGTCGCCTCGCGCTCACACATGTAGGTTCTTTTGTGGAAAATGGACTGGGTTGTTATCGTCGTGACGGGTTGCTTTCCCCCACATGGTCTCTCGATGATGATGCTTTATGAAAACACAAGTGCCCCTTCTCCGTAACCTTTGTACCCCCAACGCCCATGCGCCTTTGAGTGAGCATTTGTACTGACTACCATAGTAGGCAAGTTTTTCTTCATATATGCCAGACGTCCTCTGGTATGCTTCTATTCCGCCAGCTCCTCCACCTGTGGTGCCACGTACCCCGGTCTCTGCTGCAGCTCGCCGCCTGTCTGCATCTGGGTCTCGGTTGCCGTCGTCATCGCGCTGGGGGGAGCGGCTTGTCCAGTGGTGCCCGCAAAGTGAGCACTGGCCTCCGCGTTGGTCGTCTTCTTGGACTTCTTCTTCTTCGGCTTTACAGTCTCGTGCCAGGCCCACACCGGCCTGAAGCTGTCCATGAACGAAACGTCCTCCCAGAGGTTGGGGTACAGCCAGAGCCCAGGAGGCACGGCGAAGTATGTGATGCAGAACAGGATGACACGGAAGATGGCCATGAGGAAGAAGAGGCCGAGCAAGCCGAGGAAACCCCAACTCAGGTAGTAGACGCCCTGGCGCAGTACCAGCGGCCACAGCGGGTAGAGAACGAGCATGAAGACGACAAGCAGAGCAAGCACTGCATACACCTTGCGCATGGTCTGGCTGCCTTCGTAGAGCCATATGTAGTACATGTCGTCGTGCGCTTCTTGCTGCTGCTCAATCTTGACCGTCCACAGTCCCTTTACTCGCTTTCCCTTCTTCGGAGCGACCGGGCCGTGGTTATGGCCGGCATGTGGGTCGACTTGGCTGACACGTAGCGCCAGCATGGACATTGGCAGCAGCTTGAATGTGTTTTCGAGAGAAGCGCGGTCTCTGATCTCGGGGAGCGCGGGGTTCTTCGCTCGGGCTTTGGCGTACGCGGGTGATTGTAGTGCTCGCAATGCTCGTTTGACTGTTTTGTTGTTAACACGGGCAATTCAAGCATGCCACCTCGCACGTTCCCAGCTGCTCACCTCTGAACATTTCCTTGCGCTCGCCATTAAAGATAGACACACGGGGCTTGAGCGGCTGCTTCCGCAGAAAGTCGGCAAGAGCAATGGCAATCGGGTTGGGCGGACCGGGACGAATCGGCTGCGGCACGGCACCAGGCGGCGGTCCTCTGGGCTGGCCTTGGGGACCCTGAGGTTGACCCTGTCCTTGAGGGCCCTGCTGCTGTCCTGGCGGGCCTTGAGGTTGACCTTGACCAGGAGGGGTACCTCCTTCTGCCTGGGCGCGCTGCTGCATCTGCTGCATCTGCTGAATCTGGGCCATGCGTTGCTGGCGGATGTGCTCGACAAAGTCCTGGACCGACATTCCGTGCTTTGCCGCCTCGGCCGCCAGCTGCTGCTGCATTGCTGCGATCTGTTGTGGCGTGGGCATCTGCTGCCCTGGCATAGGTCCTGGCATGGGCATGCCCATCGGAGGACCGTTCGGATTCTGCATGTTGGCGAGCCTGACAGTGCGAGCTCTGTGCCGGAAGGAATGCGGAGGCCGGCTCTTTGATTGCGCGAGTGGCCGATAGCCAGAAGGGAACGGGCGCCGGAGGTTCGTTTGGCCGTTGTCGAGGCTTTGGGTGCGCAGAGGATGGCGTCGACGTCGTGCTCAGAAACTGATGCGCCGCTGGGCGGCATATGAATGTGGGATTTCTGGAGGCGGACCCACCTTCGGCCAGAAAGCAACGGTGTCACTTCCACGCTTAGAGAGAACACCTTGCCCATTGTCCCTGCCTGCCTGCGGGACAGGTGCCAGGTGGGCACCTTGGCGCCAGCCGCCAGCTTCTACTCAGGGCAGTTCCTTGAGAGGCTCCCGTCACCCAGCGTCCGGCTTTTGTGAACCACCACTACCGACGATTAATCCCAAGCTCCTCTCAGCATCAAAACAATCAAACAAAGGCAGCAATCTCAGCTTGTTGGCCTGCTGATAATTCTGCGCCTAGTCTGCACCCCTTCCCGGCACGACATTAGAAAGCAGAATGGACAGGCAAGAGAGAATACAGGCATAGGATCCATGTCGCCTCCTTGTTGACCTTGTTCGCAATCGCTTCGCATCATCAAAGCTCAGTTGCGAGCAGCGGTTGAGGGGCAGTTGACCCCCAGAGAAAATGTTGACATTGAATGTGCGAGATGCGCCTCCCCGAAACATAGTCCTTCCTGAGCTTATGGTCACGCTTGGCTCTTGGTTTTTGCCTAATGGATGCCAATGTCCTTATAGATGGTCTGCATCATGGCTGCATATCGTCGATATGTCAGTCTGAAAGTCTCACACTCGGCTTGACCAAGCCCCGACACCTTCAACTTGGCATTTGCCTTTGGGAGGCTTTAGCTCACGCCACGGCCGATCGAATCTGTGATAGCCTTTCATCTGACTGGCTTCAAACACGTAAGCTCACCCGTGGACTGGCATCATCAAAGGGCAGGGTCCGCACCGACAGCCAAGTCGACCAAGATCTCCGCGGTCAAGCTCCGTTCCAAAATGGAGTGTCAACTTAACCTAATCGCCCGAGCTTATTGGACCTCGCAACCATGCCGACGTCAGAAACTGAGACATGCCGAAGAACCAGCCACACCACCATCAACACCAGACTATACTGGGGCAAATGCCTTTTTCTGCCCATGCGGTAAGAAGAAGCTGCGGAACGCCGGCTTGGCAAGCAGCCCGCCGATGCATGTGAAGGACATCTAGCAGCACTCGGTGTCTAAGTACCCTTCGGGCGTGGACGAACCACAGCATACCCGTGGACGCCAACCACGGGCCCGCACCAAGAAATGGTGCTGCAATTTTTGAGTTGGATCTGTCGTGTCATGCACGGCGGGAATGATGAGTGGGCTGCCTCGCCCGATCCGTTTTTGGGCATTTGGCGATGTAGGTGTGGCCACCATTGCGCAGCCCTCCCGGCCAACTCCCGTTCAGAGGCAGGTGGGATTTTTGCGATGAACAAGAACTAGAAGCAAGCGAGCAAGCACGGGCCTGGGTGTCGAGGGCTGTTTCAAAATGTGTGCCGCATCCGGCTGTCGTGGTTGATGGCACGGCCAGACACGTTTGTTGACACGGACCCTTCAAGCGAGATGCCCTCCAGCCACTCAGGAGCTGGGCGGCGGCGAGGACGAGACACTGCCGAGCAACAAAGGACTGTTTATGAACCAAGGACCACGCTCATGTGACGGCGTGGCCAATCTCGGCAGCACACGACCCCCCTCGCGACGGGAGCAGTGGCCGCACGCCTGCCCAGAGCTGGCGCAGGAGGGACTGCAGGAGGCGGCGATGACTCGCTGGAGGGAGCTTGTCATCTTACACGCAGTGGAGCCGGCCGGCTGTGGTGTGTAGCGCCAGCCAGCCGTGTCCTCGCGGCACCCCTGTTCGCGAGCGCCCACTGGCTCGTCCTGCACGCTCCCGGCCCAATCACGGCCCGCCGCCTGCACCGCATCCGTCAACGCCTCGCATCCCAATCTTCAGGCCCAGGTCAGCAGCCTCTGCGGTGCACCCGGGCCTCAGCAACTGGCCGCTGGGGACGTTCTCATAAAGGCCCCCGTGCAGCCGGCTCTGCATAGCCCGCACAGTTGCTGCTCGTCGAGCTTTTCGTCTTCTTGTCCAACCGCAGGTCGTCTCGTTGTCTGCCTGCTGCCACCTCGACATGCAGGCCGGCCAATCATGAAGGCCCTTGGCAGCCTCATTGTGGGCACTTACACGTCGCTCTGCACGTCGCTCTCTCAGTGCCTCCCAAGCAACCACCAACCCCAGGACCAGCGTCTGCCTCGAGGTAAGAAGTCTTGTCTGGTGCACTCTCACACACGTCGAGCATCGGTGTCTAACAACCTCGTCTGTGTCTTGACGAGCAGAGTCTGAGAAGGGCTTTGGCATCATAGACGAACAACCAGGGCGGGTGCTGCCATTGGCCGCCAGGGCCAACGCTAGCAGGACCAGAGCTGCCAATAAGAAAGATCGAGCTCCAAAACGTCGAAAGCCCTCGACAAACAGCATCTTCTCCACACGGCAGCGCCTCCTCTCTAATGCATCTTCAACGACACGGCGCCGGCCGCAAATCTCTGCTCCCACAAATTTTCAACATGTCTACTCGGGCTCCTTTCACTTTCCCGAGCCCACGGTAGCACCAATAAAGTCGAGACGACGGTCCTTCCGCCCGCTCGAACTCAGCATATATCTCAAGGACAATCGTTTATCCCCCCTCCTCCCTCCCTTTGAAGGGCCCGAGCCCCCCGTTACGCCACCACACAGAATGATACCACAGCCAGATGCAGATACCAGCGACTCACTACAGAGCTTGGCTCGGTCACGCAGTTATTCATCAACCTCGTTCCATGTCCCACGGCGTGCCATCTCTGGCGGGTCTGTATTCGAGTCGCCTCGCTCAGAGCACTCACAGCCCCACTCAACCTCGTCTCCCCCCGGAGTAACAAGGAAGAGGGCCTACACATCACCAGAAGCCCCGCCGGCCATGATGGAAGATCTGGTCGAACGGGTAGCACAGGCCATGCTCGAGAGGGATGAACTGCAGCATAAGATCAACGACGTGATCGAGAGGCAGAGTTTGTACACCATCAGCCGGCCGGCAACCCCGCATGACATGCAAGGTTAGTTTTCTCTCCAGCTTCCACCACATGGTGACTCCCATACTGATCCTACCTCCGCAGATATGGAGCCTATGCCCGAGGTTCCTGCGCTACCTCCAAATGCGCCGTCGTTCAGCGAGCGACTGCATTTTGACCGAACGCCAACAACTCCTGTACCACCAACTCCTCTGGGCGCCCGTCCCTCCAGCTCTCCTCAAAGGCTGGAAACCATCCCACCCCCACCCCCTTTACCACTACGCCTCCGACCCCCCTTGAGAAAGAAGAAGTCATTCTCTCGAGTGTCAAACTGGCTTGTCTTTTACAACAGCGAGTCCAAAGAGCGGCAGCTCAGCCTTGACAGTGTCACAAATTTCCCGAAACCCATCACGGACAACGATGGCTTCTATGAGGTCGCCCAGCCGCCAGCCCGCCCAAGCCGCCGTTCGAGCTTTGACAGTGTTTCCTCTGCCTCAGACTGGTCTGTGGAAGAGGAACAAACGGTGCCGACCAGTTGGTCCCCGGCAAGCGATATGACCATCAAGGCCGTCGCTCCTATGCAAACTGGCGTGGGCTTTGCGCCCAGCTCAGGATCACACAGCCTGCGCCCAAGTCGAGCTTTCGTTTTTCCGAGCGTGCCGAGACAGACTTTGAGGCGGCAGGCGCGGGATTCAGCAATGAATGTGCCTCACACAGTGGGCGTTGCTGTTTAGAAAACGACGTTTGTCTTGACTCCTGAGAGTCGTGGTGCAAACAAAATTTCTTTGCCCTCTGCCCTCTGCCTCTACCATTCCTTTCTTCTTTCAAAATACCCCGGGCATTTTGTTCTTCATTTTCTGATCAGTTGATTCTGCATCGTCATTTGCATATCTGGTTCTGAGATACCTCACTCGATGCAATAGTCATCGAGTTGCAATTCACCCTCGTCATTTCACATCATTATATTCTTCTTTCACGCCTACAGGTTGGCACAACGCTGGACGACACGAAAACACTTCATATTGGTGTACATACTCCTCGCCTGGTGCACGTCGGATGCTTGCATCCACACGGAGACACTTTCGGATACTGGTTATACCTTGATTATTATCCTGGCTGGGTCCATTTGAGAGCTCAGTTAGCCCCTGCTCGACCACAGAACGCTGGTTGGCGGTATCCGCGATGCTGCTTCGGACCGTGGTATCGAAATGAGGCTAACCTGCTTTTCCAATCTTCTTGCGTCTTGGGCCGGATCTAGGAAGGCGCAGGACTTATATTCTTGGGCGGAGACTTTGGCAAAAGTTGGATGGGAGGGGCTGCGCACGGGACAAAATGTAAAACTTGGGAAGAATTGGGCGGCGGTAAACTGGTATGGAGACCTGTAAACACAGGATGACTGGCGTTTCTGGGGTTTTGGGGTGGCTGGGCAGGCTTCGCATTTTCATGGTTCAGAATAATTACCCTTTAATTGATCAGGACTAATACAGGAGGACAGGTTGAGAGCATGGGCGGCCGTACCAAGCTCTCGTGTTTTCACACCCATTAATTTCCCTCGCTTCATGGCTTCATGTGACAACACAATATTCTGGAGTACTCGTGATCATTAGCTATCCACAGCATGATTGTGATCTGGACTGAAACACTTCGGGGGCCCATTTGTCGCAACGCGGTTAGTGCCACGTCTAGGGAGGTGCATTTCCAAGACAACACGTGCAGCGTGAATGAGCTGCGACAGATAATTACCAGGCTTTTTGAGGCATGCGGTGGGACCTGTTCGGTTTGTGGCATTATCCCTAAGCCAAACAATGGGTGGACATAATTCGAGATATTGATCTGGGTGCTGCGCTTCCAGAGGTACCTTAAGGTGGTGGGCGAGTATTAGACTCTGGTTGGAATTGGCCTGGAGGGCTAGCGGCAGGGGAACCCTGAGGACCACTTGCACGACCACGTTGTTGGTGGATCTCCCTATCGGCTGGCTGGGAGTACTGTTCATCTGCCAGCCTCGACCTGCCTTCTTCACCCTCTGGACTCCTTCCCACAACCTGGGGCTGACGTCCAACACAACCTCCACATCACTATATGCCTATGTGCGCTGCGAATTAACAAGTCGCGGAGGCTTCTGTCATCAGGCAGGCATAGGCGGCATGTTCAAATTCCCCAAGTCAGACGGGTATCAGCCGCTCCCGGAGAACGTCACGCAGGATGAGCTAGACAGGCGGGCGCGCGAGGACGCTGACAGGCATCGCAAGTTCCTCCGGCTCACTTTTGGAGCGTGCATACTCTTCGCGCTGGGAGCGACGCTTGGCTACGCGATTTCGAGGTCGGGGTAAGCGCTTCATGCCCAAGACTGGCTGCACTGGAGTATGTTCTTTTCACCCAAGCTGACCAGTTCCGATGGGTAGCAAGTCCGAGCAACACTGCGAGACCTGGCAGGATGGCTACACATGCGCGCCCGAGATCTCGAGGCTTTGGGGCCAGTACTCGCCCTTCTGGCCCGTCGAGTCTGAGATCTCGCCCGACGTGCCTGTCGGCTGCGAGGTGACGTTCGCGCAGGTGCTCTCACGGCACGGGGCAAGGGATCCGACGCTCAGCAGGTCCGTCGCGTACGGTGCCCTCATCACGCGGATCCACAACCAAGTGTCCGAGTACGGCGCCAACGTGACGTTTCTGCGCGACTACAAGTACAAGCTCGGCGCGGACGAGCTGTCGACGTTTGGGGAGGAACAGCTGGTCAACTCTGGCACGAGATTCTACCACCGTTATCGGGACCTCGCGCGCAAGTCGACCCCGTTCGTCAGGAGCGCAGACCAGCACCGTGTCGTTGAGTCGGCGCGATTCTGGGCCAAGGGATTCCACCAGTCGCGCAAGCAAGACAAGCAAGCGGACTCGGATAATTACCCTTACAACATCCTCGAGATCCCAGAGTACCGGCCGCACAACAACACCCTGAGCCCTGATACATGCCCAGCCTTCGAGCTGGGCTCGGATCTCGGCCACAAGGCGCAAGAGGTGTTCGCGGGCGTCTTTGCTACCCCTATCACGGCGAGGCTCAACGACAACCTCCCGGGGGCGAACCTCTCGGCCGCAGACACGATCTCTCTGATGGACCTGTGCCCCTATGAAACCGTGGCCGATCGCTACGGCCGACCCTCGCGGATCTGCGACATCTTCTCGCCCCAGGAGTGGGCCGACTACGACTACTTCCAGTCCCTGGGCAAATGGTACGGCTACTCGAGCGGCAATCCTCTGGGGCCGACTCAAGGCGTGGGTTTTGCCAACGAGCTGATTGCGCGGCTCACACGCCAACCCGTGGACGACCACACGACCACAAACTCGACGCTTGACTCGTCACCAGAGACGTTTCCCCTTGACCAAAGCCTGTATGCCGACTTCAGCCACGACAACGACATGGCGGCCATGTTTGGCGCGCTGGGGCTGTACAATGCCACCGCGCCGCTGGACAAGTACACTCGCCAGGACCCGCGCGAGACGACAAAGGGCTTCGCGGCGAGCTGGACGGTGCCGTTTGGTGCGAGGATGTATGTTGAGAAGATGACGTGTCGCGCGGATGGCGACGCTGCTTCCTCGGCGCAGGCCCGGGCGGAAGAGGAGGCAAATGAGTTGGTCAGGATCCTCGTCAACGACCGCGTGATACCGCTGCAGAATTGTGGTGCGGACGAACTTGGGCGGTGCGAGCTCGATAGATTCGTGGAGAGCCTGAGCTTCGCCAGGAGTGGCGGGCACTGGGACAAGTGTTATCTATGAGTGGCACGAGCTTGGGCATGCGTTCGTGATAGTGCTGTGTACAAATTCACAATCCTGAAGAAGGTGCACTTCGTGACTTCGACCGCTTTGGGGGATGGAACCGGGGCTTAGGCGACTGTCGAGTTGGACAAGTGAAATGCTGGGTGGATTCGCTTGAGGGGAGCGAACACATTCCCCATACCAGAAAAAGAATGCAATGTCTGAGCTGGATGCGTGAGCTTTGGCTTCGTGCCCTTTTCCAAAGACCATGTTCAGGCCCTCCACAATCAACTACCGCTGCTGCATCGAGCTGAGGCAATCCGCCAGGTCGGGAGGGGAACCCTGGCTGGCGCGCAGAGTACAGAGTACGGGAAGCGTTAAACTAGTCACTATAGCTCCACTGATTCAAGTAAACACAAGTATTATTATCCCCTGGTCGATCGTGCGGCTGATCTGCTGCTCTTGCGGGACCTCCCGCACTCGGATGTCCACAGGACCCCTCCCCCCGTCCACGTGGGCCTGGCGTTCTCGGCTTGTGGCAATGGGACGACCCTCCCCAGACGAAGTGTCCGTGGCCTCGCCGTGCGGCGTCCGATATGGCCTCTATCCGCCTGGCTTCCAACCATTTACTCGCGGCCCCAACGGGCTCATCGTGGCCGTCATGGGTATGTACCTTGGTACCCTAGTTAGGTAGGTAGGTACTTAGCCACAGGGCTGTCCTGCTTGATGCAGTCTAAAGAGCGCATCGACCTCTCCTAGACGCAAATCAGCAACCTGGTTCTGCGACGACTGGAATTTCCCGCGGAGTCCTGTGAGGCGGGCTATTTTTGTTGTTGTTGGCAACGCCGGCGGACCACGAGGGGGAAGGCGGGGACTTGGCAGGCCGGTGCAAGCCCAGGATCGCAGGTAGGTCAGCCAAGCCAAACCAGCTACTATGTGGGTGGTACGCTGGTCTGGAAACCCACCAGCCGAGTTACCTGAGGCCAAGAATCCTTGTCAGGGTCTTTGGTCAACTAAGCAGACAGGCGGCAGTCCTGAGGGCTCTTGGTTCTAGTCTACCATCAACTCGTCATCATCGTCTTTTGGAGTCGACAAAATCCCTTGCCCAACCATCACTCCTACGTAAAGACCACGCTTAGCACTATTTTGTTAGTTCCACGCCACTGACCTCCCACCCTTTCGAGCTCGGTCCTCATCTATCCCGTGCAAAGTCGACACATGCCGCGACAGAGCCTTCTGCCAGCAATGCCAGTAGTAATAGAAGCTCGAGTGTCACTTGCACTACCACGGCTAAACTAGAGCCCACCACGACCATCGAGTTCTTGAAGGGGAGGTTAGATGTGCGGATGCCGCAAGGCAAATCTCATGACTCGGTTCACCGAGTGAGGACATGGATGATTGACCTCATCATGGGAAGTGAGAACGCTGGTCGGCCTGTAGAGACTGAAGTATCGCGGCTGGGTTGCCGTGCCCCAACAGAATTGACTCTCGTGCCTGTTGAGGGCCGAACACCGCATTGCCGTCCGTCGGCAGGGCAACCCGTCAGACTCTCTCCCGATACACAACGCAAACACAAATACTGTGTTTCTCCTTCTACTGCTGCTTCTGTTGCCGATGCTGGTGTTGATGCTGCCTCTTGCTTTGAGCTCGCTGTGGTATCAAGCGGATCTCTTTGTCCCCAAGCAACGAACAGGGCTCAGACCATGCTGACAGCTCGGGCACATGAATGAGCTCCAGTGCATGGGACCCCACTAATACCTGCACCCACTACACTGGCAGCGCTGACGCAATCAGCTGCGACCCCGGTCTCTCCGCATCTGGGTTGCGGGCTTAGCCCTGCCTTGAAAGTTGCTCAAGACTGCGCCTACTGTCAGCATCGCATCAGCACTCCAGTGCTGACAACAATCCTCTGCGACGACGACGACGACGACGACGACGACAACGACGAAAGCGACAACGACAATCCGCACGACATCCGACCCATTGCCTGTCGCGCATTCTGAACCACAGCTTCCTGCTATCACGCCCAGATTGTCGCAATGCATCCCGCCGGCGTCTTCTTCATTGTCTTGTTCGTCCTGCTCATCGCGGGCGCAGTCGCCTGGGTCGTCTTCACCCAGCTGCGCGCGCGAAGGCTCGGGGTAAGCCAATCCTTCCTGTCCACATTCTCCTGCATTTTCCCCGCCCATGCGCTTGCGACACACCTTCGGCGATCTTCAAGGCGCATCGAGGACTGACCTCTGCGCCCTGCTTCTAGCTCCCGCCTCCAACGCTGTCCTCGTACAACCCATTCTCGCGCAAGGACAACCACTCGCCCTACGGCCCGCCCACCCCTGCGCCCGGCGGCATCGGGGCCTGGATCAGCGACAAGATCCGCAGCATCCGCGGGCCCAGCAACAAGCGCTCCCAAGCTGGCGGCTACGAGCAGAGCCGGCGCGGCTTCGGACCCCTCGACCCAGACGAGGCCTGGGACACGCGCGTGGGCAACGAGGCCGACAACTACGGACCTGGCGGATACTATGAGGAGCAGGAACTAGGTCTTCACGGCGGCCCTGCTGGCGGCGGTGGTGCTGCGTACGGCCACACGGCATACGCCTCTGCCGGCCCCCAGGATCGCGGGCGGGCGGGTCCCTCCGCTGCGGCCGCGGCCTCGAACACAGCAGCACCTGGATCCAACCCCTTTGACGATGACAGTGCCGAACCTAGCAATCTGCGCGGTGTCAGCCCGCGGCCCATCGACACTTCGGTGGCGAACGCGGGGTCCAAGAAGCATCACGGCCCCGGCAGCGGCAGCCCCGGCTCGGAGCGGCGGAGCATGTTCAGAGAAGACGTCATGTGAGAGAGTGTTGTGCGCTGGGAGCGACGCAAATTGATTAGCACTGCAGGGGAGATGGTCAAAAGGGGGGGAGGGGGGTGAGTTGAGCTGATGCCGTTCAAGCTTCACATATCACGGATATGCTTGGTTTCTCTTGCACTTCTTCATGTACACACGATGTTTTTTTTTTTTGCCTTTTGCGCGAACTCACGCATAAAAGCTGGAAGGGCGAGTCTGGATCTTGTAGGGACTGTACTTCCGCTTTCACTTTTTTCAGGGACGGGGAAAGGAAGGCTACTGGCGTTACAGGCTCTCTTGATGGTATTTGTTGGTTTCCAAGGGACTTTTGGTCATAGGCGTGACAAAATTTACAACTGCTGTGACGAGCATTTTGAAGTCTCGGAATTGCAGGATGCATGCGATGTCGTCATGCGCGAGTTGGTCGAAGTGCGGTCAATGGCGGCGTGATGTCTCGTTTCCACTTGGGTTGCAACGTGCTGCGATTAGAGGGCAGGAGCACGTCTCCAGAAGTCGGATGACGACTTTGGCGGTTGTCAACTATTGAACCCCACCAGCCCGGGGACCCTTTGACGTCTACGTAGTTGTGCTCCCCCCTGCTTGAATCACACTCTACCATCAGCACAGCTTGCCTCCTTCTCGGGCGAGACATCAACCTCGGAAAACTTTGCGTGGTTCACAGCTTCAAACTACAAAATGGCGGATCTCAATCTCGAGGAGATCCGGGACACCTTGGTTTCGGTGGCTTTCGAAGCTGGCCGCAAAATACTAGCAGCCAACCCGAACGACATCTCGACAGGCACGAAGCTCAATTGTAGGTTGCAAGCTCAGCTTGTCTGTTCCGCGCTCGAGGGCCATCTCTCTCGCGATCCGGAGAATGACTAGCCTCTCCAAAAGATCCACTTGTGCATGCGCTGACATTGCGATGCACGGACAGCTGCGGACATTGTCACCGAGACTGACAAGGCCGTCGAGGCCCTCGTCTCGTCTACGCTCGCCGAAGCATACCCAGACTTTGCGTTCATGGGCGAGGAGACCTTTGCGCCTGGCCAGAAGATTACAGACCAGCCCACTTTTGTCGTCGACCCCATTGACGGCACGACAAACTTTGTTCACGGGTTCCCCTCCGCCTGTGTCAGTCTTGGGCTTGCCGTCGGAAGAGTGCCGACCGTGGGGGTCGTCTACAACCCCTTCCTTGACCAGCTCTACACGGGCATTCGCGGCCAGGGCGCCTTCCTGACGGTCGGCCGGGCCTGGGGCCTCGAGAATGGTGCGGGCAGAGTCAGCAGGCTGCCGCTTTCGAGCAACCCAGCCGGGCTCCTGGGCCTCGACCAGAGTCTCGTGGCTATCGAGTGGGGTAGCGACCGCAGCGGCAGCAACTACGAACTCAAGACGGCCGTCTTCAAGAAGCTGGCCGCAGCCAAGGACAACAACGGCGGTGCCATGGTCCACTCCCTGCGCAGCATGGGCAGCGCGGCCCTGAACATCTGTGCCGTTGCCGCTGGCCAGCTTGACGCCTACTGGGAGGGTGGCTGTTGGGCATGGGACGTATGTGCCGGGTGGACGATTTTGGTAGAGGCCGGCGGCATCATGGCCAGCGGCAACCCTGGGGACTGGGATCCCGCAATCGACAATCGCAAGTACCTCGCCGTTCGAGGTGCCCCGAGCGGCCAGCGTGAGCTGGTGCAACAGTTCTGGGACGTCGTGGGCCAAGGGGCTATGGAGTACGAGAGTTGAGCATCTCACGCGGCCGGTGCACATTTTCTACTCTCGGTGAACCGACTGATACGACAATAGACAACGACAGGATAGACATGCGGAATGGTTCAAATCTTCATGGTAGTAAAAGAAAGTGAGACATATGAGGTCAAGATGTTCAGGCACAGCGGGGGCCTTGCACCAAACTCTGATTGCGAAGCTGCCCACGCAAGCACCATGTACAGCCACATGATTCCGAAGCACATTCGACCATGGACTCGCCGCTGCAACGCGAGAGTGAAAATGGTCTCAGTCACCGGAACTTCAGGTTTGCCTGCGCGCGTGTCGTCTACTGCCGAATGGCAGCCGCGGGGGCTAGCTGAACTGGGGTCCATGGAATGCAAGACATGCAATGCTTCCTGATCTAGAGCCGCCATCCGATGCGGCCAGGGCGGTTGTGGATGCCGCTTTCGCTCTTAGACCAAACCTACCAGGCGCCATGCCACGCCAAGTACTCCCCAGCAGCATCTGGCCATGCGTTCCCCGTGGCCCGACTAACACATTTCTGGACTCGGCGATTGTACAGTAGTCTGTTCAGGTGTGACTTCGGTTCAGGTCGCTGTTGCTCACAGGTCGTGCTACACGTGTCCGTGCTACACGTGTCCGTGATTCTTTCCAGATCCCCATGTCTGCATATCGTTACGACAAGCGTCTTCTCCTGTCTGCCCTTAATGCTGCGTCTACCTCCCCGGAGTCGAGCGTTCTTGTTGTTTCGTCATTCAGACCTCATCGCCAGGGACCTTCATGGCGATCACACAGCAGAATCGCACAGCCCGGCAAGAGGCCAGCAGCAGCCTTCAAGGGGGCTCAGCCGGGAAAGAATGGAACCTTGAAGAACTCAGAGCATGCGGTGCGGTCGGTGAGTGCTCTCGCGCTGGCATTACTGGTCATTAGACCCGGGACTTGCACCAGAGATGGCGATGGAAGGCTTCACACAAACCTCAATTTTTGTTACAGAACTAACATGCAATCTTTCTATAGACACTGGCGCCTCAAGGAAGCTTGATCTGACTGGCCAAATCCATCCCGTCTTCGCCAATTGGAGACCAGATGTTGAGCCGCGGCTTAAACGGGAACTGGAGCAGCCGCTTCTACTCGCCAGCAAGCTGCTCGATGGTACAGGTCTGCCGTGGATTTCTGACTTCGTCATCGACAACATCTTTGACGAGTCGTACCCGGGCAGACATGCTCTCGGCGGCAGCGGCTTCGCCTCAACTGGCACTGTTGTCAAGGTTGATGCCCGAAAACCTCTTACAGTTCTTCGATTAAGTGGTATCGCGAGTGCTCTGAGATTAGACGATGCGTCGGATACAACGCCGCCCTCATCGCCATCATCATCATCTTGGACCGCCAGCTCGAGCCCACCAAGCTCTGTTGACATGTCCCCTCGGTCATCCGTGGCAAGCTCGCTTTACTCGTCCACAGAATGCCCTTCCCCGTCGCCAACTCCCGTGAGGCATCTTCAGCGACCGCCGTCGCATAACCCGCTGCATTCGTCACTGCCTCTGACAAATGGACGCATGCTTCCGCTTGCCCACAAAAAGTCTGTGAGCACGTCTGTGACCAACGAAGTTCCTCTTCCGCCAAGCACGCCTCAGGCCCCGGAGACCGTGATACGCCACCACCGTGCTTCGTGGTGGACACGGGGCCACGAGACCAAGTGGTTGCATCGGACGGATCGTTGGCTTCGCAGGGAACTCGCACCGGCATTGAGTTGGCACCTCGACATCCGTGGCGCCGGCCACGACTGCAACAAGGGCAGAATCCGCACAACGCGGATACAAGGAAGTAATGACTACGATATTGCCATCTCATCCGAGCTGCCGGAAAGGCTCGCAATGTTGCGAAAAGCTGGTGCTGCGGACAGCGAGGAGTTCCTATCGACATCATTCATGACCTGCATAACAATACTGCACGAGTGAGTATGGGCATTGTGATATGTCATCCCTTATCCCCCTCCTGGAAGTATGTAGTCAACGACGAGAGCGCGGCTGACTCTGATTAGGCTGGGACATGCTGTATACTGGCGAGGCTGTCACCCAGAGCCTTTTGTCAGGCATGCTTGCTCGCCGGAACCTTTCTTTGGAGCAGACCTGGAAATGGAGCTTGGCGACAGCTTCGTCTCGTCGTTGTTTGGCGGATGGACACCAACTCCCATTGTTCTGCCAGAGGGCGGACCCAAGATAGGGCCTGGGCTCTTCAACCGCCGCGGTGGCTTAGCTACAGCGAACATTGTCCTGTCTCGCCGTCACACCAAGATGCTGCGATTCAAAACAGGTCTAGCCTGGCGGCAGGCGTTGTCCTGGGACCGGCATCGGATCAGACCCAAGTACCGCGCTCATTATTCCATTCCGATTGACCAGTAAGTCTGCCTGACTTTTTGGTGCGGGCAGGTTTGAATGGCCCCCCTCGGATTCCTACATTCCCACCTCTTTACTATGCTTGCTGACATTATCACCCCGACACAATAGCATGGCGCTGCTCTTTTCCCAGCCGTTGTGGGACTCTTGTGAGGGCGAACCAGCTACACTGATCCACCCGCTCGCCCTCGTCCAGGACGAGACAGCTTCCCTCACAAGTACCGTCGGCCTCATCACCAACGCGGCCGTGCTCAAGGGCGAGCATGCCTGCGCCGCTCTGCCGGATTTCGTGGCCCATCCGAGCGGCGAAGGATGGATGTGGAAGCAGACCAGGAATGTCGAGCAACTCGAGTGCCGGATCAAGCAGTATAACGGCAGACTGTGTCTCGACTCTGACTTGCCAGTCGCCTCTGAGGGTGACGTCCAGGAGGCACTGCCTGTCGGGCAAGACTCGTTCCAGATGCTCCAGGGCTCGGTGCCCAAGCATGGGGCGGTCGATATTTCTCTGAAGGCGGCCATCCGCAATAGGAACCAGCAGCACCGAGAGATGCCAAATAATGTCGCTGTTGAGGAGCCGAGGCTAGCTACAACTAGCACGAGCACTGTGTATCCTAACCGCACCACAACAGAGAAGCTCCAGCTCGGGAAGGCCAAGACCGACAAGGGGAGGACAAGTCAACCTCTGAAGACTGGCTCCGAGCTGCTTGCGCTCAAGCTGAGCGAGGCGCGACCGCTCGAAGACCCGGATATCACCAGCAGAAATAACAGAACCCGGCCGAAGTCCTTGGGAAGTGTCCAGTACCGGATGACATCTCGTGAGGCCCAAGAGGCGATACCGCCTGTACCCAAGCTTCCTGCATCGGCCCCAAACTTCTTCCCACCAGCCGCTCGGAGACAGCCGCCCCAGCCACCACAGCAAGAGAGCCGCCCTCAGCAAGGCTCTCCGCGGTCGATGCTTCCCACGCCGGTCCGCACTACTGAGAGTGCTGGCCACAAGCGGTCCGTCTCTGCAAGTGTATCAACAGCTACTGGCGTGACGTCTGGGACTGTCACTCTCAAGCCCAGCCAGACAGCGAGGGCGGTGGGCACAGTACTACCAGCAGCCGCGACGGCGAACAGCCGTACCCTTACCTTCAACTTGCGACGAAGTCTCTCGGCCAGACACCCGCGACGCAGACACGACGACAAAGACACGACTAGCAATGCTAATATCAGCGACAATCACTTGACTAGAGACCCTCAATACTCAGACCATAGCCGCGTTTTATCAAACAACAACCAGACGATCCCCGTCCCAGTGATTGGCCGTTTCCCTGCCATGTCCATGACCGCCACGAAGAAGCACACATTCCACCAAAAGGCTTCTGAGCTTCACAAAACTAGGAACTACGTAACGGCGGCATCGTCGTCATTGGCACCACCACCACCACGGCCGCCACCACCACCACCACCATCATCAGCAGCATCGGCATCATCCGCCACAGCAATGAGACGCCACAACAGCTGCAGCCGGGCCACGAATCCCCTGGTTGTCGGATCCGCCGGTAGGACTACTATCACCGCGGCCGCCACCAACAATACCACCGACGAGAAGGAGGTGACGGTCGAGGAACTCCGCCTGCGGCTGTCGAACATGATTGACACGTCCATCACCGAGCTGGAGTGGCTGTACTTTTAAGAATGACCGCATTACTGGTCCGCATTTTGCTATCTTTTGTCTCTTCCACACACTACACACACAATGGGCCAAACGTGTGGTTGTTGCTGGCTCTCGATTGGCGGGCGTACATACTATCCATCATGAAGAAAAGGCATTGTGCTCTCTTGTGAATATGCGCATTTGTATCTAAATGTACTACGAGTCCTCACACTCGACAACGAACAGCGAAAATACCTCGAGCTAGATTCCCTACAGATTTCCTCCGGTCGTGATGGATATAGTGCCTGGAATGCAATGACAGCCACCTTCACACACATGGTCTTGCTCTCAGAAAGCCTACTGCACTGCGAGACAAGAGGACATGACGAAACAGCACGCACTCTCTACTTTCTCGTTCAACATGGGAGAAAACTTATCTCGTATTACGGATTTTACTTTTACAATGTCTAATCCCCCATTGCGATACCCTTTTGATTCCCAGAACTCCGAAAGCATGAACCAAAATACCATAACTCCCTTTGCCATGATTGCATAACGTGTAACGCTCGTGACTGCTTAAATCGTAAACAAGAATGATTCCTCCCCCTCTTCCCACTTCAAGCTTCCTAGGTCTTTGCTTTCCAACACAGAAGGGGGACGTTGCAGCTGTGGGTGCCTGAGCCATTGTCGAGGAGGCAGCTCATTCTTCATCGCTCTCGTTGACTTCGACGATGGTGGTCGTGGCGTATGCCCTTTTCTGGGTCTCGTTGGCAAAGTCGTCTTGGTAGTCATCATTCGGGGTACGCTGAACGTAGAAGCACTGAACGGCACCAATGACGGCAACCACGGCACTACCGTACCAGGCGATACCGGTGCAGTCGATACGAGAGCCAATGGCATAGAGATATCCTGCGACTGGCGGGGCGATCATGCGGAAAGTCGCACCAGCGCTGGCCGCGAACCCATTGACCTTGCCAAGTACAGAAGGGCAAGGAGTCGCCTCCTTGATCAGGATGAGGAGTAGCGGGTAGAGGATGATCGACAGCAAATTCCGAATCGTGAGACATGAGTAGATTGCCGCGTACAAGTACGACTGGGGCACGTGGACTAGGAACGGCATCACAGCGTACGCGATCGGATGCAGAACCGACACAATGATAAAGAGCCTGAAAACCCCGAACCTTTCGGCAAGCACGGGGAATACGACCGCTTGGACAAACAGGGCGATGGCACCATTGACGGCCATGATCATGCCGACCGCTTGCATCGACAAGCCGAGACCGCCGGGCGAGTAAAAGATGTTGAGGTCGGACAGGATACTCGAGGTTGCAGCTTGGAACGTCTTGCGGTCATCCTCGAAGAAGATGGGCAATAGGTGGTCGTAAGTCATGGCGTGATAGGTGAAGAGCGACAGTGAGATGATGAGAGCCATGATACGCTTGCTGAAAATGCTGAACTCTGCTTTCGAGCCGTTCTTATGGCTGACATCGAGCTCCGGCCGGAAGTCGAAGTCGATGCTGGCACGACTGCGGATAGAGCCATAGGTATCGCCGCGAAGATCAACGACTGGCTGCTTGAGAGCGTCCGATGTTTCCAGCAATGGCGTTTCTTCCGAGACGAAGGTTGTTTCCTCGGTGACGCAGCCTGGCTGCAGATCTGGGTGGGTCTCTTCAAGGAGGAAGTAACCCAGTACGATGCTGACCAACAGCAGAGCAGCGCAAAGTAGATTCGGCAGTAGGTATGGGAATTCGGCGAAAAGCGAGCCTCTGGGAAATGCCTCGGGGAAAGACGTATGCGGGTCTGCAAACACTCCGCCGATGGCAGGGCCGATGATAGTACCGATAGACCAGACGAAAGGCATTACGGAGTAGGCACGAGCTATTGCAGCAAAGGTCTGTCAGCCAACATCCCCATGGCATTTGCTTCTGAGAGGCGAACTTACGCTCGTGTTCGGGCTTGCTGACCAGCTCGCCAACCATAGTCTGAATCACGCCAATGTTGCCATTGAGAAGCCCACCAACAGCACGGCCGATGAGGGCGGTCCAGATGTTGGTGGCAAACCCAACCATTAACATGGAAAACATGGTTCCGACACAACCAAGGAGGAGGACCGGCTTGCGGCCAATCTTGTCGGACAGGCTGCCCCAGTACATGCCCATCAGGGCCTCCGCGAGGGAGAAGGAAGAGATGAGGAGACCGGCGTACCACGAGGCATCTTGCTCGTCACCAACCTCGAATCTCTTGATGAGAGCCCAGGCGTATGGGAATATGGAAGTGAGGGCGATGGGTTCGGCAAGCCGAACGATAGCTGCGTTTGTATTAGCAACGCGTGCTGTGCGCCGCCTATGTGAGGACATGACGAATACTAACCTAACAAAAAGAGCTGTACGGTGGGGAAGTCATCTGGGTTACGAGTCGATCTCTGCCGCAATGGGGTCATCGCTCTCTACAGAATCGCAAACGAGTCGTGGTGCGAAGGTGAGGGTAAGTCGGGCAGGCGCCGAAGAAGAACGATTGCCGAAGTAGTGCTCCCAGCTGCCGAGACGATTGGGACCGCGCTGCCGTGCTTGTGGAAAGAAAAACTGAAAGGCGTCCAGTATCACGAAAAGCAGCACAGCGTTCGTGGGAAGTTGAAAGGATGAGGGTGTTGTTTGGCCGACGCTATGAGAACGGAGCAAGTTGTCGGTATTGTCGTTCTTGGGTAGCTTGGAGTCGATATCGTGCGGGTGTGTTCAAGAGGCTGAGGTTGGACAGCAAGAAGAAGAAGAGGTGGTGGACAAGCAGAGCGCACGGGTATGGAGCTTGTCGTTTTTTAGGACAACGGGAGGGTGGGCACCGGTGGCAGCATCGGAGGGTGTGGTGGATCAGACATGGAGGAAAAGGCACGGGGAAAACGAGATGGCTAGTCTAGCACAAGGAGGTGACTAGGCGGGTGCGGACGGAGAGGCGCCTTGGCAGCGTGCTGCCCTGGCTCATGATGCAGGCTGGTGTTTTGCGAGACACATGACGGCCACCCAGGCACGACTCGTCGTGCCTCTGCTCTGCCAGGGCTTGCTGCCCGTCATGCGAGGAAACAACGACCCCAGAGTCGCAAGGGCTTTTCTGTCCACGGCGCCCCTGCCTGGCTGCAGAGGTGCGACGGACACTGTGCGGGGCTATGAGTAGGTGGCGGGGCGAGCACTGCAACTCTGTCGCTTCCAAGGCGGGTCCCAGGGGACAAAAACCTCGCGATAGCGCTACCTCGTGCACCAGACACCCACAGACGACCGAAAACGGCCATTTTCAGGCTCTAGCCGGCGGCCTATTGGACATGGGCATAGGCCCGTTGCGATCCAGCCACTTGCTAAGCGTAGCCCGCTCCCCCGTGTTGTGTTGTCTGTCCTCTGCTCGTCTTCTGGCTGCTGACCATGTCCTGAGCAGTAACCCACCACGAGGACCACACACTCAGGAGGCTCCAAAGCCTGTGAAGCGGCAGCAAAGCGCAATCTCCCCGTGATCCACTGCAACCGCTCCCGAGCATCGATTCTTCACCGATGACGGCTGCCTGACCTTGAACACAGAGACTTCCAGCACAGAATCAGGACCAGCCAGGTGCCTTGGCAAATCCTGCGAGTGCATGCGCTGATTTAGGTTGCCGTCTGCCGATCTTGTCGCTGTGCTGGCACGTCGCGGCTCCTGCCCGTACACCCCGACATGGCGGTTGCATTGTTCCCTGCCCCGCCGTCAACGCGAGATCGGCGGTGTGAAGGTGGTGTGGTCGTGGTGGTGTGGCGGCCGAGGAGCGAGCCCTTGTGAGGCTAGTTGGCCATGCCAGTCGACCGGGCCGGATCAGATGCTGCGATACGACCCACCCAGACGATCACCCATACCGGATGTCAGACGCCCACCCAAGACTGCTTCAGCTCTGCCGGCACTTGGGCGCAGAATGCACTAGAAGTCATCCGTTGTGGTGGCAACGACACAGACCTGTCCGCGACAAGCCGTCCTCAGTTTCGCCTTGTAGCTTTAACACGAGCTGAGTACCGTACAAGCCCGATTATGTGGTTCCATACGATGGTAACACCTGTTGAGGAAATGACAACAACCCAAGGTGGATCTCTGGCGGGGAGCAAGTAACCTGCTTTCGTGTCAGGGGTCCGTGGTCCTCTTCGGAAACACGCAGACTTCCACCATGAGCCAGCCATCTGCCCGGAGAGCGGCCCCGGGCACTGCATGCGGCAGTGGGTTGGAGGCGGTCTGGACCATGCAGCATCCACGATCGATGACTGGCAGCGGAATGACCCCCCGTCACCCAGGACCGGCCGGGAAACAACGCCTGGGGGAGTATGCTGTCCACACGTAATTGAGGTGGTTGCGAGGCCGGAGGACAGAAGCAACCCAGCTGAAGTGACACCATGTTCCGCCATGCTGGAGATGTGGTCGCAGAAAACCTGTGGTGGCTGCCACGTTTGCACGAAACAGTGGCTGCGACCTGTCTCCCCCAACTGCCGGCTAATGTCTTTGGTGCGGCGACTCTCGAAGCTGTGCACGCGACATGTTGCAAGGGGTCTGCCCGACAGCCGTGTCGGTCGGGCCGTGGATGTTGCAGCGAGCACTCGCGTTGGCGCTACTTGGTGGCATGGCTGGCGAACGTGACAGATGTGCTGGGTGTGCGGAAAACATATGCCGCGACAGACAGGACAGCCCATCGACAGACACGCTCACTCGCAATGGAGAGCGGGCCACCTTGGGCAGGGCAGGGGGCCTGGCAGGGCCTGGAGGGGCCTCTCCACCCGCACAGTCCCAGGCACGGTGGCAGGCTTGCGCATGCCGTCCCGCCTGGCCAATGGCATTACACGCAATCTCGAGTTATCGACAGGCCAGGGTCCACACCTGCACGAGGCCAGCGTTCTTGGTTGCAGCCGTCGCTCGTTTCCGGTTCTCAACCCTGCCTTGCTTGCAGCCCAGCGTATCACCTCTCTGCAAACCCCTTCCAGAGGCTCAATTGGGAAAACTCGGCTCTTGCATCCAGCCTTTATCACCTCCTGCCCCGCCAAAGTCAACTCATCCACCATCAAGCTCTGCTAGCAGCCCTGATCTTGCAGTCATTCCACCTCGGACAATCACGAAGGGGCCGTCCGCGACCTCGAGTCGTTATTTGCGCATGGCATCACACAATTCGTACAGCTGGCTGGTGGTGCTGCTGCGTGGTCCGAGCGAGAAAATTGCGTCACCATTAAGCTCGAGTCTCACATTCCCCCGAACTCAACGGCCTGTGCTTGCCATACGTCACAGGGATCCGCCAATGAGACAAGAGGTGAGGTCATTCCAAGGCTTCCGAAGATTTCGAGATGAGCACAGTCTCACAATTTCCCGACGCGCTGCGAGGTTTCGGCTAATTGCGCCATCTCCTTGGGGCGTGCGGAAAAGCTTTCCAAGCGCTGCAGATCAAGGCAGCTCAGGGCGAGCAGGCGCTTTCAGGCCAGGCACCTCGATGAGACCTGGTTTAGCTCCAGACCGCTAAGTTTCGGGCCGTGTCAAGGTTCCAATTCCAAGGTTGGGCCCGGCGGCTGTTGATACGCCAGAGCCAAACAGACGGCGATAAGCCCTGGTGCCTGGAACGAGCTCGAAGTTTCTTATCGCGCAGTAAAATCAAGGCACAATTGCTGCACGCTGTTGGTCATGGCAGGCCATCATCTTCCAGCCGCCTATGCTCTATCACAGGATCAATGACTGGCCCGACGAAGCCCGCGACAGGCCACAGTCGACAGCTTCGCAAGCTGACAAGGTTACTTACCGCGCGGCGGATGCCGTTAGAGCACGCCCACGAGCGGATCGGCCAAGTCTGTGGGCAGTGGTCAGAGCAGCTTCCAGCCATGTTCTCTGCCAAAGGTATCCTGCATCTCGCCTGCTCCGGAGCAGTGCTTGCTCTGCTTCTGCTTCTGCATGCTGCGTCTGAGCCGCCGTAGCGCCATGTAACACCCCTGTCGGGTGACGAAGCAAGGGTTGCCGCAACCACAACAGCGTGATAGTTACCATGTATGCAGGCCCGGGGGCTATGAGAAACAGCCAGACGAATGCGGGCCGCATAAAGACCTGCATATCTGCATGCATGCATGCGCCGCGGGTACGCCTGTAAATGATAAACATTCTGCATGCAGAGGCAAATGCGCGATAGCGAAGCGGCCCCATCGGAATGCGCTGCCCTCTCTTCCGACCGTTGTGACAGGCTCTCTCCGTCTGACGCAACTACGTACACTACCTACGTATGTCCTTATAGATACTTCTTAAAGGTACGCTAGCATGGCGACGAGACACATCCAGAGCCGAGACGCCCGTCAGCCTCTCAGGCGCCTTACAGGTAAGGCTTACAGGTAAGGAGAGCCTGGCAGATTGAGTGACACAGGCCGGGTACGAAGTGAGAGCCCTTTCTGATTGCTACTTACCGGGCAACTGATACTGCTGGTCGGGGCACCCATTCCTGTTTTGCTTTTCCTTCTGCTGTCTCGGCACGGATGGCGTCTCGGCACTGGCTGCATCTCGGCACTGGCTGCATCTCGGCACTAAGAAGATCCAGATATAGCGTATGCGGCGGGCAATTTGCCTTGGGGGCTGCATACGGCAACCGGCTGATTAAGGCGCATTGGCGAGAAGCGCATGCAAAGGTTGCAGGCTGATAAACCAAACAGTTTTTCACATGTCAAGAGCATATCAGATTGCCCCCCACGCTATCGCGCGGAGAGCCACGCACATGTGCCCTGAGCGTTATTCCCAGCTCATCTGGCATGATCCGTCGGCTTAGTTGCTGCTGATTGCCTCGGTGGTACAAGTCTGTGATGTCCCCGAGCTGGACCGTCAACGAGAACGCGTGGCGGCCGGAACGACCGGAACGAGTACCCGAGTGTAGACAAGCCTCTAAACTGCTGGAAATGCCGGAACTGCAAACCTCCTTCCCAAGAGGAGAGCCGCTCCATCCGGCTTCGAGCAGAACCACGGGCGTGCGCGCGCGCGGATAGTGCTGGTCCCTGCTGAATCGTCCTTTTTTTCCCTTCATCTCTACGGCTCCTTCCAGATCTCCTCCTCGTCTTCTTTTTCCTCACTTTACTGGCACGACTTTAGCCATTGAAGAGGCCCTGCTCATCCAGGTAAAAGCCAGGGGGACGTTTAGGTTGGCCGTGTTTCGAAAGATGGCAACATTGTGTGTTTGGCAGTCTTGCACGATCAAAATGGGCCGACTTCTACAGGACCAACTCGGCGTCATGGCCTGTGCCGCCATGTGCAGGTGACTTCTGTCTGATGCTCCAGCAGCACCTGGTCGCCGGGCTGGAGTTGTTTCAGGTTCCCATTTCCCCATCCCACGGCAGTGGGAGAACAATTGTCGAGTTCGACTGGCAGATCATACCCGATATTTACTGACAATAGTCTTAATCTTTAGAGACAAGAAGGGGAAAAAAAGAAAAGCCGAGGAACTGGCGGGTACGTCGGCATTTTGTTCGTTCTTGTCCGCCCACCAACAGAGGGAAACGTGTGCCTACCGACGTCTATGGGCAACGCAAGGTAGGACAGAGAGCTAGCGGGTGAGAGAGAGTAAGAGCCCAAGGTGAGACCAACATGATGACATGCAGAGGCAGAATCATGCTGCGTCTCCTCGCTGCCGATTGCGACAGTCGGTTATTTTATGGCAGTGCGTGGCCGACGTGAGTGTCGACGCCTAGAGTGTAAGGATTCATCAGCGATCTTTATATGTTCTTTGTGCAACGACGTTCCAAACGCGGAGAGGAAGACAGAGAGAAAGACAGAGAGAAAGACAGAGAGAAAGACAGAGAGAAAGACAGAGAGAAAGACAGAGAGAAAGACAGAGAGAAAGACAGAGAGAAAGACAGAGAGAAAGACAGAGAGAAAGACAGAGAGAAAGACAGAGAGAAAAGCAAAGTAGTTCATTGATTTGCAATGAAGTAGTACCATGCCGGGCACAGGAACGATTCATAAAGTGGAAGGGTAGATCCAGCAGATCTCAACACATACCAGGGCACGCTCCGGGCTTGACTGCTCAGTCCTTCTGAATGATACAATAATCCATACTGAAGTGTAGGCAGTGGCATGAACACGGTCATAAAGAGCCACCACCCCTCCCAGGAGATTAGGGCCAATGAGTATTTACCAAACCGACTCCACCCGAATGTTTTGTCACCTGTGTTATTACCACTATCAAAACATCAAACACTGCACGAAACGGGCAGTACGTGCGATCGCGACACCGTTGACCGCAACGCACGTAGAACGACAAGGCCACATGAAACACGGATGCTGAACCGATTTACGCCAATAATCATGTTTGGAGCCACAAGCAGATCATGCCGGAGTTTGGACTCCATATCGGGTCTATAGCACGGCAGAGATTGTCGACTTACCAGCTAGCATGATCAAGTGATGGCAGCCTCTCCTATGCCGAGCAATTCACACAAAGACTGAGAGCCAATCAAGACCACATTTAACACGTCCAGTGAAGCTTTTGATTGGTCCTGGTATTTCTCCCAAGTGTATGCGCGTGGCTCCTCCTAGGCTTAGGCTTGCTTGTTTTCTCACATTGTGACAGCCGAAGCCTGGCCAAGAGAGTGGCCACGTGGGCCAAGACCTATCACTCCGCAATCTGCACCGAGCCGAGCTGGCGGGCCTCCAGATGGCAAGGGGGGCCGAACGGCGACATCCGACCGACCGGGACTTGATTGCTTTGAGTCTCTGGCTACTGCTGCTGCTGTGTTGTTTTTTTGCTCTGCAGGGTTGCAAAGTGAGCTGCCCAAACAGGACTGACGCCGTGATTGTGGTTCCTGGCCGTTGCGAGGCATTGGCCAGTCAGAGGGCGCATCGGGGCCAGGTGCACGGCCGGCGTCGTCACCGACGGCCCCACCGCGCCCAGCCTTCCCTTCTGGGGCCAGCCGCTCCTCGACTTGCAAGCTTCTCCAGCGGACAACGGCGCCTCGAGCAATCCCAGGATCGCCATCATGTAATCAATAGGCGGCCGGCATTGGCCTGGGGCCATAAAAGCATGGCCCTGCCCCGTCGATACGGACCGCCCAGCCAGCACTGTAGCTCCCGCTCTCCGCTTGCTCAGATTCCCGGAGTGTCATCAGAGGACGACGTCACCAGTTCCAAGGCCAGCCAAGACGAGCCAAGAAGAAACAAGAGATCCGTACTAGCTAGCCATGGCTCCCTCCCGCTTCTCCGCCCCGGCCAACGCCGCAGTCGCCTTCTCCCTGCTCGCCCAGACGGCCCGCGCCGGCCTCTACCCGGGCCTCAGTACCGCCAACCACACCTGTGCCCTCGTCGAGCCCGTCCTCTCGTGCTCAGCAGGCGCAACCCCGGACAAGGTCGACTCGTGCTGTGTCGAGACCTACGGCGGCCTCCTCCTCCAGACCCAGTTCTGGAACACCTACACCGGCCTCGAGGCCGAGGGCCAGCTCCTGCCCCAAAACTCATGGACCATACACGGCCTGTGGCCTGGTAAGTCTGCATTTCCGGTGGCTATGCAGGCCAGGAGATCCAACAGAGAAAAGCTAACCGTTGGCACTTGCAGACTTCTGTAACGGTAAATAATTGACCTGAATGCGGATCACTATGCCGCTTTGTTCGACATCCAGACTGGAAACTGACATGCTGTCTTTCCCGTCAAAAAGGCTCCTACACGCAGTATTGCGACCTAAGGTAGGCATCGCCAGTTTCACCCCAGGCCTGACGTTCAATAATATCTACTAACACCACCATAACAGCCGCCAGTATGACCCTGAGCCGTCCCCCAACACTACCACCGGCACTCCGGCCGGCGAGCCCGTCCCGCCCTACACTGGCAACTCGATCGAAGAGTTCATCACGCCTTTTGGCAAGTACGATCTTCTTGCGTACATGAAGAAGTAGGTCTTGAGTCCTCACCTCCACCCCACCGTGGGGAATACCTTTCCGAGACACCATCCCTCTGACACGCGAATCCCTCCACCCGTCAGGTTCTGGATCGGCCTGAACCAGCAAGACTGGTTCCTGTGGGCCCACGAGTTCTCCAAGCACGCCACCTGCTTCAGCACCTTTGACGTCGAGTGCTACGGCCCCCAGTACCGCAAGAACGAGGACCTCGTCGACTTCCTCGAGACCACCATCTCCTACTTCAAGACGCTCCCCACCTGGCGCTGGCTGGCCTGCAAGGGCATCCACCCGTCCAACCAGACGGCCTACTCGCTCTCGGACATCCAGGGCGCCCTCACGGAGAAGTACGGCTTCCTGCCCTACGTCGGCTGCTCGGGACCCAAGTACAACACCACCGCCGCGGGCGCGGGCTCCCTCGACAACGGCGGCACCGTCCTCTCCGAGATGTGGTACTACATGCACGTCGCCGGCCGCCCGCAGGACGGCAGGGCCGTGCGCGTCCCCGCAGACATCAACGGCGGCCGCGTGTCCAACTGCGCAAAGGCCCCCGGCGCCGTCTGGTACTACGAGCGCACCGCCGGCTCCGAGTGGACAGAGTGAGGGGGGAGAGAGAGAGAGAGGAAAGGGATCGTTGCTTCTCTCGTGGAGGGATGTGTGGAGGAAGCTTTAGCTCGTGTCGTGAGTGTGCCCCGAGGTGGCCTGCAGTGCACATATTTGAGACTATCTCCGAGTGGACACATGCGCTTTGCTCAATTCATGACACGGTCAATAACCGGCTGAGAAGCCTGTCCTCGATACTTATAGTAGTAATGAATAATAAAACAATACAATATGACGATCACCTCATAGTTTCAGGATCCTGGCATTCTTAAATCATACACCAATGGTCATGTACCACAGGGGTGGTCACCATAAACCATAGTCCCAAGCATTGGTTCGTAATATTTGTTTGCAGTAATGTCAGCTACCGCCCTCGACTTGAGTGCCGGGGGGGGGGGGATACTCGAACAGCCCCTAAAGGAAACTCCCAAAACTCCGGCTAGATGCTCCTTTTTTTATTTCCCCTTGTTTTGCTCCCACGCCCTTCATGGTTTCCCTTCTTTCTCTTCGAATGTGCAGCAGCAATCTCTCCGAGCAGCAATTTGCGTCATGCTCCTTGAGACGCTCCACCTCTTCTTCTTCTGCTTCATCCTCGTTCCTCATCCTCACAAGCCAATCACCTCCCCTGGAGCATCATATTCGCATCCCACAGCAGTAACCGCTCGTCCCAGCCCACGGTAGCGACCCACCCGCCCACGCCAAACAGGCACCAGTCGACGCCCATGACGAACTCGGTATGCCTGTTCATCAGGCCCAGCTGCACGCCGGCGCGGATGGGCGACTGGCTGGCCTGCTCGGGCGTGGGCGCCATGGTGGACCCGTCTGTCCACAGGCGCACCGTCATGTCGTAGCTCGTGCTGACGAGGATGTCGCTGGCGTGCGGGGACCACGCGAGGCGGCGGACCGCGTACTCGTGGCCCATGAGCAGGGCGCTGGGGCCCGCCGAGGCGTTGCGGATGTCAAAGATCCGGATGCTCCTGTCCACCCCGCCGGTCGCGATCACCGTGTCGTTGTACTTGTTCCAGTCGTGCGTCAGGATCTCGGCGGGCATGGTCGGCGGCGGGGGGCCCGGGAGGTTGGCGGGCAAGGGCACGGGCGGCATCTGGTGCACGGGGATCTTGGTGGTGAGGTGGTACTGGGCGGACACGGGCGTGCGCAGGTCGAATATCCGCAGGAACGAGTCGGAGGAGACGGCCGAGATGATGTTGGGGTTTGACGGGCAGTACGAGGTGCTGTATGTGCAGTTGCCCACGGGAAGGGTTCGTATCGAGTCCTTGCGGGCGGGCGACCACTGTTTCCCCCAGAACGAAACGGACGACTGTTAGCGGAAACTGCAAGGCTATGATGATGACGGCAAAGAGGAACACAGCCAAAATGGGCGATGCATACAATCTTGACGGTGCCGTCCCAACTACTTGACGCGAAGGTATCCTTGGTCACGGGGCTCCAGGCGACGGAGAAGGTCTCGCGCTTGTGCTCGTGGAAGTTCATGACGGGGAAGTCGTTGACATTGATGTCGTATAACTTGACGGAGCCGTCGCCGCAGGCCGCGAGGAGCTGGTTCTCGTTGATCTCGGACCAGGCGACATCGTACTGGGCGTCGTTTGTGTCAAACGTCTTTTCGATGCGCACCCCCTGCGGGCCGAGCCCCAGGCAGAAGAGGCGGCCGTTGCCGACAATGCCATAGTTTGCGGCGGATGCGACGGCGATGCGCGAGTCGTAGTAGGGCGAGTATTTGACGGCGTACGGGTTGAAGCCCGGCGTGCGGAACTCGAGCATGGCAGCCATGGCGGGCGAGATGGGAGGTTGAGTGTAGTTGCCCAGACGAGGTGGCAGCTTCGAGATCGTGGAGAGTGTCGCCCATGGGGGAGGACTGCGCTAGGCAAAGCACGCCGCGGGGCCTCGGCAGAAGTCACGGCGGAGCGGACAGCTCAAGTAGCGGGGGGAAGCAGCTGTGGTGGGTACTGTGGGCGGCCAGGCCAGGGGTCTGTCTGCTGCTCTGTGGAGGGGGTTTTGGCACATGAAAGGCTCCAAATCCCTGTCTGCTGAAGGATGGCCCTGGTGCTCCCATTCAATTGGTCGCCCTTTGCTCAACACGGAAGGCACCCTCCCAAGGCTGCCTCAGCTCAAAAAGAACGTTACCATTAATCCGTAGTTCTTGCAATATCAGATATTCTGAAATGCTTGCTGTGCAAATCCCAACCAGCGACTGGCGACACACGAGTGGAGGAATCTGTGCACAATGGACGCGTTCTTGAGGGGCGTGAAGCGGAAATCCACAGCACCGTCGGTCCCCGATCCCTCGCCATACCTACAAGATGATGACGAGTCGACAGACGTCAAGCTGGCGATCCTGGCCTCTTTACACCCAGGACTGGGTCAAGACGTGCTGCTGGACAGCCTCTTGGCCCACGACGGTTCAGTCGAGGCCACCTCTGCATCCTTGGCAGACACGCAATTCACACCACCTCTGTTGCACAAGCCCAGCCAAGCCGTGGTAGGAACTCAGACCTCACTCAGAGGCTTCGCCACGAGCAACAGCACGACAAAGCTAGGGACTACTCCTACGAAGAAGCCCAAGACACTGTCCAGGAAGGGCACAACCCTTCGTCTATACGACCCAGAAGACGTGGCAGAGCACACCCCATGCAGCATCATACACAACTTCCTTCCCGTCGACATGGCCAACGACCTGCTCCGCGAAATGCTCGAAGAGTCCAAGACTTTTGAGAAAATCACCTTTAAGATCTTTGACAATGTCGTCGCAAGCCCCCACACCTCGACGTTCTACGTCGAGACAGAGGCAGAACAGAGCACGCAGAAGAACGAATACTACTATAACGGCTCCAGCTTAACGGTATGTTCCAGCATGCGGAGATGTGAACAACGCCAGACAGGTGCAGATATGGAGACTGACTACCACGAAACACAATTGTAGGACGTGCGTCGGATCACGCCACAGCTTCTGCGGGTCAAGCCACTGGTCAGGGAGGCTGTGAACAAGGAGATCCAGCACCGCATCAAAACCAAGTACCCGGATGGCCAGAAGCTCAAATACCAATCACCAGACCCATGGCAGCCCAACGCAGCCTTTGTCAACTGCTACAACGGGCCCCAAGAACATGTTGGATATCACAGCGACCACCTCACCTACCTTGGACCGCGGGCTGTGATCGGATCGCTCTCCCTTGGCGTCGCTCGCGAGTTCCGCGTACGCAAAGTGCTCCCCCGAGACAGCGACAACAACCTCACGGATGATCCAGATGCCGAGGGTCAGATCTCCATCCATCTACCTCACAATTCCCTGCTCGTCATGCACAGCGAGATGCAAGAACTCTGGAAGCATTCAATCGCCCCGGCGCAGGCTATCGATCCGCATCCCATCGCTGGCAGTAGGAGAATCAATGTGACCTACAGAGACTACAAGGCCATTTTCCACCCCAAATACACGCCCAAGTGCAAATGCGGAATACCGACGGTGTTGAAGGTTGTGCAGAAGCGCAAGGAGAATTGGGGGCGGTACTTCTGGATGTGCCACCGTGGTAACACGCCACAAGGGGAGAGCTGCTCCTTTTTCAAATGGGCGGATTTCGACGACGACGGCAATCCGGTTTGGGACGTGGCCCGCTATCGGAAAGGCGGTCGTCCGATAGAGAGCAACGACACAAACGCCATGACATGAAACTCCTTTCGCGAAACTTCATTCTCTGAACATTATGCTACGTACTGCATCATCACACGAGGTCAAAAGCGAGTACCTTCTCATGGCTCGGTGTATCCCGGCGGGATGTTGGTGTATCCGTCACTGTGAGACAGCTTGAGCTCCTTGAGGTCGACACCATTGAGAATCCTGATGTTGAGCGGCCGGAGGTGAGCACCGCCCAGTACCCACTTCTTGCCCTCTTCAGACAAGTTGGCAATCGCGGCCTCGGGAGGCGAGTGATACTTGCCATAGAGGTAGATGCCGCAGGTCTTGCAGAATGCCTTGCCCCAGACTCCAAGGTTGAAGCGGTAAACTGTCACATTCTCCTCGCCCTGGATCGACACCCTTTTCGCCGAAGGGTAGATCCATGCGCAGCCGGCCTAGAATGTTTGTCAGCGTGTTGCAAGGAAAGGGGCATTCTTGGTTCAGACTGACCCTGTTGTCAAAACTGCAGTTGCATTCCGTCATGAACTTGTTATAAGTCTTGTCGAGAGGAAACGTGTTGATACCAACACGCACAGCACCGCAATGGCAACTGCCGGTGTAGAACTTGATGCCCTCGCCCTCGCCTTCTGGTTTCGGCCCTTCGAACTCGGGGATCTCGTACTTGCTCCCGAAACTAGCGCCGTCGAAGCTACAGCACATGAGGAATGTCAGTAAAAACATCTGACCGAGTACCCTTTGAAGGTTGCGAAGGAGGGTTCATCTTACTGGTCAAGCTCCATATCCCAGAGGTTAGGCAATTGGCCGTGCTGGAAGGATCGAGCCTGTAGGATACAATCAGCTGGGGTTGCCAGACCAAGGCAAAAATGTCTCTGGGGGAGACAACAGGCAACTCACATTGACGGAGAACAAGTCAAACTTGTCGCCGGAATCGAGCGTGACATGCCCTTTGACGACGATGGTGGTCCCGCACTTGCCACAGAACTGGAAGTCATTAGCCAGCATGCTCAAGCGCAACTTCGATTTTCGGTCATGGCCGGGACGGCACCTACCATGTGGTCGATGCCCTTTGGGCCGAATTGGTACGAAACCAGGTCTTCGAGCTTGCCCTTTTCAAAGACGAGATCCTCTTGGCCTTTGAGTCGAGCGTACAGGAAGGCGTCCTTGTGGCAGTAGCTGCAGTTGCAGCCCTGGAGCTTTTTTATCTCTGGGAGTTTGGCCTCGAAGACAAAGGCGGCACAGTGGCAGTTGCCACGGTAGGTCTTGGGTTCTTCCTCAGCCATGATGATGTATGGATGTTTAGAGGGCGATGGAAGCTGATGGCGGCGACAGATGTGCGAGGTCGACACGAAAGGAGTACACAGACAAGACAAGATGGGGTGGAAAAGCAGAGTGGTTAAGTCAGACCGCGGACGTGCCGAGGTGACTATATACTCATTTTCTACACGGCTTGGCTCACTCGACCTTTAGCACGGTAAGCACAGCTCTCTAGCCTGCAGCTTGCATTCGGCCATTGGCAGCAGCAGCAAAAAGCAACAAAGCTTCGAGCCCCAACAGGTTCTGGACTGGGAAGCGGTGGATTCACAGCAGCAACCCCGCGGAACCCCGGCTGTCGGGCGTGGACCCTGAGAAAACAGCGGGGATCGCTGCCTGGGCGCCAAGCTTTGCACTTTCCAGATCAGGGCAGGCTCAATCCCCTTGATTGCCGCGGGCTGTCAGCTCAGCGCTTGTCGTCATCAGCGCTCTCACCAGCAATTGACTACAGAGCAACAACGAGGAACAATTGCCAGCAGGCATCAAGTTACCACTCGCCAAGGAAGGATTGCGCAATGCCTCCATGGGCGGAGGTACGAGCACTGGCAAGTGTCTCCTTGTGCGACGGTTCCATACGTATTCAGCACAAGCAGGCCCGCTTCTCCAGGCCCCTCTGCTCCAACCTGCGTCTCCACCTGCAACGCAGAATGTCGGTTCACGATGGACCTTTCAGCTTCGCGCACGCGCGCGGACTTTACACCACTCCGTCCGGGAAATCCAATGGACCGCGACCGTGGCGTCCCGGTCCTGGACGCGAAGGCGTCGCGCGATCAGCTGACTTTGGGGGCTAGTCCTTCCCGTGCAGGTGTGACAATGAGTCACACAGTTGTATTGCAGCGTGTGGATCTCGATGGCCAGCTCAGCTGAAAGGTGACCGACCTCAGCTTGCAAAAGCCGTGGATTAGTAGATGGGAGATTGGGGGTCCCCAAGGGGGTAACCTGTCATTGATAAGGAGGCAGGCATGTTCACTCATCTGAATGAGAGCAAGCAAAATTCCAGTTGTCGAAACCAGTCAGACCTGGGGGTGTGATGCGGAGCTATCGGTGTACGTACGGGGCCACGCGCGAAGTGCTGCGATGCCTGGAAAATGACCTGAAGTCTTTCAAAAGTCCCTTGTCTATCTGTAAAATGACCTGCCACAGTGCTTGGGTGCTGCTCAACAGGACAAAAAGACCGCCAGAGCAACAATTGGCACACAAACAAGAACCGCAGGGCCGCCATGCACAATTTTGTGAGTGTATCGATTGACCAATAGATTTCCTTCATTTGAAAAAAAAGAGTCGGCATGGCAGATTTCACGTGTCACGGACAAACACACACGAAAACTGACGCTTGAACGCACGTTTCACGGCTTTCATCATGGTCTCAGGGATTTCAGGGCGGGTGGGTGAATCAGTAAAGCGCGGGAATGTATCATAGCGCCACCTTGCGATTCACACACATGTCCCATGTACCATTTCACAGCGCCCCGAGGAACGAGCACTGTTCTTTCGTGAACAAGCCGTTCATTTCGGCATTGCAAAGGCGCCACACGTTGCAAAGGGAGATGAACCAGATTGGACACGCCACACAGAGTTGGGACACATTGCCATTTCAGATAATACATGTACACTTTTGGCATGATACCAAGCAGCACACGCCCCCTCGACGCTTTCCTGCCGTAGCTAGTAAGGAAGGATCCAGCAAGCATGCATGGACGTACCGAAGGAAAGACCTAGATAGCTGCAAGTATCAGAGCTGGTAGGCCCGGCCCTTTTTCTCTAACCTCTGTGAACTGCTAGCCCCTCCGATCCCGTCTGCCACCCCTCCGACTCCGCGGCGGCGTCGAGTTCTCCTCCATGACCACAATCTCATCCTCGTCCTCCGACTCGGTCTCGCTATGGCTGTAGTCCTCGCTGCTTAATATCGACGATGGGACGACTCTCGGGGGCGCACCTGCCCCGCCTCTTCCCGGCCCCGCGCCACCACCGCCACGAACCCCAGGCGCCATGACCACGGGCACTCCCCTGGGCGGCATGGGGCCCCGACTCCTGCTGCGACTCCTCACGGACGAGGCACCGCCGTACCCGAGCGCCGACCGGTCCGTCATCTCCTCCTCGACGATGATTTGGTCCTCGTTGGGGTTGTGGTAGGCATATCGCCCTCCCCGGCCTCCACCACCACCACCGCCGCCGCCGCCACTCCTCCGGTTCTCCGCGACCCGCCGTGTCGACGTCTCCGCGACCCGCCGTGTCGACGTCTCCCGGCGCACCTCGACCATCCTCGGCGGAGATCGCGATCGGGACCGCGAGTGGTGGTGCCGGTGCTGCTTCTTCTTCATCTTGAGCACCCCTCCGCGGCTACGACTGCGCCTCGCGCCCTCGACCGCAATGACCGCCGCCGCCGCAGCAGCCGGCCCCGCATTGGTAATCACAGTCCCCGTGGCCCGGCTGCGCGAACGCTCGTCCCGCCGCCGCGTCGAGACCACCGACCTCGACATGTTGGTCACCGAGCCCCGCTCGGACCAGACCTGCCTTCCCGGCAGGCCAAAGTTGAGGCAGAAGTATATCACCCACAGCACGAACAGGAACGCTGCCACAGATCCGACCACGATGCCCGCGACCGTGCCGGGAGGCGGGCTGTTGGGCAGGCCGTAGCCCTCCGGGACGGTGTCTACGCCGCTGGTTGCGCGGTGGAGGTTTCGGAGGCTGCCGAGGAAGGCGCCATTGTTCTTGCTGTTGTGGTCAGGGGCGAGCGAGTCGGTCAGGCGGCGGAGGAGGAGGTGAACAGTATTGGAGGAGGAAGAGATTGAGCCATCGCTGTCGCTGTCGCCAGTGCTGAGCCCCGATGTGGGTGCCATCCGGGAAGGAAGATGCTGGTCGTCGTTGTCGTTACTGTCGTCGATTTGTCGGGAAATACAGCTCAGAGAGGACTATAGTTGCCGTGTTCGCCACCGACTTGTCCAGAGTGCCAGTGTTTCCCCCTGAGCAGGCAATCGTACTCTGGCGAAGCGGCTCTATGTGTTTTTGTGGCGGACTTGCTATTGTGTAGGGCCTGTCCAAAGGAGTGAGACAGGGACGACCTTGTCGCTGCTCAGCTGAGTCGGTGTCGCAAGTGAGTGTGAAGGCGGTGGCCCAATGTGGTGTATGGTGTGTGAAGGGTCAAAGATTGTGTCCGACAGTACTGAATTTGGCGCAAGCACGCTGTGCTTGTCCACGACGCTCGAGAATGGATTGCAGCCGCAGTGGATCGTGAGGCTTCTAATTATGCTTCTGCCTTGGCTGACATGAAAGGTTTAGGTCGGGGATGGATGGGGGAAGGAGGTGCAGATGCGCAAGTCGTTGCTGGGCGGTTGTCGTGCAGCAGTCGGGGGGGTGGGGCTCAGCCACAGCCCTGCGAGCCCAGCCAGCGCCATCCAGAGGCCAATTGGCGTCAATCAAGCAGAAATAGCGACAGCGCATGATTGCCTGCATCTTCATCGCCAGCGCTTCAGCATAGCATGGAGTCGTGACTTGCTCCTCCAGGTGCACCAGGGTCTGCAGCAGCTCCTCCTGCCTCCTGCCTCAAATGAAAATGAAAATGAACCCTTCAATTGTGGACAATACAACATGTTTTTTGGTGCAGTTCCTCGCCAGTACCGAACGCCTTTTAGAGAGAACACAAGTTCCCAGCAAGACCGTGGGGGCACATAGACCTCGAGCATTGCCAGGTTCAATTAAACCACCAAGGACGCCACTTCAGCGACCATCTTTCAACCGCGCTTGTCCTTGGCTCCCGCCCTCCTCTGCTTCCTCGAATCGACCACCACACTGACAGGCCATAGCACGGCGACACCAAGCACACACAGGAATGTGGCAAAGAGCTGCCAGAGGAACCACAGCGGGCCGAATGGCGACACAAACTTGAGCCACTGGTCCACCTGGTAGTGGTCCTCCTGGCCCTTGATGTAATAGAGCTTCTTGCTGCCGCTGCTGCTGTGGCTAGGTCTATCGCCATTCACCATCGTGTTGGATGGTGTGAACGTGCTGTTGTGGTGTGCGGGTGTGGGACCGGGAGCAGCGACCTGTGCAAAGGAGGGCATCGCCTCTCCGTCGTTCCCTTCCAGCTTGACCTCTCCGCTGGCGTTGTTCTTGTTGCTGCTGCTGCTGCTGTTGTTGTTCTCGCCGCTCCGAGATGCTGATGCATGGCGTCCGTCCTGCTGCTCCGGCGCGGGCAGGGACGCCAACTCGAGCACGCTGACGAGCTTGACTTTTGCCTGCCACAGGTTGAAGGGGACGACCCAGATGGTGAAGGTCTGGCGGATGGTGACGTACAGCAGCCCGGCCTTGGCGTCGAAGGCGGCGCTGTCAACCACGAGCGCGATGCTGGGCGAGAGGATCTTGTACCACTGGTACACAAGCTGGACGAGGTAGCGCGAGTTGAGCGGCCACAGCTTGTGTGTCGGGTCCGGCGACGTGACCTGCTGCTCGCGCGGGTCGCTGTCAATGCCGCCAAACGCGAACGAGGGCACGCGGCAGAACGGGTGGATGAAGTACGCGTTGGGCAGGAAGTACGTGTTGAGTGTCGCCTCTTGCTCCCCGCGGCTGCCCTGCGTCAGGGACAGGATCACGGACTCGATCTCGCGGGTTGGGTCCTCCATGGTGTGCGTGTGTGTTGTGCGTGGTGGTGTGTGATGAAAGCGACTGAGATGGTGAGCTGGGTGGAGGTATGGCTCAAGGGAGTGTGCTGGTTGTGTGCAACTTATTAGATTCCTGCGACGTTAAGGAGCAAAAGCGTAGCACACCGGCAGACTCGGAAGGAGCGCGTCGGCAAGGACGAACCTAGGGCACACCTGCTCCAAACCTGGCGTCACGGGAATTAATGGGGTCGAGTGACGGCACTCACTTGTACTGGCGGGTTCCAGCACGTGTCAGTGCTCCATTGAGTTTATCCCCGAGTCTTTCGTCGCTGATGGCTCCCTTTCCTTGTGATCGAGGCTCTGCCGCTGCGCCAGTGTCTCAGCAGTTCCTGTGGGTGTGGATTGGGGAATGCGTGTAGAGAACAAGGCGTGACGTCATGCCTGGGACCACTCTTGGCAAAGCATGTGAAAGCACCCTGGGTTGGGCAGGCTACCCCGGTCGGCCCAAAGACCTGTCAACCACTTTTGTAACTGCACAGCAATGTGGACGACACATGGGTTTTCTACTCAGGGAGACATGATTTGAGACAAGAGGCGGCGAGGCGGCTCAGTATCGGCGAGTTATGATATATCTCTGCTGGTGTCTCAGACTATCCCTCTCCGCGTTTCCCAAACAAAAAGGGGTTTCCACCCGCCAAGGTCCTCCTCCTCCGCTTGTACATGTTGGCAACTGTCGTCATGTACACGTATAGCCAGATGTCGTCCTATCAGCCATTGCCGCTGCCGCCTTGCTGGCCGCCAAAAAAGAATCCATCAAAAAGATCGACCTGCTGCCCGTCGCTAAAGTCGTGATGCATGCCCTCCCACCCCATGCCCAGCCCGACATCCATCTGCATGTCCTGGCCATCAAACCCCAGCAGTCCCCCGCCACCAGCCCCGATCCCTTGCTGGTCTTGGTCCAGCTGCTGCTGGTGAAGCTCCTGCAGGAAGTCCATCCCCTGCAGGTCGGCGTAAGACAGGGACGCCACGCCCCCAGCCTCGTTCCCGTACCCTGCCGTGGTTGGTGATTGCAGCATGCCGTATCCAGCATCACTGGCCGCATACTGTGGGGGGACAGTCTGGTTGGATCGCGGCGTCAGGCTACGGACAGATATCGGCGAGTCAACTTGCCCGGCAGCGGGGGACACGCTGCTCAGCACCGGATCCAGGTTCGTGTGGACAGACATGCCGGCTGCTGTCGTAGATGCCGCTGAGGACTGACCGTCGAGCATGCCTTCGCCCGATGAAGCAGCCGTCAGAGATCGCAGCGCGCCATAGCCACCGTCCTGCTCGGTCTTCACTCGTGGATCTGCGTGCCGGTATGGCGTGCTTGGCGGATCCTGCGTGCTCGAGGCGGGCGCGGCCGCGGCGGCGCTGGCATAGCCGTACGCATTGGGTTGGAACCCGCCGGCAGCTGCATTTTCTAGAGATCGCCGCGCAGGGTGCCACCTCCGATTGGCGGAGGCATCGCGGGCGGACATGTAGTCGTTGTCGGCACCCCCCATTCTCGAGCCCTGCTGCTGATTCCGGACAAGTACTTGACCAAAGCCTCCAGTGGAGTGCGCCATCCTGATTGTCGCCTTGGCCGTCCGGTCGAAGGCATCTCGGCAGGCCTCTGCTGGAGGGCACTTGTCGATGAGGTCGGTGAAGACCGACGTGGCTGCTAATATCGTAAAGTCGACCTCATCCATGGTCTGACATTGCGGGTTAGTCTCGTCGTGCGTGCTTTTTTGTTTTTCTGTCACTTACCAGACGGCTCCTGACAATTGGTGAGTGCCAGATGGCATAGAGGTACGAAATGCCCGCCATAAAGAGATGGTGCGTGGCGAGATAGGTATAGTTGACCAGTCCGACCAAGTGCAGCTGCCTGTACAGTCGCAGAATCTTCTGTCCAGCCTCGGCCACCTTGAGGTACACTCTCTCCTCGTCGTCACGCTGCTCAGCCGTGTAGACGGACGGACTGTTGACTTCCTTGGACGTGTTGTACTCCCCTTCAAACATTGACGGCACACTCAGGCTCTGCCGGTACAACATGATTATGGTCTGCCAGTAATTGAGCTCCAGGAACTCGGGCGAGAACGCCACGCCAGACTGCGCCTTGGACGGCGCAGACGCCTTCCACTCAAACAGGCGCTGGTCAATATGCCGGCGCCAGCTGCGGAATGAATCGAACCGCTCCAGAAACGGCGACGGGAGGTTCGTGTGCATGTACTCGTTGCGGACGTTCTGCCCGTTGAAGCGGGCAATCTGCGTCTGCTGATACTGAAGCACCTGCAGAATCTCGGACTGCAGCAGCCGCAAGCGGAAGTAATGCTTCGCCACAGCCTTGTACGTCGGCTCGCCCTCGACCGGCTTCCTGGTGAAGCCCTGTGGGGTGATGAACTTGTCGTCCAGCAGAGACGGGAACTCGGTGGTAATAACCTGGTCCGACACGCCAAAGGGGCGACCGACGCATGTGCTCACGAGCCGGTCGAACGAGTACGTGCACCACCAGAGACGTCTTCTCAGGTCACGCACAAACTCTCGCCTGCCCTTCTCGCGGAACTGGGCCTCTCGTGCCTCATTGGATGCTGAAGGCGTGGTGCTAGACAAGTCAAACTCGATGTCCTTGCCGTCCTCGTAGTGAAGGCCCAAGTCAACAGCCAGGCGCACGGCTACTCCAACAATGTACCTGGAACGGTTCGTTAGCATACCGGGTGGCGACTGCCAGACAACCAAACCGTCGACTTACCACAAGCCCGGGGGCACAGGCCGCAGCAGTGCGAAATTTGCCAGCAGCAGCACGGCCTGCAACTCCTCGAGACCGCCACCACTGTTGCCCAGGCACGCCTCGAGATGTACAATAGCGCTCGCATGGTACTCCTCGGGCTGTGCCTGCCTCTTGAGCGCCCCTCCACTACCCGAGGCTGTCGCCTGGGCGTCCATGATGATGCCGCCGCCGATTGCGAAGACCATGTTGAGCATGTACAGCTCCTTTGAGCCGCACGCCCTGCCCTCCTCCTTCGAGTACGCGAGGTCAAACATCTGCATGAACTCGCCGCGGTGCAGCACGGGGATCTGAGGGTTCGCGTACTCAAAGTACAGGTTGACGAGCTTGATCGCGAGCTCCCGGTCCGGGAACTCGGCCGGGTTGATCGTCGGCCGGGTGTGCAGGCCAAAGAACGAGTCTCGCATCGAGGTGCCGCCCGGCTGTTGCTGTTGTTGTTGTTGCTGCTGCTGCTGCTGTTGTTGCGCAACCGACTCCCTGCGCCTGGAGGGCCGCGGGCCCGTCTTGTCCGAACTCGACTTCTGGTCGCCAACAGAAGACTGCACGGCGGCAAAAACGACCCGCGCGAAGGAGATGCCATTAGTAGACGCCACCGATCTCATGTTGCCACTCTGCCTCGAGCCAGCCGGCTTGCCAGGCGGTCTTATGTGCTCGCCGTCGCGCGTTTGTGGTCTTGACATTTCTGTGTTCTCAGTGTTGGTCCCTGACGCCATGGGCTCGGAGATATCAGCCATGACCTTGTCCAGCACCGCCTGTGCCGCTGGGCGCGAGCAATGCTCCAAGCTATCTGCCGAGGGGACCTGGATGTTGTTGGCCACAAGCAACTTCTCCAGCTGATCAACACGAGTCTCGAGGTAAAAGACATAGCTAGGCCCCAGTCCACATGTTAGCACGTTTCTCGTGGATTACGGAACAAGATACTCAAGCCGGACGTGAGCGTGCTCCCCGTAAACACCTTCTTTGGAAGAATTGCAGAGCAAGTGGTCATATATATATACCTTCTGGGGATCTCCCGCTTCGTGATGGGATCATAGCCAACACAAGATACTCCGGCCTTTGCACAGCTCGCGCAGCTCGGCAGCTTCTGGTCGCACCGGTTCTTTCGCAGGCGGCACCTGTTGCAAGCGCTGACGTTGCGAAAACTGCTGCTACTGCCGCCTGCTACTGCTGCTGCTCCTCCTCCCGCGGACGAAGGGGTAGGCTTGCCACCCGTCGTGCCGCCGCCACCGTCAGACTGCTCCGTCGCGGCGCTGGGCGATTCCAGGGCCCCGATCACGGCGGCGGCCGACGCTGGCGAGTCATCATTGTTGTCCGATGGCGAGGCCTGGCGCTGGCGTTTCGCCGGGTGCGCAGGGGACGGTGACATCCCGCCCATTGGCTGGCTGGCTGTCCGTCGAGCAGCCGTGCGTCGCCCTTCGTAAGCCACAGCCTGGTCCTCAGTCAGGCCTCGCTGCAATCTCCCCAGGCGGTGCTGGATAGAGAGAGAAATAACGCGGCTCGGGACCAGGTGACGGCGGGAAGAAGCTTGGAGCCCGGCTCTGTGGTGGCTACCGGGACTGCCGCGGCTGGCTCGGCGGTGGTGGTGGGCGGTCTGCTCAGGCGCAGGCGCAAAGATAATGAGTGCGCGGTCTGTGGCGCGCCAGAGTAGTAATTGCTGGAGACAATGTTCTTGTTCTTTTGCCTCTGCCGTTGTAGTGGTCTATGCCGTCGAGTCCATCAACCACACATTGGAGTTGCTCAGCAGACCAATCATGTGTCCTTTTGTCGCTGTGCGTGCAAGCAAGTTCGCGCGTGTTGTCGGCGTGGTTGCTTATCTCTCTCCCCTCCGTCTCCAAATTGACAAGCGCCCGTTGCTGCAATGATGGGGGTTTTTCCGGTTTTCCAAAGCCTAGATTTGCTATGGGGATTGATGAGCCGTCGTTGCGGCTTGTGCACAGCGGCGATGGTTGTCTGTAAATTCAGAGCAAGGCCATCCTTCCCGTTTTTCTCCCCTGCGTGATGGGACCAGAGGATATCGGCTGGTAGAGATAGCGCGGCGATCACTAAAAAGTCCTTGTCGTGGAGTCTCCAGAATGCTGCCGATTGAGTGAGCGGGTGAGCGAGGGCGAGCCTGCCTCCCGGAAAGCGGAGTCGCATGCCCGTGGGGGTGGGCGAATCAGAGCGCTAGCGCAAAACAGGGGTGTGCACAAGTCGAGGTTGAGATTTGGGGGTTCACATCGGCAACGCCAAGGTCGAGTAATATGAGCCTTCTCTCATTCTGTGTGCACAGACATGCGAAAGACCCATATGCTCCTAGAGCTAGAGCTCTATGCGGGGGTGAGAAACGTTTGGAATAGGACATGCAGAATACGGCACGACACGGCAATACAACCTAGCCACGCCTGACTCCAGCCGGCTCATCTACAAGTCATCGGGGGCGCGGGGTGGAATTCCTTTGGAATTTCGGGTTGCAAAGGTGCCGAATAAGACCACAAACACCATATCTATGTAATATACTCCCAGCTTGCCAAGAAAGAATAACCAAACAAACCATCATACAAGTGGTATCTTGGGATATCAACCATGAGAGAACCCTGCTCCAAAGCCTAAACATCAATGTGTATCATGCTGTAGTCCTTCAACCCAAACCCATTGTCGCTTACATTGTAACCCTGAAATCCTCGCGTAGGAAGGACAGACTAATAAGGAGAAAAAAAAAAGAAAGAAAAAGAAACCGCCAGCGCCCGCTATTCCGCGCACTACCATTCCATGAATTCCCAAGAGAAGGATTAGATGTTCCGTGCGTGGCAGACGTGGATGTGAAGGCAGGCACTTCTGGATCGCTGTCGAAGCCCAAACTTATCAGCTCCAAAGGTGTTTGTCAAGCAGTCGTGAGGTCTCGTGGCGCAACCTGGCCAAGGCACACCTGTGCACTGTCAACATTCTCTGGGTCGACAGGCTGCGAGGGCCTCTTTTCGGTTGGCAGGTGGTGCTGCTGCTTGACCTTAAACGCCACAACAGCGCCCGCAATGGAGACCAGACCACTACACCACCAGGCCAGCCCAGAGTACCCTGATTTCAGGCCGACAGCATAGAGAAACCCGGCAAGTGTAGGCCCAAAAGCCCGGCATAAGCTAGCGGTTGATGCAGCGACGCCGTTGATTGTGCCTAGAGCCAGGTGGCTTGGCGCTGAGTCGGCAGTAAGAATGGCGTTGCTCGGATAGGCCATATTGGCGAAAGTGCATTTCCACACGAGAATTATCGCGACGCCAATCATCCTATGCCGCTCTGGAAGCAAAACCAAGTACGGCGTGACGAGGTACAGCGAAAAGTAGGCTACTGTGAGAAGCCGGAACAGTCGCAACGCTCCAAGCCGTTTGATGACGGCTGGAACCAGAACGACGTTGATGAGCAGTGAATAGATACCCTGTAAACTCAATATAATTCCGTTGGCTTGTGTGTCAAGACCGAAACCCCCGACAAACTTGAAAGGCAAGTGATCCGGTTGTTTGTTGGCTGGTGGACTGGTGCTTAAGAAGATTGGAAACAGTTGGTCAAATGTCATCGTATGGCTGCGCAATGGGTTAGTCTGATCCACGGTAGCTCGATGTACGGACAGAGAGAGTTGACTCACAAAGCTAATATGCCAAATGACATAATATTCAGCACCACCTGCCTTGTAAATATGACAGCCTTCTCGGGTCTCTCCTGTGGTGGGAGCTTGAAGTCGTCAAGTGGTCCGAGCCGAGGCGAACATGAAGGTGATCCTTCACGAGTTTGATAGCCTGGTGGAGGGGATTGAGTATCTGAGACCTCCAGCAGTGGCCTCTCCTCATCGTGGCCAGGTTGAAGCCGGCTTGAGGTTTTAGCATCTGACAGCTTTGATACCGAAATTCGATCGAGGATCCAACGGCCAATTTCGATACCACGATCGCGCTTCTGCTTTTTTTCAGCATGAGTCTCCTCGAGAAAGAGAAGTCCATTAGCCACCCCAACCAGGACAACAAGGGCGCTAAACACGTTTGGCAGCAAGTACGGGTAGCGGTCCCATATCGTGCCCGGCGGGAACAGCCGTGGATAGCTATCGCATGGCCTGGCAAGAGCGCCACCGATCATTGGACCGACGATGGACCTGGAAAAAGTCTTAGCAATTATAGTCTAGATCTGGCGCAATAGTGTGGAACGTACCCCAAACACCAAACCACTGGCATGATGGTGTAAGCTCGAGCTAAGCAGCAAGGGCCCGTTAGCAATAAGATCACCATGATTATGCTTGCCAGGAAGGGATAAACTCACGTTGGTGCTCTTTCACCGTGATCAGTTCAGCCACCGTCGTCTGCAGCACGCCCATATTTCTTGAAGGTACGTCAGTTCATCGGCCTTGTTTGAGGACAAGCAGTAATATGAAACGTACCCATTCAACAAACCGCCGATCGCACGCGCGATTATCGCGGTAAGAAGGTTGGGCGCGAAGCCAAAGGCCACGACGCTGATGGCTGTCCCGATAAGCCCAGTGAGAAGCACAGGTTTCCGGCCAACCCTGTCGCTCAGTCTTCCCCAGAATAAGCCGGTAGCGAACTCGGCGAACGTGAATGCAGAAGTGACCAAGCCAGCGTACAAAGAGATTTTGCTTTCGTCGTCCGTGATCTGAAAGTCGCGCACCATGTAGTATATGTAGGGAAAGATGCCCATGAAAGCGATGGGCTCACATATCCGGCAGATCGCTGCAGGCACACAGGTGGTTAGGGTTTGCCACAAGATAATGCGGCGGACTGAAGTCGGGGTGAAATAGGGCATGCGTACCTAGAACGAGCATCTGCTTTTTAGGAAAGGGCGGCAGCCGCCGGGCATCAGTCGGGGACTGCATGGCCAGAAGGATTCCGTGGTTTGATGGCTTGAGTCTGGCAGATGTGGACGCAATTCGGGCAGAGAGTGTGATGTAGCGCAGGAGAGTGCATCCAGGCAGGACGGGGCGCCTGCGGTCTGGCCACTGCAGCGCTGGGCGGTCGCTTCAGAGTTACAAAGAGGTTAGAGCCAAAGAGCTCTCTGATGATCGGACTGGAGCTGCTCCTTCGGATGACGTGGGAGTCACCGGGGCGTGCTACGGAAGTGGTTCCGGCGAAATTCGACTACCGGTTGCAAAGGCCGGGTATCACTGAGGCTTGCGGCGAGACTGACGTTGGTCCACCGCACGACAGAGGAGACGTACGCGAGAGTGGGACGAGGTGAACTTCAGAGACACTTAAAGGGCTCTTGAGCGTAGGCGTATGTTGTGAAGGGCAAGGCAAATGCAGACAAAACCGAAGCAAATCGCAAGATGAATACGATTGAGATGGCTCTGGTGATAAGAATATCAGAGAAAAAGAAAAAGCTCGTGAGATCCTGGAGCACAACTGCACGGCGAGCACAAGGTATGACTGGCCTTCAACCCGACTGTCAAACGGGACGAGACAAGTCAAGACGAGATGAGAGTCGAGGGATGGAAATGTGGGCCGGGCCTGTGTAACTTGGATACAGCGGGCGTCGACAATCGCTGGGTCTGGGCTCGGCAAGGGTGTCCAGGCAGAGGCGGCGGAGGCTGGGGGGAAGGCTTCGAGAAAAGGAACGAAGTCGATGAAATCGACGGGCAGAGTCGTTGGGCCATGGCTTTTTAGCAGGGGAACTATTATCAGCGGGTGCCATCAACAGGCGCAACGCGGCAGGCTGACCGGTGGCCACGGTTGCTAATAGCCCAACATCTAAAATTGAAACAAGCGGTGACAGACGCCGGCTCCATCGGGGTGGGCGAAAAGCAAGACGTCCAAGAGCAGCATTGAGCGCGGGCGTGTGTGTGCACGACGGAAGGGGACCACGACGGCGACGAGGATTGGTATGGAATGGCGATCCTCGAGCGTGCTGGCTCCAACGACGATGGCAGTCCCACCCGCGTTGTCAGACGAGCAGGGCTGCAGCTCCCGTGCCCAGCAGGGCTCTCTTTGGGCCGTGGGTGGTGTTACAAATTTGTGGGCTGTGGAACCAGAATCGCGGCGCGCAAGCTGATGGGTGCAACCCCCGAGATGGGTTCCCCAATTCGGCACGGTCCAGGTCGATGCAGTGGCTGTCATGGGCGGACGAGGCAGGCTCGCCAATTGGACCCATGCCGTATGGTCCGTCGGCCTGCAACCCTGGGACCCGAGCGACCGTGTCGTGGTGGGCAGGCCATGTGCCACCTTTTGGGGTGGCTCTTCCGCGGGGGACAGGTCCCGTCGCGGGCCTGTCGGTCGTGGTGACTGGGATGGTGTGCACCGGGAGGCGGCCACCCTGGGGAGTGTCTGTATCGCTTCCGACTAGTCGGTCAGGACCAAGAGCACACCGGCTAGGATGGGTCGCTGCATGTGTGGCTTCCACGAAGTGACTTCATGCCGGGCAGTGAGCGGCACGCTCTGAAACTTTGAGTCGCCCATGGCCCCCAGTGTGCGAGGATCCTGCCGTTCTTTTCTTTTCGCCCGCAGGCCTTTGGTGTTTCTCCTTTTCTTTTTCTTCTCATCCCTGGATCTTGCGCTGGCTCGACTCCAGCGTCGCGAGTTGGCATGGTGTCTTGTCGACTCTGGCTCGATTGTGTTGATTCTTGAACAGCTCAGCCCGACGAGCTAGTGTGGGAGCGGCAGGCCGGACAGGGCGAGTTCAAACATGCTTGGGCGGGCGGGCGGGCGTGCCTGTCTCCTGCCGGCCCAGTGTCTCCACCTCGGAGGCAGGTACGGCCGCGCTAGCAGTGCCACACCCACCCTGCCGGCAAGTGCCCTCTGGCACACAACCAGCCCAAACTCTTGGACCACTGGCACTAAGCGATGTCAGACCACACAGACTCGACAAGCCTTAACTCTCCGGCAGCATGGTTAGAGGTTCCAGGATCCACGGGCTGTGGTGATCGGACCGAGCAACTATCGGAATAGAAATCATCATCGCCAGCGCACGGCAGCCGCACGCACACATCTCGTCATGGCTCCAGCACGCGCCATCTCGGGCACCACTCCTGGACCGATCATGACTCTGGAGCTGGACAGGATAAATAAAACAAAAGCCGAGTGCAAAGTCTCCACACGTTTGATCTCCGCCTCATCTCGGGCTTCTGATCCCTTGTGAGAGGCGAGAGTTTCCCCTAGGACTCGGTTCGCTTCCGGGGAACCCAGGTAGCGTCCCCGGGCACTGATGGCGACACCAGAACGCCCCGCATTCAAGGGTTGGCCATTCGGGTGTGCCGCTGGCCTCTCATACTAAACTCTCTTTTTGTTTCCCTCCGCAAAGCAGTTGTGGACTATGGTCTTCAGAGTATCATCGAGTGCCGCGGGGGCGATACATTAAGTGGTATTGGGTATCCATTCTAAGAGACGGAGCCCACAAGATCTGGTGGAAATGTCGAGACGGCACAGAAATGGTTGTAGCAACGTCCGAGGAGATCCTATTCACCGCTTCACATTGGTGCGGCCCTTACTGAGCACCGCGGGCCTCCGAGGCTTTCCTGGCTGATGAGCTTAGACTTTGTCACTCTTGCACATTAGCCCGCGATGCGTTTACAGCTTCCGATCTCTGCGTCTCATGTGTCAGAATTTGGGGGGGGGGGGGGGGATCTGAGACATTTCCCACTGTATGACCTGCAGAGTGCTTTATTCGGAGACAGATCCGGGCATGCTCTACTTGCCTCCCTTCCCTCAATCTGGTGTGATTGTTTGGCAATGAAAATTCTTCGTGTCTGGGCAGCACGGAAAGGACCTCTCCGTCAGGATGCGGCTCAGGATGAGCTCCAAACGAGACAAGCTAAGACGAGGTTGGCCCGCAGTCGAGCTCATCTTGCGCATGGCCAGTGCTCTGTGTCTGTGTCAAACAGAGGCTATGCCAAGCCGCGCCGATCTGGCATGTCGGAGGCAGCGAGGACGGTGGGGAGGGGGGGCACAGTTCGGGCTCGGGCTAAGATACGCGGTGGTCTGGACTTGTTCTCTTGATTTACTACGCCCGACAATAAAGTTGTGTCAAGATGGTCTATTGCTCAAAGTCAGTGGTCGAGATGATGCCAATGACTCCTCATACCGGACAGGGGTCGGCTCTCGTCATTATCTCATCAAGGCCAGTAGGTCCGTGTTTTCATTCTCGGGGGGGTTCCGCCTGCCATCCCCAGCTAGCGGAGTGGCCTACAGCTCCAGAGTTTAATGGCCAAACTCTGTTCTCATACACAACCAGCTAGTGCGTCCCAGCGTGAGACGGCCCCAGCAAGACCCGGCAGTGCAGTTGGTACTATGTAGAACGGCGAGCCATCCCTACTGGAGCTCAGCATAATTTTGCTGTGTTGCAGCTCCTTCTCAAATCAATGAGGGTTTCCCATATACTGATCCTTGTCTTTGCCATGTGGCATAAGCAGCATGGGGCAGGCGGTGGATTAGTTGTTTCGATGAGGTCCTGGAAGAGTGCATGGTCGGCAAACACCGCGCAGGTTCCGCGTTCTCTTCAAGAGTTGAGAATGGGCCCCCATCGTTGGTCTCAAAGAGTATAGACATTGCAATCTCGCGAAGACCGCTCCTTGGTGGAGCACAGACAGGGCGCCCTGGCTGATATCCTCGTTGAACCAACTCGTCGGGACGTCTGTGAGCAGGGGGTCGCTGTAGGTACCTTATGGTAGCTACCAGTCACCTGGAGCTTGACGCATCATTCTTGAGCGAGAGTGCTATCAGAGACTATGTTCATGACCAGCGGAGTTGACCCACGGTAGGCGCTCCGCTGAGAGATTGTCAGCTCGTATTGTCGCTAGCGGCTTCGAGTTGGGCAAAGCGAGGACGTACCCTGCTACAGCATGGCAAGGATTGCATGCCCTTGCTGCCGCTGGATCCGTACATGCATGCCGACTTGGTCATCTGATCTGCTTCTGCATGGACAACCCTGCTTGTGTGCTGTGCAGAAGTCGATTGCGACCCAATTATTTGTCTAAGAAATGTGATCGCGGTGAGGCTGTGGTGCTGGCCAGTCAACGTGAGCAACGCATTTCTCCCCGACATGCTTGTACGCGAAAGCGTGCATGACGTGCATAAAGATGCATAGAGAGGACAGCCATCGATACATACAGGCTTAGACAACGAGGCGAAAAGGAAATCAGTATGTACATAGCCCGGAGGCGCCGAGTCATCATAGGTTCCGCTGTTCAAGGGCAAGGACCACACCGCCCTGAAGCAACTCGGCATTGCTTTTCTGAGGTGAAGTTAAGCTAGGGTCTCTGCCCCAAAATGAAGGCTTTGGACTGAGCACTCACCCAATCCATGTATCGGAGCGAATTATTACATCCTGGTATTGGTTGTGCCCCAATTCTGTGCCGCTGGCAGAATGATGAAATGACTATGACGTAGAAAGGGGATTGATCATGCCAGGAGTGCTGGGCCCCATTATCTGCCCAGGGGCAGACAGAGACCTGGATCTCATACTTGTGACAAGGGTTATTCATTCAGCTGGTGCGTGGATACGCAGACATATGGACGCTAGGTTTGGTGCAGGAAATATGGAGTCCGGCTGGTCCAGTAGCCGCACACCGTCGAGACCCTCGGATGGACCAGGGAGTGCTCCGAGTGGTTGGCTTCGTGCCCGGGTTCCTGTTCCATGCCCTTGCTCTTCTGGGGAACGAGTGATGGCTGATACTTGGTTTAATGAGTGGTGACTGATCGGCTCACTCCAATAGGACCTGTCAGGTGAGTTGATGCGGTAAACCTTGCCAGGTCTGTGCAGGGAAAGAAAACCGTAGGCTGCCTCAAGTTCTTCCAGCCGTGTTCCGCGGTGGTTCCACGCAGGGAAGACCCTTGTCGCAAGTCCTCGGGGGGAATGCAGAGGATCCAACGGCGCAGCCTTGACATCTGCCTTGTAACCGTGGTGCTCATCATTTGAATCTGTGCGGAACGTCGTTGGAAGGGATTCCAGCCACGCCTCTTCGAGTCGACCATGTCACCTTGTGATTGTTGCCTGACGGAAGGTTGCCTGCCTGCTGTGCCGCGGGTTGACATAATCACCTAGCCACACGCCACGTCGGCCACGAGCCGGCACAGCACGGGCCGAGGCAGTGTGATGTTGCTTGGAAGAATTGGAGGATGTCGTGGAGCTCGCATACGGGTCGCTTCGGTCAGCGAGATGCAGACTTGGAGGTTGTGGTGGCCGGATGACTGGATACTAGTGTAGATGATGCAGCACTGCCACATGCAAATAGGAAGCGAAACCAGCTTTGGCACGGAAGGCACCACCATCAACCATCCTTGGCCAAACGCCAGCACTTCTCTCTCACAGACTGTCACGTGGCTGCGACAATCACCACCTTGAGCCAGGCAGCTCCCACATACCCGCGGCTTCGACATGCCATCAGCATGCCCTGCGGTGCTGGACCGCGAAGGCACTTCGACATGCCCACGAGCACATGCGACAGCTTCCACGAACTGGTCGGGCGACTTCCCTGCAGTCCTTATCAATCCTCTGTGCCCAGCAGCAGCTGCGCAAGGCCGCAAGGGCTCTGCAAGACAAGCAGGAAAACACAAAAGCACCCCAGCGAGGAGGATACTTGCACCGGAGCAAGGCATTGTCAGCACATCGTACCACAGCCGACAATCGGATCCTCGCTGTGCTCCCACACCAGACCGTGGTGACAGGGTGATGGAAAGGCCGATTGTGTCAGCGCAGGATGAGACGACAACCGCCATGCAGTTCATGAGCTTGTTGTGGCTAGGGAATCTTGCCTTGCTAGCCGCAGTCCCCTCGGACAACACCCGCACAATCAAACAATTCCTGCAAAGCCCTCGACACTACTTTGACGTCGAACCCACTTCGTGTCCGGCCAGCCGTGAAGGATGCAGGACTTTATAACCCACGATCAGGTTACTATTGGACAACCCCGACATTGCAGCAGGGTTTCCAGCTGATCCGAAGGTTACACAACGGGAAGCACGCAAACGGCAGCTTTCGATCATCGGATGAGGGCCCACAACTAGCTACACGATGGCCCGGTCAAGAGCAATGGACATCAACTGCACTGGATTGCCAGATCCGTCTTCCCGGATACCTCTGCTGCCTCAACTGTCCCGGTGTCACCGCACCTCTTCATGCCGCCCCCCCACCCACCCCAAATGACGACAATCGCATTGTCGGCAAATGGGCGAAGTACCTTTTTCGGCTAAGGCACTTAGACACCAAGGCATCGATCGCAGCTGTCGTTGTGAAGCCTGGCATGCATGCAGAGTCACACCCTGTCTTCACTAAGCGAACACAATCACCGAGAATCAGGAGGCCAATCGTGGCCACATGCATGAATCACGGGACTGGGTGTGACCAGGCGCTAATGAAACAATCAACTCCTGCACTCAATCTACCGGAGAAATGAACAATGGCCTTGTGAACGAGGCGGGCTTCTGCAGAGCTTCACACCTAGTCGGTCTGCCAGCCTTGCTTGATGACGAAACCACTGTACTCGGAAAGGGAGTACCAGAACAACTTGAGCGTCGGCCCCCCAAATACCGTATATGTTTCCCGCCTGTGCACCCATTGCCTAGTTAAAGCAGCGGCACTTCTCATCTTCGGGGATCTTGCAGTGAGGATGCGCCCACAGCTGGTCATTTTCCGTGTATGGTGTGCAATGGTTTGTTTTTCGTCCCACATTCTGCTGTCGTTTTGTTGCCTCCCCGAACCATGCGTGGAGTCGTGAGACAACACCATTTGCACCTTGATGACTCCATATGGGCCTGTCTTGGTATCACAGCTGCTGCTTACACAGACTTCTAGTTTTTTGGCCGTGCGCTCGAGACACACGGGGATGAGTGATTCCTGGTGCGCAGATCTAATGCTTGGTCTGGAAGCAACGGCTGAGACATGTTTCCTCCCCCACATGCACATCATCTGCCACTGGGTTTCATCCTCGCAAATCCAAACCTGAGATGGTCGATCTTCTCAGCAAGTGAGCCCACCCATCGAGCAGGCTGAGGCACTCCACCGGCCGTCACAGACGTGTCTATTCGGGTACCGTATCAGTGAGGTTCTTTGCACTGAACTTCCTATCATAGGACAGCGTCATCAGGAAACAGTTCATTTTGCTCGATCAGCGCAGTCTGAGTTGTCTTTCTATCAGAGGAAGCTGTGTGCTCAATTTGATCCTCGGGACCCTTTGAGAGGCTGCACAGTGTGAGCAATTCTGGTCAGCTCGAGTTACACGTCCAACACCATCTGTCTGCAGGAGCGTTGACCATGTGGCTTTGTCGAGCTGCAAGCGACAGTTTGTAACGAGCTCCCGGAATGAGCCCGACAAAGCAACGTCTTGAAAGTCCATACCTCAGACTTTATATCGAGTACCGAAAGACATCATCTGGTTCGAGGACGATCAGTCAGTCACGATCGAGGTGATCCCAGTGGAGGGCTGTTGATTCCGCAGACGGTTTGCAATCAAAACCCGCTTAGTTGGCCAAACAGAGCCCATGATTGTGCGAGAGCGGCAATTTTGCGGCGGTAGGCGAATCCAGAGATCTCAACACAGTCAGATGTCGGCGGATGCAAGGCCCGGGAGCAAAGTAATACAGGTGGCAGAGGAAAAGCATCATCATAAGAAACAGATGAGACACGTAAATTGCACTTTCCACCAGGCCTAGGCACGAGCTTGGAGACCGCCCCGTTCCTGAATATCCGACAAGGGCAAGCATGTGGTGGACAAGCCGCGAGAGCACAGGATGAAGCAAAGGACAGCCAGGTATTGCGGAACAACAATACCATTTCGTCGATGCCATCGTGCGACGCGAGAAGGGTGTGCGAGCTTGCAAGGAATGATGAAAAAGAAAATGTACAGCACAAAAAAGAGACTATTGAGGATAAACCCTTATGTAGTTGCATCAGCCGTGAATCGAACACGGGGCCCATCGATGGCAACGATGGATTTTACCACTAAACCACTGATGCGATGTAGAATGAGACACTTTTATCAATGACTAGCTCTTTGCCAGATTGTAGTGCTCGCATATCCATGCACATTTCCCCTGTAGTCTACCTGGGTACTCTTCACGGCCATATCTGTTGATATGCGAGCGTGCCAAATGAGGTCTCCGTCGTTCTCAAAGGTTGTAACCGACTTTTGCACGCTTTTGGTACGGGCGTCCATAATTTACGTTGATCTGGGCCTGTCGACAAAGTGGGTCTCTGTCCATATAAGAAGGCCGGTCCTGGTGCCGTTCTTTCCTACGAAGTCTCCAACCATAAAACTGTTCTTTTGGCTACCAGACCATTGATGAAGATTGGGATATCGAAAGCTCTCTCCACGGAGAGAACTTCCACTGCACTGCGATACTCTAGCTACTGCATCCAAACATTTCTGAGGTCCACAATGATGGCAAGCATTTCTTGGTAACCAGTTGGGGGTTCTCTGTAAGATAGCCTTGGGTCGAAGGGCACCTCGATCATCCATGGTCCAATGGCATACAACTGCCCTGGGCTCAACCATTAGATACGACTCAATTCGTGACTACTCACCTATATCGTGAACGCTTCTTTGCCCGTAACTGGGTCTGCAGGCTTGTGTAAGACAAATCCGTGTCATGATTGAGGTGGCCCAGACTTTCAGAATCCTGTAGCAGGATGCGGCAATGCATCGCAGCTCCCTCAAAACCGAGCCAATTCCATGATTCTCGTTCTTGCCCTACGACTTCTGTTTTCGCTGGCCAGTAGCATCTGCGCTTTCCATTTGAGTTGCTTAAGTCCATCGTAAGTTCCTGAAGAGAACTGTGACAATCATTGCCATCTCCCATGATCTCTTCTATCCGTTCCTCTCTACTCCCCTCTCTCTTCTTTCTCTCCTTTCTCCCCATCCATCTTCCTTCTTGAAATTCACCCGTTCGCCATCTCTGCCCATGCCGATCATGTACTGGGCAATGCCCATCGCCACTGTTCGATTTCTCTGCTCTTTGTCTTGACAAACAGCCCCTCATTCAACTTGCCCACTTTTCGCAAACCAGCCGCCGTTGATGTTGTTGTTTCTCCTGCTGAACAGCTCACCCAATGCTGAGTTTGCTGCACAATGATGGAGTTGCACCTTAAGGTAGCTTCACCACAACCATGTTCCTGGAGGATGTACCACAATGTATTGTCTGCTTCAGCGACTTCTAGAGGCAACAGAATCCGGAAAAATTGCCATTACAACAGTGGTTTATACCACTAAACCCCTGATGCTTACTGGATCTTGACGATATGAGCGTGTTCTTCGTCACCAGGAACCGTCCATCGCCTTATCCGTACCCCCAAAGTACCAGGCATGAATCCATGTACATTGATCCAAGGTTCGGACCTCTCGAACAAACAAACAAACACTGGCCCAAGTATTGATCTACAACCATCCAATGCCTGCAGTAGTTTTTGGTTATTTTTTACTTTTTTAGAAACTAGAACCAGAAAGAAGTAAACCATTCAAGTCCCGCCGTATGGGCTGAACTGAGCCTGACCGTAGGTGGGAGAAGCCGACCGCCGCCGGTCTGACTTGACCCGGAAGAAACTCTTCAACTTCTCTCGCTTGCGCACCTGCTGCTTTCCCAGTCCTGAAGAGTCGTTGCTCTGATACTCGGGGCCAGCAGCAGGTTCGAACTGAATCTGGGGCACATTCCAAGCATAGTTCGCCGCTGGGGCGGGCCAAACTGATGGTAGTGCTTGTGGTGGTGGTAGTGATGGTGGTGGTGGCGGTGGTGGCGGCGGTGGTGATTGATTCCAGGCATTCCAGAAAAAGCCCGGAGCGACAGCCTCGATGAGGGCGTGGACGTCGAACCCCAGGCCCGAGAGTCTCTGAGAGAACTGCAAGATGTGTGACGCCTGCGGAGGTCGTGCAAAGCGGCCGCCGTGCTGCACAAAGAGACTGAGCAGCCTGTATTGCCAGTCGGTCCCGTAGCTGTGCGTCGAGTGGACAGACTCTGGGTCGAAAAGGTAGTCGAGAGGGGTCTGGCCGGCGCTGTTGAGAATGTTGACCTGGGCTCCCTGGGTCTCAATCAACCACTCTGCAAGTGCTGGGGGGCTCAGATGGAGCAGTTTCCATCGGATTCCTGGCGCAAAGTAGCCTACGATGCCCTCGACAAAGACGTCCAACGAAAGGCTCGTTTGTACTGCCGTCATGACGAGCTCAGCGAACAGGAGGGTCGTTCTCTGGTCGGGACTGTCCCATAGCCGCATCATGAGCTCGGAGATGCCGGAATAGTCCCCTTGCAGTTGGTACCCATTACGCAGCAGGAACTGGCCTGTATCCACGATCTCGGCCACCAAAGCAGCGTGCTGGCTCCGCCCTGACTTGTGCCATCGGAGTCGACCCAATAGGAACGTGAAGAGGCTCTCTGTGCAATTGCGAATGTCTTCAGGTCGGTAGTGGACCAAGTCCGTCAGGTACAAGCGGAGCCCTGCCGAAACCGCAAGGTCGAGGCCAGAGCGACCGAGCAGGGTATAGAAACGCTTCGGGGCGCTGCTAAGGAACCTGTATTGACTGACGCCCGTCGTCCTCTCAGCTGCTACAAGATGACGCGTTACGTCGGCGTGTAGCGACAGAGCGCCGCGTTCCACCATTCGATATGCAAGGTACTTGGCCATGAAGCTGTGTCCGTTCTCCCAGGCAGTGTTCGCCCGATCTCCGAGGACAATGTGCTTGAATGTAGCTTCTTCCGTCCATTCTTTGCACGTCTGGTGCATCAGCTGTACCAAGTCGGTCGGTTGCGGTTCGACGACGGCTTGTGTTGATCCCGACATGTGCCTAGAAGCATCGCCATTGCCAGAGACCACATTTACCAATCCTCCCGAGATTGATTTGAGGTACACATCTACTTTCTTGGCGCTGGATGGGAATATCATACCACGCCCCACAAATGTCGGACTCTGGGCGATCTTGATGAGCAACGGCACTTGGTCGAGTTTGAGATCCCCACTGTCCTTGGACAGGCATTCGAGGAGGATATATGTTTCTTTCGTGGAGGACTTGGGTAGCCGCTGCACGATGGTGGTGTAGTATTCGTCCAGTTCGTCCGGAACGGCCTCCAGGCACTGGTAGAGTAGCTTTCCAATGTTTTGGTTACTCGGATCTGTACGAGCTGCCACCGAGCTCAAGTCCCTGAGGACGAGCTTGACCCACAGGAAAACCCCTTTGCTCGAGTCGCGATCTCTTCTGCCATAGGTAGCAGTAGAGAGCTGGCCAATTTGTCGTTGCGAAGGATACCATTGCAATACTCACGGATATCCTCTTTGGTATGCTCGTGGATTCGAAAGCCAGGGCACTGGCCAAATTCTTCCTGGAAAGCAGCCCAGGGCCTGCTCGAAAACAATACCCTGGCCTGAGTCCTCGAAGATGGAGAGCTCTTCACCAGATCTTGAAGGAAACCAGCTATCACCTCGGGCCGCCCATCGTACTCGTCCAGGGCATCAAAGAACAGGCAGATGCGGAGGTCTTTGATATCCTGATCGAAAACGCGACGAAGGCACTCCTCAAGAGCAGTCTGGGACCAGTTCAGCTGTAAATCAAGTCGGATCTTCTGGCGACGTTTCTCCCTGACAGCCAGGTCTCTGATAAGCTGGTCCTGCACATTCGTTCTTGACAGCAGGAGCGTAGCAGGATCTCTCGCTGCTTCTTGAAGAGGTGTAGATTTCGGATCAACCTTATCCAATTTGTGCTGAGCAAGGAACTCCCGGATCTTCCTAGCCAGGTCAACCCTATCGCGCCATGTGGAAATGACGTTTCGAACACGCATAGGGTCTGAATCGGGCAGACTGCGCCGTACACGTTCCGTCTCACGCTCAATGGTCTCCTTCATTCCTACTGGGTTCGAGAAACTGTCAAAATCGACGAGCAGAATGCGTTTAAATGCAAGTCGAGATTCCGAGCTCAGCTCAGACATGATCTCGGTCAGCGCGGTGTCGAGTTCTGCCGCGGGATCGAGGGCAAGTAGAGCTATGAGCTGTGATGCGAGACCTGGGAGGTTCCGAGCGTGAAAGCTGTACAGAAATCCACGAACATCTGTGGCGAGAGAACCAACTCGATTGGCCAAGATAGTCTCCTGCAGTCGGGCATCAAGCATCGAGCCCAAGATCGGGTAAAGCGCTTGCTCTGCTCTTAACAGCTGACTCAGAAGCTCTCTTAGTAGTCCCTCAAATGACTTTTGCATAAGTGTCCCGCGGTGATGGAAGAAGAAGTTGGCCACGATCTGGCGTGTGGTCGAGCGCCAGTTGTGAAGAAGCTCAGACGTGCGTCGCTCATTCAGGAGGAACTTCATGAAGGTCGACTTGCCGGAGCCAGGTTTACCACTGACCCAGAAGATGCCCGAACCGTCCCTGAGCCACTTTGAAAGGCCAATCGAAGAGTCCTCGTATGCCCAATTGAAGGTGTGACGGAAATTTGCTTCAATCTGTTCCAGGCGTTTATTTTCTTGCGGAGGTCGTAGGGATTCTACTATGACTGTAGAGAGATGGCGATGGCTCGAACTATCAGCCTCGTGCCCACAGAGACATCAAGATGAACATGGTGACTTACGTTCGTATTGCCATACTGGGGGTGGTGGGGCCTGTGCCGTGACCAGACTTCCCTCTTCGATCACGTCGTCATGCCCAGTGGTTTGAAGAGCATGATCGCTCAAGTTTCCAAGATCGCTGTCTCGAAGTGTCTTGGCCAGGCCTGCTATGGCACGGTCTGACCAGCAAATGTCTCGAATTTTGTCAACCAAAACCTGGATCCTGTAATCACCAAGGCCGAACCTGATCATTCCCGAATGGCTTTCGTTGATCTGAAAGACCGACGTTGCCTCGGATCTCCAGCGGTTGCTTGTGGCCGAGGCCTCATCCACGACCAGGACTTGGGAGACAGTGCCTGCTTGGTTTGGAGTCATGTTTGGCTGTAATGCTTAGTTATGTCTCCACTAATCGCATACGAGGCAGAGCTGGTACTTACTAGGACGACCTCGGACGGCTGAGCTTCATAAGCCCAGAACATCTTTGCCCGCTGAAGATATGACACGCCAGCGAACTGTATTTCGAGATTGCCCAGGAATTGTGATCGATCCGAGAGATCCATGAAAAGGTCTCGATCGGGGCGCTTCCCAAACAGAATCTCGACACTTGTGCGTGGCATACCGGTACTGGGAGTACCAAAGAATATAGCTCCGGAGACCATACTTAACACCAAACGTGAACGGTCGTTGCCTCCTGCCAACAACACAAGCAACTGTTTGAGCAAGACTCCTCCTAAGCTATGGGCTAGGAAGAAGAGAGGCTTCATCGTGGGTGAAGGCCAGCCATTGGCCTCCAAGGTCAGCATCAGCATCCGAGCAATATCAACGATGGTCTGAAAAGAGTTGGTGCTGACGCTTGCTGTGCTGTAGCCATAAAGAATAAAGCGAACTCCTGGCACACTTTTAGGCAGGGCATCCCGAATCCACACGAAAGAGCTGTCGTTGTCATTGGGTGCCCAGCAGGTGAGTGGATTGTTGTTGAGCCCTGGTACCACGAGACAATCACATTGATGCTCGGAACCCGGGGGGTCGTTCAATACCGTCAAGCCTTGAAGATGCGTGTCGAGGATGAGGGGAGTGGACAGACCGACCACGCGCAGAGTCCACTCTTGTGCCCCTGAAGCGTCCGCAAACTTGGGTTCTGCTCGGAATGATAGTGTCGCGACCCTGCTCTGCCAGCTCTTCCAGGAATCGGTCACGGTTGCCAAGGAGTGTATCTCAATGTCATTCGGGGTTATTGCTGAATCGCCGATCGCGGCGGCAAGCAGTCGAGCCGCAGCAAGGCGGTCAACATCATTAGGAAGGTTGCGTAGGCGGTATGCCTTGCAATCCCGGACGAGTGTATTTCGAGCGGCATTGCTCGTGGGTTGCGGCCACACATTGTGCCCGTTGGACGACTGTGGCGCGATGGTGTCTTGAATGTCGCATTAATATTCGAGGTTCCGGCAGAGCAGTTAAGTTGAAGGCACCCACCAAGATGTGCCGCAGCCACGGGATCCCTAACCCTGTCTGTCTGGCTGTACTGTCGCAACACTGCCTTTGTAGCAGCAGCAGCGGCCGCAGCTGCAAAGGGCTGCCATACTTTGTCCTTGTGGCTGTCGGCGTAGTCGCAGACACCCTTGACCACGACACAGGGCAGCTCGTCCCACATGCCAGCGCCTTCCATCTCGAAAGCAATGAGCTGGTGTGCGTAAGCAAGCCTGTCACGGTCCAATCCGGACTTCATGACCGTGTCTCCTGAGCCCACATTTCCAACGAAAACCTTCGATTTCTGCCGCGCGTATAGTCGCTGCCGCCGTACGGTTCTTGCCACATCGCAGCCCAAATCTTTGCAGGAAGTCGTCGTAGCCTGCGGGCATGGGTGCTCGGATTCATGGCAGAGGCATTGAGTCTGGCCATGGTGTTTGTGGAAATAACCTGGCGGGAAGAGTCTGTCCTGCTCAATGCCGGGGTAGCCATAGGTGACAGCTCGTCCCTTGGCGCTGGCAGTGCACTGAATACTGGCGAGATGCTGGGCGGCACCTTCTTCGAGGCGCTCAAGGCCATGCTCGGTCTGAAGGGTCGCGAGGAGGGTGCGGATGGCGCGATCAGGCCGCCCCAGGGTGTTGCTGGCGTCATCCCTGGTGATGAACCGGCCTGGGTATTGCCGTCCAAAGTCAAACTGGACTACCTGCTGGCTGACGACCACGTCGCCGAGCAGGACTTCGCGGCTGCCCCCTGGGCTCGGGACCCCTCCACAAATACCAACGAGAAGAACCAGCTGCAACTCGGTATAGCTGTGTCGCAGGTTGGCGGCCGTGCTGGCACCGCTGACCTTGCCCATACCAGGCAAGAGCGCGAGGACGACATTGTGGTTTCCAATGCGGCCAGTGGTGTAGAGGTTCTGGTCACCTCGTGCCCTGCCGAACGAGTCGCCGTTGACATCCCAGAACTCGTCGACCGCGAGGCACACAGCGTCGAACTCGAGTGGCAAGGCGCAGACAATGGCGATCTCGAACTCGGACCTGGAGGAGGGGCGCACCGGTGGTGGCGACTGGGGATGGAGAGGGGTTGCCATGGCATTGTCTGCATCCGTGTCGTGGCTCCCTCCAGATATGGAGTCGAGTTAATGTTAGGTACGCATAGTCATCAATGACGCTTCCTGGCCACGCATGTGCGTACACCGGTCGACACGATGAGGAGGCGGAATCGGGACACAGAGAGGAGAGAAGCAGTTGCTTGCCACACAGCCTTGCGGAGGTTGGGGGCATGGAGCTGAGCCGCTTGCCCCTGTCACTCGTGCATGCATATGTGGAAAAGGTTCACTACAGAATCGGGGTTGATGACCCCTCAAAAGGACAAGGGTGCGTGGGTACAGCATCATTCGACTTGGGGTAATGATTATCTTCAGCCCCCAAACTGCTATCAAGATCTGGAATCATGTAATTTAGTGTTCACGGCATATTATAGGCTCGGAAGGAAGTACTGGGAATTTAAGCAGGCTCGGGCTACTTCTTACCTCTATCGAGGCGACCTCAAAGCGTCATTTTCCTCTTCCTTACGTCTTTGTTTGAACAGAGAAACATAAATCGATGTCGCGATACGTGAACAGAGCATGCTTAGTATCATTGTAGCGTTACCGTTTAGTACCTGACGGCAATGTCTGCGGGAGCAAGACGACTGCTTCGACGGTACATGACCCTCCTTTGTGGGGATATCGCACTACTATTTTGCAGCGTGGACCTGTCCATCGTTCCATTGTAACGGTCCTAATGTTCAAGTGTGCCCTAGATGGTCTCGAATCTCCATGCTGTTGCATCAGAACGAGGCTTGTAATTATTATCCAGGAAGCTTCATGGCCCGCTGTCTTGTTACTGTGGGGCTTTCTGTTTCCGAGCTGTACCGTCATTGTAGCCTTCCACAGACGACGACATCTTCCCCCAATGGAATCCATCTAACTCCCGTGAGCCTTGGCCCCAGCGCCCGCTGTCCGGTACGCTTTTCCACTTCCTGCTCCGGCGAGACCACGACACTTCCTTTGCCAAGCCACGTCGGAGCAATAGTGATGATGACCGAGTCGACGAGGGTCTTATTCTGCGACGCGAGCAAGGAGTTGATGACAGTGCCGCCGCCTTCAATCATGATGCTGTGGAGACCCTGTTGCCGCACAGCAGCGAGGATCGCCAGCCAGTCAAGAGTGTCGCTTGTGCTAGGGATCGTCGCCGAAGATAGCGTAGAAGCGGGACTGCTATTGAGCACAATGAACTTTCCCCCATGGTCCTCCAGGATCTTGACCTTTTCCGCCGATGGGTTTGTCACGGCTGTGATGATGAATGGCGCCAAGCCGTCACCACCCCGGACGAGCTGGAAGATCTTGTTGTCCCTAGAAAAGTCCCACCGCAGTCTCGGGTCGATGATGATTGGTCTCGGGTGCTGTGCCTTTTCTGAAGTGCCAGGTCCCCGTCTCGAGGCTGCATCCAGCCGGCAGTTGAGGCCCGGATCGTCGGCTATGGCTGTGCCCACGCCGATGCAGATGGCATCGTGCCTACTGCGGAGGTAATGTGTCATGGCCTTGGACTGCGGACCGGACAGTGCCGTACGTATGCCTGGACCGAGTGACAGGGCCGAGTCGAGCGAGGTGGCAAAGGTCAGGGTCACAAATGGTCGAGACGATGAGACTGGGGATGACGAGATGTCATGAATCGGCAAGTGTGGTTCCAAGAGATCCGCCTCGGGAGCGGGAAAAGTGAGTCTCGACATGACTATGCCCGTACACTTCGATCACTCCGGCGTCTGAATGTCGCAGGACAGTTGCAACGACAAATGGCCTCGTGTGGTTTGGTGTCGTTGTTGGCGTGATGCTCAAGCGGTTGTAAGGATGTTTCACCGTTCTCGCTCTTGACAGAATACGCCCAAGTCGTACAAAAACCGCGGGTTCACCACGTTCAGAAAACAAACGCCGGCTGTGAGGTCAAAATCGAAGCTCGGCCATTTGGTGCGCCAGAAGATGCTGATTGGCTCCTGCAAGTCTGGACGTTGAGTAGCCCGTGGCAGCTCACTCAACCTAACTTTGTTAGTCAGCAAGCCTTCCAACCCGTTCCGCATTTCTTTGTCTTGAGCTCCTGCTGTGGGTGGGTCCAGTGCTCTGGAGGCTGTCATTGGCCACGTTTCTGCCTCGAGACAGGGGGCACAAATGCACCCTGCAAAGCGTCGCCACAATCCCAGAATCGCATGCCAACCCAGCTTGCCCAGCAGCAGAAAGCGATGGGCGGCCTCTCTGCTCTGGACCCCTGCATGTCGCACAAACCCCTGCAAAGGCGGTCCCGAAACGGAAGCAGCCCGGATATGAGACGGCAGGGCCACTAGACACGGCGACCTGACACTTACTCGCAGAGCCGCCTCCTGACGTCAGGCGCTAAGTAAGTAGACGATGGATCAAAGTCGACGCGCAACACCTTACAAGACCACAAAACTTAGCTCCCAACCTTGGTCACCCCCGGGCAATTAAGGTTGGGATGCTTGCGACGACTACGAGTGAGCTCTGGTCTGGTCACGGGAGAGAGAGCTTCGCCAAGGGCCGCCACGGCCGATCCGAGGCTGCTGCCGAGCCAAATAGGACGACTGGGATGATGCGCCCAGGCGCAGGCAGGGCCGGTTGATTGGCCTGCCCCACACTCTGGCAAGCTCGAGGGAGTGAAGCACATGTCGCCCAACGGCTCAACGGCTATCCGGATGCAGAACGGGACTTCTCGTACTGTAGTTATGTGTTGCTTTGCTGCCCGTGGACAGCTGCTTGTGGACGGTCCATCTGGGTCAAATGCATGGAAGATCTTCCGAGGCCTGGAACTGATGTCTAGGTAGCCTTTGTCGAGCTCGATGCCGAGGCTGAATAAGTAAGGACCTCGACCAGTCCTGCTCGTATGGCGACCTGGCGAGTCGGTGCTTATTCGTCTCGCGCAGGCTGGAGTGGCAAGAGCCGAGCTTCGCCTCGCGGCCGTCGTACGTAATGCTCCGCGCTCTCGCTGCTGCCCGGCGCTGGAGGCGCATGCGTTTTTGGGGCTGCTGACTGCGTGGACCAGGCTGTCCAGTCTGCATCGTATCCTGCCTGCTCGCTGGTCAGTGATGGCCGTTTTTGGGGGGAGCTGCGAGCTGTGTCACGGAATTACTGTAATCATGTACATGTCTTCCAACACTGAGAGGAAGCCGCCATGACAGGCCCCGGCTCCTTGGCAGTGCTCGAGGAGGCGTCGATGTACCTACCAGCCACTATTCCGGACAGATTGCGTGTGTCTCCCGTGCGCCATAGCCGCAAGCCCTCTGGGAAGGCGCATGCAAGTCCATCCATCCCAAGTTGCATCTGCGCCGCTTTTCCCGCACGTGTATGTACTAATTACCAGTTGCGCGGCTTGGCGGCAGCGCTCCGCCATCGCTGCTGCCCCACCCGGCGCAACCATCACCACCGCGATGCCCTGAAGGCCCCCCAGCAACCATTATAACACTGCCCACCCACCCGTTCTATCCGCTTTTCCCCCCTTTGCGCCTTTCCTCTCTTTCCCATCCTCCACAGACACCCATTACTCTGACAACGTCAGCTCGCACACAAGGATCGCAATCCAAACCAGCCATCTCGACAACTCGCTTTGCCGCCTGCGCGTCTTACGTCTAAACCTCACCACCGAGAAACACACACACATACACACACACACACCGAACAAAAGAAACAATGTCGCACAACGACAAACCCCCGGCCTACCCTCCGGCGTCCTACGGCCAGGACCAAGGCCCTTACGGCGGCCCTCCCCACGGCGGCGACCAGGGCTACTACCAGCAGCAACCCAACATGGGCTACGGCTCTCCTCCTCCCGGCCAGGGCGGCTACTACCCGCCCCAAGGTCCTCCCGGCGCCGGTGGCTACCCTCCTCAGCAAGGCGGCTATTACCAGGGCCAGCAGGGCGGCTACCCCCCGCCGCAGCAGGGCTACTACGCGCAGCCCCAGCAGCAACAGAGCAGCGGCCGTGACGGCTGCCTCGGCGCGCTGCTCGGCGCCCTGGCGTGCTGCTGCTGCTTGGACTGCCTGTTTTAAGGTACTTTCATTCATCAGGCTGGGGTTCGGGGTTTCACGGGATCGTAGACTAGGCCTCTAGGGGCCAAGGCGGTGGGAATAGAAACACTCTGTTACTGTATTGGGAGGGGGTTTCCCCAAAGGGCCAGAGATGCGCAAACACGGCAAACAAACGAACCAGCCGACCTGGCCTAGGTGGTGTGCGGGCCATCTTGGATTTCAACCTGGATTTCCGCTGGAGACGAGGGGCGCTCAAATCATACACCAGGGAAACCACGACGCGGTCACGATCTAAGACGGACAAGGGATTCGGGACTCGCAAAGAAACCTCGGCACACATCGTCTCTCTACCTGCCTTTCGACGCGGAAGCCAGATCTGGTCTCGCCAATCTAATGGCACGGTGACTACACTGCTGCCAAACGTCAAAAATAATGGGGAACCCTGACCGCCTCGCCGGCCAAACTGGGCCAAATCGACCAGTCAGCGAGATGAGTACATAGGAAACGAATCCTGTCAGAATTGTTTCCGGGGGTTTTAATTACTGGTTGGTGTCGAAAGGTCGTCTTTTTTTTCTGCTCGGCGTTACGTGGGTAGTTGGCGGTCATTAAGCATTTCCTCGCGCATCTTCTCTTTAGCTCTCATTACGATTGTCCCCTTTGTCGTCAAGGAATAGAAAATGGGACTCTACATGGTCTTCTCTTGTTGCATCCTGCACGACTCTCCAGCGAGCCAGCTGACAGAGACGTCACACATGCCGCTCTGCCGAGCATCGTGAACCAGGTGCCGCGCATCTGGGTTTATTGACACAAGCACACTTTCTTTCAAGTACTCCACTACTCACGTGGAAGGGTTGTTGATATCCATTGAAACCAAGGCTGTCTTCTATCTACTGTCTGAGCTGTCTGGGAGACCATAAGACTTAGCTTTACTACCAATACAGGCTCCGATTTTCTTTTTCAGGCGGTTCCTGTGTGTGAATCCGGGGCAGTGCTTGAGGCGCCGTTGTTGAAAAGAATGAAGTATGACCCGAACTCATATTGCGTTTGGCATGAGCTATGGATGGTCCGGGTTGATCGCCAGAGTGTGCACGTCTGATCGACATCCAAATTTGCGGTGCCCGGTCAACCAAAGGTTGTGGGGATGGCGTTCGTTGCAGACTTGCCCGCCTCTGTGGTACGTGCTTTGCTTCAATCTCATTGCTTGGTGCTTGCCTTCGTGCCAGCAGCTGAGGAGTTGTGCAAAACATGTCTCCATACTTGTTCCCCGACCGCAGTACTGGCATGAGACTGTGGGCTGCGTCGTGCGCTCTTGCCCGGCCCCAGTGAGATATCATCGTTGGGAAGAGATCCACATGAGATGGGCTCAAACACCCCAGAGACCAGATAGACGTGCTGTCGTATCTTTTGACAATCGCCGTTGCCCGCAGCTCCCTCCAAGCGTTTCCAGGCGGGCTGTAGCCAGGTTTCGTGGTGAGAATGCCAGGTCCATGTCGAACTCTGACTGTCACCTTCAGCAGGTTGACCACATTACACCCAAGATGAATTTCTAGATCTTCGAACAACGCAGAAGAGGCTGGTGCTGAGTGTACCACGTGTGCTGGCCGATCCGAGGGCAGCGACATCAGCACCATCACTAGATGACCCTTTCTGCCGATATCTCGAAGCTTGGCAGATGGGTAGGAGGTGCTAGACCCGATTGAGTCGTAATATCTGACGCTTTTCTCGTCCATAAATTGCAGAACCCTGCAATCTTGCCCGGGGCGAAGTTCCAAGTCAACATCAACGGACCCACACTTGTGATCCTCGAACTCCGACTCTATGCTGGCGGTAGAGCTGGATGAGGACCGACTGGGGCCGGAGAAGTTGTTCGGATTCAGCCAGTGTGAATTTGTTTGCGGCGGAAGAACTTCTATCGCCACCCACAAGCGATTGCCCTCGATTGCTACGACCCGAGATTCTGGGGTGATCTTGATCCGAGGCTCAAGCAAGTGCACGTATCTAGGTGGCCATCGGTCCAGCCGTGGATTCAACGTCCGTTGCTCTTCGTCGTCGCTCACTTCAGTATACGAAGGGATGTGAGCACTTTTGACCAGATTAGAGTGTTCTCGCGTTCCTCTTCCGCCAGCATGCAGTCCTAAACCATTGCCGTATGAATTGGATAGGTCTTCACCCAAGGACGGAGCCGTGACTTCAAAGCGGAAATCAATATCAGGCGAGCGCGAGGCTCCCTGGCTCGTTTCCTCTTGCGCCAGGCTGCAATTGTGACCATTTGCCATCGTTGATAGTGCTGGCCTTGACCACGAAGTTGAAGAGCCAAATACTGTGCTGCTCTGGTCAAAAGCACCGGATCCCGGACCGTGATTGCGGAACGCTGGGGACGTCTTCTTTCCCTGGCTTTCGCGTCGTTTGACAACGGTCAAGGTCTGATCACTATCCTGGTCGGAGGGCGAGGCGTATCGTCTACGGACTGGCGAGCAGTTGACACTACGCATACTACTGGCCCCTCGTGGACGTTCTTTGACGATGTTGAGAGGGGATGGCCACATGAGATGCGAACCGGACACGAAGGGGGCTGCCGGCATGATGCAATGGTTCAGGAAACGAAATGCGCGTGACAGATTTCGAGAAGAGATCTTGGCCGATAAACTTGCTTTCAGTCGTGGTGATGCTGTCGATCGATCCTGAGCTCAGGCTCGCTTCGAGATCGGGCGAGCGAGTTCTCTCCAGGAAGGCCTGCCGCAGATTGAAGCCCTTGACAATGGAGCTGACGAGTGCTGCAATGGCGAGGACGGGAACAGCAACGACTGTGGCAATGACGGCTGGGTGCGGCTGGATTCCGCCCATATCCAATGCCGCTCAAGTTGAGTCGTGATGTTATAAGCCTGTAAGTAAAGTGTGGCGGGTGCTCTGATGCCCGTATATGTAAGTTTGTCCGCGCCTCAGGATACCCCTGAGAGAGATAACAGAGGTCGTTGCCAAGTGGCGAGTAGCAAAGCAGGATGGACCTGTGATTGATCCGGTTTGTGTTTTCGTCGCTGGCGGCAAGCGCGTCTGCCTGGATGCACTCAATTGCTTGGAGTCGTAGATGCCAAAAAGGCCTCCGTTCTTAGATGGTTTGGCCCAGGGTACGACGTATGTTCTCCTTTGCTGTCTCGACGTCATTCTCCTCCATGTTCAGAAAACGTATCTTCAGAGCGTTAGCCACTAGTCCGACTAGAAGTGCCTCAATGGTTATTACACATACCACATCGTCGCCAGCGCCAGTTCCGCCGTATAGTGCACTCTCAGTCAAGCTGGCGTTGATGCCCTTCTTGACTCGCTCCTCCCAAACTCCCTGCCAGTTCCAGTCGCCATGTCGCATGGCTGACTCGGAAGGCGTAGCTGCGGGAGGAGCCGCGCTGAGGTCCTTCTCCCCGCCCGCAGCAGTCCCTGCAGCTTCCTCGTCGGCGTACACGTGCCCGCTGTCGACACGATGCGTCCGCCACGCGTGCCACGCGCCAGGGTTTCCCGAGTTGGGCAGCTGGACGGCATCGAGCACAGCCTCGTCGTCGAATGCAGTCCGCATGTAGCGAAGGACCTCGTACATCGACACACTCCGGCCAGTGGGGATCGCAGAGTCCGAAGCGTTGCTGAAGGCAGTAGAAACCGACCTGGGAGTCGGCTGCCCGTCCTTGGGCGGTGGTCGCGGTGGAGTTTGCGCCTGGTCAGGTCGAGGCTTGGGACTCTTGCTCTTCCGGGGAAACCAGTCTGGAAACCCTTGTTTCAGGCTGAACCCTCCAGGAGGCAGACGCTCGTGGTCTGCAGCGCTCATAGTGCCATTCTCCTGGAAGTCTGCCGAGTACATGTGGGTGCTGAGGGGTGCGATGAGTGGATGGAACATGTCCGTGGTGAAGGTGATGAGAGGTGGTGTCCTCGGGTACGAGAGTGGGAACAGTATCTGGAAACGAAGCACTGCAGGAGCATATGGTCCTGGACAGTGACACACTCATCAGAGACTCGTTCATAGTCTTGTGGGTTGCAAGACAGATAGACAGACACAATCGCTACTACCTGCACCACTTACCGTCACGGACAAAGAGAACACCCGACCACATGCTGGGATCGTCTGGTGTGAGGCTCACAAAGACACCCTCGGGACAAGCTTGCTTGAGACCCGCGAACTCTACGAGGAGGTGCTGTTTACGCAGCGCCGGCAGCCGACTGGCCGTGAGGTGGGCCATGCTGCAGACCGTCTCTGATGGTATTGATGCCGTATACTGTATATGCGCGATGCTGGGAGTTTCCAAGGTGGGCGTGCAAGAATTTAGTGTCCGCTAGATTGCAATTGCAAGGATGTCTGGCCACATGAGAATGCTAGGTGATTTTCTGTAGGTCGCGTAGCGCTCGAGCGAGAGGTTCAAAAATTCTGTACTTGAGCTTTGAAGATGTTGATAGTGCGCGGGCATGCTCAGAGAAGCGGCTGTTAACGCGCAACTGGGGGATAGGGGTCCACGGCGGCAGCGGCACGGGCGCACTCACTCAAGCTCAGTGATCGCTATCGGCGATAAGCGCTAACCACAGTCAAGCTCGACGAGGGGTCCAGCAAGCGTGGGGCAGGCAGAGCAGTGTGGCATGGCGGAAGGGGGGTCCACGGCGCGACTGGCGAACTTTCTAGAGCCAGCCTCACATTCATGGGCTGCATGATGGCCTGGAATGAAGTGCTGATGTGCAGATTTCGACCTGGCCACCACGGGGGCCGCTCTGCTCTCCGTGGCAGCGAGGCCGTGGTGACCAGTCTCTATGCTGACCCACGGCTGCTTCTGCCCGTATTTGTCTGTGACTCATCGAATTGTGCCGTTGCAAATAAGCGACAGAGAGAGCCTCGCAGGTACATGTGTTGATGCCTATTACGTAGTGTGGAGGGCAGTCATGCCGGTGGAGAAAAACACCCGTCCATTTCTTGAATTTTGTCGATCCGACCACCGACATCGTCCCATCAACTCTCGAACTGCTCACCTGCAGATGTAGCATCATCGCAACATCACTCGCAACAAATTTGGCGTTGGACTGTTGCGTTAGACCAAAAAACAACAACCGCCGATCACGACGACTCAGCAGGTCGCAATACCACTAACCTCCCTTATCCCGACGCGCCGCAACACACCTCGACTAGGGGCTCGACACCATGGCCGGAAAGAAGGGCGGCGAAAACAGCAAGAAGGCTGCCGGTCAGGCCCGCAAGGCCGAGGCTGCCGCCGGCAAGGCCGCTGCCGAGAACGCCCGCAAGGACGCCGCAGAGGATACTAAGTGGAACAAGGGATCCAAGGACGACTCCAAGAGGTAAGGCTTGATGATCTTGGTTGAGAAACGCCAGGCCTTGACATTTCCGTGTGTATCGGCGATCATCCGCTGATTCCTTTTTCCCTTTCCGCAACCTGTAGGGAAGCCGAAGCCGCCAAGAAGGCCGAGCAGGCGCGCAAGAAGGCCGAGCTGAAAGCACTCGAGGCGGAAGAGGCCAAGAGCCTGCCCGACAAGGCGCCCAAGAAGAACAAGACGGCCGAGAAGAAGACGAACCGGGGCCTCGATCTATCACAATTCGACGACGACAACAAGGGGTCTGCGCTCAACGCCTCGGGCATCGACAACGCCCTGGACGCGCTGTCGATCACGGGCGGCTCGAACGACAAGATCGACCGGCACCCGGAGAGGCGGTTCAAGGCCGCCTATGCGGCTTTCGAGGAGCGGCGGCTGGCGGAGATGGATGCCGACGGCAGCGGTGCGGGCTTACGCCTGAACCAGCGCAAGGATAAGCTGCGTAAGGAATTTGAGAAGAGCCCAGAGAACCCGTTCAACCAGGTCAGCGCCGCGTACAACGCGAGCAAGGGCGAGCTGGCAGAGCTCAAGGACAAGGAGAAGGCCAAGATTGAGGGTCGTTTGCGGTGAAACGGAGGAGGAGGAGGAGGAGGAGGAGGGAGTAGCAGTGCGAGATGAACACAGGCCCGGCGTCCCTCTTTCCGTGTTTGCAAATCTGCATCTTGACAGCCATTTACGGCGTGGACTGGGGGAGATGTGACAATACTGCTGAGCTGGCCGTGATCGGTATCGACTTCCGACTCATGTTGTCGCCATCAGACTTACTCGGCCCGGCGTATAGTATAGGTTGGTTCGATCATCACGGCTACACGAAAGGCTAAACACCGGACGAGATATGAAGAGGTCCCTGGAATTCTTCAGGCCAGGCTAGGAATGATGAGAGAATTGGTCACAGGGTCACAATCCTGGGCAGCAGAATGTGAATACATTTTCTGCAGCTATGCCGCGATAAAACTCATGTGGTCAAGGTACCGAATAGATCTGTTTTTCTTCCGCTAAATAAGACAGTGGTTGGTATTCATGTATCGCTTGTCCATGATATATGCTGGTCGCGTAGATTGAGTGTCCAGGCCACTGTGACCGGCACCATGCCTCGAAATAGTGTCGCACTGCAAGGCCTCAACCATGGAGATCTGAACTGCTGCTGGCAGGACCAATATTTGTCACAGCCATCATCTGCCATCGGTGCAGGAACGCGCCTTGGACACAATGTGATCAGCACTACCGGTCCAGGCGCCTTCCAGGGCTCTGGCCCGCCGCGGCCCAGACGGCGGATGCGGGGCACTAGCTCGGGAGAGCGGAGGACGGGCTCGGCAACACTCGGCTCGGCTGGAGCGGGAAAGGTACGGGATTGGCCGGTCTAGGCTTCCTGGGCATGTGAAGTCAGTGTAGAGCCGGGCCGGTTGTGCGTCGTCGCGAGGTACACATGGGAAGAAGAGAGCGAAAGGAAAAAACAGGTCAGGTGTGCGATATTCGACATCTGTGTCAGCAGCAGCAGGAACACTCGGGTTCCTGGTGTGCAGGCTCTGCCACGACACGTGAGACCGCCGTAACGGTGGAGAGTTGGGGAAGCTGGCAACGGCGGCGAGGGACGGGGACGGGGGTGGGGTTGTTCACTTGGGTCCATCCATGACTTTGAGCACAGAGGCGGGCGTGGCCGCAATGACGTTCCGACGCAGTAATCCATCCATGGCGCTATAGGGACTGTCCTGGAATGCCCTGTAGGCCCTGGAATGCCCGCACCTTGCAAGACCCAGCCGGCTCCAATTCTTTCCCCACGATCCCTCGCTGCGGCTGCTGCTGCCACTCCGGCCGGCCACAAGCCTGTCCACTCCCACGATCCTCTTTGTCATCTCTCCCATACCCATCCACACGCACCAGCACCCACGTGCCGTGAGAAAACGCACTTTACCCGACCACCAACGACCAATCTCGCAAGCCGCTCCCGCGAGCAAACGAGTCTTTACACGTTAGAGAGTGCCCAGACACGGAAACCAAGCCCCGACAGCTTGAGCGCCACACCACACAACCGCCGCCCGCATTGCACGGGACTGGTGGTGTAGGCATGCCATCGGCGTGGTCGAGCCATGCCGCTCCCCTGTCCGCAGACATCCCATCACAGCCGTCCTCCTCGACGACGACGACAACAACAACGACAATAAGACCACCTCCCTCTGCCTCCCTTGCCGACAACGCCACCGCCCTCGTCGGTCACATGGACGGCGTCGTCAGGAAGGCCACCACCGCGGTCGCGGGCGTCACTGGCGGCGACAAGAGCCCCCGCCATGTCGGCACCAACGTCGACGGACCCCCCATAGCCAGCGGCGCAGAGGCCGGGGAAATGGGCAGCCGCAAGAACGTGGACAAGCACAGCCTGGACTACATGATGCGCTCAGGTATCGCGGGCGGTTTGGCAGGATGCGCTGTACGTATTGTGTCTCGGGACCATCGTTGCTTGTGATCATGATTATGGCGGTCTTGCTGACCCTGGTCCTCCTTCCAGGCGAAAACAACAGTCGCTCCGCTCGATCGGGTCAAGATTCTCTTCCAGACCGGCAACCCGCAGTTCGCCAAGTATACGAGCTCGTGGCTCGGCCTGGGCAGAGCACTCGGCGACATCTATTCGCGCGACGGCATATTAGGCCTCTTCCGCGGCCACTCGGCCACTCTGCTCAAGATCTATCCCTACGCGGCCATCAAGTTTGTCGCCTATGAGCAGTACCGCACATTCATAATACGTTCCAAGGACCACGAGACGTGGATTCGCCGTTTCAGCGCTGGAGCGCTGGCCGGCGTCACCTCCGTCTTCTTCACATACCCGCTCGAGGTGATCCGCGTGCGCCTCGCGTTCGAGACGAAACACCGCAGCTCATCCCTCATGGACATTTGCAAAAAGATCTACAACGAGACGCCAATGAACAACAAGCAGGCACAACCAGCGCCAACAAACCCGCTCGTGGCCGTCGCCAACGCCAAGGGTGTTGCAGAAGCCGCCGCCGTCACCGCAAAGGCAGTCACACCACAGACTGGGCTGGTCAACTTCTACCGAGGCTTCTCGACCACGATCCTCGGCATGATCCCGTACGCGGGTATCTCCTTCCTCACACACGATACGGCAGGCGATATCTTCCGACGCCCTGCATTCCGCAAGTACACAACCCTGCCCCAGCCCGCGAACGCGCCCAAGGACAAGCCGGCACCGTTGCAGGCCTGGGCAGAGCTCACGGCGGGCGGTGTCTCTGGGGCCGTCGCCCAGACAATATCGTACCCCCTCGAGGTGATCCGGCGGCGGATGCAGGTCGGTGGCGCCGTCGGTGACGGGCACCGCCTGCGCATCGGCGAGACGGCCAACATGATCTTCCGCGAGCGCGGTTTCGCGGGCTTCTTTGTCGGCCTGTCGATCGGCTATGTCAAAGTCGTCCCGCTTGCGGCTGTCAGCTTCTACACGTACGAGCGGCTCAAGACCTTCTTCGGCATATAAAAGAACAAGAGGCCCAAAGCTTGTTTTTGTCGCTTTGAGAGAGAGAGAGAGAGAAAGAGAGAGACACCACCCACCTGACCCGAATAGAGTTGGGGCGAGGATTTCTTTGGAAGATCGGGAGAAACCCCGGCATCATGACACTTTGCTTCGTTTTCCCCCAGCATCAGACACTGGCGTTTAGAAGAGGCGTTCCATTTACACACACAAACACGCACACACGTACAAGCACACGCACATACGGACAAAGACCCAACTTTTGGCTACTCTTCCTCCCTTGTCTTTTTGTTTTTGGTTCGTTTGTCCGGATATTGGGCCGGGGCTGCCGGACTGACGTGGTGTACGTGCAATGGCTATCTATATACACGGGACTGGAGTGTCTTTGTGGAAGAAATCAAGTATATACATCAACTTATATGTATATATTCACATGCACGCTGCTCGCTCTCTGGGTTCCTTGGATAAAGTGGTCATGATGGTTGATAAGTTGATCACGTGCGAATATATATTACAAAGGACGGACCTTCACTTTTGCAAGTCTACAAGCGCGCACGAGTCTCAGGGAGAAAGAAAAGAGAGAGAGAGAGAGCGTATGCGTGTGCGGGAGCCGATCTCGTCCGTAACATCTGCGGCAAGAATTTTCACGGGGGAGTCGAAAAGTGACGAACAGAGCTGAAGACGAATGAGTGAGTGTTTTACAACTTGTTTCGTGTATGTATGAACTATCCATGGAGTCCTATTTATATGTAATGTTCCCCGGCCCCGCATCTGCCATTGCGGTTTGGAGGGCCCTTGTCCAAAAGATTACATTATATCTAAGCTTTTAGTGTTTTTTTTCTTCTTTCTTCCTTGGGTTCTCTTTTTCAACCCCCCTCGCTTTCCTCTTCTCCTATCACTGTCTGGGATGCGTAGGGCACCAAAAGAGTCCTCCAGTGGTGCAGGTTGCGCTAATCCGCCTTGATCGCACTACAAAGACCAAGCAGGTTAAACGATCAGATCCCAAATGTTGATATAGAATACGCATGGTTCCGGCGACTTACCCGTATATCCTCCGGACAAAGGCATATGCCGTCAGAAAGCCGATGGTGCCGGTCAAGAGGCCATACATGCAGCAGGCCATGAAGCTGTATGCGAAGAAAAGGAGCGAGCTGAGGAAGCCGGTGATGTGCAGCTTCACAAAATAGTACCAGACGCAGTACAGGAATATCCAGATGGCGCTGCCGCCTCCGACAGCGAATGACTGCCACCACCAGTGATAGTTCTCAGAGCAGAGCTGCACGTAGACGGTAACAATCGTGACCTCGGCGATGGTGAATATGAGGATGATCGAGACAACCGAGAGAAAGCCAAATACATAGTAGTATCCGCTCTTGTCCTGCCACATAGACTGGAAGACGAAGAGTAGTTCGATGAAGATGACAGCAAAGGGAATAAGGCCGGCAAGAAGGATAGACTGCAGGCTCTGTAGATACCACGCCTGTGGGGGAACCTGTCGGGGAATGCTGGTCGTCTTGGTCGGGTGCTCCCAAGCGCCTGTCCTGACGAAGCCATACCAGGAACCCACGTAGACGAGCGGAACCTGGATGCACAGCCATAGAAATACAATGCCGACTAGAGTGCCGAATGGGATTGCCGTGCTGGAGGCTTGTGCCCATACAAACAGATTAAGGATGAAGACGAGTCCAAAGAAGAGACCTGGAAACAACAAGGCGGTGACCAGCGCGTTCTTGACATGGTTCGTGCCGTCAAAGGTCTTGTAGACTTTGGCCGAAAAGTAGCCCGAAAAGGCACCAGCAAATACAAACAAGCCAAAGCCGGCACTGATGAAGCCACCACGGAAGCTTGGGTTCAACACGCCGATAGCGCTGAGCAGGATGAGACCGACAGCCATGAACAAGAGCTGCATGCCGGAGCCAACAAGTGGGGCAAGCAAGTAGCCATACTGGGGCTTGCGGAAGACATCTGCGTGAAGAAGTTTCCAGCCCGTGACATCCTCGAGAGCCTCGTCTTCAGAAGAGATGTCGTCGATCGCATCAGCGTCGGTTGCAGGCTCGAGTAGCCCAAGCCCCTGCTTCTCTACCCTCGGGGTTTGAGCACCGGACTTGGCCTTGCGCTTGATCTTGAGCTTCCCATCCTCCATAGTTCCCTCCTTGAAATTCTTGATGTCGGTTCTGATAGTCTTGGCCAAGATCATCATTGTGATTCCGGTCAAAAGACCACAGATGATCAAGGAGTTCACAATGGCCAGCCAGTGGATCTTGGACCCCTCCTCCTGGTTCACAAAGTAGAGGTCCCAACGGCGGTTCCACTCGATTGTATCATCCTCGCGGAAGTAGACCGAGTACGTGTACGGGACGTCGATGGTATCATTGTCGTCACCCTCCTCGATGCTCGGGTAATAGGACGAGTCCGGATATTGCTGGTGGAGGTCAGTCGTCTTGTTCGGTGCAATGTAAAGTTCAAATTTGTCCTCTACATCCTTCAAGTCGAGCGGACAATTGTCTTTTCCTCGAGGCGTGCTCGCGCCGACGCTCTTGGTATAGACCTCGAAGCCGACAACAACTTTGCCGCCATTGTCGCCCGCCCTGCCTGGCGCGGATCGATACCGAATAACGATGGTGTGGTGGTTGTTCAGATAGTAGCGGGGCTTGCCAGTGGCAGAGGAGTAGTCCGTGAAGCCAAGCTTGAAGCCGGCTGCGTAGTACTTGCGAGACTTGTCGACCGTCACGAAGCTGGTCGCTCCAGGGAGGTTGTCCACAATCCATTCTACCACGTATCCATCCTTGACCAGTTCTTTTGCCCGCTTGAGATCTCGCCTCGTGACTTGCTGAGTGCAGAGGTAGCTGCATTCGTTGTCGTGCCCGAGGGCGAGGTCGATGTCAGAGGTGGTGATTCGGTCGCCGCGGAGGACTTCGCCGAGGTTCAATGGGATGCTTTGGCCGCTAAGGATGGAGCCGACACTCCTGCCGGTAGGCGGGCAGACAAATGGCAGGTCGTAGTATGCATACTGCAGTTGTGTATTGTCGGAATAGACCTTGTTGACCATCAGGGGGATGTGCTCGCCCTCATGGTAGCTCTTGACGGACCAGCCTGTTGAGATTCCCGGCGATCACCAGTCAGCGACGAGGTTCCAGGCGCGAGGCTCCACGATGCGTCGAGGGTTGGTATCCTTACCGGGAATATAGAAGGCTTCGGCCTGCGAAAGGAGAAGAGAAGATAGCAGCCACTTGAAGGCCATTGTGAAGGGGGGGCGTCGCAGTCGTGAAGCCGCTAGCGCGTATCGTGAGTATGCATGAGGCTAGGTAGTGGATTGAAGACGGCAAAGAAGTGCCGTGAAACCAATCGAGGCGGCAATGACGAAAGGCACCGCGCGGGCAAGGGAGGGTGCGGATGGGCCAAGGTCGAGCTGTGAAGGGAATGAGCCAAATGGCTGGTGAGGTCGCGGCAGAAGCGGAAGCGGAAGCAGAGGCGAACAGAAGATCGGGGTGGAAAGGACAGCGGCGCTGCTCCGTGCTGGTGAGGGATGGACGACGATTGAAGCAGTTGCGCGAGGATTCCACTCGCGAGGCGACGGGGAGTCGAAAGGGGGGTGCCGCGCGCGAAGTCAGTGGCTTGATTGATGCAGGGGGGCTCTCCAGAATACGGGGTCGCTGAGAATAGCTCAGACCCGAACTATTTACTGTTAGGGATGCCCGGGGTCCAAACAGGGCAAGCAAGTCTCTCGGCCGGCTACAAGTCTTTGTCGACCCGAGTGAGCACTTACCGCTTTGAGCATCAATGCCTTTTACAAAGTCAGCTCACGCACCGAGAACGGAAGCACAACCACGTACAAGGCAGACAATGGCGACAGAGAAGCAGCATCGATAAGCTGACAACGGCTGTGAGCTGGCTCCTGGGGGGCTGCGATGATGCACCGCCTTGGCGATGGTTGTGTCCCGGGACGGCAGCGGCACGGCAGGGCAGGCGACGCGCGTTGTGGCCTCGCCCACGGCTAGCGTGGCGGGGCGACATCGGCGGTGCAGGGGTAACCACTGCGGGTACAGGTGGGCACACGCTTAATTCTCCCAAGTTTATTTCGAGATCTCCACAGCTCGAGGTTGCTTGGTCAAGCAGTTGATTAAGTACCTGGAGCGACAATAGGATGCGGTGCCTGGGCCGTTCCTGGCCGTGCACATTCCCAAGAATCCATGCAATAAGCTTTATTTACAGCACGTCACGGTGCAGGGAAGATTTCACCAACCAGAACACATGCTAAGGCGTCCATTCGCGTGAGCGGGTAGGCATGGCACTCTCAAAGCCTCCCTGCATGCCAGCGCGTCCTACGTCTAGTTGAGTGAGCACTGATGAAGTGATGCTGCGTGGGGCTGACAGTATCAGCATGATGGCGTCTTGGGCTCTAAGCCTTCCATGTAGCCAATGCATGATCGCGCTGCTTTCGTGAACACAGCCTGGCTGGATAGGATATCACTGTCCCGGCCACAGTAAGTCTTGTCGCAGCCCCGCCTCGCCAGCAAATCCTCCCGCCTCTTGCAAACCACAGAGTTTCGCGACGCTAAAGAATAACGCCCCTATTTGTGTGCCTAGGCGGAGTCGCAGGTTTTCGGGTGTTGTGGAAGCTCTCGGACGGGCGGACTACTTGGTCTTTTCCATTGTCTCGGACTTTCCTTCGCTTTTTTCTTTTCATCTGCAGAGCTTCAGGTAAATGTTATAGGACCGAAAGTCAGACCAGAAATCACATGCCGATGATGTAAGCTCTCATACATCATCATCGCCTCGAAGATAACGGCACTCCGGAACTGCTTGTAGGTGAATGAAGATCTGCTATCTGCAAAAGGCTGCATCACATGGCTCGGTCCTCGGGATGTTCACAGGAACGCCCAGGTGAGTATCCACGTGGTCAGGGGACGGCCTGATTCTCAGCATCACATTGCGCGCCAGGTCCTGGAGCCAGATTGGGCAGGAACTTCTGCCGCATAGGTCGCAGGTGGGAAGTCGGGGGGGGGCCAAGCATGAGGTTGGCTAGGGGCTACGTCCGTGCAGTATGTCTCCGACTTCTAATGCCAGTCAGAGCCCAACTGCCCGGGCCTCGTTGGGCGAGTTGGGCTCGGTATGGAAATTCCTTCTGCTCCAGCACAACCCTGGAATTTGCCTTCTGGAAAACTTCTATGGCAAAGATTTTCATCGTGAAAGGGGTGGCTGCCGAGTGAGCTAAGCTTCTAGGGGGGTGTGCTGGGCTTCCAGATGCGAAAGTAAAGTTCTGCCAAAGCGGGAACCCAGGCCGAGTCATCAGGCATAGGTAAGTAGGCTGCTTGAAGCGGGAAGAGTGCTCCACCCTGCCGGCCGGCCAACTGCTTTGAGTGCCGAGAGAGCTTGCTCGAGAACTGTCAAGGAGCACCTTGCATGCCATGCCCTGGCTGCATACATCCCTGAATCGCTATCTCGCCAGATGGCCAATAGCCGCTCGGGGTGACTGTGCTGCATGGTCGAGCTCGAGTGATGCGGCTAAAATCAAGCACATGGGTCGGCAGGTTTTGATTCATTCGCACAGGCGGGTCGCTGGCCAATGCTACGATGTTGATAACAGTCCATGGCGGGCTGTCTCGTCTGCCGTGATGATGCCCAGCAAGTGCTCGAGGCGGGACAAGACTGCGCTGGGCAAAATCTTGTCGCGATGGGCTTGTTTGAGCAACGTGTATGTATATGCCCGCCGGCGCTGATGCGGCGCCCTCCTCTTCGACTCCGAGGCCCCGCCCAGTTTGGCAATTCCGAACGCCGATGATCTCTAATATGCCTCTGCCTTTGCGACGGAGCCGCTGCCGTGCAGGGTCCATCTGAAGATCGACAGAAGCGCAACCTTGTGGCGCGCCCGGGACGGAAGATCCTGTGTGACCCCCACCAACGACGACGACGACGACAGAAGAAGGTAATTACAGAGACTGAAAGCACGATGGCAGTGCCGTTCGTGATACGCGGCAGGGCACATAAATAGGATGGATAGTGGGCCGGGCCAGGCCTGGGACGCTTCGAAGTGAGCCGGGTGGGTTCTTGGCTGCGACAGGGCACGGGGCGGGTTCGCAGGCATGGCCTGCCGAGTCAAGTTGATTCCGGCGGCGGGTACCGGGGAGCCGAGACGGGCTGTGACGGAGGGTGAGGCAAGCAAGACACATTGGGGCCCGAGTCGTGTCGTGGTGGTGGACGCACACGCCATGACCACGAGGCGGCGCCGCCGCGCGCCGTCGATTTGGAGGGCCGAGGACGATGCAATGGAAACGCTTGCAGGCTTCCACGCGCGGCGGCGGCGGCGGCGGGGCTGCTCGAGCGGGCAAGGCAAGGGCGTGGAAAGTGGGAAAGACCAGTCAAAGGCGGGTCCGTCGCACGGCCGCTCATGTCTGGAAGCAAAGTAAGTGTCTGGCTGGCCGGGTCCTGCCCGTCTAGCTTGCCCGCCCGCGGTGCTTGCTGCTGGCCAGGATGAAAGAGCGTCCTGCTCACGCTCTGCTCTCCCAAGGCCGGCGCCCGGAGCCCGTCGTCATCATCATTTTTTGCTCTTGTCCAATTCTTCCTCCCCGTCGTCCGCACCACCTCCAGCCACAACTCGCTGCAATCCATCTGCCAAGCTCTGCGGGGGACGAGACATCACGTCGCCGTTAGAGATTCGCCGTCGTCCACGCCCCTACTGCACCTTCACTCTCTCGGGTGCCGTCTCCAACTGCACGGGCTCACCAGCAGCAGCACGCACGCACGCCGTGCGAGCCCCTCACCACCCGCGTCATCCGGCTTCCGGCTAGGGCGACCACAGCTTCACAGCAATATCGCCAGCAAACACAACCCGCGACAACGGCCTTGCCAATCGCCATGGATTCCAGCACTGCTTCTGCCGCGGCACAGGCAGCTGGCCATGATCAGCAGTCCGGTCATGTTGGTATGCGCGCAACCAAGACCCCTCACGTCCGCTCCCGCTATCTACCAGGCCATTGCGTTCACACGAACCAACCAGGCACAGCACTGTGATTGCTTTTTTCTTTGTGTCGCCTCTGTCAGTGCTAATGCCAAACTCTCTTCGCCGTCGCACAGACTTGCCAAAGGGAGACACCGAAGCACCGACTTCGTCTAAGGCCGCTCTCGATTCAACAGCGCCTGCGGTGCGTTTTGCTTCAAAGGTCCAGGAAATCGATGCGCCTGTCCCGGCTGGAACCCCAAGTGTGCAAATCGACGAACCACTCTCACCTGGGATCGCCGAAAACTCAGAGGCCACTCCAGAGCAAATCCAGGCACTTACTCAGTCACTACGAAGCTCCAAACTTCAGGAACAACGACTGAAGAGCTTCTCGTTTGATCCTGTCTCACTACCAGTCTCAAGAGTAAGCGACTTCTCCAGTGGCACTTCGGCCCTTCCTGCATAATTGTTGTCACATTGCTTTTTTCGACGCTTTTGGCATGACACCAATACAACTCATCGGGCATACTCAACTATATGAGTAACTGACCTGAGTGTGGATCGATCTGGCTGCCACTATCGAGAGGGTTCCGCTGCCCTCTCCGATATTTCGCTTGGACCGAGCTACGGCATGAAATGCTGCTGTCGCGCATGCCAATGGATCGGTTCACCGTACACTTTCGTCATTTGCGTAATACTATTCGTCAGGCCTTTTGCTAATGTGCACTCTGCTCAGTATCCTTCTAATGAAACGTCACCATCCGCAACCCCACAGATCAGCAATAGCCCCATGGGCCAGCCTTCACCAGGCCTCTCTAGCCGAGGGCACGAACTGGTTTCTCCTCCTTTGACTCCAGCCGGCACACTACCGACCGACTCGCTACAGAAGGCTAGGAAGCTCAGTGGTGAGACATCTTTCGACTCGCAGGCTATCACGCCTCAAGCTTCTGGACAAGGAACAGGCACTTCCTCTCCTCGCCCCAGCGCGCAAACTCAGCAATCCTCGGAATCTATTTCTCAGCGCACTACGGCCGCCGACGACAGGGACACTAGCTCTCATGGCAAGCATCGCCACGGGATGTTCAGCATTGGGCCTGGTGGCCAGTCTGTACCAACGTCACGCGAGTCGAGCCCGACGAGAAATGCTGCCTCTCAATACTACTCCCGCCCGTTCACGCCGCATAATGACGAGAACGACCCATATGCAGCGAGCAAGCGGCCGCCTCAAAGTCGCAACTCGGCACACATCGATTCCAGATTCGTCTTTTCCAGGAAGAAGAAGACCGGATCCCCGTCCAGCTCGACAATCAGTCTACCCAGGTCAGATCGTGGCAGTGAAAAGCGATTGTCGCAACTCACCCTTGGGTCCAGCGATGGCTTGGGTCATGGGCACCATGGAGGGTCCATGGCCGACCTCAAGCGGTTTTTCAAGGTCGGCGGACACGCCAAAGCTAAGAAGTCCGCGTCGCCAGCTCCATCCAAAGCAGGAGGCCTCTCTCCTGCCTCGACGAAGGGGTCCACATCTGTCCCGTTCGGCGACCACGACCTGACTTCGAAATACGGCAAGATCGGTCGCGTCCTTGGTTCCGGTGCTGGCGGTTCTGTCAAGCTGATGAAGAGGAATGAAGATAACACCGTTTTCGCGGTAAAGGAGTTCCGCCCTCGGCATTCCTACGAGACGGAGAAGGAGTATGTCAAGAAATTGACCGCCGAGTTCTGTGTTGGCTCCGCCTTGCACCACGGCAACATCATCGAGACATTGGACATCATTTCCGAAAAGGGCAAATGGTACGAGGTCATGGAGTACGCTCCATTTGACCTGTTTGCCATTGTCATGACCGGGAAGATGTCCAAGGCGGAAGTGACCTGCTGCTTCTTACAGATCCTCAGTGGTGTGACTTATCTTCACAGCTCTGGCCTCGCCCATCGCGACCTCAAGCTCGACAACGTCGTCGTCAGCGCATCTGGAATCATGAAGATTATCGATTTTGGCAGCGCACATGTTTTCCGTTATCCCTTTGAGAGTGAGCTGGTTCTTGCTTCTGGTGAGTCATAAACCCCAACATGTTTCTTCCAGTTTTGTCCGGCTGCTAATACAATCCTCAGGCATCGTTGGTTCGGATCCCTATCTTGCCCCTGAGGTATACGACGAGAAGAAATACGATCCCCAGGCGGTAGATATCTGGTCGCTCGCCATCATTTTCTGCTGCATGTCGCTGCGCCGCTTCCCTTGGAAAGTCCCTCGGCTGTCTGACAACTCTTACAAACTCTTTGCCGCAGAGCCAACTCCTGGCCATGATCCCACCAAACTTATATTGCCTTCAAAGCCCGCTATGGAAGGGCCGCAGACGCCGAACGCGTCAGCAAACACGCAGAAGGACTATTTCGGCGAACCCGACGGCAAGAACGGAAAGACTTCCCACAAAGCCGACTCGAGTGCTCCTAGCACCACCACGACAGTGTCCACGGGTGGGGCTACCGAGGGCGCGAACCCGGAAAAGAAAGAGGTCATTCGTGGACCATGGCGCCTGTTGCGACTTCTGCCTAGGGAGAGCAGACACATCATCGGCCGCATGCTCACAGTTGATCCTAAGAAGAGGGCAAAGATGGAGGAGATCCTGGACGAGCCGTGGGTCTCTAATACAGTCATTTGCCGCCAAGAAAACGGCCTTGTGATATCTGCGGATGATCACACACATGTCCTCGAGCCGCCAGCGCCCGTGGCTAAGTAGGGCCGAGGGCCAGGGGTCAAGAGGCGAATGCGGTCGACATTTTTAGGAGGAGGCCTGAAGTTGCACGATAGAAAGGTGCTCTTATGATTACTGGCGTAACGAACAGGGTAGAGGCACGGGTCTAGAAGTATCTTATTGTCTAATTCACACTGAGCCCACCATTTTGGTGGCTCAAATGCGTTAAGAAAGCCATAGTTAGGGTTAGAGGTTTGGCGGCGGCTCTGCTGTCTATTGTCATTGGAAAATTTCTACTTGTAATTCGTACTTGCATGTCTTATGATTATCTGACAGTGCCATTCGGGACTTGCCATGGGAACACAGTAATCCGGGATGCCTAGGAAGAAATACAGAATTCGAAGAGCGCCGAAGTAACTAGAAGGCCGCGAGCAGCTCTCGACAATAAAGAAGTCGTGTTCCACATTGAATGCCATCTTACTGGCAAGCGGGGATGTCCAGCCACGAGTGGTGGATGTTGGCTGCTGGCCAATCAGACGCTCGGAGGAGGGCCGCTGACGGGGGTCCCCAGGCATGTGCGGGCACGTTGCTGTTCTGCCGCCCCGGCCTGGCCTTCCAGAGCTTTCCAAGCCCGAAGCAACCTCGATGCCGACTGGACGACGATAGCTTCACCTCCCAGAAAAAACTTCCCCCCAACGCAACCGCAGTAAACAACAACATCACCCTCAACCGGTCTCCTTCCCAACGCTTCATCCACTTTCGACTTCCGCTAGCCACAAATACAACCATCACAATGGTAAGCGTCTCCTCTCTGCCATTCTCATCGTCGCGCACCCATTAGCCCAGATCGAGACCCTCTACGACCACTCTGCGTTGCGCAAAGAACGCATGCCACACCCGTCGCCTCCACGACCCGTCATGGGCAGCTGCGTATCACGAACTTCGCTCTGCCGCTCGTCGTGGCGCCGCTCTCTGCGTGATCGACAAGACAAAACACCACCTCACCCGCGCTGAATCAGCCGATTGATCCGTCCTCCGCCACACCGACACATACACACACACATGACTCTCTCACTTCATGGTTCTCAGTGCATGAATCAAGCCCGGCGTACACCAGACTGACATTCGTGCCCCCCCCCCCGTCTAGGCCACCGCTATCCGCTCCATCAAGTCCCTGGTCCCGCTGCTCGACCGCGTGCTGGTCCAGCGCGTCAAGGCTGAGACCAAGACCGCCAGCGGCATCTTCCTGCCCGAGTCGAGCGTCAAGGAGCTCAACGAGGCCAAGGTCCTGGCCGTCGGCCCCGGCGCCCTTGCCCGCGACGGCAACCGGGTGCCCATGGGCTGTGCGGCCGGCGACCGTGTCCTGATTCCTCAGGTATGGAACATTTCATTTTCTTTGCTCTCTGTGCTTTGCTATCCTGCGCCCCCCCCCCCGGGATCCGCGGAAGCGAGCTCGCTGGGGGTGAAGCAGGCGAAGTACACTGTGGGTTTCTGTGAATCATTCGTGCTGATCAATGGTGCTGCGTTAGTTCGGTGGTTCCCCCGTCAAGGTCGGTGAGGACGAGTACACGCTCTTCCGCGACAGCGAGTAAGTTTTGTTCCCCCCTCTTGGCCCGGTGATTAGATCGACTGGCAAGTTTTTGGCAAAGAAATGGGGGTCCAGTTCTAACCATTGCCGTCCTTCTCGCACAGGATCCTCGCCAAGATCAACGAGTAAAATCCAGCTCCCCAGCCTTGGGAGATACTCGACCCGCATGCCAGACAAGAACCACACAAAATGATGACAGACCATGACACGACACACACATATGAAAGAGCGGGGCACATGAGCAGGCAGATTATAAAGGATGTACCATCACCAAAAGACATGTACCAGAGCGAGAGGGGGGAAGATAGAAAGGCCGCGGAAAATGTCCACTTTCTTGTACTAGTAACAAACGAAAAACCCAACCTGTGATAAATATATACCAACCTTTGCGAGGAGGAAAAAAGCGATACTAGCGGTGTACTTGTCAAGGTGTATGTATCTCTTCGGCCATGCGTTGCCTCACAGAATACGGTGGTCCTTGAAAGCGGTCCGGGGCAAGGAGGCCAGCTGCTCTCACATAGGGTTCGGCCTTTTCGGCCCACGTACGTAGACGAAAACCACTATGTGCCCGTATTGTTACGAGCTATCACAGGCAAAATTTATAGAATACTCGGGGCGTAGGATTTCTCGTGCGTACGCCCTTCTCGCATCGTCAGCCCCACACAAGCCAAGAAGAAGAAATGCAAATGCAACAAGAAACACGATGCAAAGCACAGCCTGTTGCCCTGTCAAATATCGGAATGTTGTCTCCCCCCCCCCCCACGGGACAGAAGAAAGAGCTGAGAGCAAGCATGCATGGGCCGCCGGAGGAAGTCCGTCGCTCTGCAGCCTTCTCACCGAGAGCACTGCGTGGTTTCACTGGCATGTTGTGGTGCTTGTCCACGGGGGGTCCCCTCGACGCAGGTACATGAAAATGGACCCCGAGTGTGCTGGTGGAGGGCTTGGACACTCTCATCGCGTTAAAGCCGAGCCACGGTTCGGCACAGCCCGGCGCGAGGGTTTGCAAGGGAGTGTCAAGTCGCTCGGGGGATTGTGCTTGTGGAAAAGGAATCGGGAGAGGCTGTTGGGACGGACGGCGTTTGTACACTGGTTGCACTGTGGCGACTCACGCTTGGGGTACGTCTTCATGGCCTCAAGATGGTCCTGGTTCAAAGTGGGCTCCCAATGAGCTCGTTCTCCGGGTCCGAGGCGATCGTGGCCGAAGCAGCTCGGAATAGCCAGTTGACGTGAAAAGCCAAGTTTCATGATTTGGGCGGCTAGCGGCTGAGTCTGGGGGGAGGCGGCAAGCAGATCGAAAATGTCGAAACAGACAGAGGGCAGACATTGATGCTTAAGGTACCGTAGGTGAGTGGCCAGCCAATCATATGGCCTTGGCTGTTTTGAAACGAAACAGGGTGGCGGCGTTGTAGCTTGTTCCTGCAAGAACACGCGTGATATCATTGGTTGGTGATCATGGCTGGGGGTTTGGCCGTCGTACGGCTTATATTGCTGTTGGTCTTTGGGGACGCAGAAAGCCCCTTCTCTTTGGTTGTGCAACGAGGAGGGCGTGCATCGGGGACCTGGAGGCCAGCAGAAATGTCTGAACGTCTGACGACCAACGGCCGTGATCCGTGTAAGCGTGCCTCCCACTGACGTGGTACAGTCGACAGCCAAGGCCGCTCAGCGAGGTTTTTAGTTGTTGGGAACTCCGGCGGCCACTCTGTCGCGAGAACACCACAGAGTTATTGGTACCACAGGGCAGCGGGCATCGGAGTGTGGCGCTTGTGCTGTCGTCAATACAGTAGTTGGTTGTTTGACTGGCTGGCTGGTGAGTGTATCGACTCCCACTTGTTCCGTGGATGGAGTTGTCCAACTTGATGAGGCCGGCAGGACCCGCCGCTGTCCGCCAGCGCTTGGGGTCGCTCCTTCGAGACCTTGCTCGGCGGGGCACCCTGCACCATCTATGTGTGTTTGCCTCCGCTTCTCCATGTATCTGCAACGGCCCCTGCAGGCTGCATCGAGTATTCGCCTCTTCCACCTTAATATGTTGTCATATAACAATGGTGCGTGCACGGCTGGCGTCTCGACGTTGAGGCCCCTGCCAGGGGTTGAGGCACGGCAAACACCAATAACGATCCAGAGCGGCTGAGCGTCCTCTGTTGGCTTCTTGGTCTTGGCGTAGGGCTGGCCTGCATCTGGCCCGGTCAGCGACGGGCAGCCGTTTCTCGTCTCGACATGCTCGAGTCCAGTCTCGCCCGTGAGAGGCTCGTTGGCTTTGAATGCGGCTGCCGGCAGCAAGGGCCGTCCCTGGAGACTAGAAACAGGCAAACAGGCGACTGGCGATGCTGTGCTCGCAGCCAGCACGCTGCTTGCTTACGGTGTCTCTGCCGGAGACTCCGGCAAGGCGCATGCTGCCACTGTTTCGTTGCTCCATGGCCACCCTGTGGACTCGACCAAGTAATGGACGGCCATGCATGCTTGCTTGAGGACAAGGTCGGATTGTTTCCTGCGCGGTGACACCAGTCTGTGCACACAGTATCCAGCTGGGGCTGTTTTCTCCTCGCTTGACTTATAAGCCACACACAACCACGCTTCTGGCGAGGACACGGTCTGTTTGTCGGAACAGGGCACTCACCCAGCACCCCATCTGTCGCCTCTTCTTCGTTGTTGCTACCGCATCCTCACTCTTCATTCCCTCCTTAACAAGCTTGACAAGGCCTTCAGCGCCTTTCTGCCGGCTGGACGGGCAATCTCTTCGACCTGGACAGGCTTCCACTCTTTATTACCACGACAACCAACGATTGTCCAGACTGTCCCTACCGATAATCCAACGCAACAGACAGTACACACTCTTTTCTTATCTTTCGATCACTGGAGTATCACTAGAGAGACGAGCACGTCTGGCTAGATTTCAGGCCCTTGGCGGTTTCTCTGAATTGACCACAGAAGCCATCACCAGACGACCCCCACTCGCATCCCTCCAGCAACCATGAAGTGGTCATCAAGCAAGATCGTGCCCTGGCTCGCTGTGGCGACAGCCCAACAAGCACGCTCCCACTCAATATTCACTACTCTGTTCGTCGACGAGGTCTCGCAGGGCGACGGCACATGCGTGAGGATGAATCCGTCCCCCGAACACTGCACTGACCCCATACCGGATCTCGCGAGCAAAGACATGGCATGCGGTAGGTTGTTGTTAAGAGCCGCGTCCATCAATCCAGACCCCTCTCGAACAAATTCACCGACGGCTTGGCTGTCCAGAACATGTTCAAAGCTAACACACAGCCAAAAACAGGCATTGGAGGCGGTACACCTGTAGCCTTTACATGTCCCGCCGCGGCCGGCAGCAAGCTCACCTTCCAGTGGCGCCTCTGGGCCAACGCCGAGAAGCCCGGCGTCATCGACAAGAGTCACATGGGGCCCTGTGCCATCTACGCCAAACACCTCGACAGCATGGACACAGGCACAGCTGCCGGTGATGGATGGATCAAGCTCTGGCACGAGGGCTACGACTCGGCCTCCGGAAAATGGTGCACTGAGAAGCTCATCGACAACGAAGGCCTGCTGTCCATCAACCTCCCCGCGGGCCTGACGGCAGGAAACTGGCTGTTCCGCCCGGAGCTGCTGGCCCTGCAGAATGTGGCGCAGAACGACCCCCAGTTCTACGTCGGGTGCGCCCAGGTCTTTGTCGAGAGCAGCGTCACTGAGCCCCTGGACGTGCCAGCGAAATACAAGGTCAGCATCCCCGGTCACGTCGAGCAGGGACATCCGTCGACTACCTTTGATGTGTGGAACCCCAAGTTTCCGTACACCATGCCTGGACCAGATGTCTTCGTGGTGCCGGCTCCTCCTGCGACTGCGTCCTCGGGGGGTCGTGGGGCCACCAGCAACAGCACCCCCGTGATGAAGCAGTCGGCTGGCCAAATCCCTGCGAAGGCAATTAGCAAGAACGCAAACTGGGTCGGCTTCGAGGTGCCCTCGTTCACCAACGAGGACGGGTGCTGGAAGGCCACCGAGAACTGCTGGCAGCAGTGCGAGGCGTGCTATGCGGATGCGCCGGTCACGGGCAATGCAAACTGCCAAGTTTTTGAGGAAAAGTGTACCGGTCTAAACGCCGCATGCGAGGCAGGAAACTTCCGAGGACCAAAGAATGCTGGTGCTAAGCTTCAAAGCGCAGACCCGGCGCCGCCAGAGTGGTTCCCTCCCGCTGTCAATGAAGGTGCTGGGACTGGCGGCGGTGCCAGTGATGGTGGTGATGATGGGGAGGAGGGCAACGACGATGACGAGGAAAACGCCGTCGTTGTCACCCCGCCAGCGGCAGCCGTAACCGTGACGGTGACAGTCACGGCTCACGCGTCGCGAGCTACTGGTTCGGCTTGAGTTTTGGATATGGATGCCTGGTTGAAGAAGGCCAGGATTGGTGAAGAAGAAAAAGCCGATGGCCGGTTCCCTTGTTTACGACGTCTACCTTCTGGGCGTTTCCTATCTTGAATTACTGTACGCTTTTGTTTCTTCGGCAAAGATCACCACCATGAGCAAGGCTCATGGGGCGCCGCAGTTTTTGTTCCCTGTAGTTCTCATTCGATCATGATTTGATGGTTCATGGATACTTTTCACCAATCTCTTTCTCCAACTTTATCTCTCTGACGGGCGCCATGATTACAGGCTTTCAGCTTTTCCGAAGGCGGATATTTGTATGGCCACGATTCAGACAATTGGATCTGGGTCTAGCTTCGGTAACAGCAGACCCGGTTGCTTTTGAGTTTGTGTAGTACCAGAGACCTGATGGAGGATTGGTTGACTATAACCTATCCAATTTGACCGGCTTCTGGCATCTCGCGGCAGTGATGAACCAGCTGAGTTGACAGCTCTTTGGGCGTACTTATAAATCCCGTAATCACCCAATCTGCTGATGTACGTGCCGAGTGACAATTTCCATGCCTATTTCGATTCGAATTTCCTATCCTTTGTTTCGGCCTTGTTTTCTTTCTTTTTCTTTCTTCTCTACAATATAATATTTGTTTTATTTTTCAAATGTTTTTCTGGTGTGGATTATGGTATTTACAGGTTTGTCTGCCCGGTGCAAATGTGAGTGATAATGAACAAATGCAAAATCAACGTTCCAGGCTTAATCGCTGGTGACCCCGGAGGTCTCTCCGGCCGACGATACTTGCCTGGCTGTTTGCTTACCGTCAGTGGCTGGAATGTGCTGCGACTCTGGGAACGGTTGAGCTTCAGGGATCATGATCAGCCACAGCAAACAACAGGGACGGACGGTCATTCCACGACCAACGGGATAACTATCCCTGGCGCGTGTGTGTGTTATGTTAAAAAAGCGACCCTGGCCTGATCTACGTACACAACACCACCTGTGTCTGAGCCAAAAACTCGGTTGCATGGAACACGGCGGCGGCCCCAGTGGTATTTGCCACGAGCTGGCCATGAATCGTGTCCCGGGCTCTAAAGTTGATCGTGACCACGGAGCAAGCTCAAGGTTTAGAAGTCTGGCTACGAATACAGCCTAGACTCGACCCGCTCTTGACACGCTGGGGGGGTCAGCTGTGTTCGCATTTGGGCAGGCTTAGCGCAGCGCTCTCAGGTCAATGTTCAGTGACAGAGAGGGGAGGGGCCCACAGCAATGACTGGATTCAAGGTCGGGGGGGTTGAGCTTTGATCACGACGACAGAAAATGTGCTCAGAGGAAGAACGGGAATTGGTGCCCTATGGAGGCAGGCTGGGACATCTCGAGCACGCGGTCCTCTCGCGACACACGCAACATACAGTTCCAAAGCCACGGGCGGGCTGCGCCTGGGATTTGGTCGCTGGGCCAAGACGGTGTGCGGAGGAGGAGATTGGACTTCTGCTGGCGCCTTTCTCCTCCCACCCTAGTCTCTGGAGGGACGATCGCCAAGCCCGTGCACATATGCTGGGCCGCTCCGCCTCGATCCTGGTGCTGTCTTAAGCAGTCCCCTCTCTCCGTACCTAGCCAACACATGAAGACCATTTGTGTACAAGAGACTCTGCCGACCTGTTGGCAGCGGTAGTAGGTCGGTCGTGGGGGTGGGAATCTTGAGAGCAAACGGGCTGGGTATCGTCCCGAGACACGAAAGAATCGTGGCGCGGTTGGAATGCTACGGCCGGCCATCCATGGATGGGGCGGTGTTGCTACCGCGGCTGGCATGTAACCCGACGTAGCACGGTTCGCTAGATACGAAAAAGAGGGGAGTGGGCAGTGTAGGACAGATACTGAGCATTGTGAATATGCTGCTGTTTACCGAGCGATAGCAGGAGGTCTAGCTAGCGAAGACAAGGTCGGAGCAGATAACAGACGGAGATACAAACAGAGAAGAGCGAAGATGATGGCTGATAGTTAGACAGAGCTTGGGCTGGCTGGAGCTGGTGCCGAGCGACGCGGGCGGGCGGGCATGGTAGCCAGTCACAAACAAGCAGGGCGCTGGGCTGCACAGCGCTGGCGCAGGGCCAGGCAGGCCCGGGTGCAAGCAGAGTGGGCTGTCGACACTAGCTGACCCCGGGCGGTGATCAGCCTGCCTGCCACCCCAAAATACACCGTAATGCCACGCCTCCAGCCCGCGCTGTCTGGTCGCCCTCCATCCATCACCCTGCTGCTGCTGACACAGAGAGACTACGTCGCCCTCTCTCCACCTGCCTGTCCGTCTGCCTGTCTGTCCCCTCTCTCTTCTCGGCCCCCCCAGTCCAGCCTGCCTGCCTGCCAGTCTGCCTGCTTTTCTTCCACACACACCGTCCGTGGACCTGGCGCCCTGTCTGTCTATGTCCACACCCGCTTCCTCACCACCAGAATCTGCCCCAGAGTGTCACTCGTACACACCACACACGCTCACACACACACACACACACACACGCACACCACCGACGCCGGCGACGACGACACTGCCGACGATACTGCCGCCGTCACGCTCGTGACCTCGTTTCTCCTCCCCGTTTCCACCTCGTGTGCTGCGCGCCGCTGCTGTTCCGTCACTGCACGACGAGGTGCAGGCCTTGTGCCTGGTGCTGCAAAACCTCGTTTTCGGACCTTGTCGAACCGCGTCTCCGTCCTCTGCCCTGGCCTTCGACACCGCCCGCGTCATCGGCGACTCGTCATAACCGACGCACCCATCATCGCCATCGCCACTGCAGGTATCCAGAGCTTCGCGTCCTCACACGTCCCACCGACGAGGTCGCGACGTGCCTCGTCCGCGAATCCTCCCACCCCAGAATCAATCCGATCCACCCTCGACGCTGTTGCCCGCCATGTCGGCTCTGGGCCAGCCTGGGGCGCCGGGGGCTCACAACCACCCAGGCCTGTCCTTTCCTCAGGTTAACGGCCTTCGACGCGGATATCCAGGGACTCACACTCACTCGGCCACGCCACCAAAGCACTCGCCAACTCCGCAGCAGCACCAGTCGCCCTACCAGCCTCAGCAGTACACGCCACAGCAGCCCCAGCCCGGTCCATATGCTCACCACATCTTCTCAAACACCACGACGCCATCGCCCGTCCCCAACGTCGTCTCGTTGCAGAACGTAACGAATGCAAACACACGACATTCTCACACCTCTGCGCAGATTGCACAGCATGCTCAGCACGCGCAGCATGCCCATAATGCAGCTCAGGCACAGGCTCAGGCCCAGGCCCAAGCCCAGGCGCAGGCTCAAGCCCAGGCACAAGCTCAGGCACAAGCTCAAGCTCAGGCACAGGCGCAGGCGCAGGCAGTTCGGCAGCAACAACAACAACATCAGCACCAGCAGCACCAGCAGCACCAGCACCAGCAGCACCAGCCACACCAGAACCCGCACCAGCAACACCAGCAGCATCCGCACCAACAACAGCAGCAGCAACAGCAGCCCCAACATCAACAACAGCAACAACACGCGCAGCAGCATCAACAGCAACAAGCCCAGCACCTCCCACAGCATCAGCAAGCACATAGCGCACATCAGCAGCAGCAACAGCAGCAGCAGCAGCAGCAACAACAACAACAACATGCTCGGAACCCACAGCAACGACAGATGCAATCCCAGCCACATTTGGCTTATCTTCAGCAGGCAATGAACCATCAACCGGTGCCGCAACAGGTACAACAGCAGGTTCAGCAGCAGGTCCACCCCGGCGTTCAGCAAATCCCCCAGATTCAGCAGATGCCACAACCGTCGCCAATGCAGCAGCAGCTGCCAACAGTGCCACAACAGCCTCTGCCGCAGGTCAAACAGACGCAGCAACAACCGCAGCCCCCATCTTTGCCGAAACAGCAGTCCCAGCAGGCGAAGCAGTCGGCTTCGTCATCAAAACAGACAAAGGCCGCCAAACACGGCCAGCCTAGTGATCCCAAGGCCATGTCACAGGCGCAATCGGCGTCACATGTTCAGGCACATCAACTACAGCGGCAGGTTTCACAACAACAACAACAACAGCAGCAGCAACAGCAGCAGCAGCACCAACAGCACCAACAGCAGCAGCACCAGAAACAGCAGCAGCATCAAGCGCAACCGCAGGTGCAGCACAGGACTTCGATTCACCAGCAACCAACTCCCATATTGCCGCCACAACCAACCCCACAACCACAGCACCAGGCACCTCCGACACAACCGGAGCCCGTGGCTCCACAGACAAACCAGCAAGATGAAATGGACATGGACAGCCCGGGTGAGTCTGGTGAGGGTGATGGTCATGTGTCTCCTAAGGTTATCGAGGGGACGCCATTCAAACCCCTCCCGCCTATGGGCTCAATGATGTCTGCTCCGCCAGAGGGTGGGAGTTTTCCCACGTTGGAAGCGGTTCATAGACATGTTCTCTCGTACTGCACCTCGGTCGGTTATGCTGTTGTTATTGGTCGATCCAAGAAGACGGTGCCTGGACTGAAGAAGGTTCTGTTCGTTTGCGATAGGGCAGGCAAGCCTCCCTCGCGTGTGAGCCCTGAGCAGAGAAAGCGCCGGACGTCGTCGCGCAAATGCAACTGCCAGTTTGGTTTCTTTGCAATCGAGCAACGCACGCAATGGACCATCCGGTACCGCCCGGACGCTGTGCATCTGGAGCACAACCACGGACCCAGCGAAAGTCCATTACTGCATCCGGCTGCGAGGAAGCTCGACACGAAGATGGTGGCTGCTGTCAAGCAGCTGAAGGAGTCAGGTAGGTTCCAGAACTCGTACTCGAAGTCGTGGGGCGAAGAGCTTTGCTAATTCTTGTTCCAGGCATGGGCGTGACCCAGACGCTTGAGATTCTGCAGCAACAACATCCCCATGTCCCTCTTTTGCCGAGGGACATCTATAATGCCCGTGCAGCAATCAACCGAAATCCACAAAAGATTGACGCGGGCATTGCAGAAGAGCGCCCTGCCATCTACAGCAAACCTGCGCCGAGCGCCGAAGAGCGAATACGGTCTGATCTTCGCAGAGAGCTGCAGAGGACCAAGGAGGAGCTTGCCAAGCTCAAAGAAGAGAACAAGAAAGAGGTTGAGCAGCTGAAGGAGAAACTGCGCGAAAAGGACAAGCTGATTGAGAAATTCGAGATGTTCATCGACATTTGCAACGGGAGAGTCATGGTGCAACGAGAGCGCCTGAGTGACCCGAACGAGACTGGAGATGGCTCACGCGCATCGGGCAACTGATGACCACAAAGTCACGCGTGAGCCATTGTCTAGCCAACTTCTGCGATTTGTCTACTGGCGGGGTTGGTGTTCTGGGGCCGTGGGTATTTTTGGCTTTGTATACCGAGGACTTTTGAATTCCAAGTCATGATGTATCGGTGGCTTTTTGCAAAGAGCTGCCTCGGCGTTGGAATGGACTTGTACTGGGCTTTGGTCGATAATGGGACGAAGGGAGTTTTTGAGGTCGCATGAGCTCACACAAAATAGACCTGACTTTTCATGATGCACTTGTGTCGACGATGGGAACATGAGCTCCAAAGGTGACATTGTGGCTGCCCGGTCCCCTGTCTGCCCAACCTGCATGCGGTGCTGACATGTCAAGTCCAGGGATACCCTCCATGCGTTTGACGTGCGTGCCTCTGATAGGCGAGTCAGAACCAGAACTTGAACCTTTGGAGGGAGGCTGTGGAATCTGGTCAGGTCCACACCCACTCTCTCACACGCTCACACACACACACCTCTCTTAGTAACCTTGAATCCCCCAAGGAGCATCCCATGAGGCTGGACCATGTATGTAGGCTTTCTTCTGCAGACTGGCCCAAGCTGGTTTGCGATCTCATGCGACGGACGCGGGGCGGTGATCGGGGGCTGATGCAAGTGAGATCTGAAGGTCTTGCAGGGTGCATGAACTCGCACGACTTGATTGATCTCTCTCCTCCATCAGTGCTCGTGGCGGACTGCATCCTAGAAGAAAGTGTGGGGTGGGGGGAGGGGGCAGCAACAGCAACACAGCAGCAACACACAGACACACCCTCGACTGGACAAGACCCGTCGCTCGCACGACTCCAGGGACTGGGTGGGACGCGTCCAGTGGGGACCGCGTCGTTGGGCCTCCCCCGAAGCAGTGCGGCCCTGGCGCTAGAACCGCTCCATGAGAAGCGGTTTCTGCATCCACTTTTCTCCCATGCTGTCTTGGGTCTAGGGGGGGTGCCACTTTGCATGTCAACTTGCCAAAGAAAGTCCACTTTGTCTTAGTCCCGCCTGTCCTCCTCGGTCGGTTTAGGTGTCAAGCTTCCTTGTCTGGGCTTGCTGCCCCTGAAAGTTAACAATTCCCAGGGGCAGGCAGGGAGGAGGACTCTGGATCGATGAGACGGCTGTGCGTGATGAGTGAATCCTGTTGATTGCGCGTAAGGAGATCGAAACAGAGCTTTCTGCTGTCCAAGTGAAAGTTGTGCGTGCGAGCTTGGCCGATTGCTTTGCCGTTGTTGTTCATGCAGGCCGCAGCGCCGCCGTCGTAGCTTCCGTGATCCAACAACTTTCCTCCACACCCCTGTCGCGTAATTATTTGGCGACGCTCTCCAGCTGGCCACGACCTCGTCCCTCAAGTCTGGCTGTCTGTCTCTCTTCCTCACCCACAACAACCACGGCAGCCGGCCAGCACATACACCTCGACGCCTCCGACCCGGACCGCAACCTCCACAAACAACGCGGCGATTACAATACGCCCTGCTGGGTCGCGCCTCCACGTTCCTTCAGTTACCACCGCACACCAAAATCACCACTCGGCACCTTTGCCATTTCGCCCATAGACCCTGTTTTAATCCAGCGTTCCCGCTCTCGCATCGCAAAATCCAAATCCCCTAGACTCGACCTCGATACCCTCCTCGTTCACTGTGTCTTTCGCGTCAAGAGATGACCGCGCCTTAAGCTACTTTTTCGACACTCCCTTAGACCTCCGCCCCCTAGCCGCGAAACATCGCCATGGAGACCGTAGCTTCTCCCCTGTCGGCGACCAGCGCAAACGGCACCTCGCCCGTGGCCGCCTCGGCCCTGAGCAATACAGTCGACCCTTCTCTCGTGCTCGACTACCTTGCGTCGGTCGTCGGCATTGCTCTGGGCTCAACTCGCGAGGAGCTCGAGCGGCCGGGAAACCTGCTCTCACCAGATCTCCACAGTGATACCCTCCAGAGATGTTCTCGCTTCGCCACCGACTCGCAGGTCGCGCTATACATTCAGAAGGAGGCCGTCGTGCCCGAAGATGTGTCCGATGACCTGGACGGCGAAGGTTTGCCATAAGCCACTGTTGTCTACCCGGCTTTGACGGATTGCTAACAGATGCGTGTTTAGTCTCGACCTCGTACATCTACTCGATCACGTCCGAATTCACGTCCTCCTCGTCCATCGTCGCATACCTGGCGCTTCTCAAGCGCCCGCAAGCGATCGACCCGTCTCTACCTCTTTCCTCGCAGATTCAGATCCAGACCCTGCCGGGAACCGCTTCGCTCAACAGTCTTGTCGCCGACCAAGGCCCTTCCGCTTCTCCCTTTGAAATTCTCCACTCTATAGTTCATAATGCGCTGGCGCCTTACTTCGATGCCAACACCAAGACTACTCAGAACGTCAACGGCGCCCGGAGCCGCGCTGATGTCGACGCGAAGACGGGCATCCCGGTCACGAAGAAGCGGATGACGGAGCTCGAGCTCAGCTTGCTGCACCTGCAGCAGAATGTCGAGATCCCCGAGCTCTCGCTGTCTTTCCACCCAGTGGTGCAGGCAGCGCTCGACGACGCTGCGATGCGCAACATGAAGCCGACGACCGACTTCATCGATAGCAGCCTTCTGTCCGACAGCTCTTTTATGAACAACCTGCAGTCGACGGTCAACGGCTGGATCAAGTCTATCCAGGCCATCACAAAACTCACGCGGGATCCGGTGACCAGGACGGCCACGCAGGAGATCAACTTCTGGCTGTCCATGGAGTCCGCGCTGGAGGGCATCGAGGCTCAGCTCCGCAGCGAAGGAGTGATGTTGACGCTGGAAATCCTCAAGCACGCCAAACGTTTCCAGGCAACTGTCAGCTTTACCGCAGACACGGGTCTGAAGGAGGCCATGGAGATGGTGCAAAAGTACAATCAGCTCATGCGCGACTTTCCCTTGGATGAGCTCCTCTCTGCGACTTCCTTGCCCAAAGTCCAGGACGCGATCGCACAGATCTTTGGCCACATGAACAAGAAGATGAGATTCAGCACGTACCCGATTGCCCGGACGCTCCATCTCGTCGAGGCGGTCTCGGCAGATCTAGAGGAGGTCGTGCATCGCCTGCTTCCAGGCGCAGAGCTGGTCGACTTGGACTACAAGGACTTCAAAAATCTCATGGTCACTGCTGACGAGATCTTCAAGTCCTGGGACGCCCAGATCAAAGAGTTCACCAACATTGCGCGTGAGACGACCCGCAGACGGCAGGAGAAGTTCATCCCGATCAAGGTCAACCCGAAGCATAGTGAGCTGCAGGCACGTCTGAAGTACATCGACACCTTCCGCGACAACCATGAACAGTTGCAGCGTACCATTGTCAATGTGCTCGGACCCAAGGCCACCGTCAATGGCGTGAGCGAGGAGCCCACCTCCGACGGCGTCGCTCTGGTCGAAGAGATGGGCGACGTTGACGCAGTTGAGGAGGTGCGCCAGGCATGGGAGGCTCTCAAGAACGTCGACCTCCTGGATGTCACGCCAGAGGGCACCCAGCGATGGGTCAAAGCCGAGAACACCTACAATGAGCGCACTTCTCGTGTTGAGAACTCGATCATTGCTCGCCTCAGAGATCGGCTTGCCACGGCAAAGAATGCAAACGAGATGTTCCGCGTCTTCTCGCAGTTCAACGCCCTCTTTGTTCGGCCCAAGATCCGGGGTGCCATTGCTGAGTATCAGAATCAGCTGATCGAGAACGTCAAACAAGCAATCTCAGCTTTGCACGAGCGCTTCAAGCAGCAATACGGTCACTCTGAAGCACATGCCATGGCTCAGTTGCACGATCTTCCCCCCGTCTCTGGTGCCATCATTTGGGCACGTCAAATCGAGCGGCAACTTGACGGCTACATGAAGAAGGTCGAGGACATTTTGGGTAGCGACTGGGCGCTGCACACAGAAGGCCAGAAGCTCCAGACCGAGAGCGAGCTGTTTCGCAAGAAGCTCAACACGCAAGCAATCTACAAAGCTTGGATTGAAGACGTGCAGCGCAAGCAGATCACCATTGCTGGTCGTCTCTTCAACATCAACAAGGTCCGAGCCGCTAACAATGCTCTGGACCTGTCGGTCAATTTTGACGCGCAAATCATCGCTCTGTTCAAGGAAACACGGAATCTCGGCTGGCAGAACTTCAATGTGCCCAACTCGGTCAACAATGTCGCCAAGGAGGCCAAGCGTGTTTACCCCTACGCAGTCAGTCTAATGGAAAGTGTGCGCACGTTTGCGCAGACGACACGACAGATCTCCGAGATGCCTGACGTGGCCATTCTCCTCAGCGGCTACCAGAACGAAGTCCACGTCCTCATCGCAAAAGGCGTGCCGCTCAAGTGGGAAACGTTTGTCAACACGTGGGAGTCGTACCAGAAGCCATTCCTGCCCAACGGCGCACTCGACCACACTCTCGGTCGCGGCAGTGAGAGCAAACATGTGCTGTTTGTGAGAGAGTTCGCGGCTGCTGCTTCATTGCTGCAGTCCAAGACCATCGCCCTGGCTGTCATCAGCGCCAACATCCAGAAGGCTCTTGCGGAACTGGCCACCTGCCCTTACGAAGCCTCTGAGTTCGCCGCCCGGTTGCAAACTATCCAAGCAGCTGTCGATCAGCTCAACCTGGAGCAATACGTCAACCTCGGTTTCTGGGTAGAGAGAATGAACGAGAAGATCAAGCTGACCCTGCTCGCGAGACTTCAGCGGGCGATCTCGACATGGATCGAGGCTTTCGAGGACGAGACGCCCATCGATCAGCTCGAGAATAAGCGACGGAAGCAGGTCGCACCCACGGGAGAGCCTGTAAAGAGCGACACGCCAATCATGGCTAAGCTCGTGCATGAGATTACAATGCGCAACCAAGTCATCTATCTCGACCCGCCCTTGGAGTATGCTCGAGCCAGCTGGTTTGAACACTTGCACGACTGGGTCGGGATTGTCTGCAACTTGCCCAAGATCAAGGCATCTCGCTACCAGATGAGCCTTACGCTGGGTACGCTCGTCCACGAGGAGGCCCGCTTCGATGAGCTTCCAGCCGACTGCACAGACATCCTGGGCAGAGTGTACAAGTCCATGGAGAAGAAGCTCACCGGGATCAGTGAGTACGTCGACAAATGGCTCCAGTTCCAGTCGCTCTGGGATCTGCAGTCCGAGCAGGTCTATGAGCTGCTGGGCGACGAGCTGTCCAAGTGGTTGCAGCTTCTCCAGGAAATTCGCAAATCGCGTGCGACATTCGACACCACCGAGGTCAGTCGTGCCTTTGGCCACATCATCATCGACTACGACCAGGTGCAGCTCAAGGTCAATGGCAAGTACGACCAGTGGCAGCACGAGATCTTGATCAAATTCGCCGGCCGCCTGGGCACGCGCATGCGGGAGGTGCATGCTGAGATTGAGAAGGCTCGCAAGGACCTCGAAAGCCAGAACCTCGAAGCCACATCCACTGCACACGCTGTCCAGTTCATCACCATTGTGCAGAGCTGCAAGCGGCAGGTCAAGCTGTGGGCGCCCGAAGTCGAGACTTTCCGCCAGGGCCAGTCCACGCTCGTGCGGAACAGATACCAGCTCCCAGCGGATTGGGTAGATGTGCAGCAGGTCGACTCGTCGTGGGAGTCGCTGAATGAACTTCTCACGAGGAAGGCCAAGATCGTCCAGGACCAGACTGATGCGCTCAAGGCCAAGATTGTGGCTGAGGATCAGGTCGTGGTGGAGAAGATCAACGAGATTGCTACGCAGTGGAACGAGGAGAAGCCGGTCTCTGGCACGATTGCACCTGAAGTTGCGTCCGCCACCTTGAGCTCTTTCGAGACCCGCATCACCAAGCTGCAGGAGGAGTCAGATATGGTTTCGAAGGCTAAGGAAGCTCTGGATTTGCCGGCCAGTCCAGAGTCGTCACTGGCGGTCATCCTCGAGGAAGTCCACGACTTCAAGTCGGTCTGGGCCAGTCTGTCTACAATCTGGAAGAGCCTCAATGAGCTCCGTGAGACGCTCTGGGGCAGCGTGCAGCCCCGCAAGATCCGTGGCTCTATCGACGGTCTCATCAAGATGACAAAGGAGATGCCCAGCAGAATGCGCCAGTACGCCGCGTTTGAGCACATTCAGAACATTCTCCGCCAGCACCTCAAGGTCAACAGTCTGCTTGGCGATCTCAAGTCGGAAGCGATCCGAGACCGCCACTGGGCTAAGATCTGGAAGGAGATCAAGCCGGGCAGGCGGTACTCGCCAGTGTCCATGACCCTCGGAGATGTGTGGGATCTGAACCTCGTCGCTACCGAAGTCATTGTCAAGAACATCATTACGCAAGCCCAGGGTGAGATGGCGCTCGAGGAGTTCCTCAAGCAAGTCAAGGAGACCTGGAACAACTACCAGCTCGAGCTTGTGCCTTATCAGAACAAGTGCCGCCTCATCCGTGGCTGGGACGACCTCTTTGCCAAATGCAGCGAGAACCTGAACTCTCTCCAAGCCATGAAGCACTCTCCGTACTACAAGGAGTTTGAAGAGGAGGCGTCATCGTGGGAAGACAAGCTTAACCGCGTCCATGTCCTGTTTGATGTGTGGATTGACGTCCAGCGTCAATGGGTCTACCTCGAGGGTGTCTTCACGGGTAATGCCGACATCAAGCACCTTCTCCCCATTGAGTCATCCCGTTTCCAGAACATCAACAGCGAGTTCATGGCGGTCATGAAGAAGGTGTACAAGGCGCCTATGGTCATGGACGTGCTCGCCATTGCTGGTGTGCAAAAGTCTCTGGAGCGTCTCGCCGAGCTGCTCAACAAGATTCAAAAAGCTCTTGGTGAGTATCTCGAGAAGGAGAGAGTATCCTTCCCTCGCTTTTACTTCGTTGGTGACGAGGATCTGCTCGAGATGATTGGTAACAGCAATGACACCTTGCGTATCGCCAAGCATTTCAAGAAGATGTTTGCTGGCCTCAACGGACTTGTCATGGATGACGAGACAACCATCTCGGGCTTCACCTCCAAGGAGAACGAGGTCGTCCGCCTCAAGAAGGAGATCTCGCTGGCGAAGGTGCCTCGCATCAACGACTGGCTCGCTCTTCTCGAGAACGGCATGAAGGCCACCCTTGCTGAGCTTCTGGCGGAAGCTGTAGATGCTTACACGCCGATCTTTGAATCCGAGACGATCGATCAGTCTGCCCTCAATGACTTTATGGGTGGCTTCCCCAGTCAGATTGTGGTGCTTGCCACTCAGGTCGTCTGGACTACCGCTGTAGAACGCTCCCTTACCGATGGTGGGAAAACTTTGCAGACCCTCTTCGAGCGCGAAGTCCAGGTTCTGGGTATGCTCGCGGAGACTGTTCTGGGCGACCTCGAGGTCATTCTGCGCAAGAAGTGTGAGGCCTTGATCACAGAGTGCGTCCACCAACGAGATTGCATTGAGAAGCTCGTCAAGCTGCAGGCAACCACGCCGACACACTATTTTTGGCTGCTTCAGATGCGTTACGTCTACAGCCCCGAGGGCGACTTCCTGCAACGCCTGCACATCAAGATGGCCAACGCCAAGCTCAACTACGGTTTTGAATACCTGGGTGTGCCCGACCGTCTCGTGCGGACGCCCCTTACTGATAGGTGTTTCCTCACCCTCACCCAAGCCCTGTGCCAGAGACTCGGTGGATCGCCCTACGGTCCTGCTGGTACCGGCAAGACAGAATCCGTCAAGGCGCTTGGTGTGCAGCTCGGTCGCTTCACTCTTGTCTTCTGCTGTGACGACACCTTTGATTTCCAGGCCATGGGTCGCATCTTCCTCGGTATCTGCCAGGTTGGTGCCTGGGGCTGTTTCGATGAGTTCAACCGACTTGAGGAAAGGATCTTGTCTGCCGTGTCCCAGCAGATCCAAAACATTCAGCTCGGTCTCAAGCAGGGCTCTGAGGATGACAAGGCGCAAATCGAGCTTGTTGGCAGGCAGCTGCGCGTCAATGCCAATACTGGCATTTTCATCACCATGAACCCTGGCTATGCTGGCCGTTCAAACTTGCCAGACAACCTCAAGAAGCTGTTCCGCAGTGTCGCCATGTCAAAGCCCGACAAGGAGCTCATCGCCGAGGTCATGCTCTACTCGCAGGGTTTCAACGAGGCCAAGCAATTGTCCAAGAACACGGTGCCTTTCTTCGATCAATGCTCCAAGAAGCTGTCCAAGCAAGCGCATTACGACTTCGGTCTGCGTGCGCTCAAGAGTGTCCTCGTCAGCTCTGGTGGACTCAAGCGTGCCAGATTGACCAACCCCGACGGTACCCGCAACGAGACCCTGGTCGTCAAGGAGCCTGAGATCATTGTACAGAGCATCCGGGAGACCATTGCGCCCAAACTCATTCGCAGCGATGTGGAGATTATGGTTGACATCGAAGAGGACTGCTTCCCTGGCGTGCAGTACGTTCCTGCCAACCTGCAAGCGCTCGAAGAGGCAATCCGCCGGCTTGCAGGCGAGAGACACCTTGTCGTCACCGATACGTGGATGACCAAAATCCTGCAGCTGTTCCAGATCCAGAAGATTCACCACGGTGTCATGATGGTTGGTAACTCGGGCACAGGCAAGTCTGCGGCTTGGAGACTTCTCCTTGATGCTCTGCAGCAGGTCGAGGGCGTCGAAGGCGTATCTCACGTTATTGACTCCAAGGTCATGTCCAAAGAGGCACTCTACGGTAACTTGGACTCAACCACCAGAGAATGGACAGACGGTCTGTTCACTAGCATTCTGCGCAAGATTGTGGACAACCTGAGAGGCGAGGACTCAAAGCGGCACTGGATCGTATTTGATGGCGATGTTGACCCTGAGTGGGTCGAGAACTTGAACAGTGTGCTTGATGACAACAAGTTGCTTACGCTCCCCAATGGCGAGCGCCTCAACCTACCGGCAAACGTCCGCATCATGTTCGAGGTCGAGACTCTCAAGTACGCCACCCTCGCCACTGTCAGTCGCTGCGGTATGGTCTGGTATAGTGAGGACACCGTCACCTCAACAATGTTGGTCGACAACTACCTCGACACTCTCAGGACTGTTCCCTTTGAGGACCTCGACGAGGATACTGCCGCTGCTGGCCAGAGCCCTGTGAAGACCCTGCAGATCCAGAGTCAGGCGGCCGACCTGCTCCAAGCCCACATGATGTCTGACAACTTTATCCTGGAAGTACTCAAAGAGGCTGAAGGTTATAACCACATCATGGACTTTACCGTTGCTCGTGTCCTCAACACGCTGTTTTCTCTCCTCAACAAAGCCGTTCGCGACATGATTGAGTACAATGCTCAGCATTTTGACTTCCCGCTTGATCCAGAGCAGGTCGAGGCATTTGTTTCCAAGAAGCTTCTTCTGGCTCTGGTGTGGGCACTGACTGGAGACTGCCCCCTGCTCGATCGCAAGGCTTTCGGCGACAAAGTCGGCGCACTTGCTAGCTTCGGCTCTCCGCCTCTTGATGGCACGAGCTCGCTCATTGACTTTGACGTGTCGCTGCCTCGGGCAGAGTGGACGCCTTGGCAGAACCAGGTCCCGACCATTGAAGTCAACACGCACTCAGTCACGCAGACGGATGTGGTCATCCCGACTCTCGACACTGTACGGCACGAGGATGTGCTCTACTCGTGGCTAGCCGAGCACAAGCCGCTGCTGCTCTGTGGTCCTCCCGGTTCCGGAAAGACGATGACGCTATTCAGCGCCCTCCGCAAGCTCCCTAACATGGAGGTTGTTGGCTTGAACTTCTCGAGCGCTACGACTCCAGACCTCCTCATCAAGACATTCGAGCAGTATTGCGAGTACAAGAAGACACTGAATGGTGTGATGCTCTCGCCTACTCAGATTGGACGCTGGCTCGTCATCTTCTGCGACGAGATCAACTTGCCAGCCCCTGACAAGTACGGCACGCAGCGCGCCATCTCCTTCCTGCGCCAGATGGTCGAGCATAATGGTTTCTGGCGGACATCGGACAAGGTCTGGGTAACTCTCGACCGCATCCAATTTGTCGGTGCTTGCAACCCGCCCACAGACGCAGGCCGCACACCTCTGGGCGCAAGATTCCTCAGGCATGCTCCTCTCATCATGGTTGACTACCCCGGAGAGCTATCGCTGATGCAGATCTACGGGACATTCAACACTGCTGTGCTCAAGATAATCCCAGCACTGCGTGGATACTCCGAGGCGCTCACTCAAGCCATGGTTCGGTTCTACCTCGAATCGCAGCAGCGCTTCACACCCAAGATCCAGCCGCACTACGTGTACAGTCCTCGTGAGCTTACTCGCTGGGTCCGCGGTGTGTACGAAGCAATCAAGCCGCTCGAGTCGCTGACTATCGAGGGACTCGTCCGCATTTGGGCTCATGAAGCACTCCGACTCTTTCAAGATCGCCTGGTCGCCGAGGACGAGCGCCAGTGGACAGATGAAGCCGTGCGCAGAATCGCGCTCGAGTTCTTCCCGACTATTGACGAGTCCAAGGCTCTTGGTGGACCCGTCCTCTTCTCCAACTGGCTCTCCAAGAATTATGTCCCCGTTGACCGTGAGCAGCTCAGAGACTTCGTCAAGGCTCGTCTCAAGACATTCTGTGAAGAAGAGGTCGACGTTCCTCTTATCCTGTTCAACGAAGTTTTGGAACACGTGCTCCGCATTGACCGTGTCTTCAGACAGCCTCAGGGTCACTTGATCTTAATCGGTGTCAGTGGCAGTGGTAAGACTACACTCTCGAGATTTGTGGCCTGGATGAATGGCCTCAAGGTCTTCCAGATCAAGGTGCACGGGAAGTACTCGGCAGAGGACTTCGACGACGACCTGCGTGATGTCCTCCGCCGCTGTGGCTGCAAGGGCGAGAAGATTTGCTTCATCATGGACGAGTCCAACGTTCTTGACTCTGGCTTCTTGGAGAGAATGAACACATTGCTCGCCAACGCCGAGGTCCCAGGTCTCTTTGAAGGCGACGACTTGGCCGCCTTGATGACTGCCTGCAAGGAAGGTGCCCAGCGGCAAGGCCTGCTTCTCGACTCACAGGAGGAACTCTACAAGTGGTTCACTGGACAAATCGTCAAGAACTTGCATGTTGTATTCACCATGAACCCGCCCGAGGATGGCCTGTCGTCCAAGGCTGCTACCAGTCCCGCCTTGTTCAACCGTTGCGTCCTCAACTGGTTCGGCGACTGGTCCGATCAGGCATTGTACCAGGTCGGCAACGAGCTCACGTACTCGATCGATCTTGACAAGCCAAACTTCGTGGCGCCGGACAGCATCCCGGTCGCGTATCGCGGGCTCAATCTGCCGCCATCTCACCGCGAGACTATCGTCAACTCGATGGTGTACATTCACTACTCCCTCCAGCGCTTCAATACCAAGCTACAAAAGCAGCAGGGCAAGGTCACCTTCCTTACACCTCGCCACTTCTTGGACTTTGTTGCGCAGTACGTCAAGCTGTACAATGAAAAGCGAGAGGATCTTGAGGAGCAGCAGCGCCATCTCAACGTCGGCCTCGACAAGCTTAAGGACACTGTCGAGAAGGTGCGGGATCTGAGGGTCAGCCTGGCGGAGAAGAAGACACAGCTCGAGGCGAAGGATGCAGAGGCGAATGAGAAGCTACAGCGTATGGTCGCGGATCAGAGAGAGGCTGAACAGAGGAAGAACACGTCTCTAGAAATCCAGGCGGCGCTGGAGAAGCAGGAGAGCGAGGTTGCCTCTCGGAAGGAGGTTGTACTCAACGACTTGGCTCGAGCAGAGCCCGCTGTCGAGGCTGCAAAGGCCAGTGTCAGCAACATCAAGCGTCAACACCTCACAGAAGTCCGCTCCATGGGCAACCCGCCACAGGGTGTCCGTCTGGCGCTGCAGTCAGTATGTACGCTGCTTGGCCATCCCAAGGTCGACGACTGGCGTAACGTGCAGGCCGTCATCCGCAAGGATGATTTCATTGCCAGCATTGTCAACTTTGACAACGAGAAGCTCATGACCAAGTCTCTGCGGACGCAGATGCGCACAAAGTATTTGAACCAGGAGGACTTCACTTTCGAAAAGGTAAACCGTGCCAGTAAAGCCTGTGGTCCACTCGTGCAGTGGGTCGAGGCCCAGGTCAACTATTCCGAGATCCTGGATCGCGTCGGCCCTCTGAGAGAGGAAGTCGACCAGCTTGAGGACCAGGCACTTCAGACCAAGGCCGAAGCCAAGGCTGTCGAGAACACCATTGTCACTCTTGAGCAAAGCATCGCGACTTACAAGACCGAGTATGCTGCGCTCATCAGCGAGACTCAGGCGATCAAGGCAGAGATGTTGCGCGTCCAGTCCAAGGTCGACCGCAGTGTCCGTCTGCTTGACAGCCTGTCGTCTGAGCGCACGCGTTGGGAAGAAGGCAGCAAATCTTTCGAGACTCAGATCAATACTCTCGTCGGAGATGTCCTTGTCGCTGCCGCTTTCCTGGCTTACAGCGGTCTTTACGATCAGACCTTCCGAAAGTCGATGATGGAAGACTGGCTACACCAGCTCCACCTGTCTGGTATTAGCTACAAGCAGCACAACCCGATGACCGAATACCTGTCTACGGCAGACGAGCGGCTCGGCTGGCAAGAGAACACACTGCCTGTTGATGACCTGTGCACAGAGAACGCAATCATACTGCAGCGCTTCAACCGTTACCCTCTCATCATCGACCCGTCTGGTCGTGTCAATGAGTTCCTCCAACGCGAGTGCAAAGATCGTCGCCTCACGGTCACGAGTTTCCTGGACGACTCCTTCACCAAGCAGCTCGAGAGTTCTCTTCGTTTCGGTAACCCCATCCTCATTCAGGATGCCGAGCATCTAGACCCTATTCTCAACCACGTGCTTAACAAGGAGTACCAGAAGACTGGTGGTCGTGTACTCATCCAGCTCGGGAAGCAGCAGATTGATTTCTCGCCGTCCTTCAAGATCTATCTCTCGACACGCGATCCATCGGCCACTTTCCCGCCCGATATCTGCTCTCGTACCACCTTCGTCAACTTTACTGTCACGCAGAGCAGCTTGCAGACTCAGTCACTTAATGATGTGCTGAAGTCTGAGCGACCCGACGTGGACGAGCGGCGGTCCAACCTCATCAAGCTTCAGGGCGAGTTCAAGGTGCATCTCCGACAGCTCGAGAAGCGTCTCCTCCAGGCCCTCAATGAGTCGCGCGGCAACATCCTCGATGACGACAATGTCATCGAGACGCTGGAGACGCTCAAGACTGAAGCTGCCGAGATCTCGACCAAGATGAGCAACACCGAGGGTGTCATGGCCGAGGTGGAGGAAATTACCCAGCAGTACTCTGTCATTGCACGATCCTGCAGTGCCGTCTTTGCTGTGCTGGAACAGCTGCACTACCTGAACCACTTCTACCAGTTCTCGCTGCAGTACTTCCTCGACATCTTCCACTCGGTCCTGCATGGCAACAAGAACCTGGCCAACGAGACAGACTTCAACCTTCGCAGGGACATCATCATCAAAGACTTGTTTGTCACCACGTACAAGCGGACCGCTCTCGGTTTGTTGCAGAAGGATCGGATTGCTCTTGCCATGCTCCTTGCCCAAGCCTCGCCATACAATATGGACAAGGGCCTGATTGACGTCATCCTCGATGGCCGTGTCGAGGGTGTCGATCTGTCGACACACACTGACGCCAAGGACGCGGCCTTTGTCAACGCAAAGAAGCTGCCTGCTCTCAAGGACAGGCTGGACAATGTTCCTGCCGACATGTGGGACAAGTTCCTCACCGAGGAGTTGGCCGAGAATTATGTTCCCCAGATCTGGGAGTCTGACGCCGAGCCCGCCGACCGTGCTCTTCTCTCGCTGTTGCTTGTCAAGATGTTCCGCCTCGACCGCTTCGTGCCTACCGCTGAAGCATTCGTCACATCAGTCTTTGGCGAAGGCTTGTTCGATATTGTTGAAGATCTCAAGTCGACCGTTGATCAAGTCTCGTCGACCCGACCAATCTCGCTTACTTCAAGCCCGGGCTTCGATGCTAGTTACAAGGTCGACAGCCTTGTGGAGCGTATGCGCGTGCGGTGCAACAACATTGCCATGGGTTCGAATGAGAGCGTGGCCAGCGCGGACAAGGCCATCAGCAACGCCGCCCAGGTCGGCAGCTGGGTCCTGGTCAAGAATGTGCATCTCGCGCCCACGTGGCTGCAGTCGCTGGAGAAGAGGATGGAGTCGCTCAACCCGCACTCGGACTTCAGGCTGTTCCTGTCCATGGAGTCGAGCCCCAAGATCCCCGTCAACTTCCTCCGTGCCTCGCGCGTCCTCATGTATGAGCAGCCGGCTGGTGTCCGTGCCAATATGAAGGACTCGATCTCATCCCTCTCGACGCGTGCGTCGCGGAGCCCCGTCGAACGCGCCAGGGTGTATCTTCTCTTGTCATTCCTGCATGCCGTGGTCCAGGAGCGGCTGCGGTACGCACCTACCTTGGGCTGGAAGGGTTTCTGGGAGTTCAATGACAGTGATGTAAGTCAATCTATATTCTTCTGGTTCAACGTTCACGCAAACAAGAAACAGGCTGCTAACACATCTATCTGCAGTACGAATGCTCTGCCTTCATCATCGACACCTGGGTCGACACAGTCGCCCAGAGCCGATCCAACATTGCCCCTCAGAACATCCCCTGGGAAATGATCCGTTATCTCGTGCGCGAGATGTACGGCGGCAAGATTGATGACGAGGAAGACTTTAAGCGCTTGACCGAACTGGTCGACTCTCTGCTGACCCCAGCGGCGTTTGACCTCGAGCACAAGCTGGTCGAGAGCTCCGAGAAGGAGGCCGGGCTCGTCGTGCCTGCAGGCACCACGATGCAGGACTTCTCTGCGTGGGTGCACAAGCTGCCTGAGCGCGAGCCGCCCACCTACCTGGGCCTGCCGGCTAATGCGGAGAAGCTGCTGCTCGTGGGTCTGGGTAGGAACCTGATGCAGAACCTCAAGAAGGTGACGGAGCTGCTGGACGAGGGAGAGCAGCTGATCGACTGATGAAAGCTAGGAGCTCTGCCCTCTGGGGGGGAGGTAGAAGGGGAAGTGGATGTTTTGATGACAATGGGTGAAACGAGGAGACCATCAACAACGAGATCATCGGGACATTGCAGCTTGTAGGCTTTTGAGAGGATACCCTCCTTTGCACTTTTTTATCTTCTATTATGTTCTTCGTGTTATGCATCACAAACATGTACTATCACTGCTATCTTGCTTGCCCGTGATGGCGTACTTGATGGTAATGTCCCTCAGCTCCAGCTTGCAGGGTCCGGGTATTTGGCCGTCGTTATTACTACAATTTCCATGTCTAGCTCCACCGCATCAGTAAGAAGAAAAAAAAATTCAACACGAAAGCCAACGGGATGTTCCATTTGCTCGACCGACTTGTGTCGTTGCATCAGAGGGGTGGGCCACCCTGGCGGTGGACAAGCACCACTGATTTCCATGGTGGCAGAGAGCCAATCATGGGCGGGGCAATTGTCATGCTAGCAGGTCTGGACTTTTAGTGGGAACGTTATTAACTTTCGGCGAGTGGATTTTCTATTTGGTCTCGACTCGCCGGCCAGATTTGGATCAATCTCTGGTTGTTTTCGATACCTCTTGATTACAGGAGGATGCCTGGCTGCGATGTCATTTCGTCAATCCGGTCTGGGATGCTCCTGCTGACGTGCCGAGCACGAGGCCAAGGCCAAGGCCAAGGGGGCTCGCGCGCCATGGCATGATGGGGCAAAAGATCAAATCAGCTTGATCTTATCTCGGCGGGGTCCGAGCTTTGGGGGCCGGTCTGGTGGGACATGCTGTGGGGCTGATGGGGCTGATGGAGCGAGGCCGGCCTTCTGATAAAAAGGCTTGGCGTCGTCTGCCGAGGGGTGAGGGAGGGAGAGATGGATGAACTCCAGTACCAGAGCACCTCCATACATACCTAGGTACGTATGTAGAGCAGGGCCACGGGCGGGTGCCTGAGGCTACGCGGGCTGCTGCTGCTGCCGTGGTAGCGGTGCTAAAGAAAGGAGCAGCTTGGTGCCATCGAGTAGCCAAAGCCCATTGTTGACTGCGACGCTGCCACGCGGCGGGCTGGCAGCCACTCGCTGCGGGAGAGACTTGGTCAGCGGGGGAATGGTACCTCGGGACAGGCGAAGCTGGGTTGCATGGCTAGCCTGACCGGCTGCCCAGGCGATGCGTCCCGGAGCCAGGGGGGCGCAGGCGCCGATGTACAGTTGAGACGCTGCATCGGGTCCTCTGATACGACGCTGTGGGCATGGAGGGGTCTTTTCTTGCTTGCTCGGGCGTCGCTGGGCTGGTGTCAGATTTGTGCACATGGCGTAGGCGATGGTGTCAGCAGCGTCAGGTGCCCTCGAGGTCGTGTCCTGTAGAGGCTGGAGCGAGCTGTCGGGGGGGAATGTCGCACGGCAGAACAACGAGTGCATTGATGGATGGCATTGAGAACCAGAAACGAGACGAGCCATGCACAGCAGCGCTGGGGCAAAGCAGGGGTCCATTGGTAGCCCATGCATGGGCGACAGACACACCGCCAGAGGCTATCGAGACCCGGCAGGGCAGGGCTTGGCTTGGCCAGGCCAGTGTGGCTATGGCTGGCGCCGGAAGGATGCAAGTACTTGATGGGGGATGGGGGATTTGGAGACTGACGCAACAACAAAAGAATGCGACAGCAGGTGACGGCGGATTACGTACAAGCCGTGATTAGACGAGCCAGGCCAGGTTCGACATGCGCTATTACGCTAATACGTCCCCAGGCGCAAGTGACAGCATCTCCGGCAAGGCACTGGCGGGCACGACCTTGCCCCGGCAGGGGGCTCTGGTCCCCGGCAGCCAATGAGAACACGGCGAATAATAATCACGGCGCGGATGCAGGCACTGGAACTGGCCTGGAGTGGCCTGGACCACACCTGCCGACTGATCTGATGGATCGCCTCCATCAAACAAAGGTACCTGCCTGCTGGCCCTGTCGCCTGGTGATGTTGAGCAAGACACGACACGGAGAACAACAAGATCTTGGAAAGCCTGGGGATCGCGACGCTCAGGCGGCATGCGTGGCACAGCAGGGGCCCAGATCCGATAAGCACCAACATCAAACCGCAATACCACCTCAGCCTGCCACGGCGCCGTCACCCTCCCTCCCAGTCACTCCCGGCCCGTGGACCCCACGACTCCCAAGTACCTGGCGCATATTCCCCAAGGTACACTTGCTTGCTCGTCAGCGTCACCTACGTACCTACCACTCGTGCTCCCTGGCCATAAACCCCCGTCCTTTCAACTTCAACCATCTGCTCCTCAGTCTGGGTCGTCGTCCTGCCACGTCTCTGCCCTCCGCTCCTCTGGGCCTGCTCGGAGTTACACATCACCCTGCAACCTCCTGTCCAGCCGTGTTTCTCGCCCAGGCTTCCACCACTCTCCACCGCCAGGTCACGCACCCAAGTAACATACAGCTGCCTTGCCGGGCACCCCCTTCTTCGCCTGGCATCATCTCACAGCATTGTTCAGCATCGCCTACCACCAGATCGGCGGCCCTTCTTTGGCGGATTTGCATCTCTAGGACACCGAAGGATCCCCCAGTACAGAGCCCCATCTATCTCACCTTGGGATCACCGCCCACCCCCGGCACGGATCTCGCCGCTCATCAGGCGTCCCTTTTCTGGTCTCCATCTCGCCACCCTCGTCCTCGCGGCATGTCTTCGGAGTCTGGCCCGCACCATCGCAGCTAACACTTGCGCCGCCTTTGTGTTTCTCTGTTCGCCCAGGCATATACCGGCGGAAATTTGTAACTGTATTTCCGCCCGTTCGCGGAGAGCACGGGAACCCGTGGGCGCACCTGACACCCTTCGGACTAGGCCCTGAATGCTTATTCGTTAAGTCCGAATCACCTTCCGTCGAAGCCCGCTTCCCAATCTCACCATCGCCACACCTCTTACACCGAGACACTTTGATTACCAAGACAAGCAAGGCGAGACGTCGTTCGCGACATAGTGAATCTCGGTCCTTCCGTATCAGGACTCGGGTTGACTGCATCAACAACGGTCATTGCCTTGATAGCCTTCCGCCGGTCTGTCTTGTGCCCTGCCTATTGTCGGACAATCTATCTCGGCTTGTCGGAGTTCTAACCTAGTGCACTTTGCACGAAATTTGGACTGCTGCTGTCCCGACCGCCTGAATCGTCTCCTTGTCAACGTGGCGTCCTCGTTTGGCGCTGGGACGCAACACTCTCCACTGCTCTCGCCGCGACCATGATCCAGGTTGTCGCCCAGCCGAGCATCACATATCCAAGAGAGCATCCACCAACCATGCGAACCGCTCTCCCTTCTAGGCCACAGGGCCCTCGCGATAATGGAGACTCACTGTCTGCAAAGCAAGAACAGGCGGCGCGCATTCGGTCTCGGAGTCCGCAATCGGCCACAAGCCCAGCAGAGTCCTCTGAGGCGCCAAGCCCTTCGATAAATGGATCAGAAAGAGTCAACTCGACAAGTCCTTCGCCCCTTGAGTCTTTATCCCAGGTGTCGATACAGAACACAACCGCCGGGCCCACCTCGGCGCCGACACAAAGCGGACAGGTCTGCAGGTAAGCCAAGCTCATCCAAGAGCATACACCAGCATGAGACTCTTCCTGACGCTGCCGTGCAGTAATTGTGGAACAACAAGAACCCCCTTGTGGAGGCGTTCGCCTCAGGGTGCGACCATATGCAACGCCTGTGGTCTCTATCTCAAAGCTCGTAACTCCGCCAGGCCTACAAACCTGAAGCGGCCGCCATCGGTTGTATCAACGACCAAGAAAGCTGCCGAAAAGTCCCCCCGGCCATGCTCATCGAGCGCTCAAGCAAGTGCAACAGGTGCAACTTACGTCTCCGCTAGTCAAACACCCATAGGGTCGTGCCCCGGCGGTGGCCGTTGCAACGGTACCGGCGGTGCAGAGGGTTGCAGCGGTTGTCCAGCCTACAACAACAGAGTATCCAAGAGTGCGCAGTTGCACAGCCAACAAGCCTCGTCGTCAAAATCAGACGGGCCAGCTCCAATCGATATCAACGCCCAGCTGCAACAAAAACAACAGCTCCCGCAGCATGAGCAAGACCAGAATACAACAGTCGTGATCGCATGCCAGAATTGTGGTACCACTATCACGCCCTTATGGCGCAGAGATGAAGCCGGGCATACTATCTGTAACGCCTGTGGTACGTTGTCCCTCTGACGCTAGATTGCGCGTCGTGTTCGGCGTCTCGCCCACTAACTCCCACTTCTCAGGCCTGTATTACAAACTTCACGGAGTGCATCGGCCAGTGACAATGAAGAAGTCGATCATCAAAAGAAGGAAACGTGTCATCCCGGCGGCGCAGGCTGGTGATGGCGACGACACTGCCTCGAGCGTCGGCGATCAATACAGCCAATATGCCGACACGGAAATGTCTGAACTTGAACGTGGCAGCCTGAACGAGGACGGTTCTGTCAATCTTGGTCTACGACGCCGTCAAGATCGCCCCCCTAATTTCCTGCCGGAGCCGATCCGTTCGGGTTTGAGCTCGGCTTCTCTCGCCTCATCAGACCTGACACCTTATCACGCCGCAAACACACTTCCACCTCTGAACCTCCGCGACTCGCTGCACGACAACAACCGACTCGCGCCAATTCTCTCCATGACAGCCTCTGGCGACAGACAGTCGTCAATCCTGCCAGGGTCCTACTTATCACCAGGACGAACGAGGAAAAGGTCCTTTGATTCAGAGTTCCCTGCTGGCGAGGGCAACAGTGATGGGCCGAAGCGCCTGTCCTCGATCAAGTCCATCTTGAATGCCTATGGTGACGGTGCAGCTGATTCAGGCTCAGCTCCTGAGTCACGCGAGACGTTCCGGCCAAGCCGGTCACCGTCAGCGACACAACTGCGCCCTACTTTAAGCCCAAGCCCATTCCCGACTGCGCAGGCAGCAGCCATGGAAAGCAGGTCAAGAGAGAACACCGCCGATAGCGAGAGGTCAAAATCAGATAGACGCGCGGCTCTGAGGGAAGAAGCAGAGCGCATGCGCGAGATGCTCGCTGCCAAGGAGCGCGAGCTTGCATCACTGGACGACTAATCAAAGCGCCTATTTCGCACGGAACTACACTGTAGCAGCAGCCTCCAGCAAGCTTGACTTACTTTACGCGGTTAGAGAATCATTGGCAGCAATGCCACGCACGTTTGATGACTGAATGAAATGGATTGGAAACAATGAAAAGATATCTATTCTCAGAGACGCCCTACGCTGTCCACTTTCCACACCGCAAATTGTGTACTGTATGACTATGTCCTTACCTATTTCGGCCAAAAGGCTGTCAATGATGGGCATTCCCTGCTTGTCTTGATCCTTTTCTTGATTCTCTCAGGCCGATTGTCGGCATGCATAGGGAGAGCATTGGCCCAAGTGCCATCGATTGTAACACAATGTTAGCACATGGGGCTGGCTGCGAAAACGTCGTTGACGGGAGTTGCAAGAACCACCTGCAGCACGGAGAGATACACCCCCTAAGCTAGAGGATGACAATGACAGTACGAACACGAAAAGAAAAAAGTTGTGCAGATTGCAGGCCTTGGCCTCGAGGGCGTAGTTCTTAGCAAAGGCAGTCTTCCTTCTTTTCTATACAACGTTCTCAACCGCTCCTAGGCTTTTCTACACCTTCGCTACTCCCCATTGTTGTTTGGTTTGGGCCAAACCCCTGCCATGTAAAGTACACGTACGTGAACGCGCGTGTAGCTACAGTCCCTCCTCAACTATTTCGAGTCTGGCCTCTTCTCACTCTCTGTCCGGGAAAACGCTGCCCTGAGCAAAGATCGTCCCAGTAGCGTGGCGACTTTCCAATGCCAAGCCGGGACCTCGAGCTTTACAGCGTCAAAGAGTCAACCGATGCTCATAGCCGTTTCTGGCAACAGCGCGATATACGCTGCACGATTGCTGCTGGCTATCGCAGCACCGTACAAGCAACGGCTGGTGTGGGTGTCTTTGTCACGAAGATCTTAGACCTGCTCAGCACCCCAGCCCTGGTCGGCCTCGCGCATGTTGGCCGGAGGCTCGATCGAAGGGATGAACTCGAGGGCGACATAGCCGACACCGACGAGGCCGACAATGCTGCCGGCGATGATGCGCAAGACGTGGTCGTGGAGGAGGATCGAGCCGACAAAGATGTAGACTGCAGGGCGGAGAGGGAAGCGAGAGTCAGTTCCCCGTCAGGACAGGGGGCAGCGCCAGTGACTGCCCAGTAGTAAAGAGGTCTAAGGCGTCCTGTACTTACAAATACCACGGCCGAGGAAGGAGAACAGGAACGACGCATAACGCGAGACCTGAGGCGGGATCTGGAACTCGAGGAGAGCCACGGCGAGACCGAAGATGATGACGTAGATGCCGACAATCAGAGATTGGCTACCGAGATAGCAAGCATGTCAGCGAGATATATAAAAAACAGATCGACAATGTTTGCCCGGCCCAGCGGGGGCTCCTCCAGCCAGGAAAGCCTTTCCATGAACCACTTGCGACTCAAGACACAGGCAGTCCGCGCCAGCTCAGTGCCCGCAGTCGGTCCGTGTGCATTCGATCGCGATCCAAGCTCTTTTTTCAGGACCAGTGCATGTGCCAATGACGATATTGCTAGCGACCAGGCAAGTAAGCAAGAGGTATACGTACAAGCCGAAGGGGAAGAACTGGGAGATGCCACCCAGGACCATAACCACGCCCACGGCGAGGTTGACAAGGCGGCTACAGAAACATAAGAGAACCTTGTCAGCACTTCAGTGACCAGATAGGACATGCGCGCTCCGGCGCACAAGTGTCGGATCAGGAAAGCCGCGCGTCCGAGGTGTGCTCTTACAAGGAATCGGAGAAGTCCATTTTGTGTGTAGGTGTTGCTATTGTTGCCTTTGGGAGCGAAGTGGTAAAAGGTAGAAGAAGGGGGAGGCACCGGGCCTTGGAATCGGGTCCTGTGTCGCGGGGAGAGGGTTCAGAGGTTGAGGGCGCAAGGCAGCAGTCAATCGGGAAATCGAGTGTTGTGAGAGGGAGTGCTCGTGGTGCAAGACTGGTGGCTGCTGCAAGAGTCGCAGCTTGACGCCAAGTTGCAAGCTCCAGCATGCGATTACGTCGGGGCCAGGGCAGGTCCCAACTCCCGGTGTGGGGCGCGCGCAGGACCCATCCATCGTGCCTGCCTCTGCACCACGACTGGGCATGTCCCAGCCAAGGCACAGCGACAGCAACAGCACAGCGTCAGGGGCAGTCCAGCTCCATCGCCCGCACGCCTCACTTCCCGGGTAGGCATCCAACACTTGCATGTCTCGAGGCCCCAGCACCCACGCAGCACACCATCAGCACAGCACAACACAGCACAACATAGCATAGCAATTGCACAGGCTCCTTCGTTGATGCATGGTCTCATTAGCATCCGGACGGTCCACATGCGGGCCTGTCCCTAGCTCTATAGAGCTGCTGCACGTCTATTTGCCCAGCCCAGATATGCCACCCGTCGCCGCAGCGTTCACTCCACTGTCGGCAGCCACGGGTTTTTATTTGGTTTGGCATACCAATTACAGGAAATAGTCCGGTGTGCCTGAACATCTCGTTAGTCCCAGTTCGACACGCTACATTCTGTCAGGGCATGCGGAAAACTTACGTCTCGAGACCATCGGCTCACCCGCCCGCGGGCATGGGTCAAATTGTAAGCTGTCCAGCAAGGCCGTCGTTAGCACATGATCCAAAACATCATTGCCCTGTCCGCGCCAAACACCATGAGTCGGACTTACAATGTGTACTTCAGGTGCTCATCAATCTCCATGATGGCAGCCTGGTTGCCGCATCGGTAGCAGTAGTTGGGAGCTGAAGCCAGGAATTAGTAAAGTGCTGAGCGGTAGTAGCAAGGAGGAAGTGCATTGCCACAAACCTGAGAAGATGGTCACGACATTCCTATCTTGAGACCAGTTGTAACCCTCCATCACCAACTGATGAGCTCTGGCAATCAGCGTCAGGCCATTGTTGTGGTTGAAAGCCTCGCTGATGTCCTGGCCGAACGTGTAACCCGCACCACGGGGCGAGATTCCCCATCCGCAGCGGTCATCAGGGTCAGACCACAACAGGTCACACATGGGGCCCTCATGGGGTACCTCTTGAATCCGGTCAAGAGCTCTGATGTTGTCGAGAGTGTCGATGCTAGGAGACAGACCTCCGTGGAGACAGAAGATCTGGTTGTCGATCAGAGCAGTCAACGGCAGGTAGTCGAAGAGGTCGGTGAAGTATTTCCACACGTTGGCATTGCCATACTTGCGCAGGCATTCGTCATAGAAACCGTACACCTGTGTGATCTGACGCGACTCGTGGTTGCCGCGAAGGATTGTGATGCGCTGAGGGTATCGGATCTTGAGAGCGACCAGGAGTGTGACAGTCTCGACTGAGTAGTAGCCACGATCAACATAGTCACCTGAAATCCCAGATGTTAGCCTTGTCCAAGAGATGGAGCTCAGAGCAATGGGACATTGGTCTGATGGAATGGATCCTGAGGAGTTCATGCCATACCCATGAAGAGATAGTTTGTGTCCGGGTTAGGTCCACCAATCTTGAAAAGCTCCATGAGGTCGTGGAACTGTCCGTGGATATCGCCGCAAACAGTCACGGGGCATTTCTACAAAACTCGTTAGTATGGCTTCCGGCCGCGTACCACGACGGATCTAGTACTGACCACTGGCTGTACGTTGGACTCCTCTTGAAGGACTTCTCGTGCCTAGAATCCGGCACGCGTTAGTACTCATTTAGCCGGCATACTGACAAAGAAACGGTAGATAAGCTCGGGTCGACTGTGTCGATGTCGACCTGCACCATATGATGGAATAATCGAGTCCGTTGGCTACAGCATCTCCGCACCAAAGTAAAATAAAGGAAGGCGCAAGAAGCAGTACAGCATGCCACCGGCTGCAGCAGTGTAGTCGAGGTGCAGCATACCTTTTCGCAGAGTCTTTGTACGTCAGCTTCGCTGAGCTGCTTGCAGTTCATGAGGCTCTCAATCCAGCCGTCAAGGGTTCCGACAGTGGCGGGCTCGGACGCAGGAGCTGGCGCAAGGTCGGTAGGGACTCGCCCGACGTCTTCCATGTTTGTGTCCATGATTGCTCGGGCAACACGTGCAGCGTGCTTCGTTCTCTTGATCTCAGGGACCGAGTCACAAGATGGGATTTCTGGCGGCGATACAGTGTCTCGTCTGTTCTGGCCCTGACGTGCCTCCTAAACACGGGGCGATGAGGACGACGCGGCGGGAATGGCCTCGAATCTGGCTATTCTGAGGTGGGGCAGTTAGATGAGTCTGAGGCCGTGATATTTGGAGTGATATAAGGGTGGTGCGCGAGGACATCGGGAGCACAGAGATGCCGTTTCTCAAGCAATCGCGCTTGGAGACTTATTTGTGTCGGGAAGCAAGGACGTACAACAGATCCGACAAGAGCAGGACGCGAGGTTGGCGATAGATGCGGGCGGGCGAAAAGGGTCGTCGAGGCGGCTCGGGGAGAGTGAGGTACGCCGACGTCGATAAGTGCGGTGTGTCCGGCTTCTGACGCCTCAGCAATGTGGGAAAGTCGAAGACGGTATTGCGGCACGTGGTTGAGATGGGTGCCCGCGCTGGATAGCAGTGCTTGTTGGGAGAATGAAGGTGCGACGGTGATGATGCTGCCCACGGGGGTGTGTTTGGGGGGGAAGCGGTGGTGGCCAGGCTGTGTGGGAGGTGGGGCGGGGCGATCTAATCTGGGCTCGAGCTCTTCAGCTGCCTCGGGCGCCCTCCGCTGCAGCTCACATGCAGCAGCTGCTCCTGGGAGGCCCTGCTCGTAACAGAACACTTTTCACACCCCAATCTCCGTCGAGGTGCATATCGAGGCCAGTTCCAACGTGTTTGCCATCGTTTGGTGATATGAGGCCTATTCATGGCCAACACGATTGCATGTCCTCACAGGCTCTCGCACACCATCCGGGTCGGGAGCCGCCGGTGGCTTCAGGGCACACACCAGTCCATAATCTCCCGTGTTTCTCGTGCAAAGAGTGATGCACTTTGATACTTTCAGACTATTGTGTTGTCAAGTTTGATGGCCTCGCATGGCCTTATATTGTTCATCCTACGCTACGAGTCCCAGACCTATAGCTTCCCGAGGCGCAGCGACGGGATCAATGTCCTTGCCCACCAAGCCAGTGAAATCCAGGTGCACGTCCTCGAGCATTTTCGCATGCGTCTTTGCCCGCGACATGCACTGTTCCCAGACCGCACCGTCGCGGTCCGTGCTGCTCAGCTGTCGGCTCAGGATCACATTGAAAGCGTCCACTTCCTCTTTTGCCCACTTGACGCACGCGCTCATCATGGCCTGCGGGAAGCATGACTGGAAAGACGCAACCGTATTGCGAATGATGCTGAAGTATGCAAACGACAGTTGCCATATGTAGACGTGTAGATCGCCCTGGAAGATACATTGTCTAGATAGATAATGGTCAGCGGAGGCCACCCCAATGCGGAACGACTGATAGACTCGAGCCTCGTCCGGTCGAACATACCTTGAACGTTTCTGTATAAGGGCAGTCCTGGCCTCCAAGTATGACTCTCTCGCACGGTCCTCAAAGCCTAGCCTGCTGAGCCAGTCCACATTGCGCTTCGTCTTGCTGCGTTCGCCATGCGTCTCGACCAATTCGCGAATGATGAGTCCTCCCAGTTTCGAGCATCGCTCCTGCACCTTGAAATTGATAAAGTCTTGCGCAATGACGTTATTTTTCAAGCCCCTCGCCAGAGACTTGAGCTTGTCAACACGGTCCACCGCCAGGTCAAATCGTTGTAGAGCAATGTCGATGTCTAACTCGTCCATTTCGCCTTCAACCCATCGCAGATTTTGCTGTTTGCCGTCAACCTCGATGAGCATGTCCTTGATGTCCGAGAGTGTCTCCAGCAGTTCTGTTTTCTGCAACAGCCCAGGGTCCCTCGATGCGAAGTAGTTGATGGTCTCCTTTGCCTTGTTGTTGGCTTCCATTTCAGACTGCAGCCCTTTTCGCAGCTCCTCGACTGCCTTGCGTATGTTGAGCATAAGCTTGCCCTTCTCAGGGTCTTCAGGCTTCTCGGTCCGGTAGATGAAGGACTCCTGGCCTACACCGCGAACCATGATTGCATCGGCCAGCTTGTTCCTCCCGCTATAGCTTTCGTTCGCGCCTGCCATGTCGACGATCTCAATGTCGAGGAGCGGCCAGCACCGGTCGGCAACGAGCTTCATCATCGGGCCCCTGCCATCATTGGGGGCATCGACCTTGCGCTTTTTCCGGGATGCCACGAGCAGGTGGTCGTTGAGAAGTACCAGCTGCATTGAGCGTCGCGACTTGTAGGTGGCGTTGTCAAGCTCGATCCATGCACCTGCGTCCTGGACAACATGCCTGCCCATGGTGTTGGGGAGGAACTTTTGCGACCCTTCCACCTTTTTGTAAAGTGCTTGCATTTGCGAATTCCACAGAGCAGTCCGGTCCGCGACTGAGCTGCGCTTGTCCCTCTTGCTTAGCCCAGACGGGAAGTCGCCGTTTGACGAGTCATTCGAATTGCCCGAGGCTGCCATCAAAGCTGCGGTGTTCGATTTGAGTTCCTCGAACACATTCTTCAGGGATCGCATCTCAGCCCGGAGTTTTTCCGCCTCCTTGCTGACCTTGATGAACTGGGTACGATTCTGATACACATTCTGCTGCAGGTCGGATGAAGCTTTCGCCTTTGTCTTCTGCAGCTCCGCCTCGAAAGCGCGAATAGCATCTTCATCGGCTTCGCTGAGAATGTCAGCAACGTATTGCTCGACCGCAAGCCGGGGATCTCCGAGGGCGACCTTGTCGACTACGGGTACGACACTCCCTTCTGCACCTCTTCCCCTCGAAGGCGGAGGACGGGATACTGGCTGGGGCTGTTCATATTTTGAGATGTCAAACGTGGGCATAGGAGGCGGCGCGGTCGCATCGTAGTTCTCTGGGAGATTGTTGAATCGTGTCGAATAGCGGCGCTTGACAAGGTCCCCAGTCTGGAAAGAAATTGGCCCATTAGATTTCACTCGAGCCTCTCGCCGACACCATGGATGCTTAACTCACTCGGCTGTTGCTGGTAGGCGGCGGCCGTGGCCGCGTGGGAAGCGAGTTGGAACCGGGGACCACAGGACCACCTGTCCTTCCGCCTACGCTCGGGGGGATCGGGACGTCACTGCCATTTTGAGGGATGGGAGCTGAGATCTGCTGTGGTGCGCTGATCTTTGGCCGGTCGCGCCGCTTGCCGCCGCTGCGCAGCGAGAGCAACCTCCTCTCCTCGGGCATGGCGATGTCCGCTCACGAAGGCAACGCGGGGGCGGGCTGTTAGTGCGGGTCGTCGGCAGGAGTCGTCGTGTCGCGGTTGTTTACCGAAGGGCGGGTTGCGCATGAGGAGTCGTCAACATGGTATAGCTGTATATACTACATGTGGATTGCTGCGAGAGCTGCCGGCGCCGACGTCGCAGGGGACGAGAATCCAGCTCTGTGTTCTCGAAGTGCAGAACCCCTGGGGGAACAGCTGTCGTGGCAGCGTCCGTGATCCCGCCTTGCCGACAGCTAATCGGCTCCATTGTCTGGCGGAGAGCGCCGCCCCCAAACAGCACACAGTGCATCCACATAGTGCAAACCAGCCACCCGCACCCACTCGCACCGCACCGAGTCGTCCTCGGCCAGCAGCCAAGCTTGCAGATTCAGATCTCGCGGGCTTGGATTGGCCGCCTGCAAGTGCTTGTCTTCAGTGTCGACGGACGATTTGCTACCCACCTCCCCAGCGCAGGCCTTCCGGTATTATTGGTGTTTCGAGCACAGAAAAAGCTGCCACAGCTGCTGCTCCTCCATTGTTCAGCTGTCACTGCTGCGACTGCTTGCCATCGTGCCCCTGCCAGCCAACTGCGCCCAACTCTAAACGGCCCCCTCCTGGCACCATCGTCATCATCGCCGAACAGCATCATTTTTTTCCCGCTCTCGTCACCACACCTACCGGACCACGTTTCGGCGCACGCACCCGCTCTCGCCGCGGCCCACGAGATTCGCCTCCCCCCTCCCTCCCCCCTTCCGTCAACCACGACAAGGAATCTTCACAATGGTCAACACCAGCACCGTAGCGACGATATCGGTCGCGACCGCCGTCACCGGCCTCTTCGGTACGTTGCACCAGGCGGCCGTGATGTCGCCGTGCGCGCCCACCCCCGCCGCGCCCAAGCCAATGCCTCCGATGTCTCCCGTGTAGAGAGCTGCCTTGCTAACCCCCCTCGTCCGCGGCTCCGACAACAGCGTACGCCGTCTACTTTGACTACCAGCGCCGTGCCAACCCAGAGTTCCGCAAGACCCTGCGCCGCGAGTCCAGGCGGCAAGCCCGCGCCGAGAAAGACCAGGCCGCCGCCGCCAACAAGCAAAAGTCCCAGCAGGTCCACGCCGTCGTCGACGAGGCCCTCGAGGAGGGCTTCCCGACCGGCGTCAACGAGAAGGAGCAGTTCTTCATGGACCACGTACAACAGGGCGAGCTGCTGGCGTCTGACCGTAAGTCTTGATCCCACACCCCAAACGAGCTCTTCCGCCAGCCGCCACACGGCAAAGCACAAGGACAAAGACCCGAGATGGACCGGGATGGAATTTGGAAGCTAACTTCTGGCCCGCTCCCCCTCGATGCAGCTGCGAACACGACCGAGGCCGCTCTGGCCTTCTACAAGGCTCTCAAGGTCTACCCGACCCCGGGCGACCTTATCAGCATCTACGACAAGACCGTGGACAAGGTACGTGCCTGCCACTGCTCCAGGATAGCGTCACACACTTACTGACATCTGCCTCTCTTGCCAGCGCGTGCTCGACGTCCTCGCCGAGATGATTGCCTACGACAAGTCTCTCGACCTCGGCAGCCAGCAGATGCCCGCCGGCATCAACCTTGCCGACCTGCAGAACCCTGGCCTTGACTAAGGAGTACCTCTGCACATCTTCACTGCTGTACGCGCAGCACACATGTCTGAGTGGACCCGCACAGGGCAGTTGGGGGGTGTCTTGGAGCAAAACACGGCAGATCAGTGTAGTGGTCAAGTCCAAAGGTCAATCGAAGAGAGGAGACCCCGCGAACAATTGCAGGCAAAGCAGGTATACATGCATGCATTGCGTGTGTTCTGGCAAGTCACCCAAGATGCGGGGGATGTATGATATAGTATTTTTGGTGTAACAACGGCTCATGCAGAATGTACGCATAGAACGAGGGGCAGAAGGGGCTCGAACCATTTGGCCTGGTGTACATATAGCTCAAGATGGATGAATATGTGGGAAGGCATGGCATGACAATGGCGGGAAGATAGACAAGCTGTGCCACCGAGAACGGAAAAAAAATGAAATGAAACGAAACAAAGCTATTGGCCTTGAGCGTGGTAGCACATTGTGATATGATAAATTTCCGCTGCGCGATAATGTGCCATGAGGAAGAGGGCGTATCAATCTTCCAAGTCACTCTTGTATCTTCTCGCCTGCTAAAGCTAAGCTGCTATTTTCCTGCCCTTCCTGTCTACACGCTCATCTCTGGGATCGAATCCGCCATTGCCCCAGGTCGCCCACTCGGGCGTGGCTTCGCCCATGTAATCCTCGGGCGTCCAGTCGCCATCCGCGCCGCGCTCCTCGAGGAGCTCAAAGAAGCGCTGGTAGTCGATCCTTGTGTGCCACTTGCCGTCCACGTTGAATCTGTCGCTGGCGATGAGCACACAGCAGCTGTGCGCGTGCTCGGCAGCGATGCCATAACCGAGCCCGCGCTCCTGCAGCTTCGCCGTGAGTGCCTCGACAAACTCGGTGACTTCCTCGTAGAAGGGCACGTTCGCCATGCTCAGTCCGGCCCCAGCGCTGGTGGATGTGCCGCAGTACGTGACGCCCTTGATCTCGACGAAACAAGGCAGCCCGCGCTCCACGAGGTCGGCATAGCCTTCGACCTCGTCGTCGATGTTGAAGCCCTTGACAAGCGTGAGACGAAAGACGGTGCGTTGCTTGAAGCGCTTCTCGCGCAGGATGTCGAGGCATCGCTGGAAACGCTCCCAGAAGTCTCGGTGCAAGGGCCGGTCGATCTTTCGTAGGGATTCCTTGTTGCTGGCATCGATCGAGACGTACAGCTGCGTCACGGCTTTTAGTGCCGCAAGCTGATCTGGGTGCTGTGCGTTGCAGACAAGGAAGGAGGATATCCGCTCGGCATGCAGCATGGACAGGAACTCGTTGATATAAGGGTAGAAGATCGGCTCGCCGACGAGGCTGAGCGCGCAATGACGAATGCGCATGGCTTCGGCGAATCGCTCGGCTCGCACGCCGGGAACGCCGCGCATCATCTTGATCTTCTGGTAGTGGCCAGCCTTTACGCCGTCGAAAATGAGCTCCGGAGGGTCGACCTTCCAGCGCCAGGTTGTCCCGACAGGGTTGGTGCCATGCCGCCAGCAGAAGACACACTTATTGGAGCATGATAGAGATGGTGTCGTCTCCATACACTGGTGGGAGTTGATGCCGTAGAATGAGTACTTGTAACACGAGCCGCGGCCGCGCAGGGCGGATTTCGTCCAGCGACAGATCTTGACGCCAGAATGCGATCCAACGATGCTGTAGCCCTGTTTCGTGAGCGATTTGTATGTCGGGGAGTCTTTGGAAACCATCTCCTTGACAGCTGATGGTGTTTTCCCCGTGGCAGACTTGTATGTGGTAAAGTCCACGGCGAGTGGAGCCCGGTCGTTGCCATTTGCAACGTTGCGGCTTGACTTCATAATCCGGCCGAGGTCTTCAACATCTTCCAGATTGCTTCCATCTTTTCGTTTTGCCGTCCGCAAGGGGACAGACCCGTCTTCGAAAACGACTTCTCCATCATCTTCGTCCACCTCGTCCTCATCATCGCTCTCCATCGCGTCACCACTCCCCGGAACTCCCTCTCCCAAACTGCCAGTACGAGCCACGAGATTCAGGACGCCCTTGATACCGTCTGTCCATTCTTCCAGGCGCTCTTGGAAGTCCTGCTTGGCATCAGCCATTCCGACTGGGTATGCCCGCTTGCGACCAGTGAGTTTCGCCATCCACTTGTCCACCTCTTTGGCCTGGAAGCAGAACCCTTCGTCTTCAGTGGGCCACCCCTCCCGGTCTCCGGTGCCGAATACAGAGTATCCAATCAGCCCCGACAACGGGGCAGTGTCTATCCTGAAGTCATTGTGTGTCTCCTTGAGGTGCTCGATAAACGTGTCGTTGATCGTGTCGATATTGTAGCTCGGCAGCAAGAAGAGGTAAAAGTGGTTTGCGGGCGTCTGGTCGTCAGCACCGTCACTGGTCGACTTTGGCGGGCTGATAAAGTACTCGTCATAATCAATCTCGGCGAGGTTCAGCAGCTCGGGCTTCAAGAACGTCGACTGGCTCTCGGTCTGGATCGCTGCTAGCAGTGGCTCGAGGATCTGCATGAGTGTTCCGGCCCTTTTCTCAGTTCCTGCAGTCAAGGACGAGTAGAACACCAGTACTTTTGTCGGCTGGGAAGTACCGGCCTGTGTGGAAACTTTCTGGCTGGCATTGTTTCTTCGGACCTCGCCCTTGATGCGCCTTGGTTCCTTTTGCGCCTCCTTGACTTTCGGGGGCGTTATTGAGTGATCGTTCGTCTGGCTAGTGGTCTTTTCTTGTGTGCGAGCTTCAGATTTGGCGACTGCCGGGGCTATGCTGGGTGCGTCCGTCTTTGCCCTGTTGTGCTCGGGCTTGCTTGCGACAAGCAGCCATACCACGCAGGCGAGACCCGTCGCAAGGACGAGACCATAGGCACGATGCTGGTGCCACACGTCAATGAGGCCTGCTGTTGTTAGCCACGCGTCCAATTTTCGAAACCCTACATCCGCTAGGATCCCTACCTGATGCGCCCGAACCTGTAGAGCCTGCCATCTTTGCGATTGTCTGTTTCGACGTGGTTCAACGGGAGGAAACCATCGACAAAAAAGTTGGGTGGGGCAAGCCCATCCCTGGAAGTCAGAATGGGGTGGAGGAGGGGCAGAAATTTGGGGTCGCGGGCCAAGCTTGGGGCCAGCAGGTGCTAAAACGTGCAGGGTAGGCCGTAGGGACAAGCACTTATACGATGTTCGACTGATTTATAGAAGGGGATCTCGTGGTCTCAAGCACAGCATCTGAGCAGGGGAAGAGAGCCAAGTGAGAAGTATGATGGTGCCGTATCGATTTTGAAGAAGCAGTTTATCAGAGCGGGGAAAACACAATCGTTCTCTCAGTCTTGGCCCATCAGCAAAGCAACGAACCCGATCGCATCTCTTTCAATTTAACCTGTTCTACGTCTTCCGACCTAGGACAATTCCCAATAAATACACCTACGAACTCGTCCAGGTCAAGTTTTGAAGCAAATGCGACCAAAAAGTGGCTCAGCCAGTTTGATTGAATCAAATTATCTCGCTCCTTGGGACGCCAGCCTTCGCTAGACATTCTATCTCTACCGCCTTTCCCGTTTCGTTGTTTCGTGTTCTTCTATTCCGCCCCTAATGCCTTCTTTACAGTAGCTTACAATTATCGATATCGATTCTTCTGTTGTACACTCGGTCTGCTCTACCATCAGCCTCATCCTCCAAGCACCTTCCTGACATCGTTCAAAGACACTTGTTTGGTCTGACCCGTCGTGGGCTTGTCCCGGAACGCCTTGCCGACGAGTTCTCTCTTTTCTGCTTGGATACCGAGCACGCGTTCTTCTATCGAGCCTTTCACAATGAGGCGCCATATCCTGACCTCCCGGGTCTGTCCAAGTCGGTGCACACGGGCCACAGCCTGGTCTTCCGTCGCAGGCGCCCACCCTAGAAGCAACTTTGAGTCAGTGTGGTGTTATTCATGATGTGGCACAAGCTGTTCAAGCACTTACAGCTATCTGCTAGGATGACAGTGTCTGCAGCAACCAGATTCAGGCCAACACTGCATACACTAAGACTTGCCAAGAGTACCCGGCTCTCGGGGTCTTCGTTTAGTGAAGTGACAGCCGAGTCGCGCTTCTCAGTTGTCATTGACCCATCGATACGGCTGAAGCGGAAATTGTTGGCTCTCAAAGTATGCTCAATGATGTTCAAGAACGATGTCCACTGCGAGAAGATGACAACTTTGGATTTCGGGTCCTTCAGAGTGATCTGCAGCAATTTCTTGATTGCCTCCGTCTTTGAGCTTTCCGTTTCCGCGTCATATGTGCTCACATTATCTTCTGGGTCCTTGAAGCTTGGGTCGAAGTCTACGACCAAGTCTGGTGTCAGATGTGTTCGACACATTGGGCACGCGGGCTTCATGGCGATTGCTTGTGTGAGGCACTTCTTGCAGAATATGTGCTTGCAAGCCGTGATGACAGGCCCCAAATTCTCAGGAGTGTCGATCGCGTCATAGCAAACAGCGCATTCCTCTGCATCATCGACGGCTGCATGAAGCGCAGTTTGGAGGATCTGCAGATTTTCCTCGCTGAATTGAACAACATTCTGGTCATCCAGCAAGCTCAAGATATCCTTGACACGGTCTCCACAAAGCGTCCAGTGGTTGCAGAGCTGCCTCAGACGCAGGAGCCTCTCGAGCACGTTCGCGAACCTCATCTTCTGGCCGTGCTCGGACCTCGCCTCGTACTCCTGGAGTGCGCCCTTGGCTTGCGAGAGCATAGCATCGTACTTGACTTTTTCGTCCTTGTTGAACTCGACGTCGAAGATACGCTCAGTCTTTTCTGGCAACTTGAGATCGACGAAGCCCATGTGTTTCAGTCTTCGTAGGCACAGATCCCGACTGAGAGCTTGAAGGAGACTCTCAGCCTTGCGGTACTCTTGAGAACTGTCTTCGCCTCCAATCTCGCCCTCGATCGGCCTGCCAATGACGGTATTGAACAGCATGGGGTCCTCGATGCCACCACTGATACGTAGGAACCGGAGAAGAGACTGGAAGTCCTTGAGCTTGTTCACGATTGGTGTTCCTGTGAGGACCCAGCGCGACTTTGCCTTGAGGTCGTATGCGGCCTTTGCGCACGTGGTAGTGGGTGTGCGGATGATGTGGCCTTCGTCTAGGACCACTCGGCGCCACTCAAGAGAGAAAAGTCCATCTTTACGGGCAGACTTGAAGTCTGAAGCAAGCTTGCCATAACTGGAGATAACGATGTCATGATTGCGGAAATCTTTGGCGGTGTGGTTACCACCTCTATGATACCGCAGAATGCGAGGTGTGTGGTTTGGGTGGACGTGTTTGAAGACCTGCTCCTCCCAATTGCTCATGACGCCCTTGGGTGCTATAATGAGCGTGGGACCTGGCTGATTGCTGCTTTGTGACAGGATCAAGCTAATGATCTGGATGGTCTTGCCAAGTCCCATATCATCCGACAGAATGCCACCGGACAGCAAGGCCGGCTTTTCTGTCGTGGTGAAGCCGGTGGCAAGATTCAAGAAATGGCCACGCTTATCCCGCTTCCATAACTGAACGATTTCGTTCGATTGCGGGGACGGAAGTTGAGGCTCTTCCTTAGCAATCATCCACGCCAAACCCTGGTGATTCATTTGGTGAGCAATTCACGCACACCAGTTTAATTATGACAGAGGTCTCTTACCTGTAGTTGGTATGGCAGTAGTTTCGAGTGGATTGCCAGAGGCTGCTCCGCCTTTGGAAGCTGGGACAATGTCTCCTCGTCCATGGCAAAAGTCTTTAGAAGGTCCGACTCTGTGCGAGCGTCCAGAGCCTGCGTCCTGCCGAGGAGATCCTGCAGCGACTCGTCATGCTCCTGCTGGGCCACAGTATCGACGGTGCTGCTCTTGAAGCCAAGCTTTGCGGCCTTCTTCATTGTCTCGGCTTGCTTTCTCGTGTTCTTCATGTCTGTCGCCTTGAGGATTTTGTCGGCCTTGAGCTTGTCCTCGAGTGTGAGTCGGTCAGCTGCGTTGCTAGTACCGTAGACGTAGACCCGGATGGGACACTCGAACGCCCCCTTCTCGCCAGTAAGAACGCCTTCGATCACGATCTCATTGTTGTCAATATAAGGTGCCAACTTCTTCACGAGGGTGCGGGGTAAATGCCCAATCTGCCGACGCATGACGTTATCGATGCGAATGGCGTTCGGATCATACTGGTTGTTGGCCTCGCGGCGGCACAGAATCATCTCTCCGGGAGTCACAACTCCGTGATAATATCTGACGCCGACGATCTTGCCCTCGAATGAGCCGTACAGCTCCATCTGAGGGGTGTTACTGTCGTCTGCCTGGGTCATCGTGAGCTCAAGGCTGTCGTCGTCATCATCAAACGCACTTCGAGCGGAAGAAGATGGCACACCACCGGCCGGATGCGCCGGTCCACCATAGTTTGGTGGTGATATTTGACTGGTGTCGTGGCGAGCATATTTTGGTTTTGGCGACTCAGAGCCAGTCAGGTCAATAACCTCGGCCGGACGCTTTGACCGGACCATTCTGACGATTGCCCGGGTGACTGCGTTTCAAAAAGAAATCCGGAAGCAGCCGGCACGGAACCTGGTGATGCTCGGTCTTTTTTCTCATGAGACGATCTGCTCTTGGCGCCTGGAAATTCAAACAGCCATTGATCCAGGTCGTCGTTACTGTTTTCTCCAGTAGAGATGGAGCGTGTGCAAACTCGAGTGTGGGCTTAATGGTCTTGTGGTAGAGGACGCTCTGGTTATGGTTTCAGGAATTGAATGGCAAACGCGATAGACTCCAAACGCGTGGAGCTAAAGTCAATCCAGGGACGCGTGGGCACGTGCTTCAGATCTGCCTAGGACCCGAGTCCTCCTGCCCAGCAGCTGCCAATCGCTCCAAAAGTGTATGCTGTGCTCGACAGTAAAACGAGGCCTCAAGATGCGACAAAGTATGTTTTCTTATTTGGAGAGCGGGCGATAGTTCGCGCACTTCTTGGAGCGTATAAGTGATTTCGTCCTAGTGCAGAGTGGGCAGGGCAATGCTGGACCATGCTAGCCATCGCATCCACTTTGGGCCTCACTTACATCACGAACTGCAGTCCATGGAGCATTCAATGATGATCCACCCGCCTTGTGGCGTCTTTTATTTGTCAAATCACGCAAGTCACGTAGGAAATCTCAGAAGCAACCACTGGTTGACTCGCCGGGCGGCGGGAGCACGAATGGCTCCTGGAGAGGCGCGCGTCCTGCCATGAGTGCCGCCATGCATGCTGGCATCGAAAGACTGGCAAATCTCCGCCGCACGTTCGTGGAAGAGCCTCCAGCAGCCAGAAGGACACACCATTGGGATACACTGTGCACAATACCTGATGGTCCGGACGACAATGCCTATTGTTGGCGCAACTAAAGTGCATGTGCATCATGTATGTGCATGTGGGTGTGTAGGCGCGGCTGTCGTGATCATGTCACCGCCGGCTTCTCGCCAATGGCGGCATGGCGAGCACGGTAGTCGGCGAGCCGAGAGCCTGGTGTGGAGAAAGCAAGTGAAAATGGCGCGGCTGCAACCCAGACAGTGCTGTACACCACCCCGCTTTTTGAGCCGCTGAAAACGGCTGCCCGGGTCGAGCGATTGCGTGCTCGACGCTAGTGGGGCATTTTCATGGTGTGATGGATAGTGTGCAGCTTCATAAAGGCCCAGCACCCCGGAGAGCAATATGGGGTACGGATCAACGACATCTGCTCGACGACACGGATGATTTCTTCTGGTTCATTGTTTGGGCAGAAGCAAAGTTGGATCTATACAATCTACGGAGCTCAAAATACGCCTGCCCCATCGGCATGGGAAACTCGGATGCCCAAAAACGGCCACTCGCCTCCGCCAGAATCCAAAGAACAGCAAACAGCACGGGAAAAACACAGCTTGGCTTGCTGGAAACAGACCAAAAAGACCAACGACATGGGGGAGCAACGCCTCATCACACGGCTTCAAGCTTTCGCCAGCTTCTCGCCAAACGCAGAATAAAAGCCACACTTGCCGACATGGGTTTTCGAGCCCGTGGTGCTATTGAAGACATGGCAGCCATGCTTGGCCACGTTTGGGGGTGTGTACACTTTTTGAGCCAAGTCAGCATGGGATCTTCTTCCTCCTTTGGCACGGGCAACTCCATGACGGACAGCAAAGGTCGACTTACGGTGTAGCGAGACGGCATAATCAGTTCCTTGGTTCGACACGCGGTGCAAGCCGAGTTCGTCGGCCATGTACGCAACCTGGTTCTTGCTGTGCACGACTTCCGACTTGACCGCCATGGGCTTCTCTTCGTCCCCATCTGGGAAGTCATATCGTGTCTCGGTCAGGTCACCGTGGAGAATCTTCATGACGCAATGAGCGTTGCCGTGGTCATGGATCGGGCTACCTTTGCCAGGCGTCCACACGAGGACGAGCTGTTGGTCAGATGGGGACATGGTCAGCAAGCGTTGATCTTGGGACGGAACTGTCTTCTGCGACGTCCCTCCCCCTGGATACTGGGTCAACCTACCAGGTTCGCCTTCCCGTTGCCTTCGTCGACGAGGTTCCTCGTGTACGGCATGTTGGGGCTTGACATGGCGTACTTGCGCCACTCATCCACGTTGGAAGAGTACCGCTCCATGAGGAGGGTAAGGTCTTCGACATCGACGTCCGCCGAGTCTATCCCGGACGAGGGGCCGAGGACATCCTTGATGTCTGCTACCAGTCTCTCGAAGCTGTTCATTGTGGAGGATGTTTCTTTGCAAGGTTAAGCCTTGACGAAGCTATTGGTCTTTGGATGGTTGGTGGTGGATGGCTGGTCGTGTAAGTGTGTGGTGGTTGATGGTTGCTGTCGTTGCTAAACACCGCAGGTCTTGAGGCTGTCTCCGTCTCTTGAGGAAAGCTGTCAAATTCAGATCGTCCGACGCATCGACTGAGCAAGCGGGGGGCGCTTGCGTCTGCTCTTGAATGGCGGTGTCGCCCCTTGAGCAGGAGCCGGCGAGCCAAGCCAGGGTACGACCGGTCGGCCGCCTCCGCTTTTCGCGCTGCTCATCACAGTCAGCCCAGGTCTCCGTCTACGAGCACGTTTTCGCCGTGTGTAGTGTGGCATTGCGTGTCACACGCCCGTCCCGATCGAGCCACGCTCGCCCAGAGAACCCATGGTCCATGCATGTCTGGCGAACCATTGGGTGGGAAGGAAGCCGACCCTAGCCTTTTGCGTACGAGATGTGGGTTCTCAGTCGCCTATCTCTGTGGACCAGGTACCTCAACAAGAGCGGAACAGCCGGCAGATGCGCCAGAAATCATCAAAAGGGAACGCGGGAAAAACGCTGGCAAATGGCACGAAGACAGCCTCGAGCGCACGAGCAGCCGTTCATCGCGGAGTCCCCGGTGCCAGAGACCTACGAAGGGCATATTTCGAGAGAACATGGCAGGCCAGCATTGACGAGAATTGTCACTTGTCTACATGCCACAGATAATTCGGAATGCACGAAGTGGGGCGACGGTGTCGGAGAGGGGCTGGCGCTAGGGCGACAACGGCTTACGCTCTCGTAAGAGCAGCTCCACGACACGAACGAACTTTGTTTGCGTGGTACCTGGCGTCTCCTGGCCGGGAAAAAGACGAAGATGCGTTCTCAGGGAGAATTGCGTCATGCTGCCCTCTCTGGGGAGGCTTGTCTGGTTCTCCAGACTTGAATGATCTTTCTGCACTGCACGTGTCGCATTGCTGGCCTTTTTTCAGCCTTTTCCTTGCTCGAGAGTGGAATTCTCTTGGCCTAATTACGCTACTCTTTATCTGCGCCGGCGTCGGAGCACGACCAACTGGCACAAGCAGTGGGTCTTCCCGACAAGGCCGCCAGATAACGAAGTACTCGACCTGTTTGAGCAGCCTCGATTTGCGCAAAAGTCATGCGGCCACAGGGATCAGACACCCTGAGGGACGCTGGGCAAAATGTCGTCGTACGTAAGTCTCAGGTAAGTCGCGGATAGCATATGCTGCTGCTAGCTACTGCACCGGCGTTTTCGCATTTCATCACCTCTGCGACTGGCACAGGTCACATGCTGTAGTAAGATTACGTAGCCCAGTGCTATCTGGTCCCGAGGCCCAGTCCTGAGTCTCTACTAGATTCAAAAATCAGGAACATGAAAAACACCGCCCAGGTGCTCTTACCCCTGCTGATGCTGTCCGTCAGACATGATCTGCGCATACTCGTGACCCACACGCGCAATGTTCTGGAATGCCAGATGGATGACACATTGATGGCGCGCATGGTCGTCCTTTTCCAGATGACAACGCTGGTTTGTAAGGGCTGTGTTCGGACTGTCCCTCTCATCTAGGTGTACATCTAACGTATTGCCTGTGAACAGTTGCTCGCAGACATGGTCCCTGTTTGGTAAGCGCCATCGATACTGCTCGGGGGATGTAAAGCCAAGAAGGTACTGTCAAGACACCGTGCTTCTGGTCAGCACCTCACCAGACATGCAAGTCGAGCGACCAAAGCCGAACCCACGGTCAAGCCGGGGGTGCCCTGATCTCCCTGGTCATGGCGGCTCGGGGGTGGTGCAAAGCATCGTTTGCCTTGACAAGGACAGCAAGGAATGTATAGTGGTTCTGGTGCAATCGCTGAGATGAATGGCGTGCCCAGAAGGGCTTACTTATGTTTCAAGATTGCACAAACTGAATCTGTTTTCGTCGACGGAGAATAGACGACGTGCGCCGCGTGGATTCAATTGGGAGAGCGCATTACTACAACGACGCAGGATCAGAGCAGAGGCAGGGGGGTGCCATAATTATGTGTGTCTTGAAGTTTCCCGCCTGAGACCGACAAGCGGGTGATGACGCTGGTGCCATTTCTCAATTCCATTGCGCAATCACTGGTGCTGGGTCCCGGGCTTTCGTGTTTAGACCATGGCCGGAGAGTGTGGTTCTGGTTGAGTTGTTGATAGATCCAGTGTTGAGGACCTGCCTTGCCGTTGTAGTAAGCCTACAGCTGCATGCTGAGAAATGTGAAGGCGTGCTTGCTTGTGCAGGGGAGCCGGCGGCTGTTGCACTCGGCTGTCGGACAGCGGCACATCAACGACGGCTGGCTAAGGCTGGCCTGTGGCCTGTGGCCCAAACGAGGCCGGCTTCGCACTCGATTGTCATCGGCTGGCTCGCCTGTTTATGGAAGGGAATGCTTGCTTAGATGCGCCAAAGAAAAGCGTTGTAGCTTGTGTGATCAGCCTTTGTACAGGCACGGATGCCCAGATGACTGTCTGGACTGCACGATTCCTAGGCCGGCGGGTTTCACAGTGTGCTTTATTTATTTACCTTATGGTAAGTATCCATGCTGCGTGTACATGAGTAAAATGGGAGTTTTCATCACCGCTTCTCTTACGCATCTTGAGTGTGCCTTTGTTCTTGGTCATTGTGGGAATCACCATCAAAATTGCAAGATTCCGAACGGTTCGAGGCTCGGCAATGCAATATCGACCTGTAGATGGCTTTATGCTTACACACCACAGAACAGTGTCACCTCCTCAAAGGCCTTGTCTCGCAAACGAGAACAGCTGGTCAATTGCATGGAATACCAAATTAGTGCGAGATGCCCGAGAGCTAGTGAAATCTCATCAGCTACTGGAATCGAGCGGGTTTTGAGGCTGGTGTCTTGTATAGAGCCTGGCTGGCTGGCTGGTCTCGTCTCCCAGCCGTCGACTTTGCAAGGAGCACTCGGAACCAGCCAGGATGAAAAGTATATTCGTCTCGCCCGGATCACAAGAGCAGATACTTGTGAGCACATAGAGGCTATGCGCTCCTGAACCTCGAATCCTGACTGCAGGGGATCCAATCAACATCACACTTCAACTGGAGAAACAAGTCCGTTCAAGTCTCAAAGCTCTCGCAGGCCCCGAGTGTGGTGTGGAGCAAGCTCCGGAGCTTCAGTCCGGAATGCTGCAGGCCAACCATGGAAGGCGGCAGGGGTTTCTGGAGCCCTGTCTGACCCACGCCTTGGACCGATCTAATATTCCTGAGCCCGCATGCACCCGTCAGGCAGGCTGGAACTACATGAGCCATAACAGACTGTACTGTGTGTATGACTGGAGCTCCGAACGGTATGGCATCGTGCCATTCCTTCGTGAGCATTGCGCCTATCTTCAGACGCGCTCTTGCCGATCTGTTGCTTTCTTCTGAGTAGCCTGTGTGGCCCGCCTCAGTCGTGGCTGTGCTGTCGCCTGATGCTCGCATCTCGATCGTGCATGGGACGTTTCGCAAGTGTGGCACAGGGCTCGTAAGCCAAGACGTCCCACGGCCAGCCAACCCCTCTTTGTGACTCCAAATAGAGTGCTCTCCTGGCACTTGCTCGTGCCGTGTTCTGGCAATGCTGCTTGTCGTGGTCAGTAGTCAAGATTACACAAGACAGACCTGCCCATAGCCTCTCGAAACAACAAGCACTATCTGCAAGGTGTGCTGCTTTTCTCACCAGGTCCGACGGCTGACGGGCACGAGATGGTACGCAGCGGCATGGCAAATGCATCGCATTTAGTGATCAGCTAATACTTACCACATGATAGTTTGCTCTCCCCGCAGATGCAAGCTTTTGCTCCGTGCAACGGGGCGCCCTGCCAGAGGCACTGGCGAGCCACTGAGGGCACGGATCGACGTCACCCTCTTCCCCGCAGTTTGCTGCAGGCTGCCCAACTCGGCAGGCCGGCCGTGCTGCAAGCCAGAGGCCGGCGCAGGGGTGCTGCCGCCTGCCAGGCCCTTTCCACCTCGCCCACTATCGTCATCGTGCTGCCATTTCAACAAGAAGCTTGGTCCTGTCTCGTCCAACCATCCTTTTAGCTCGGGCTTTAAAACGTCGCGTCCGGTGCTGCCTTGAGCTTTTGTCCCTCCATACTCTTAAAAACGCCAGCTTTGCCCGAATAATCGACCGTCACTTGACAGCTCCTACATTTCGTCAAGGAAGCCCGTCCTCACTGCCCGTCATGGAGCGCATCCACCACAGTGAGTTTCACCTTTGGTCCGGCCTGGCTCTGGATTCAGGCATTCGTTTCGTGGAGAGCGCCGCCAAATTTACAGAGAGTAGCTGACATACATATCTGCCGTAGTCAACCCATTCGCCAAGCGCGACGAGCACAGCAAGAACACCATCATCACCTACAAGCTGCTCACCATCATCACATGGCTGCTCTCCGTAGTCGTCTCCTTCGAGTACACGATCAACGACCCGCATGATGGCCCGTACCACCGCCGGTCGATCTGGAGACAGAATGACCACTACCTCACGGCATTCCGTATGAACCACATCATCACGACCATCTACTGGTCAGTTGGACGGCCATCCCACATCTCAAAGTAACTGCTGACAGTTGTTCCCAGGCTCGCCATGTTCATCCTGCAGGCCATCTACATCTCCCACCTCTTCTCCAACACCACTGGCCGTGTCAACGAGGCCTGCTCCGTGGGTAGCCACTTCATTCTGAACAACCTACTCCACTTTGCCTGGGTAATGCTGTTTGTGCGCTCCTTCTTTGGGCTTTCCGAACTCATCCTGATCCTCAACTTCATCAACCTGTCCTCACTGTACTTCCGCCACCCTGGATATGCGCGCTTCATCCACACTCCCGTGGTTTCTGGCCCGCTTGCGTGGACCTTCGTTGCCATCTACTGGAACGGTGCCATCATGGTCCACCATCCGGAGGGCCTCGTCGCCCGCATTTTCGGCAACATCTTCATCTGGTCCATCCTCGCCTATGGCTTGTTCTTTATCGTCTACTACAAGGATTACACAATGGGCTTCAACCTCAGCGTCTTGTCGGCCGCCATTGGTGTCGCCCAGTTTTTCCGCCAGATCATCGCCTTTCAGTGGATCTTTGCATTCACCATCATGGCTGTCCTCTTTGTTGCCACTGTGGTGATTGCCATCCCTGCAGCCACTGGCCGTGGTAAGACCACCCCGGGTGCTCAGACTGATGCAGAGCGCGCCCCTCTGCTCGCCGACAACTAGAACACGGAGACTTCCCTGTTCAGCATCAATTTCAACATCGAGTCGCCGAGAGCTTCTTCAGGGTCAGAAGAGCTTTATTACACCCTGCTGCCGGTAATACTTTGGTTCAGCATCGATGTTTTAATTCTTCCCAATTCTGTGCCAGACGTCGTCCATGGCCATACTCCACTCTCGGCGTTAGGTTCGTCCTTACCACCAGTCACAGCTCGTGGCTGAAGAATTGCTGTTATGCGAGATAGTTGAAATCAATTACCCAACTCATGCATGATGTTTCGCAAGACTCCGCAAATTACGTGCTGTATGTCATGACCTGAGCATGTCGAGCGAGTATGATCTCTCGCCCGTACCTTAGTACGTTTTGTGGTTCGCTGTAGACAGAAGAGCATGTGCGTTAAGCCTTGAAGGCGCCTGCCCAATTAGCGCCGTTTGTGCTAAAAGTAAGTACCTTGCAGCTTCCAGTGGGCGCGCCTTCCATTTTGGAGTGCACCACGCTTGCTCGCTGTGCAGCATCAGGCGAGAATCACTCAAAGGCTTTCACTCGCCGCTTTCCTTCATCCGCGTATCCCTCCCTTTCGCCTCATTTCTTACTCGCGCCAACATGCTTCCATTCGCCATAGGCAATGACATCTGCCATATTCCAAGAATCTACAAGATTCTCAGCGCCAGGCACGGGTCCAGGTTCGTTCACAAAATCCTTACACAGCAGGAGACGCAGCAGCCCAGAGCCCGGAGTGTGCTACAATGCATTCTGGCTCCCAACCAGGATCCCATTGACCCAGTCACTGTTGGCTCTGTGCGTAACGAAAAGCTGCGTCGAGCAGCCGAGTACATGGCTGGCAGGTCAGTGCTTCTGAACCAACGCATGATTGAATTTATGTTAGACTCCTTGCTGACATGCAGCACGACCTCAAGGTTCGCAGCGAAAGAGGCAGCTATTAAAGCCCATCCTCAGCATAGCCTCACCTATCATCAGATCGAGATACAAAGGATGAAGGCTCATGTCATGGTGGCCTCACAGGCACATAAGACTACCGGTAGCCCATCCGAGCATGACCCCGTATCCAGTGGGCCACCCATCGCCATCATCCACCCTGGAGATGGCCAGCCATCAACCTCAGCCTCCGTCAGCATAAGTCATGACGGCGATTATGCTACCGCTGTATGTCTCGGGTTCCCCACGAGCTCGAACAACCCGTAAGATTCATTGCACCCAACCGCTGTGAACACCTTGATCCCACCCGCAGCCGGTGAAGGTCAGCCGCTGCATCTGCCGAGTCCTCAACTCGACCGAAGGATGCTGTGGCATCCCATTTCATGTACCATGAGAACACAGAATGCATGTTGCGCATTGCAATCTCGCAATCATGGCCCAAGATATGTCGACGTACAACCACCAGTCCTTATCTCCAGCGCCTAAACCGATGTCCTTTATTCCCAGTCAAGGCAACCTGCAAAACCCATGAGCTACGAGCTCGCCCAAAGAAAGGCTCCTGGACAACCCGGCTTCACTCTTACGCTGCGTCAAAAGCGCGGGGGACATCGAGGCGTCCCTTTAGAGGGTTGCATTCGGAGCAATATACCAAGACAATGCCAGCCTGCGACATCGCTATGGAGCCCCTCGATCTAATACAAAGTGTGACTGCCCGAACCAGAGGTGTTCACTGGTGTCCTTGAGTATAGTTTCGGCCTCCCGCGGCCACGGTCCTCTGGGGGCCAAAGGGGTTGGTTGTGGACAGACCTCGATCACGTTCTGGATTACTTGGATATTATGTCTATATGAACCACAATAAAGCCGCCCTTCACTCCAGGGTACTAGCATTGCCAGTTCTCAGCATCCAGATGGATCGATCGAGACTGCTTGGCGCAATGGTAGCGCGTCGACCTCCTATCCCATCTGTGGGGTTTGAAAGTCGAAGGTTGCGGGTTCGAGTCCCGTGGTGGTCGTTTGCTTTTTGCCGGTGCTTTGTACGCAATCTTTAAACTTCTGTCTTCTGGTGTGTTTAGTCTGGGATCTTGAGACAATGTACCTTCATTTTTGAGCGGACATCTGATATTGCAGGCCCTTTCGGTAAGCTGCTGCATACGTTGAGTTAAGAGGTCGGCGGTCGATTGAGAACGTACAAGTACACCAAACTACAGGGCGCGTGGGGGCATGCTGGCACATGCTAACCTCGAGCTTCGGACATAAGAATGACGACGTTGTGAATATGGCAAACGAGGCGAGAAGACGCCCTCGTGAATTCAATCGTGAGGAGAATGCCCCGATATGTAGCTGCGGACTGCTGCGTGTTCTGAAAAGTCGTTGAATTGTAAAGTGGGCTGGGTGACCAAGACTGGTCAAGTCGCCCCGACGCGTTAAGCTGTTTGCCAAAACTGTGGTCAACCTTTACATCCGTCTCCCGCAACTCCCATGCTGTGACCGGCTCAATCCACCGTGCCGCCGCCGCCGCCGTTCTCCCACGACGGAGCTCGCATACGATGTCCGAGAGCAATGAAGCCGGCTCGCGCAAGGGCACTCCTGCTCTGAGCCCGGCACCGCCCAGCTCGCTCCCGCAGAAGCGCGCGCTCAATGAAGACGACCATATGCCGCCCGTCTCGTCGCCTCTCAATCCCAACCCCAGTTTGGAATCGAAACCAGCCAGGCTACAGTCGCACGACGAACCGAACCCGCCCGGAAGGGACAAGCCCTCACGGACCAAGAAGGAGACTCTGAAGAAGCGCGAGTCCAAGGGCGGAGCTGGAGCTGCGGAGAGCACTCGCGGCACACCGGACCCAAAGGGAGGCAAGACCTCACCGCCAGGTGAAGCTTCGCCATTGAGATACAAGCTCGCCCCGCCGAAGCCCGGCGACTTTGAACCAGCTCGCGAAGCTTACCTGGTCCACCACCATGACGTGCCCGCGCCGGACGGAAGCACGATCTCGTTCCACGAGACCTCTGAACAGTGAGGACATACCCCCCAACCTGGCGGATGTCTGGCTGCAAAGACCAAAAGCTGACAACGAGTGTACAGTGTGTACAACAAGAAAAATTTCCATTACCTGCATTGCATAGCCGACCCGACGTTTCCTTCTTCCTTCTACTACCGCCAGACCGAGCCCGCGCCCTACAATGCGCACATGAGCTTCGAAGATGCCGCGACACACATGTACTTTGACCCTGCGGGCCGCCATGTGACGACAGACAAGGGATTCCGGATGGCTCGCGCGAACGTCGCTGTGCGACAAGGACGATGGTACTGGGAGTGCAAGGTCACGAGGGGGACAGTCAACAGCGCGGGCTCAACAACAGCGCCTGCTTCTGCTGCGCCGCGCGAGTCGCACGGCCACGTGCGGATGGGCTTTGCGCGGCGCGAGGCGTCGCTGGACGCTCCGGTCGGCTTCGACGCGTACAGCTACGGCATCCGCGACGTCGAGGGCCAGAAGGTGCACATGTCGCGGCCAAAGGACTTCTTCCCCGCAGGCGAGGAGATCAAGGAGGGCGACGTCATCGGGCTGGAGATCCGGCTGCCCTCGGAACACCTGCACCGCAAAGTGGTCCAGGGGGAGTACAACCCGGCCGTAGACCTGGCCGACGAGGAAGGCGAGGCAGCGCTACAGTACACGACCGAGGCCGCCAACATCGTCCGCGACAGGATACCGATCCGCTTCAAGGCGCACATATACTTTGAGAAGATCGACTACCACACGTCCAAGGAGCTCGAGGACCTGATGAACCCGTCGCCCGTCGGCGCCTCGGGCACCGCGGGGTCCAGCTCCGCCGAGAACCCGAACCCGAACCACCCGGTCCCCGCGCTGCGCACGCTGCCCAACTCGTACATCAGGGTGTACAAGAACGGCGTCCCCATGGGCACCGCGTTCGAGGACCTGCTCGCCTTCCTGCCGCCCGCGTCGAAGCCGCAGGCCCAGGTCGGCGCGAGGGAGGGCATGGACGACGGCATGGTGGGTTACTACCCGGCCATCAGCGTGTTTCGCGGTGGCGCGGCCGAGGTCAACTTTGGTCCGGACTTTTGGTACCCCCCGCCGTTTACCGTGGGGGCGGCGGAGGACGAGCAGGCTGCGGATGACGTCGAGATGGCGGATGCATCAGCAGCAACCGCAGCTCCTACGGACAAGGAGGAGGAGGAGAAGCAGAAGCAGAAGAAGAAGAAGAAGGACATCCCCACGGATACCCTGCGGCCCGTGGCGGACCGCTTCAACGAGCAGATTGTCGAGGATATAGTCGCCGACGTGATCGACGAGGTCAGCTTCTGGATGCAGGATGGAGCGCGGGTGGTCGACCGGACAGCGAATGGCAGCGGTCCTGCTATTTCCGGCAGCAGCAGCAGCGTGAGTGGTGGTGGTGGTGGTGGTGGTGGTGCTGCTGCTCTCAGCAGGCCCGATGGGGTGAGCGCGGCGCTGTCTAGCGGTAGCGGCGTTCGTGAGGAGATCAAGGAGCTGGTTCAGGACGACTGAAGGACTGACTGCCTGAAAATTGTCGACGTCTGGGCTTGAGAGGTGCAAGTGCTGAACCGAGGTAGCACGCAGCCGTGAGGGGCACGGGGCACTTCCAAGTGATATATCACAGCCAGTGAAATGGGGACTGGTTCATGTAGGCCAAATAGCCCTCAAAAAGAGGAAAAGACACAAAACGCAAATTGCAAAGAGCGCTGCTCTTTGCGCTTGTGCACGAGACCGATAGCACAGCAGCTCGTGAGGAGATGGTTGTGGGAGTGGCAACCACTCTCTCTACCTTTGACATGTTTATGTTTCGCCTACTACCTTTTTCCTCCCTCAATACCGGCCGCACTCCATCTATGCAGAACTTGTCGTCCATGATGTGAAAAGGCAGACGAATCCACTTTGCTTCACGGCTTACGAGGTCCACACAAGACATCTGAGCTACGTAAAGTAAATCAAGCAATATATATCATATTCGATCACAAAAGCAGACGTCTTTGCCGAATCAATACAAGACCAGAGTAATTCCCAAGGGTCGAGCAGGGTTGGTAGGGAAGGGTATCTCGACATTACATTTATCTACCTATTTTGCTGAAACCAATGCGTACAACCAATAGCATAATCCACGACAAAAGACACGGCCGGGTTCATTTTCTTCATCTTGTTTGGTCATTATCGTCATCGCAGTTGATGTGTCATGTCTGCAAACATTGCCAATGCTGATCCTGTCTCCGCGGAGCCCTCCTGCCACAGCCCGGCTCCTCGTCATCCTAGCCATCTTGTTACCATCACTTGCTGCTCTTCCCGCTGACTGACGGGCCTGCGTCGGCGGCGGCTAGTGGCGGTGGGGATAACGTCACCGTCGGACTTCCACTTGTCCCGGTTGTCGCTGTCGCCTCAGCTCCTGACCGTATTGAGGACGACGCCGGTGGGGCAGGCAACAACGGATCGTCTGGCAGCTCCTCGATGCGGTCTTTGCCATCGATTGGATTTGCGCCAGCCTCACGAGCGATACGCTCCTCGCGGCCGCGCTTATAGCAGTACCACAGGACTGAGAGGAGGACTGATTTACATGGCAACCTATGGTTAGCATATTGGTCTTTCAAAAAAACAGAATGACTTGAATGATGATAGTTGTACTTACGGAAGATAGCCACGCTCCACAGCACGTTCGTCCCAATAAACGCAGGCCAGCGCGCCTTCAGCGCGTTGACGATGCCTTTGAGCAGGCCGACGATGGCCCCTGGCTTGGTGACAAGGTCATACAGGTTCTTAGGATTGGCGAAATTCTTCGCGGCGCCCTTGAGCCCGTCGCCGGCCTCGTTGACAGCCAGGCCCTGTGCCTCGGCGGCAATGGCCAGGACCTCGGGCGCGAGCTTCGAGGTAAGTTGGTCGGGCAGCTGTGTGACAAGCTTCTTCAGACCCTTGGGGAGGCGATCAAAGTTGTTCGAGATGACTTTGTCGCGGTCCTCGATGAGCTTGACCAGATCCCCGTACGCTGTGGGCACGCCGTTGACCAGGTCCTTGAGCACCTGCGTGAACCGCTGCACCACTTCGGCCGACTCCTTGGAGAGGGAGAAGACCTTGTTGTCTCCCGACGCCGCGAGGTTCAGGTCATCGAGCACCTTGGCAACCTCAGTCTGCTCTCTGTTGGCCTCCTTGTCGGACGGCACTGCCAGGTGGTCGGCCTTGGGGCCCTTTCCCTTGCCTTTGCCATTGTCGGTGGCTGTCTTGGACTTGTCGCCCTTGCTGTTCTTGACGCGCACAGAGATGGAGCGGGGGATGTTTGTGATGAAGGACAGGCGGTTGCTGCCCTTGCCATCTGCAGACGTCGCTGTTTTCCCGTCCTTGAGGTTCTTGACATTGTTGTCGTGCTTGGCACTCGCCACGCTCGAGGCATCGCTGTCCCAGGCCAGGTCGATTGTGTGCGGACGACTGGGCAGCGGAGGGCGCGCATGCGGCTCGTCGCTTGTGTCGGCAGTGCCAGCAGCTGCTGTGGCGTCCCGTTCGGAAGATGTGAGGCGCTCGAGGAATGCTTCGTCCTCGTGGTCCAGTAGCGGCCTGCCGGGGGAGCTTGTAGGCTGCTGCTCAGAGGGCTTGGAGAAGATTGTCGGGGCGCTGCTGGCGGCGGGCGTGGCAGTGGTGGAGGAAGTGCTGGCCGGGGTGGGCTTGGCTGCGTCGTTCTTGTTCTGCTCGAGGCGCTCTCTGTCTTCCTTTTCCGCCTTGTGCTTCTTGACCTTTTTGTAGGTGAAGTATTCAAGCATCTTGACTTGGTAAGACTGCAAATCGACAGGTCGTGGACGTGAGCTTCCTTGCTGGCGGGCACGGCGAAGAAAGTCGGGTGCTTTCAAGGTCTTCTTGGGAGGAGCAAAGATGTGTAGAGGAGAGGTTGAGACAGTTGGCGGATCAGGCGTGTCTCATAATTAACAACTTCTGGACCGCAGCGTCTGGGCCGTTTAGTGATGGGATCGGGCACCTTCCAAGCACGTGCGGGCGTCTGTGCTTGCGCGGGCAGGGCAGGGCAGGGCAGGCATGTGCACCTGGGAGGCCTGCGCTGCGCGGGTGTCTGCGGGCCATCGACGTTAGTTAGTGGCGGGAGCTCCACCGCAGCCGCCATTACGTCGTTGCCAAGTGAGTGAGGTAGCCAAGCAAGTTTCCCAGCCAGCATCCACCACGACCCTGAGCTCAGCCCCGCCACATTGACCGGGATCCACACCAGCCTAGCCCACCTGCAAGGATGACGGCAGATCTACGGGGCCTATGCAGCCTGCCTCTTGATGGAACATGAATTAGAGCAACACGAACTCTTCTCACGTGGACGGAGGGCCGGTACTTTCATCCCGCACTTTGTTGTTGTAATTCTCTACATGTTCTGAAGTTGTCGTCGTTGTGTGATAGCCCGCCGTGCTGGCTGACTGCTTTCGTTTCGTCTCGCGGAATAGACAGGTGCAAAATGGGTATCGTTCCTTGGCTTCTTCCTCCCGAAGCATCGAATTGATGGCTGGTATAAATCTCGTTCATGTGTGTGTGTTCATGCTCGTCGTGGGTCTCATCGTCTTTGCACAGTTTTCCTCGTGTCCGCGCCCTTCACTCTTCGTCGTCATCTCCCTCTGGGTCCTCGTCCTCTTCATCCTCATGCATGATCTGCTCGACGAGGTTGCTATTCCTTGCCTTGCCGCTCCTCCTCCGGCCGCGTTGATATGCCTCTGTCTCTGTAATCGCCTTGGGCCCGACAAAGGACCTATGTTCCTCTCCACGAGGCCAGGTCGTCTTGCACTTGGGACACGCGCGATCCCTCCTCGTCCGCCAGAAGGCATCGTCGCAGATCTCGTGGAGTCGCATGTGGCAGTCCCGCTCCGGGCAACGCTTTCCCACGGTGACAATCTCTCGGCATGCCTCGCAGTGCTTGACGCGCCGCCATTCCCCCTCGGCGGCATCCGGGTCGTTGTACGCCTCGACCAGCCACGACCGCAGCTCCAGCAGCGCCCGGCTGCTCAGCATGTACAAGCCCTCGCGCGTCTTCTCGAACCATCCCTCGTCCACCATGCTGTGCATGACCGCCTCGGCCTCGCTCGACTTGAGCCCCTTCAGCGTCTGTGTCGGTTGCTGCTGCTGCTGTGTCGTACCATCCTCGTCCTCGTCATTGTCGTCCACCATGGTCGTGTCTTCCGACGGGGGCGGCGGTATCCTGAGCTTGTTCGCCTGCATCGAGTCCAGGCACAGGGCCTCGATCCGGGGCGTGTTGTACTTCTCAAACATGGCGTCGATCACCCTCTTGACAAACGCAATCTCCTCGGCAGAGTGCAACGTCGCGAGCTGCGTGAGCCCGTCCGAAGTCGTGTTCACCACCGCCCAGACTCGCTCGCCAGCTTTCCTCCCTCCTCCGCCTCCGTCTCTCTGCCCGCTGCGTCCACCTCCACCACCTGCAGCCTCCTCAACCCCGGCATGTCCCGCCAGCGACGTCGCGTGCTGCAGCCGCATGCTCCGGATCTCCATGTCGAAGCTCGACACCGCCGCCGCCGCCGCCGCGACGTACGACTCCATGTCCTCCATCGTCACCTGCGCGGGCTCGACCACCTCGCCCCCTCCCTCGCCCCCGCCCCCGCCCTCCTCCTTCTCCTGCACCGTGAATATCGCCGCCAGCACCGGCCGCGCCTCGGCAAAAGTCATGCTCCCGCGGGACATGAGCGCCTGCAGAAACGCGCGGTTGCCGTCCGAGTAGTGGCCCTGCACATCGTCTGCTGCTCCACCCCCGCCGCCTGCGGTATTGTACTCCATGATTTGTTCCTTTTTGTCGGTTTTCCTCTCCACCTCTAAAACTGGCACGAGCTCCGGGGGTGTGTGTGTGTGTGTGTTTGCAGCTGGGCAGATTTTGTGATTCGTGATCCGAGGTCAAGCACGGTGAGGAGTGTTGTATATGCGTCTACTTGCCGAGTGGCCCTTTTATCTGTCGAAGGTTGCGAGCGTGAATGTCCTTGTTCGCTTCAAGTCTTGGTTTGTGAAAGGGTTGTCACTCGACGACGCGTAGGATGTGTCGAGACCCCCGTGGATGATTTGGGCGTAGGTCTGTCCGGGCTTGCTCTCGTGTAAAGTCGGGACACGAGGCGCGAGGCGGGCGGAGAGCGTCGCAAGTGGAATGACCTCGACATACGGATTGAAGTGTGGCACCCGACACACTTGTCAAAAAAACGCGTTGCGGTCTTGGGGAGACGCGCCTAGACCTAGACTGAGCAGAGCCACGTAAAGTGTTCCTAGTGGGGGGCGGGCTGTGGGGCATAGAACCAGCAAGCCAGCAGAGTTGTGCAGGTGCGAGAGCAGGCTCAAGAGCGTGAGAGAGAGAGACTCGATTTGAATAAGTATCAAGTGGTCTTTCGTATATACAGACTAATGACTACACAAAATGAAGATGATGCTATGCTGGCGTGTTTCGCAATCGCGTCTGGACCGCGTGTCGAATCAGGTTTACAAAGGAGAATCCATGCCTTTCCCAGGCGTATGCATTTACGCTTCGCTTTCACAGCTCAGGTACCCGCTCCGTAGGCCGCCCACGTAATGTCGACGACCCGGCGGCTTTGCTCCTCTGATCCATGACCGACTTCAGGATCTTGAGCTTCTCCTCCGTGACCCGGATGGCTTCGGCCATCTCCTTCTCGTTCATCCGCTCTTGCCGCAGCTTCTCCTCAACAGCCTGCGGCTCAACCACTCGCATTTGTACAGGCACGGCATCAGAGCTTAGTCGGTGGTGGCCGACACGATCCTCGAGCCAATCCCACAAATCACCCTCCTCGTTTCTCCAAGCTTGATCGTAGGCGATTTGCCGCTCGGCATGGCTCATGAAGCCCAGACTGCGACCGTAGCCTGGTCCAGCCGGCCGCAGACCAAACCCAAAGAATGACGCCACAAGCAAACCAACGAACAGCCCGTAGACCACGTTGCCCGTGAATACTGGTTTAACAATGTCGCCAACCGGGCCAAGGAGGCCGTGGAGTGGTTCGAATATACCCCAGTCCGAGGCCTTCGAGGCTTGTCTTTCAGACACCTTTTGGTTCTCATTTGACGCATCCGACTGCTTGCTCTTGCCCTTCTTCTTCTTGCCCTTACCGGTTGCGCCATTCCCACCAGTAGCACGGCTGCGAGACGACACTGCGGATTTGAGCGCTGCAAAGAGGTCTTTGCAATATTGCATCTGTCCGTCTTTCGCGCCTTTCTCAATAGGGCCTGCATGGTCTGTGGTCAGCTTGAAGCCTGAGCTATGCGCGTAGAAGAAACGCACCTTTGAGCCAACTCTTTCCTGTCCATTCAATGGTGCAGTTGACATTGACGCGGGTAGAGTTGTTCTCGGCCCATGTTAGACAATATTTTGTCTTGACACTGAAGACGTTACCACTGGGCACGTCAGGATTCTGCACGGCCACGAGAACGCTGACGCTCTTCTCGAGATCGAGCGCCTCCACTGTTTCGTCGACGAGACACTTGGTCTGCTTGGGGCCTATCGGCGCGTACAGTGGCTTGATGTAGGTGTAGTGTCTTGTTTTGTTGTCGTTGGTCAGGCCTTTCTTGTCTTCCATCTGGAGATCTGTGCATTTCTGTTCGCCTGTCAACCACTTCGCCATCCAGGTGACAGACGTCGGCCCAAACATGAAGTCATAAATCTGTCCAAGAGGCGCAGGAATGACGTCGTCCGCGAGAGCGACCTCGAAATGTGTATCGGCCTCGCTGCACTCTGTAGGCGCATGCGTAGTAGGGCCAGGGAAGGTCGCGGCGGCCGAAGGTGCTGGCGCACCGTCTGCCTTTTCCGCAGACATGCCTCCGGGTACAGCCCCAGAAACCTTTCTCGTCGTAATCTTCTCTGCATCTGTGTCCGCCGAACTCAGTTCCGTCGTCTGCGTCGCCTGTGGCACGTCATCCTCATCTTCGTCCTCATCGTATATGTCCTCTCCATCATCGGAGTCGTCTTCTTCTTCGTCGTCTGTTCCCGAGCCACTGTTCGCCTCTGCTGCGATCTCATCGGCGTCGATCTTCTCAGTCTTGTCGCCGCCCGTCTCATCGCCGAGGGAGACGCCGTTGAGCGTACTACGAAGCGTGGGATGACCCAGCTTCCAGATGTTGACTATGAGATCGTACGTAGAGTCACGACTGGTGAAACTGGCAAAGACATGCTTGGCGTGGAGCGTCGAGATCATCAGACCGTTCTTGAAGACCAGCGCCGTGCTTCGCTTCTCAACGGATACAATCTCATCGAAACTCATCACCAACGTGGTTGACCATCCCAGGATATTGCTACTGAAGCACAAGTGGCCTTCAGATACATAAAGCCGACCGTGGGCCAAGATCTCTCGCTGCAGGGCACAGCTGTAGTCCTCGATCAGGTAGTCGTCATCGGGGACGCTCTTGAAGAGGCCATGGAAATCGCGGTTGCGTTTCTTGCTGGCCACCGCGAACCCGGTGAATTTCGGAGCACCGCCGCCTGCTTGCGGATTGGTGATAGAGGCGTTCGCCGCAACGATAGCTGCACCAATAGTGTTGCCCGTGGCCGATGTGGTTGCCGTACCACCAGTACTGCCTCTTTTCCGACGTCGACTAATGGCGCTGCGTATACTGCTGCTCCTCTGGATATTTGACTTGCCCTCATACAGGCTCGTTGGCGGCGTGACTGATCCAGCCAGCGAACTGGGTCGCATCAAGCTTGGCTCTTCCAGCTGGTTGCTTGCCTGAACTTCGCTAGAAACGTCGACAGGAGCCGACTCGGACCGTAATCTGGACTCGGCGGGCTTTTCGGGAAATCTCGACATGGTTGGTGTAGGAGAGGCACTGCCGTGGTCAGCGATGCCAAGCTGCTCCAGGCTCAGACCACCCGACCCAAGGGTCTTGACGGCAAGCTCTTTGCCGCCCATGTTGCCGGACTTTGCCTGTGCTGCCGATGGCACGACTTCCACCCTGTCGTCTTTGGATTGGTCGTCAAGCTTGGTCGAACTGGCCGATTTGCCTTTGGGGGTGTTGGGGCTGATGCCCGTGTTGATGGTGTTTGTGAGGGTGTTGGCAGCGTTCTGCGCGGCGGAGAAGACTGAAGAGAAGAACCCGGCGCCTGGAGTCGGAGGACCAACGTTCTCTGGAGTCGGTGTAAGAGGTGCTGCTGTGATGTTTGAAAGTTTGCTGGGGCCGATGCTTGCCGCTGAACCTGCTCGCGCTCGCCTGTGTGAGATCATATTACCAGAATGCGAGACAACGACATTGGGGAGCTGGGCGATGCGAGACGAGGCTGGGGATGAGGACACGCTATTGTGACGAGAGTCTGTCGGCGTCGGCGGGGTGTTGACAATCTCGGGGGGAAATGTCTCGGCCTGTGGTGGCGTCCGGGGCGGCGCAGATGTGTCGATGGATGGCTGAGGCCGAAAGGGGCGCAACGACTGTTTGGCAGGTGGTGCTTCTACTGGCTCGTCCGCATGGTGCTCCGGAGGCGTGACCGCCTGGGCACGGTCTGTGCTTGGTGCAATGTCGCTGCTGGCGATGCTCTCGGATGACTTCTTGCTGCGGAAAGCGTCACGGAATCTGCCCGCTGGCGACTTTGATCGCTGCCTAGCTTGGTCTTGAGGCGGCTCCAGCGCCAGCTTGGGCAGTGGTGCTTTTGAGGGGTCAGGAACGGTGTCAATGTGTGGCGAGTGATCTCCGGACCGCGGCACTGCGTCCGAGCTGTCGCCGTGATCGAGAGTCTGGATCTCCGAGAGGTGTTGGTCTTGGATGAAGGGAGATGATGTCGTCAGATGGCCGATTTGAGACGGGTGCGTGGACGGGACAGTGGGTCGCACAGAGGATCGACGCCCTGACCTGAAGGTGGAGAGAACCGCTGGTTAGGGGACTGGAGCTTCTTGAGATCGTCGTCGCGACGCTAGCAGCGCACTATGTATGGCTTGGGAGTGGGATAAAAGGATATTGCCGGTATGCCAAGGCAACGGAAACAAAGATGCGAATAGGACGAGAGATTGACAGGAGAGGAAAAGGGCGAGTCTCACGAAAGTGCACCTTGACTGGGGATACAACAGGAGGCGGGCGTGCCAAGAGGGCTTTGCGTGGTGGGGACGGGCTCCAGTGACGCTGATATGTTGCGCGTCCTGGTCTAGGCCTAGTTAAAAGGAGCTGGCCCGGAGGATCCAACAGCGTCGCATCGAGGGTCTAGGTGCAACTGCACAGACCAGCAGGTGCTCGAGCTGTGAATCCAGGTGAAAGTGTATGGGAATACTGATGTTCGTGTAGGTTCTGGCAGGTTGTCTGCCGTCATGCTCCACAGGAGTGGTTTGGCTTGTGCCACTCAGACGAGCGGCCAACACAAAGGAGTGATGCCTGGTGACGTTGTGCTGGTGGTGGGAGCGGAGGGGTGCGCAATTGCGATGGTGGCTTGTGGAGCGTGACTTGACAGCCGAGTCGCAGCTGAGACCGACGGCTCGCAACCGCGTGGTCTTACTACTCCCACACTAGCAAGCGGCTAATGCACTTACACTGCTGCTAGCTCTGTGTAGTCTGGAACCTGGCAAGCTCGAGAAGGCTCACTTGTCGCCCGGTCAAGAGTGGGATCCAGGCCCAGCTGGTAAAGCAAGTAAATCAAGGCAGAGAGCCCACAGAAACATGACACTTACACTGCTTCGTCGCCCTCGTAGCCGAATGGCGAGATGGCGGCCTCTGCGTCGTCCCCGTCAATGCTGTTGTCGTCTTCGATCAGGCTCGGCTCGCTGCCATGGGACGTGGAGAAGGAGCCTTTGCCTGCTGGGAGTTCGCGGCTGGAGGGACTCCTGCCACGCGGGCCGTCGTCGCTGCTGGCGGCCGAGTCGAGGCTCTCGCCGGACGGGTGGTTCCTGAGGCGGCGGTGGACTGCGAGCTTTTTAGGGAGCAGTTTGCTGATTTTGCTGGTGCTGCTGGAGCCGCTGAGGCTTGCGGCGTCCATGTTGCCTAGAGGAGGTGAGGTTATCGCGCTAGTTGTGCTGTCGCCGTCATCATCATCATCAGCGTGTCCAGGACAGAGTCGCTGCTGGCATGTACCCAATACTGTCGTCGCGATGGCCTCAGGACGGGGGAGAGGCGGCGCTGGGTGGGCAGAAGTGACGAGGGCTTCGCGAAAATGGCTGGTGGTAGGTTGTGGGACGGGTGTCGTGGTATGGACGATGGAAGACACAGTAAGAAGGGGGCGCGAGAATCAGCAGGCATGTAGATGAAGTCACGACAGGTTGCCCCCAAATTAATTGCCCTGATAGATGCCGGCCCGCCCTCTGGCACCGTCGGGAGTGCAATGACAGCCCTCTTGACCATGCGTTTTGACGGGGGTCTTGATCCGAAGTGGCAGCTCGCGGCAGAGCCCCCCGCCAACGACGTCAATCTTGGACCTCCTGGGGATCTGATACGCTGGGGCGACGCCCTGCAGACATGTAGAGTAGATGTGCATCCACGATTGCCACCATCAAATGGCATGGTCATCTCGTGTCATGGTTGCGCACGTGGTGATCGGCTCTTCGCGATGCTCTCCTTCTGCCGCATTCGTCGACGCCAACATCATCGAATCTGTGCTGAAGGCCAGCATGTCGGCCAGAAAGTTTCATTTCTGCCAGCATTACCTACTGTAGGTACTTATCCAGGGTCTTGGGAGTTGAAACGCATTGGGTCACACCAACAGGCGCTGCTGCGACACACTCCCCCACAGCTGGTGGCCCACGGTGGATGACGCAACGTGCGCAAGCACGCAGGGCCGCCCTGCAATTGACACCAGCCGCTAGAGGGCAAGGACTGCGAGGGACCGGGACGACTTGCCGTGCTGGTGCCAAGCTCGACACCACAAATCAAGATGCGAGTTTGTCCATGTTTCTCGAAAGAGGCCCTGGCGCACGGGACTCGATAGGATGGGCATTATTGGAATTTTGAAGTGTTGGTGATTTGCTGCCCATCTCCTTATTCTCGTCAAGCCTCCCCAGGAGCAATGCGCGCCAACCACGGGTGTCCTTTGAAAGTGTAAATAGCGTACGTACAAGTACGTACACCTGCAGTAAGTTAGCGTAGGCATTGGGCCGAGTCAAGCTGGACCCCACGGGGATGGCGATGGCGGGTGGTGGAGGGGCTCCAGCCATGCGTCAGGCGCACGCCTTGCCGCCAGCTTGACTCAGCCGAGAGACTTTCCCTCAGCCTGCGCTTCTCTATGTACTGTACACACACCACGCCGCCGTGCTTCACAGCGCAACCGCCTTGCGAATCCCCCAGCACACTGGTCTGGCTCGAAACCACTCGCTCCTCCTATCGCTCTCGGCGAGGAAAAGGCCCTGCCGCATTTGCAAGCCGCGTAGCGCTTGGCTAATCTGGCCCGGGGTTCGCCAATGCCGTCACCGCCACAAGACCTGGGCTCGCATCTTGTTCCATCAGAACTGCTGCCTCAGCTTGCTGGGCGATCGCAAAGAAGTGCAGCATGGAGTCCTCGCCTCTGATCAAGGTAGGCGCCGCCCCCGGGTTTGCCTAAATACGCAGGACACGTGGACTCACGCATCGCTCCCACAGGCCGGCGACCACGCAAAGGCTGCCGCAAAGGCCACCCACGCCTCCGAGACGACCGTTGCGATCAACGAGCACACGCGCGCCGCCGGCGAGTTCGCCAATGCTGCCAAGGACACCACCAGTGTCGAAGCCTTGCGCACTCTCAAGCTCCTAGAACAGCACCACCAGCGTCTCTCCGAGATCCTCCAGATCGACCTCAAGAAGCCCCCACATGCAGCCACTGCGCAAGACGACACCGAACATCGCGATGACGAGAAGGGAGCTAGCCACCCGCACGCCAAGTCTTCCGGCGAGAATGTTGGCAGCCTCTCCGAGAAGAACGCCCAGCCGATGCCGACTCTACATCGACCACCGCGGTATCCTTCTCGCGACCTGGGTGCCTCGATCGCCAGCAACCTTGCCTCTGCACGCGGCATCCGGTCCAAGTACCGCAGCCAGCCTCTGAGTCCTAGCATGACCAGCGCCGAAGCTCCTGGTAGTGTCGAGAGCGCACCGCGCAAGAGCGAGTCTCGGTCTAGGATACAGAATATGCTTGAGCACGCGGACAAGCCCAGCCCTCAAAGCCCGCCTGGAAAACTCACACGGCAAACTTCCTCGGGCTCCGACAGTGGTGCGGTGCCTACGAGTCCGGCGAGAAACCAGTCGCCGCCGCAAGACGAGGGTTTCTCCAGGTTCTACAGTGCCTTCGGCACCATCATGAACCGCATCTCCGCGCCTCTCGCTTTTGCAGGGCTTCCGCTCATCAGCGAAGACCAGACAGAAGAGCCTGCCACGGCGGCACCACCGGCACCACCACCAGAGCCGACGAACCCTCGACGCACTCGGCTCAAGCCGTCTCCTTCTGTCGTGGCAGAGCCAGACATCTCCAAGATCTACTCCAAGGCGACCTTGCGGGCTATTTCCCGCGACGGCCAGCTCGCCTCGGACTCGTTCTACGTCGTGCCGACCAGCGGCCACACCACTACGTACGCCAACATTCTCAAGTTCGAAGACAAGGAGAAGCGCCGGATGGAGGCGTCCCTACACAGCAACATGAGTGAGCAGCTAGACGATGAGGACTTTGTCGACGCCCGGGAATCGCAAGCACCAGACTCGCCAGGCGGTCTTGTCCGGAAGCGTGCGACAGCGCCACTGCCGCCAGCATCTTCGTCTTCGTCCGCATCCGCAGCAGCTCGCCGGACCCGCGCGGAAAGAGACCTGAGCAACGTTGTCGAGGAGCTGCGCCTCGAGAACAAGAGCCTGAAGGACATGCTCGACAAGCTCAGCAAACGGCTGCATGCGTTCGAGTCCATGTCGCAGAACTCGGGGATGCGCCTGGCCGAGAGCATGCGCCTCATGCGGCCCGGATCTCCGGGGAGTGGCGCCGGCAGCGGCACCAGCCAGGCCAAGGGGGCCGTTGCAGCCGACGAGGCCCAGCTGCGCAGGAAGAACCGCGAGCTCGAAGACCAGCTCGCGCTCGCGGCGGCACGCATGGAGCAGCTCGAGAAGGACTACAACCAGGCCCGCGCGAACCTGGGCCGGTACAGGGAGCGCTGGGAGCAGCTCAAGGCCGGGGCCAAGGCGAGGCGTGGAGCTGCCAATGCTGCCGCCGCCGCTGCTGGTGCGAATGCTGCTGCTGCTGGTGCGGATAGTGGGAGTGCTGGTTTCGATGGGGGGTTTGATGACGGCGGGGCCATGTCGCCGAGTTTGGCCCTCTCGAGGGACCATTGAGCTAGATACGGGTGCTCAAGGAATATTCGCAGCAAGACAGCTGGTAGGAATCAATGTTCCCGTCATTTTCAAGATCCAGAAATTTAGCGTCGACCAGGATGAATATCGTGATGTATGGTGATGGAGACTTGTCGAATTTTCTCAGCACCCAGGGAAAACCAGAAGGATGACATGCTACTGCTTTGGAGTTCAATAAAACGTAGCCGTCATCTATCTAGGTTGTGGGGTAAAGTCGTAATTATCATGTCTTGTCTCCCACATGTGGGTGCCCGAATTGTACATTGGATTTGTTTCTCTACATCATTAGTTCCCCTTCCACCAGCATGAAGCCTTTCCAATTTTGTACGACAACTTCCTTCACATGCCAGCCTCCACGCTTACCAGCACATCCATGGCAAAATACCAAAACTCCTGGCCTGCCTCGCCTCGCCCATGCTCGACGCGCCTAAACATATCTCTATACATACACTCTATCCATACATGCGCCCCAACAGCCTCATCTCCGTCAAACGCCCAAAACATCCATGCCGATCTTACAGGTTCTTCTCCCTAGCCCCGGTGACCTTCTCGAAGCTCTCGAGCTCCATGGTCAGGGTATGCCGTCCTTTCGTCTTGCTCCGGAGGACGCCGTCGTAATCGAGCATCTCGGCAAGGGGCACCTTTGCGACAATCTGCAACATCCGCATCCGGCCCCGCTGCGTATCTCGCAGCGTGGTCTGGAACTCGTACGGGTCGGGCGGGGCGTAGATGTCGGACAGAAAGACGTCGCTGCCTTCGCGCATAGAGTCGTCGGCCAGGTCGCGGACCTCGAGAACATGGCCGCCCCGCGCGGAGTGGAGGTCGTGCTGGACCGCCTCCGCCGCGGCGTCCGGGCACGAGATGGTCGTCTTCATCACGGGCTCCATGATGCCAATGTGTCCCTTGTCGTGCGCGTCTTTGAGGGCCAGGCGGACAGCCTTGCTGGCTGCACTGGCAGTGTGGCCCGGTGCTGGGCCAAAGTAGTCCGTGCTGGTGTCGAAGGTCACGGTCACCAGACACTGGTGCATTGGCGAGCTGCGTCGGGGCCCACGGGTCAATGCTGCAATGGCACCATTGGTGAGTTGTTGCCGGATCCCATGGGCGTCAAAGTCTTCACTGGTACTGGTGCCGCTGTCCTGGCTGTCTATGATGTCTATCTTGATAATATTGCCGTCTCGTTCGATGAATGAACCGGCAAGGGCCTCGCGATCCTCGTCCGTAAACGGTTCGACAACGACTGTACAACCTGCTTTGCCCGCCTTGCCGGCAACGACCTTGTCGAAGGCTGCGGCCGTGGGAGGCGTTGCTTGGGACAGGCACTCTTTGTAGTCGACGGCGATCTTGCCCCAGATTGCCTCTACTTTATAGTGATTTTCTAACCGGTCTCTGGCGACTTCGAGATGCAACGTGCCCATCCCGGACAGTGTGTACTGCTCCGTCTTTTCGTCAAGTGACCATCGCAAGCTCGGATCTTCACGAGATGCATTCTGCAGGGCAGTTTCCAAAGCTCTGGCGCCTGTTGGCGTGTAGGCTTCTACAAACATGAAAGCCACAGCAGGTGGGATATCCGGTGGGCGGACTTGTATTGTCGACACGAGCGAAGCTGGCGCCTTCGGCGTGCTGAAAGTCAACAGTGTGTCACCGGTTCGAGCAGCCTTAAGGCCTGTGATGGCGCCAATGGACCCCGTGCTGATGTGAGGTATCTCTATCGTCTTGCCACCCGCAATCTGCAGCATGTTCAGCGGTCGCTCGAACTCTTGGAGGTTGGTATTCCACATGGACATGTTCTTCCGCAGGTTGCCGTAGTATACTCTGACGAAGGTCAACATCCCACGGACCGGGTCATTGACGACCTTGAACACCGACGCCAGCGCTTCGACCTTGGGTGCATTTTTCTTGTTCGAAGTTGTTGATGAAAGTGCCTTGGTCAGTGATTGCTGCTCCTTGCCTATCCGGACCTCGAGCTCAGGCCGATCTTGCGGGCTGGGCAAGTACTCGTTGACGGCATTCAGGAGAGACGCAACTCCAATATTCTTCAGACTTGACCCCGCAAACACGGGGATCAAGGAGCCGTGCCCATCGTTGATTATCCGGCGTATGCTGTTCTTGATGTCTGCGCTCGGCAGGTCCTTGCCCATCTCTGTCCATTTCTCGAGCAAGTCGTCGTCCTTCTCGCATAGCAGCTCAACAAGCTTCTCTCGTGCAGTATCGCACTCGTCCTTGAGCGTGCCTTCGACCTTGTGCACGCTGAGATCTTCGGGTTTGTCCTTGGTGCCGGCCCAGCTGACGACTGTGCCCTCGATGACATCCACGATACCCTTGACTGTGTCCTGGCTCCACCAAGGAATCTGGCACACCAAAGGCATGCCATTGAGCTTCACGCCAATGTCCTGGATGGACTTTTTGAACGAGGCACCCTCCCGGTCGAGCTTGTTGACAAATATTATCCGAGGAACCTTGAACTCGTTGGCAGATGCCCATACACGCTCAGTATGAGCCTCGACTCCCTCGACGCCATCAATGACACATACAGCGCCGTCGAGCACGGGCATACACCGCTCAACCTCGAAGCGAAAGTCGACGTGGCCAGGCGTGTCGATGAGGTTGATGACATTTGACCTCTCGCCTGGACCGAGTCTCTCCTGGGGCGGCCACGGGAAAGTGATGGCAGCCGACTGGATAGTAATGCCTCGCTGCCTCTCCATAGGCAAGAAGTCTGTGACTGTGTCTCCGTGGTCCACATCTGGACATCATGTTTAGCTAGGTTCGTCATGAGCATTTTTCTCTGAGTCAACCACTTACTTCCAGCGTGCCTTGTTGCCCCGCTGTTGTAGAGCATCTGCTCCGTCGTCGTTGTCTTTCCGGCATCGACATGGGCAATGATGCCGATGTTGCGAAGGTCCCGGACGCCGACATCCCCAGGAGCCTCACGAGAAGGCACGGCAATGTGCCTTACCGCATGGCGTGAGAGGCTGAGACGTGAGCGGAGTGGCCAAGCTGCTGCGGCAATGCTGCCTCGTGACCTCAGAGGGGTTCTCCAGAGTGGCGCGATGAAGCTCATGCCGTCTTAAAGCCTGGTCTGATTAGGCCCTGCGTTTTGAGCACCGATACTCTGCCGCGCAGATCTGCAAGTGCAAGTGTGTTATAGGAGCTCCATGTGATAGAAGCAGAGCCCAAAGATGCCACCTGAGAATGGCCTTGTGCGAGAGCGATTGTGGGGACGATGAGAAAAGATTGTGGTTGTTGGCTGAGAAAATCGTTGATGCATCAAATGTCGTGCGTAGATCGAGACAGGCCTCTGCAACAGCTACTACAGTTTTGAGGCGCACTGTGTTCACACAACATCTTTGGGTCTGGTTGCTTGAGACAGCGACTCCTCTCGACAGCTGCGTGTATCCTCGCTCTGCCTGAAAGTTCTTTTCATCTCTGTGACGAGTTATATGCCAAGTTTATGATTCTTGGGGAGAATTGTAATAACTGAAGACCGGCCTGTAGATACGTTGTTGATGAGCAATGTGTGGTAGCTGACTCGCACGGTGGATTCCCAATACAGCCTAGACCCGCCACGAAAGGCACCAGCCGCATCGCAGGCAGTTGCTTGGGGACTCTGACCAGACTGTCGCTGCGTCATGCTGGAGCTGCAGCTCTCCCACAGCATATGCCCACCCCATCCCCACGACTTGCGGTCCCGCTCCCAGCTTGCGACACACGGCAGGGTCCTCTAGGCTCACCAGCAAGCACAGGGTCGAGTACCATCGGCTGTGCGACCATTGTCCAACCTGTCAATCGCTGCCGAGCTCAAACCAGTAGTCCAGCCTACCTTAGCCGCTTCCCCGCAGAGCGCGCAATCTTGTCCAGCATCACGACCCAGCTCTCTCTCCTGGCACTGACAGCAACGCCATGGACTACCGCTCCTCGATACCCGACGACGATCACCCGGGCGCCTCGCCCTGGGGCTCCTCGCCGCCAGCTTCGCCTAGGCGCAACCTCGAGCGCCAAGCTCCTTCGTTCCGCTACGACGCACAAGCCGCCGGCGAAGGCTTCGGACAGGAAGACCACGACGCCAATGTGTTCAACCCGTCGCAGTCCTCCACCGCCTCCCAGGCGACCACAGACACGTCCTTTGCTCCAAGTGCTGAGTCGTCCCAGCAAGAACAGACAGACGTGAGCGACAACACAGACCACCACCAGTCGCAAGCGTCCGTCCAAGACCCGGATCATCCCGACGCTCAACAGCACCAGCAGAACTTCTCACAGAACCCAGCTGGCGACAATGTCGCTCACGACCAGCCGCAGCAGCCTCGGAGATCAAACCAACCCCAGTACAAGCTTCAGGCCAAGATCACCGGGCTGGAGCGCACCGGGCGCAAGGACCCCATCCTGAGGTTCGATGTCCACGTAAGTGCAACCTGTGGGTTACAAGACTGTGTGCGTGAATATGCGTGTTGACTCATGAGCTATAGACGAATCTCCCAACCTTCCGCACTACCCAATTCCGTGACGTACGCCGCATGCACTCGGAATTTGTCAAGCTCGGCGAGCATCTGATATCGGCAAATCCAGAAGTATTCGTGCCAGCAGTTCCCCCTTCTATCACATCGGCAGGGGCTGGTACGGATGAGGACGAGACTCGTGTCAAGGCCCTCTTGCAGCGTTGGTTCAACCACGTATGCTCAAACGAGGTTCTCATGAGAGACGACGAGATGGTGCTCTTTGTCGAGAGCGACTTTGGTTATAGCCCCATGGTCAAGCGGAAGCAGCCAGCCACCGGTGTGCGTCGTAAACTGCTCAAGCAGTTTGCTCCGCCACCTGATGACACTCCCGAGCTCTCACAAGCCCGGCCAGTCGTGAAGCTGTTTTACCTGGGCTCGATGGACGCTGGACACAAGGTTGATAAGCTGGTCAAGAGCCGGAGAGGTACGTATTCATTCGTGACTCAAACTTGTGCCTTTCAATCGTGACCTGACCAGAACTCGTGAGGACAGGACTTGGGCTTGCCGAGTCTGACTTTGGTGTCAAGCTTGGTGGCATGAACGTGCAAGAACCCCATCAAGGACTGGCCAATGCATTCCGCAAGCTTGGTAAAGTGATTCAGACGGTCGGAGACTACCATGCTGCCCAAGCTACCGCCGAGGCCACGACCATGGGCGACCCATTCCAGTACCATTCTCAGGATGCATTCATTGTCAAGGAGACTTTGACAAACAGACAGCTCCTGATACGCGAGTTCCTGCAGGCGCAGGAGAACACGCGCAGCAAACTCAACTCGGCAGACCGGCTGAAGGCGAGCTCGAGCGTGCGACGCGAGAAGGTTGATGAGGCGATCACAGCCCTGGACGATGCCAGAAATGCCGAAATGGACCTCATGCACAAGACCACACGAGTCACACAGAATCTCGTGCATGAGCGACGAAAGTGGTTCAATCGCACAGCCGCAGATCTCCGCATGAGCATCAGGGAATACGTGGTGCGCGAGATCGATGCCGAGCGCAGAACCCTCTCGGTCCTCGAAAGTGTCCGACCTGACATTCGCGCCATTGACTCCTCTGGTGGCCTCAGCAGACTCGGTCGCGAAGCACACCCTCAAGTTCGCCGGACCAGCCAAGTCCAGAGCCAGGGTCCCAAGGGTGATGCCTGGAGTGCGGCCCCGCGCCGGTCGGACGCTCTGAACCGCAGCACTCTCCTGCCCAACGCGGAGGATCCAGAGGCGGAAGATAGTGCACAAGCAACGCCTGGCAGCGGTCCTGCCGCTGCAGGTGGCGCAGCCGGTGGTCGTGGAGGGCTCATGGGCCTTCCGGAGGAGGAAGACGATGACCGCGTCGACGCGCGGAACGCTGCAAGCAGGCTGGCTACCAGCACTTTCTGAGCACTGCTCAGGGTAGGAGCATCCATTCATCAGAGGTACAACAGGAACAAGAGGACGGGGAGCGAGAGCCACGGGCGTTGAGAGGAGGGGAGGGGGTGGGGGGGACACTGGCATTATTGAAATACAACCCACGTAACACCAGCAGCCGCACGCTTTTTTGCGAGATAGAAAAGAGCGATAGCACATACCTGTTTCAAAAGCCGATCTCATCTCAAGCTGACAAGGTATCTAAAGCACACTTTGTGAAGCACAAGCCATGTAGATGCTGTCTGTCTTCATCATCCATTACGGGATTTCAACACCCAGGTAGCTCTGATATTAAAGGGCGGGTAAGTATTCATGCCGTGTACTCAAGCCGTCACACCATCCACCCGGCCCTGTCCATCCCCCTCCGCCCCCCTTCTCTCTTTCTTTCTATATATCTTAGAGAGCCAGCGTGGCCATACAGCACTTGTCAGTCAGTCAGACATGCAGCCCCGTTTCGTGGGGTGTCATCATAGTCGCTTTTACAAGAAGATCAGTATTGGGAGGGAGACAAGACATGTTTTCGAAAGGAAAAGAAGAAAAACACACGGTCAGAGGAAGGGTGGTTATCGGATGTCTTTCTCCATGTCCTGCCCGTTGCATTTCGGTCTATACGTCGGAACACCGTGTCGATATATGTCCGAGCGTGTATGCTCTGCGGTTTCAAGTCCATATTGTACGGAGACATCGCGTTATTTGCACTTAAGAGTTGGATGGGAGAAGATCCACTGATGGTTCAATCGTGGCCATGTGGTTATACAGATTGATTCCGAGAGACTTTGGAGATCAACACAAGTAGAGAGCACCGATATATAGAACATGAATACAATGGAATTGTTTAATGTCAACGTATTCGCTAGTCTTTGGTGGTCATTAATCTTTATTAGAACAAAGCAAAAAACAACCAGAGTACAGGACAATCTGCATCATGATCCTCCAGTAATACCAGAACGCCGGACACCATGTCGTGATTCCACAATCTAAATGCTACTTTTCATCCCTGGGGTTGTGCTAGCAAGCCCCGTGTCCAGGAAACATGAATCCTTACGCAGCGTTGGCGCTGGCAACGGGCTGGACAATCTTGGTGATCTGCTCACCGGCACGAACGATACGCTGGCCAGCAGAGTCGTTGACGTAGGTGACATCCTTGTTCTCCAACTGGGATCGCTTCCAGATCTCCACCTCACAGCCGCCACGGAGAACACCGACACGCATGGTGGACAGCAGGTTGTGAGCAGCGTTGGAGTGGAGGTAAACACCGCCGTTGAAGATGGCGGTGGCGTCCTTGCCGACGGCGGAGCTGATGAGGGCCTTGCCACCGGGGTGCTCCTTGATAAAGTCGGTCACATCGTGGACAACACCAGCAATGGCAACGAGGCCGCGGCCGTTCTTGGCCTCAGCAACGAAGTCATCCCACTCCATGACGGGGAGCTGCTCAAGAGGAGTACCCCAGTCGAGGGTGGCACGCTTCTGGTCGAGCTTCTTCTGCAGCTGCTGGACACGACCCTTCTCAATCTCGTTGGAGCGGAACTGCTTGAGGTCGTAGGCGAGACCGAGCTTCTTCCACGCGGCAATGTGCCACTTGGTAGGGTCGTACTGCCACCACTCAATAGCGTTGCGGTAGTCGGATGGGAACTCGTGGTGGAAGTTGTGGTAGCCCTCACCGAGGGTGACGACGGCGGTGATGAGGTGGTCACGCGGAGAGTTGCGGTCGTCAAAGGGCTGCTCGCCGAGCCAGTGCGCAAGGGAGTTGACGCAGAAAGTAGCTTGCTGGACGAAGAAGACACGAAGGATGCCTCCATAGATGAAACCACCCCAGTAGTCGCCCCAGCCGAGACCGCAGACAAGGGTAGGGAAGACGAGAGCCATGCCAATGACGCACTTGAGGTAGTTGACGTGCTGCCAAACGACTACCGGGTCGTCGTTGAGGTCGGTAATATCGGTACGGCCAACACGCTTGGGGTTCTGCTTCATGACCATCCAGCCGAGGTGGGAGTAGAGAAGACCCTTGCGTACGGAGTAGGGGTCCTTCTCGGTGTCAGTGTAACGGTGGTGAGCACGGTGGCCACGAGACCACCAGCGGATAGATCCCTGGACGGAGCCGGAGCCACAGGCAGCGAGCCAGACCTTCAGAGGAAGGGTGGCCTTGTAGGAAGTGTGAGCCCAGAGACGGTGGTAACCTGTTGGTGATTCAATGTCAGTATTCGTACCAAGACGAGGAATGCCTTTTTGGATGTGTTGTATAACCTACCAGCCGTAATGCCAAGACCAGTCTGAACGTAGTACCAGACCGTGAAGATGGCAGTCTTCTTCTCAAGCGGCGTCCAGTAGGCGGTGATGAGGCCGGCAAGAGGGACGAAGAGGATGAAGATGCAGTTGAGCCAGTTGATGTGCTTGTACCAGTTGCTGGCGGTGATGGGCATCTCGGTGATGTGAGGCTTCTTGAGATCCTGGGCTGCTCCGCGGAGGGGCTTGTACTCGCGGGTGCCGTCGTCGAGGACGGCCGCAGCCTCAGGCTTAGTCGCAGACGCCGCCATGTTGGGTGAGGATGTCGAAGTGGTTGCCAAGGGGAGAAGTTGGCGGAGGGAAGAGGTTGGAGTGAGAGAGTGAGTAGGAGCCGGGTGAGAAGGCACGGGTAGGGGTAAGTATTTATTGTCCAGACCAGCTGGGGGGGTGCGGTGTATGGTTTGGGGGAGTGGCGTGGCGGGTGGAGGAGGAGGCGGGCAGCCGAGGAGGAAGCCGGGTGAGGATCCTGGACAACAAAAGACCCTGGGGTGGAGAAGCGTCGAGATGGATGGCCTGGTGTGGTTTGATGTTTGAGCATGGGCTGTTTCTGCCCGTGTAAGTCGTGGCCAGGGCTGGGCGCGCCGGGACCCACGGTGTGGCTACATGCTCCCCCAGGGTAGAAAACGATCCAAGTACTTTGGTCCAATGTCACTTTGCTCTCAACCTTGCCCAGAGATCTGCACAATGTCACTCTCAGTCAAACTACCTCCCACCGCCACCAGCCTAGTTAGTGATTTCAATGCAACAGATCTGCCCAGCCACCGCAAGTATCCGATGAGAGACCTCTGCGCAGGGAGGGCATGCGAAACAGGAGGAGGGGGGGGATGAGTCCGGGGCGCGCGTTGCGGGCCTCAATGTCGCCTCCTCCAGCACACTGCCGGCCCGGACCAGGTCTAGAGCTGCTGATCTTGGCTTGTGCCCCCGGCATCTGTCCCGGAGCCACGAGAATTGTTGCGGCCTGCCAGACACCCTATCTGGTAGCTACCAACCCTCTGTACTCTTTTTCCTAGGCAGACACGCAATCGCACAAGGGCCAACAACTTCCACGACGCTAAGAACAAGGCAGTAGTAGGTACATGTGTGCCATGTGACGGGCACTCTGATATCTGCTGCCTGCGGGTACCAACCGGTTGGTCGGCCAAGCACCGCAAAGCACGGGGAGGCAGGCTTGTGACAGCACGGGAGACTTGGCTATCGGTACATCCTGTCCCCCGACTCGGAACAACGCCTGCAAGCGCCCAACGCACCCAAGCAGAAACGCTGCAAGAGAAGGGGGACAAAAAAAAAAGTCTGTTCGGCATAGAAGGAGGCAGCTTCTGGAATTTTGTTGAATTGTTGGGGCGAGTGGAGCCGGTGGCGGGCAGCTCTGGCCAATGAACTTACACTGACGTTGAAGAAAGCGTCGCGCGGTTGCCCCTTTGGGCCGGTCTTCCCTGGTGCCCCGGTCGTCCCTGCCGCGGGAACCCATGCGGTCGCACCTCGCGCCGCCTGTCCGCCTCGGCTGAGCTGCTCTTGTCCCCGGCCGGCTTGCACGGCTGTGATGGCATCCAGCTGCAACAACATGTGCCACGCGTGCAGTGCACTTGCGAGGCATTGTCCGATCAGCAGCTCACACCATATCGAACGGTTCGAGTTCAACATGACGCACAAAGATCAAGAGTGAGCCAGCACAACCATCGGTGTCGTCACGAGGCCGGCCGGGCCATTGTTGTTGGGCCGGGCCAAAGGATTCGCTGTGATCCTCGCGCCCAGAGTGGCTGCATGAGCTCGCTAGCTTCTCTGTCGGCAGCTTCAGAGTGTCGGTCTGCAAACTGCAAGCAGTACTTGGTGGCTCCAGCACCGAACCATGGCATGGCGGAGCTGGGACCTGCATTGTCACTTTGCTAGCGCGTCGCCCTGGCCGATCCGACGGGCCAACGTTTGAACGACTGCCAGCGAGCACAGCACTATCCCCAATTCGTGGGCCAGGCGGCGAGAAGTCTGCAGTACGCCTCTCTGACTATCTCTAACTATGCGGGTGCCCAGGATTTGACAGCGTCGAGTTCTGCAAGAAAGAGCACACGCGGCCTCAAACGCTGGTCGAGCAATGGGGCCCTGGCACTTCAGGCAGCAGAGTGAACATCGCACGATATCAAGCAAAACTACCTCGGCAGGTGCATGAGTTGCCTGTGAAGATGACCTAGGCCCCGAGCCTACTACGACGCATAGACAACATCATCACCGTCATCACGACTCGGTGCCCAAGCATCGTTGATATCTCGATGGATGCCGCTGACCAGGGGATGTCGCAACCCCGCAGCCATGCAGCCCTGTCGTCCTAGATCCCTGCCCACGCACCCGTCTCTCTCCACACTTTCTCCCAACAAACACAATGGGGCCACACGTCTTGCACGTGCGAGAAGGTGCGCCACACAGCCAGACACCCGCAATCGCCAGTGGCCGAGACAACTTCTGCAAGCTCTGAAGCTGTCTTTGCGCAAAACCACCAGGCCCCACCTCCTGCCCCCATGCCCACCCATCCCATCAGCAACGCTACTTCACTCCATCAAGCTCGGCTCGTGCCCTCACCTCAAGACTCCAAGAGTTGTCGGTGACCCATTTATTCATCTTCTGACATGTGCTTCCCAGCTGTTGTTGGATGACGAGATATGGAGTACATGGTGGCCAGGTCTCCACCTTCCAGGCACCACATAGCTTGCAAGCTACCATCTCAGCACTCTGGCCCAACAACGTCGGCACGACCATCTACTGCAGACGAATAGAAAAACATGTGAACGTCAACAAGCTTCCTGGCTGCGATTCTGCTCGGAAGCCCCAGCTCCCCACAATTTTCTCCGTACATGACAATGAGCAAGACCTCGCCTTTCACGGCGTTTCCAGACTGAGAAGCGGCAGACGAGCTCGAACGAGCGACACTTGAAGCAAATGGATGCCGGCAGGCGAACCAGGCACCAATGAACCACCTGATCACTGATCTGCGCACTTTGGTGCTCAAGCTTTCGTCATCTTTATCAGTGGCGAAGTGTGACCGACCCTTGATTTTATTCCACGACGCTGCTTTGATGATTGGCATGCATCCTGAATCGCAAACTGTGCCTTTATTCGAAGAGCAATATAGCCGGCACCATGCCCGCTAGGCAAGGTTTCCAGAGCAAATCTGCGCCACATTGTGCATGTGCCGGCATACTCAGTCGCGGAACAATGCCAGGATGACGTACGTCCCTTGCGGAGAACGTTGTAATGCGCCATTGCAGAAGTGGTGGCTCTACCTCGAATCAGCACTGCCTACAATACGACACGTGAGAAAGTTTGGTTCTTGGGATGATCAGTACAATCACAAAAAGCAACATCTTCCGTATACCCAGGCCAGGTACGACCATCGCAATCACAAGGTGGTTTTCAGGCAACTACTGCAAGAGCATCAGTGCATCTCTACGATTGTGAAAGCGAAATGCGGTAAAAGGCCAGGTTTGGAGGTCTGTACTTGACCAGGGATAAGCCGCTGACTTAGCACATTCCGAGAAATCCCGTTCTCGGATCACGAACATCGCACATTCTAATCCTCCGTGGCGCAATTGGCTAGCGCGTCTGACTGTTACTGCTCTGGGTCTTTCTTCGAGATCCTCCCAAAGTGGAACGCAATCAGGAGGTTGACAGTTCAAGCCTGTCCGGGGGAGCGTGCGGTCTAGTGATACACAGCTACTATATCCGCTAAATATTTCTTTTCCTCCGTGGCGCAATTGGCTAGCGCGTCTGACTGTTATATCTGAGCTTCACAGCTCACGATGGGCATCAGGAGGTTGACAGTTCAAGCCTGTCCGGGGGAGATGATTTCTCTTTTTGTTGTTCCCGGAGCCTGGCATCCTCTCAAGCAATAAATAGAGTGGACCATCATCGCTCTTTTGCCGCAGGGCATGTCGTGGTGAGTGACTATGATCACTGGAGGCGGCCGACTGTTCAAGGACTTGCTAATAGTTGACACATTATTCAAACAGAGCTTGTGCTCCGAGTTGGCAAGCTGGCAAAGACGCGCGTCTTAAAAATTATGGATGGTCATGTGATCTTTTCAAGCCTCGCTCATTACAGTCGTTCATATTATGCTACAGGATATCTTGGCATGTTCCACCAATGCTCTTCTCTTGAGTGCCTCGTTGAGCACATCCTCTCCTCCAAGCCGAGTGCACACCTCCAACCATCAACCCGCAATCATTGCTCGTCAAGTTAGGACCATTCATCAAATCAAAGTGCCAGCGAGGCGAATGGAATATCGCCCTAGGCAATTGTTCGCTACTTAAGCCCAGCGTGATTCGACTTGCCAATATCTTGGTCGATGCTGATAGCAGCGTGCGGCGTGTGTGGCGGACACAGCTACGTGGCCGCCTTCTTCTCGTCTTCCTCCGTCGTTGCAGAGCCCGCTTCGTTTTCTGCGGCCGTTGTCTCTGCTGATGCTTTCTCCTTGCTGCTCTCTTCGGCGTCGGTCTTGTCGTTGGCAGCCGGCGCGCTCTTGGGTCCGTCTTTATCATCGTCATCGGACTCTTCCTCTTCCTCCTCCTCTTCTTCTTCCTCCTCTTCTTCCTCCTCCTCCTCTTCTTCTTCCTCTTCCTCATCGTCGTCATCCCCATCTTTTGCGTCTGCCGCCTTTGCGTCCTCAACCACAGTTGGCGCGTTCGACGCTGTCTCATCGTCCTCAGCAGGAGGAGAGTCCGGCTCAACGGGCACGTCTTCCTGCACATCGATCTTGACCGCAGAGAAATCCGTGTCGCCATTGTGGTGTGTCGAGCCCAAGACCTCCACGGGCTCGCCAGGCTGTGTCTCGTCCCTGCGGTCATCATTTGCTGACGTCTCGACGATGACGGGGACCTCGACCTCTGTCTCTTCCTCGTTGACCGTCTCGGGTGCAGAGATGCGCATGTCGCCCAGCTTCGAAGTCACCTCTGAGTGCTCATCTTCCCGCTCCTCAATGACTGTGGTCACAATGCTGCCTACCGAAGGCCTGCTCGAGTGTCTAGCTGTGTTGGTTCTTCGTGCGTGGAAGCTGTGCTTGTCATCCTCGCCCTCGCCACCCTCTCCTGTTTGGGCAGGCGCCTTGGACAAGAGAGTGACAGGCGGCGGCCGCTTCTCTTCCTTCTCGGCCACGGCCGACTCGAGGCCTTCGGCTTCGGGGGGGAGCTTGTAGTTCTCCGCAGGCAGCAGGTCGTAGACGTCGCACACCGTCTTGAAGAAGACGTACAGGCCCGTCTGCGACTCGACGGACCAGAAGACGCCGCGGTGCTGGAACCAGGCGTGCGCGAATATCCGGTGGAGTCTCCGGAACACGTTGACGAGGTTCTTGAGCACCGAGCTCCGCTCGGAGCTGTCTGCGCCGAGCACGATGCGGCTCGGGAAGATCTTTGGGTTCGTGACAATGTTGGCGGCCCAGTCGAGCGTGTGGCAGCAGTAGTCGATGGCGCAGCAGCTCTTTGGTGCCTCGTGGACGGCGCAGAGGAACTGCCACTCTGACGCGCGCATCTCGGGGCATGTTGCCGAGGAGCACGGCGGCGTGTCGAAGAGGAAGCCCACGATGAGTCCGTTGCACTGCGCGATGAGAAAGCGGCAGAGCTCGTAGAGCCACAGCGTGCGCTCGACTCCTGCTGGCGGCGTGGCGAGACTGAGAGCGGTTTGTCGGTTGATCGGCGTCGTGTTTGAGGAAGTATGATAGTAGTGCAGAGCTGCGAGGTGTTCCTGGGAGGAGAAGGCGGACTCGAGCTACAGAGACAGAAACACACCAAAGTCAGCTCATGTGTGTGCCTCATCGTGAGTGACCGTATGCGCGGCAAGCCTTACCTCACTGAAGGGTATCAGCGGCGGCCCGGCGGCCATATGCTCTGCCTTGGTTCCGACGTGTATGCGTCGCTTCGCGTTCGCGGCGACAACAGCCTGGTTCCTTTCCTGAGACTCGAGGCCGGCTGCGCTGTTCAGGCCTGGCGATGCCGGCCCAATCTGAATCTCCGCAGCGGGCGGCGGACTGGGCAGCCGCGGGGAACTTTGTGCTTGCGACATGGCGACAGGCGCGCAGACTTGATCATTTACTCCAGCGTGGCCCGAGATCGTGGTTTCTTTAATGGAGTCGGACTCTCTGCGATTCTCTCGGTGTTGGCGCGCTTTCGATTCTTGTAGGGCGTCGTGGTCGCGGGGGTTTCGTGCGCAGCCACCTGCTGTACAAAAGAGAAGTGTGTATGCCCAAGACGAGCTGCTGAGGGGCTGGGCTGCTAGACAATCCGACGAGGGGATCCCTAGATGGAACCGATCGAGATTTTTTTGGGCAATCGATATCGGAAGCTGGGCGTGTAATGCGAATATGCACTGCGAACGAGCGTGAGAGAGCTTGACAAGCAGTTGTTGTTGTTGTTGCGTGGTGCGAAACCACGAGCGCTAAGCACAAAGCAAGCTGGACAGACCCCTGAAGGCGCTAAAGGCTGTGCTGTCCGGGGCGCCATCTGCGGCTCTCTTCCAGCCAATCACGGCCCTGTGTGGCAGCTTCCCGGCACTTGCGATGGAGGGGTGGTTAAGGCGCGTTATGTCATTTCTTGCTGCCAGGCAAAGTTGTATGCCCTTGCTAGAAAAGTGCTCGCCTTGTCACCGAAGATGGGTATGTTGAGTGCAAGACACTTTCACTAATCCAGCAAGGATAGACGACGCGAAACAAAGAAGTCTTTCCTGAGACCGAGGCTAGCCCTGCTCTTCCTGTCTGCCAGTCGCAAGCTGCCCCGCCATGGATGTCGACTTGGACGATGATGCTCCCCCGGAGTTGGTGAGCATGGGCGCAGAGGCCATACCCCAAGGGGATGGAGACGCTGCAAACTTCAAGGTCCCCATCACAATTGTTACTGGTATGCACCAAGCATCCGTGAAAACCAATGTTCTCCTTCGCTGACGATTTTCGCAAGGCTATCTTGGTGCCGGCAAGACCACGTTGCTCAACTATATCTTGACGGCTCAACATGGCAAGAAGATTGCCGTCATAATGAACGAGTTTGGTGACTGTGAGTCATTTGCAGTCGTTATCTTGCCCGACTGACCAAGTATGCTCACCTAAAATGTGAACCACAGCTCTCGACATCGAGAAGTCTCTGACCGTCAACAAGGGTGGTGAACAAGTTGAGGAGTGGCTAGAAGTTGGCAATGGCTGCATTTGCTGCTCTGTCAAGTATGTGTTTCCTGTTTCCGTCCGACCCGGATAAGTCGTAATCAGGCTGACAACCTACGCAGAGACTCTGGAGTCAACGCAATCGAATCTTTGATGGAGAAGAAGGGCAAGTTCGACTACATCCTGCTCGAGACCACTGGCCTGGCCGACCCAGGCAACCTGGCCCCATTATTCTGGGTCGACGACGGACTTGCCAGCACGATCTATCTCGATGGCATTGTGACCCTTGTGGATGCGAAAAATATTATCCGCAGCCTGGAGGACCCAGCGGGCAAGATCGAGGAAGGCCACGAGGACCATGGCCACGGACCCCTTATGACCACGGCACATGTGCAGGTATCGCACGCTGATGTGGTTGTTATCAATAAGTCGGACCTCGTGACCGAGGCCGAGCTCGAGAGTGTGAAGGCAAGAATACAATCCATCAATGGGCTTGCCAAACTCCATGTGACGAAGCAAGGAGTTGTTCCGCAGCTGGAAGGTTTCCTGTTAGATCTCCATGCCTACGACCAAGTTGAGAGCTTGGACACAGCCAGCAAGGGCCACAGCCACTTAGACCCTGTAAGTTGGTCTTCGTCTATGGTGCACTCTGTGTCAGCAACTTCTAACTAAAAGAAACTCAGACGATCGCCACCGTCACCGTGGGTGTCCCAGTTCTGCAGCCTGGGCAGCTGGAAAAGATAGACGGCTGGCTTCGGTCCATTCTGTGGGAGAGCGAGGCGCCTGGGCATGGTGTTGGTACGAGCGGAACACTAGAAGTGCATCGCCTCAAGGCGCGGCTGGTCTTCAGCAATGGCGATATCAAGATGGTGCAAGGTGTACGAGAAGTCTTTGACATAGTTGACGGACAGAAGAGCGAGGGAACACCAGCATCAGGCAAAGTGGTACTCATTGGACGTGGCGTGAAGCAGGTTGACTGGGACGCGAGTCTGCGCACGTCGCTGGAGAGGCCATAGATCCAGAAAGTCACGGTCAAATTGGTCCACAAGCAATCATGTTCTCAATGCGAAAGAAAAAGAAGTGGTCCGCAAGCGGGCGTGATGTTGCGAAACTTGGAATCAATGCTGCCATGGCGACCGCCCTCAAGGTGCGGTGCCACCACGGGATGAGGTACCTTGCATGCGAGCACGGACCAGGCGGCTGACTTTGAAGGGCTGCCAGGCGGCTCCCCAGCCAGCAAGCGTGCTGGAGTGGACCACAGGCTCAAGCGCGAGGCTGCGGTGCGGACTGGCAACCTCCATCTGCAATTCGACTGCCATTTTGAGTGGGCAGCAGGATCGCCATTATCCCACCACCTCCTCAACGACACACAACCGAGACGCCCTGGCCACAGCGCAACCCCAGCCGGCCGCGACCATCACCAGACACACCACACCCGACGACGGCAGCCCCGACGAGCCCTTCCCCGGAGCGCTCAATCCAGCCAGCCGACCATGAACCGACCAGGTAGCCCTCCCCCGTCCCCATGCCATCATGGCTGGCCTCGCGTGCCCCACTGCCTTCTGCGCCTGGAAGAGGCCACAATCGACGACCTTGACGATAACTGCCGCGCGAGCCTCGGCGTGATACCCACCCCGTTATTCGCAGCTACTCGCGCTTCGCTGGGGCCGTCCTGGCATTGTGGCATCTGATCGACTTCAAGCTTGGCCACCGCTCGTGAGCCAGCCAGCCTCGAACATCGATCTGCCCTCACAGTCCTAGTCTTTCACAACCACAAAGCTCTCGACAATTCATCGCGAACCACCTCGGAGCACGACCCCGCTCCCGTCACCACTGCCGTCCGGCCGTCGCCAACATCTTCCAGCCAGAGCGCTTTGCGAGAAAGCTCGCTAATACGTACCTCAATCCTGTAGGACCCCAGAACATGCGAGGGATGCCGGCAGGCTTCGGTGCCCAACAGCAGCAAGCGGCGCAACAGTCTGCGCGGACAGTGAACAACAGATTACCGAACGGCAAAATGAGTATGCGGCATATTGAGTCGAATCACCAGATTCTTAGGCGTTCACATGGGCAAGCTGGCTGACCAATGTCCTTCCTGCTCGGATCACAGCCAACAACGGTAGCAACAACAGCGCAGGTGGCGCTGGTTGGGCCTTCGGTGTCGGTATGCCGATGGGTGGAAACGTCACCGCAGCTCAGAACGCGGCACGGCAACTGGGTGGCAGCCTAAGCTTCGCTCAGAGCTTGAGCGGCTCGCAGCCAGCCGCGCCTCTGGATCTCTCGTAGGTGCCCATTGTCTATTCCTGAGTTGTGCGCGTTCAGTCATCTCCGGGTGACCTCGATCTGGCCTCATGGATATTTCTCGAGTCGGAAATGAGAACAACTACCCGAGTGCTTCATAACTAAGTCGTCCACTCTCAATCGACTTACTCATGGCAAGAGAGACTTGTCCTCCGCATATTCGCCTCCAAGCCGCGAACGCTACCATGGCGACGCCCTACAGGCTTGGCTACTCTACACGAGGCTGTCTTTGCCAGCAAGCATGGGGATATGTTCAGCGGATGTCGCCTTGTACACCAGAGAGAGAAGCGGGTAGCCTCCAACGTGTGCCAAACACACTCTTACGTTGGGCCCCGAGAGACTCCAGTCCGAAGGACGGCGCTGTTGCAAACAAGCCAAACAAACTCTGTTGACCTTGTTGTGACACCTGACGCTGCATAGGATGTTCCACGAGGCCTCAAATCGACTCGATTTGCCAATATCGGCACTAATGGCTAACCAGCCTGAATGGGGATGAACACCTCACTGACATTCTTGTGTGCTAGGGATTTCCCATCTTTGTCGAGCAATGCGCAACATCCCAGCGCGAGTCAACCATCAATGTGGTCAGCAAGCGGCGTGAGAAATATGCCAGCAGTGCAACGGAATCAGCCCACGCCGATATCCTCGCAGCAGGGTGAGTCGCACCTCTGCACTCTCGGTAGTTTCTTCTTCGGCTTTCCGCCGATCAGTTTCTCTGGGACAATCCCTCCTGCCTACATGCTACGTGGAAGTGAGGCTGACAATTCGTAGGAGGTTTCAACAACCAGGGGACGGCGACACCAACAGGGTCAAGAACAGGGAATGGACTGCTCAACGCGTTAAACTCCAACAACAGGCCAGATCCTCGTTCCCCGGACAACAACTCCACGTCTGGTATGCAGATAAACTCAATTTATGGGCAGGGCAAAGCTTCGTCGCTGACACCACCACAGATAATTCAAGGCCATCAGACGCGAGGAGCGTACGTGCTAATGATGAGCCTCGGTCAAAGCCCCCGGGATTCCGTGACGAAAATCTGCCCTCGCATTCTTCCCCACAAGACTCCCCAGCGGACAACCGACATCCCTTGGGCGCAATCGGCTCTGTGGACCCCTTGGCCGTCAAGGAGCAAGATGACTCGTCCTTCCCAACCCAACCAGGCCCAGACCCTCTGAGTGGAATGACTGAGATCGACAAATGGGGCATCAAAGGACTGCGGACTCTGATGCATAACTTCCCGGACTACAGTTCGCTGGTCACTGGGATGGATCCCCAAACATTTGGGCTGGATCTTGCGACACCTGCGTTAGTTCCAACACTTCCTCTTTTGAAATTATACATTCCTAATGTCCAGACTCCAGTCCTATCTCATCACAAATCTACTCGCTATGGAACGATGCCCCGCCACGGCCACCGATTCCTGATCATCGCCTGCCTGAGTGCTACAAAGTCAACAACGTCCAGCCATTGCAAGCCAAGATCAGCAGCTTCAACGAAGAGACCTTGATGTGGATCTTCTACAGCTGCCCCGGCGATGTTTCGCAGCAGCAAGCCGCGCAAGAACTGTGGGTGCCAGCGCTCAGAACTGCGCGTAGACTGTACTGACTTTCGGAAACACAGGAACAACCGGAACTGGCGCTGGCATAAGAAACTAAAGATTTGGCTCACCAAGGACGATATTATGCAGCCTCGGCAGCTTAGCGGTCTGCACGAGGAAGGCTACTATATCATCTGGAATACCAAGGAATGGCGCAAGGAACGGGTAGGTCTTGTGCTTGGCATGAAGCGTGATCTTTTTGTCCCGAGATATACTGACACTCTCGTCTTCATCAGCGCACTCTTGTACTATACTACGAGGATTTGGAGACACTGAGCCAGAACCCTGTATGAGCTTTCAACGATGACGCCTCCATGAGTGGATGCGAGGCAACAATGCGGTCTCCTCGACGAGACCTGTGCGGCGATCTCAAGATTACGGCGTCGTGGCATTGGCCAACATGGCACCTCTTGCGCTGGTTGCCGGTAGGAGGAGAGTGTTTGATGGTGGGCAGTGTCTTGACGGCCCAAAGTTATTTCGCAGGCCACAAGGCTGATAGCGCGTGTTCGCACGCGATGTCCTCCCTTTGGCCATTACAGGAATGTCATATCATTCTGTGCTGCGCTTTGAGCTTGTTTCTTCGTTTTACGTGACCTGCTCTGAAGAGTGATTCCCGCTGCTGAGACCCTTATTTGAAGTAAGCTGCTCGTCGACACGGCCACAGTGTTCTAATCCTCTACAGACAAAAGTGATTTCAGATCGGATTGTCACACAAGGTGCTGGCAGGCAAGCAGGCAGGCAGGCTAGATTAGCTTGCTTGATGCACTGCAAGACCGACGCCAACGAACGATTCATCCACCTCACGGAAAATGACAGTGTGCTGTCTTGGGATAAGCTTACGATGATTTGGCTTACGATTGCTTACTTGTTCTATACTGCTCAAGGACGACAGTGCTTGTGTCACATGGCTAAGCCCAGGGGCAGGAAACACGGTTTCTATTCGGAGGCGACGCAAATCGATGCGGAACACTGCTTCTCTGTTGCTGTGCAATTTCTGTGTGGCATTCGTATCCGGCTCGCCTTCTCCTTTGCCATGGGGAACTTGGTATACGCTCGAACTTGGGTCTACGGTCTAAAAGCATGTATGTCAATGGGTCAAGGTTCAAGTCTTGGTACGGGCGGCGACTCTCCCTGCCTGAGTAGGTCCAGCGCGCACATAACCTCGTTATCGACGGCGAATGCCTGTTTGCCTCGTTTTCTCCTTTCAAAGTAGGGCGCTCACACAGCCAGCAGCAGCAGCCTGTCTTTACTTCACGGTTTCTCCCCAAAGACCGAAGCTGCGCGTCACGGGAGAAGAACTCCCTGGCCGCCCACGCGGATAGCGGTGTTCATCGGGATGCTTTCCTCGCGTGTCCGGTCCCTTGGGTTGCGTCGCGCAGAGGCGGTCTATACATCACGCAGCAATGGTCCAGTACTGAGGGGCTGGATCCAGTATGTGGACTGTAATGATATCCTCCAGGGTTGTGCCCCTGCTTTGAAGTACTCAAAGCGTTGAGTTCCTTGGTCAGCGGGCTGACGATGTTCAAACTCTTGATACGAAGAGGGTGATTGCCTGCGATATATATCTGGTACTCTTGAGACAGCAGCCGCTACAACATAGGCATGCTAGCTAGCTGCGCACGGGGGCAAGAATAGGTCGAGATCTTTTGCGGGACGTTATGACATCGTCTATATCGTTGGAGGATGGCTTCGTCGCAGGGGAGGGAGGGCGTGAGTTCCAGCTTTTATAGAGTCATGTATTGATAACTCCCCAACCCCCCCCCCCCTTTGTGGACTTTAGGATTCACAACCTTGTCAGCAGCCACCCGGGTTATCCATGAAGTATGCCAATGGGCCATTTCCATGACAGCACGGAAACGGGGTTCGTAAGCCTGTGGTGGCTTTAGACTACGCCGGCGAAACACGCGGTGGCGTCGCCGCAGCAGCAGCAGCAGTAGTAGTAGTAGCAGCACTATCGCATCCAAGCCGCACTTCTACAGTTCCACATGCCATGTCATGCCATAGCAAAGGACACTACCGAAGTCTGGGGCCGCCATTCGCATGGAACATGTCCTTTTCGTTGCTTCCAGACGGGAGCTACTTGGGATTCTGCACCTGTTTCAGAATGGCCTCGGAGCGACTAAGAAACAGCAAGTACCACCAGCCTCGTCTTGTCCCGCGCCGTAGTGAAGGTGCAGCAGCGTAGCTGGGTGGTGAGGAGGACACGGGATGCCTTCTGGAGCAACAACGTGATTCAGGGAAGAGTCATGTCGTATTCTATGTGACTATGTGACCACGATAAAAAAGAAAAGAAAGCGCGATGCCTTGATGCACATCACGTTGACTCATTATCTACTTTGGCATATTGTCTCCACCTGCGGGTTGCGGACTAGGAATATATTTATGGACCGAGAACCCTTGATTTCTCTTAGATGTCTGCCTTTCCGTCTTCCCAGTGTCAGAATCTTTGCGTGTGTGTGTGTGTGTGTGTGTGTGTGTGTGCCATCAGCCATGGCCGCAGACAACTGGGCACAGATGCCGCGTGCTCGGACAATCATGTGCCTGGAGTGATACCATGATCACATAGTATGCTGAAACCCGGAGCGGATTCGCGAGGTTGTGCTGTTGCTGTGCTCCCAACCGTCTGCGCCAGATGAGCCTTCAAAGGCACCCGGTTGGACGAAAAAAAAGAAAGAAAAAACAAGTTCAGAAGTGCCGGTCTCCAGCGTTTGTCAGAGAGGGAGACTAGGAAAAAAAACAAAAGAGTATGAAACCAAGCGTCACAGACAGAGAGCAAAGATCCGGCTCCCGGCTGTATTCGCGACCAGCTACTCAAACATGACCAGGGGCTGACCCGGACCACATAGAATGCGCAAACTGAGCCAAGTATCAATTTTAAGACTCGTGTTGCACATTACACATGCACATGCGAGCTGGTACGGGTCACACGGGTTACAAAACGTGGAAAAAAGCAAATAGAAATAATAAAAAATGAGAATAAATAACTTACAGGATAACCCCAACAATGAATCAATCGAAGCTTCTGACCTTTTCTGCAGGTCCGAGAAGCAAAAATGCTCACCTTCACGCAGTCTTCGTCCCTCGGACCTCAACCACTTATACGGCATTTTGTCTCTTGGGGACAAAAAAGAGAACCAAAGCAAAAGGAAAAAGCACAGCACTGGTCAGCCGGCGCCTGCCTTCCTACTTTCCACATGCACGCATGTCAGTCCCCGAGGGACGATATTTCGAACACGCTCGACGCCCAGCCCGAGGTTGCTTGTGACTGTGCCAGAGAAACAGAAACAGACAATGTAAAGACCCTGTACCCGCCCTCGGGCCGACAGCCGCAATCATGCAACACCATCTCCCCAAGCAACACCCAGAATAGACGACGGTGCTGCTGTACTTCGGCCCTGCCCCCTCCCCCGCTGCTTGTTCTCTCACCGGCACTTTGACGAAAGGAGAGAGAGCGTGCTGCCACAGCAGGGGACGACCCAGTTACTCCTCCCTGTCACTTCACGCTCCAGGGGTCCTCCCCCAGACACCGACGACGATGGGCCCTGGCCCCAAGTCCCCGAGAAGGAGGAGCTCGAGGTCGAGCAAGCATGGCGGAGGATATGCTGTCTGTTGGTGCTGTTGGTTGGTTGGTTGGTGCTGCTGTTGGTGCGGTGTTGCTGCTGCTGCTGCTGCTGATGCGGCAGGTCCCGCACATCTCAAGAGCGCCTGCCTTCCGGGGGGTCCCTTGACGTGGGCCCCAATATCAAAGTACCCTGCCGAATCCAGAACGTACGTCGACGTGCGTTAGGTAACGGAATCACATGCAGCGCCTCCCCCACTGCCGCACATACATACACATACACACACAAACACAGAGAGAGACCTTGGCGCTCGGCACACTGTCCAGCTGTGCCTACAGGTGATAGGTACGTATACGGGCACATGTGTGCAAAATGTACGTGCGCACGCACTAAATATGCCCCCGCCCCTGGCCCCTCCCCCCTTGCTGAGAAATCACATCTGTGAGGCCGTTGGCATCATCTCGATGAGGTGGTGTCAAGGCTAATTAACAAATGAAGAGCAAAGGCAAGGGCAAGGGGAAGGGGCCCACGGTGGCGGCGGGGGAGAAGGGGGTGGTGGTGGGTGTGTGTTCCTTAAAAAAGAACAAAGAAGATGAGGAAGAAGAAGAGAGTTGGTGAACATCCCTTCGCCCGCCGTCAATTTGTAAACATGCTCACTACTAGGCCAGGGGTTCACAAAGGCAGAACAAAACCCCATTTCACACAAGACGCGCAGCCTGCGCCGCTAGACCAGGGGCATGTGTCGATCATGGACTAGGTACCATATCCCGAAGCTCCCCTCCCTCCCCCATCGGCGGGCCAGACAAGCACAGAGCACGCCCGCCATCCTTGATGGCGGTATTTGAATGCCAACTCGGCCTATTCCCTTCTTGGGATGCTGGTCATATTACATGCTAAATGCTACTGCGTAAGTTCAAGGGACGCCCGCCGCCGTCTTCCCGCGGCGGCACCACCACCTGCCGGCTCCCCAAAGAAAGGACATCGGACCACAGGCAGGCATGGTCCATGCAGGGCTGAGTGATATTAGGATGGTGTCAAGAAAGGGCCGATGGGTGTTTCCTGTTTGCATGCAACTCGGTCGTCGGACTCCTGTATTCTCGCGAGGTGTAGGTGGCAACCCCTTGGTGCTCGACAGTGCTAGTGTAGTCGGCCCCGTGTCGCGGTGCAAGTGGAAGATGAATGATCATTGGCGACTCGTGGACAGACTGTGCGCTGTTTGTGGTGCCTGCCCGTCGTCTAGATTGATGGAGGTATGGATGGATGAATGAATCGTTGTACTGTCTGTCCATCACGGGCCCACCGGGCTCGACCGCCATGGATACGTGTGGGCTCTTGATCGTGGTGACTTTTGGATGCCATATCATATCATTGGGAGCCGGGTGGCGGCTGCTTCAACGACCTGGAGGATAATCTAGGTACGCAGGCGGCGAGTAGCAACAGCTAATGCCGGCACGGCAGGCAGCCGGCATGCTTCTAGTCTGTTTCCAGCATGTGGGATTCATTGCCCCTGGCCCTGCCTGGCCTCAGCCTGCGTGGCGTGGTCCCAGGCCAGGCTTCCCTCCTTCCTGCACGACACACACGACACACGAGACACGCCCTGCCGTGACATGACTTCTGCACAGACGCTACGTACCTCGAGGTACATACAGTCCTCCGGCACCGAGCGCAAAACAAGATCGACACAGCCACGAAAGGATGCATGGCGGCCTTGCACATGCCGGCGTTGCCCAAGGTAGTATGCGCAGCCGGGCCCTGCTGCGCAAGCAGGTGTTCCTTGCGCTGCTCGTCCTGCGTCAGAGACAAGTCGGGGCAAAAAAGAATGCAGTCAAAGTTTAGTGTTAATGCCGCCGCCGCCGCGCAGGATCCTCCCTCTTGGCTGGGCACACGTGCGCCGCCCGCCGCCTCCCTCCTGCAGTTCCACCATGCAGGCACAGGGGGTGTTCGTCGACTATTGATGCCAGTACAGACACCGTCCACCCATCCGCACGATGACATTGCGCGTCACTTGGCCACCCTTTTCCGGCATTCGAGACGCTCCAAACTTGAAGCATCACGTCGCCCTTTGGCGCACTCGACCCAGGCCAGTTCCGCACAAGCACGGCCGGCAAGCCCCCTGATCGAGTGGTTGTCTCTCTCTCTCGCTCCTGCTGCCAAGGAACCCGAATCCATCCCAGGTCCAGGTCCACGTCGGTTAGACTTGCTGCCGCGTTGGCCAGAGCGGGTCGAGCCGAGGTTGATCGCGAGCATCATTTATGGGCACGCGAGCTTCAACTTGTGTTATTTCCGGCACGTGTCTTCGGGCCTTTCGTTACAGACGCCCCTCTGGCCCGCGCTAGCATCAGCCCCAGACTGACCCCAGAAAGCAGCAGACGTCGGGCGCATTGTACAGTACTGTAGACGATTCGGTCAAACTTCCCCCAGTCCAGTTCAGAGGGGCTCTAGGCCCCGGGTCTTAGAGTTTACGGTCGCGTTTTTCTTCTTCTCCAGTCACTAACGTTAGTCTCCCGCCTAAGGCCCTCGCCCCGTAGATCATGTTTCGGATCCGAGTCCGGAACAAACCCCGAAAACCGGTGCGCTCCAGCAGTCGGTGGTGGCATAATCAGATCTTGATCTCCATGCAGCCATGCTTGGCAATCTCTTGCCCCCCGATCCCCGCTTGCGAGGCGCGGCCACGCTGATGGCTGAGACATGTCTTGATCTTTTTTTTTCCTCCTGAGATATTCCAGACAACAAAGGACCGATTATGGCGCCGCGATGCCCAATGGGGAAGGGTGCCAGCCCAACGGCTCAATCCGTTCCCCGCAATGTCGACGCTGCCCTGGCCCACTTTGCAATGCTGGACGGTGGACCGGTGCCCCTTCAAAGTCCCAGAACTTCTGTGCAGCTGCCCTTTGGCCTTGGCGCTTATTTTATAATCATGTGGTTGCCCGCCTCATCGACAACAATCTCCATCCCAGCGCCGACCCAGCCGTACAAGTCACTCGAAGTGACCGTGCCAGGAGTCGATGTCGCAAAAATGTCGTCAAACAGGGGCACCATCTGCATGCCCATACACCCTTTCAAAGGCGCTCCTTCGTCGACTGTCCTGTGCGTGCGGAGTGACTTGTCCGGTTCGACCGCATGACGAAAGCCCGTCACAGGATCCACATTGGGTAATTTGCACCTGCCACGCAGTCCCGTCAGTGGTGCGCTGGGTCTAATGCGGAGTGAATATCATGCTTGAGACGCACCTTGTGGTTCGGCAGCACACGCTTGCTACGAACTCCCTGTGGAGACTCGAAGCGCCGCGCGTGAAGCGGATCTTTCTCCAGGTCTCCTCTGAGTACGCTGGTGCTCCCGCAACTGTTGAGAGTGTCAATGAGGTGCCAAGAGTACCGCGTGCTATATTGCTGTCACTTACTGACGATGTTCGGCCTGAACCTATGGAGATCTACCTTCTTGAGGTTTTCGTCCTTGGGCACAAGGGCATCAAAGTCTCTGACACTAGCAAGATTTACCAGGTTGAGAGGATACTAGGGTGCAGAATGTCATGTTAGTCTTGACTCCATCCCGCGGCACACAACGTTCTCCTCCTTTGTCTGGAAGTCTTCCGCATCACTCACCGCGTCCTGAAACCTGGCGACGGGCTGGTAGCCGGCTTCCTCCTGGGTAGGTGCGTTACCAGAAACTTTGCGCAAATGGCCTGGATCGATTCGGAACAAGCCCAGCTTATTGCTGACCCCGGTGAACAAGCGCAGCGCCTCGGGCAGCTCCTTCTCCATGTTCAGCGCAAGCACTGGCTCTTTCCAGATTGTGACAGCCTCGAACGTGTAGCCCTTGTCAGCAATCTCCTTTTCTGACGGGAAATCCAGCGGGAGCATGATTTCATACTCCGCCTCCGCCCGCAGGCCGTTGCGGAGCTTAGCAGCTAGAGTCTCCAGGACCCCGCGCCAGCCGAGCTCTCTCCATGGGAAGCGAATGGTAATGAACGCCTCCTGAGTACGACGAAGGCCCTGGCGCTTCAGCTTGGCCTCGTCGGGAAGCCACAGATCGACTTTGAGGAGGGCAAGACGGGCGAACTGCCTCTGGGTGATGAACTCCCACGAGTGTGTGCCATGATCGCCTTCAGTGGCATCAACTGGCATAGGGAATTGGCTCTTGAGTTGTGCAAAGGTGAAAACTCTGTCGAACTCGAGACCATGCGGCAAGACTCGGCTCTGCGTGAGCTCAGTGCCCGGACATGACTTGATAGGATATACCAGAAGGCCCTTGACTGCGGCCACTTTCGATGTGCCTGCGGGCTCGTCCACAAGATTGCTCCTGGACCGCGGGATTCCTGCAGGACTGTGCGTCTGGAGGAGTGCATCACTAGCTCGAAGTGATACTGGCGGAACCAGGAGAATGATTGGGATAATGAAGGCGAGCAGACCGCCGATCAGACTCAACCAGGAGTTCAGATCTAGGTCGGCTGATAGTGAAACCATGTTCAATTTCGTAAAGGGCCGTGTGAGGTTGACGCAAGTGGCTCCAGCCCCTTTGTCAGCGGAAGCCGCCCGGGTTCTAAAGTTCTTCAGGAGGCAGCAAGGGGACTTTCTGGGGAAGGTAGGTGCCTCGGTGGGGAGCGCGCGTGGCTTTATGATTCGAAGCTACACCAAGCCACTCCTACCATGACCGGCGTACTCTGGCCTCTGGCGTTGATCGACACCAAACCGTAGTATCGTCGGCTTTCGTCAGCCACAAGCCTACAGGCGTGCCAATGGCGGGTGTCTGCGGCTTGATTGGGTGAGACGGCGCTTGTGGCTTGCAAGCGCTGTGCGAGCTCTTGCCCGATCTGTGGTCGACTATGACAAGCCTGTGATTCGCGACTGCCAGAGTTTGGTTTGGGCTGCTTCGAGAACGGTCCCCGCTGTTGATGTTGGTGCCGGTGGCACGATGCCACGGAGCCTTTTCCGCGCAGACGGAACAGACAGATTGTCAGTAGCAATGCACGCTACCGCAGCCGCCCCACATGGCGCACCCTGCACCACCAGAGTGGGGGCCCACGAGGATACACTAATTACACCGTAGGCTGGATATCCAGAGAGAGTTTGCATGTCCCGATTGTACTCCCCAGGGGCACTGTGCTTCCGCGTGGCACACGAAATAAGCTGTCGATTTCGCAGTCCGGTAGAGCTTCACTGGCTGCCGCTGTTGATTCGGCTTTCGGCTTCAGCACTTCCACACTCCCTCGGCCTTGGCGGAGGGGTGGCGTGAAGGTTCGACTCAGCGCCGGATCATGTTGCACCCCAGCCCTCAAGCATCCAGAGGAGAAGTCGTCAGTGGTGGCGCCATGCTGGTCAATGCTGGCAACGGAGTGGAACACGCGCCCAGGTGCCTGTTATCGAATTTTGCAAGATTCGGTCCGGCTTCGTTTTGATTCAAGACTGTCAGAGGCCACATTTGCGGATGAGCACAGAGTTCGGTGGCCGTGGATCTCTCTTGCGACGACCATTACCCTGCTGGTGATCAGAAGGATCCAGCGAAGGGGCTTTCAAAGCATCACCGCCTCGTCGGTCTTATTTGTCAGAGAAGAAGGCAATAGGACTGGGGAAAGCGGGTCTGTAGCGATCCTGAGACGGGCGAAGTATTGGCCGGGCGAAGGCAGGCAGGGTGTCATGGTTTGGAGGATCGACAGCTTATTATTTGCAGGGGCACCGGGACAAAATCCCTGCCAACGCGCGTGATATAGGGCTGTACAGTAATATGAGCTACCCAGTATTTTGGTGTCCAGATGGCTGGAAACTTGAAGCAGCGACTTACACTGGCGAACAGGGAGGTGATTCATTATGCCACCAGCAGGAAGGTCGAAGTAGACGTTGGCGGAGATCGCCGACATCCCAAGCACGAGGTGCCCGTTACAGGGGTTAAAAACCTTGCAAGCTAATGCCTGGTTCTGACAGCATGTGTGTACTGTACATTTGGTGGTGTGGAGAACGACCAGTCACTTGGTATGGCTATTGGGGTATTGATGATGTGTTCTGGTCGTCTGTAGGACAGTCTTCTTGCGGGCATAGTTCAGATATGTCTTGAGATGTGCTCCACTGCTGGAGCCATGGGGAAGGTGCATGACGCCCAGGGTATGCCTGCCATGTGCCAGCTGAAGAAAACCTCCAGTGGCATTGGAGGAGACATTGACAAACCCCCCAAATATGCCACACCACACCACGCCACACCCCGATAGCACACACCATCTACGCACGACTTGGTCCCAGGCGTCAGGCAGGTTTGATTCTTGCTTAGCACAAAAACCTGTCCCTGCAGGCACCCGCCCTCTGCCTACACGCCGCCAGCCCTGCGGGTGCTACAGGTGTCGTCTCTACCATAGTAGTCGGTGCCGTTGCCCCCACTCGCCTCCAGCGCCAAATCCTCCACATCGCCCTGACCGCACCTGACGTAACAAGCTTGCCATCAATGACACGGCGTGGGGTGGCTGGCTCGTCCTATCTCTCAGTGCTGCGGCGGCACATACCGAGCGTCCAGTCGGTCCTAGCGCGAAGATGAGACACAGCGCGAGGAGATGGCGCACACACACACACACCGGCCCGCCACCGGCACGTCAGACTCCGCCAAGCTCCGTCCCATCAGCTTTCCACAGCCCAAGTCGCAAGGGCACGCGTTGCTGGTCGCCGACATGGCGATCCTGGTCGTGCCGGTGCTGTCCGCGTTGCAAATCGGGTCGTGGTTCCTCTTCTGGCATCTCGATCACGACCCCGGACCAGTTCAGCCAACACTGCAACGATGAGAAATCATATACTTCGAACAGGACGATCTCGGCATTGCCGACAACCCCTCGTTGTCTGCAAACACGATCACGGTGCATGATGAGGTATCGTTCCGTGGCGATGGACTCATTCTCATGGCAGCACAGTTTTTATGGCGGGCGCGCCAGTCGCCTTTGACCGACGTCACGCTGTTGACTGTGCTTAATCCTCTCGAAGCACCGGAGTTAATGGATTTCGGGGACTTCTGTCGGGGACATCTGCCCGTGGCCCAGTCGCCCACCGGCGTGATCCCAGTCCGCAGGGCTCCAGAATCCATGGACGGTGCGAGGAGCCTGGGCATGGTCGGCTCAGGACTGTTGTTCCTTGCCCCTTGTTACAACCCATACTTGTTACCTCTGGTCTTCGAGGGTGAAGCGGGCTCCGCCACCCAGCTTGAATAGAGCCACCCCCCCAGACAATAATGTTTGACACCAGGTTGTCACTCTGGATGACAACACCGACGGGCCTGATCAGCTCTGTGGACCTAGCCCTCCATGGCTGTAGCGAAGCGTTGTAAAAGCTTGACCGACCTTGGATGCGTGAAACCTCGAGATTTTATTTGCTTGGACTGTGTCGACTAGGCTTGGAGTCGATGCATGATCCCCCTGAAGGCACCCGTTGTCACGGAGTGGGCCGTACCTAGGTAGGCTTTGGAGGACTTGGCCACAGGCACCAGGCATATGTGTGTCCAGCCGTTTGAGCAGCTCTAGCTCGCGAGTGACCACCCATGGGCTGTCGATGGGGCTATATTCGGCTACAGCCGCGAGCTATCCACCACGAATTGTGGCTATCGATGTCTTTCCACGCCCAGCTCGCTTTATCTTGAAGTCATCAGCGAGCTTATACCTACCCACCAAGACTGGACGGTGGAAATCCTTCCTCACCAGACTACAACAGACCTGGCCATTTCTGAGCACCAAGGTGCAGCCACGGGTACACTTTATCTCGTAAGAGTGCCATCTTTTCTGTCGGCGTACTCCCGAGTGAGCGCATCCAAGTCTACCGAAGGCAGAAACAGTTCCTCTGGCATGGTTCTGGTGCCTGCCTCGTTCGTTTGCGAGCGAGAAGATCGCAGCAGCAATCGAATCCTGCATACCTTGGAGGGCTTGGCTCTCAGGCGATACTCCAGAGTTGCAGGAGCTTTTAAAAGCACATCTTGCACGGTCGTCTCGGACAACAACGATTTACTCGGCATTCCCCGAGCGGTCACCATCGGACACTGCGCTGCTGTCCTGCAGCCCACCATGGCCACGCCAGTCAGCCGGAGGGACGGCAGCAGCAGAGGTGGCAAGGCGAGACCACAAACTGGCAGCGACCATGTCAAACATCGGCGGACGCGATCGGGTTGCTGGACCTGTCGCAAGCGCCGTGTCAAGGTCAGCATACATCCCTGCAAAACGTTACAAAGTCACAAGCCTGATATGAATCTCTGTCCAGTGCGACGAGGCTCGTCCCAAATGCATACGTAAGTAAGTCTTCATGTGGCACACGTTGAAGATGCCGAAACTAAATGTGCGGTCCATGTAGGGTGCCGAAAAGGAGGCCGAGAGTGTGTTTTCCCTAGCGACATGGCCAAAGGTGCGGGCGCATCCGAAACCACAAAGAACAAAACGACATCTCCTGGGCAGGACCGACCTAGTCGTGCCACAGCCTCAGACTTGGATGCGGAATCTGAGTTGGAAGAGGCATCAGGAGAGCCTCATGATTCAGTGCACGACGACAGCCATGACAACCGACTACCCTTCCGTGGGAGGCAGAGAGAACGGGCCAGAAAAGCCTTCTTGGAGCGCCTACAGGATTCCTCGAGCAGATCAGAATCCCAAACCCCATCTTGCGCCAGCTCACAATCTTACAGCCCGTCAGAAACATCAGAACCAGACACGGTGGAAACACGACAACCGCCTCCGCCACCCCAAACAGAGACAGTCTGGGGTCCAGAGAACGTCGACGAACGAGTGCGATTCTATCTGAATTACTTTGTTTGTCACATCACGTTTTTGGATTATGGTCTCACGTGCGACCCGGACAGCTTCTTTGATACGACGCTGCTACAGATGGCAATGCTCGACGAGAACCGAGCTCTGCTTTACGGCATCGTCGCGTTTTCTGCTTACCACCACGCGCTCAAAACCCCGGAAGGGGGCCTTGAAGACTTCCTCGAGTACTACAACAATAGCGTCGCAAGTGTTTTACAAACTCTGAACAGCAGCGAGGAACCTGGGGTATCCACGGCGGTCACTTTGCTCCAGCTCAACGCAATCGAGGTGAGGCTTCCTAGGAACTATTGACAACTTCTACAGCCCATTGACAGAGTCTCTAGGCAAATTTCAGCGACTTCCCACAGCTAGTCAGTCATCACCGGGCGGCCGGCGAGCTTATACTTCGCAATTGCGGGCCAGAAATGGTTGGCAACCTGTCTGCACGAACAGCACTGTTGTGGTATCTGCACTGCGACAGCTTGATGTCATCTTGGTGCAAAATGACGCGTGTCATTCCCAGAGACTACGTGGAGACGCTGGCAGACTTTTATCGCCAGCAAGGGGAAGTTCACCCGAAGACGACGGGCTGGAACATCGCAGCCAGTCACGTTCAGCTCTACCTAGCATCAAGCAGTGTAGCGGACTCTCAAGAGCGGCAGGAACTTGGACACACACCAAATATGGATTCGAACGAAAATCATGCTCTGACGAGCAGTAGACTGCACGAATGGCACGGAGACCTCGACTCGTCATTATTAGACACCGCCCATCTTGCATTAGGGAAACACGACCTTGCATCACCGGATGGCACGGCAGTTCTCGAGCCCTGGCATCAGTCCACCGACGCTTCTCTGTCCACATTGTTTGGCACCACCCTACTGCTGGCATACTGGCACTTCGCCATGCTCTTGCATGAAGGCACCAATTGTCTCTCCCGTGGACAGCAGCCGCCCGAAAGCGTCGTGGAGCATGCCGTACGAATCTGTCAGATCTGGTCGTTCGCGACCTCTCTTCGGTCGGCAAGCTCCTGCATGCCTCTGATCGCTCCGCTGCGAGTTGCCATCCTCTTTCTGCCACGTAATGGTCATTATAGCGGGTGGATTCGAAGAAACCTTGCCATGACAGAAACTCTGGGGTAAGTTCAGTCAGTGTCCTTGACTTTTGGCATGCGCCTGTTTCGAAGAAAACAAAGAGACACCCCCCCACCCAAACCCACCTTGCATGTAGCTGGCCCGAGAGTCTTGTGACTGACACTTTCTTCTGGCTCAAAAAGGAACATGATGGCCCAACCAGTGAGAGCGTGCATGGCGCAAATCCTACAAGACCAGACATGTCTACACTGGTGGTTGTCCAACGAAGAGAACATGACCATGGCGGTCCGTAACGCGCGGGCCATGGCGGACGAGCGATGGGCCGCGAGCTTGAGCTCGACCACAACGACGGCTGAATTCAGGAACAGCAGCAATACCCTGCTAGAGATTGCCGACGCCATAATACGGGTAGACGGAGCAAGCCAAGGTCTTCCGTTACGGCGCTTTCACTAGACTAGATAGGCTCGGTCCGGGGGCATGCAAAGTTGCCCACCAGAAGGGGGGGGAAACAGTTTTGGGCGGCGGTCCTCCGATAATCTCCCGGATGTAAGAGACGGATAGACAAAAGTCACGACACGAAGAGATCCAGCATAGACGACATTATGATAGACGCTGTCACCCCATCGATCAAGCAAAGTCGGAGATTACCGGCTCATCTTGTAAATCTTGATACCTCACAGAGTGTAAAGCACGCCAAAAGTTGGTGTGGCCAGGCACAGCTCAGCAAGACAAATGCGAATCACAAAACTGAGATTCTCTCATGGTGGATGCCCTGTTGAATATCCTCAAATGATTTATTTCAACTGTGCTCGCGCTCGTGATTGATTTCATGGGAAAAGGGTCAGGGCTGTTCTATCCTAACCCCGTATAATTTGTTCCTCCATTTCCCGCCCGTCCCTCTTCATTTTTGGGGGGCGAGAAAGGGCTGGTCCATCTGTCTATGCTAGCAAATCGACGCATTCCATTGTCTTTTTTCCTTTTTAAATTTGTCTTTTCTTCCTTTCTAATTCGCAACTGCTGTGCGTCCCTGCTGTAAAGGGGCCGCATTTTGGAGGATAGACTCGACGCCTGTCATGAAACACAGCAAGGCTCACTTGAATAGGCTCCTCAAGTCCATGAGCTTCTGCTTCGCAGCTTCGCTCTTGTCCATGACGCGGCTGCGGTCCATGCTCAAGCTGGCCAGCTTCATCTTCTTTTCTTGCAGTTCTAGCATCTTCTCCTCGATGCTGTTGCGCATAATGTACCGCACGGTGCGGACGGGCCGCTTCTGTCCCAGGCGATGCACGCGGTCCACCGCCTGCGCTTCCGCAGCGGGGTTGTATTGCGGCTCCATGACATACACGTGATTGCCCGCCGTCAGGTTCAAGCCTAGACCACCGGCCATGATGGACACGAGAATCACATGCACGTCCGGGTCGTCGCGGAAGGCGTCCATTGCTGCCGTCCGCGCAAGCCGTGACATGCTGCCGTCTAGGCGAGTGTAGCGGATGCCTGCGCCGTCGAGAGCGATTTGGAGCAGGTCGATATGCGTGGTCCAGCCGGAGAAAACGACAGACTTGAAGGGCGGCTCGTCCGGGCTGGCCTCGCTCAGCGCTTTCGTCTTGAGCAGATCGTCCACCAATGCCCGCGTCTTGGTATGTGGGCCCGTGTATGTCGACATGGTCTTGACCTTGGCATCCGAGGTTGACTTGGACGACTTGCTCCCGCGGCTGCCGTTTCCGTGCTCGACCTCGGCTTTCGACTTGCGCAGCTCGTTGTACTGCAGGCGCACATGCTGCTGGCAGATTGGGCATGTGCCATGGCCTCGGTTGCCAACCTCATCGTCCCATGCGGACACACAGCGCGTACAGAGGAGGTGGAAGCAGGCCGTGATGTAGCCCATGATGTCTTCCTCGCGCTCGTTCTCCACCTCAGCCGCATCAGAACCGCCAATCTTTCGCTGGCACAAATGACAGTTGTCGTTGCCGGTCTCCTGCATCAGGGCAAAAGCATCATACGCCCGAGCCTCTGCTAGTGCTGGCCTGTCGTCGTCATCATCGCTGTCGAGATCAATAGCAGAGTCGGCGCTCATCCCCTGTACCAACTCTAGATCGGCCTCGCTCAACAGCTCTCTGCCATGCGCAGCAATCAGTCGGAGGCGCAGGATCGACTGCAGGATATGTATGTACACCTTGCCACCAATCATCCTTTCCTGGCCACCAGCAAGAACCTGGACCTTATCGTTGGCGTTTTGCTCGAACAACTGATACAGTTTCAGCTCTGCTGGCGAGAAGTCGAGCCGCACCAGCTGATCTGTTCGTGGGGGGAGGTTGATCCTGTCCTTGAGACGTCTGAGCGTAATGCTGTCGACAAGCACGCGCAGCTTCGGTACAATCTCCGGGTCACAGACTTTGAACGGGGACACGATGAACTGCGTGAACTTGCCTTTTTCATCAAATGGCTTCAGGCGGAGGAAGGCCAGGAGTGCAGCAAGATCGTCCAGCTTGTTCTGTACTGGTGTGCCAGTGACTGCCCATCGGCGATTCGCCTGAAGTCGGCAAATAGCCTTGAACTGCAGCGTAGACTGCTCTCTTATCATGTGCGCCTCGTCCAGCACCACGCGGAACCAGCCGACCTCTTCAAGCGGGTATGAACCTGCTCTTCCTTTATGCCGCGCCGTCACCTCGCTCGCGACTGACCCGTAAGTGGTAATGACGAGATCAAACTCAGCAAGCTTTTTCGCGTCTTTGATCCGGTTCGACCCGTGGTAAATATGATATGTGAAACCGCCTGGCTTGATATGGGCCTTGATCTGCTCTTCCCAGTTTGTGATTGTGCTCAAGGGGCATACCAACAAAGTCGCCTTGCCGTTGTGCGTCAAATGTGTCAAAGCGAGTGGAGTAGGAGCCGGCGCATTGAAGGACCTGGGTGTCTTCGGCGGTGGGGGAGCTTGAGGCTGGACGGGTACCCGTGTAGACCATTCCACGGCCTCGTCCATGGAGGTCGCGATAAGTGAGAGAATGCTCAACGTCTTTCCAAGACCCATCATGTCTGCCAGAATGCCGCCAAAGGTTTCGGGCGGCGGCTCGCGCTGCGCCTGCCCTGTGATCACGTTGTGGTATATCCGCTGTCCATTGTTTCCTATCCGCATCTGCCAGAAAGAGTCCGCGGCCTTGCCGTTCATGGAAAGCTGCCTAGGCTTCTCCTTGTTTGTCATAAAGTGCAGACCCTGCTTCTGGTGCTTCAGCAGCTCAGTCACCACGAGCGGACCTGGCTCCATCTCTGGGAGATCTTCACTCTTCGTCAGGGAATCGAACACGCCCATCACCTCGAAGCGGATCTCTTCCACTGTGCGCATCACGGTTGGCATCGAGCTTGTCGATATCGTGTTTCGATCTTTCATGATACTGGGTGGTTGCGGCATATCCAAAGCTTGAGGGTTCTCAAACTTGATGCCGGCGTCCACCCTAGGAGGATTGCGTAGCCATATGTTCTTGTGCGACAAATGCCTCCCTACCGCTTTCGCTTTTTTCCGTGGTCCGTAAATCATCAGATCCAACGAATAGCTCATCGACGTGGGTTCGCCAGCCTGTTCCCCCGGCTCCTTCTTCCTTGTCGGTAATCTGCAGTCTGTTCGTAGATTCAGGAGGTCTGAGTCCAGCAGAGCTGCCAGCCCAGAGGAAGTTGTAGCGTCAACTGTTCCGACGATATTACGCGTGTAGTCCATGGCGTTTATTGTCAGTGACGGCTCACCCCGATTGCGTTTCAGCATGATCTTGACTATTGGCCAGTAGTAGGCCGAGTTAAGAGAGAACTGCCCCGGCTTCGGTCGTGGGACAGTGTGACAGTTGAGCCTTGCCCCTTGTATCATGCCGTAGCAGATCTCTTCATCTTTCGATTCCTTGATCTCTATGACTTCAATCTCACCATCTGTGACGGCAAACAAGTCAGTCCATGCCCAGCTTCCGCAGGTATGTAAGTCAACTCACTGCCATCTGTCAAGTCAACAGTCTCGACTCCTCGTGCCGACGACTGTTGAGCTGCCTGGTCCCGCTTCTCCTTCACATATTGCCCAATCACGCCACTCCCGCCGCCGCGAAAGCCATTGGCAGAGGGGGAATCTCCTTCCGTCTCTAGCTTCCTCCGTTTTGATTGTGGAGCTGCCGTGCGCTTCTGGACATTGTTCATTCGTTCTATCATGTCGCCAAAGCCATTTCCCTGCGGCGTGTCTGCGCCTGAGCCATGGTGGCTGGTAACAGGGGAGTCTGCAATCTCGAAGACATCGCTGGGAGTAGAGAATTGGAATTCGAACGAGGGTGAGTCAAGAGACGGTGTCGGAGTAGTACTCGTGCGCGATTGGGCTTTCTGCGCAGCCGCGGCAGGAGAGAAGCCCTTTGGATTGAGGAGAAGAGCAGGGTTATATTTCACGCTTGGAACCGTGTTGGTGGTCGCGCTACCATTGGAGGACGTGCCTAATCCGAAACGTAGATGTTAGTATCTTCCTTTCGGCCTGTGTTCCATGGTGGCCGAGGCCATATACAGTGCATGTGAAGTCAAACACGCCTGCCAAGTGAGGCCTCGGTGAGGAGCAGCAATGACAGAAGAGCCAGATGTACCAACTCACCGAATGTGTTATTATTTGGAGGGGCCATGTCGTCGTTGCTTCTTAGCTGTGCACAGGGGCTTAGCGAAGCCTCGAAGCCGGCAGGGAGGCAGGCAAGGCCAGGAGCCACCTCCTGATATCGAGGAAAAGAGAATGACGCTGGGTTGAACCACCGTTCTATTGAGAGCCAAGAAAACTGTGTGAATGGAGCAGCGCCAGAGCCGACATTGCAGAAGTATTATCGAACAGAGTCTGCGGCGCAAACTGGCGAGGGGCGGCGCGCGGATGCAAGAAGAAAGTGTCGTGGTTGTTCGCAACTCTTCGGTGCCGGGCCGTGGCTAGCTAGAGTTGAAGGGTACAGGAAGACCGCACGTTTGCTGTCGTGGGTTCTGGTTGCAAGGCGTGCAGCTGTTGCTGTTCGTGAGCGAGTGCATGTGTTGCGCCAAAGACAAGCGAGTGGTCGGTCGGTGACGCAATAAACCGAGACGGAAAGCGAGCGCGGCGCGCCGCAGCGGCGATGCGATAAGAGCCTCGGATGGGCTGGGGGCCGTTATCTCGTGGAGGGGTTCCGCGAGAATGGCTGGTGCAGTCGGCAGAGGCGACGACCAGAATACCAGAGGCAGCTGGAACAAAGCAATGCAATGGGCGCGACAGAGACTTTGTCTACTATCGTGGGCATGGGAAGCAGAAGAACGAGCATGCAAGTCGCGTTTTCAAGAGGTTGTTGTGGCACCCCAAAAGTCGAGGTGGGCGTTCCTGCCTGCTTGCCTGCCGCCTGCCTGCAGGGTCACGAGGCCACAAACTCGTCGCTCACGCCCAGCAGCCCCTCGCCCGCACAGCAGCCGGCAGTTGCCGCGCAGAGCGTTGGGCCAGTGCAGCCCGCGCCGCCCTGCAGAAGCGGGCAAGGAACAGTGGCACCAGCTGCATGCATCAATGGATCCTCTGCATCGCTTCATCACTCGCACATTCCCATCATCTTCGCTGAGCACCCCCCCAAGATGCCTCAGCCAAGGAGCAGATTGTCCAGATCTGGGCACAGCCGTCTCTGGCCATGCAGCACAAACATTGATGCTGGGCTTGCCGCTCGCTGGTGTCTCTGCTGTGCATGCCTCGATAGCTACACGCAGCTGGGCTTCACCCACAGGCACTTCTCGGCTCTATTACTCGATTCTATTACGGGGGAGCGACCACATGACCTTTGAAGCCTTCAAGATCGACGGCCAAGCACAAAACAGCAAAAGGGACACAATGTGTGGTGCGCGAATGGGGGGACGTGGAGCGCAATTAGACATAGTGTCTGGTCACGTCTGTCCGATCCGCGTGACGAGGCACGGCAGTCCCGAGCCACTGCTGGATCGAGTCCTTGTTGACAACGTTGCAATGTCACTGGTTAGTTCCCATCTAACCTTGGAACCCACTGATGAAGGCTTCCAGTTTATCCTGAATTGATGGCAGAGACAAGTGGAATTGGGCAGCTCTAGTGCAGACGGCTGTGCTCGTACAACCACAACCTGCTCATATTCCGACCTTCGGATGCCATCCATGATCCATCACATCGAGGTTTCCGATTCCCGCCCGCGCGTCCTGGCGTCGAGCCGAGTCAAGTGATGCACCTCTTACCTAAGAGGAACAGCAACCCACTGCCAACATAGCTGCGGATGCCATTCCCTTGCCTAGTCGTCAACCGCATGGCTCCACTTTTCCCCAGGCGTTTGCTGACCACGTGCCACAAAGCACCACCTTTGAGAGAGAACAAGAGACATGGCGTCCAGGCTGCTGGCCCTTGTACTGTAGACGACGCCATGTAAACTTTTTTTCTTCAGTCCATGAATCCCACCTCGACAGACCCGTGGATCTCTGGTGGCATGTCATGGAACCAAAAAGAAGGCAAGGCTACTTCATCTTAAAACCCAGGGAGCCACGGTAGCCCTGGGAGACCACCAGGGCAACCTCCAAGCGCGTTCACGAATGAATGAGTCAAGCTCCCCCCATGCACCGATGGTGACGCCAGACCCACCAGCACGGTTCCCATGATGAGCCTTGTGGGACGAGGACTTTGGACAACGAACAAGCCCACCCTGGCCGGGCCTGGCGTGTGGCACCCAGGGCAGGGATCATGGAACCAACTTGCGGGCCCGCGCAGCTCACAGCAGCTAGCCAGGAGAATTCAAGCTGGTCACATGCACAGTGATGAAATTCTCCGTTTGTGGACTTGAGGAAACACTTTACGCCGTAAGGGTTGGTGGACGTGGGAGTTTCCCAGCATGAACATCCGTCCACTTTAGTATGGGCCTCTGTTGATGGTGACCCCGTCAAGGAGAAGTGGCATAGTTCGCTGCGAGGCCAAGGGCTTCGTAGGCACGACTCTGGCATTCTGCCACAGCAGGGCGTGGGTGTGGAATGGTCTTGCTTACAACGGACCACGACCACGCTGGCGTGGACTGAAAATCTATCCCGATTCACGCCCTCGCACATCTCACGCGAGCAATAAGTGCTTAGGACTACGATCAAAGCCGGAGAAGCAAACTCACAGCGGCATACCCAAACCCCGGGACGGATATCTCTTGCACTGCCTGTTCATGTCATGATGCTGCCATGACTAGAAACAGCAACCCTGGAGTAGTGCTGTCCCCCCTCCAGAATTCCCAGTGTTACACAGAAGAGCTCAAGCTCGGGGTGATCCGAGTCAATCCCACCCGCACAGCGTGAGGTCCAAGGTCAGTCCCATCTCACGCTCGGAGAGCTTAATCCACCACTGCTCCGAAAGATGACCCCCCTCACGGCTGCCGAGCTTGCTGAGATCATGCAGTGTTGGCGCGGTGGGAAACGGATGGTTTGGTCGTTGGTCGTCTCGGGCGTCGAGCATGTGTTGTCAGGCTGTGTAGCAAAGGTCGCTCGACGTGTACATTGGTCAGTCGCCAAACGATGGGCTGCTCCTTCACGTTGACCTAATCGCTGGACTTGAGCCTCTGCTCCCCCCCCGCGTCTTCCCCAAACCGAGGTTTCCTTGCATCCTTCTTGAATAGCGTTCTGGTATCTCTAAAGACAAAGTTCGTCGCTCGACTCACAGATCGCCACTGCCAGAGAGTGAGAGCTCAGATCAAGAGCTCCTCCGAGGTCTCAACGGGCGATGTCTTAGCTGGGACAGAGTCGCAACATGACCTAAGGCGCACCTGGCTGCTGGTACAGAGTATCTTTTCCTATCCTGACGAGTCTCGGAGATGGTGAATCATAGCTCTCTCCCAGCCAGTGCTGGGTCCACTCTCTACGGCTGGGGGGACCCTCCCTTCAGCAGTTGGTACGATGGGTGTCATAATACTTGAGGGTCCAAAAAGTAGTAATGATCCGCGAGAGGCTCGGCGATGCGATTCTACCCCGTGTTTGTATATTGCGTTACGTCTACACATGGTCGTGTGTGATGCGAGAACGACGTCGTTAAGACAAAGCCTGCCTCGAGTGGCAAATAACCGCGGGAGCTTGGGCAGGGAGGATTGGTGTCGGGCGGCGTGGCGGCTCGGTATCGTGATTGCCCATCCCTTAAGCGGCCCACGGGAACATTCACACCGTTGGGGCCATTGTCACCCCGAGGGACTTGGGAAGGAATGAAGAGGGCGTAGTCCCAGTAGCTGGTATAATGTGCCAAAGAGGAAAAGTGAAGGGATGTGAACATTGTGACAGGTGACCTCGGACGCAGACGCTCTTCAGGGTCGCGCCTTTAGCTATAAGAAGTCCTCTGGGTGGCACTGCGGAAGGATCCACAAACGTTGAGGCGAACTCATATACAGACGAATGTGCTTGGTATCATGACACACAATTCGCATTGAATGATGCTATGTTATAATATACTAGACTATTGCCTCTGCTCACGCTAGGCCGCGCTGTTTATGGCAATCAGCGGAGCGACGACAAGGCATTGATACACTCAATCTGAGACAGGAATGAATGGTTGAAAGCTCGACTCCATAGCATTGAAACAAGGGCTGAATCAAGCAACCAGGTAACAAGGAACACCGCGACTTCTCCTCTGAAACATCGGTTCCGCACCCATCAGCCAACGAGCCGACAAAACACTCTTGACCAACCATGGCACGATCATCGGGCATCCTGTCGCAGGACACTCTGGAGAATGCTTGGCGGGCGGACTGACTTTTAACGCCCGTGGAAGCCGTTTGCACTGCGTATCAACGCCGATGGTGTTGGCAAGTAGTTGGTGGTGTTACAAGAGCTTTGCATGGCCCACTCCGCTGTGCGGATGTTTTGGTTCCGCAAGTGCGCCGAAGAGCATGACCACAACGATCATGAAATAGTGGCGCACTGGCAGCCTAGATCGGACCTTTGTTGCCCGGGGGGTGGCCCCAAAAGCTCGCATGCTGTGGAGATTCGTTCGTATGTTGTAATACTGATGATTGGTAATGGCAAACTTGGTGGACAACGCCCATCAGCCGGTCTGTTGGACGCCAATGATTGCGTTCTCGACTGGTCTAATGACGTCGTCGCGCAACAGCTCGTGACGAAGTCCTGACGTGTAAGCCTCCGTGGCAGTGAACTGCGCGCTCTTGTGGGGGTGGTCTCTGCTGTGACTGCGAGTCCTCTGGCGTCTTCGCTTCGAGGCGTCAGTAGCAGCAGGAGAGCGAGAGCGGGAAGGACTCTGGTCGCGACGCCGGTGCATGTTGGCAATGTAGAGGAGCTTCTTGCGGGAAGGCGAGAGGGAGCCGCCACGGAAACGAGACGAAGCTCTGGACAAGTCGAGCCTGGATGTCGACCTGTGCCGGCAGCGACCCCGGAAAGTCGCCGACTCCTCAGAGACAAGATGGGTGTCCTCGCGCTGAAGGTCCGGAGGACTGCGTCTTCTCTTGCGCCCACGTTGCATGTCCTGGTCGGCAGAGGCCACGTGCGAGAAGTTGCTCTCGGCTGCCCTATCGGCGACGTAGTATTGCTCAACCATGTTGGCTGTTGGTTACTGCAATGCGATTGGAGAGAGGCAGTGTCTGAAGAATAGTCGTGGGCAGTGCTCTGCTCGTGTAGGCAGGTGATGGGTTGATGGGGGTGGACGAGGCCGGAGGCTGGTGCCTTATGTAGAAGTCCGAGGATAGGCGGCTGTTCGGCAGTAAGGGAGAGCCGGACGTAAACTTAGAACACGTCGCAGCCTGGAAGACGTGACGAGTGTTTGTTCAAGGGGCGCGCCTCGGCCAATATAAATAGCGGAACGTTCGGGACGACAGACCCATGGGCCGGAGGGACAGGCAGAGCGATACGACCAGGGGTTTGGGTTCTGGAAGAATTTATAATGGAGGTGAACCTTGCAACAGCACGTACGAGGAGCATGAGACGCTTGCACGCCGTAATTACGGGGAGCGTGGAATGTGGGCCGGCGTGTCTGGGACGCCGGCAAGTCTGGGGAAGCAGCGACCCGCCAGGGCACACGGCGTGCGCCAGGACAAGGGTGGTGGCCAGGCACTGGCTCGGCACGGACAGCTGGGCAGAGCGTGCGCTCCTCACCCTCCACTTGGGCCAGCAATGCGCATCAAAGGCCCCAAGCCCAATGGGCCACGAGCACGGGTGGACAGGCAGGCGAGGGGGTCTCGCAAGACAAACCCAACGATCGAGACCAGCCAGAGCCAAGGGAGGGCGCCGTCGTGCCCATCGAGGAACGCGGGCCCTCCCATGGCGCTCTTGGGCAGCCGTGCGAGTTGGAGACGACGCGCCCACAGGCTTGCGATGGGCTCGCCGCATGTCGATGCAGGCAGGGCGGATCGGCACACGACCACCACGCCGGCCTCTGGGCCTGCCCGACTTTGGCCTCGATGGCGTGTGCCTGGCATGCAACCGTTGCCCCTCGCAGGGAGGAGGATCCAGAGCCTGGCTGCGGGCAGCAATGATGATGATCACCTTACGACAACTGTCAGCATCACGCAAACGCCCCTCTCCATCCATCCATCCAACCAACCATCCAAATCCGCCTATCCACACCCATCTGCTTGATGGGCCCCCCCACATCCTCCAACTCAAGAAACTATCCTCACCTCTCCAGCACTTATCTCTCGAGCACCGAGGCACTGATGAAAGTGCCAGTGCTGACTTGTCGTATCTCCAAGCCTGAGACAGCCATGCAACTCTAAAGCGGACCACGAGGTTCTGGGATAGTTTGCGACCCGTCATTCCCTTATCTCCTCTCTGGCCAATCCCTGCCTTCCCTGCCGTCCGTCTTTTCTGCCGACTTGCCGACTGATCAGTCCTAGGTGCTTTGTTTTGTCTCTGCCCTCTACGTACCAGCGACTGGCTGCTAGGTGTCTTTTCTTAGTGCCCAGATGGCCTTGGAACGGAACACCAGGGTGGTCTTCCCCGCCCTTGATACCCCCAAACTCTGCTGCACTGCTAATGCTGGACTAACCGCAGCGGCGGCAGGTGAGCGTGGAGCAGCTACGACATGGCCACCTGGCTGTGACGATCATTCTCAAAGTTTCCGACCAAGACCTGGGCCCGCCGCAGTACGAAACATGGGATGACATGTAGATGCATTCCAGAATATCAATCAGCAAAGTTTTGCCGAGATCGCCACATGTGAGGTGAGATCTTGGCTGCGAGCCTTGTAGTCGTACCTGAGAACCAAGGAAGGGCAGAGCACTGTAACCCTGAATCCACGACAGCACGCGCAGGAGGAGCAACACGAGAGTTCCCTGGGATCTGAGCACAGTTTCAACGTGCTCACTGACATGCTTGCTGCCAACAGTAGCCGGCTCACGTAGGCCTGGCAGGTCCTTGGTTGAAACTTTAATCAGGTCTGACTCCCCCCAGCCATGGCCACCCCATACTTAATGCTCCGCGCCATAGTTCAGCTACTCTGGTAGGCCCCGGGCTCGCATGTGGACGGCCCTGTATTCTAAGGAGGGCCGGACAATTGCGCCTAGCACCAGCTGGAACCATCGAGCGAGTCAAGCACACGAGCAAGTTGTTGGAGGTGATCACGACACCTTTTTCTGTATGCCAAGATCACGTCAAGTGTGAATTGCCGAGCCATCGGGCGTGCCTTGGCCCCTCCTTTTGGTCGCACCGTTCCGCGCAAGCCAATCACGGTCAGATAGGCTTTGTGCTCCGACAGGACACAATCCAACACAATGGATCCTCGTATGAGCCAATGCCCATGCCCATGCCGGTAACGACACCCTCATTTGGGCCTCTGTGGCCGTTAAAGGTGCTCGCCCCGAGTCCGTCTATCCGCTTTGACGCTTCGCCCAACCACGATACTAATCCTCAGCTGTAGAAGGAACAACGTGTGCCGATGCGCTAAGGAAGCATGCTCACGCAGAGTTGTGGAGCCTCGGGACTCCGGGCGTGCCACGCATCCACCACGCTGCGCCTCACGGATTGGAGTGAGACTGGGCTGAGTGTCGGCGAACGCAGTCATCGTATCCGGCTGCTGGCTATTCAGAGAGCACTCGTGCATTAGTTCTCCAGCCACGATCCTGACTTGCAGACGGTTGACAGGCAAGCGATAGGGTCTCGACTGGGCCAGAACATGCATCTCAACTGACAGCAAACGCCACCCAATGTTGAGGTCGATGTTCTTGTAGAGTACAGCCACGGAGTCCAGTAGTGGGCTGTGGCTGACAGACACATTGGCATATGATGGATATTGTCCCTACCAGACAGAAGGCTTTTGCCGTTGGTTTGGGTATGTCAAAGACAGTGGAAGTCAGGCGAGCCATCCAGCCTGGATCAACTCGGCTCTCAGCAGGTGTGCGCTGGCGTCGGGCTGGCGCAAGACATTCTCCGCTGAGCTCAATTATGTGCCCGCGGGGCATCTGGCCAGTGATCTGCTTGCTCAACTCGACACTACCTTCAGATGGCCACTCACCTGCGTCATGAACAGACACCATGCTCACAGAGAGAACAGCCCATGCTCGGCCTCTGGCATGCCAACACCGATCGCGTTAGCAGGGCTTGCGGGGTGGGCGAACGACCGATCCTTTCCTCGGACATCGCGCGTCGAGGGCCTTTGGCTGAGCTCGTTGGCTTGCACAACTTTCCTCAGTAGACAAATCAGACGTTGCGTTGACCCAAACTCGGAATCAGCCTTACGAATGTTCAAAGCCGTCAGGCTGTAGGCTTAGTGTCTGAGACGGACGAGAAGTCCACATTGTTTGCAGTTCGTGTTTTGATCTTGTCTGAGAATGCTACAAATAGGATGCTCCCTCTGCATAGAATGAAGCTCAAGAAGTAAAGTGGTTGGTCTGTGAAGTATGGCCGGAGTAGTTCGTCCTTAAAACTGCCTCGAGGTAAGCAGATGTCAATCAACGTGCCATTCTGCCCTAGGCCCAACACAGTAAGGTGTGTGACCAGGCATGACGTGCGACGTGTTTCCAGGCAGACCGGCCTTGAGCCTTGACAGGCAGCGACTCGCGCAAGCATGCCAGCGGGCCACCTCCACGACGCTAGTTCCGGAGTCGACGCGGCAGGCGGCCCCTGCATTTCGAGATCTTCAGACGACTGCAACGACGACTCGAAACCGCAGAAGCTCCCAGAGGTCAACAGCCTCGTTGTCGCGGCCGCAGTTCGTCCAATTCATTTCCCTTTTTTTCTCTGTCGCGAGGTTGCTTGTCAAGCTGTGCTTCAAGCTGTGGTTACACCAGCAGACGACCACCCCATTACTTCGTACAACTGCCGCCTACGCTACCGATTAGCCCCTTTGCCCCGGAAGCGTGCCACGAACTCAAGGAACAACAACGCGCAAAGCGGTTTACTTTCCTTCTTTCTCCCGCGCGATTGACCGCCGTGTCCGACAGAAGACGACCATCCACGGAACGCGAGAACGCACGAGTGCGAAAACCGTCTGAAGCAGCTCCCGCAAGCAACAACCATGCCGCGGCCGGCCACGACAGGCTACGAACGCCTTGCCCAGGCTGAGGAGTTCAGCGATGACTCTGATGACGATGTGCTGGCCCAGAGCTATACCTCCCTGCAGCCGCAGTCCGGCCCGCGATTCGCACCCATCACTCAGCCCAGAGCCCACTCGGGCATGACCTCGCCGCGTGCAAACACCAAGTACCGGTCGCGTCCCCCGAGGGGTAGAGCAAACTCGGGTGTCGACCTCAAAGCCATCAACGCACGCCTGGAAAGATGGGCGGACGAGATCGCCTCGAAGTTCAAAAGGGGCAAGGGCAAGACCACACCAGGGGAGGAGCAGCGCCCCGAGATTGTCTACAGTGTCTTCCACGCGCCCGAAGGGGTCAGGCCTGCGACGTTCGAGAGCCTTGCGGCCATGCCACCGCCGGCCATGTCCAAGGCAGAATTTGATGAGGTGGTCAAGAGTGTACAGACAGCCATCGACCAGGGAATGCACCCGAGCATGATCACGCAAGGCAGCAGTGGCAGCTACTTTGCTCGAAACACGGAGGGCAAGATTGTTGGAGTCTTCAAGCCTAAAGACGAGGAGCCCTACGCAGCGGGCAATCCCAAATGGAACAAATGGATACATCGGAATCTGTTCCCGTGCTTCTTTGGGCGAGCTTGGTAAGCTTTAATCTTATCCATTCGACATGCCCCTTTCTAACACTCGAATACAGTCTGATCCCCAACCTGTCGTACGTGAGCGAGGCTGCTGCGTATACTCTGGATTGTCAACTTCGCACACATATCGTGCCTTACACCGATGTCATCCACTTGTCCTCAAAGTCGTTCCACTACCCGTACTGGGACCGGAGGGCGTTTTACAGGAAAAAGAAGCCATACCCTGCCAAGGCCGGAAGTTTCCAGGTCTTCTTGAAGGGGTTCAAAGACGCAAACGTGTTCTTGCGGGAAAATCCCTGGCCAGACCAATACTGGTCCGGGTTCCGGTCCACGGACACGCATCGGAACAAGCGGCGACGATGGGCGGACAACTGTCGTCCACGAAGCAGAGCCGCTGGTGAAAGTGCCGACAGTGACGACGAGGACAGCCCTGAACAGCGACCCCTGGGTCCAGACAACTTCAGGTGGACGGAAACCCTCAAGCAGTCGTTCAGAGAAGAGCTTGAGAAGCTCGTCATCTTGGACTACATTATGCGAAACACCGACAGAGGTCTTGACAACTGGATGGTCAAGGTAGACTGGGAGTCACAGGCAGTCTCAATCGCGTCCGAGCCTCCGCAGTTCAATCTGGAAACGACAAACGAAGAGGAAGAGGAGGAGGACGGAGACCGTCCCAATAGACCTGTAACAGTACCAAACAGAGATGCATCACCAAGGGCAGGCGCATACAGGGCACAAAAGCCTATGAACGCGACCGGCACAGGATCCGGCCCGGAGCCATCGATACACCTTGGCGCGATCGACAACTCGCTCTCATGGCCGTGGAAACACCCTGACGCCTGGCGAAGGTCAGTTCTCTCAATCTGCCGGCGACCCGAGACAGCCTTTTCCCCAAGCAATACTGACTTTTCACCACAGTTTCCCCTTTGGATGGTTGTTCCTGCCGGTCGATCTCATTGGCCGGCCGTTCTCCCAGAAGACAAGAGACCACTTCCTGCCTTTGCTCACCTCAAGTCAGTGGTGGAGCGAAACGCAGCTCGCCTTGCGCAAGGTATTCCAGATGGATCCGGACTTTGAGGAAAAGATGTTCTCCCGCCAGATCGCAGTCATGAAGGGCCAGGCTTGGAACGTCGTTGAAACCCTGAAGACGCCTGATCACGGACCCCTCGAGCTGACAAGGCGGGCCAAGGTCTGCGTGTGGGATGACTTGGTCGAGGTGCCCGTGGCTGTCCCTATGAGGGTCACCTCTGAAGAGCGCCGCCAGAAGAATGAGGTGGACCACCGAGCATCGCACGAAGAAGAGATTGACATTGGCGCAGCAAACTCGACTGCTGAACAGAGCACCAGCGCCGACCTGTTGGGCATGGCTAGTCCCTTGCCGCACCCTGGCCGCTTCGAGCTGACGAGCCCGCGTGCGACATCGCCGGAAGCGAACGAGGATTCTCGCGCCACGCCGAACGGCACACGACAGAATCCCTTCGAGGATGCGAACGCTGCAGGGCCCCGGCGGTCACGCCCTGGTGCTGAGCAGCAGGTCTCTCGGACGAGCTACCACGGCCCGTCGCGGTCGAGCCTGAACATGTATAGTCCCCAAACGGAGCGCAGATTCTCCTTTGCGACAGGGCGGCGCAGGAACAGCGGCTCCATTGCGCAGCATCTATTCGGCGACTATGATGATGACGACCTTGAGGGCGACCTGGGTTATGCTGCAGCTGAGGGCATGGATGGGATCCGGAGGAAGGTGATTGTGGAGCGCCTCGAGACGGTCAAGGCAAGAAATCCAGTTTTCACTTGGTGCTAGACCCTGGACGCATACGTATAGACATGTGAGAATAATTGTCGCACGATTGCACAGGGAAAAGGTAACACAATACAGGCCAAATTACAAGCAAACAATAGAGCGTTGAACCATATACTGAGTCGTAGCACGCTACCTGTCGACGGTGTGTGGCGATCCACGGTACGTTTGGCTACTGAAACGGACTCAGCAGCATAAGGGGTACGTGAACGATGACATATGGCGCGTATACACGTATGCCTCCACTTTCCAACCTACTCAGTAGATACTGCCAAAATAACCTGCAAAGCCATGCAGTGATGTGTTGTCCTTGCAGCAAGCATTGCGACGCCTTGGTTGCCGTTCGTGGTAAAGAACCCTGAAGCCGGCCCTGTCAGGCTCGGGTGGGAGCACACCCGCAGCTGTCCCAGAACCTCGGGTCCATGCAGGGGGGCCCTTGTTCTCTGGAGCGGGATTTCCGGGTTGCTGGATGTACTGCGATGCAACGTTCTCTTTGTGTTCGTGTCTCAATCCTACCCACTCACTAATTACACAGCACGATCGGCCGAGTTGAGAGAACCGACGCTCAAGTGCTTGCTAACGCAGACGTTGCGTTTCGAATGATACATCGTTGGAGCTCCTACGGATCAGCATTCGAGACGGGTTAATGACGGCTGGGTGTCCTTTAGGGACGCCGATGGCCCGGCAAAGTACGCGAGACGGTGACTTAAGGAAATGCCTCGGAGGGCCTGTCCCACGACGGTGACTTGATTTCATGCAGCCGAGCAAGTTTTGCCGGGCGCGAGAGCAAGGGTCTCTGCGTCTGCCCATGGATGCTTATAGGTCGCTGCGACCCTGTGACTTCGGCCGAGACCGAGTGTGAGTGTGGCTGGCCAGTTCTAAATGATGGAGGCCTGAAAGATCTGCGCTCCTGTGGACGCAGAAGCTGCGAGACAGAAGTACCGACCGAGGCGCAATCCTCGAGTTGGGACGAGCAGGAAGGCCTCATGAAAGAACACATGTAGATCCGTATCTCGAGCAGCAAACAGGTCTCCCTTCCTGTCATCATGGGAGCTGAGCAATGATGAGTTTGAGCCACCCGTGTACCCGGGTGGTGGGCTTGGCCAAGCATTGGAAGCAGCGATGACCCCTGCTTGCGCAACTACTGATATCCCAACAGGGCGCCACACCTCCACAGTGACAGGCCGACCCGTTCTTTGAGATGGCTGTGAGTATGGTCAGTAGGTTGACCAGATGATCTTGGCTTGGAAGGTTGGATTACCCTCGCTTCTTGTGATCATTGCAGGGTCTGACGAGACGGTTTCAGCGGAAGCGATAAGTGGCCATGGCAGTGGAGGGCGATATCGAGTTTAATCGCTTGCGTTCCTGTCCCAATCTGGCCACCAAATATGTGCAAAGTTTTATGATGTCCCCGGGGAGTGTTTGAGTAGCTGTGGCCCGAAAGCTTGACAAGGCCAGGATTTTCCTGAACCCGATCCGGGCAATCCTTGTTGTTATCGAGACATCCGATCAGAAGTGCGCTGGCCGTACCTATCCTATTCGACTCGGGCTCATAATGAAGGATACCCTTCGGGGGTGTTGTGGTCATGTCCACCATCTGGCCAACCTAGTCCAACTCCCAGAACCATACTTAGTGTAAGTACCATCGACAGTTGCTGTGGAAAGCGTCGAGTACGTATACTGCCACCGGAAGCCGCAGGACGGCAGTCTCACGACGCACCTGCTCCCCCTTCCTGCAGCAATCCCGGCAGGGACATGGAAGCTGCATACACCTTCCCTAACGTAGGGATGAACCATGATCCAAGCCTGTCTCCGCCGCGCACTTTTGCAGTCGCAATGCATCGGCCCTGCCGCACGAGGAGAGATCTTCCTTGCATAATTCGTGAGGCAATAGTGCTTGGGCAGCATGGCAGACTCTGTTGACAAATACTCATCACATCAGTTACCCCTGTCTATGGCCTCCTGAACCGAACCACTAGACACAACCCTTCACGAACCACGAAACGCACGACTTCTTCCTTAAGGCCATAGCCTGCAAACTGCCAGGAAGAGTCTTGGTATTCTCGACGGCGCAATCAGGCATGGCTGAGTGAGTCTTGTCGCCTCAATGACTGATGGCATGCACGACCGCTAACAATTCGTAGTGGCCCATCCCCTGAGGCTCTGCCAGATTCTGGTAGCGATCCCGAGGACAGCATGCTCTCACTGCACAACAGAGTCTTCCATCGTTTCTCGATAGACAACTCCATATCCTTCGTGCCTACCGATCATGTATGTTGTCGACAATCCGGCATGCTACTTGTCATGGTATCCAGCAATGATTAACCCCGTTCTTGGCGGCAGGACGAGCACGAACGGCTACTGCTTCAGCACGCTGCATTATCAATTCTGTCTTACGGCGAGACGATCTTCGTACCTGAGACCTCCCTCCACAGGCAGACCATCCGGCGCGTCCTTGACTGTGGTTGTGGAAACGCGATTGTGAGAGTTTCCCAGTCTCGCTTCTGAGTGTGACCGACATTGATCAAAAACGAACGCTTTGCCCAGTGGTGTTCCGAAACTGTCAAGAGCCTTACCGCCATCGGCAACACAAATTTTGAGGTACGCTTGAATGCAGCTCCACAAATCTCACTATCACTCCTTTACGAATGTCGGTTCCAGATTGGGGAGGCTACCAAGTTGCCTTGAGATGGGCGCTGACAAGTTTGCTCCATCAGGTCACTGGTGTGGATGTCAACGATGTGATGCTACTCAACGTCCTCGACCAGCCAGAGAACCTATACTTCGACGTGTTCGATTTGAACCAAGAGTGCGTAAGACAAAGGGTAATACTGGCGCAGACAGTCTCCTGCTGATGCATGCTATAGCTTTCGAAACAGCCCAGAGACATTTCCTCGCAACCATTTCGACTTTGTCAACAGCCGAGATGTGGCTGGAGGCATCAACTCCGGCCGTTGGGATTCCTATATCCGAGAAATCTTTGGAATACTTCGTCCTGGTGGCTGGTGTCAAATGGTTGAACTGGACTTGGAGTCTCAATCAGACAATGGCCGACTAGGCGATGGTTCGTAGCTGCCCCGAGGTTTTACTAATATGATAACCATGCTCACTTCGCAGTACAGGAAACGCTTTGCGAGAATGGTCCAGGCTGTATCAGAACGCAATGGACAAGCTTGGGAAGTACTCAAAGATTGGGCGCGAACTTGGGCCAAGACTGAGACGGGCGGGTTTCACAGATGTCGACAACAACTCGGGCAGGCCATACGTCTTCCCGATGTGTGGTTGGTCGAACGGTGACTTTTCCAGTCACTGAGAGCAAAGTAGAGAGCAGCCACTAACTCTTCGCATGTAGGCCAGCATGAGCACCACGTAAAAATCGGTCAAAGCAACGAAGAGAATGTCCAGCGCTTACTTGGGTCACTCTCTCTGTATCCTTTCATGGAAGTACTGGGGTAGAAACATGAAAACACGTTAAGCTAGCTTTCTCAATCGCTGACGAACTCGCCAGGATGCCATACTCAGACTACCATCTCCTGCTGGCGCGGGCCAGAGCAGAAGCACGCGATATTTCTCTACGGGTTAGTCCGCAACTCCAGAGGAAAGCCTAGTCCAACAGTTCCTGACTATCATAACCCCAGCCTTATTTCCGTGTGTAAGTGCTGTCACAACAGTACACTACATCAATAGTGCCCAATATAACCTAACCCATTGTCACAGTTATGCATGTATTGGTCAACGGCCGGTGTGACCACAGGTAGGACTAGAAGGCCCAGTTGATACCACAAGTCCGCAACACACCCTTTTGCCCAAGACTTTCGCTTCTCGGGCCACATTCATTGGCGATTTGTTGGCGATCCAGACATACATTCTGCCTAGGAAACCTGCTGGGACCATGCCAGCTGTTGGAAGAGCCTAAGTTAGACTACACCGTAAGTGCGAGCAGTCGAATCGTCAAACATTCTTGCCCCTGTTCATGTAGAATTCTAGAAGAAAAAGTCTTGCTGTTCGCATAAGACGCGCTTTCAGGAGAAGACCTCATCATGCTTGCATCGTAGGCTGTCTTTGTCTCGATCTTATTTTCTTCATTTTGCATTCATATGAGCATGATTGAAACAGACCTCAGTGAAGTCGTCAGAACCTTGTGTACTGAATAGTGTTTTGAACAATACGAACGAGCTTTCAGATCGCAGCCAGCTCTGTTCTGGGATATCACAACTGGCGGGCACTCCCGTCTACGGTGGAAGCTGAATATGGATTACAGCCCGAAATACAACGTAGGTACACTTGAGAACCTTTATTCATTAAATACCTCACAGAAGCGCCTGAATCTACCGCATTACTATAGAGGTGACGAGTACAACCTGGAGAGATATGCAGCTAAGGTCGGCACGGAGAGAGAGACAGCCTTACTGTTTGTGCACTGTCTTAGCACTGTGACGGAGCTTCTCGAAGACGTTACACCGAATTGGCCAATCAACATTTTTCGGTGTACCAGCTCTCCACAACACTCCACCTGCACACCATCGAAGCTACGACTTCTGTCAACCCACGTCCACGAAGCGTTTCCACAGTCCATTCTGTCGTTTCCAGGTTCACTTAGACGATAGCGACTTGGCAGCAGGTTCACACAACCTGCCATCTTCCGCCACTTCACACCTGTCCTCCACAATGGCTTCCCCCGCCTCAAGCCGCATGGCGGCCAGCAGCCTGCTGCGCGCAACCCGCACAACTCTCCCAAAGCCTCTCCGCCAGCCAACCACTGCCTCCGCCGCCGCCGGTGCTTCCGGTCTCTTCTCCGCCTCAAACAGCCCAGGCTCGACGCGGCGGCACTACTCGAGCGACCTGCCTCCGCCGCCGCCGCTGCTGCAGAAGCTCAAGGCGGACCTCAAGACGGCCATGCGGGCCAAGGACGCCCCGCGGCTGACGGTGCTGCGGTCCGTCCTGGCCGCGACGCTGAACGCGTCCAAGACGGCGACCCCGATCACGACGGACGCGCAGCTGATTGCGCTGCTGCGCAAGACGCAGCGGGGCAACGAGGAGGCGAGCGCCGAGGCGCGGCAGGCGAACCGGGCGGACCTGGTGGAGAAGGAGGAGGCGCAGATCCGGGTGCTCGAGGAGTACGTCGCCGGGTCCGGGGTCGAGGAGGTCACGGACGAGCAGCTGAGGCTCGTCGTGCGTGGGGTCGTGTCGGCCATGACGAGCGAGGGCGAGGTCACTGCTGGTGGCAAGGCCAAGATGGGCGAGGTCATGAAGACTCTGCTCGCCCCCGGCGGACCGCTGGAGGGCAAGAGCGTCGACAAGGCGCAGGTTGCCAGGGCTGTGAAGGAGGTTGTCGGTTAGACTTGGTTAATCCTTCCAGAAAAGAAAAAAAAACGGGGGAGGCGGTTTTCATGGGGTCTCGGGCAACTTTTGGGAGGAGACTTTGCTGCAAGGGGCAGTGTGGCTCGTGGAAGTGTAACGATTATGTACAAAAGACGACAATGTATAACAGAGCAATGTGACCTCGACGAGGGTGTTGTCTTGAAAGTGGTAATGCTTCATGGTTCACGTTCTTGACTAGACTAAGAAGTACTACTCCAAGGGTTAGAAATGAAGGTGAAGTTGTCTTCAGACCCCATCCATCTCTGTTTGGTGCCACTGCTCTGTGTGGGCCGGCAAGAAACAGTCCAATGTGTGTTTGCTGGAGGGCTGGGGGGGGGCTCCGGTCCCCATGATGGCAAACAATGACACCGGGTGTTGTTTTTTGGGTGGTTTGTCTCTTGAGAGTTTAGTACTCTGGTAAAGTCGCTATATTATGGACATTGACCATTGTGCCTGATCTGGTGGGCGACCACTTTGAGACGGCGAATCAGAGAGGGCCTCGACCTGCATTCGCCAACCACGGCACTTGGGCCAGACAGACAGCCTCTGTGGGTGGGAACCCCAGGACGACCGGGATTGCGGGCGGACAATGCAGGCAGGGGTTGTTCGGCCCCGTGCGTGCAAGCAAGCAAGGCAGCCAAGAGTTGACGATGACTGCCTCAGGTCGCCGTCATGTTCTTGTCAGCCTGCCACGACACCTGCCGGGTGCCTGGGGCGAGCCAACTCAAACCCCCAGCCTTGAAGGCTCAAGGTTCTGGGGCCTTCTATTGTGCCCCTGGTGACTCAGTGTCCCCTTTGGGCGGTTGCTTGCTGCCTCTGGGGCGCTTCTCTGACACATGCACTCCCGTATCCGGCCTGGGGCGTTCCCGCCCGCCGCATGGCATGGAGATCCCGCCACTAAGCCAGAGCTTCCCCTGCCGGGCAGCCCACCTTCTCTGGCTTCCCCCTCCAAAACATCCGCACGGCAGTCCGCGCACATCGCTCCTTGGCCCACGGCCCTTTTCCAATCCTCGTGCTCACACGTTGCACCCAGCACCGCCGACAAACGTCCTCCAAAATCATTAGAAAACTCCTGAGCGACAGCCTCCGGGCAGGCACCTGTTGTCCACCGCACCCAGCAAGCCCCGCCAGACTGACGGGTCCCGAACCACTACATCGTCATTACATCATCCCAGCTTTGCCAGCAACGGCTACATTTCCGCCCATCATGTAGGTCCAATCCCAAGGCAAATTGTTGTATAGCCATGCTCCCTGTGAAGATCATGGAGCTGACATCGCCCCTAGGCGTGTCACCCTCAACGTCAATAATCCGGACATGGACGAGCAGGACCTTCGCCTCATCACCCTCGACGTCTACCCGGAGATGACCATCGATACGCTCCGAAGCGCCATCGCGGCCGAGGGCATCCCCGTGCCCTCGCAGCACCTGTACCACAACGGCCAGCTCGTCACCGACGACTCCCAGACTCTCCAGGCCCTCCAGATCTCCGACGGCGACATGCTCGCCCTGCACGTCCGTGACATGCGTGGCAGCAGTGCCCAGAGCCAACAGCAGCAGCAGCAGCAACAACAACAGCAGCAGCAGCAGCAGGCGCAACGGAGGGCAGGCGCTGGAGCTGGTGCAGGCAGCGTTGCGCAGGACCCAGAGATGATCCGGCTGCAGATATTGGGCGATCCTCAGCTCAGAGCCCGCGTGCAGAGCATGAACGCTCCGCTCGCCGCCGCCCTGAACGACCCGCAGCGCTTTGCACAAGCCCTGAGGGATACCGCTGGCCAAGAGGAGGCTCAGCGGCGGCAGCGGATGCAGGAGATTGAGGCGCTCAACAATGACGAGTTCAACCCAGAGTCACAGGCCAGGATAGCCGAGATCATCCGGCAGGAGAATGTGATGGAGAACCTTCAAAATGCCATGGACCACAACCCCGAGTGTAAGCACTTCGTCCGTGTGTGCAAACCCGATCTCTTCTTGCTGACAAATTCATTACAGTGCTCGGCCGCGTGCACATGCTCTACCTTAACGTCAAAGTCAACGGAGTCGAGGTCAAGGCTTTAGTCGACTCTGGAGCCCAAGCAACCATCATGTCGCCAGACTGTGCTGAAAGGTGTAACATCATGCACCTGGTCGACAAGCGTTTCGCCGGTATTGCCCGTGGCGTCGGCACCGCCAACATTATCGGCCGCGTGCACTACACGATGCTCCAGGTCGGCACCAAGTACCTCCCTGCGGCGTTCACTGTCATGGAGGGCAAGCAGGTCGATTTATTGCTTGGGCTGGATATCCTGAAGGGCCACCAGGCCATTCTTGACCTTTCTCAGAACAAACTCATCATCCAGGGTGAAGGCATCAGTTTCCTGGGCGAGTCCGACATTCCTAGAGAGACTGAGGAAGCTATCAACCAAGAACCAACGGTCAGCGGCCCTGGTGGTACGACGATTGGTGCGCGGTCAGGCGCCGTGACAGGTCCCGCAGCGGGGACCTCAGCTGCTCCTTCAGCTGCACCTCGGCAGCCTGCCCCTCCGTCGCAGCCTGCCCAGCAGCCACAAAGCCAGCAACAGTTCCCAGAGTCTGAGATTCAGACGCTGATGTCCCTGGGGGCGAATCGGCAAGCGGCGATCCAAGCTCTCGAAGCAGCCGAGGGCAATGTCGAAGTGGCCGCTGGGCTTCTTCTTGACGCCTAGGCTCGTGGCCAAGAGGAGGAGTGCATTATTAGATAGCAAGGCAGGTGTTCTCGAGGCAAGAAGCCCACTCTGAAACATCACGAACAGAAGAAATCAAGCAACACAGACCATATCCTGGTGCATCTCGGACAAAAACACACTCATGTAAGGGCAAATTGGCATTGGCGTCCGTAGCAGTTCATAGAGAAGGCGTCCTAGCGTGAAATTAAGATTGTATTCGTATGTGCAGGCTTTCCTTTTTTGTACGTCTTCGCTGTGGTTCGTCCAGCATGCGGTGGTGATTCCACGAGCTCTTCAATATTACAATCTAAGCTGGACTGCTGCCCTTGATTTTATTCCTCTTGAAACAACTGCCGGGCCCACCATTGACCGCTTGTCCCATCGGTAAACAAGTCGCCTGTGTATCTCAAACTTGAGGAACCCACTCTGTCTACCGAATCTTGTACAGGCAAGGCTTGAGAATCCCGCTCTCGGCAGCCTTGCTAGACTCGTCGTCGGCGCTCTCGACAAACTTTGCCGAGACCCGGCCCATGCGGGAGTCGCGGCCCCGGATAGGACCAGAGGCATTGTTATCCCCGCCAGGGTTGCCGCCTGCCGGGGGGAACGCGTTCTTCCCGACGGTCGCGGGGGCGGCCTTGACGAAGTGCATCTTGACAAACATCTTGTTGCGCAGGTCGGCCTCCCCCTGCAGGACGAAGCCGCGCTTGCGGAGGGCCTCTACGAAGGCGCGCACGTCCGTCTCGTTGCGCCTGTCCTCGGCCCCGTCGACCTCGACGGCCAGCGCGGCCTCGCGGGCCTTGTCGGCGGCCTCGGCGTCCTTGCTCATGGCCTTTTTGTTGTTGGCTGCCGCAGCGGCCTTCTTCCTGTTGCCTACGCTGTGGGTGACCACGTTGTTGCCGCCGCCTCCGCCGCCGGGTGCCCTCTTGCCACCGGGCGCGCCAACGTGGCCTAGCCGGCTCTTGATCTCGGCGACCCAGAGCTCGCCTTTCCAGTGGAGCACGCGGTACGCCTCCTCGACGAAGTCGAGCCAGTTTGTGCCCATGAGGGCGAGGCAGAAGATGGCCACGTTGACACTGCCGTCGGCCAGAGGCAGGTTGGCAATGTCGGCGCGCGTGACGTGCGGGCTGGGCGACTGCAGGTCGTAGCTCAGGATGTCGAGGCGGAGGGCCTTCTTCTTCGACTGCAGCTCCGAGGCGAGCTTGGCGTCGCCGCATCCGAGATCCGCTATCGTGCAGGTCCCGCTGGTGCGAGGTAGAGGTTCCTGGGCGAAGCTGGTGTTGTTGCTGCTGCTGCTCCGGCCATTACCACCACCAGGCTTGCCCTTGTGCGGGGCCTTGATCTGTGCGCGCTTCTTGATGTCCTCGAGGTAGCCGTCCACGGGATTCTCTGGCCAGACGTCGACCTGGCGCCGGAACCCCTCGTGATACTGGCTAAACATCTCTGGCTCCTTGTCAAGCAGCTGGAACGCTTCCGCGGATGGCCGCGTGTACAGCAGCTCGTTGAGATGGCGGAACCGTGACGAAACGAGCTTCTCCTGCATCTTGATCATCATAGGCGTCATCTTGGGCCCTGGAGATGGCACTGCCGTGGTCGCCATGGCGAGGGTCGTCTGCGGGTTTGTCTGTTGTGAGGACTTGTCCTTCTTTGGTTGCTGTTGGTCTTGGCCTCCAGCCGCCGGCTCGTTGTCGCTCCGAGCCTTCTTGTTCTTCTTGGCCTTCTTTCTGGGCCCGTCGGCGAGAGTCTCTGAAGTGTTGTCTCCATCCTGTTGCTGCTGCTGCTTCTGTACTGACGGAGAGGACTGTATGGGCTCAGCTGTCCGCACCTGGTCCTTGGATTTCTGTTTTTTTGACTTTTTGCTCGCAGCATCAGAGGCAGCTTTGTCGTCCTCCTGTTCCAAAGTTACTGCGGTCACTACCGCGGCAGCGGCCTTGCCGCCCTTCTTGCCATTGTCCCTTGGGCCTTGCTTCTGAGCATCACCGGCCTGCTGCGTCTTTGCTTTCCTCTTGTCCCCAGCGGCGGGCTTGCCCTCGATGACCTTTTCCCAGAGATCTGCCACGTTGAGGCTCGTCACATCCGCCTGCGGCCGCTTGCGCTTCTTTGAGGCGGCCTTGGGGTCAGAGTCTGCGGCATTGGGTGCTGGCGCAGCCCCTGTAGCTGTCTCGGCCTTGAGCTTGTCAGCCGAAACCGACCAGCCCTTTACAGCAAACATGGTTCGCGGCTTCTTGGGGAGGGATGACAGGTGGTGCAGGCGCGCCGCCGATGGCAGCGTTCAACGCAAAGCAAGAAGAGGCCGAGGGAGAAGATAGGTGTGACGACGATCAAGCAGGCCTGAGTCTGGATGTGGAAGCGGTGCGTAAGAGCAGGCAATGTGCAGAGCTTGGTACTGGCTGGTAGGGGTGTTTTTTTTTGTTTTCCAACGAAGGCGTTGGCTTCGGTCGTGCTCAAGTGAATATCACAGCTTTTTTTTTCTGCCCAGAACTACCCGATCACTCTTCCAGGCTAAGAGCTCTAGAGGCGACAGGGATTAGTTATGCGCATGGGTGGATGCACGGGCGAAGGTACCCCACTCTTTGCTGTGGGTTGACAGGCCTCCACTGGCAGGTGCGTCTCAGATGCAATGCAATCAATTGAATACCATAGTATCTCCAACCACCAGCAGGCCATCCAGCCAACCATTCACTCGAGTCCTACGCCAGTCAAGATTTGCCGCGCGGATTCAATCAAATCAACAGAAACATGAGTTACATAAGTCGTTTCATTTCGGGAAAGATGAAGGGATGCCACGCAGAGTGCCAGCTCTCAAGCCATGACGATATCTGAGCGGCCAGGAGCCTCAAACTTCGCGTGCACCCGCTGCATGCGAGCCACCAGGAGGACCCTGGGCAGGGAAACCCCCAGCAGGGCGGGCGCTTCCGCGTCACAACCGCGGGTGCCAGTGAGGGCCGAAGCTGTTCCGATCACGACCTTTCCGCGCTGCCGGAGACATTCAGAGCAATGATGACGCGGCTTCAGTCCATCCTAATCCGTCTCATGGCCACTCGACCATCGGGTATGGCCCCGAAACCCAATGGCCAACAGCGTTTATGACGGCTCAACGGGCTAGCACTTTGTGTGTGTGTGCCTCGACGTGTCAGATTGCCCTGCCCCACAGGTCGTCTCGAGAGCTGCCTGATGTCACACCTCTTTGCTCAAAGGCTAAGCAAGTGGACGACAACTTGGTATGTCCAATGATTGACCTGTTCAGGAGGGCATATCCTCCTTAGGACTCCTTAGGGAGGGAGACAGTAGTCATGCCTGCGACAGCATAACTCTATGTATACGCCAAGACAGGTGCTATTACAACTCTCAAGACATGTGCCCTTTTGCATGGAGCATCGAGATAACGACGCAACGGTGCTGCCACTAATCTCCGTACCAGAATCGCTGTTGAAGAGGACGAGGGATGTGAAACTGGCAACACGAGTGGCATGGGTGCCTGCGTCCGTCCGTACCGATTACCCACAAACTCTGCAATCACCAGGCGAGAGAAACAGTGTTGCCTGCCTCATCAATTCACTGGGTCTTGACTCTGTCAATTGAAATAATTGGGCAACTCGGTCTCCAATATCGACCAGTTCGCTTTGGCAGTCACCTTGCTCTGCCTCGAAACAACCATTTGAACGCCGAGTCGACAGATGCTTTTCCACGCGCGGTTGCACCTCTAAAGTGGGCCAGATCCAGTCGCACGAGGGGTATCCAGGCCTCCGGCCTCGGGCTAATGCACGAGCTTGTGACGAGCATGGCCCGGATGGGAAGAGGCTCCGGGGAATGGCGCGGCGTCAGGGCACTGAGCTTAGAGTCCCGCTCAGGGATGCTCCAGCTCGACCACGGCCTAGACTGTCGGCACTACATGGGAAGAGCGGAACTTTGGAGTGACGAGGTTTGGGTCATCTCAGCATGTGGGCTGCCGTTTGTGTCGCTCCGAACACTGTCCCACGTTGCCTTGCTTGTGCAGCCACTGCAGGCATGCCTCCGGGTGCTGCCATCGGCTCCAGGGGTAGACACCGGCCACGGACACTGGTTCATATTGCGACAGGTGGGAGATTTTACCACCTTGCCAGTGGCCACCAGCTCACTCATCGCTCCGAGACTGCGGCACAGAGCACCAGCACGGCAGGCGATCGCCATAGGGCGTGCAACGCGCTCCCATCGCTTCACCGACCCCCAATGAACCCAAAGATAGTCTGAAACGACTTACAAGGGTAAACGCTTTTAAAGTTCTTAGACCCCACCATTACAAACGACCTTTGCTGTGTCCTTCGAAGCATCTCCTCCGACATATGACATACCTTCCTCACTTGTCCTACTGATCACCGTCGAGCATTCATAATCGTCAATATTAGTACCCCCTGCTCTTCCCACGCCATCTCAAGCTCAAGGTGCCGACCGCTCCGTCTTCGGTTGCGACTGTCGAGGCTGGTCGTTGCCGACTTGTCGAATTGTCGCTGGCTGTGGGCTTCTCCAGGATATTGACGACAAGAACCGTGGGCAGTCGTGCGGGTCGACCATTGATGTTCACCTCATGCGCCTGATGCAAATGCACTCTTTCGCCGTTTTGCCTCCGGATCCAGCGTCGTAAGACTATTTGCTTGCGCATAGGGATGCGACTTGCGCGACAACAGCCATGGAGGCCCAACCCGACAAGCTCGATGGGGACAGCCCCAATGGTGATCACCAACCCCCAAGGGACGGCGACGATACTGCCGATCCCTCTAGCAGGAAGGCTGCAGTCCGGAAGCGCACCAAAACCGGCTGTCTAAGTGAGTATCTAGGGCCTCCACTCAAGAGCATGATGTTCGTACTAATGCCAGCAATAGCCTGTCGCAAGCGTCGCATCAAATGTGACGAGGGCAGGCCGACTTGCAATAATTGTATCAAATCGAAACGCCAATGCGAGGGCTACAACCAACGTGTCGTATTCAAGGAGCCGCTAGGCATGTATGCTGGACTTCCCATGGGCTCACTCCAATATCATGCCCGCCCTCCTCACGTTATTATGCACCAAGAGCAACAGCAGCAGCTTCCGGCGCAACGAAGGCTCTCTACCCAGCCTCTGCTGGCGCCGAAGCCCTCGCTAGGTGGACCGGCCCCCCCAGCTTTACATCCTCACCAACACATGTACCCTCCCGATGGGGGTTCTGCTCTACCAGCGCCCACGGTGTATGATGGATCTCAGCCGCCCCTCACGAACTCGCAAGATCATACCTATATGCCTGATCTTGGCCAAGACACTTTCAGAGCCTACCCGCAAGATCAGTGGGTGGGAGCGGCCAGTGTTGGTATGCCTTCGGCGGCAGGCATCTCAGATGCTTCTCCAGAGCAGGCCTTCCGGAATCCCCCGATGAATGAGGGGATCGCACGGCCTCATGTGGAATCAGACGAGATCCTGTTGGAACGCCGACAAGATTATATCGGCTCTGAGCAGCTACAGGAATGGGAGTTCGAAGATTATCGCCAAGACGAGTCCATGGACGAGTCCGATGAGGGAACGAGCGCTGCAGGGCAAATGATACAGCTGCGTGGGCAACAAGCTGGGATATTCGTCGCACATATGCACAGGAACCCGCGCGACCCCTTGGGCACACAACCTCGGAACTTTGAAGCGTTCCCAGGCAATAGCATGGCTACGTACGATCCTGAGCCATCACAGTCACCCTTGAACGACGAACAGATTCGCGCTGTCTTTTCGCACTTTATCCGAGTCACTGGACCAAGCATATCTCTTTACGAGCGTCATAGCCACGATGCTGGCATTATCATTGACGGTCGACAACTGGCGCGATCACAACGTCACATTTGGGCCTGTAAGTGATTCGCATAAAGGGTCGCTTCGCAGTTGTCTAACTGACATGTTACTCTAGCCACATTCCCCGTTCTCTCCTTTAGCCACCCTGCATTGTTGCAGGCAATCTTGGCAATAGCAAGCCTGCAGATCGCTCGCTTGGAAGGCAACCAGCCCACGGCATCGCTGAAGCACTACCACTTGGCTCTCCGAAGGATCGCTCGAAATGTTGGCCGTCCTGCCAGACGAGCTCAGCCCGCAAATCTGGCTGCTACATTGCTGCTCGCATATTGGGAAGTGTGGAACTCAGATCATGAGAAGTGGTGCCGGCATCTGCTCGGAGCACGGTGGATCATGAAAGATATTCCCTTCCTGAGCATGTCGAAAGCTGTGCTGGCACGACGCATAGAAGAGCGCTATGCACGCGAACAGATGCGCACTAAAGCTCAGATGAACGGTTTCGCTGACTTTATTGACGAGGGCGATCCGATCTATCTTTATCGTGACTGGGACAAGATCGATGCACCCCTCCTAGGTGTCATCTCGGGGCAAGCGGTACCATACGCCGACCACGGCTTTGACAGTTGGGACGAGAACTTTCGTCCTCATCCCAGACAGCCAGTGACGAACAAAGACGTCGAAACATACGAGACATTGAGCGACTTGTACTGGTGGTACTGCAAGATGGATACCTATCAGAGTATTCTTGGAGGACAGAAACTTTTGTAAGCCCTCCTTCCCAGGACACATTGACAAGCTCACTAACGACAGTGAAGCATGGACTATAACAAGTGGATGGCCTGCCCCCCACGCGCTCCGATTGGAAGACTCGATGCTGTGTAAGTTTGCGCAGGTAGAAACCCCTGGGACTAAAAGTACTAATCCGCAGACAGTTATGGAACATTCGACCACCTCATGTTACTCCTCGCGCGCATGTCAAATTTCAATACACGAGATCAAGCCCGAAAAAAGGTCGCTTTGAGCAGGTCGCCACATGGACCAAAGGCCCCGCCTCCAGGCACATTCCCTGGCCTCGTCCCGGCATCTGGGAATGTCCCTCTGCCAGCGGGTTTCAGCCCACCTCGAGAGACCACTCCAGAAGACCAGGCTTCACAAAGCGAGCTCGACTTTGACGCACAAACGGCCGCGGCGCATCAAGAATGGGGCAGCATCAGACATGCTTTTGAGGTCTTCAAGAACGCGCTTGGTCCTGACTTTGCACCACTTGATGCCGACGCTTTTATGCCTCTAGACACGCCGTTCGGGCCGTCTCGTCACTATCGCACGTTTTCGGTCGCGGGCATCTGGCTCAACTACTACATGGGCTTGATTATGCTCTACCGGGCTCATCCAACCATGCCGCCTATCGCGATGATGGCTGCGGGCCTGCAGGCGCCAAACACTGCAGAATGGGCCATGGAAATCGGCCGGATAGCCGTGGGAGTTGTCGAAGACACTTCAGGATCGACGGTTTTGAGCACCCTCGAGGCTGCTGGACTGATCGAGAGTGGAATCCCACTCTTTGTAGCGGCCGTTCAGGTGAGTAATTTGTCCAAGTTCTCGATCCAAGCGGCCACGCCAGGATACAACTTGTGCTGTAGCTGTATTCAACAACTAATCCGTCCTGCTTTGAAATTTTTTAGTATCGCGATGATAACCAGCGGCGCTGGCTCATCCGCCGCCTGCATGACACCTCCCGCCTCACAGGGTGGCAGTCGGCCCGGCGGATCGCCATGGGCTGTGAATCAGCATGGACCCGGGCGTTTGAGCTCAAGCGCGGTCCGCCTTATGTCCGGGATCCCGATCTTGACTCGGTGTCTCTATTCCACTTCAACGGGCCGAGGACACTGGACTTGCGGATCGCGGAGATTGACAGCGAGAGCGCCGATAGCATCCAGGAGCGCAAGGGCAAGATCAAGAATGTCGAAGGCCCAGGTCTTGCCATGGGCTTGTTACTCGTCGAACAGGACTTTGAGAAGCTCGAGCTGGGGAATCGGCAGCAGTCTTCCTAATTAGCGATAAGCACTGTTGACTTTCGTGAAGTGCGTTTTGCATTTGGTACCAGGGTGTTGACGTGCAGGGATTATATGGCGTAGAGAAGATAACTGGGCGTTGGTGTTCTGAGAGCGCTTTGCTGTCCGAGCCAACAACGAATGAGCCATTTCGCCCTGATAGCACTTTATGTTCTCAAGGACGATGATGATCGTCTAGCATTGCACCATTTTACACAGAATCTATCATGCAAGCCGCTTGATGATCCCCAAGCTATTGCCTTTGTCCATGCGATGCTTCGTCGCTCATACTTGACGCAAACCAGTTCAGCTCCCCTAGTTTGCTGGCAGCCTCTCCACCACGGCGGCCATTTCCTCGTCCGTGTATATTCTGAAACCCTTCTCCTTTGTGACGCTTGCGAGCTGCACGTTCTTTGAGTCCAGCTTCTCCTCCATGACCTGCTTCAGCGTCTTCAGAACTAGCGTCTCGGCATCCTCGATTGTGAGAGACTACGGAAGTGGGGGTTCATTCGGTTAGATGGATCTCCTTCGGACGTGAATTTCTTGGTGCGTTCGCATGCCGTGCGTGGAGCTTACCTTGTGGTACTCGTTCTGCAACTCTGCCTGGGCGCCTTCGCTTCCGGATCCGATGGCCTTGGCATCATAGCGGTAGAAGGTGCCGCTGGGCTCGGCGTGGTACAGCGACGGGCCGTCCTCATCATAGCCGGCGATGAGCAGGGCGACGCCGAACGGCCTGCTCATGATGCTCTCCTCGCCGTCGGCGCTCTCGCCAAAGCGCAGGGCCAGGTCGCAGATGGCCTGGGTGCAGCTCTCGACGCGGAGGTTCTCGTTGTAGTTGAACGCGTGGCTCTGGCACTCGACGCGGGCGTGCTCGACCATGCTGCGGGCGTCGGCCTGGAGCCCGGACATGGCGCACCCGATGTGCCGGTCAATCTCGACAATCTTCTCCACCGACGAGGTCTCGAGCAGCGTCGAGGTGACGCGCTTCTCAACGCCCAGGATCACGCCTTCCGAGGTGGCGACACCAATGGCTGTGGAACCGAGCTTGATCGCCTCGAGCGAGTATTCGACCTGGAAGAGACGGCCTTCCGGGGAGAAGGTGCTGTGACGGAGCGGTGGTTAGAAGCCTGGTGAAGCTCGAGGGTGAGGGCTGGAGAAGTGCGGGAGAGACAGCATGCGTTGGGGACTCGGTGGGATGACGTACTTGATACCCCGATCTGTAGAACCCCAGGTCAGTCAATCTGCCGCCGCTTCGTCGTCAAGTTCTAAACTTCGAGACATACCATATTCGGACCTTGCCATAAACATCTTGGCGGCTTGTGGGAGGGAGCTTTCGAGATCTGGTGGTTTGTGCGGGATACGAGACAAGGCGAGCCCGAGCGGAACGTCTGCAAAACGAGGAGAGGCGTGGTTGTCGGAGCTGGACTGTGACTGCTGGAAGTTGTTTGTCCGCGAGTGCTGCTGGATGGAGTTGATGATGCGGTGGGGTGTGGTGGTGGGAACGCTTGCACCGAGAGCTGTTGGAGAGCTCCGGCACAGGCAGGCTGCACCGGTTGACGAAAGCCTGCCCAGGCGAGCTGACGCAAGATAGCTACCATGCGGTACTCGAGAGTCGGCGCGAGGTACTTCAGAGTGCGCTGTGGTCTGCGGGGCTTGAATGTCGATATCCTCTCAGAGAATGTACCGATGACCCGCTCTGTCGTGCCTGAGCTGGCAGCCCTCTAGGCCCCTCAGAGGGCAGTCCAGCTTCCTGAGGTCAGGGCCCAAGCTGCCTGAAGGACGCTAAGCCAGCAGGGTTGCTGCAGCCCTGGGCGGCACAACCCCGCGGCCAAACAACAGGGACGCAGCTCGAGACGCGTTGACGCGAAGCTTTAATTGACATCGTGAAATGTCGGCGCTGGGATTCCTTGAGGCCCAAACACTAAAATGCCACTGCGCCGTCACCAGCTAACCGAGACACGCTGAGTTCGATTCATGAGCTCGCAAAATATATCCAACAGCCTGTGAAGCCGACAGCATCACCAAGTTTGGCGACAGCTCCTGACCACCAAGGTATCCATGTTCGCTCGTCGCAAGCATGTCTTCCCGACAGTCACTACACCCGGATAGACGAACCAACGGCACCGCTGGCGTAGAGAACCCGCCGCAGGCTCGATTTCAGCAGCAGCAGCAGCAGCAACGTCCCCCTTCAGCGGCCGAAAGAGCCACTTCGAGGAGTGAACGACGAGTACCGTCACCCAGGGAACCTTACACGAACCCAGCCCACAAGAGATCAGCTTCTGGCAATCCGCGACCAGCAAGCCGCAGCACTGAAGAACGTAGGACAGAAAGGGTCACAGTGACGACTAGGGACAAGCTCATCAGCCGCACAAGGAGTCCCGATCGGCGAGCCAACAATGCCGCATCACCCGGGGAACGATGGAGGTCGAGGGAGCCTACGAGACCGCGAGCGGGCGAAACCGAGGCGCGCAAGCCAAAACCCGAGGAACCATCTGGTGCGTTTGATCCTGTCTGAGCAAATAGAAACGGGCGCTCGAGCTGACTATCGGACAGAACCTTGGGAGCCTGTAGTGACACTTCAACCACATTCGACAGCACCCCTTGCGATGCGTGTTTCCTTACCTCCACTGGCGAAGACCGCACCGCCTACACTTCAACCGGAGCCTCTCGGGACACTCTCACTTGAGAAGCAGGAGGCTGCCATCATCGATGACTTGCTGTTTGTCTTCATGGGCTACGAGGGACAGTACATTCGCTACTCACATTACAAGCCTGAAGAGGAGCGAGATCGACTCACGGGACCGCAATTCACTGTCGCAACGGGCTTGGATCCCAGCCTCCTCGACCTCACGCAGTCGATGCTCAAGATGGCATCACACTATTCGGCTCTCGAAACTTTCATCGACGTGCAGAGCCGAGAAGAGTTTGGCACTGTCAACCATGCATTGTGCGCCTCGATACGGAGACACCTTCAGGATTATCTCGTAATGGTCGCCCAGCTCGAGACCCAGTTCCTCACCAACGAGTCTTTTACGCTTCACCTGTTGCACGTCCACACTCTGCCAACAACTCAGATGATGTTTCAGCTCTATACCCTCGCCCATGAGTTCCTGAAGCGGAATGCGCTGCTTGACGATGAATCATCCGACGACTCGGATCCCGACGATATCGATAACATCCTCGAAAACCTCAGGAGAGGTGGCGATCTCAACCCAGGCAACGTTCCGGGGAAGAAGATCTGCCGCGGAGGAATTGTAATCGGGCTAATCACAAAACGCCTGGAAACCATGTCAGGCGATCCATCAGCTAAAGCACTCCTGACTTCTTTGTTGCGAGACGCAAGTCGTCCTTATATGGCTATGCTGAACGAATGGCTCCATCATGGGGGCATTACTGATCCCCATGCCGAGTTCCTGATCAAGGAGCAGAAGACGATCCGCCGAGATAGGCTCGAGCAGGATTACACTGATGACTATTGGGAAAGGAGGTATACCATCAGAGAGAACGACATACCACCTCAGCTACTGAGCGTCAAGGACAAGGTCCTCCTTGCTGGGAAATACCTCAACGTTGTCCGTGAATGCGGTGGTGTAGACGTTAGCAAGGTCGCGCAGGACCTTCCGCAATCATTTGACGATCCTCGGTTCTTGGACAATGTCAACAATGCATACGCGTATGCAAACGAGTCGTTGATGAAGCTTCTCCTAACCACACACTCCTTGCCAGCACGCCTGCGTTCTTTGAAGCATTACTTCTTCCTCGACCCGTCCGACTACTTCACCCATTTTCTGGAGCTCGGCACGGCAGAGCTCCACAAGCCTACCAAGTCGCAAAACCTCGTCAAGCTGCAATCGCTGCTCGACATCGTGCTGCGTCACCCAGGAACTGTGGTGTCTATGGACCCCTTCAAAGAAGACGTGTACGTCGAGATGAATGAGGTCAGCCTGATCAAGATGCTGCAACGAGTCGTCAGCATCACGGGCATTGAACAAGGCGAGTCTCTCCAGCCACTCAAAGACCAGCCAATAGAGCAGGACAAAAGCGCGATCGGCTTCACGTCCTTGCAGCTCAATTATACTGTTCCGTTCCCCGTGTCCCTGGTCATCAGTCGCAAGACTGTCTGGCGGTATCAAGCAATCTTTCGTTATCTCTTGTCCCTCAGATACCTCGAGTCGCAGCTTTCCGCAACATGGCACAAGCACAATAACGACATAGTTTGGGTGCACAAGTCTTCCGAGAGACGAGTGGAGACATGGAAGAGGAGGGTTTGGACGCTGAGAGCCCGGATGATTGTCTTTGTCCAGCAGTTGCTCTATTTCTGCACTCTCGAGGTTCTGGAGCCAAATTGGCAGGCTTTGATGGCACGGCTCAAAGCAAAGGACGGTTCGATCGACGGATCAGGCAAACCGGACCGGACAGTGGACGAGTTGATGCAGGATCACGTCGACTTCCTTGACACGTGCTTGAAAGGCTGCATGCTCACCAATGGGAAGCTGATCAGGGTAAGCACTTCCTTTCCAGCATGGACAGTCTCATGCATTTCCGAGGAATCGATCTGTACATTACTAATGCATGCCCAACAGATTCATTCGAAGCTCATGCAAACTTGCACGGCATTTGCTATGTACGCCAATTGGTTGGCACGCGAGCTGGCAAAGTCAGACCCGGACTTGGTCGGTCCTTATAAGCCGCCCAACATGACGAAGGAGGCATGGGAGAGCTTCCGCTCGACCCAGAAGGATCCGAATGCGTCACAAAACGGAGATGCGTCCGTCAACAGTAGCCGAATGCACGACGAGCAAGTGCGCATCGATAATTTGTTCGAGATCATTGGAAAGTGGGAGAACAATTTCAGCAGGCACTTGCAGATCCTCTTGGACGCTCTCAACCACTATGCAGCCACAGAAACAGTGGTGCTACTGAGCTTGTGCGCCCGCTTGGCTACAGCCAACCAAGGCACAGCATATACTGGCCTGAAAAACGAGGAGGACCTTGGGGCTTAGCGCAACTTTGGGGTTCGCTGATTCTTCTCGACTACGCAGAGCGCGCCGTCGCTGCCAAATATTCCCATTTGCTTGTGAGCAAGCGTTTTTGACAAAGCTCTTTGGCCTTGGTTTTGATGATACCTCGAATAGAACTTGATCTAGTAGTCTCTCTGATATGGACATGCTGACCGTCTCGCCGTGTACGAGGTAAAGTGAAGCTGCGGACGAGCTTGACGCGAACTGCGCTGTGAGAGTGGTCGTTGTTGTGGTTGATCAGTGATGAATGCATCATGACCTCGATGATGTTAGTGATTTACATGAGCTAACGGCACAGCTGGCTGCCGTGTGCGGCTCCGCTCAAGTAGGCTCTGGAGGCTCCAGCTGTCAGGGCGCAAACACGCCCACTTCTGGCAGCTGGTTCTCTCTTGTGCTACCATGGTACTTACGCTGATGCAGTAGCTAGAGCGAGGCCCACCCACGCCGCGGGCACCGCACCGGAGCCGGGGGGCTCGGCAGCGGGAAGAGCGCAAGGTCATGATGTCGTGGTGTGCTGCTACCTAAACCCACTTTGGCCCCGAGACGACTCGATAAGAATTGCCGGCGCCCGAGCTCGATTAGCAAGCAATCGACGCACTCGGCGGAGCTACCTTTGCGAGGCCACTACATTACGGGTCATCGCCACCCTTCATCCGCTTCCTGTCCGCACTTCGACGAGATTCTGGTTCGCCGTCAGAGCGCCTTCGTCACGGCACAAGGCGCACGCTCCTCTGCCGACAGACCATCGAGCTATCCACCCCGACAGCTCTCTCGAGCAACCTTGGACTGGGCTTCAGACACCCACTGTGACGTGATCCCCTCACCTGCTGCGGTGCACGACTCCGCCATGCTGTGCCGACAGCATCTCTCGCGCCGCCTTGCTGCCGCAGGCACCTTGCGATCCGGCTCGCGCCTTCCCACCTCGACAACGTCTCTCGCCCGCGCCTACTCGAGAACGGGCCCCGGCCCACAAAGACAAGCTCTGGTCGCGTGCTCCGTACAACAACCGACAACCGCTCTGCGCCCCACCTCTTCTGCGAGCTTCTCGACTTCCGGCCTGAGGGCGAAGGAGAAAGACCGGGATTCTGGCTTCTTTGACGGCCAGGTGCAGCCTCTGTCGGACGAGGAGATCAAGGCGAACCTCGAGAAGAAGAGAGAAGCCGCCGAAGCGGGTACGGCCGAGGCCAAGAGCTCAACATCAGACTCGTCTGGCAACCAGGGGCAGCCCGAGAGCCCTGATGGCAAGGGAAGCAGTGCGGCCGGTGGCGCTTCTTCAGGCTCCGGCAACGACGCACCTGGCGATGGCGGTCGCAGGGGCCGCAAGCCGGCCGGCGACAAGTCTCTGCAGAAGCCCATCGTTCCCGATGTATACCCCCAGGTCATGGCGATCCCCATAGCGAAGCGGCCGCTGTTCCCGGGTTTCTACAAGGCCATTACGATCAAGGACCCGCAAGTCTCTGCTGCCATTATGGAGATGATCAAGCGCGGACAGCCATATGTGGGAGCCTTTCTCTTCAAGGATGACAACGCCGACGAGGATGTCATCCGCAACGTCGACGATGTCTACGATACCGGCGTCTTTGCACAAATCACCAGCGCCTTCCCTGTGCATGGCGAGCAGAACAGCCTTACCGCTATTCTCTATCCGCACCGGAGGATCAAGCTGTCCGAGCTGATACCACCCGGGCAGGCGCAAGACGCAAAGAAGACCGCAGAGGAGACACCTGTACCCGAGCCGATTCCGCAAAAGGCGGAGGAGGATGCGACGCAGGAGAAGAAGGGCGACGTTGTTGCCAGCTTCGAGGAGAGTGCCGTGGCTACCAAGGGAGATCCCGCGAGCCCAGAAAAGTACGAGCCGACATCGTTCCTCCGCAAGTACAACGTCAGTCTCGTCAACGTTGAGAACCTCACCGAAGGGCCTTATGATCCCAAGAGCGGCATCATCCGCGCTGTCACAAACGAAATTGTCAATGTCTTCAAGGAAGTCGCCACCATGAACAGCCTCTTTCGCGACCAGATCTCGACCTTCTCGATGAGCCAGTCCACAGGCAACGTCACCTCGGAACCTGGCAAGCTCGCAGATTTTGCGGCCGCTGTTTCGGCGGGCGAGCCTGCCGAGTTACAGGAAGTTCTCTCGAGTTTGGATGTTGAGGATCGTATGCAGAAGGCCTTGGTTGTCCTCAAGAAGGAGCTGATGAATGCGCAGCTTCAGTCCAAAATCACCAAAGACGTCGAGCAGAAGATCACCAAGCGGCAGCGCGAGTACTGGCTCATGGAGCAAATGAAGGGCATCCGGCGCGAGCTTGGCATCGAGTCCGATGGAAAGGACAAGCTCGTGGAGAAGTTCAAGGAAAAGGCCGACAAGCTCGCGATGCCCGAGGCAGTGCGGAAGGTGTTTGATGACGAGATCAACAAACTGGCTCACCTTGAGCCGGCCGCTTCCGAGTTCAATGTCACAAGAAACTACTTGGACTGGCTGACAACGATCCCTTGGGGCCAGCGAAGCGCAGAGAACTTCGGTATTCAGAACGCCATGAAGGTCCTCGACGAGGACCATTACGGACTTAAGGACGTCAAGGATCGCATCCTTGAGTTCATCGCCGTGGGCAAGCTTCGCGGCACGGTAGAGGGCAAGATCCTGTGCTTTGTCGGGCCGCCCGGTGTCGGAAAGACCAGTATCGGAAAGTCCATCGCCAGGGCACTGAACCGCGAGTACTACAGATTCAGTGTCGGAGGTCTCACCGATGTCGCTGAGATCAAGGGTCATCGGAGAACCTATGTTGGTGCTCTTCCCGGACGAGTCATTCAGGCGCTCAAGAAGTGCCAGACTGAGAATCCCCTCATCCTGATCGATGAAGTGGACAAGATTGGCCGCGGCTACCAAGGTGACCCGTCATCCGCTCTTCTCGAGCTTCTCGACCCTGAGCAGAACGGCTCGTTCCTAGACCACTACATGGACGTACCAGTCGACTTGTCCAAGGTCCTATTCGTCTGCACAGCAAACATGACTGACACTATCCCGCGACCCCTCCTGGATCGTATGGAAGTCATCCGGCTGTCGGGATACGTCTCTGATGAGAAGAAGGCGATCGCCGATCGCTACTTATCGCCCGCTGCCAAGGAGCTGGCCGGTTTGAAGGATGCCAATGTGACGTTGTCCGACGATGCCATTGAAGAACTCATCAAGTCGTACTGCCGCGAGTCCGGTGTTCGCAATCTTAAAAAGCAGATTGAGAAGGTCTACCGAAAATCTGCACTCAAGATTGTTCAGGACCTCGGCGAGGACGTGTTGCCCGAGTCTGAGGCTCTGACTGAGGAAGGCAAAGCTGCTTTAGCCGAGTCTGAGAAGGAGAAGGCTAAGGAGGGCGACAAGAAGGACACCGCGGCAACCGAGGCGACTGAGAAGGAGACGACCTCCCACCCCCGTGTTGCGCTCAAGGTTCCTGAAGACCTCGAGGTTGTCATCAACAAGGACAACCTGAAGGATTATGTGGGGCCCCCTGTATTCACTTCCGATCGTCTGTACGACGTGACACCACCTGGTGTCGCAATGGGCTTGGCTTGGACTCAGCTTGGTGGTTCGGCCATGTACATTGAGTCAATCTTGCAGTCATCGCTGCGACCCAGCAGCCGTCCCGGTCTTGACATCACTGGCAATCTGAAGACTGTCATGAAGGAGTCATCCAGCATTGCGTATTCCTTCGCCAAGTCTTTCATGGCCAAAAACTTCGAGGACAACCACTACTTCGACAAGGCCAAGATCCACCTACACGTCCCCGAGGGGGCCGTACAAAAGGACGGACCCTCTGCTGGTATCACCATGGCTACCTCTTTGCTGTCGCTCGCACTCGATACCCCCGTCAACCCCACGATCGCCATGACTGGCGAGTTGACACTCACTGGCAAGGTTCTCAGGATTGGCGGTTTGCGGGAGAAGACGGTTGCTGCTAGGAGAGCCGGATGCAAGATGATCATCTTTCCCGAGGACTGCATGTCTGATTGGCTCGAGCTGCCAGAGGTGAATATTATCCCAACCATGCTATTGACACATAAGAGAGATGCTAACGGTGGCACATACAGAATATAAAGGAGGGCATTGAGGGCCGGCCTGCCAACTGGTACCACGAGGTCTTTGAACTTGTCTTCCCCGAGCTGGACAAGGAGCAAGCCAACAAGTGTAAGATCTGCGAATGGAAGAAAGAGCATGGGTCCAAATCCGATGGCGAGAAAGACGACGACTAGAGAAACGGACTCAGACGTGTTCCCTTTTGTTATAAAAGCGTCGGGCAAACGACGCATTGCAGGCTCGTAACAAACTATCATTCTTGGAGTACAGGCAGGGGCGCAGCGTCACGACACCAGCATTTGAGGTTGCCAAATGACCATACAGGTCGGCACCAGCAGCACTTTCCGGCGTTCCAAATCTCGTCACTTCAGCAGACTTCCACTTGCGAAGCACCTGCTCTCCTATGGCACAGAAGCGCTTAGTCAATTCGAGACCAGACCAGACCAGGTTGAGGGTGGGGAGAAGAGAGCAAACATGGACAACGGCCGCGATGGTGTCCACTCCATACACAGACAATCTCCGCTTATCTGTTTTATTCTTTGCCTGCGTCGGGTTGCCGCGAGCACTTCGACTTATCGTCATAGATTGAGATATATGCACCAGACAGGGGCAGTTTGTCCCAATGTATAACCACAAATGTATCAATGAAAAATGTGTCCGTCGCGAGAACGCGACGAGACGAAATAGATCGACCTGGACTGCAATTGAGCGGTGCATGAATAGGGCTATGTACTGTGGAATGTAACAAAGGCTTCACAACTATACAATTGCAGCAGCTACTCTCCTCGTCAAGGCCTTCGTCTTGGTGAAATGACCAGATACGAGCAGGGTTATCAAGTTATTTGATAGACGGGTAGAGACGGAGGCAAGGATCAGCGCCAGCTCGAATTTTGTTCCAACACACTACGCTAGTAGTCGGAAAAAAAGCATCTGTGATTTGTAGTATCGAAGCCGAGATTCGCACAATCGATGTGCTGGGACGGGTAAAGCAAGTGATCCAGCAGGTCTCTCTCTCTCTTCACAAGGGCCAGAAGCAAGCATTGACGGGGGGCGTTAGGCCTGGCTACTTGAGCTTCTCGAGGGAAAAGATAGGCAGCCAGGGTGATAGGCAGGCGGTGGCTAGTCAAAAACATGGATTTGGTAGAAGAACATGGACCGCTGGTTTCTTTCAAGGGGTCGGATAGGATAGCATAGCAAGTCCGGCTTTGGGGATAGCAGCCGAGACCGTCTGTCGGTTCGTAGAATTGTAAAAAGATCCGGACAACACGCTCTGTGCCGTTGCCTGTTTCTGTACGTTTATGAAACAGGGAAAGCACCGGCACAATACACACACGCACACACACACGCAAGAGGGCCCCCGTAAAAGGTCATCAGGGTCAAGAAAGCGACGAGATCGTGGCCAAGGGGGGAGAGAGGCTTTCTGTGTGTCCACTGGGTGAAAAACATCCTCGCCTTACCGTTCCTCGACTGTCGACCAGTCTGCTCTATATCGCTCCGCTGGCGAGCCACTAAGAACACCGCCGACACCGCAGGCAACATTACCTGAACGATCATGTATACATGGCCCGCCTTGCATATGTCAAGGTTGCCTTGCTCAGACAGTATCATGCATGCTTGGTGCGGCACGTAGTGCATGGGAGACCTACGGGTCGGCGCAGGTCTGCATGAGCTGGGACATAGTCTGCTGCCGCCTCTCTGCAGTCGTTATGGGGCGATGGAGCAAATGGGACTTGCCTGGATCCCTGGCCTCGTGCTTTGCGTCTCGCTCGTGCTCGTTGGAAGCACGTAGGGTGCTCTGGTGGCTTGCGTGCTGCATGTCGAAGAAACCACGCGCTCTCCATCGATCGTGTTGACGGCAGTGCTCATGATTCTAGCCATTCGAGGTTTGTGGCTGTGGCGTCCGGATGACCACTTCGGTGCCCAGACAGACTCGTTCGACGACAGTGAGCATATTAGGCTCCAGTGAGACTCGTAGCTAGGCTGTTCGAGGGAGGCATTCAAGCAGTTGAGCCAAAGAGCAGGGCGTCATTCGAGAGACGGCGAGAGCTGCAAACATGACTGGTGCACAAGGAGCTCGCCTCACTGTCCGAGGACTGCTTCAGGGTGGTCAGCGCCGAACTCATATTCCGCTGCGCTGTCACACCAATGTATAGCGGCCCAAAGCTCGGAACCAACGAGAGTGGCGCCTTACAGCCACAAGCCGCACCTCATGGACGAGCTCCTCGTAATGCCCATTCACATCTATCCACTGATCATGGACAAGTCCCGCGTTCGGGAGCTGCCCGCGAGGAACACTATGCGCGGGGACATTAGTGGTTTGAAATGTCTGTGAGCAAATCATCACGGGCGTGTAACATAAAGCGCGACAGATCAGCTGCTCCGTGGCCGCCATGTTCCACGCGGCGAGTCGGGACGACCAATAGTATGATCGTCTCGCTGAGCTTTCTTTAGAATATTGTCTTGGGGTTGTGCTGTGGATCCCGCTTAACACACATATTTCTCGTCTCCTGCATTTTCATCAAGCACTCTGGCACAGTAGTGGCATGACCCCTGGCTTGGGACGAGATCCCACAGCAAGCATAATTGCTCAGCCCAAGGTAGAATCTGTTCATTGTGACCATCAGGAGCCACGGCAACAGTGACATAACAGACAAGGACTCTCGAGGCCAGACCGCCAGATTCCCATCCAACATGGGGGGACCTGGTTGGCAACGGGCAACGGTCGCCAGGGGAGAGTGGGTCCGATCGACTAGCGGTCGCCGGGCCTCCGTAACCCGGGGAGCACGATCCGGAGCTAGTGGTGACAATGGCGCCGCACGTGGCTCTGGAGTGATAATGGCCATTGTCTCGCCAGACCGGTCCACCACGGGGCTGATGATGGGGTATCCGCGCAATACGCGGTGAAGGATGTTCATTCCTGTCCGCAGTGTCTCGGGTGCGTCACAGAACCTTTCAGGCCCAGCCATTTTGGCATAAGTCGCTGAGCCATCTTGACAATTTATCAAGCCGGCCTGGCGTGCACTTTGAGAACAGGGGCCCATTCAAGCCGCATGAGCCGACTCAAACATCTGATGGTCTTTTCGAATCGGAGCCGTGCGCGCCGATACGCAATGGTGATCTTGACACCAAAGCCACTTGGCGATCTAGTTGCAGGCCGGTCCACTTGGGATTGTGCTGCTGAAAATGCGGTGACTGCATGGTATTGGGTCAACAACGCATGTGCCGCAATCATCCGATGCAATCGTGCAAACAAGTGTGGACTGGAAGATTGTCAGGGAAAGAAGGTCTTGCTTCGAGATGTGTGTGGCATGCCTGTACAGATCCGAGACATGACAACCTGCAGCAGAACCGAAATCGTGGGGAAGCGGAATGACATAGTGCAGCCCGCCGTCATGGTGCCTGATGCTCGCATTGCATCGCAACGGTGCCCAATCCAGCTGCACGTGAAGGTCTTGACGTCTCGGCAGGCCGCCTTTTAGGACGGGCGTGGGTAGGACAAGGGATGGGTGCTGCAGGACGAGTGTACAACGCATCATGCGTCTGGCAGCAGTGCGGCCTGACGCAACGACCGTGGCTCATCAGCACGCAGCATTGCTTAGCGCTTCAGGACCCGGCGGTCCGCGATTTCGGCCGCTGCGTGAAGCGCCATTGGGCACAAATGGCAGTGTGATGTCGGTGTCTATTCGCCAGAGGCCCAGAGCCGTACCACCAATCACTCGCCTGCCGCTCACTGCGGTCACCTACTCCAGGCGTCTTCGGCTGTTATGACTGCGAAGTGGTGCCATGGAACACAACCGATGCTGGCACCACCACTTCAGGCAGAGCCATGTCGAGGCACTGAGGGGCTACTCTTCTGCGCATTGCCCCAGTACATGAGCTGCGACATTGTCGCAATGGTGCTCAGAGTTGTGAGGAGCACGGGAATCGAGCAGATTCCAAACTTGAGGACGACGAGACACCGCACAGTTTGGCAAGGGGACCGGGAGAGCCCGCAGGGCCGGGGCCTGCTAGCTCCAGCGTGGCATGTAGGTTCTTTGAGCTAGCCACGAACAGGAAAGGCCTGGGTGTCTTTTGAGCTGTCCCGTTGCTGTGGGCGAGGTTGCTGCTTCACCGCACGAGGGGCATCCGCCATTCTGGAAGACGAAGGCGGCAGGGGGGGCCCCTGTTTGCCAGCGTGGCCCGTGGGCCATCTCATGACGGCTGTTGCTCTTTACGCAGCTGCAAGTGCCTCTTTTGGGATCCCGCGGGCGTCGAATGGCGAGCTCGCTGCTCGCTGCTCGGGGCGTGCAAGTGCTGATGTTGGGCTGTGTGTCGGAAGACGAGGCGGCGGGACGAGAAGGATAAGGACGGAGGAGCGACGTGCCGCGTCTGAGTCAAGCTCGAAGCCAAGTGGCCTCGTCTCGAAGGCATCGAGAGCAGGCAGGCAGGCCTGACAGGAAGGGAAAGAGCCGGCCCCAAAAAGACTCATCCACCCCCCCTGCTCTTTCCTCTTTCTGCGCGCGTGGGATGGCAGTCACGCCGCTACTGTATCCAGGGCCCCTGCCTGCCTCGGGCTCGAGCATAATTCACCCCCTGCCCTTCTCGACCTGGTCTCATGCTGCTCACGACCACAGGCACCACTCACATCATGGCTGCGCCTTTTCACGGCGCCCAATAATCTCATCACCGCTCCCGGCTGCACGCCTTCTTCCTGCATCCTCCCTCCCTCTGCCGTGTCGCCGTCGCCGAGGGATATGCCTGCTTTATGAAGCCCACCCCAGCCTCATCCTGCAGTCAGCATCCTCTCTCTCCTGCCAGGCTTTCTTCCCACTTCTACATCTCCAAGCCTCCTTCTCTCAAACTTATTGCTCCTCCCCTTTGTGCGCACCTTTCACAGCTCTCTGCGCTCGCCAAGCATCCCACTCTCAGGCGGCCCGACAGGATCACACCAGGCCATTGCAAGCCCTCGTCCGATACAACTTGGTGCTGACGGGCTGCCCTGCGCGTCAAGCAGCCGCGATAGCTTCCTTATAGATCGTGGTATATGCGCCGCATATCCTTCCGTCGCTGGTGTCGCCAGACTATCGCCAAGATGGCTGCGCATTCGGATGCTCCCGAGCACGGATCTCCACCTCACGATGGGGGCAAGCTCACCAACATCTGGCGCAAGGTATTCGGCAAGGATCAGGGCTCGACGACCGCAGCAGGTGCAGGCCCAGTCAGCCCGCCCCCGTCACGGCCAACCTCACCGGCTGCTGCTGCTGCACTGATCAGAAGAGTCTCGCGTAAGGTTGTCCCAGGGCTGCCTCGGGCCAAAACATTCAAGAGACAGGTGTCCGAGGATAGGGCCAGGCTGGAGCCGACCGAGACGACGCAGGCGGAACGCAGGGCCGTCTCAGTCGATAGGCGACTCCGGCCACAGCACTCTCACCGATCTCTCTCACCACCGCCGAGCCAGCATCACCAGAGCGCCCCAGACTTCATGGGTGGCGCAGTGCAGCCGTTGACGATGGCCGACATTGCCCGTTCCCAGGCAGTCTCGGCTCCCCCAAGTCCCGTAGAGGGTGATTATGGCTGGCCTTCTGCACTCGACAGCCGCCCGGTCCATCATGACGGTTCCTACCAGGATGACGATGCGCAGTACCCCATGCACCAGTCTGCGGCACCCTCTACGGCTGATGCACGTTCTGTGACGAGCTCTGTCTATGACGATCGTCTTAAGCACGAGCTTGAGACAAAGTGGATTCTCAACCTCAGCATGCACTTCCGAGACAAGTCAAAGCGTGAGAAGTTCTTTGTGACTTATCACGAAGACGCCCATACTTGGCGCCGTGTCACCATTTCACTCGACTATCGCAATGCTCCTGAGGACTCCCTTGAGAAGGATCTGTCTCTTGCAAAGTACCAGCGCGACAAAAGCTCCAGGATATACGAGGCCATCCGAGAGAGCTTGCAAGACATCCAGTTCTACGATACAGTCACGAACCTCAAGCTCCAGACCACGGATGGAAGGCTCCATGTACACGTAGTGGAAGACATCAATGTTAGTATTCAGTCGTTCTTGCTGAGGAACATCACATTGACCACGGACTGCAGGAAATCATCCACTATCCTACTGTGCAGAACATACTTCACCTACAGTGCCGACGTATCCATGAGCGCGAACTGGATTTTGACTCGCACATGTCCGGTTTCGTCTACAAGGTGCTGCACAACGGACGAGTTCTGATCAAGAAGGAAATCCCTGGACCGGACACCGTTGACGAGTTTCTCTATGAGGTCAATGCCCTCAGCGCTCTTCGGACTTCGCCAGATGTCATCAACTTCTATGGCGTGGTTGTCGATGACTTCAATCACGTGAAGGGCCTGCTCATCGACTATGCCGAGCAGGGGGCCTTAGTGGATGTCATCTATCATGCTGCAGAGTCTGGTGGTACCATCGACTGGCAGCTGAGGGAGCGATGGGCCAGGCAGATTGTGCAAGGACTTTCCGACGTGCATGAAGCTGGCTTTGTCCAAGGAGACTTCACTCTGTCCAACATCGTCATTGATGAGGCGCAGAACGCCAAAATCATTGACATCAACAGGCGAGGTTGCCCTGTCGGGTGGGAGCCCCCAGAGGCGACTCCGTTGATTGATTGCAACCAGCGTATTTCGATGTACATTGGGGTCAAGTCGGACCTTTTCCAACTGGGTATGGTCCTTTGGGCTCTGGCTACGATGGAAGACGAGCCAGAAGCGCACAGGCGCCCGCTGAGGATCGGTAGCGACATTGGCGTGCCGAGATGGTACCGCAGCATTGTGAATTCCTGCCTTCACGAGAACCCCAGATGCAGGCTTCAAGCTGCGGAGCTGCTCAGGCAGTTCCCAGAGGAGATTCAGACCATCTCGGTTGAGGAAGACGACGACATTCACAAGTATGAGGTTGCGGATAATGATGACAGCGAGTGGCCACGCATCAGGACCGTCGAGCGTCCATACACATGGACTGCCAACCCCTATGCTTATGACCCTCCAGCCTCCCCATCATTCTCCGAGGCCTCTTACGATCCCCCACGCGGAAGGTCTCCGCCTCGTCCCCTGCCGGGTAAAAGCGGCATGCTTGATGTTCCATTCCTTGGGCGGCCTTTCACAAGGTTCGCCCATTCGGATGGGGAGCACACGGACGACGAAGCTGAAACGCCTCAGGAGACACCTACCATGGAGACGATCACAAAGACACTCGAGCAAAACCTTCACGGGATCGAGACCACACTTCCGGACGAGCCAAGCAATGAGCTGGCTCCGACGACTGGCGGTGACAGTCAGAAGGAGGAAGTGAGGCCAGCGTATGCGGCCCTAGGGTCGTATGTGAAGGCGGAAGCAAGCTTTCCCGGCACCAACAAAGGGCCACTTCGGGAGGACTCACCAACCCCCAAGACAGAACTGTATGGTCAGTATTCGCCCGAGAAATTGGGCGGCGCCGCGCATGTGGACCAAAGTAAGACGCCATCTAGTCTCGACGACACCCCACCTTCAACATTAGAATCAACCGGGGCTCGAACAGACAAAGATAGTCTGAACGTCCAGCATGCTCGGCAGGCTGACCACACAGATGTTCTGTCGAAGGACGAGGATGAGAATTTTCAGAGTGACCTTGAATTGGAAGGGGCTTGCGATACAGTGCTTGATGACCTGGATAGATCGAGACGCGTCCGGGATAGTGACGCCATGTTCGTCCCTTCGCAACAGGGCATGCAAACCGATTTCATTGGCATAGGCGCCGCACATTAGAAGCCGCCTCCCAGCCGAGGTGAGGAGCATATCAACAAGGAGAGGACAGGCGCGAAGAAGTTCCGAATCAGCAACCCTCAACTGGAGCAATATCTACACCTTCTGTCTTCAGCATGACAGCAATGGCATAGGCCAGGATCTGGTCTATATATTTTTTTTCTTTGAGTACATGGCACGATAGTGCCCCCAACAACCTTGTGCGAACAGCACATACGAGCGTCGCATGATGCGCGCAAACGGATGAACGACAGAAACAACAACTTGGACAGACAGGACAGGAAAAGGAGCACACTCATTTGCAGCGACGACGGAGTCACGACAGGTACATGCCATTTACGACGATGACCACTGTTGTGATATTAGTAGCTAGAGTTGGGTTCCCATCAAGCAAGCGAGCGTGGTTGTTTGGCAGTTGCTTTCAAGAATACGTATGAATTGTATTTATTTGCAAACTACATAATTTCACCTTTGTACTCGCAGCATCTCGGAAAGCAGTGTAGATGAAACGAGAACCACAATATGTGCGCAATGACACGGCGGGGTAGTGAACGGGAAAGTGTGAGCATGAGAGGCAGTCTTTGCCAATCGCGGAAGCATAGACTCATTGTGAATCAGCCGAAAGCCTCTCGGCCATTGTTTATACTCCATTATCAACAAGGACATCAATCTGAACCGGGTTATCCAGATCTGTTTCTTCGATCGTCCTCACGTCCTGTCACTAGTGTAGATATCAGCTGATAAGCCCGCACTAAACCATCATTAGGCAAGATGGCCGAGCGGTCTAAGGCGCCAGACTCAAGTTTAATATGTTTAACCTTGTCTCCTCATTCACAGAGGAGGTCCTATTCTGGTCACGAAAGTGGCAGGGGTTCGAATCCCCTTCTTGTCATGACAAAAATTTTGTTTTTTTGTTAGCTCGTTATCGGTGGATCCCGCTTTATTTTGTTTATTCTGTGTGTGTATGAGACTCGAAGAGTAAGGTAGCGGCGTCCCAGGGCTACACAATTTTTTTGGAGGGCGGGTTGACGGGGAGTGTGTGTTCTGCAGGTGCTGGTTTTGAATGTGATTAATTAGATGTATGTTGTGGGTGTTTGGTGTGACGTTTGGCGAGTCTGGATGACCGTGATACATCCCATGACTGGGCCGCAAGCGCCGGTTCTGTGGCGAGATTTGGAATGACGGACAGCCGATCTGGTGCCGTGGAAACATGTCTTTCATTGAAATACAGTTTTTACCCAAGGGCATGAGAAGTTCTATCTGTGCTCGTTCTACATTAATGTACATAATTATACATGACTTTGATCATTTCCACCTAAGTTGCACATCTTCTACCAGCTGGCAATAGGGACACATTAAACAAGATCCCAACCACCTAATTAGACGGAAGACTCCCACCACGATCACTGACTGATCCGATCGGAGGGCCGGATAAGAGGCCCAACACCAGCGACCTCGGCCATCATCGCGTCCCGCCTCTTCGACAGATCCTGCCGTTCCTTCTTCCGCCGCTCGACCGAGTATGCTGCGAACCGGCCCCTCGCCCCGTGGCGGAGCTTGGTGATCATGTCCGCTGCTTTGCCCTTGGTGATTGACCCGGGCTCCAACTGGTCGTCTTTGGCGCGGAACTTGTTCAAGAACTTGAGCTGGCTCTCTGTCGGTGGACTTCGACGCCAGGCCTGCCTCATCGAGATCACGGTGTGGGCGTAGTGCTCCGCGGCATACTTGTCCGCGCCGTGAACAACGTCGGCAAAAGTGGCGGCGTTGAGCAATTTCCGCGGTGCGGCGTAGGGGCTCTTCGAGTGCGCCGACGCGGGCAGGGAGCGGATCTCGTAGGCAACATGCTTGGGTTGCCCGTCCTTGGCGTTCTCCTCACGCTCGATGCGCAAGTAGCCGTTTGTCCCGGCCAGAACATACTTGTCAGGTCCGACTTGGACCCACGAGTTTGGACTGATGGCGCGGATGTGCTTCTCCCCAGATGTGTCGGAGATCAGGTCGAAGACCGAGTCGTATTCTGTGAAGGTGATGTTGCCCTTGAACTGACCACGTCTTTGCAGTGCCGAAGCTGGCTGAAGTGCCTCTTGCTCTCGTCGCTTCTCGGCATCTTTTCTGTCTTTGATGTCCTTCATGTCCTCTGCAGAAGCTTCTTTGACCAGCTCGCCGGGGTCTAGACCAAACAGTGTCGGGGTTGTCACGATGCCTGTGGTCAGGCTGGATACCATATCTATCACATGGCAGTTGGTCTTGTTCGCGTGCAAGCGCATGCCTCGGCCAATCATCTGGATGAGCAAGTTGCGTGACTTGGTGGGCCGCGCCAGCAAGACACAGTCGATGTTGGGGATATCAGTGCCCTCGGTAAAGACTCCACAGTTGATCAACACGGGAAACTTGCCGCGCTTGAACGCCTCGAGACGTTCGCCGCGCTCAACCTTTGGCGTGTCACCAGTGACGAAACGAGCATCGTAGCCAAACTGCCGGAACGCCCTTGTAAGTCCAGCCACGTGCGCGAGATCGACGCAGAACACAAGAGTTGACTTGCGCCCAGCAGCCTTGGCCATCCAGCTGCGCACAGTAATCTCGTTAATCTCATCCGAGTTGACGGCCCGCGACAGCTCGGACGACTGGAAGTCGCCGCTCGGCCCAGCCTTGACCTGCGAGAGATCGGCAGTGGACTCCACGGTGGTGAAGACGACATCCGAGAGCCACTTGTCGTTGATCATGTCGACGTAGTCCTTGTGGTAGACGATCTCGTCAATGGCTGCGCCGAGCCTGAGCCCGTCGAACCTAGAAAAGGTTGCAGACACCCCTACCAGGTTGGGCGAGTCGTCCCTCTTCACGTCGAGGCCAAAATGCTCTAGCAGGCGCAGGTAACCCGGCGCAACAATGTGGTGTGCCTCGTCGACAAGGACCAGCTTGAACCGGGTGGGGTCAAACTTGGCTGCTCGATCGCCCGACATGATGCTCTGGATGCTGGCAACGGTGATGTCCGCAGTGCCCGTAGAATGGATGTTGCCCATCTCAACCTCTACCCGCTTTTCGGGATATGCCCGTGTACAGTGCCGGGCCGCCTGCTCGACAAGCTCCCGCCGATGGGCAAGAATGAGGGTCTGTGTAGCATCTGGCGAGAGCGGCGGCACACGGTCGATGAGCTGGGTGAAGACGACTGTTTTGCCGGCACCGGTGGCGAGGGAGATGCCCAGGCGCTTTTTACCATTCCGAAAGGAGGCCAGCACGACCTGAATACATTCTTCCTGGTAGTCACGGAGCTGGACCTTGCCCGTGAAGTGGCGGATTAGGTCGAATGGGAGTGCTGCACTTCTGCCTCTAGCGGGGGAAGAGACGAGCGGCAGAAGCTGTTGGGCAGCCCGCCATCGCGCAACAACAGAGCGAAACATGACACCGCATAGTTCCTCGGGGCGCCTGTTGGTAGTTGGACTGTTGTTGTGAAGAGGATGAATGCTGTTTCGAGGTCGACAGACCACGGAGGTGGTTCCTGCAGGCGTCCTAGAGCTAGCGTTGATCTTGCATGCTTAGCGGCGGTGGCAGCAGCAGCACGGGTGGGTAGCGCCCCAAAACAGGCGCTGTAATGCAAGTGGGTGCTCACCCTGCACTCTACGGCAGCGTTTGAGTGACCCAGAACGGCAGGCAGTCGGCCATGAAAAACAAACTTCACATCTTGGGGACCAAACCGTCGCCATGCACTGCTGAATGCCATTCGCCGCACCAGATCCTCAGGCACAGCCTCAGTGATGTTCAGTCCTCATTTCTTTGGCTGGCGATGACCCCACTCTTGCTCATCGCAGACGGCCTCTTGTGCACTACACTTGCAGGCTCTTTCATTATGATTTCGTCTTTCACTGTTCTCAGGCTGCAATCGTCTCCAGACAGATAGCGATGGACGAGATGGACCTGGACGCCCGGCCGAGGGGCAGAAACGCCTCTCCAGACCATCTTTCTCAATCAGACAACAACAGCTCTGCACAGCCAGGCCCGCAGACCGCCCTGGCAGTCAGGCTTCACTCCCAGCAGCAGCTAGGCTGGATGTCTCCTCGCAAGCGGCGCCGCAGCTCCGACGCCCAGGAAGTGCCCTTTGACCCTGTCACGCCTTTGAAGCGGAGGAAGACAAACTTTAACGCCACATATCTCTCCCTGTTCAACAACCATGTCCTCGATGTGGCTGGCAGATCTCCGCATGAATTTCGACAAAAACTGGCCCCCTCGCAAATAGGCGTCGTCAACTGGACTTCGGCCGAGAAGGAGGCCTTGTTCGCTGCAGTCACACGCCTCGGCCGCGACGACCTGCCCGGGATCGCCGCGCAGGTACGGACCAAGACCGTGCTCGAGATCCGGCAGTACTTGATGCTCCTACAGGATGCCGTGCTTAGCCGCCGCGGAGGCAAATCAAGGCTTTCTGGCGCGGTGGATCTGCTGAGCCACCCGGCTGCCGTCGAGGTCGACCAGGAACTCTGCAACGCGCTCGAAAAGGCCGCAGACGACTTGTCCCTCCGCCAGCAGGCCCACGAAGAAGGCGTGGAGGAGCACAGATGGGGCGACACCCCTTGGCTCATAACCGAGGCCGTGGCGCGGGACCTGGAAGCTCAAGTACGTCGGCACGATCCCGACATCCAGTCTTTTGGCGAGTTCTTCATCACGAAGAACTGGCTTCACCTATCAGAGCACGTGTTCATGAACGCCGCCATCGAAGACTGCAACTGGCGGTCCGTGTCGGCTGACAGGCCTGCCATCCGGGCAACGGCCTTGGAGGACTTTTATGGTCTTGCCAAGAGCATCACGAGACGGCTGCTAGCTACAACTTTGATCATGGCAAACAGCCGTCTCCGTCGGAGACCACAGGTGAAGGTGGGCTCCGTCAAGGTGCAGGACGTCAAGGCAGCCAGGATGTCCTTGGGCTTGAGTGGCGATTCTCGCAGGTTCTGGGCCACGTCGGCGCGGCGGCTCCGCCTGAACGTATATGATGACGAAGATGTATACAACGACAGCGGTGCACAGGAGATTGAGAGGACGCAAGTGGCAACGGATGATGACGAAGCAGATGCTTCAGACGCGAGCTCTGGACCTGATCAAGACCACACAGGTTCCGAGCACGACGATATTGGCTACGACAGCCAGGTCGCACAGAGTGAGACGCCACAGGACGAGGAGCCCCCGTACCTTCTTTATGACACGGTCGAAGAATTCCTTGGCTTCCCGCCGGAAGCAGGTCCCGCCTTGGAAAGCTCGGACGAGTCAGACGACACCAGCGATGATGACGCTGGTGACGATGACGACCTCGGAGCCAACGAAGACGATCACAACACAGAGTTCTCACAACAACAACAACCATCTGTACCAATAAAGACAGCAGCATCACCGCCTGCGTCCCCGATGCCGCACGATTCCTTACCCATAAACACCACCGCCGTGGAAAAGGACCTCGAAGAAGCAATCTACCACTCGGCCATCGACTTCTCCGGCACCACGCGCGCGCGAGACACTCTGAGGGCCAAGATCATCGCCGAGCACCAGCTCCACGCGGCAGCGGACGCCTACGACGCGGCAGCCTCGCGCGCAGAAGAAGCGCGTCTATGGGCCGTTCTGCGCGAAGAAGAAACCCCGGACGACCCAACCCTCTCCACTACAGCAGGAGGAGGTGCAGGAGGAGGAGGAGAAGAACGGATGAGTTCCGCGGCGCCGTCGGTCACGTCGGACGACGAAGGCTTCACGACAGACGCAACGAGCGCCAGCGCCAAGAGAGGGGGCACAAGGAAGCCCGGAGCGCTGGATCTGGGTGGCGTCGCCAGTGGTGATGGTGGTGATCACGACATCGCCGGTCGCGGAGATTGGAGGGCGAGCATCCAATATTGCAGCGAGTGGGAGCTAGCGTACCTACGCCGCCATGGGCAGCGGTATTAAAGCAGCAGAGCGCGGTCTTCGTGCTAGCCCTTGTGTGCTGCAAGGACAGACGGGAAGGGACAATACCGGGCCTGAATAACGTACACACAAGAAATATGACAGAGGCGTTTGGCAGGCTGAATTTAATGAATTCGAACACATCAGGCAGGACACAGCAAGCACGTCCCGAGAGAACTGTAAGAAGGATTACACCGATGGGATTTTCGCCTAGTTACACGCTCCTGGGGCCTCTAAGAGGAGGAGGAGGAGGATTGGGGGGTGGACGAGTGAGACGTCTTTAGCGGAAAAAACGTGAGTGAAAAGAGACACAGTAAGAGGAAGAAAAAAACAAAACATATCCAGCCAGGAACCCCCCGATTGCGCTTCCATTTGAGCGCAAGAATCAAAGTGCATCTTTACTCCAAATTCTCCCCACACCATTTCATTCTCTCTTCCTTCACCTTCTCTGTCTTTACGGCCTTGATGGACGAATGGCTGAACATGGTCCGGCGCACCACCACCGTTGCTACTCCCGATCATAAAAATGCATTCTTTCATCCCCCAAATCTAAGCCTCAAAGCTCTTGATGGCACCCTCACTGCTCAGCGGCTGCACGGCGCCGATGCCCGGCGTCGTGGTGAACGCGAGGCTCTCCTGGCCCGGCAGCTGGACGTCCGCACCAACGGCACCGCCGGCCATCGTCTTGAGACCCTCCTGTGTCTCGCGCACCCGCTTCTTGAAGGCCAGGCGGTCCAGGAACAGCTGCTGCCGCCCGCGCTCGAGCTCCCTCCGCTCCGCCTGCAGAATGTTCTCCATCTCGTCAAAGTACTTGAGCTTGAGCTCCATCTTCTGCAGGGTGACGTTGACGGCGGCAGACAGAAGTCGCGTCATCTCGCGTTCCTCGTGCGAGGCGAGACCTCCGGCGCGCGCGCCCATCGAAGCCAGCGGGATGCTCGCGAGAGTATTTGTGGTTGTGGTTGTGGTGGTGGTCGTTGTGGTGGTGGTTTCTTGCCGCACGTCGACCTCCATGCTGTCCTCGGCCTTCTCCTTGTCCTTGCCTGCTGACGTGCCGTTCACCTTGGCCGCATCCCCACCTTCTATCTTGTTGCGCAATCCCTGCTGCAGCTCTTCTACCGATTTCTTGGCAGCAGCTGCCGTGGCCTTGGGATCGGCCAGACTGGCGAGGAAGCCAATGACAGACATGACCGGGTTCTCGGCCTGGGTGAAGGGCAGGTGGCCCCCGTGAGACCCGAGGAGCGAGAGGCCAGTTGGGGCGTGTATCGGCGCCTCCGTCTCCAAGTACTTGTCCTCAATGTCGAGCTGCAGGAACTGCAATACACACTCCTCGCGAGTCCGGGTGCCCACGTGCTCCGCAATCTCGGCCCAGTCCTCGTCGTAGCGTTCCAGTCCCTCAAGGAGTCGCAAGATCTCGGCATCGGACCACGGGGCGTCCCGGTCGAGAACGGCGGAATATGTGGGGTTCTCCGTCTTCACGTACATGGTGTTGGTGTGGTTGTTGGGGAAGCGGCCATCCATATAACACTGAGTGCAGAGGTCGTGCTTGGTCTTGGTTGGCGAGTTGGTCTCCGGCATGTGGTAGTAGACGCGCGTGCAGTCGTTGCCGCAGTTCTGGCAGTTGACCTTCATGATGGGGGCCTTGACTGCATCATCGTTGCTCTTATCGCCGGTTGCAGCTGCTGGTGACCCAGCCGCCGTTCCGTTGGTAGTGACGGGCTCGCCGTTGGCCTTGCTTTCGGATTTTGTGATCTTGGTGCCCTTAGCACTCGCCTCGTAGATGTTGCGGCCGATCTCAAGATTCCGCTCGCCAGCCGCAGTGGCGGCCGCAGCCGCTTTCTGGTCGGTGTCCGTGATCTTCTTGCCATCGGTGACAACGGGATCCGCTGCAGGCTGCCATGGCTGAAGACCGCGTGGGGTATCGCAGATGACTTGGAAGTGGCCGGTGAAAGGAGGCCCAACTTGCGAGGGACGTTGATCGGCGTCCACCTTGAGCACTGTTAATTGCGATGTGCCTTGCACGATTATTCTTACGACTAGTACATACCTGATAATTGATCAAGCCCCACTGCTCCAGGAAGGCGTGAACACGCATGATGGCACAGACGTCACCCGCCAGATTTCGCCGGCAGGCAGTGACGGTAAGATACTCGGCGGGGTTGAGACGGTATGTGTTGATCATGAAGTCGCGGTAGTCCTTGTAGACGTTTGGGGTCTTGCTCCGGTTCCGGCTGTTGAAGAACTCTGGCAGAGCCTTGCGCTCAATGTTGTGGATGGTGTTCATGTCGAACCAGGTGCTGTAGCTGGGCAAGACGATGGCATGCGTCTGGGAAATGAGATGTTCCCGCGCCGCGCTTTCTATGCTCTCCTTTGTCTTGGTCTGGGCGGCCGTGCCTTCGGCCGTGGCAGCAGCCTCATTGCCATCCTTGTCGGCCTGGCCGTCCTTGTTCTCGTCGCCCATCTCGACATCATCCTTTGCTGTTGAAGCGTCGGCAGGCGGCGCACTCGGAGCATCGAGGGGGTTGTCTGATGTGGAAGCAGGTGCGGGCGTGGCGCTGTCTTGCTTGATTGTCGGCTCCGCCGAGGGACCATCACCCATCTGCACATCTAGCATCGCGAAATCATCGAGTTAGTTTTTGACACACCCACATCATGCAAGCCACCGTGAAGGGTATGGATGCGCGGCATATCGCGTGAATGAGCTCTCGGGATGGTGGATGATGCTCACCTTCAGAGGCGTCCGGTGCAGCATTGGCATCGGCGTGGGCAGGCGGTTGGGCAGGCGCAGGGTTGCCGCTGGGCGATACGCCATTGGCTGGAGAGCCAAAAGCTGTGTTCTGATCGTCCATGATGTGGTGCTGCTGATCGGAGTTGCCGTAGGTTGGACGATGCGATGACTAGAAAGCAAGGCTCAAGGACGGAAGACGACGCGTGCGACAGGATGCGCGAGGCTGATGGGGCAAGTCTTGGTGCCGGTCTGATTCATGCAGGCAGAGGCGCGGTACGGCGACGCGCGAGGAGATGGGTGCGGACGTGCGCAATGGCAACAGTGGGCGGGCGTGGGAGGTGAAGTCGCAGCAGGGCAGGCGACGACGTGGTGGTTGATGCGATGCGCAGGAGGTGGTGGATTGGGGCGGTTTCGCGTCCTCTGAGAAATTGCGCGACGGGCGGCGCTGCACCTGCAGGTCCCAGCCTCGACTCCAAGGCTTTTGGATGGCCAGCCAGCATAGACCTGCTCCTTCCCGGCTGGCCTGGAGGCACCGCCAGCTGAGTCAGCAGGTCGATGCGTGGGTCCTGGAGACACGAGTCTGGCGTCGTGCCGGGTACGCACAGGCCCGCTCGAGCGTCTGGTCTGTCCCTTGCCTGGCCTGTCCGGAAACCCGACACGCACTGTTAAGTGCATACCTGGCTGGGTCTTTCCCCAGCTCTCGATGCTGGTGGTGAGCTCGTCCCTCGGCCCCTCACGGCCATCATCGGCTGCTGTGCCGTCCATCATGGACTGCTGGTCCAACGCTGGCGCATGGCTGGATGTCTGTGGTGGTTGATGACCCTCAGATTATGGGAAGAGAGTGTATGCGCCATGACTTGGTGAATTGAGTATTTCCTGGACAGGCAGCCCCCTCGTAATGGGCCTCCAGAGTAGATCGAATGCTTTCCCGCAAGGTTCCGCCGTGGACGAGGCCGGCGGCGGGGGAGGCCCCCGGACATGTGCCTGCTGGCGATGACGCCCGCTGGGGAATAGCCGTGCAGTGCCGCCTCCCGCCCGGATCCGATGCCGAGCAAGTGCAGCGCACCACCATCGCTCAAACCTCAGCTCAAACACAACCACAACCACCACCAGCACCACGACTCCTTGCCTTCCTTTTTGCCTGTACCCCCACGACAACAACACAGACGGCAAGCAGCAGAACACAACCAAATACCACAATGTTCGCGGTAGCAGCCCGGCGGACGCTCCTCCGCCCACGCAGCGCCCTTGCGACTTCGGCCCCGTCCCTGCGCAGCTTCCTCTCGTCGCTCGCCATCCTCGAGCAGCGCGAGGGCCAGCTCAACCACGGCTCCCTCAGCGCCATCACCGCCGCCCAGAAGCTCGGCGGTCCCGTCCACGCGTTCGTCGCCGGCGGCGGCGTCAAGTCGGTCGCCGAGGAGGCTGCCAAGATTGACGGTGTCGAGAAGATCATTGCCGTCGACAATGCTGCTTATGACAAGGTGGGCTTTGACATTCCTGAAGCTTCTCACTGGCCCCCTCTCTCTACTCTCTCTTTCAATTAGCGGCCATGGACTGATCTTCGCCGCACTACACAGGGCCTACCCGAAAACTACGCCCCGCTCCTCGTCGAGAACATCAAGAAGGGTGGCTACACGCACATCCTCGTCGGCCACACAGCCTTCGGCAAGTCCCTGATGCCCCGCGTTGCCGCCCTCCTCGACAGCCAGCAAATCTCCGACATTACCAGCATTGAGAGCGAGAACACCTTTGTCCGCCCCATCTATGCCGGCAACGCCATCGCGACCGTCGAGTCCTCGGACGCGACAAAGTGCATCACGATCCGCGGCACGGCCTTCCCCGCCGCCGAGATCGCCTCGGGCACCGCCACCATCGAGGACGGCGTCGACCCCAAGGCCGAGTCTGCCTCCGAGTGGGTGTCCGAGGAGCTCGCCAAGTCGGACCGCCCAGACCTGGCGACCGCCGGCAAGGTCGTCTCCGGCGGCCGCGGCCTCAAGTCCAAGGAGGACTTTGACAAGGTCATGCTGCCCCTCGCGGACGCGCTGGGCGCCGCCGTCGGTGCGTCCCGCGCCGCCGTGGACTCGGGCTATGCGGACAACTCGCTCCAGGTCGGCCAGACGGGCAAGGTGGTCGCCCCCCAGCTGTACATGGCCGTGGGCATCTCGGGAGCAATCCAGCACTTGGCGGGTATGAAGGACAGCAAGGTCATTGCGGCGATCAACAAGGATGCCGATGCGCCAATCTTCCAGGTCGCTGATGTCGGCTTGGTCGGTGATCTCTTTGAGAAAGTGCCCGAATTGACGGAAAAGATCAAGAGCAGTTAACTGGTGTGTCAGGCTCAAGAAAACTTGTATAAGAAAACAACAAGAAGAATGTGAAAATATTGAATTACAACAAGATCAAGAAAGTTTTCTGAAGTCGAAGATATACGTTGTGAAGGATATCCCTCGCCAAGAGATATATGTATATAATCCTACAATATCGTGTACATCTAGGTAAAAGCCTGTCACTTTGACAGCTCGCAAGCACCAGAGGCCCCCCCCGGCCCCCCCACAACAAACTTGCTGTGCAGGTCGTCATAAATTCTTTATAACCCAGCGGCAGCCAACATGTCCGCAGTCCTGGTAAACTTCTCCCTCTCCTTGCCAACGACCTCGCCCCTCTTCTTCTCCGCCTCATCGATGCGCTGCCAAGCCTGCCAGTCGACGACCCTCGCCGCGCCGCCGCCATCGACCTCGCGCTTCAACGCATCCCATCCAGCAGAGTCCTCGGCTTGTGCCGACGCTGACCTGTCCTCCTGCATGAAGGGCGCGCCGCGGTACCAGTCCTCGGCGATGACGTCTGCGGTCGTAAAGGCGTCGTCCATTGTCGACGCAATGACGCCCGTCGGTCCGCGCTTGACCCAGCCTGCACAGTAGACACCGGGCTTGTGCTTTGGCTGCTCTGTCGCCGCTCCATCGTGTTGTTGCTGCAGCTGCTGCTGGAATACTCTACCAAAGCCGTCGTTCCTGATCACACCTCTGCGGTCGTCGAACAGGATCCCGCGCTCTGCGAACCCGGGCAGGGCAAGGGACTTGTACCCGATGGACCGCAGGACCATGGAAGCCCCGAACTGCACCTGTTCTGGCCGGGATGCATCGCCACCTGCCGTTGGATCGTGCCTCAGCACGGTAGCATCCGGGTCAGAGATGGATGACAGCCGGTTCCGCTCGAACCACATGCTCTGCACGTTCCCGTGGGCGTCCCCTTGCAGCCTTGTCGGCGTGAGCGCAAAGTCGAGGGACCACGAGCGGCTCGCGTCGTCCACGCTGGTCGTGGAGCCCCTGACCAGGACCTCCATGAGCCTCTTCCTGGCGCGGGGCAGCTTCGAGATCTCGTCCGGGACGAGGTCCATGTCCACCGGGTGGAAGCCGACGTCGCGGAGCTTCATGAGCTCGCGGGCCTCCTTGATGGTGAAGGCGACCTGCATGGGCCCCCTGCGGCCGACGACGCGCACGCGGCGGATCCGGCTCGCGCGCAGCCGCTCGACCGCCGCCTCGGTGATGTCGGTCCGGCGCAGCACGTCGACGTTCTCGAGCAGCATGCGGGCGCAGTCGAGCGCCACGTTGCCCTGGCCCACGATGACGGCCTCGTCGCCGAGCGTCAGGTCCGGGTCCAGGTCCGCGTACTCGGGCAGGCCGTTGTACCAGCCCACGAACTCGCGGGCGCTGAAGATGTTGCGCAGCGAGTCCTCGTCGGCCACGCCGAGCTTCTTGTCCCGGCTCGCGCCGTAGGCGAACACCACGGCGTCGTAGTGCGCCATCAGCCGGCCCAGCGGGATGTTGACGCTCTGGGGGAAACTGTTGGTGGGCTGCTGCGGGGAGCCGTCCTCGGCGGTGCCGCCGCCGATCGCGGCATTGCCTATAAAGGTGAAGCCTGGCGAGGCGGCGACCTCTTCAAACTTGTCGCGGCAGTTCTTGACCTCCGGGTGGTCCGGGGCGACGCCGAAGCGGACGAGGCCGTAGGGGACAGGCAGCGCCTCGTACATGTCGACCTTGGCCTGCGGGATCTTGGACATGACCCGGTATGTCGTGTAGAAGCCTGCCGGGCCGGAGCCGACGACGGCCATGCGGAACGGTCTTGCATCGCGGGCGGCTCCGGATACCGAAGCTGCTGGTGAGCCGGAGGCGAGGCGGGCGAAGCTGGTGTGGCCGTGGATGACTCTGCGTGTGGCCAGTGGCCTGGTGGTGGTGGTGGTGGTCTGGCGACAGGCGGTGCACACCCACAGCGGCGGCTTGGACAAAGCCATGGCTGCTATACTTGACTTGGTGGAATCTCCACACGATGGTCGAATGCCTCCCAGGGAATACTTTGTGTGGTAGATGACCAGGGCGGCGAGGACTGGTTACTATCTCGGTGGCCGAGCAGGGCAGCCGACAGCTCCGAGTCGGCAGCCGGCGCCGGAGTGGGCGGGGCGGTCCTGTGCTGTCACTGTCCAGCAGTTGTCCGGGGACAGGTTTGTATGATTCCGACAATGGCAGTGCCGGGTGATTGTGTTTGAGGTTTCTGTGGAGGTTAAGTTGCGCCTCGCAGAGCTCTGGTTGTGTGCCTTGAGAGCTCGAGTCGTCTTGATATTGCAGCTCAGCCTTTGCGACCCAGCCATTCATGGGAGACGTCAAAGGAAGCTCATGTGGGTCAGTGGGCATGACTTTGCCCTCGAATCAAGAAAGACTCGTTTTGACTCCAGTAACTGTTGTCAAAGAGGGGGGGGGGGGGGGGGATGTCGTGCAATTGTGCCAGGCAAGCCAGAGAAGCACCTCGATCAGTGGCTATCCGACGGTTGTGCCGTCGATGCCGTGACGTGCTTCTGACATGTCTTCACTCCGGCAGCGTCCCATGGCCGTACAGGTACCTAGGTACCTACCTTGTGACAGGCACGCGCAATCTTGGAGGCTCGTAATTATCCTTGCTTCCACCACCATGAACGAGCCGCCATCGATTCTCGGGCAGGCTAATCAGCAGCCCGGACTGACTGGGGCAGGCGGGCTGGGATGGATGGCGTGTTGGCGATGGCGATGAGCGGGATGGCGCCCCACGCGCCCGCCGCTACGGTGGCTGGCAGGGATGCAGCCGCCAACCTTGTCCCGCCCTGGTTGCCCTGACAACAGTCACAACAGTCGCCCGCGATGCTCTCACCATGCGCCTGTCCGCGCTGCGCTGCATGATGCAGATGCAGGCCCGTCTCCCAGCCCCGGCCCGCGGGCATCAGTATCGGATTGGGTTTCTTCCCTGCCACCAGCGCTGCAGTACTTCCTGTGGTTCCTGGATCTGGGTCATCGGCCAGGCACGCCACTTCCCAGCCCAGCTCAGCCCTGCTCACCCCCCCAAAAGACCCTCGAGGCCCAATCCATCCAGGCGTCCTGGTTCCTCGTCCTCTCTTCTTGTCTACCTATTCTCGAGGTCGTCATACCAAGTACTTGCTCTTCCACCCGGCCTAGACAACTGAGCTCTGTCGCCACTTCTACACCAGCTCTTGCTGGTCCTCAGTCGCACAGCATGGGCGGCCAACAGCCATACATGTACGATGCGGAGAAGCGCAATTCGTCCCGCTTTCCTCAGTCAGACTTCGATCCAAAGGCCTTCACCAGAGCCAGCTGGCAGCCGAAGCCTCAGAAACCCAAGCATGAAGGGCCCCTCGTGTCCTTCAATCGCCACCCCGAGTACGTCCTCTTCCCATCTCGTCGCGCATAGCCATGACTGTCTCGCTGACACCCACCCGAATAGCCTCCATGAGGTCCCCCGGAGCAGGATCACCTCGTATCGGCCCATGAGTGACACGTCAAAGTGGCTCATCAAATGGACAAGATACCTACAGATCGTCCTCCGGTCTCTCGAGCTCATCGCTGGCCTTGGTCTCATGGTCCTCATGATCCTCCTTACAAAAGTCGAGCTCATGACGTCCTGGGTTATGCGTATCACTGTAAGTAGCCTTCCCAGCAGAACACTACATGGACTAGGCCTGAGGCTAACACCAAAATGTGTGTAGCCTGGTGTCGCTGCCGTCTGCTCCGCGTACGCCATTTGGCACCATGGCCGTCCTGCTAGAGCCAGGCCGCCCGCGTCTTCAGCTGCGTACCAGCTGTTTTCTGGCATTACCGATTGCGCCGTGCTGCCTCTGTATGCCTATGGCATGCTCGCGGTCAATAACCACAGCGCCGAATGGGACACCCTGCTCGCCGACAAGACCTACCTGCGCTACTTCATCTTGTCCGAGTACTGGACTCTTCTGGGTGCAGGAGCCCTGCACGTCGTGTCCTTGCTCATTTCGGTGTACTTGGGTCTGATGTTCAAGAGGATCGCAAACATGCCGCCCGATATGAACCCGCTTGAGAGCAATCTGACGTCGCGCATGCACAAACGCAACAAGTCCTCCGTCACCACCGTTTCTACCGCTTCGGACAGTGTACACCGCTTGTCGACTCCCCTCGAGGGTCACAGGCGCTCGGGCGCTCCGTACGAGACGCTCTCGCGGCCTCCGAGCATGCCTTTCATGCATACACGACAGAACTCTGGAGACTCCTTTGTGTCTTCGAAGCGCGATTCCCGGTCTGATCTTCCAAGCCGGCAGTACCAGATCCCCGCCGCCAACATGTCTCGTGCCAGTGTCGCCACTTTCACTACGGCAAAGACAACACCTCCTTCCCGAGGCTCTGCTCACCGCGGCACCTACGCTGAAATCTCGCTGGACGAGACTGGAACCCCCCGCGGCCGTCCGAAGAGCATGGTCACCGCCAAGCCATTACCGGAGCAGCCTATCAACGCCTCACCCACGCGAGTTGCCAAATTCACGGAGTCCTGGTACGCTACTGATTCAATGGTGAACCGTACGCAACAACGCCAGCGCGCGATGAACGCTGCTGAGCGTGAGCAAGAACGGCAGCAGAACCATCGCAACCAGGCCTACGAGTCGCTGACCCAGCGATACGACAATGTGTTGGGCGACTCCGATGACGAGAACCTCTCTGACCGTGACCACGACATGATGCGGCCGGACCCGATGGACGATGTGTCAGATTACGAGGACGACAACGAGCACTACAGGGGGGCAGGTGGCAGTCCGATCAACGCGTCGGCGCGCATGTCTTTGCATGACCCGGTGCATCCACTGCGCTCGCACCCATCGGGCGTGTCTCCCAAGATTATCAATCCTACTACCACGGCGTTTGTCCCCACCACCACCACAACTATCACCAGCACGCCAACAAAGACACCGCCGCGGCAGAAGACGCCCTTCCGCGCCCTTCGCGACTCATTCGGCAGTGCCCTTTCTGAGGTCAGCCTCAACTCACGACGGGTCAGCGGCGGACCGACAGCCGGCAGTGGCGGTGACATTGCGGACGCGAAGAGCTACTCGGCACTTAGCATAGGCAAGCGATACTCACAAAAGTTCACCGGCAACGGCAAGGACAAGAGCATTACTGGCAACCGAAACTCGTCCATTCAGGCCGACCACGACTTCTTCTCCGCGGCCAAGCCGTACGGTGAGCTCCAGCCGGGAACGCCGCCGGTCATGCTCAGTGTGGATAAGAACGGCAGCAACAGTGCCAGCCGACAGGTGTCGAGTGGCAACGACTACGACCTGGGCGGCAGCGGCGCAAGGGCTAGCAGGAGACATGTCAGCGGCAAGGCTGCAGAGGAGGGCATGGCCGGGACGGGTGGGAAGGTGCCATATTCGCGGTATAGTGTATTTAGGGGCTAGGCTCCAGAGATTCATGTTTGATTTCGAAAGATCTCGGCGTTCTTGTTCATGGGCAGGGGACGAGCTTCCGGGAGGAAATTGGGAAAGAAAGTTATGTATACGATCAACGACGTTCATGTGAGACTGGAGCCGGAGCGCGCGGCTCGGGGTGGGTGAGAGATTGTGTGCGATGTAGGGAATCGGTGTTTTGCAAAGATATCATGGCGTTTTTGGTACTAATCATGTCATCTGTTAATAAGACCACCTCGAGGGAATAGAAAAGAACTTGATGTCATCTAGCTTGAGAAATTTAACGAGTCCCCGATACCAGACTCCGCACAATGTCCACTGCCACCGTCTCTGAATGCACCAATTCCACAATGCAAAATGTATCCTGCCCCCATTACTCAGGAATATATCAATCGACGCTCATGGCGATCTTTTCTCACGCTGCCAAAAAAAACAAAAAAACAGTGACAGTGCCATTCTCCAGTGCTTCTAACCCATACAACACTAGTGACGACCGACGTATCTTGCCCTCGCTGCTGACCTGTAAAAAAATAATTGAGATCGTGAACGAGTCGAAGCATGGTCCCCCGTCCCTGCACGACTTCAACAGATCACACGCAGCACTGGATATTTCGACCATGTGTATATACCCAGTTGTATAACCTCTCTCCCTTTCGTCAAGCACGGGCTTGCTCTGGTGCATCTGATTATACCGCCAGTCGAGCTTGACGTGATGTATATATATGTGTGTGTGTGTATGCGTGCCATTTATATATTGCGGTGTTTCAAGCTCGCAGGTATGCAGCCCAATCTGTCGTCGTCTTTTTACTCCTAGCCTTTCCCCGTGCTTCTCCTCTCCCGCCTCTTCTTCCATTATCAGCACCACCGTCAGTATCGAGATACCCGTCGTCTCCATCGGCGTGGTTGTGCACGTCCCGCCCCTCAGTCCAGCCCATCTTGTCCCACCCCGCCCCGAGCCGGCAGAGATGCCTCATCGTGGGCCGCCCGTGAGGGCAGTTCCACGGCTTATCCAGCTCGCCCATGTGCCGCACGAGCTTCTCCATCTGCTTCGTCGTCAGGGCCTTGCCAATCATCACGCTGCTCCGACAAGCGCGCATGGCGAACATCTTACGGACTTTGGAGGGGCGGGGGATCGTTGTCGGCATCGCGCCGCTTCCGAGCTGGGATAACAGAGATGAGGTCGTAGCGCTAGTGTTGGTGGTGGTGGTGCGGGCAGGCGTAACGACCGCGGACGCAGAAATCTCGTGATGGTCTGTCAGCAAGGACACCAATTCCTCGAGATCTGCCAGGTCAAAAGTGGTCTCCCTGCTCAGAGGCAGAGAGAGCAGCCGCACACGTTGTCCGACCGGGTGGAACCCGCTCTCATCAATCTCGACCTGAAATCCGTTGGCCTCGAGCGCGGGAATGTTCTCCTTGATGACCTCCTCCTCAAGGGCCGTCAGGTCGAGCTGCTTTGGCTGCACGAGACGCTGGGACTGGACTACTGTGCTGGCCTGCAGCCGCTCGAAATTGTACTTTTCGTCAGTGGCATGCTGGTCGATTATGAAGAGCTCGTCATCTCTGTCGCCCATGCTAGTGTCCGTCTTCACCCGGCTCTTAGCCTCACGGACGGCGATGATGAAACCGAGATTGAATTGTCCGATGATCTTCATGCTCAGCAAGTCGGTCTTTGATATCGTTAAGGACAGCTTTGTCTCCGCGTCCTCGGCATCTAGCCTGTCTGCAGCAGGCAGGTCTTCCTTGCTAGTAGACAATGAGGAAGATTTCGATATTGAAGCTGCAGAAAACCCCATCATGCTCTTTATGGCATTCTCATTGACTCGCAACGTCTGCTGCAGATTTTGAGTGGCATGTTTCCGGATGGGACCCTTCATGAACGTCTGCGTGCGCTTCTGTGCCTCCTCTGACGACTTTGTCTCTGCTTGCTCCTCAGGTTCTTGTTCTTGTAAGTCTTCGTCTTCGTCTTCGTAGTCGCTCCCTTGAATTTTGGCTGTTTCTTCGTTATGACTGCCCCGATCAGATTCATCGCTCCCTTCGGACTGCTCTCCCGCCAGGGCCTCCGAACTACTAGCCTGGCTTGCACCTCTATCAATAGCAGAACTGGCTAGCATACGGGCTTCGTTCATCATTGCCTCGTCAGCAGATGCTTCCTTGTCCGCGTCATGCTCGCTGTTAGACATGATCTCATCGTCATCGTCCTTCACGAAAAGCTGCTCGCTCTCAGTATCGGATACATCGTCATCTTGGCCTGACATCGGCGCCTCTGACGATTCATCTATGTCCTGAGCCTTCTGAGTCGAGGCTGCAAACATCTGTGTAAGTCGTCCTTGGAACGAAGGCATGTTTGCTTTTCCTTTTGAACGTGTTGGCATTGAGCTGCTTGTTGGCGTCGTCTTTGTTCTCTTGGACGGCGCCCCGAGCATGCTGGTGACGGTACTATCGCCAATGGTTATTGTGGCAAGCTCGGGAGCAGGACGTTTAGACCTCGCTGGTGCAAAGAGTTGGGATGCACTGGATCCGGCTGTGTGTACAGGTGGTGCGACGGCCGGTATTGGTGACTCACGCCGCTTTTGCATCAAGGCGCCTGTTGGACTTTCTGAATTCTCTGTGCCGTCATCAGGGGGATCTGAATCTGGCTCGAGACTTGGAGGATGTTTACCAATGTCGTCGTCGGAGGTCTGCGTTCGCCTAGCCTCAATTCCCTGGCTCTTGCCTAGTAATTTTGCTGACGGCTCCTGCTCATTTTCGAGGGTGATATGAGGAGCTGTTTCCGCCGTGTCCCGCGCCCACTGGCTGATCGATATTGCCCGGTTCGCTTGTGTCTGCATGTTTGTGTCGATTTCGCCATCTGGCTCGGTCGTTCCCTGTTCCTCTTCGTCGTCTACCGAAGCAGGGTCTTCGGCACCAGACCCGCCGGGTTGACCAGTCTCGACCTGACTCTGGTCATTCCTGAATGATGATAGTATGCTTTCCCGAGTCATGGGCGGCTTCTTGTACGGCATTTGCTTGCTTAACAGCAGAGTCGAGGAAGGCACTGCATAGTCTTGCGCCTCGAAGAGCTCAATCAGAGCCTCTCTAAGGTTATCCAGCATTCGGGGCTGATCATGCAGTAGGATGGTCCTCTTGTCCGGGCTCACGTTGACATCATACAGATGTGTGTCTAGCTGAATGTCCGCAAATATAAAAGGTGACTGAGATGCATTATAAGACTTGTAAACCTCGTTGAATACTTTTGCAAACTGTGGTAGCCCACAAGGACGACCATTTACAAAAAACATCTGGCGGTCTGGGGTTTGGCGACCCTCTCCGTGTGCTGGGCGAGAGACATGGCCGCGCACGTGTATCTCGGTGGTATCCGTGGTTGAGGCACCGGCTGTTCGAAGGTGGAGAGGTGCCTTGGTGGGCTCCAGCTCCAGCTTGAGATCAAGCGCGATGAGGACAGTCAGAGTCTTGGCTCCGAAAACATTGACAATGTTCTCGCGGGTGGTCTTATTACCCTTGGTCGAGAACAAGGTAATGCGCTTGCCCTTGGTTGGCTGCTGGGAGACAGAAAATTTGACGCCCGTCTGTATGCACGCGTACTGGTTGAGGACGGTTATGACTCGGTTCCACTCCCTTTTGATGTTGCGCTCGAGCTCTCTCCGGCGAACGGGGAGGTTCTTGAACAGATTCTCTACTGATATGGTAGTGCCTTTCTGTGATGCGACCACGGTCGTGCTTCGCAACTTGCCGGACGTCTCGAACTCGAGTTTTGAGCCTTTCGGCACGTCTGCAGCAAGGCAGGTTGTGACAGTAAAGGTGGACAAGGCACAGAGGGACGAGAGAGCCTCGCCACGAAAGCCAAAGGTTTCTAGAGTTGTCAGGTCCGAGTATGTAGCAAGCTTGGATGTATAATGCTTGAGAGCCAACGTCTCGTAGTTGTTTGGGGAAATGCCTGAGCCATTATCCTGAACCTCGATAGCATCGAGGCCTTGGTTTTTGAAGCGCACGTCTGGTCGGAGGCCTGGTCAGCACGAGCACGGGCAGAGAGACATGTCGAAGCCGTGGTGAGCATACCAATACTTGTAGCGCCGGCGTCGAGGCTGTTTTCGACCAGCTCCTTAACGACGGAGCACAGGTCTACAATGACCTGCCCAGACTGTATTTGGTGGATCTGCACACTGTCAGCATGATCGCGCAAGGGAGCTGTGGAAGGAGGGACCTCTAGCGTACTGTCTGGGCCTCGATGGCCTTGATGGTAGCCATAGCAATTTGCCGGGCATCTGTCAGGGCGAGATAGGGACCAGCCGTTGCCGAGACTGATCGGCCAGATGGGTTGGTGTTGGCCTGTCGAATGGCCCCGGAAGGCTACCAAGGAAAGCGTTCGTCCTATGTTCCAGCCTGCAATGCGGCAGTGTCCATTGAGACCCTGTCGCCACGGACTTAGTAGATGGCATCCCCAGACGCGTCTCGGTACGCGTAAAGTGGGAATGGTGGGGCCGCGCTGCGGGATCCTCCCCCTCCCATTCAGGCTCCCCCAAACGGCAGGCTGAATTTCCCGCCAGTGCGAGGTTGCAGCAAGCCACCAAAATGGCGCCCCGTGGACCATTGAGAGTTCCCCGCACCCAGACCTCTAGACAGCATGGGATTCCTGTTTCCGCTCGGCTCGAGGCAACAGCACACCATCTCCAATTGCACGACGGGGAGCACACGAAAAGAAACCCCTGTCGCCTCACTTGGTGTCGGAAAGGCAGCGAGGGGACCTGCGTCTCAGCCCGCCCGGCCTGCGTCCCGTCTTCCCTGTTCCTGTAGCAACATCGCTCTCGCTCTTACATCCCGCGTCCAGCCACCCGCACATGACTGACTCAGCGGGCTGCTCACGACCTCCGCACCGTTGCTATTGTCTCCTAAAAGCTGGCCGCAGCACGCCGCAACCAGAAGGAAAACAAGGCACAAGAAGCAGAGGCCAACGAGAAACCGGTAACGTGGCGGAAGTGTGTTTCTGCTAGTGCGGGCCTGCGCGATCCGGCCGCTGGAGAACAACCTCTGCCTGTGGAGCTGGGGCTCCGAGTGTTGAGGTGTGATGATGATGATTGAGCTTCACCACCACGAGAGGCACTTGCATGCACGATGCACCGGCGGCGCTCGTGAGGGGGCGGCCCACCCCTGCTAGCCGCCCTTGTACGGAGCAAAACTAGCGCTGGGAATGACGACAGCTCTGGCTCCGGCAGCGATAAACAACCCCCAAGGCCTGTCGCGCACGTGCAGGCGCTCGCGGGACTGCCCTAGCTCGCTTGCGACTTGGACTCGCTCCATCCAATCCGGCAAGACCACCACCACCACTCCCCGTTTCCTGCTTCTCGATCCTGCTTCTCGAGCCTTTCCCATCCCGTTCTCTCGATCGACAACTCGTGGTGCCCCTGCTCCTCCTCCGCGCCCCTCGCCGGATCTCGTCGTTTCCCGCCCTTCGCTACCAAAGCCCAGTCGGCCAGCTGCACTCTCTCTACCGAATGTCAGAGCAATCCGACCTGGCCAAAGATAACTGCTCCGCTCGTTCTTGCACGCCACGACTCGCTTAGACTAGACTTTCCACGACAGCTTCCACGCTCTTCAAGCTCGTGTCCGCCTCTTAGACTGCGTCTACTCATAGACAAGTTCACATCTGCGACTCGTTTTCCGGTCCTGTGTTCGGGGTCCTTCACACACCCGGCTATTCCGAGCGTCCCGAACCGATACGTACGACGCATTTTCGCCCAAGATAAGGGTCTCTCTTAGAACCTGCAAATGAATGCCATTCAACCTTCATCGAACCCAGAAGGATCATGAGCGAGCGACATCGGGCGACGAGGACAGGTCAACCTCGTGACGGCAGGCCAAGCAGTCCGACGTCGGCGGAGCGCAAGCGTCTATCCAATGGCACGAGCCCTGATCAGAAGCTGCGCGGAGCTGTAGAAGACAGTCCTGGCAAGATCAAGGCTCAATCGCTGCCTTTGTTGCGTTATCGTGGTGCTGCATCAGTCCGGGATACGCAAGCCACAGGCAGTCGGTACAAAAATGGCCGGACATGGTACCAGTCTGTATGGACCATGTCCTTGCTCACGTTTCTCGTTACATCTGTGGGGGTAGCGCTGTTGTACAGTGTCTTGAGTTCCGCCTTCGCGATGCACTGCGATACCAAGGGTTGCCGCATGTCTTACATGAGACCAGCATACTACAGATTTGACGGCTTCGATACAGAACATACCCGGTTCGCCAGTAAATATTCCTTGTACCTCTACCGGGAGCAAGGGGTTGATTACGACCACAAGGTGAGTCTCCGGAAATGGTTGTGTTAATTCAGAGTGTGGTCACTAAGAGTATGCTGGTCCAAAGGTTTCGGGCATACCGGTCCTGTTCATCCCCGGCAATGCCGGCAGTTACAAGCAAGTAAGGCCGATTGCAGCGGAAAGCGCCTCCTATTATCACGAGGTCCTGCGGCATGACCCCGTTCTGGCCCAGACGGGTGTGAAGAATCTCGACTTCTTCAGCGTCGATTTCAACGAGGACTTTACAGCATTCCATGGCCAGACTATGCTTGATCAGGCAGAATATCTGAACGAGGCAGTCAGATACATTTTGTCCTTGTATTCCGACCCAAATGCCTCGCGACGTGACCCGAGGCTTCCAGACCCGACCTCTGTCATCATCCTGGGCCATTCTATGGGCGGCATCGTAGCGCGGACCATGCTTGTCATGCCAAATTACCAAGCTGCCTCCATCAACACCATCGTGACCATGTCGACGCCGCATGCTCGACCGCCGGTCACCTTTGACTCTCAGATCGTAAAGATTTACACTGATATCAATGGATATTGGAGACAGTCTTTTGCTGCAAACCAAAGTGACAGCAACCCCCTGAGAGACATTACACTGATCTCGATAGCAGGAGGCGGGCTTGATACAGTCGTGCCTTCAGACTACGCCGGCCTAGAATCCATCCTTCCTGAGACGCACGGTTTCACTGTGTTCACGTCTTCGATACCAAATGTGTGGACAAGCATGGACCACCAGGCTATTATGTGGTGTGACCAGTTTCGCAAAGTCATCGCAAAAACTCTTCTTGAGATTGTTGACAATCGTGGATCATCACAAACCAAGCCCCTCAACGAACGGATGCTTGTGTTCAAAAAATGGCTGCTCACGGGCATGGAGAAAATTGCGGAAAAGACGGCGCGATCCACCACACAAACGACGCTCCTTACGCTGAACGAAGATTTCAGTTCTGCCGTTGTTCGTGACGAACGCATCGTTCTGCGAGGTCTAGGCACAGCATCGTCGATGTTATCGAGGTTACGGCTGCTCTCTATTCCCCCAAGCGATGCGTCTACATCCAAGAGGTTCACACTCCTTAGCGACACGCGACTGGCTCGACCGGGCCAGCAGAGCGGCCTCGAAGTGCTTCTGTGCAGTCTGCTTCCGATTGAACCGTCTGATTCAAATGAGTCGTTCCAAACAGCCATCGATCTTTCCGGGCCGGACCACAGTCTCAGTCGTCTCGCATGCCAGAATGTGGCAGCTGACGTAGTTCCGCTTCCAGCATCAACGAAGCTTACGCAGCACCCCTTTTCTCGTGATGGGGAGCCTCAGTACACGCCTTTCTCGTACTTGGAGTACAACCTGAGTGACCTTGTGGATCACGCATTTGTGGCCATCTTGGATAGGAACGAGCATCCCACCCCAGGGTGGCTGGTGGCTGAGTTCAGCGATACATCCTTGTCACATTCAATCGAGGACATTACTCTCAGGCGGCTTGTCACCACTGGGCTTGAAGTACATCTACCTCCAGGCCGGCCTATGGTTATCGAGCTTCAGGTCCCGTCTATGCAGAGCAGTCTCCTTGCGTATGATCTCGAGCTCCAGCGAGAGCCATGTGCATCAGAACATGAGCTGTTCGCCCCACTACTGCGACACTACATGACGCGCCCATACGAATCCAAGTACTTTGTCAACGTCAAGCACGTCGAGGTCAGCCTACACGGAATATCGCCATTCGTGCCACCTCCAGCAGATGAGAAGGCACTCAACAACGGCCTGAGCTTCCAACTGTGGACCGATCCTACATGCAAGTCGAGCGTCACAATCCGTCTGTCTGTGGACCCTATGGCTAGTCTTGGCAAGCTCTACATGCGATACCGCACGGTGTTTGCAGCCTTCCCAGTGTTGGTGGTTGCGATGGTGCTGCGCAAGCAGTTCCTTGTCTACAGCAGCACAGGACTGTTCATTACATTTTCTGAGAGCATCGAGATGTGCTTGAAGCGCTCATTGCCGCTCCTGATGCTATCTCTGACGTGCCTGTCACTCTCTGTCGGTCATCCACGCACACCTGATGCACTGCTTCAATACTTGAAAGGGCACGATAAGTCCCTGCCCAATTTTGGCCAGAATGATTTACTGACTGGCACTGCGGATCCGTTCTTCTGGTTCTTGATACCGATGATCGGGCTTGTGTGCATCGGCGTCTGCGTGGCTGTCCACTACCTGGTCCTGGTCCTGGTCTATGTTTTCAGCAGCATCTACGGCTACTTTGTCTCCCGTCCTGTCTGGTCTCCCAGAGACGATTCTGCACGCGAGAAGCCGTTGCCTTCATTTACGTCATCAACACGTCAACGTCGTCTTATCACGACAATTGTCCTGCTCTGCCTTGTCTCGACGACTGTGCCGCATCAATTTGCCTTTGTCGTTGCCTGTCTTGTTCAACTCTCGACTGATGTGCGAGCCTTTTGGCACGCTCGCGACACACCTTCCACGTACAACACCAACTTCAGCAATTATGCACACTCCATCTTTCTTTTAATGTTCTGGATACTTCCCATCAATATCCCCACACTGGTCGTCTGGATTCGCAACCTGGCTGTACACTGGTTCATGCCTTTCTCCTCACACCACAATGTTCTGTCCATTCTACCGTTTATCCTACTCGTCGAGACGATGACTACGGGCAGTATGATCCCTCGCGTCACGAGTCCTCTCCGCCACGGGACTAACGCGATGCTGTTTGGGGTGTCCCTTTTCGCCGCGATATACGGCGTCTCGTACACCTACGTACTTCACCATCTGGTCAATCTAATTGTTGCCTGGTTCGTCATCCTGCATATTACAGGAGGTCGCAGCTGGGGTCGTCGTCAGTGGCAGCATGCCCAGCAGGCGGGCGACGTCAAGTCTATGGCGACAAACGCGGCGCGAGGCACGAGCACAGGCGCGAGAAGCCCTTCATTACCAGCCACGGACCCTGCAGCGGCGGCTTTCAGCAGCAGCGAAAAGAGCCGGGGCCAGCACCACCACAAGGCACCATAGCAACAGCTGATCGGGTGGGATGCAGCGCGAATCGAGGAATTAAAGACACTCTGACGGAAACGGTCCGTCCTAGCTTATCATGACGTTTTCGTTTTAATTTTTAATATACACACTCTTGGAACAAGACGCGGACTTTCCCGTGCCCAAGAAAGTGCCATGACGTTCTCTGCTACAAGGCGAGGTGTTGGTGCCCCATATGCCGCCTTTCTTTTTTTCCTTTTTCTTCAAAGAAAGAGGATAAAAAAATATGAATCAGCGAGGACCCGTCTTCTCTTACATGACATGACATGACATCACGCCCTGGTGTTCTGAGTCTCCATCAACTCGTCCGTTCGCAGTTGGGTTTGGATGTGATCGCTTTGTTTTGTCTACGTTGTGGAATTTGAAGTCTGTGTCGATAGTATCAGTTGCACCAAAGGATCGAGTACTACTATTACATTATATCGCATGAACGAGGACCGCAGTACCCGGGAAGGGAAAGCAAAGCTCAAACTTGATATGATTGTTGCTGATGCAAAACTGATGCGAAACAAGGTATCTAAAACGAGGCTCCTCGTACACTCCCGATTTCCTTCGACTTCCAATCAAGGCACTATTCTTGATCATGCTATATACGTGTTTGTTGGTATGTTTTTATGTAAAAGGTTGTTCGAGACCTGAAAGACTCGCAAAGACCATCTAGTCCATGTCGAAGCGGTCCGGCATGACGATGGGCGCAACAAGTGTCCAGATGTACATAAGATAGCACAACCAGGCGCTGACAATCTTGACCCAGCTTGCCCAATATGTCCGACCGACGGTGGCGAACCCGTGGTTATTGCTCAAGTCATCTGGATGCCTGTCGCCCTCCATGGCTCCCGTCAGCAACGTGCCGACCCAGCAAGTGGCCAGGAAGAAGATGATGTGGAAGACGGAATAGTTGTACTGCGTCCTTGTTCGCTCGTCGTCGTGCTTGGTGTTGCCGCTGTTGTCCTCATCTTCGTCGTCAGACAGGAGCGCATCGGCTGGGAGACTGCCTTCCTCGACGGCTCGTCTGAGTACTTCGGCTCTCATCTCGCGGCGGCCAGGCTGCTGCGTCACCAGGTCGTGCTCATCGTCCTCGGGGAGCTTGATGCCTCCTCTGCTGTTGCCTAGACCCAGACTCTGAGTGGCAGCCCGGGTTGTGGTATAAGCAACGGTCAGCATCGTGACGATGGCGCCGAGCACGACCGAAGTTGTGCGCGTGCCTTGACCACGGAGAAGCGGATTGCAGTTCTTGTCGTCAGGCTCCATGGAGACGGCAGACATCGTGAGGTATGTACAGTAAACCGCGACCATGGCACCCTGCGCAAGACCAGCCTTGGGGTTGTACTCCTGGACCGTTGGGTGCACGGAGACGAAGGAGATGACGAGCCAGAAGAGGAGATTGATGGTGATTGCTGCCTGGTTCATCGAGCAACCAGACTTGGCGAAGAAGATGTACTGCACAATGGTCATGACGAGCGAGGCGACGTACATGCCGAGCGTAGATCCGATGAGCACAACACGCCAGACACGTGACTCCGTGTTTTCGATCTTTTCGAGGCAGAACTCGGCCCAGTTGTGAGCCAGGTCGACGAGGAGGATGAGACCGAGAATGAGGAACAGCATGGCGCCGAAGAATGCAATGTAGTTGCCCCATGCCTGGAAGAACGCATCGGGGATGAGGAACGAGAGAACGATGAAGGCAAGCCAAGCGATGACCTTGGGACCCCAGTATCCGTTCTGGATGGCGGCACGGGGGTTCTTGGACGACGTGATTCCGAACATGAGACCGGCAAGCAGTAGATGGAAGATGCCCAGGGCAAAGTTGATGCGGTGGACGGCGAGCCAGCCGTGGCATTTGCCATCCGGGCAGTTGATCTTGACGTAGTCGAGGGTAAGATGGTTGAGCTTCTCGATGGCCCACGGCGTGAGCATGATCCAGGACAGGATCGAGTTGACAAGGAGGATGAGAGCATATGCGAGACGGGTTGCGACACTGTTGCCGCACTTGCCGCAGGCGCTGCAGACCATCGAGCAGGTGGCTGCGCCGCAGCAGCTAGCTCCTACGGACAGAATCTGTGGGCGAAGGCACGCGATTGTTAGCAGCCTGGACGAGACGAGCAGGTTCGGGTGGTGGAAGGAAAGTGGCGAGCTCGACGTACAGTGCCCATGCTGGGGACCGCCAGCAGCGGGAGCGAGAGCAGAGCGCCCATGGTTAAGATGCGGTGGGCGCCGATCTACAGCAAGCCAAATTATTGAGAGCCGGTGATGAGGGGGGAGCGGCAGCAACAGCTTGACGTCGGGGGTCGCCCGTTGTTGATGTTGACGATTGGCAGCGTTGGAGGTTGGGAGAGGAGGAAGTGCCCGTGACCTGAGGTCTGCGACAAGCCCGCTCGCTGCTGGTCGGGAAGGCGGGCGCAGTTGCGCGCCGAGAGCGGGTCTGGCCCAGGCCTTTACTGTACGCTAGGCAAGCACTCAAAGGGCCCAAGCCACGCAGCGGGTTACGTCAGACATGCACCACACACAGTGCCTCATACAGTCCATCGACCATTTACGACACGGTCCTCTGCGCCCCGGCTCTCTCTCCGCCTTGCTCCGCCCGCGTCGCATGTCCATGTTGGAGAACCTTGGAACCTTGGAAGTGCGGGCTGAGCAGCGGCACGAGAGGTCATCGTTACCGGTGAATTACCGCGTCCACTCACTGAGCCCTCCCCGCTGCCCGCCTGAGTCGGCGACCTGCGCAGCCGCGTGCATGCGATAAGCATTGAGACACCTGCAGCGACCGGACCGGGCGCTCAGGCACCGCACAGGTACCGTCCCACCAAGCAGACCTGGCCTGGTACCTGCTTGATTGCGGTTGCGGTACCTTCTCCCTTTGGCACTAGATAGGACATCCGCGACACCACCTCGCTCCAGTCACCCACAACTCCCACTACACCCGTGGCTTCCATCTCGCCCAGCGACAGCACTTTTTCTTCCATCTTGTGCTCTCGAGTCCTGCATACCTCCTCCTGAGGATACCGTAGACACGCATCTGTTCTGAGCCGCCGGGAAAGGAGGCCGTGTCGCTCGCCAGACTCACTTGTCCAAGCCGGCTTTCCCACTCCGAAGCCGGCCTCCCTACAAACGTCGCCCGGAGCTTTAGCACTAGTTGACAGCGACCCCTTGCCACAACGCTATCTGAGGCTACTCCAGCATCGTCAGAAAGACCCAGGTCTTTTGCGCACGTGATCAGAAGCTGGCCGGACTCGCGATGATCGAATCCTCGTAGCCCGCTCGCGACTTCATCTACCATCCCGTGGCCACCATGCACGAACGGAACGCGCAGAGGGCTCGGCTCGTGTCGAGTGCCGCCGCCACCATCATATCGCTCGCTTGTGGAACGAATGTAAGCCCTGCTGCAAAAAAGCGTCGTCTACGCGGCTGCCCATGTCCTGTTGTTTAGTCGGTTAGTTGGTCGGATGCTGACTTATCTGCATCCAGTATGTGTACTCGGCATGGGCACCCCAGTTCGCCGACAAGCTGCACCTGTCGGCGACGGAGTCAAATCTCATCGGCCTGGCTGGCAATCTAGGCATGTACCTCTTCGGTATCCTAACCGGCATGTTTGTCGACGCCAAAGGGCCCAGGCCTGCTGTGGCTGTGGGCTCTGTATTACTGGGTCTGGGGTATTACCCGCTCCATACTGCCTATGAGGCTGGCCAAGGTTCGGTGCCATGGCTTTGCTTCTGCTCATTGCTGACAGGGTAAGTATAATCATGCTGTTACTTCACTTCCGAGGTCGTTGGGTTGAGCTGATGACTGTCCAGTCTTGGCGGATGCATGGCCTTCGCTGCTGCTGTCAAAACGTCTGCCCTGAACTGGCCTCACCATCGTGGCACGGCTACTGCGTTCCCTCTTGCAGCTTTTGGGCTCAGCGCATTCTTCTTCTCCCTCGTCGGCTCCATCTGCTTCCCTGGAAACCCCAGCAAGTTCCTGGCGTTACTCGCCTTCGGCACCTTTGCCATGACTCTGTCTGGATTCTTCTTTCTGAGGGTGCTGCCACCAACACCATCCACTTACCACGCTGTGCCCGAACAGGACGACCTGGTAGATTCCCAAGTCCTCCATCGCACCGAGTCGCACGACTCGAAGCTGCAGCGCGGCGGCCCTGATCTCGAACCTGGTATGTCACAAGACTTTAAGAACAACACAGCCACCACCACTATTGGCGCTGCCGGCGCTGTTGGGCAGCAAGCCATCACAGCAGATTACCCCGAGGGGACCGACATCGCGGAGTCTTCAAGCCGGCCACAGCAATCCACTGGTCGAGCCCCTCCCGATGCCCGCGAAGACGTCGATGAGACGTCGTCTCTCATGTCCTCTGAGTCCGCCGTGTCGACATTACCGGGTGATGTGTTAGTGCAGGACAGTGTTGATCTGGAACTCTCCCACCGTCTAGATATCCGCGGCGTGAAACTCTTGAAGAATGTAGAGTTCTGGCAGCTCTTCAGTATCATGGCACTGCTGGCCGGCATAGGACTGATGACTATCAAGTAAGATGCTCGCCACCATTCTAGCTCGCTCGTGGGCTAACACAGACCCAACTAGTAACATTGGCAATGACGCCACTGCTCTGTGGAAGCATTGGGATAATTCAATTGACGACAAGAAGCTCGCCCTGAATCAGCAGCTGCATGTGTCGATCCTCTCGGTTGGCAGCTTCTTCGGTCGTCTTCTGAGCGGTGTAGGATCGGACTTCCTTGTCAAATCGTTGCACGCCAGCAGGATCTGGTGTCTCGTTGTTGCTTCGGGCATCTTCACTGTTGCGCAGATATGTGCGCTCAACATTGAAAATCCTCACTTTCTTGGCTTCGTCTCTGGTTTCAGTGGCTTGGGTTATGGATTCCTCTTTGGCGTTTTCCCCTCCATTGTTGCCGAAAGCTTTGGAATTCACGGCCTATCTCAGGTAAGCCCTTTCCCTTGCTGCTGGGCCATGCCCGGAAGGATGACCCCCTTTGCTGACAGTATGTAGAACTGGGGCGCCATGACATTGTCGCCAGTGTTGTCCAGCAATGTCTTCAACATCTTCTACGGTTCTGTCTTTGATGCGCACTCCATCGTTGAGGCTGACGGCAGCAGAGGATGTGAGGAAGGCCTCTATTGCTACTATGCTGCTTATCAAGCAACACTACTAGCATGCGGTATTGGCATTGCTCTGACCCTGTGGGTCATTTGGCACCAGAAGCAGGTCAAAGAACGGGCAGGCAACAAGACAATTGGCAGGGATTAGATGGCCTTTTGCCAAATTGGCGGACAACAAATACGGAGTCCAGGATATCCACAAGAGTGAGCTCTCTGGGAGTCTATTGGAAACCAAGGACTATGAGTTTCTGGTGCATTCGAATCGGGTCGACGGCGATTATACATCTAACCGCTGACTAGCGAGGGACGACCATAGAAGATATCTGTTTGATGGCAGGCGCAATGGGGAAGAAATGCATACTGGATATAGAACCACGGTAGACAGATTTCAGAAAGGAGGTTTTCGAATCTCAGACATGAGATTTGACATTTGAACTCCTATGCTCCGATATTTCTTTTTCCATGGTGAAGTCGTGATGTTCGATCTTGCTGGGTTGACAGGTGCAAGAAGCCTGCCCGGCGAGCGTGCAACGAGCGTCATGAGAGTACAGAAGTACTTTTAAAAGGTCTCCCTTCCACCTCTGGCATGAAGACGTCATGCCTTTTGTGGTTGATGTCCATTCCATAGTACTTCTTCAGTACATATACGTTCTGCTCATGTGATGACTGCGAGCCAGCCGATGAAACACATTCGGGGCAATATCACCCCTGTGAGCATACGGGCGGGAAGGACGAACGACAAAGTGGCGAATAGAGGAAGGTCAAAGCTCCGTGGTCTGCGAAACGAGTAGCTCTCTTAGAATTGCTTATACTTTATGTGTCCTTTTTGGGGGGTCTTTCTCTCTATGGATCGTCGGTTTCCAAGTCTCGAGCAGTGCATTGATATACAACTTGTTGTTTGGGGGGCGGGGGGGTTTGGCGGGTCTTCTCCGAATCGAGGTGTCCATCGTCTCACTGGGGCGTGGGGATGATGGAGAACGGGAAGGGAGATGGATTCAAGTCGAGTGGCTGCCTCGGCTTGGTGTGATTGGTGTCAAGTTGAATGTTCCAAGGGGAGCATAATCAATGCTGGTAAAGTGGCTGTCATGGGTGGTCTCATTGAGGTACTGGGTAGAGTGCGGTCTTGGAATCTTCAGCTGGGGCGGAGGTTGTACTACTTGTCGTTGTTGGGGGCGAGCACGAATGACAACTGTATGTGTATGGCTTGCAGGCGAATGGCTCGATGAATTGATACAGCATGCAACCATAGACATGGAACGTTCATGGAGTCTCATCGATCACGGGAAGCAATCACAGTAGACGGAACTTTTGGATCACAACGGCAACGACACTGGAACCACCATTTGCGTCACATCTTTTCAGAGGACATTTCTTTGATTGACTATTGCACAGGGGGGTTGTGGTGTCTCTGCGCGATATGCGTGAGATCAACAACGTGGTATGATAACAAAGGGAAGACTCGTTTTTCTTTGGGCTTCGCAAGTGCGCTTTTTATGATGAGTGATGTATAGCACGCAAGCACGTCTCTGGAAGAAGACCTTGTCTGAAAAATAACAATTCTATTCCCTGGGGGTGATTTACTGCGCCTTGGAGGAGACGATTCCTGTAGTTGATTAGATTAGTGACAATGTTTTCCGGCATGATGAGCCAGGAAAGGAAAAGGGCAACGTGGGTATGACGTACTCTCAACATCCGCTACGCTCTGCTGGAGGATCTGGGCCAGGGCCTTGGGGTTCTCAAGCTCCTTGCGGACCTTGGCAATGATGTTCTCGGCAAGCTCCTTCTGCTGGCGAGCCTTGACCTGGCCCTCGTAGCGGACCCAGGAGTCGAGGACGGTCTTGGCCTCGGCCGCGATGGCGGTGCTCTGCTCGAGCTCGTAGGCCTTGGCCTCGAGCTGGGCGGTCTCCTTGGAGACCTCAAAGAGACCCTTGGTGATGTCGACGACACCGCCCATCTGCTGGACGTTGGCGATGCGGTCCTGGACGGCCTGGGTGTGGTCGGAGCGCGCCGAGTTGAGGATGCCCTTGATCTTCTCGTTCTGCGCCTCGGCCCACTCCTTGTACATGGGGCCGCCGAACTTGATAAGGGCGCCCCAGACGCTGAGGAGGCAGAAGGCGACGACGGTCTCCTCGTTGACGACGTAGTACTCGCTGCTGATGGCGTAGGCGGACAGGCCGGCGGCGGAGGAGAGGATGGCCGTCTTGGAGACGATCGAGTTGCCCGGCAGCGAGTCGATGAGGGACTGGGCCTTGGCCTTGGGCTCCTGCTGGGGCACGTTGGACGACGCCGGCCGGGTCGCCGTCAGGCTGGCGATGGCGGGGAGGGCGCGCTGGGCGACGGTCGGTCGGAGGCGGGCAGCCCCTGCAGGATTGGCAATGGATGCGCACGTTAGCAACAGGCACACACACCGGGCGGCCCTCGAGAGGGGTCAATTGCCGCGAGACACTGCGCGGGCGCGGCGGGTGCGCTTACCGAGGGCGGTCTTGGCCACGCGAGAAGCCATTGTGAGATCGATGGCGGGATGAGGCGGTTGAAGGGGGTTGTGATGTCGACGACGCCAAAGCTCGGAATCCGAAGTTTGAGGTTTTAACGAACTGGCCCGCTGTGCAGCCGGGCTGGCGGACCCAGCACTCTGCGGGCGTGGTTGCTCGCACGGGATTGGCACACACGCCGCTCTCGTGCTCCACTCGCCGGCCATTTCCGTCTAGTTACATAACTTCGGGTAAAGTTGGGCAGGCGTCCCCATCCAGTGCGGCATGCCTAATACTGCTTACAGTGGAAAACGCCTTTCTGCATGACCTTGCAATCTTATGTAACAACCGGTGCTATCATCCAAGCCCACATTCCGATTCCGCTGCACCCCTGCTCGTCCGGCCTAGGCCCGCTCGAAACTTTTTTGCGACCAGCAGCCGTATCGCAACAACACTAGGCTCGCGATAACGACTTTCTCGAAAGGTGTTGGACACGCAAAGCTTCGATCGCGTGCCTTTCACCCTGTCCCGATACATACGCTGGGCTCAGAACAACGGACGCCACCATGCCAAGCGTCGTAGCAGACGAGTCGCTTAAGCGAAAGAGGTCAAAGTCCTCTGTCAAGTCGAACAAGCGCGCAAAGGCCGACAGCGACAGCGAAAGCGAAGATGAAGGGTCGACCCAGCAGGCTCAGATTCTGAGCCTCGAGAGCGAGATCCTCGAATCCAAGAAACACTACAACAACATCGCAAAGCTGCTCGAGATTGCCAAGGGCACAGAAGACGCCGATAGTGCTGATTTCGCCACAGTTTCCCTCTGCCGAGTATTCCTTCGGTTGCTAGCTGGCGGACACCTGCTGCGAGCAACCGGGCAGTCAGAAAAGGAAGTCGTGGTGGTACAATGGCTCAAGAGCAGACTGGGCGACTATAGAAAGCTCGTCGTCAGTGCTCTAGGGGACGAGACCACCGCATCGACTGCCCTGACGTTGGCTATGCGCATCCTCAAGGCCGAGAGCCAGCACAGCAACGACAAATCGGAATACACTTTCCCCAAGGTCTTCCTCTCTGACATTGTGCGGGAGATTGTGCACAATGGCTCCGAAGACGTACGGGACGAATTTTGTGAGAAGTACCTGGGCGAATACGCGGATATCAAGTTCTACACTTTCAAGGCTCTCAAGTATGCTGGACGTGCCACTTCTACTCACTTCCACGATGCTGACCAATATGCAGGGACATTCTCGCCGAGTCCGAAGAAGATATCGAGTCCAATTTGTTTGATAAAGCTTTCGAGATAATGGCCTTCTTCGAAGACGCACCCGACGACATGGAGCAGATGGGCGACTTCTATATTGAGGCGCCCAAAAGGAAGGGCCACCCGGTCACTTCCTTCCACCAACAGAAAAGAGCAGCGCAGGAGGCCTGGCTGGCAGTATTGGCGCTGGGAATGTCTCGCGAGCAACGGAAGAAGGTGCTCAGCATAATGACTGGTTCCATTGCGCCGTGGTTCTCGAAACCAGAGCTGCTCATGGACTTCTTGACAGATTCGTACAATGCTGGAGGCGCAACCTCTCTGCTAGCACTGTCAGGTGTCTTCTATCTCATCAAGGAGCGCAACCTCGACTATCCCTCGTTCTACCGCAAACTATACTCACTTTTGGATGCCGACATCCTCCACTCAAAGCATCGGTCCCGCTTCCTTCGACTGTTGGACACCTTCCTCAGCTCAACCCACTTACCGGCTGTTTTGGTCGCCAGCTTTATCAAGCGTATCAGTCGTTTGTGTTTGAATGCACCACCTGCCGCGATAGTCTCGGTGATCCCCTGGATCTACAACCTTTTCAAGAAGCACCCTGGCTGCACATTCATGATGCACCGGGTTCTAAGGACGCCGGAGGAGAAAGAAGCTTTAGCCAACGATGGGTTCGTGGACCCCTTCCTGGAGAACGAGCAGGATCCTACGGAGACGGAGGCCATCGAGAGCTCTCTGTGGGAGATCGTCCAGCTCCAGTCCCACTACCACCCGAACGTGGCGACAATAGCCAAGATCATCTCGGAGCAATTCACGAAGCAGTCATATAATGTGGAGGATTTCCTCGACCACTCTTACAGCAGTGTAAGTTTTTTTTTTACCCTTATGCGAGATGCAGCAGAAAATGATACTGACATTTCTGGCTTAGCTGTTGGACGCCGAGCTCGCAAAGCAGATCCGCAAGCCACCCGTTGTTGAATTCATGATACCCAAGAGAGTGTTCCTGCCGCAAGAAGCTGGTGCCGAGGCGGAAGACACGCTCCTAGCGAAGTTGTGGGATTTTCAATAGGCATTGACACACGTTCCGTCATGATGTTCTCCGCATAATTCTCGTACATCTCGTCATGGCACGAGGTAATAGCTGCTTCACTTTCGCATACTCGATACCAGACAGGAGCCTTCGTTGGCCGGTGAACACAGCTCCGTGGAAACGGGCGCGGAAGACGACGCGTTTCCCGGATGGTTCGTTCCGGGACGATTTAGCAGGGATAAAGCTCACCGCCACGGATCTTGCCACCGATTCCAAGCACACCGCGTGGATCAGCCCCGACTCGACCTGCCAGAGAATGGTGGCGACTGGGCCGGATCGCTGCCGGAGGACGCATTGGTTGTTGAGACCCTGTCAGAGGAAGGACTTGGAACAGGCGGTATCTAGCAGGGGCCATGCTGGTGCCCAAGGCTCACCAGAAGCAGTCGACGTAACGATATCACCGCCATTAGTTCTGGCCCATCTGCCGACCAGAAGGACATGTGAAGCGAGTATGTAGACCGACGACGACGGGGAATGAAAGCACAGCACGTGGCAGTTCGTCCACGAGCTACATATGGCTATCTTGGGGACAAAAAGACACATGCTTGATGAAACCGCTAGTGCATGCAATGCGGCATGTACGATTCTGCAACATGACAGGTGCCCCTGGTCTTCCTGGAAACTTCGAGATGATCTCCTGTACAGGAACATGGGCAGTATCATGAGATGACTCAATTCTCCGATCACGGCTGAGCTTCGAACATGGGGCCTGCGTTTGTCCCTGTCACATTGTGGTGGATTACCCTGACTGTTTGACTAACGTACCGTTTCTGAGCTTGGGAATTGGGACGGAATTGCGAGCTTGGAAGGAGGAGGTTGGGAGCTGGAGTCAATGATGTCACTTCTACGAGGCAGTCAGTCTCATCTCGAGACACTGGAGATCTGAATCGGCGGCCTCGAGTCTAAAAGTGGCCCGATCAATGCATGGTTTCAGCGCATTTCTTCAAGGGAGTGCTTGAGACTGATTGCATCGGGCTTGAGAGCTTACACGATGCCACGACAGCCATCGCAAACACAACTCAGACCAACATTTTATGATCGTCCTTCACCAAGCACAGATTCGTGCGTGAGCACCTCATCTCTGTGGTTTCAGCATTCGTTTCAATAGATCTTGGTTTCCAGCTGATGGTGTTTGCCCTCTGTTACAGACATTCAGAGGAGGAACCCGAGACTGCCGCCCACACCGCCTTTTTGAACCTGAACTCTGACTGGCTATCTTGCAGGCTGTCGTCTCACCAATCTGAATCTCAGCCGGCCCCCAACGACGCCCACTTGTCTGTTTTCTTCAAGCTTGTGGTTGGCCGAGGTTGTCCGTGTGTGCCTCTGACCAGAAAAGTATGGTCAAGGTAGGTACATTGCCCATCAGTCCACCCGTTCTGGAGCGAGCACTGGGGTTCAGACCCCTCCAGCGATATCGAATCCAAGGTGAAGCCAAGGTAGATTGATGGGCACAAGGGCATTGACTGTACCTTCTGCGTTCGGCAGGCTTCTCAGTGATTATGCAACAACCATTCATCACACATACACACACGCGCGCGCACGCGCCGCGCCCGACGTCCGTGATCCATGGGGTCCCACGCGGTCGCATACAGAGCGGCCCGCTAGTCACAAACCGACAGTCTTCTTTTGTGCCCAACGACTTGACTGGTGGTGACTGCCCCTCATCCGTCCGTTGGTCCTCCATCCCCTGGCCCATTCTTTAGTTTTCCCTCCCCCATTGCTCGCAAATGCGATTTTGGAGCCCGAGGAGAAGGGGGAAGATACCGGAAGACCCGGACGGCGGTCCTATTCGTCTTTTCCTTCTGCGCTGATACATGGCCGATTTTTTTTTAGTCAGCTCTCGACTCGCTTCGCTTCACAGCTGGAGCCGGAGGACCGATATCTACTCTGATACATTGGCCGGCCCATACCGCTTTCACGGGGAGCCCTGGATGTATCGTTGGGCCAGCCAGCCAGCCAGCCATTCAGGGTGCTCGCGGTTGGGTACAATGAATGGCACGATACGCGCAGAGCAAACTCGACGGGCATGCCTGTCTGTCACGGCTACTACCGCCGGGCCTCCGGGACTGGGCTATGGGAGCTGTGCAAGAGATACTTGCCCGGCTTGTTTGTCGTCACGGAGAACCCGCAACGCGCCACGCGCGCGCGCCCAATGCTGGAGTCTCCTGCCCGGAAGATACCACCGCGAAAGATACCACCTACCTGTGGTGTTCTCTACCGATGGGGCCGACCTGGTGACTTGTGTCGCTGTCTTCACGCGCCCGGTCTCGTGGCCGGAAGGAGAGGGGAGTCATCTTTGTGGTGGTGACGTGGGCGCATGCTGCTCTGCGGTAGCAGCCCAGGAGTCGTGTTGCGGTCACTATTGGAAAGGACACTCTGGGACCGAGGCGCAACATCCACACGTCAGATGCTTCATTCCTTCACAAAAAGCTTGTGACAAATTCGCAGCGACGCCTACGTATGGTAAGCGAGCACTCTGAGGACTTGCAGCGGTCCTGGGTGTTTCCCACATTTCCCGCTTTCTCTGGTTTTCGGTAGCCGGAGACTCGCTCGGAGTTCTTGCGACGGGTCAAGCAAGCAACCAGCCAACCAGCCAGCCAAACCCACAACCAGAGCACGATGCACGACCAGCCCTGCGTCCTGGCGATCGTTCCCTTGTGGCCCGCACGCGCGTCTGTATCGTCGGATTGGAATTGGCCGGGTGCCCAGGTGGGTTACACATGAACATGCTCCCATATGCACATGCTTTGTATACAGTCACTACTCCCGAGAGGCACCCTTGCAATGATAATGCAGTGGTTCGTACTACCCACGAGACCACGAGAACACAGGGATGCCATAGGTAATGGTATGTTACAAGGGAGCTCGCGAGTCTTCACAGTGCCCCTAGGGAGGCTGGAAAGCAGGCGGCCGTTTTGCTGGAGGCGGCATCAAATGAAGATGACTGGCTCTTCTGACCTTTGTGGCCCGCTGTCCGAGGCACGGGTGGGAGCAGACCATGGCCCCCGTTCCTGCATCTTGGGACTCGGAGAGTATGCGCACAGGTAGAAGATTCCCTCGGGCAGGTGGTGACAGCCATGGACGTCACGGTGACGGTGGGTAGGTCGTATCTCTACCCCCGAGAACGAGTTTCGGGCCCGGCCACATGTCGAGACCGCCGCGGCCGCCAATGCCCAACTGCGAGATCTGAAACGAGAGGAATTGGAGAGCGCTGCTGCACGTGAAGGGCGGCCTTTTGGGTGCGGGCCATTGGCGGCGAGTGTGAGCAGCAGCAGCTGGGAAGCAGTGACTGCATGTTTAGACTCGAAACGACAACAGCAGCAGCAGCAGCAACGAATAGTTTTCGGCCTCGCAAGCGGCTCGCCAGCCTTAAACCTTGCAGTGCAGTGAGCAAACGTACGTCATCCTCGACCGTGCGAGGGAACGACTGGCTCACGGGCTTGTGCAGCCAGGCGGAAAAGGGTCCTGTTGCGGATCTTGGCGAGACTTAAGGGAATAATAGAGAGAGGGAAAAAAAATTCAGTAGTGGGAGCAGACATCCCGGCCAGTCTCGGAGCGATGGCAGAGTGGGAAAAAATTCAAAATCGTGCGATGGCTGGCGGCAGGCCGCAGTTTTTGCGACATAAAGATCGAGGGCACTTCCCGGCTCTAGTCTGGGAGGCATAAGACACTAGCGTGGTGTTGCAGTGTGTAAGTCGGGATACCCATGCCAGATGGGACCTGGATCGAATGTAGCGCAACTGCAGTGGAAAACCTGCCCTCGAGTCGCCCTTGATGGAGATAGGAGGGGCAAACCGCGGAGGAGAAGAAGAAGGAGAGGGTCTGCGCTAGAACTCTGCGAACGGGCACGGCGTCGACGGCAAGGCCCGGTCGAGACTGTTGTTGTGAATGACGCGCTCCATAAATGCTTCCACTCTCGTTGGTATCAGTCCGAAAAAAGCTGGAACAGGCAGGGTCAAGACGCTCAAAGAAGGGTGCCCCACTGGGCGATCTATTCTCGGCTATTGCGTCCCAGGGCCCTACACCGCAACAACAGGGGCAGCGACAAGGCACATCTCGCCGTGCCGCGTGCCGCAGCTCGACGCGTGATCCCTGTCATTTTCCATTTGTGAAAATCTGACGAGCAAAATAAACATGTCTGTCTTCGTGGAGAATGGGCACGACGAGCAACGTGCAACGGTCTCCATGTTGGTGCCGCAGCTTACAATGGCGTCCGGCGCAGTCAGGCATGTGCACGACCAGGGCAAGAGGAGGCATGCCAGAAGGGGAAGTGACACCGATCGACTCTGGGGTAGGCCAGGAATAGGGCCAGGGAGCGTGACCGATCGCCTCAGACTTGCGATGATGACGGCGATCCGATCATGACAGCCGGCTGGCGCAGCCAAGGCCGTATCATGAAACGCGGCCGCAACTTTGCGGATAATCAAAGCTCGTCCCAGAAAATTGAAGCGTAGGCCGTTGCGAATGCCGAGAGCCACCAGCATCTGGGCGACCAAGACGAGCCCCCGTCGTGAGGCTCAGACATGGCCCGCTTCTCCGGTATAATTAGAGCTGACGACGCCCTCGTGAGAAGTTGGAGATTCGGAGCCACGGTACATACGAGGCTCAGCGCTCAAATGATGACGGACGAGGTGGGCATTGCCGTGTTCAAAGGGTCCAGGGACCTGGTGGCAGACAGCCACAAACAGTCCTGATTCACGACCCTGCAGGAGTTGTGCCCAAGCGGAAGCAGTCCCTTGGTGGGACAGTGGTGACAAAACCATGCAATTGGTGTCGTGATGTTGTTTGTTGCTGCGTTGCTGGTCATCCGCCCTCGATCACGTCGACCTGGGGCAAAGGTGCCAGCTGCACCGCCTGGGCTTCCAATCGGACGGCTGTCTGGCCTTGTCACCAGTCACTTTGGCGAGCGCGGGATGATGTTCGTGTTGGACTGGGCAATCGGATCACGCAGGCAGGTGGGCGAGCAGTCCGCCGATGGCAGGGCACATTCCAGCGATAGTCGGCCTCAGGGAACAGTCATCTGAGTGTGAGCGAGAGAGTGAGAGAGTGCTCGAGTCTGGTGTAGGTCGTTGATGCCCAACCTCACTAAGCCCGCCCTGGCAGGGCTAGTGGATCCGGGCAAGAACCCAGTGGGTGCCGTCGACCAACCACATCGGGCCTGACAGCGCCATGACCACCCCCAGCGTCGCCATAGCAGCATACACAATGCGCCTGGTGGAGCGCCCAAGCAGCAGACAATGGGGGGTATGCCCGCCATGGCGTGGACGCAGCGGCCGCGCGCCCAAACCCGACGGTGAATAATTACCGTGGGCCTCGAGGACAAACAGAAACGGCAACGGGCTTGGGCACTGGCGACCAGTTCGTCGCGAGCATCGACCCCCCATGGCGCGGCTGGGTACGGATGCCGCCCGGAAGGCTTGCCGTCGCTTCAGACCTGGGCCTGGCGCCTCCACAGGCGCCCTGGGAGTGGCCGACCGTCTCTCACCGTCTCGTCGTGGGCACCAGTCGAGCCTCCTGTGGCTTCTCACGGGGCTACAGGTGTGAGTGGGCTGGCGGCCGTATCGCTTTGCAAGGGAAAACGGGGATCGAAGCTCTCGCACGAGTTGGGGGTTCCTCCGTCAGAGGCGTCACCACCCGCGCCCGATTTGTGCTTTGACCGTCATTGCCGCTGCTCGTCCTGCCCGTTTCCTGGCGCCGTCCGCCCGTCCGTCTGTCCTTTGGACTTGGGTTGCCCCACGAGCGTCGCCAAGGGTCTCTCTCTCTGCCCCCACCGGGTCTGGTCGGTGGCCTGCCTGCGTGCCTTCACTCACAGACAGACAGACACACAGACGGACGGACGCCTTGGCTCTTGCTCGCTCCCGTACCGCATCCCGCGAGCAGGGAATCGCCCGTTTCCTGCCTCTATGCTTAAGTAGGCCCCGTCCTCCACCACACCACCGCCCCGTCCGCCTGGCCTCCTCTCTGCCATTCTCAGCTCAAAGCAGATACCATCAACCCACCGCACCAGCGCTCACTGTCGGCCGCCTTCTTTGGTCCTCAGAGATAATCGTTGCCATTGCCGCCTTCTTTTTGCACTCTCTCGTTGCCATTCATCGCCGCCGGCTTCTTGTTTCAAACCGATACCCTCGACGGCCTTCATTCCCGTTATAATACCTCCCGCCACCCGAGACCACCACCCCGCCTTCCTGCTCCCTCTTTGTCTGCGGAGCACACACACCCACAGCCGACGAGAACCCAGTCCGGTCTGCTTCCAGACGCCCAGCTGACAGCCCTCCTGCAACCCAATGTAAGTGCCATCCCGCGTCCTACCTCTCTCTGCCTCCTCCTCCCGCCCGGGCCTCCCGCGTGTGTCCCCCCTCGCTTTTTCTGCCCAAACGGCACTGCCAATCCCCGGGTTCCTTACCCAGCCTCTCTCGTCACGGGGGCACCTAGACTGGCGCCTATCCCCCTTCCAGCACCCTCAATCCCACTCACTATACCATCTCCCTTTTGTGCCTCTGCTCCTCCTCCTCCTCCTGTGTAGCCAGCACTCCTCGTCTTGTCAGACAAAGCTGCGCACCAGCACCCGAGCCGGTCTCTCGATCCCGAACTCCCTCGTCCTTCTCACTTCTTGTGCTCCCTGCTTGTTGCTTCTCGAATCCTGCTTCCGGGCTCTCTTCCTTCGCGCAAACTGCCTAGTCACACAAGATCCACATCCCGGGCTCGTGCTAATACCTCAACATAGCACTTGCCAACTCTGGCACTTCCATCATGGCCTTCACATCTCAGATGCATGCCCAGTACTTCAGGCAAAATCCACTGACCGTGGACACCATGAACGCACAGAAGTTCTTTGACGAGGACGACAGCGGGATCCTGGACGACGGCATCCTCGACCACAGCGCCATCGACTCTGGGCTCGAGTTGTCACCACCCATGGCTGGCAGCCGGAGAGACTCCTTCGCCGTATCTGCATCGTTGTTCTCGCCAAAGACTGAAGACTGGCAGTCTGTCGATATGCAGTCCCTCCCATCAAACAACCCATTCCTGGAGCCGCAGCACCACCACAGCACAAACCCCTTCGCTCGTGGTGACCAGACCTCGGCGGCCTATGTCGCCCAGTCGCAAGCTTGGTCCATTGGCCAGGGCTCCGGAACCTGCACACCTTTCCAGTTTGACGGACTTGACACTGCATTTGACAACAACGCGGCCCTCTTCCCACAGCGAACAGTCCCGGCTCAGACACCATTCGGCAACCCAGGAGCCCAGGTTGCAGCACTCTTCTCCAATGTCGGCAATCACACCATCCCCTCTTCGCCCCAAAAGGACTGGATGGGCCAGGACATCAAGGGTCAGCCCATGGCTAAGCGCATGCGGCCGTCATCCCCGACCGGCATTCGCTCCCACAACGAGCTGCGCCGTGGCGACGGGATCCGCAAGAAGAATGCCCGCTTTGACATTCCTGCTGAGCGCAATCTCCTCAACATCGACAACCTCATTGCCCAGTCGACAGATGAGCAAGAGGTCAAGGAGCTGAAGCAGCAGAAGCGTCTTCTTCGCAACCGGCAAGCTGCTCTCGACTCTCGCCAGCGGAAAAAGATGCACACAGAGCGACTCGAGGATGAGAAGAAGCAGTTCACCTCCCTTGTCAATGGCATGGAGGAGGAGATTGCTGAACTCAACATGAAGCTTGACGCTCTCCTGCGCGAGAACCATCAACTCAAGAACCACATTGACGTTGTTGTCATGGAGAAAGAGGAGTTGGTTCAAGCTCACACCATGGAGACCGGCGACCTGCGCAAGAAGGTCAGCGTCCTCACCGACCATGTACAAAGACTTGAGAGCTCGACTGTCAACGCAAACAACGGCTTCAACAACGGCTTTGGCGACATGGAGTCCATGCCTATGGATGCTCCCTGGGACAGCATGAACTTTATTGGCGAGTATCCTGCTGCTCAAGAGTCCAAGACCGAGCTCCAGATGGTACCTGCCAAGAAGCCTGAAGTCTCGCTGCCTGCCCAGCTGGACAAGCCTGCCAACCAGGGAGGTCTTCTCTTCATGCTCTTCCTCGTCGGTGCCTTTGTTCTGTCCAACCGCTCCACGCCGCAGATCCCCAAAGTCTCTGAGGATGTTCGCGCTGCGTCCGAGTCTCTCCTCAACGATGTCCTCAAGGACGCTGCGCTTGCCCATGGATCTGATTCGGTCATGGCTATGGCTCCTCAGCCTTCCGGTGCTAGCTGGGCTGGACCATCATCGATCCCTACCCCCACTGGCATGATGGATGGTGTTGCCCCCTCTATGCTCGGAGCCATGGCCGACTCCTTGACCCAGCCTACTGAGCAGCAGACCAACGAGCAGCTCTTTGGCCTGACGCCCGCGCAGTACAACGCCGTTCAGGAACAGACCTTTATCCGCCCTGCGCCCCCTCGCTCGACCAGCGAGGGCCGCCGAAATCTCGCGGAGTCGCTTGCAGCTATGCGCAACAGCGACAAGCAGACTGCTGCCGAGGTTTACACGCGATCATTACTCTGGGACCAGATCCCCCGCGACGTGGTCAGGAATTTTGCCAAGATGATCGCAGAGTCAAACAGTGCGAATGGCAATCAGCCACATGATACAAACATTTGATGATTAACGAAAAACCCCCACTTTTTCCACGATTTCACGAGTACGATATTATCAGAATAACGACACTATTCGGTTCACAGCACTGTTCTTGCTTGACTTGTATCGATTTCCTCCGTTTCTCCTTTCTCCGCCATCACCACCACACTGAAGGCCCGGCACATACATTCTCACAACCATCTCCTTGCGCCAAATTGGACAGTTTCTCTCTATACCACTCTTCCGGCCACCGACATCTTCGGGTCCGCAACTAGCTTAAATACACTTCTTCAACGCCGCTCGCCGCCGCGAAAAAACAAACCTGATCAGACCAGCTTGTCGCTCACGCGCATATCGAAATCTCAGTTTTGCCACCAACTTTCTGTCCTTTATGATTCCGGAACCGTGAATCTCCTTACCCCAGGATCTGTTGTAGCTTGATTTGTTTTTGTGTTGTCGTTTCCTCGTTTCGGAGACGTGGATTTGGTTGTCTTTTTTAGCAAGCGATATTAGCGAGCGTGTGATTTTGGTCTCTGGTACTATTTCTGCCAGTCATTTATCTTGTCTTGCTGTTTATGACGACATCTTGTCCTTCTTGTCTGCCTCTTTGTGCAGAATCACAGGTTGATGCCCTCGCGGTTATGAATGACGAGCGAGACGGAATGTCGCGACGGTGTAGTTACATGCACAATGTCATGAACGCGACTACGAGAGAGAGGATACGGCCAAACGGTCGCCATCACGGGCTAATGAGTAATGAAAATTTATGATGTTAGTCAAGCATTTTGGATGCCTTTGTGTTTTTGGTGTTTTTCCCCCTCGCACAGCATTGGGACATTGGTGCTACGGCAGGCAAGAGATGGGATCTTGGGGAACGGCATGGTCTATTATCACGTCTGCCTAGTCTCGGATTACTGGTGGGTTATTGGTAGTAGAATGACGAAGAGGTCATGTGGAAAGGAGAGAGAGAGAGAGCATCTGGACATGTAATAGCAGAATTCAAGCGGGCACATACATTTTCATCAAGATAATATCCTGACCCTCAAAGTGATATTAATCCTGGTATGGCTTTGGTACACACACCCTGAGTTCCCTTCTTCTCTGCCGCACGCATAAATACGTAGTCATGGTGCATGCGGTGGTGTACCTAGGAAGGTAGGTAGGCATTGCTACTAATTACTACTACTACCACTACTTCTTCTTGCCGGCGTTCTCGGGCGCGTATTTGTCTTTCCAGATCCTATGTTTTCGTCACACGACCGTGTTAGTGCACAAATCAATCCATGGGCGTTGCTGGAAAAAATGGTCGGTGCCTGCCCGAGGTTCGCTTATTGGACTGAGAAAGGGGGAGGGGGGGGTCCTCGTGATCGGGAGATTGGAGTTACGGGTGATGATGCTAGTGATGCTAATGATAGCGATACAAAATGATAGTGCAAGGCAGACTTTGTTGTCAGCAGCAAGATCCTCCACAGAGGGGGCAGATCTCAAGCTAATAGAGTGCATACGGGCATGTGTGGGTGTAGGTGTGGGTGTGGGTGGGGGAAAGAGATCGTTGAGGCAGCAGTAGGTAAGACAGAATGACGCTGCGGGCGTGGGAGGTTGTATGTACGGGTTTGTGTGTGCGCGCGTGTGTGTGTATGGTGTGCATGTGCGCCGGCAGACAAGCAAGGAAACGGACGGGGGACCTTTTGCATGAGAGGGGGCAGAGGTAGAGTAGCACTCGCTCTCGTTTCTCCGAGCAGCAGCAGGAAACCCAAACGGCAAAGGTACTGGAACTTGGCTTGCAGTTGTCAAAAGGTATCTCCCTTCGTCAAGTCGTCTCGTCTTGTCGGCAGGCAGGCAGTCCGCCTGTCGATGCCTTGAAGTGCGACTGCCGGCAAAGGATACCTAGTGTAGGGGAGAGGGAAGCGAGGCAGAAGGGAACCTTGGAAGGGGAGGGCCAGGAGGGAGGGTCACTGGTGGAGGCGTTCGTGGGGTGCGGCGGCCAGTTCTGGCGGCCACCACCACCACAAGACCTGCTGCCGCGCGATGCTGAAGCAGCGCCCAATCTCGAGGCCGCAGTGGACGAGGCCCCCTCAGCCAAGAAGGCAGCAGCAGCAGGGCCGGGACCATCGACAGCCTATCGTCGAGCGCTGCCCAAGTCATCTGCAACACCCACCCGCCCCATGCAGCCGACGACGACGACGACGAGGACCATGACCAAGCCCGCATGAGCAGGCCCTGGCAGCCCAACCAGGCGGCACGATCGGAAACGAGACAGGCAACACCATGGAGGGTTCCCCGCGATAGGCCCGGAACGAGGAATGTGCGCCACTTACCAGCTGTTGCCCAGTGTCTTGTTGCCGTTCTCCTCTGCCAATCGGTAGTACCGCGCTGCCGCATACTAGACGGGTGTGGTTTGCTCATGTCAGCCTCATGTGCTCGTTTCCCTGCTTCCGTGTTGGAGTCGCTCGCATCACAGGTCCTCATTTCTCGGTGAGCCACGCTGCACGGGGTCCCGGGGAGCCATCATCGACCGCTCCCTCAAATCCCCGTTGGCACCGGTTCTCAGCGTCCTTGATGCCCAATGTCTCTGTGCATCGTGACTCCTTTTCTTGGGCGCGCCCCCTTCGTCAGAGGGCCTCGTAGCTGCAGGTCGTCGGCAGGTACACTCGCCCTTGCTTGCCTGACGTGCGTGATCCGGCGCGACGGGTCATGCTCGAGGTGAGCTGGGCCGCCCACTGCCGTCCTCGGGCATGGGTCATGGGAAACTCCGCAGAGTTACGCACTTGGAGATGCCTCCCAACTTCCGCCCGTCGTCGATATCACATCGGTTGGACTTGGCCAAGATCCAGGGAGGCTGCTTCATGCCTGACCGCAGCATGTACCGCCTGAGCAACACGGAAAACGCTTACCTTGTCTTTCTTGCACCCAAAGCCCTCTAGATAGCACCATGCAACCTCATTCATAGCATCTAAATGGACACGTCAGCTCCACGTTTGGACCCCAGAAACCTGGCTACAACCAGATGTGAGAACCACGACGTACCACTGTCTCCAAGGTTTGCCGCCGTTTCGTAGTACTGTCGTGCCCAATGTCAGTGCTTCTGCCGCCCCCCCGTTTCAAACCCGGACTGGACACCGTTCAGATCACGCACCTGCTTCGCCGCTACAGGATCCCGCGGTATGCCCCAGCCGTGGCGGAAGCAGTTTGCCAGCTCAAAGATGGCCAGCACGAGCTCGCCCTTGGCCGCACCGCCCTTTTTCATACCAGCCTGTAGCGCCAGGTTCTCCACCGTCGCGGCGTTGGACGCCGCCGCCGACAGGTACGACACGGCGCGCTCCGGGTTCGGCTCGCAGCCCCAGCCGTGCCTCAGCGCCAGACCGTAGAGCACCTGGCTCAGCGGGTTGTTCGCCCCGTTGGGGTTCGCGAGCCGCCCAAACGCTGCCGTCGACTGCTCCAGCTCGCCTTCCTCGTGTAACCTGATGGCCTCTTGCAGCTCGTCGTCCGTGGCCTTGGAGATGGTCCCTGGTTTCGACCCGGGCGGCGCTTGTGGTGAGGGAGCACCCCCGTCCCGCTGCTGCTGGTGCTGCTCCTCCGGCTGTTGGCGTCGGCGGTCCGGGGCTGACACTCTTGCGCCGCTCCTCGTTGGCTTGGGCTAGAATGGTCGCCCGGTTCTCCCATTGTGACTCGCTCTCGACGTCGCCACTGGCCGCGACGACATTGATCGCGGGCAGGTTCTGCGGCACGTAGTCGGACGAGGCAGGGGACCGCGAGAGGTGCAGCCGCTGGGACAGCCGGCGGCTCGACGCCGGGTCTGCGGCGGGCTGCTGCAGCGAGTGCCGCACGTCGTCGCTCCCCTTGGACGCGCTGTTGCTCCGCGACCGCGACCCGCCGCTGCGGAACACGTCGAGGCTGCGGCGGGCGAGGTTCGGCTCCTTGCCCGCGGCCAGGCGTGACGACGACCCTTCCCCGGCTGGGTGTGACGGCGGCTGGATGATCTCCTGGGTGTGCGTGTCGGACCGGATAAAGGTGAACTCGGGCCCGGCGTTGAGCCTGTCGAGCGTCTCTGCGTGCCGCCCGCTGGCTCCCTCGTTGAGCCCGTCCTTCTTCTTGAGCATGTCTCGCAGCCCCATGATGATGGAAGCGCGTTGACCGGCGTGCGTGCCGCGGGGTTGCGGCCGCACTGCAATGGGGTCGGGATGATGTAAAAGCGCTGGTGATCTGCCGCAGGCAAGTCAAGCAATGTCGACCCTCCCTTTCAGTCGTGGCGAAGACGTTCTCGGCAGGACGAGGCTTGGGCTGAAGCGTGACTCCCAGCTGAGCATAGGCAATGAACAAGTTGTGGTGTTGTCTGCTCGCGTCAGCCAGGAGCTGGTCGGCTCAGCTCTTGACTTACAACTTAGCTCGTGGCGGAGGCCTACAGAGATCGGGGCCCCACCTTCCCTCCACATTCGGGATTCACGTCAGGCATGACCATTCGGGGGTTTTATGCCCTGTACGGCCGTGAAGAATTGCTGGTGGCTTGACAAGAATTCAACAAGCCGAACCTATAGGAAGTCATGACTTCGTGTCATCTGCCTTGTGTACTTCGAAAAAAAAAATATAACTTCTTTTCATTCTTTCTTTCTATTTCGCTACCTGTCTTGCTGATTGGTGGTCTCCAATGCAACCCTCGGCTCTTGAGCCTCTCTTTCCTTTTCTTGTTATTCGTACAAGACAATTGCTCGCGGCAATGTATCTCTATGCTTTATCGAAAGACATGCAGTCCTTTGGGTATCACGATGGTGCGCAAGCAAGAATGGGGTAATGGTGGCATGCTCATAAAGCCACTGCTCGCCGCTGACCACAAAGCCGTGGTGCGGGCGACAGGCCTTGGAGCAGCACGACCCCGAAAGTCGATGACAGATGTTATCCTAGAAGTGATCAGTGTGACATCAATGAGCCCATCAGAAGCCGATAAAGTCATTCTGGTCAATAAACGACACATCGTCCGCGTCGCCCTTGCCAATGAATTCTTCAACCTCTTCCGAGTCATAGTCGTCGCTATCGGCAGCAAGGTCATCGTCATCGCTCGTGAGATCTTCCATCTCCTCAGACGATCCACGTTGACGCTTGCGAAGCATGCTCGCCCGCTCAATGTGGCGCCGCTTGCACCCCTTGATATGGCAAGTACCATTATTGCTGAAGTCTGGACACTCAAACACATGTCGATCAGGGCACTTGGCGCCGTTGGCGCAGTATCCGCAAAACCCAAATGCTCGGCAGACGGGATCGCTGCCAGCGTGATCTGCGTGGACGAAGGAACAGTCCGGCTTGTTGCACTTGCCTTTGGCAAAGTGCAGGCACAGAGGGGTTCGCTCCTCGGTTAGCTCGTGATAAAGGTCACAATTATCGCCGTTTGCACATTCGCCCTTGAGCAGCCAGTTTCTGCATATTGCGACCTTGGTGGCGTCATGCTGATACCGGCAGTTCGCTCCCTTCGGACAAGAACCTAGAACAAAGAAGCAGTTAGTATAGGTACGGGGGCTTTTCTTACCATATCGCAGATGAAGCTGATTCCGCTTGCGAAATGGTGTTGACTGGTTGAAAACTGTAAGACGATACCGTTCCATGAGAAGGTCTTGCACTGCTCGTCGACCTTCTTGATGCCGCCAGCCATCCTGCACGCTGTTAGCATTTGCTTAGCAACAGGGTGGGGTACACACTGTTTGGCTTTGATCACACCGTGCCGCACGAGATTGCCGTTGCGTGTGCGGTAGAACTTGACGCCACCGATGTGTGTGGTCTTGGGTGTTGCGGAGGGTGGGTTGATGTCACCTGAAAGGGGGGATGTTAGCCATCTTGCATAGGGTGAGGCCTTGTAAGGGAGACATACCGGGCGCTTTGACGAGTTTGTCGCCACCTTTAGAGACGAAGAAGCGGATCCCCTCGACCACAATCTCGTAACTAGATGTTGTCGAAGGGGCGCTTGAGGCAGCGTGGGTTATCTGTCTGCCCACCTTGGCTGCATGACTGACAAGCCGGGCCTTCTCCCGACTGTCCCTGGTCAGCTGCTTTTGTCGCTGCGTTTCTTCTATAGCGCTGTTACGAGTCTGCGATTCCTTCTCGTAGACCGAGCTGTTGATGAGTTGCAAATGACGATCGGTCTTTGTGATCCACGAGGGGCCCGGAGAAGGAGCGCCAGAAGAGTCCGACGTCCCATTTGGAGTCGAGGGTTGAGATTGCCCATTCAACACCAGAGTCTTATTCCGATATGTTGGCTGAGGCCGGTACCCTCCCCCACGAGGGTAACCACGTGTTGGGTAGGGCGCGTGTCGGCTGTATGTCGCTGTAGGGTAGCTTGGGGTCGTGTGTCGAGCTTTGTGCCGGTTGATTTTGCCTGATGGTCCGGTCAGTACACGTCCTGTTTATGATTGCGCGTGACTTGGGGGCTTACTGGAGAGGTTGCTGATCCTGGCCATCAACTCTTCGTCCTCTGGTGTAGGCATACTGCTGGTAGGGCTGAACGACGGCGGGGTGGTGCGCGAGGTCGGAAAGTTGCTTTATGATCCTCAAGGAGAATTGCCTGAAGGCCTGCGAGTGTTGGCGATAAGTCTGAAATCTCTCGAGGTCGTGGTTATCGTTGTGCTCAGTTGTCTGCTAGAGGAGGGCAAAAGTGATGTTTGGTTGCAGGTCTGCTTGGGAAGTCCGCCACTGACGAAGACAGGATGCAATGAATTTACGATGCGTGTGGATGAGTCAGCCGAGCTCAAGACATAAACACAGTTTGAGCACTGTGTGTAGTGTACGGGATTAGATTGCCGGCAAGGAGAAAGCCCGCTCGGCTTGCTGCTGCCCGTTTCACTAAGTCACCAATGTTTTGTCGTCTGATAGCTTCTGTTTGTCTCTGGCAATGAATAATTTTCTGAAATGATAATCCGTCGGCTGTTCGAATCGGTAACGCTGTTTGGAAGCTATTCAGCAAGCATCACTGAGTCAGGCTGACCAAGACGTACAGACAGTATTGCACACTGTACGCGCCGCTCCTCGTGGAAGCTTCCTGGCTCGAACGTCACACGGGCATCTGTGCATCGCTAACTGCCTGCCTGCGCTTCACCCCGACATCATTTGTGACCTTGAGCGCAGCACCCGACACCCAACGACGACAAATCCTACACGTGCGATCAGTATTAGCCCGCATCACTACGCTATAGCCTGGATCCGCATTATATCACACGAGCCGTGCACAGGCGGCTTTCGAAGCCATCATGGCGAGCGCGCCAAAGGTCAAGGCCGAGCCTACCATCAAGCCTGACCCCGAGGACGCCTCAGCCTCGCCAGCCGGCTTGTCCGATGATGACATCTACGAGGATGCCGGCGATCTCGAGTTCTACAACATTGAGGAGAACCCAATGGCCGGCAATGTGTATCTGACCCACGTGCCGAAATACCTGTACGATGCCTGGGCGCACCTCGACGACGACGCCGACATCCAGATCGGCACAATACGGCAGTGGAACGAGACGCTGCCAAACGGCCAGGTCAAACAGAGGATTGCGCTCCTTCTAGACCACAAAAACCCCGAGCACCAGATGATTCCCAAGGAATACAACCTGGAAGTGAAGGACATGCAGCTTAGAAACTCCTTCCTGTTCAGCGAGCAGGATCTTCCTGGCTTCAAGACAAGAGGCCAGGGCGCGAACAGTAATATCCCAGCTCACCTACGGCGGAGGGAAGAGAAGCCAAAAGAGAAGACACAGGACGAGAGCGGGGGCGGTAGCGGTGCTGGCGGCGGTGGCGGTGGTCGTGGCGGGCGCAAAGGGCGCTATCAGCCATACTACCGCAAAGCCATCCCAAGTGAGTGTCTTGCTCTACCATTTGGGGAGGCTGAGCTGTGATTGGTATGCTAACCGTCACCCAGAGAAAACTGTGCTCGCTGGGAGGTTCGCGCACGAGCTCAACTGCCAACCAGCGCAGAATGCGGAGACCAAGCACATACTCGCCATGAGGGCGAACGATGCGCTCAAACCCAGAGCTACTACCCAGCTTGCTGGTGGCCGCGGCGTCCCGAAGAACGCTATCCAGGCAGGCACGCACAAGCCCAAGGAGACGTTTGGAAGCTTTGTGGTAAGAACCTCTGGGCAACGCTCCCGTGCGGTCAGATGGCTAACAGATATTGTCAGCGACCTCTTCCCGATGCCAAGAAGGACAAGAAGAAGAAGCAGGAGGACCGAGCCTTGCGCATGTCGGAGCACGAGCTCCGCGACGCTATTTTCCGGGCATACAACGAGTTTGCTTATTGGTCTATGAAAGCCTTCAAGCAAAGACTCAACCAGCCAGAAGCGTGGTTGCGAGAGAATCTTGAGCAGCTGGCCGTGCTGCACAAAGCCGGGCCCTTTGCCAACCACTGGGAGCTTAAGCCAGAATACAAGCAAGGCCAGCAGAGTGTCGAAGGCGCTGCCCCGGACGTCGGGCCGGAGGAATCCGACTCGGAAGGCGATGAAGAAATGGAGGATGTGGCGATATAGGTCATCATCGTGTGACGCTTGCCAGTTGAAAGGCGGCCTCTGAATGATGGGGCATCTGTGCAAGCAGAACTACCCCCCAAAAATGTCTATTGCATTGGCATGACAGTAGTAGACACCACTAGAGTACAGAACACTCATACAAGAAATACAAGCAATGATACCCCAATTGGTTCCACCAGCTGCGAGGCGCCTTCCTGGCTCCTCACACTCTGCACTCCGCAGCGCTGCCATCGTCAACTCGACGTTGCTCGCGGCTACACGAGGCCGGCAGAGCGATGCCGGCGCCGGATGGTGGGTCCCTCGGCTGCTGGCGGCGCTTTACCCCGGCATGCATCAAGCCATGCCGTCACTCACTGCATTCCATGCCTTCCCGGCAGAGACGGCTTTTTTATCCTGCCCAAGCTTACAAGGCAGGACTCCTTCCAGCATAATTACAAGGTGTTGCGCGCAACAACGGTGCTCTGCGGTCAAACCACATGCTCGCCACCTTTGACTCGTCGCTTGGGTGCAAATCATAGTTTGCCCGACCTCGTATGCGCTTCTCGCTTCTCATTGCCCGGCAGACCCGCAGTACTCAGCAACAAACAAACAACCGGCCGCGGCGGACAACACAATGACGACGCCCGCAAGGAAGCATATCTTTCTCGACTTTGACGGCACAATCACCACGGCCGACACAATCGGCGCCCTGGCCCAGTTCGCGCTGGACACGCAGTCCGCACGCGGGAGCGACCTGTCAGCAGCATGGGAGCAGGTCGTCAAGGCCTACATGCAGGGCTTCAAGGCGTGCGTGGACAACCACCACACGCCCTCGCACCAGCGCACGACGGTCGGCCAGGAGGTCGAGTTCCTGCGGCAGATGAAGGACTCGGAGGTGGAGTCGCTCGAGCGGATCCGGGAGTGCGAGGTGTTCCGCGGGATCGGCGCCGACGACTTCCGCAACGCGGGCCGGCGGCTCGTCGAGCAAGGCACGATCCAGCTGAGGGAAGGGTTCCACGAGTACGTCAGCCGCCGGATCGCCGAGGGATGCAAAGTGTGGGTGCTCTCGGTGAACTGGTCGTCGGCGTTTATCGAGGGCGCTTGCCATCCAAGTGTGGTGTCTGTCATTGCGAACAACGTCGGCAGCGACGGGAGCATCGTCGGTCCTGAGCTATTCCTTAGTCCGCGGAGCGCAGATCACCGGACCCTGACCAACTCTGTGGACAAGCTTGATGCCATGCGGGCTGCGCTGCAGGGAGAAGGCTTTGGCCAGACGACAACGGTGTACATGGGCGACTCGATTACCGACATGGAGTGCTTGCTTGCTGCGGACCAGGCCGTTATCATGTCCGACAAGGCTGACTCCACGCTTCTCCAGACGCTCCGGAGGATTGGTACGGATGTCAAGCACATCGCCGAGGCTGACCCTGGTAGCATCGCGTGGGCTTCAAGTTTCGACGACATTGAGAAGCGCGTCTTGTAAGGGACGGCCCACTATGGCATCGCTTTGCCCCTGGCACACCAAATGCTGGCAGTCCAACAGACAAGAGTACAGCATCTACATAGACATCGAGTTTGTCGTAATCGCGTCACCACAATCACATGTTCGGCAGAGCGAGAGCTTCAACAGAATCAGCGCTTGTCGGGGGAGCACGTATCACCGACATGCTGACTGCTCTTCAAAAGAGCGGCAGTTTTCCTCTGTCAATTATGTCTTTCCAGCTCTGAACAAGCACTCGGCTTGTCTGTAGACATCAGTTTCACATGTCTTTAGCCGGCTGTTTGTGCTTTGAAATCGACTCAATCGAAACCAGCCGGATCAATGTTTCCTGACAAGCTGCGGTGTACATACTCACCGACGTTTCCAACTCAGCATATATCTTCTGCTAACAAAGCTCTCCTAGCCAAGGCCTTTCCGCACGTACTGCTTGCGGAAAACGCACCTTTTCCCTCATTCGCAGTGACCGTAATGCATTGTCACGTTGTATTTAGGAAAAAAACCACAGGAACTCGGCGAATTGTTTCAATCCACCTACCACAATGGGCCTCCAAGGCGTCGATCAAAGCAAACGACCAGCCTGTTTCAAGAGGTTTAGACTGCAACGGCATGAGTGGCTCAGGGGTCTTCGGGGCCCCTGTCTGGTGGCGGCCACCCACCCTTGCCCACGTGCCCAAATTGGCAGCATTCATATATACTGGACGCTGTATCCCTGTCCGCTTGGAGCATTAGCGACGACATCTGGGGGCCCTAGACAAGTGAAACGTTATGTTCATGCTGGCATACACCGGCGATTGCCGCAATAAATCTCGAGGGAAGCATGCCTTTAACGTGGCGTATTGCTTACCGAGGCCGAAGGACTTTTGGGCACGTTCTTGACCGGCAGCTCACGGGACATCCCTTCAAGTCACAACCTGTGCTTTGTTCCTTACAGAACCTACTCTTATATGTATATATATATATATATACGATTCGAAGCTTAGGCGCTTCTCAGCAGGCGTTGTCGTGTTCCTTTCCTAGTGCCGCTCAAACATTGAGATTTCAACATGTACCATCAGCCCCTTCTCGCTTTACTAGCCCTCGCCCTCAGCGGCGGCACCGCGTTCGGTCAGGAAGCGTGCAACGGCTCGCCTGCCCTGTGCAGCCGCCCATACGGCGACGTGACCTTCGTTGCGTCCCACAACGCGGCCTTTGTCGGCCGCGGGCCCGCGCACAACCAGTTCGAGTACCCGGAGGCCGGGCTCAGCCAGGGGGTCCGGTACTTCACGACGCAGACGCACATTGAGGACGGCGAGATCCGGCAGTGCCACTCGGACTGCTTCCTGCTCAACGCCGGCGCCTTCTCCGAGATCCTGGTCTCGCTCAAGTCCTGGATGGAGCGGAACCCGCGGGAGGTCGTGACTCTGCTGGTCACGAACGGCGATGATGATATCCGCGTCGAGGAGTTTGCCGAGGTGTTCGAGTCCACGGGGACCACGGGGATTGTGTTCACGCCGGGGAATGGACAGAAGCCCGGTATGGATGGCTGGCCGACGCTGGGGGAGATGATTAACTCTGGGAAGCGGCTGGTTGTTTTCATGGGTGAGTTTTGCTCCGTTTCCTTTATGTTTCTGCCCAGCTTTTAGGGATCAGACAGCCATTCGATCCGTCCATGTACTTACAATGTTCATGGGCAAAAGACTATAACGCGGACCCTGCCAAAGTCCCATACATCCTCCCACAGTATGACTACTACGTCGAGACGCCTTTCAGCCCGACGTCATCCAACTTCTTCAACTGCGACGTCGACCGGCCGAGCTCGGGCGCCTCGGCAGATAACCGGATGATCTTTGCTAACCACAATCTCAACCTCGAGCTGTTCGCCGGGCTGCTGGTGCCGGACCAGGACAGCGCCGCCGAGACCAATTCGGTGGCGAATATCCGCCAGCAGACGGAGATTTGTGTCGCGAGTTTCGGCCGAGCGCCGAATGTCGTCATGGTAAGTTTTCTCTTTTCTTTATTCTTCGCACTATTCTGGCATGGATAACATAGGTGGGTGAGGCAAAGGAAGTTCAGTTGAAAGTAGAGATTATTAATGCACCTTGGTGGCACAGCTCGACTTCGTTAGTGTGGGACAGGCCATCGAGGCCCAGAAGCAGCTCAACGGGCTGTAAGCTTCTTGAACTTCAGAACTTGTAGCTGAATTGATACACAGCTTCTATTGTGACCAATGTTTATATGCCGGTTCAATAAATCATAGCTGCGATCGAATACGGTCCCTGGAGAGCAACATTCAGACAGAGCTGTGGCACGAGATTGTTGAACCTTGATTAATGAAAACACAGGGCTCAATAACGCTATGCCTAGCCAAAGACACGAGGATGCACGGGGGCAATAAGACATGGGCTGTTTGCACATTGTCGGTATATGTACCAATTGTTAATCCTACTGGAATGTGTTGGTATCTCTGGCACAAGACAAGGTCGACTGTAGCAGAGGGAGAGTATCTACGCCCTTTTCGCCTGTTAGAGATCCTATGAATGGCAGAGGTACAGCTGCTGTGGCGGAGACGGAGATCCTCAGAGCGGCTATAATGTCAACGCGAGGATTCGTCGCCTCAATCATACCCAACCATCGACCTCTAATGCCTAAGTGATCTTCAGCAGGGGACACACGTTGCTTATTTTGCTCGGGACGTTTGAGGATCACACTTAACAAAATGGGTCAAAACTGGCCCCTCTCGGTGCCTCGGTACTCGGCTTCGAACGACCTACGTGATTGACGATAGTACTGAGGTGTGTCTCATTCCAGATAAAAATCACCTTACATCGTCCATACTCGCTCGCATACATACACAGGCACGACACATGGATCCACGGAAGTTTCTCATTGCGGCGGCGCGCGTGCTGCACTGTGTATCTTGCCTCAAAGCAGCGACGTCATTGAACCCTGAATTCCGCCCAGCTGTTTGTGTGCCCTGGCCTGCCATCTCGTCCTCCCACGTGACGATACCCATTGGCGACATGTCGCATTTGTCAGAAGTAGGGACTCTGCGACCCAGCCATGCCGGGCGGCACGCATGCCTGCATGAAAAAAAAAAGGGCTTATACGTAGCACCGGATATCTTCTAGTCCTTTGCTGTTGCCGCAGCCCAGACAGGCCCGTGACTCGGACATGGAAAACAGCAGGGGCCTAATACTGGTAGTCTGTTGTGATGTATCATTCTTTTTGCCATGCAGGAATGTCACGGACAGACTCCTGGCAGCTTCTGGCAGCAGCATATCACAAGCACAACGTCATTCGCAAATGCCGCAGAATGTGGAATACGCATCTTCTCGTGTCATACCTCGATTAGGACACCTCGCATTATCCATTTGGGATACCAGTGCCGTGTCTAAGCGTTATCCAGACTGGGTCACCAGAAACAACAATGTCCCCTGCCCATCTCGTGGCTGCTGATGATCGCAAAGGTAATCTTCAAATCACCCTGTGACGGATAAAGTGCCTTCCTCCAGCGGCTGCCTACAGAGAGTTTGACAGTCATGTGCCGAATGCGTAAGTGCTCTGAACAGGAGAACATCTTAGATGGGGCCTGGGTCTTGAATCCAGGCGTATCAGGGAATATGCTGATTCCGGTTCGGCAGTGATGCCCGCTAGAGGTCGAGGTCTCTCTTTGCGGCCCAGTCATGCCTGTGCAATGAAGTTGTGTCGAACGTATTGCGTCACGGGCCTTGCTACTCACGATGTCGTGATGGCGGCGGGGATACGGCCCGTGCTGCCAGATGTGTAGTCAGATAAGAACTTCTCAGCCACGGAGGGAAGCTGGATTGGGAGCACATTGATAGATAGCGCCGTGACATCTCAGTAGCACAAGGCCCTTCCAGCTTAAGCTAAAGCCATGGTTTATAAGCCAATGATGTGAGCTGCCGCATGACCTCGTCACCTTCCCTGATGCTAAAACTGAGTCTGGAAGAAGAGCATGCCGGCCAGAACCCAGCTGTTGGTACACGTGCTCAGCCTGCTCAAGGGGAAGTCTTCACCGCCACATGTAGTGGGAGCGTGAAGGCAATCACAAGGCAACCAATTCTTTGTCCACAAATGGGCTTGCGGCCGGGACAGCAGGTTGAAACGGAGCACGACATGCAGGTCAGAGCAGTTTCTCCTAGGGGAGTCGACCCGGTGGGTGGCACAAGCTCACTTCCCCTTCTCGCTGCATTGGCGATAACCCAGCGTCTGCAGGGTTGATGGGGCGCTCCTTGGGTCAAGTGCGATACAGGGACCCAAACATCATGCACGTTGCTGCATAAGCTTTGGCGGAAGACAGTCTGTGGTTCAAGCTGAAGATTGACCAATATTGAAAATGGCCAGAAGCCAAAACGAGCTCGTGATCATCGAGCAAATGCCGTATTGCCAGCGAAGTCTTCTTGTATCCTAGGCAAAGTCAACAAGACCCATACCTCGTTTTGGGAGCCTCAAGGTTGACATGGTTTCTTTGGGATGGACATGCTGGTCTACCCCCAGTGGTGTGTCCACTTTCGACACGCGTAGAACGCCAGAAACGCTCAGGATGCGAGCAGATGTCTCTTAAACATTCCAGCCCCCTCTCACTACCGCAACCCAGGCCGCAGTATCGGTGCTGACAGATGCGTGATGACGGATGTGCGGAAGCTAGGATGCAGGCAGCCGGGCTCGCCAATTTCTCTCGACTTGTCAACGCTCCGGGGGGCTAAGAAACCGGATAATGCAGCAAGCCTTGATGGCTGCCAGCAAGCATTTGGCAGGTTCGGCTCAAACCCAAGCGCGCCATCGCGGGCAGTGTGTTCAGCTTGCCTGCGGTTCAAACAGCGGACGAGACCCTGTAACCGGCGTCGGTCTCCCTGCCGGACTCTGTCAAGCAGCCATGGGAACCTGCAGGCAGGTCGTCTGACGGACGAAGCCTGGTTGTAGGTGGTGTGAGCACGTTTCCTGCAACCAGGGATTTTGCAAAGCATAGTATGTATGCACCCATCTCAAGGTGAGTCTTTCCTCCTCGCTTTTACTGTGGACCGGCTATTGTGGTCTTCTGTCGGATCTCGCACTACCGCTCGGTTCCCGAGGTCTCGAAACCCTTCAGATCATTGGTTACAGCAACTCCGTCATGATCCTTGATGAGATGCCCCATGATGCCCCTAAACCGTAGAAGAGTCTTTAGACAACACGCTCGCTGTAAGTCGGCACAGTCGTGTCTTGGTGACCAGCATTTCGAGTCGCCGCTTCTCTCGTAATGAGTAATAAGCATAGGCGCTGGTCTTGTCTTGAAATGGCCGTCGCACCAGAGTGGCCTCTGTAAGTCCCCGTGGGTTTGTTGCTGAGGAAGTCAGACACATAGACTTCTTGGTCTTTGCCCTCTTGGACCTTCGCTATTAATATGGCCGATGATTCGGGGTTCTGGCTAGCCGGCTGATGCGCGGTTGTTCCGCGCCGTGGCCCTACCTCCAGTTAGGTCACGATGCTTCGGCTGTATGACGGCGTCGTCAGGGTGTGCCTAATAGACCTTGAGCTGTCAGCTGCTGCGTGTGTATAAATGCATCGTGGGCCGCTCGTCTATTATGGCCTTTTACGCCACGATAATCAACAGCCGTTTCGTCCGGACAAGAAGCAGTACCATTAACAACTCCATTGCTTCCCTCCATCCTCGAGTCTCGGCGCTCGCCATTTTATTGAGGTTCCGTGTCCTTGACTTCTCCCATATGGACGATCAAACCAAACAAGCTGTCATGAGGTGTGCCAGCAACGCACCACAACAAATGCCATGGCAGCGCTGATGTTGAGAAATGTAGTGGTACCATAGATCGAAAAGTTTCGCCAGAGAGAGTCCCAAACTCACCACCACCCTCCTCGCAGCCATCTGTCATGTTAAGTCGTTGGACACAGCAAACCGATCGAGCCGTCATTCCGATCAACGAGACACTTCACCAGAAGCAGCATCAAGTAAGAAGTCCTCATTGGCCATATGTGACCAGAGTTGACAACGTAGACCGATGGCACCACCCCGGACAATACGAAATGAATCAGGCACTTGTGGTAGGCTATCGAGAGGATACTCACACAGCAGACCGCCCGCCCGCTGTTCAGCAGTCGTTGTAGTGCATGGCAAAACCCCACGGGCGGTGCGGCATCGTACTCGCGCACGACATCGATTCTTTTTGAGCTCTTATATACAGTTTTTGCTTTTCGTGGGTATCATTACATGGTGTAGTTTTGTATCTTGCATTATCTCCCATTTGCGACTTATGATTGCGTCGTTGTCGCGGAGCTTCCCATGGTGAGAGGGGTGTTGCCAAGCTCCTGAGCGGTTCCTGTGGCATGGAAACCATCAAGGGTTATGGTAACAGCACCGGCTTGAACGAGCTATTTAGACAGTCAGTGTTGGGTTCTTCGCTGTGTTGCCGATGCTTTGACTTACCGAGCGGGATAGATCTTCAATCAAGTCGTTTACGTCTTCAATGCCAATGCAAAGTCTGATGATATCTTCGGGCAGCTGCCGCTCTGCTCTCGTCTTGGCGTCAATGCTAGCATGGCTCATCCTGCAGGGCATGCTGATCAAGCTGTTGACACAGCCAAAGCTCACAGAGATACCGTAGAGCTTGGCAGCCTCCACAATCCTCTCAGAAAGTTTAATATCACCAGTCTCAAAGGACAGGACAGCACCGGCACCACGTGCCATGGACCAGTGCAGGTCATATTGAGGATGAGACTTCAGGCCGGGGTATCGCACGCGGAACCCGTGATTCTCGAGGAACTCGGCGATCTGCTGGGCATTCGCTTGCTGCTTTTCCATGCGGATAGCCAGCGTCTTGACACCACGCATGAGCAAGAATGAGTCGTTTGGTGACAAGCCGCAGCCGGTGGAGTTGATTGTGAAATACATCTTGTCACCAAGTGCAGGATCGTTGCAGGCGATGATACCAGCCATGATATCGTGGTGACCAGAGAGGTACTTTGTGCCAGACTCGTAGACAATATCGGCGCCAAGCTCCAAGGGGTTGCAGAGCATTGGAGAGAGCATAGTGTTGTCCACAATGACGAGGGCGGAAGGGTTGGCTTCGTGGACAGCCTTGGCAATGCCTGGCATGTCGACAATTTTGATGAGAGGGTTGGTTGGGGTTTCGAGGAGCACCATGGCGGTCTTGCTCGAGATGACGTCGAGGACCTTGTTCACCTCTGTGGTGTCGACGTGGTGCACCACTATACCCTGGTTGGACGACAGGTATGTGAGGAGACGGTTGGTGCCGCCATAGAGATCATCGCCGGTAATGACCTCATCCCCAGGGCGCAGCAATCTGGTGATGACATCTAGAGCACCCATGCCGGAGCCGACGGCGAGAGCGCGGTTGGCGTTCATGATCTTGGCCATGTGCCGCTCGAGGTGTGTGCGGGTGGGGTTGCCCGACCGTGTGTAGTCGTACTCGTTGCCGCCCTGAGAGGACGTCTGCTTGAATGTAGCCGACTGATAGATAGGGATGCTGGAAGCGCCATACTGGTCCTTTGAGTCGGTGTAGACGAGCTCAGTGGCCAGGGCATAGCGGCGGCGGCCATTGGCCGGGCTTGACGGTGCGGGAGAGGGAGGAAGGTTATGTCCGTCGAGGTCAATGTTGGCAATGGCTTTGTTGACAGCTTTAGAAGCGTCGTCGCTGGTCGACGCACCGTTGTTGGGCGGCGAGGACATTTTGCTGGGTATTCTCTGTGGATGTTGTGTTATGGCGTTGTAAGGAGAGGCGTCTGTGACTCTTGCCCCGATGAAAAATTGGGGCAGATGTGAGGGGCAGTTGAGAGGGTGCGCCCGCCAAGGGTGCGGTATTGATGTATTGATCGAGAGACGCGTGAGGCTGAATGGGTTGGAATTGGTGATGTGAGAACAAGTTCACGGTCGAGATCGAGAATCGGAAAGAGTTATTGTTTCTTGTTGTTGGAGGGGGGGGATGTCTGGAGTTGCCAGGGCCGCGATGATGTGCTGCGAGCTCGGTCAAGTACAATCGGTTGGCCAGGGTGCGTGACCGGTCACGGAGGGGAGGAAAACCTGGGGTATCGCATCATTTCTTAGCCGTGGCTGGCACAGGTACAACTTCGGGCACAAAATTGCACCCGGTTTCTGCTTATCTCAAAGTATCTCTCAGGACGGTCCACAGTGACTCCACCGCTCGCGCCGACGGCGAGCCCCCTGGAAGTCCCGACATCCGGCACTAAATTGATAGCTGAGACACGCATAAGATTGGCGCAGCTGATCATCCAGATGGCGGTACGTTGCGCCATCAAAAGAGCACAGCACGATGACGTGCTTCTGCAGGCCAAGAGCGTTAACCGTTGCAGGGCTCACCTTTCGTGTGTCACCAGCAGCGGCAGATGCAATACTACGGCAACATATCCCTGCCTGCCCCTGGGGGGCGTGTCGTACTTCCACTGTCACCATGCACAGGTCATATCATGAGCAAGCGGCTGCATGCCCTAGAAAATCAACCGGTCTACGGACCAGTATCATGTTGGCAACATGCTCGGTGTCGTGTTGACCAAAGCTTTGCATTGAGAAACACTAGTATTTTTCTTGCAAGTGACGGATCCATACAAGCAAAGGGTATATCTTGTCCCAACCTAACGCCTGCAAAACATTAAAACCCTGGCGGCCAGATCAGTCAAGTCGCTCGGTCAGAGCCTTCATAACACGCGAGTAAAATCTTGCTGCTTGTGGTCGTGGAAATGTGATATCCTCGCTCAAGTAATCCGGCAGCAGTTCCTTGAGGTCCTGGTCGCGATCGTCGTCCAGCTGTGGCATATACACAAATTGTGTTTCGTCGTAGTTATCGTTAGCCCCGTCGACTCCTGTCGCAAGCTTGAAATGCAAGGCTACGCCTTTGTTAGCATGATCGTCTCCTTCAGTAGTTGACACGAAGCACTTACTCCCGTTCCTGCCAGTCTGGATACAGTCGTAGACATCCTCATCTTCCTCACGCTTGACCCCGCGAATGATCAAGCCGGTCAAATCGCCGTACAGATCCTCTTTCATCTGCGCAGCTTGCACCATGGCTTCCGCGTTCGCAATGACGCGCTTGTCAGCAGTGCTGCCCTTCATGGCGCTGCCAGGAATCTTGACTGCAGCGGTATCCGCTACTCGCGCCGCCGACAACTTGGTAGTCAACGTTTTTGCTTCCTTTCTCGAGTCTGCGAGGGAGCCTTGCAGGCTATCGACTTCAGCCTGCAGACGTTCTACGACACCAGCACGTTCGTCGAGCTGCTGCCTCAAAACCTGCGACTCCTTCACTACTTCTGCTTTTGCCGCAAGTTGTGCTTTGAGCGTAGCGATCAGCTCGTTCGCGCCTACAGTAGTGCATTGTGGTTAGTTTCTAATCAATCATCAAATATGCGACCAAAACCTACTTTTCGCCCTCTCCTCGCTTTGCTTCTTAAGCAGGTCGTAATTGCGCTCCGCTTCCTTGATGCCGAGTTCACGCAGTGTCATGTATTTCGCTTCCAACGCCTCGTATTTGAGGGTCAGGTCTCCCAGCCGCCGACGCATAATTGGGTCATTGCCTGCAGTCCGTGACTCCGGGCCCGGTGTTGACCTTTTGGTGGCGCTGGATGGTACTCTGGGCTTTGTACGCTGGACTGAAGCGGCTCGCACGCGAGGAATCGGGTCTGGTTGGACGACCTCCTCTTCCTCCTCCACATCTTCAATCGAGTATTCCATGTGGTCGAATTTCTCCTCCTCTTCCTCTATATCTGCAGGCGAATATTGGTTCTCCGGGATCTCGTCATCGGCAGGGGGCGTCGCAGCTCTTGCTCGAGCTGGCGGGCGACCTTTTCGCGCTCGAGGAGCGGCCGGCCTGGCCTGAACCTCTTCATACTCTTCCTGCGCTTCCTCATCCCCATAATCGCCTTCCTCGTCGTCGTCATGGGCGACGTTTTGTGCCAGCTTCTGGGTCTTCGTCGGGCGGGTCGTTCGTCCTTTGGCGACTTTCGCCTTGTGGTCGAGTTCGGCGGTGGCAGCACGTTTCTTCCCACGCGCGCCATCTTCGAGCGCAGTCGCATTGTGTGGTTTGTCGTGAAGTGGCTTGCGCGCACCTCCTGTTGCGACACTTGCTGACCGTGGTGCAGCGCCAACAGTTTTGCCGCCGCGACCAGTTCCCGCAGGGCGGCCCCTCTTCGCCGGCGCCATGCCTGACGATGCGCCGCCTCGTCTCTGTGCCGCGCCTGCCCCTAATACGTCGCCCTCGTCGTCCGAGTCGACCAGCCCCATCAACGCGCCCGCGTGAACGCGAGGCATCTGTCGTCAAGCCCTTCAAAAGTCGGCCAGCCCGACCAAGCTGTGGTTGCACGCAGAATGTGGATGTATTTGGTAATGCAGTGGTTCTTTCAGGACCGAGTATGGTTGATGTGTTTAGCGATAGGCAAATAGTCGAGATTGTTATGCCCGCGGGTCGGTTTGAGGGTTTGCGATTGAAGGATCTTCGGTAGGAGGTCGAATGTGGGTGAGGATTGGCGAGCCTGGAAAGTAAACAAAACACGATCCCGCACTGGGACAGCAGAGCGACAAGGACCCACACTTTGCACCTCGCATCTCAGTTCGGCGGGCGCAACCCCAGGTTACTTGTGAGGCAAAGCTGCAGCATTGCGGTCAAGCTGGCATCACTTCCTTCTTCATTTTCTCTCTAATTGATCATGCTGCCCGAGAGATGCTTTTCATTCAAGACTTTTATGAAGAATCCCAGCGCAGTCTGTTATAGCTCAACTGGTTGATCTCGGCTGGTGTCGTGGAAGGGAGGACTTAGGCAAGAGCACATGTGGGTGGGGAGCCGCCCCCTGCATGGAGCCTGTCTGGAGCCTGCCAATAGCAGGAACCCACGCGTGCCGGACTTTGGTACACCCAAGTCTGGTGGCGTCCTTGTCTTGCCCATCCGTCCTCGGCACAACCGCTGATGCTATCTGCGAGTTTGCCATCGTCCCTGTGGATTCGGGATCCCCAACCTTCTGGCCGATCGAAAACGCCCGCTCCTTATTCTTCACTCCTGACCTTTCTCCCCCTTGAGGAGTGTCTCAACGACAGATGAGTAGCAGCTGGTCTCTACGAGCGCTCATCATGGCCGACCGGAAGCGCCCGAGCGCTCAGAACATATGGGATTTTGTCATGCTGGGCTGCACCGTAAGTTCGCTTCGCTTGTGTGGCGATGGGCACGTGCTGACCGAACACATTTTTCTCCAACAGATCGGTGCATTCTTCTACCTGGGCAAGACCTTCCTCTCGAACCTTCAGGGCACACTCGCCGATCCGGACAAGGAGAAGCATGAACAGGCACGCTTGAAGGCCAAGGCAAATCTGCAAAGGATACAAAAGCAAAGAGAGTTTGAGGCGGGCGAGCGGCACGATGGTGAGGGTCTCGACCAGCGAGGACCCAGGGTAGAGGACCTGGTGCTCAACGAGTATGAAAATCTGGTTGCGCTTGAGGTTGTCGCACCAGAAGACATTGCGGTCGGTTTCAACGGTAGGCATAATCGCTCGTTGACTGGTACGGAACGATACTGATCCGGCTCTTGCAGACATCGGAGGGCTCGAAGACATTATCGAAGAGATCAAGGAGTCCATCATCTACCCCCTCACGATGCCTCATCTCTATTCGCATGCCGCACCCTTACTCGCCGCACCATCTGGAGTCCTCCTGTACGGCCCCCCAGGCTGTGGCAAAACGATGCTGGCGAAGGCTGTCGCACATGAAAGCGGAGCTTCATTCATCAACCTGCACATCTCAACCCTGACGGAGAAATGGTATGGCGACTCCAATAAGCTGGTACGCGCTGTCTTTTCGCTCGCTCGCAAGCTTCAGCCGGCGATCATCTTCATCGACGAGATTGATGCTGTGCTTGGCACGAGACGAAGCGGCGAGCACGAGGCCAGTGGTATGGTCAAGGCTGAGTAGGTCCCTTCATAAGTTCTGCGAGCTCTATTTTTTTGTTCGCAATAGCTGACTGGCGCAACAGGTTCATGACCCTGTGGGATGGTCTCACCTCGTCAAACCAGCAGGGCTTGCCAGCCCGGATATGCGTTCTCGGAGCAACGAACCGCATTAATGACATCGACGAAGCCATCCTGCGCCGCATGCCCAAGAAATTCCCAGTTTCTCTACCCGACAAGAGCCAGCGGCTCCGCATCCTGCAGCTCATCCTCAAAGACACCAAGACCGACCCACACAACTTCAATATTGATTACGTAGCAAGAGTTACAGCCGGCATGTCTGGAAGCGACATCAAGGAGGCCTGCCGAGATGCCGCAATGGCGCCCGTGCGCGAGTATATCAGGGAGCACCGCGCCAGTGGTAGCGCAATGTCGAGCATTGATCCCAAGAAGGTGCGCGGCATGAAGACGGAAGACTTCTTTGGCCGTAAAGGTGGTGGTCAGATCTTGCTCGACAATCACTCCAAAGCCAGCGCCAAGGCGAGAGCGGCCGCTACTCCTTCGAGCACAGACGAGTACGAGGATGTCGAGGAGGTGGACGAGGAAACCACTGACACTGCGACGTCGGCTAGAGGCGCCACCGATTTCCAGCTAGACTAGAGCCCATTGTTGAGCGTGGACGATAATGATGCGAGATGCAGGAAATGTAGAAACGGTTCGTTGCAGGCGCCATTTCGTTGGGTAATAAGGCGTTTCTGGTGCTGGATTGGATAGCACAAACAAGCATGGGCATCTGTTCCGATTTCGCGAGCAATTCCTGTTGGCAGCCTCTCACTCCTAGCGCAATAATACCACTGTCGCGCACTAGAGCCTATACATGAACATGACGACGAAGAAGGCTTTGGATTGATCTGGTTCAAAGCAAGTACAATTTTTTTCCTCTCGAAGCTTCCAAGGCTTCTCTGAGTTAGAACGCCCAACCCTCGAAATCGTCAACGAACCTGAGCGCCGAGGCGAGGTAGTGCTCATGCACATCGCCCCATGTCTGGGCGGCTTCCTTCATTGCACGAACGGCTGTGTGTGGAGAAAGGTCAGCTTCCGCCGTTCTAATGCACAACCATGCGCAATTGTGCTTCTGGCGGTTCGAAGTAGTGATGAAGCTATTATACCATGCCACACGATGAATCCCATCGGCGTCTCATTTGTCACGCATGAGCACCATGGGAGGGTAACGCCTGGAACGACCACAGAGACATGGGGTAAGGAACTAACCTTTAACGAAATGTGCGTCCGTCGCATGAGGCCCATTGAGAGCCTTATCCACCACATAATTCCACGAGCGGCCTTTCACCAACTCGCCCGGCCGCACGTAGTCCGGATCGATCTTGGGACATAACAGCGATGCGTACACGGCGATGACGAGCAGCCACCACTGCCTGACGAGCGCAATGTGGAACTGCTGGGGTATCAAGGGCAAGAGGACGCGCGCGGCGTGGCTCGTGGTCAGGAGGTGCACGGTGAAGAAGTTGTATCCATGCGTGCCGGGGGCAATGGTAGCCACGAGGAGTGAGACGGCAGCTTCCTGGGAGAGCTGGAATTGCTGGGTCGGGTCGACGTTGCTGTTGTGGGAGGGGTCGATGTCCCATGCGTTCCAGTACTCGAGCACTAGATCCTCGTGCTTGTCAAAGAGCTGGTTGAGGTTGTCAAGACCGGGTTCTTTAAAGAGGCTCTTGAGCCTTGGGTCGGAGGACATCTTGTTGAGAAGCTCCAGCGGTGTGGAGGAGGTTTTGCCATCGGCCACTGGTTTCGTGTAAGACGGGTCGTCAAGGTACTTGTGCATGAAGTTATACTGGCATGCCGCAAGCCCAAGAGCTTCCATGGCCACTTCCTTGTTGTCTACCTCGTAAGCGTAGGCTAGGTGAATCAACGGGTGGCCGACTAAAAGATCATGGTCAGCTCTTTTATAAGTGACAATCACAACAATTGAAGCATCCACCACAGTCATTTTACATACGTCCCGCGACAAGGCAGTGCACCAGAGGCTCCTTGCCGTCAAACATGAAGCTCTCAACGACATTTTTCCAGTCGTACTGATGCCGCAGGGCAAGCATGTCCTCGAAGAAGTCAACATATGCTCTCTGATACTCCCTGCGGCCCAGGCAATCCCGCCAGTCCTCGAGGGATACCTCGCCAGGGCTCGGTTCCCATGCCTCAAGCTCCTTGGCCTCTTCGTCGTAGATGCGGTGGAGCTGCTCCGCGCTGGCGCCGAGGAGATAGGCCGAGCTGAGGATGTGCGGCATGTGGTTGTCAAACTGTAGGCTGTGGTAGAGGATGCTGTGGTTCACGTGATTGGCCCTGAGCAGGTGCTTCAGCGTCCGGGGCCGCTTGTCTGGAGCAGTCTCTACATTGTGGATTTCGACTGAGGGAAGGTCGATATGCCCGCTGCCTGCCGAGCTTGACACGCCTCGCCTGAGGAAGGAAAAATATGGGAGGATTGAATCCATAGCTGCCGGGTGCTGCTGAATCCTCACATTGTCGATGGCGGAGAAGATGGCAACCAGATGCTGGCTGTCGTCCGATACCCTTATGACGACAGCTCTGTTTGTTGGGCATTTGGTGGGGCCTATAGCGTGGAGAGGGCCCCGACCACAGGGGGTTATCCAGTGCGCCTTCGAGCTGACCTCGGGAGCTTGGAGGCTGCAACGTCTCTAGGTGGGGTGGGGACCGTGAGTGACCTCGTGCAGAACGCGTCTCCCGCACCCCTTCTTCGACCTGCTTCCATACAGCAGCTCCTGCTGCCAGCCATGGAGCGTATATCAACAACACAGGGAAGCAGAGGAAAGGCGCGACGGCATGGCTCAGCAGGCTGAGGCAGCATCAATGCTGCTATATGCAGAACTACTCCCGAACATCAGACAGATCTCGGTTGGCTGCCTGCTGCCTAGTCCCAGTTTGCCGCAGACCCAGATCGCGGTCTCGCCGGATGGCACAAAGCTCACAGTCCAGCACGATGGGGGAACCACTTCTCTCCAGCTACCCGGGCGTGCTCAGCCAGGCCTGAAGCCGCCTGTTCGCGAAGGTCAAACGTGCATTACCTTCAGGCTACCGGTGCCTGCGCTGGACGGAACCACTGGCGGCTTCGTCCGTCCAACCTCGGAATCACAAGCTGTGCCATGGTCAGCCACGGAGATTGCCCCGCGCTCTGCCGTGGCCTGCAGGAAGTGCGAGAGTGTGCTCGTGCAGGAGGGCACTCTCTCGACCTGGAAGGATCTCCCCAGTGAGAACTGGGCAGAGATGATGGAGTTCTGGCACTGCCACAAGCCGCACGACCACAAAAAGGATGGCGAGGATCATGGCCACGACCACCTGGCTTCCACACGAGGATACGGCGCGTCAGCAAGGATAGCGGCCCAGCCCGGACTCGGGTTCGTCGATTTGACTTCTCTCCTGATCGCGACGACTGACGTGCTCCCCAACACTGTAAGTTGTCCCCAAACTTCGCCTGTGATCTAGCGCCGTGGCGTTGTCCTCTCCTGCAACATTACCCGGGTATATAGAAGGTGAGCAAGCCAGCCCGATCTCGTTGACGGCAATCTTCAGTGGCATGCCCACCGATACTCCTACCCAACATGAAGAAATCTTGGACCAGGCAGTTCTCCGGAATTGCCACGGTCATTCATTCGTCCCGCCCTTTCCTTGACTCCCGAACCCAGGCTGCTCGGGCCTTGGGATCGGGATCGTCTTCTTTGGTCTGGTGTCGAGGGCCCGCCTCTGCGTCTTGGGGAGTTTCCGTGGATGTGGAAATCTTCACAGTATTCCAGAGGTACATCTCATCGTTAAAAATGTACTTTGCCGTAACCATGTGCGTGACTGGATGTTTTGGCTTCTATACTGACCAGAAGCCACAGTTGGTTGAGCCGCTCGGGGAGACTGAGCCAGATGAGCAGGAGCTCGAGTCGGAGAATACTCCGGTCTCAAATACCCAGACTCTGGCTACCTGCCGCTTATGCCAGTCGCGACTCGGCGTCATCACCCGCGAGACAAACTCAGTCTCATTTTTTAAGTGGCAGGTGATAATAACCACCGCCGCCGCCGCCCACAGCGCGAGGTTAGACAAAGCCAAAGTGCCAACACTATCACACTGTGTCAGCGCGATGCTCCTCGCAACACTTGGCCGCACAGGCTGCTCAAAGTCTATCCTAATGCCTATCAAGACCTCTCCCTCTACCACAACTAGCCACAAGCTTTTGCACGTCTGGCTCTTCAACGGCAACATCAAGTTCTCTTCCTCCGTTGCTGGCGAAACTGGCAGCGTCAGTGGTGGGCCTCAAGCAGCAGTAAAGGTTCTGTTCAAACTCGTCAGTGAAGCGGAGGCTGATAAGCTACTGCATGCATTGACGTCGGATACGCAGGACATCAGTCTGCCTGCAGACGCCATTGAGACCACGAGCGAGCTTTTGCAGGAGAGCAATGGGTACTTGCCTCCCAGCGAGAGAACATTCAAGGAGTGGTCTGTAGGGCTTGTTTCACGATGGGAAGAGTAGTTTGTGTAAAATGTCAAGGCATATGAGAGATATTTGAGACACGGCCAATACGTGTTTTGTGAAATGTATTTTATGCTACGTAAAGATGACGTCGGTGAAAACAGCGGCGTGTCCGTATCACGCGGTCTGCTTGAACGTGCGACCGCTGGCCGTCTTCCTCTCCTTCTCCTCGTTCTCTGGCCGCGCGCGGCGGAGCACCTGGAGGAAGTCTGCGGTTCTTCTCCGCATTCTCGAGTGGATATACGCCTAGAATGTAATGATCAGTGGCTGGAACTTGAAGAGAGTGCATCACGGAGTACTCACCTTGGAAGCCTTGATGTGGTAGTGGAAGTAATCACGGAAAGTCTGGATGTGCGAGATGACGTCGGGCATCCGTTGAGGGGTCAGATGGCGCGGGAACAGCACTGTGACGGCATGTGTCAGTTCAAATTCACCGATATTAAGCACAATGGAGTGGGTGTGCATGAAATTTTCCTCACCGAATGTGACGTATCCAATCTCTCCGTTAGTGGTGGCCTTGACGCCAGGCACGTTCTGCAGCTCGAGAGGGGGGTCGTTGCGGAAGAGCACCTGGGGCGCATTCTGGATCGCCCGCCGGCGGGCGTCGACAAACTCCTGGATGAAGACCTTGCCGAACACGCGATCCGTCTCTTCGCGGAAGATGGTGCTGAAGATAACCGTGACACGGTCGTGGCTGGCCTTGAGGAAGATGGCCTCCTCGTCGCGGTAGTGGATCGCCATGACCTCGCCGCCCTCGAGAACGCCTTGAGGTGCCTCCTCGCTTGTATACTTGGATGCCTCCTCACGGAACTTGTAGTGCTGCTGGTACGCCGCCTCGAAGGGCGCGGCCATGGTGTTGCGCTTGAGCAGCGAGATCTTGCGGATCAGCTCGTCGCGCTCCTCTGTGCGTCGGGCGGATGAAGGTCAGCTCTGTGTACGGCGCTGCTGGTCTGGGTGCTTGTCATCCAGCGCAAGGTCAAGACGTACCCTTCTCAGATGGCAGTTGCTCCAGGTCTATCAGGATTGAAAAGTTGAAGGCGTCCTCTGGTGGGACGACATATTGGCCGTACTCGCGCTGAAGGACATCCTCGGCGCCATATTGGACAAGCTCCTTGTAGCACCGAATCTGGATGGAGATGAGGATTTTGGTCTTGGACTCGGGGGTTGAGATGTGGAAAGTGACGCCGTCGAAATCGGAAACGGTCTGGTCGATATGCGCTGGCGGCGCTCTGTTCTCGTCATGCCCAGGTTAGCAGACTGAAGCGGGGGGAGGAGAGCTTCAAGGAGGCTGTGTGGGGATCGAGCGGCAGTGACGGACCCGGAGAAGGCGTTCTTGAGGATCTGCTCGATCAGAACATTCTGGTAGTCGAGTAGAAGCATTGTGAGTATGGCCGGCGCAATTGACCGACGGCGCTGTCGCTAAGTGGTGGTTGCTCGAGGTTGTGAGGTCGGTCAGCCAACCACACCATCAGTCGAGGAGAGTACGGGCCTCGTGCTGCAAGGAGGGTGACGTTGCTGCCATCAGGCAGGCTTGAACGCTTGGGAGGTGCAGCCCACTCGGTTACCTGGCAGCCTGGCCAACGGCATCGGTGCATTGAGCTCTGGTGGGGTCCTGCTAGGAACCTCCAACGCATAGTGCGATACGAGGCCATGAGCACTGTATGTGTTTGAGGCGTACCTGCGCTACTCTACTAGAGAGCACTGCCTCACAATGTGTGCGATGCACAGTGCCTATCGATTAGAAACTTTTCTGAGAGCAGGTCGCGGGTCGCCCAAAAAAGTCCCAGCGCCTGGAATCCATCCACCTAGGGCTGTCTTCTGATTCTCATGGTTACGTTGTGAATCTGTGCAGCAGTATTTGTCCCGACAGACCCAGTCCTTGGAAATGGTGAAGTCGTACCTGTAAGTGTTGGCCTGGCAGCTGCGAATCAACCTTGCATCACGCACTTGGAAACTAACTAATGTTGTCGCTGTTTCTAGCAAGTACGAGCGCTCCCAGTGCTTCGGCCTGGTCACGTCAAGCACCTCCAACATTGTCTGGACCGCCAAGGACAAGTCAAGCGGTACCAGTGCCGGTCAGGCAGTTGTCGCGGCAAACGAAGAGGTTCTGTGCTGGGACATCAAGAAGGGTGAACTGCTCAGCCGGTGGAGAGATGACAACTGCTCCTCGCAGGTAACTGCGATTGCGCAAAGCAAGACCGACCCAGACGTTTTTGCCGTAGGGCACGAGGATGGTAGCATCCGAATCTGGGATAGCAAGATTGCGACGACGATTGTAAACTTCAACGGCCACCGATCGGCCATCACACACCTCGCCTTCGATCGATCTGGCGTGCGCCTAGCAAGTGGTTCAAGAGACACCGATGTCATCATATGGGACTTGGTCGCCGAGGTCGGGCAGTTCAAGCTGCGTGGCCACAAGGATCAAATCACTGGCTTGAGCTTTATTGAGCCGCAGGAAGAGCTGTCCGAAGACGATGCTGGTCAGGCCATGGTGCTCGATGGTTCCGGCAGTGTTGCGGAGGGATACCTCCTGACCACTTCTAAGGACTCGCTCATTAAGTTGTGGGATCTGAGCTCTCGCCACTGCATAGAGACTCACATTGCACAGAGCAATGGCGAGTGCTGGGCGCTGGGTGTCTCGCCCGACTTCAGTGGCTGCGTGACGGCAGGGAATTCTGGCGAACTCAAAGTCTGGGCTCTCGACACACAAGGACTGGCAGCCTCGCACCGCCAAGTCGACATATCTTCAGGCACCCAGTACCTGCGAGAGCGCGGTACCCTGATGCGACAAGGCAAGGATAAGGCCACCGTCATTGTCTTCCACCCACGACGGGACTATTTCGCTGTTCATGGTTCAGAGAAGGCTGTTGAGATATGGCGCATTCGGACCGAGGCGGAGATCAAGAAGAGCATTGCACGCAAGAAGAAGCGAAGGAGGGAGAAGAATGCCCAGAAGAAGGACAAGAATGCCGAAGGCGAGGCGGAAGGCCAGGAGGACGATGACGAGGAGGACATCAGCAGTGCAGACATCACCGATGCCTTCGCACAACATCTCATCATTAGGACGACCGGCAAGGCGAGGTCAGTTGACTGGGCCGATAATTCTGGCAGCAAGACCATTCAACTCCTTGTCGGCACCACCAACAACCAGCTCGAGCTGTACAGCATGCCGCTCAAGGAGAGAAACTCGAGATCCAAACAGGAAGAGATGCCCGACTACACGAGGGCTCTTGCTGTTGAGCTCCCCGGCCACAGGGCCGACATTCGATCTCTGGCGCTCAGCTCGGACGACCGAATGCTGGCCTCAGCCTCAAATGGGAGTCTAAAGATCTGGAACGTGCGCACCCAGAATTGCATTCGTACCTTCGAATGTGGCTATGCTTTGTGCTGTGCGTTCTTGCCTGGAGACAAAGTCGTGGTGGTTGGCACCAAGGGGGGAGAGCTAGAGCTGTTCGACGTTGCATCTGCAGTTCTGCTCGACAGTGTTGCCGCCCACGACAATGCCATTTGGTCACTACAAGTCCACCCAGATGGCAGGTCTATGGTTTCAGGCAGTGCTGACAAGTCAGCCAAGTTCTGGAACTTCCAGATCGTGCAGGAGCAAGTCCTGGGTACTACGAGGACGACGCCAAAGCTGAAACTCGTCCAGTCGAGGACACTCAAGGTCTCTGACGACATTCTGAGTCTCAAGTACTCTCCCGATGCGAAGTACCTGGCGGTGTCTCTTCTCGACAATACCGTGAAGGTTTTCTTCGTGGACTCTCTCAAGCTCTACCTCAACTTGTATGGGCACAAGCTGCCCGTTTTGAGCATGGACATCTCATACGACAGCAAGCTGATTGTCACTTGTTCGGCGGATAAGAACATCCGGATATGGGGTCTGGATTTTGGCGATTGCCACAAGGCGCTCTTTGCCCACCAGGATAGTATCCTGCAGGTTGCGTTTGTGCCACAAAACTCGGACGGCAGCGGCCACCACTTCTTCAGTGCCAGCAAGGACAAGACGATCAAGTACTGGGATGGTGACAAGTTTGAGCAGATCCAGCGTCTCGACGGGCACCATGGGGAGATCTGGGCACTGGCAATCAGCAAGACGGGCAACTTTATTGTGTCAGCCAGTCACGACAAGAGCATCCGCGTGTGGCAGGAGACGGACGAGCAGATCTTCCTGGAGGAAGAGCGAGAGAAGGAGATTGAGGAGCTGTACGAGAGCACGTTGACGACATCGCTCGAGCAAGACCCCGATGCAGAGGATGCAAACGGCGAGGTCGGTGCGGCCGGCAAGCAGACGATTGAGACGCTGATGGCAGGAGAGCGGATATCCGAGGCGCTCGAGCTGGGCATGGCGGATCTGCACATTGTGCAGCAGTGGGAGGAGGACAAGGCCAAGAACCCGAACATTGCGCCGCCGCAGCGCAGCGTCGTCTTCATGGCCCTGGGCAACATCAGCGCCGAGGAGTACGTCATGTCGGTGCTGCAGAAAGTCAAGGCGTCGGCGCTGCACGACGCGCTGCTGGTACTGCCCTTTGCGACGGTGCCGATCCTGTTCACGTTTATCAACCTCTTTGCGCTGCGGTCGATGAACATCCCGCTGACGTGCCGGATCCTGTTCTTCATGCTCAAGACGCACCACCGGCAGATTGTGGCGAGCCGGACGATGCGGGCGATGTTGGACGGGATACGGACGAACCTGCGACGCTCGCTGAAGCGGCAGAAGGACGAGATGGGGTACAACATGGCGGCGCTCAAGGTTGTGGGCATGCAGATCCGCGACCAGAGCGTCAAGGAGTACGTGGACGAGAAGTGGGAGGAGGACGAAAGCCAGAACAACAATGTCAAGAAGCGGGCATTTGTGCAGGTGTCTTAGAGGAGCCGTCGCGAAAGCTGCAGAGGGAAGAGTCGTGAGTTCTGAGGAGCCGCACGTGTATATACTCAACTAGACTACTCTGGACATAGAATCAAGCAGTACTGTCGTTTTCCCCGTCCCGTACGCGTATCAGTAATGTGTGTTGGTGGTTCCTGATGATCCCACAACCCACACAAGTGAAGATGGAAGGTGCCAAGGCTACCCCAAATCCTCGTGGAGGTGTTGCTCAACAACCTCCCCACCCCCGCAAACCAGAGGGACCCATGCCGCGGGCCGCAGCTACTGCCCACTCCTCGGCGCCCGTATCGATAAGCGGCTATGCATTGCCGTGCCTGCCGGGGCAGGTTTGGCCTCGGCACACCTCTGGGGGTTGGGGATTGGGAGGGAGGTGCTGGGGAAACAGACAGGCAGCTCGGCCTAAACTCCACATCGAGTGCCTACCCCGGGACGGGACCTGTTTGGGGGACGCCCACGACCAGACAATCAAGTAGATGCAGATGCTACCGGCCACCGGCCTGTTCCTGTGGTGCAGTATAACATCGTGCCTCACCAGCCGCCGCACGTCGCTGCCCCTCGAGGCCGTGCCCCTGCTCCTCCGCCCCATCTCGTGCGCCCTCTACGTCGCCGCCGTCGGCATCGCTCGCAAGGCCTTTGTCGCTCTCACCACCTATTCCTCGCCTGCTGCTGCTGCCGCTGCCGCTGCCGGAGATCATCTCGGTGAGGACGACGACGACGACGACAACGACCACCTCGGCTGGTGATTTCTTTGTTCGGCCCCCACCTCGTCGCCTCGGCCGTGGCAGTCGACCGAGAGATAGATACCACCACAACTTTCTGTACACATTAGACAGACACACACACGCGACGCACGCGAAACCCACAGTCAAACAACATGGCCGGTCGCGTCAGACACCCCATCGACGTCAAGGCGCTCGAGCGCTACATTGAGCAGCATGTGCCCGAGATCAAGACGCCGCTGGACGTCAAGCAGGTAGGGGCAGGCACATTTTACACACACACACGTGCTCAACAGTCACACACAAACAACAACACTTTGCTCCTTTTCGCCATCACTCCCTCCCCGTTTTTCCCTGTATCCTCCTGGCCACCCGCTCGTACTTTTTTTTTTCTCAAAAAAAAACCCATGCTAAACATGACTCCCTCCTGATTTCCAGTTCGGCTTCGGCCAGTCCAACCCAACATACCAGCTCACCTCCCCGGACGGCCAGCGCTACGTGATGCGCAAGAAGCCGCCGGGGAAGCTCATCTCAAAGGCCGCCCACAAGGTCGAGCGCGAGTACCGCATCATCCACGCGCTCGAGCACACGGACGTGCCCGTGCCCAAGGCCTACTGCCTGTGCGAGGACGACTCGGTGGTGGGGACGCCCTTCTACATCATGGAGTTCCTGGACGGCCGCATCATCGAGGACCCGGCCATGCCCGGGCTGTCCGCGCGCGAGCGCACCGCCCTGTGGAAGGCCGCCATCGAGACCCTCGCCAGGTTCCACCGCGTCGACTTCCGCGCCGTCGGGCTCGAGGCCTACGGCAAACCCCAAGGGTTCTACAACCGCCAGCTCGCCACGTGGCGCACCATTTGCGCCGCCCAGGCCGCCGCAAAGGACACCGACACGGGCAAGCCCGTCGGCGACCTGCCGCACTTTGACGAGCTGCTGGCCTTCTTTGCCGACCCGGCCCGCCAGCCCCGCGACAAGGGCACGCTGATCCACGGCGACTACAAGATTGACAATGTCGTCTTCCACAAGACGGAGCCCCGCGTCATCGGCATCCTCGACTGGGAAATGTCCACCGTCGGCCACCCACTCAGCGACATTGCCAACATCATGGGGCCCTTCTACAACGCAAAGATGAGAGCCATGTACTCGTCCTCCCCGGCCTTCCTCGAGGGCGCAACCCCGGGCCTGCCTGACCCGGACACCATCATGAGGTGGTATGCCGACGTCGCCGGCTGGGATCCGAAACCCGAGATGAACTGGGCCCTCGCCTTTAGCACCTTCCGCCTCGGCGCCATCTGCCAGGGCATCGCCGCCCGCGTGGCCACCAGGCAGGCCAGCAGCGAGAGCGCCGTCAAGCACGCCTCGTCCATGGGACCCTTGTCTGAGTACGCATGGCAGCTTGTCCAGGACGAGCTGGACACAAAAGGAGGCGCCGCCAAGGCAAGATTATAGACAAATGGGCATATCTCAAGTTTTGAATGGCTCGAGCCAACTCTGCCAAAGTCTTCGTCGATATCATCTTGGCGCATCTCAATTATATATGACTATGGTCAATGCTGTGCTGTGAGAGCAAAATACCGCAACGACGTGACTTATCACACAGTTTTCAAAAGACTCGCTCGAGGTTAGAGCTATGACACCTATAAGCTCGCCGCTCTCAGTGTAACTGCAGAAAACGTGACCCTCGTCGTATCATTGCTATGGCATCTTGGCATGAAAACACTGTATAAATATGTTTGTCGCGCTACGAAATTATACTACGATTCCCGGAGGACCGTCCGAAGGGCCAGACCTGACTGGGAGATCCAGGGCTTTCCCAGTAGAATGCTTGTTGCGTATGAGTTGTCGCGACCACGCTCGGAAAGAATGAAAGCAAGAAAAAGAGAATGACCACAAAACAAGATAACTTGCAGCTCTGGTCGCACCTCGAGAGTGCCTAAATGTCACGACGCAGTACCATGAAAGATGAAACAAGACAAACCCGCCCTTGTCCAATGATGTTGCCTCTGAAATCAAGAGTGCACGGTGAGGAGAAGTACTCGGTACAAGCACGCTGAAATCGAATAGCAGCTGTCGTGTCGATTGCTGAGTTGCTGCAAAAACGCCGTAGACGATGGTGAAATCAAGTCGAGCCCTCTGCACCGCAGAGGGCTCATATCCACCCGCAAAAGACCCACAGGTTGGAAGCCAGAAATCTCAATACCGCCCAGCTAGGGCTTCTCACAACGATAACAGAGGCCTGCCGCTCACGAGCGACCTTTAATTTTGCCCATTCATGCTCATCTCCGGCCCGGAAATTGTGGGTGACAAAGGCGTGACGGAAGCGGTCGAGCTATGTAAGGGTCCAGTTCGAGGGGCTGAGCCATCGCGCAAGGTCGACGGCATGCCCATGGTCGTGACTGGAGGAGAGTAGTCGGTCGTGCTGGCCGTGACTGGTCGCAGCAAGTGCTCAAGTAGGTAGGGGGCGTGTTCCACGCCCGGCCCGCTCAGTGTGTGGTTCAAAGTTGGGAGACTCCCTTGGTGGCGATGGGATTGTCCATGGAAATGGAGCCGATTTGAGGCGTGGCTTTGCTGCTGAAACCGGCCAGTAAGGGTCAGCATCCAGTTTACTCATCATAGTCGGTCCATATGGCCACTTACCGTGGCATGAGGTGCGATGTTGACCAGCCCCGCGCTGTAGGATGATGGGCGGCCAATTGGCGGTGACCCACGAAGACCACCGTGCCTGGCTCGTGTCCTACGACGGGACTCGTACACGTCGGTTGGAGGCGATCGTGGGCGGCTGTTCCACGCTGAGGATCGGTAGTTGTCTGCCCGCCGCACAAATGAATCAGACGGCCCGAGAAAGCTGTCACCAGCGGGTGCTCTGCATGGGGTATGGTCAGCGTGTCACAGTTCGATCACGATTGGCGCTAGACTCGGTGCTTACCCAGGGCGGTATCGAAGTAAGGCCTGCAGTGAACCACCAGCTGTGTCTTGCAAGGGGTTGCGCGCACGGAGATGTTGTGCTCGAAGAAACTGTGTCATATTTTGGCGGTTGCCGTAGTGGAACTGTGGTTGCGAGGGCACTTTGTCCCTGCAGTACGGGCACGTGTCGTTCTCCTCGAACCATTTCTTGATGCAATGGTCTCCGAATATGTGCTTGCATTTGGGTAACCTCAACGGCACCTCGCTGATTCCCTCCGGTGTTTGCACGCCGTAATCGTTGTAGCAAATGACGCACGCTGGCATTTGTCAGTCGAAGCCTCCTGAGGATAAAGGTGACAAGCTTACTTCTCTCGTTATCAGGCAGATCAGGAATGTTGACACGCTCCAGTGCCGCCAGGGCCTTCCCAGAAGCAACGCGCCGGGAGGATAGAGCACCCCTCATGATCTGTTGTGCGCGTATGCGCTCTTCTTCCGAAGCGTGCAGATTTGGCATGCTTTCCAGCATGAGCAGAGCGTTCACGTCTGACTCGAATGGATCTAAATCTGCCTCTTCCTCGCTAGATGGCTCAGAGAGATCGGCGTTCAAGCGACTTTGAGCATGCCGTGCTCGAGCCGCCGAGTATGCTGAGGTTGGAGGATACCAGGTGCGTGGAGGCATCGCTGATCGAGGACTTCCAGAGAGACCTGAGTCTGGGTCGAGACTTGACGGCGGAGAGCCAGATCCTAATGCAAGAGGGGTCAGCAAACTCGGCGGCTCTTCAAGATTCGAAATGCAGTGCTGAAGCTACCTAGTCCTGTTTCAAAAGATCCACCTGTCCCGTTAGAGCGAGCTCTTGCGAGATTGCGTGAAGAAGGGGGCGAGGACGGATTCAGAGGCGGTGTCCTATTGGACCTACAAGCTGTATTAGATATATGTGGATTCATGAACAGGACCTTGGCGGATTCACATACGCTGGCGTCCTCTCGCCTGTTTCCATGGACGTAAAAATTGGGTTGAGATGTGCCGACGGGTCAGATGAACCCCCGGATAGCGGACGACTACGACTTCTTGGGGAAGTCTCGAACCCGCCGATAGACGGCAGGTACATGCCAGAGTATCGGTCCTGGAAGAAGGACATGGAGGCTGGGACATAATCGTCCGCGTTGCCCAGCAGACTTCCTCCCCCACCGGGTGCGTGCTGAAACGTCGGACGGTGACTGCTGGGACCCGCGAGCATCGAAGGCGGATCGTTCAGAGAACCTTGAAACCGAGGATGTGGAGGGAAGGGCTGCTGGTGCGGATTGTATTGAGGATGGATATAGGGTCCTGCCAGCCACGTTCCATAGTGGCCATGGTGGACTGGATCATAGGCGACGGCATGGTGTGGGCTCGGGTTGGCCGCACTCGACTGAGCATCATGACTGGTGGCAGCAGCCCGAAGAGCCGGACATCGCGAGCGTGGGATGTCCTGGTTTAGTGGTGGCGCAGCTGGGCGGGTTGGCGACCCTCGACTAGAGTGCATGACGAACTCCGTCGCCGCTGGATTCATGGTTGCAGGATTCATAGTCTGCGCGCTGTGCGGTTCGCTAAGAAATCGGCACGGGATGCTGCTCGTTCTCGATTCACCAGACGTTCTGCCGCCGGACAATGGTGGTTCGATATGGTCCAAAAGTTGAGTCCTAAGCCCGCAAAGACCCTCCGATATACTAATCTCCGTATGCTCTGACTACTAGCCACGGAGAAGCATCGGAGGACGACTAGGGAAGTTTTCCAGAGAGGTAGGTAATGTCCAGGTGAAGTATGCGTCTGGCAATAAAGACTAGTCGCTGTGGCGTTGATATGAGCGGTAAGCAGAGAGTGCTGATTGAGAGCTTAGCATAGCAATCGTGCGACAGTGTCAATGCGTCCGGAACAAGCCCTCTCGAGACACCGGTGCGCTGGGTAGAGAATCCGGGATAAGTTACAAGGAAATCGAGCCGGCCAGATGGTCAAATGGTCACGCGGACAGGTGCGAAATGGTTGGTCGAGGTGGGAGGGTCAACAGTCCGCCTTGGTGCTTCAAGTCCTGGTCGGTTTCGTCGCCTAGCGCTCGAAAATCTGGCAGGCAGCGGAGTGGCGATGACAACCACGTGAGATTGTGACCAAGTGGACTTTGGGCTGGCGCTGAGGCTGCTTTTGCCCGGGGCATCCGCTTGCTGCGTCCTGCGGAGCTCTTATGCAATGGGCGAGCGGGGGAAAGAAGGCAGGCTTCTTCAAGTCTGGCTGTTCCAGGGTCGTCAATCAAGGCTGATTTGCTCCAGCGAACAAAAGCATGTATGGCAGCAGCTCTCCTGGGTGCGAAACGCGGCCAGGCATACAAATAAAATACGAACGGAGAAGGTTGCCTGTGGGAGAACAATGTCGCTGTGTAAAAGCTGGTGCCAACCCTATGGAAGCAAAGGTGGTGCCCCAGCGACGGCAACGACGGCGGCGAGTGGTTGGGTCAGGTGAAGCTCCGCTGAGTTAGCGGATGTCATGAAGTACGAGAGATGCCGTAAGCCTTAGGTGATGTGTGAGTGGCAGGCCAGCATGCCGAAGCGGGCGGAGTGAAGCACGGCGAGGTGGCGGGAGAGCTGGATAGAGGACTGCTCCAGGACGAATGGATAGGGTTGGTGTTTGATCGAGTAGAGCACTGGGCGAGGTTGGTCTTCGCGGCTGCAATGGCCACTCTGGACGCAGGCGACAATGAGGAGCAAAGGGAAAGAGCAGCTGGGCATGAGGCGTAGCAGGATAAGTCACAGCAGGAGGAAGAGGGGAAGGGCGAAGGAGCTCTGGGACGGACGGACAGACAGACAATCAGACAGTCAGCGACGCAGCACGAGCCAGACGAAACAGACACCAGGTTTGGAGAGGAGGACGGCGAGACGCAGGCCGGCAGGTGGTGCACCTGCTGCGCGCTCCATGCTCGAGCGGCGGCGGGTGATACCAGCCAGACAGCCAAAACCGGAGCATCAGGCCGCTGCCCAAGATGGGCCGGCAGCATGATTGTGGACTGGCCGGGGCATGACAAGGCATCGCACGCACCTAGCGCAGGCGAGGCCGTGGCTCGAGTGCAGGAGCATGACTCTGGCGCCTGGCTAGCTAGCTGCCTGCGCAGCTGCTGGCCGATGGAGTGAGGGGTGCGAGAGCCCGGCTGGGCGGGCGTGTGCGGTTCCAAGGTTGCGACTACGCGAGGCAAGGCAACGCAAAAGGCAAAGGCGATGCGAAGACAGGACAGGCTCTAGCATAGCCCAGCATGGCGTCACAGGAGGTCGCAGGGAAGGCACAGTAGGGTGTGTGCGTGTGCGTGTGTGTGTGTCTGGCCGCTTGGTCCTGGCCATATCAGAGCACGCCCAGCCGTCGGGCAACTCGGGGCGGACAACAATATCAACATGGATGGACTCGACTGACTGCTGTCGCAGGGTTGGTTGACTAACGCTGCGAACAGGGGCACAACCAGTCGTGAGGGCTCGTCGGGGCTGGCGCCAACGAGCGGGGAGCCATGATCAAGAAGGACGGGAGCTCGTGCGGAGCAGCTTCAAACCATCATCGCCCACGAGCACACTCCGTAGGTGCATCACAAGGCACTACTCCACCGCGATGTGGGCTCTGGCGGACTCTCAGGCATGTTCGTTGGTCCGAGAGCCGTGGCGGCAGACTTGCTGGGTCGGAGAGGCTTCCAGGGATCACGACGGCCTGGGGCCAGGCAAGCCCTGTCCAGGATGGGATGGATGCGATGGCCAAGTGATGAATGAGACTTGTCTGGGTGCATTACGGACGGCGACACAGACGGCACGGCCATCACCATCCCGTCACCGCAAGGCTCCTGTCTCGCCAAAGCCATCCGTGCAGGGTCCTGCGGCAGGGAGCCACGAATCGTACTCTTGTTCACCCAGTGTCCCACGTCAGCCGTGGACGTGTACGTATGGCGTCCGCCGCGAGCCCAAACGCATCGGCTCTGAGACTGCTTCGCTTGCGCCCGCCGCCGTCGACTTGCAGACGGGGCTCGGATTGCTTGCTAGCTTGTTTGTCTAAGCTGCGGCCGGCCTCCAAGGGGGTGTGGCACAAGGCGTGCTGGGAAATCTAAAATGTGATCAGGCGCATGCTGGCACAGCACACCTGGCGAGGGGCTTTCCGAGGTTGGTGCAAGGCGCGTATAAACGCCGTCTACGGAACAGGTTGCGAGACCAAGGCTGACTGACCTTTTGCATTGGCAGTCGGAAGTGCCACCACGGTCCCGTCTCGTCCGCTCTGGACCATAGCGGGGGGGCCTTTCCGTCCTCTCCACTCCTCGCCTCCTGGCCACAGCCTGATGCTCCTGCTCTGGTGCTAGGCGAAGCCTGTCAAGATTTGCAACAAGACACGGCCGACAGTATCACCGTTGGTGTCGAATCCGGGCGAAGACAGGGTGACGGCAGCAGCACGACGCCATGTCGGCAACAGATTGACTGCGGGCCTGCTTGCTGTCTGCATTGCGTGTTTGTGTGTTGCACCGGCATGCGAGTTCCACCAGCAGCGTGCCATTTGGCCCAGTCTCACTCATGACCGTCGCCACCACGGTGGATGGGCAAGGCACGGTGATGATTGATTCGTTATGGCAGCCAAAGGTCGGTGGGAGGTGTGTTTTTTTTTTTTTTTTTTTGGCTGTGCATACGAGTCCAGCATAGGAGCGTGCGGCACGGTGTAAGCGGCAGCCACGACGGTGTGCACTCGCCAGGCGAGTGCGAACGAGGCCGGAGCGAATGCCCGAGGTCGCCGCAAGTTTGCGTCGAGTGATGATCAGCTGGGCAAGCAGACCCAGATGTGAAGTAGTCGTCCCCTCGCCTGGGCTTCTTCGGCCAAAGCGCTTTGGAGAGCTCGCAGATGGACGGACGGTCAAGCTCGATTGGTGCCTTTGACGTCAACGCTAGCGAGCTGGACGGGCTTCATGGCTGGTAGCACAGAGACATTTCCAGCCATGGCGGCCGATCCCCGGCACGACGGCCTAGCAGTGGCCAGGATTGCACATCTGGCTGTGAAACTGGAAAGCCAGGGAGGCCTGAGTCAACCCGATACAGACATGCATCCATGGAAGTTGTTCGCTCGCGGTCGCACCTGCCCGCTTAACTGGCGAGGCTCCTGCGCCCGCTCCCGCTCCCTGCCCACTTGCTGTTCAGTTCAAAGCACCCCGACGCAATGATGAGGTCGCGTCCCTTCGGGCCAGAACCATGAGCACGCAACAGCAACAGCAGCTACAAACCCGGCATCGGAAGGGCAGAGCAATTGGCCAGTTCTCTTTCGGGCCAGTCCCTTGCAAGACGAAAGGCGAGCGAGCACGAGCTGACCGCCAGACGTGGCTCTCCCACGCAGCAGTGATCCCTGGAGGTACCATCATCGTCCACGTGGATAGGCGGCGCCGTCGTGCCCAGCTCCACACGGCGGGATCAGCAGGCGGTGGCATCGTCATGGCTGCGATTCGTGGTCAAAAAAGTCCCACCTCTCTCCCACTGATAAGGCCTCCTCGTGCCTCAGCCCAGCCAAAAGTCGACATCCCCGCCCGCTCGCTCGGCAGCCAAGACACGCTACGTCGTCACCTGGCGTCGTGGATATAGGCTTGCCAGACATTCAGAAGTCAAAGCTGGATTTGATCCGTTCAGACTTTGAATATCGCAAAGGTTGATTGCCGGAAATGGGCGGAGCAATGGCCACGATTGCAGACCGCTGGGGACGAGGGTCTGCTTCGGCAACCCCCACTACAGTTCTATGTAGCTCTCGGTGACGGCCCCTCGAGCTCAGAGTATCCCGAGGTGTACATCCCACTGCCCTCAATAGCCAACCAGGCCCTGCAGCACACCACCCTAGAATCGGTGTTGTGCATACAGTGAGTGGGCAGTCTGTGGTCGGCAACCTCTACTATAGTACTTCGCCGACTCCAAAGCAAAGATCTGCATCAGTTTTTCATCTGTCTGCGCATGCCCCTCGTTCTAACTGGGAAGTCCATTTTTCGGTGCAAGACGTGCATGTCGTAGGCTCTTTCCTTCGAGTTTTCCTTGGTTGGCGACAAGTATTGCCCTCTGATTGCGCTGATTCGCTCGTTGTGTATGATCTTCTCAGGGGTACCCTGGCGCAAGCCTGAGCTTTGGCAGTTCTTCACGGTTTACCGTGGGTTCCTAGGTGATTGGTACCAATATGGGCATCATAGATTGTGCTGGTCGCCTGCCTGAGGCATTAGTCAATATCTGCCAGGCAGGTATCATGTCGGGGCTGTCCTTCTTGGAACAAAAAACATGTAGCATTGTCGGAATCTCTCGACAGCGGAATGTCTCTCTCGTCAGCCATACGCGGTTTCATTATCACTATGCAATGGGCCGTGCTCAAAGAACAACTCGGAAGGCTCCGCTGCTCATTGGACCACGCCTCGCCAAAAATCCCACACTGTTCAACTGTACTGACAGTACATCCACGTTTGAGTGCCCATGCCGCCTCGTCACACTATGACTACTTTCCAGCGGTTCTGCTTGCTGCGTGGGGCAACTCACTTTGTTCAGCTTCCGAGGTCACCAACCAGGTTTCGTTTCACGTTGAATGGATTCTGGTCAATGGGCCAGGCGCCGATCTTTACACGAGCTGCGAGTTGGACAGTGTCCACGAACATAGGCACAGAGTCAATAGACCAGTTGTTGGGTTGTGCCGCGTGTCACCAATTAGTGACGTTTAGAAAGCTCCCCGCTCGTGTGCCGCAGGCCAAGTCCTGAGTGAGTAAAGTATGCAAGATTGCATTGCCTCGGCACAAAGAACCTAGCAGCTGGTTCCTGGGGGGAAAGCTCAACCGGTTTTGTTTCTTGATGTTCCACACAAGTGTGGCGTCTGCGTGTGCAGGTGTGCCCAGAAATCCAGAGTAGTCCGTCTCCAGCAGCAAGCCGCTGTCTTCAGCCACGTAGTGATGTGTGTTGTGAGAATTCTGACACGCACCGGGTCTACTTCTTCGTTACCATCTGGTCAGAAGATGCAGCATGCACATGCCGCCACTTCCAATACAGTCCCCTTGCACGGTGTACTCTTGCATGGAAAGATGAATATCAACGACACCGCTATCACGAAGGGAATAGTCGACGGAGAGTACAGACACCCACAACCGCGACCATAATTTCAAATTACCCTAGAATGGCTATCCTTTTTCATACTGCTTTCCTACATTGGTGATTGTCTGTGTGGTATATGCCGCGCATGAGTGAAGGGCACGATCAGATCCTCGTCTCCACGCTATATCTAGTACATGGAAGGATGCTCTCAGCACACGAGGTGATCTAACATAAACACTTGCTTGATCCGGAACAGGATTGAAATCGCCCAGAGCGCGCGCTGCCTGCCTTGCCATGACTGCGTACGCTATGCGTTACCTAGAGCAACAAAACTGGCCTGCCGTCGCCACACAGACTCCGAATAAGCGATCTGTTGCAATAAGGCTGGCGATGATGATGATGATGGTGGCAGCAATTGCAACATCGACAATCGACAATCGATTTGCCTTTTCAAGGACGATGGAATGCGCTTGCGTGTCTGCAAAACGCAAAATGCAGAAACCAATCTACCTACCACGCTCTGACAGACGGCAACAAATCCTCGAGACGCCACGTGAACTGTTGTTTCTACTACAAGCGTGCAACCAGCACGTCGTGCCGCGCGAAGTCGCCTCTCCAGAATTGAGCTATGTATCTCCAGCTTTTGACATAGGTACATGCCAACGCCGGCTGCCTGTTTTCTACTCCACGTACTGTCCTGCTTCTCTTCCTCTCGTGCAACGTATGCAAGGAAACCAAAACAGCGATTCACCAGGCTGTCGGGCAAGCTCACTTCTTGATGAATTGGAGCACAGAAAAACGAATATTGAATGGCGTACATTTCACGCCGCGGTCGCCGTCAGAGTCTAGGGCTTGTTGAGGCTGGAGAAAGGAAATAACGGAATGGGGAGGCAGTCCTGAGACCCTGCACAGAAGCATGTATTGAGACGCACGCTTGGAAGACGACAGGATAGGTACCCTTCAGAAATATATCCAGTCACGTTCATATAGTTACGAGTCCCCTTCCGCAGTTGTATCGCGTTGAAAAATGCACGCAGGAATTGACAGTACTGGCTGATAGAAGTGTCGAGGTTAAGATGCTAGCATTATTGAATAGTTCCCGAGTGAACTGAGCGATGTCATCGTCGCCCAATATGTCTCTCTTACACTTGTCTCTAGCAAGATTATGGCATAGCTGGCCCATCACTTCTTCACCAGCTTGTACTTGCCGCCCACGAGCTCGAGTTCGCCGTCCGCAACCTTCTCCGCCAAAAACTCTTGCAGCTCCTCGTTGCTCCAAGGAAAGCCGTCCGCGATGAGCATCTTCATCATCATGGCGATCTGGCCCAGCGGCATTACAGCGCTTGAGTTGGTCAACATACCCACGATGAACTGCCAGTACACCTGCCGCTGCTGCTTTTCCTTCTCGCTCATGCCGGCCGTCTTGGCAGGCTTGCGGGGTGACGCAGACGCCGCAGCAGCATGCGCCGTTGACAACTCGCTGCCCTCTTGTTGTTGCTGCTGCTCCTGGGCGTCGGGTAGCTGCTCAATTACTGTGTACTGATCGCCAACCTTGGCGAGGACCTGCTGACGCTGCCAGAACTCGAGCGCCGCAGTGAGCAAGTCTTCGTCCATTTCCAGCCTCATCCACAGATCATCAAATGACCAACTAGCCTGGCCCTCGTCGCTGAAGGCATGGATCACCACAGCCTCGTATGTATGGACAACTTTACGGATTGTGCGATCCTCAAGCTCGAGCTCAACCGTGGCCTGCCCTAGGTGATTCAGCCACTTCACTTTCCGAGAAGGCTTAAGGTGTGAGAAGATATCCTCGTATGTCTTCTGCATGTTCAACACCCGCGACGGTAGTGCAAATCGTTCCTCGCCCATGTCCGGCCAGAACAGCCGCGAGAGAATTCTCGCGCGTATGGACCAGTCGTGTGCGACCCGCGCGGACTGGCTCTGGGCAGCCTTTTGAATAACGGCGTTCAGTCGTCTGGAATCTTGTATGTCTTTGATCATGACATCGCAGGCCTGCAAGGAAGGCTCGCCAAACCGTTTCTTCAACAGCTCGAGCACTTCAACCTCTTGCTCAAATCCGGTTTGGTCCGATAGCAGCCGTTGGCCGATAATGGTCTGGAACTCCTTGATGAAGACTTCGGGTGATCCGACTGCTCCGATAAGTGTCCCGATCACATCTTCGGATCTGCGCCGTTTGTAATTGAGGCCAGCGTCCACAGGGGGCGGGACCCAGTTCAAGTCATCCCACTCCTCGTCTTGACGTTCTGACTGATACTGACTGGGGTCGTGCAGAAGCTCAACAAGCTCCACAAGCTTGTTTTGCCGTGTCTCCTCGTCAAGTTCCCTTGGGTTCGAGAGAAGCCCAGTCACAATGATGCGGACAGTATCTTCTCGCGTGCATAAGTACAGTTGCAAAGGGTAGGCAACCCGATCCAAAAGAACTCGTGAGTGGTCGAGCTTGTGAAACGCTCTGATCATGGCGATGTATGTCCGCAAAATTTCTAGAGTTGATCGACCTGGGTGCAGCAAGCGTTGTTCGAGAGCGCCCGAGAAGGCCTGAGTGAGCTGCAATCGCCTCCCGGGTGTCGTCACGGAGAACCGGAGGTCCTCAATACCGCCGCTGCTCTCCGGCCAGTTGAGAATCATGTCGAACAGCTCTTGGATGCGTAGCGCAGCGAGTCGCCCGACGGCAATGTCTTTCCACTTCTCTACTTCTGTCCATGACACGTGAATGGAGTCCAATTTACTTGTGACTTCCACGGCAAGTCTCGAATACTCATTCTCAATCCAGTCTGCAAGTTTGCTTATGCTTGCCGGCGGAAGTAGGCTCTGAAATGATGGTCTCGGCACCATGTCAACGTCGACCTCGGCACACCACTTGCCGGCAAACGACTCGTGCACATAGATAACCATCATATCATTGAGCAGCTCCGCGAACACGGTCTGAAAGCGTTCGCCTGCCAAGCCCACTTGGCACAGCGAGTCAATGAGCTGATGTATCTGTACCCGAGAGCGAGCCGGGTCTGGACCTTTTGAACCTTGTAAACCTTGTGATCTTGTTTTCAAACCAAGAACCACCCTCATCAACTGGCTAAGTACCGTCTTCAAGGCAGCGAGGAGAGAGCTGGACATGGAATTGCCAACAATGGCATGCAGATCGCCATTGAACTTGCGAAGCGCCCGGTCGGCAGCATCCGGGTGCAGACCCCTTGCTACCAACGTCAAACCATAGAGATATTGCCGCTGCGCAGCTTCCAGGGTTCTGATGCTGCCGAGCAGGACCTGTGTCTGATCTGTGTAGCCATTGCAGACTTCCAAGAGAGGCAAGACATGGTTCACATAATGGTGGCGAACCTGCTGGGTGTGCCAGTCAATGATGTTCTCTGTAGAGTTGGCAAGCGGCAGTCGCGTGGCTGGCTGTAGAACGTCCTGGAGGGCGTCCTCGAAACCGCCATCACCATCAATGTCCTGAGAAGCCGCTGGGATTGTGCCGAACGAGTCCTCGGCTGTGACTGAGGGTGGAAGGGCAATGCATGAGGTGACACGATGCCAAGACCTGTCGTACCGTGTCTGATGGTGGGCGTGAGGATTCTCCGGTGATGTGGGTGGTAGGCCTTGCTGCTGTTGCTGTGGGAGGCGACTGCGAGAAGGGGTCTGGACCTCAGCAGCTGGCCCGGTCTCCTGGCTGTTCCATGCCGAGCTCTGTGGTGGCAGCATCCCAAAGGATTGACCCTGAGCGAGAGCCGCGACAGCAGGCGTCGAGTGGGGGGTAGGCTGAGAGATGATTTCGGCCGGGAACACTGCCTGAATGGCACGGCGTTGCCGGCTGTTCCATCTTGGCCGCACCTGTGCCGATCCAGCTGTGCTCATCATCATCGTCGCGATGGCCGAGTCGGCGTCTTCTCTTCACGCTACCATGGCGGCCTTGCCCCGTTGTCTCCTGCGAGGCAAGATACAGGACAGGCCCAATGTGCTGCAACACGTCTCGTGGCTGTCCAAATGCACGGAGCTAGTGGCGATCGCTTGTCGTTGTTGTTATGGTGCTATCACGCGCCTTGTCGTTCAAGGCTCGTTCGTTTGTGGTGGGGCGCCCACTAGCAATCGACAATCGAGTGGACGAGCGTGTCTCCAAGCCTACACGCGTGCTTAGGTCATCCAGGCTGGAGGAGCATGCCAAGCGCCCCACCCACATCGTCAACCAGGCTGAGCACCCTCCATCCTGCATCACATCCCCGACATTCATGGATCTTCTTAGCCATATTTGAAAGTCACCGGGCCAGCGACTTGACATGGCTGCCCCTGTTGCAGTGATATCAACACGGTACCTCGGAGGTACATTACGGCAGACCACTGGTTTCGACTTGCACGCATGAGGCCAACGCTCGTCTGACCATACGTGCGCCATCCCAGCACAGCAAGCGACCGTCAGTCAGTCACATCTACTGCTGCTTGCTGTTTGGCCATCGCTTTGTTGCCGGCCGTCGCAGCAGAAGGTGAACGGCCTCGGTATCCCCCATCCTCGTGCCTGACCTAAGGTGAATGTCGGGCATCGGATCTGGACGCCCGCACAGATCTCAACCCCTGCCGCCACGCATTCGAACAGAGCCGTGCCAGCAATATGTGAGCAGACCGCTTCCATAATTGCAAGGCACCCTGGACACTATCGCTTAACTGGCGCTACAGAGCCAATCATGACCCAATGCCTGAGACGCGGCATCATGAGCTTGACTGGCAAGCAACCTTGGAAGACCGCTTTCTTGCCAGGACGAAACCCCTCCTGCTAGCGCGCCTGCTTGTAGCATCACAAGGTTGCATACAGCACCACCTCGTAGCTTGGCACCGTAACACTTGCTCGCGCAAACCGTAATACCCCACGTCTTTGACTGTTGATACGCCCTCAAGCAAGCAATACTCCCAAGTCGGCAGCTGACGCCTCCGAAGAGCGTGGGATGAAGCCATTCACAACGAGCCCACTTGTGGCCGGACAGCAGTCAGCCCCAGCGATAGGCTCTTGACCGGTCTTTGAGCTTTGGACAGCGTGTTGCGCACTTGCAGACACTGCTAAGCGACCATGTGCCACGTAGGACTACCCGATGGTCCCTCGATATCACAGACTTGCGACATGGGGTCCCTGATGGGGTCCCTGATGGACGCACTCGACTCTTCCAGCACCAGCCAGCTTAACAGGGCGTCAACACTGCCATATTGGAGCCTCGACCCTGCACGCATCAACATCAGGCTGGTCAGCATGATACCCGGGGAGGCAATCGGCGCGCGGATCAAGTGCAGAGACTCTGCGCAGCGCAACGAGAGGAAAACGGCGGCCCCCTATACCGAACTTCCGATGTCTAGACTCACGACCCTGGACAACTGGTGCATTGCAGGTACCCTCGCTGTGCAGGGTCCTATCCTGAGCCAGCGCCGCCTGGCATTCTCGGCAAGTCAGCTGGCCCGCCGACAAGCTTTCGACTGGCACCTCGCCTGCCCCGAGCACCTTCCTCTTTGTATGAGAAGGGCCGATGTACATCAGCAGGGTTTGCTGGAATTCAAACCCTCCGCCTCCGGTCCTCTCGAATCCTGGGTACGCGGTTTCACGTTCGATAGAGAACACGGAGAGGACGTCCGTCTGATGGCCGCAGCATTGCCCACTGTGTGCCCTGGAACAAGTTCTGGACCTTGCCGTGCTGGAATTGCCCAAATATCATCGACCCACTGAGGGTGTCTGAATCCCTGTTATCTGTTGCCTTGCGGACGGGTCACGCCGCCTTTTGCCACCAAAATCTGCGCACGGTCATCAGGGAACGACATTTGAAGGCTCTAAGGGTTGAGGCCGGATATCTCCTGTATGATGGCATGGTGCCTGCCTGTGCAGCTGCATATCCGACTGGTTCGAAGTGCGCATTGCAACGGCTAAGTCAAGTTGACGCTCTTTCAGGGCCAGGGGTCCACAGAGAAAGTTTGCTGCAGAACATGTGGGGAACACCCGGTTCCCGTTGCTCTGTAGTTGGTCTTACGCGATGCTTTCCGACAAGCAGCCTCCTCTCATGCATCGCCAAATCGGGCAGTCTGCCAACACGGCAAGACTTTGGATCAGGCTAGCTGCTGCTCCTCTTTGCAAGGCCTCTTACCCATTAGGCAGTTTTGCCTGCCTCGTCCATCAACAGGTCAGAGATACATGCACTTCTTGCATGGGCTTGATCTAACTGTTTGCTCCACAGCTATTTTCGCGAGGAAAGAATTCTCGACAATCGCGGAGCCAGCCGTGCGAGCGTGGCCCTGGCTTCCCGCTCTTCGTTAGCCTTCCAGGGAGTCTTGGGGGACCCAAAAGGCTACAAGGATACGTGAGGCGGATAAGCAGCTCAGAATGGCATGTTTAAACGCATCATGAACCACTCCGGACATGGCCACGCTTGCAGGATGGTTTTTAGGGGGGCATTCAACTCTGGTTGGTCTATTGTGGACGGTTCCGTGCATCACTAATCACCACAAATCTTCCAGGGTCAAGCTGCAAGTTCACTGTGTTCAAAGCCACACCTTGACGGACCTGTAAGCGCATAGTGTAACTTTTCTGTCAGCATTCTCGCAGCAATAGTCGTTCCGGGGAGCCAGGTAAGCCCGGATGGGAAACAGCGGGCTTCCCCAGCATGCCAATGAAGCTGACTTTGTCAGCTATGGTTACATGTGGGGTCTCCTTGCGGTCATCCCCATGCATCTGTCACTGCATCAACCAGGCGCTTTCATGGAGCAGAACTTGCAATGACAAGTAGTCAGGTAGGCCCCGTCGTGCTTGTGTTGCGCAAGCCCCACGTGCACCGCAACCTTGTCCTGGCTAATGCCACGCCTCGGTCGCTCAGGATCTTAAGTGCCCCCAAAATCCAGCGGAGCATGTCCTCAGCAAACAAACAGTGGCTTGACGGCCTGCGCTCGAATCGTGCTCGCTGGGTACCTGAATCTGGTCCACAGCGCTCGTCCTCGCTGCCGCTCGCTCGGAGCCGTGCCCATGGCCCGGGTGGATAAGACTTTGGTAGCTCTCCAACACTAGGACAGGGGTAGTGCGCCCATCGTTGGGAGCCCATGCCAGATTAGATCGTATGGGCAGGCAGGCAGCCCATCGCCGTAAGAACAAAAGAGAACATGTTCGTCTCGCAGCTATCATGACCTAGAGACAAGCATTCTGCGCGGGTTGGGTGTCCATTCTGTCATACGATTACAAGCAGTTAACAATGCGTGAATTGCCTGCGGCTAATCAGATGCCGGCATGCAGCACAGGTAAGACCCGCAGGCTGTGGTGAGAAAGTGATAGACCCTTGACCGTCATACAGGCATCCATCTGTGCGATCGCGGCTACTTCCGCTCTCACCAAGATTGGCTGCCGAGCCCGCCGGGTCAGCGATAATGGCAGCCAGGAAAGCTTCAAGAGTTGTGTTCCCACAATCAATCGCGAAGTGCTCACGGTGTTGCGCTGTAACTTGGAATAACATGACACTGGAAAAGGACCAAGCAAGCTCGGACGACCAATGCTAAGGCTCTACCAGTGCCCACCGTCGCTGTCCTGGGCACGCGTCTGGCCTGTGCATGCTTCGGGTCGTATCCAATCGAGTCCTTGAACGCTGGGCAGGGGTCCGGGGCTGGACGGATGTTGCCTAGTACAAGAATGTACACCTGTGCAAAGGGTCCCGGGTCTGTCAGCTGCGGCTAGAGCTGGCACCGCCCTGTTTCCCCAGCTCGAGACAAAGCGCCCATGCAAACCATCACCATCCTACAGCTACGCGCACCCGCTTTGGGATTTCAGGGCCCCCGCATTGGATGAACCTACTCGAGATTGTTGCATCTCCATCATATCGGGAGGTTGAGAGAAAATCGGCATGTGCTGTTGCTACGCACAAGCACCAGGTTTGCATGATTCAATACGACGGAGCGCTAACGCGTTTGATTGGTAGCCTCAATGGTGGAACCGAGTCGAGCGGGTATCGTCAAATCGTGGAGAGTCAAGGCTAAGGTCGTTCTTCACGGTTCGAACAGCCTCGAGGACACCATCTGCAATACTGAAGCACTGGTACCCGGTAGCAAAACAGTGAAGCGGCCCCTGCTGTCATATGTGGGCAAACGACGCAGATTACTGGACTCGACCGCCCTATCGGTGTCTTCAACCCCCGGAATGATATCAACAAGGCCAATCTGTCTGGGAAAAGTTGGTATGAGCGAATGCATTCGAACGGTTCGGCTGAGTCTGGCGGTGATTGGACGGAGAGACAGAACATCTCTGAATGGAGCATAGCCGCCTGAGGGGCAGACCTCGAACCCGCGATGCAGAGGCCGAGGTCCCTGCGCGGCGGTCAGGGGTGGGAAGACCGAAGGGGAGAAGGAGGAGAAGGAGGAGGAGGAGGAGTAGCGTGGTTACAGAAAGAGCATCCTTCACGATGCAGGTAACATGGCATCGGCCAGTCGGGCGTGGCGTTCCTGGCGGTGGCGCCTGCGGTGGCTCGACGACTTCCTGGAATGCCATCCGACAAGTGCATGGGCGGTCGCGATTTCCCAGGATTCCCATCGTGCAACACATCACTCGCAGCACGCCCTGTGCAGCCAGACTTGCCCTTTCACACTCTCTGCCTCACGGCGACAACCCCTCGAGCCCCTCACCGTCCATCCAGGGTCGTTTCTCAGGGTTCTCAGGGCTCTCAGGGCCCGTCTGCCATCGCCAGCGCCGCCAGATAACGTTGAATCCTTCCGCCACCCGCCCGCCTGCAGGGACAGCATCGAAAACCTCCGCCTATCGCTGTGCCATGCTCGGTCTCCAGAAGCTGACACCGGCGCCACCGGTGCCCGCCTCGCCCACGGCAGCAGCGATGCCCACCATCTATGAGGAGGCCGCAGCTTCCGTGATGCGTTCCGGATGTGCAACCAGCATATGCCCTGACCCATCCAAGGCCAACCACGTGGGATCGCAACCTCTGGAGACCGCCGCTCCTGATGCTGCGGCCGCACGGCACACACACGCTCCTACATCCAGCCTGTCTCTCGCCTCACACCGTAGCTGAAGAGAGACCATGAGCCCAGATTGGCGAGTCGGCGGTCTAACCTGATGTCCAGACAGTCCTGAACTTCTGGGCAGACTCAGAGCCTAGCGACAACTCTCGAATCCATACGACGCAATGGCAAGTCAATGCTATTGCACTTGGAGGTAAACCAGGTTGGGGCCAACACTACGAAGTAGTGATTGGCCAGGCCACCTCCTCAATTACGGTTCTCAGCGCGGCGTCGGAACAGCCTGCCATCCCGTGCCCTCCCCTGCTCACTCAGCCCGCCCTCCTTCCAGCCTGCCCAGCGTGGTATCAGTCAGCTCTGTCCTTCCACCAACCACCAGTTTCGGACTCGAGTTCGTTCCCGGCGGTGGGGCTCCAGGCAATACCCAGCAAGATCGGTTCCGCGAGTGGGGGCCCTCGCAACTGAGGCCTAGTTAGTGCCCGCATTCTTCACGATCTGCCTGCCAGCACTGCACATTGAGAACTGCAGCTGCCTTTTCGTTTACCAAGCCAGTGCTGCAGCTGGCAAAAGCGCCAGCTCAAGGCGCACTATTAAGATAGCGTTCACCGGACCTTTTCCATTTCTGGCTACAATCTTGACGGGCATCAAGTGGGGACGCGGTTTTGATGCAGTAGTGCCCATCAGAAGTGGACCCGTGTGGTGGCTACGCCAGGCAAGGGTGACATAATCTGTAGTTGAGAGATGTCCAATCTGGTTGCAATCCGAGAAGGGGGGGGTGGAGCTACACCTTAACCCCGGACAGCCTCGTCGTCCATGGGCGCAACGGTTTCTGTGGCGTTCATCCGCGGCTCCACCGTGGGAAACATCGCCAGGCAGACGAGCACGCCCCGGCAAATGGCTCACTCCACGTACCGTACGATCGTGAGATGCCAAGCGGGAGACAGGAAGTGCCGGAACGGCTCTCATGGTCACTGCCGTGAGATCCAGGCCCGGCCGAGCCAGGTACCTGTGTACCTATCAGACCCTCTAGATCGTGCTGACCACACTCGCAGCAGCCTATTGCGCCAAGGTGAGACGATCTGTGAGATGATCACAAGGCGGGTCTGCCAGACATCTCATCCAGCAGACTCGCTGCAACAGCCGCCGCCACGAACGCGGCCAGACAGCAGGTGAGACCGACTGCAGTGAAACCAAACACGGCTCGTGCTTCTTCCGTGGCTTCACAACAGAAAGAGACTTTGGCGTCAACGCAAGCGTGAGATGTGTAAGCTCATATTTGTCACCTTTTGTCATTTTCCTGTCGCCACTCCACAAGCTGACCACACAGAGGCCCGACCTCCTAGATAACTGTCATACCACGTTCTTCGCCCCTGCCCATGCCATCCCTCCCTGACCCCCCGTAAGAGTGCAGACCATATCCGAATGGTGGCTCACAACATGTTCTCTATTCTACCATGGTGCTTCGGAAGTCAGACAATGTAGACCAAGAAAAAGAACTGCAGCAACGCAACACGATACACGTGGGCAAGCAAGAGTGTGCGTGTACGAAACCTTGCATCCATTGTCCACCCGCTTCCCAAGTAGAAATGTCCCACCACAAAACTCCAGAGGTAATAGCTGAAATCGTTACAACACGGATAAAAAGGAAACAACCCTGACCCCGTCAGAACTCGCCCTCTCCACATGCGGAGAAATGCGGTGCGTTTACGCCAACTTTCAATCGTCGAAAACAACCCAAACCAGTAGTGTGTATAAGTATGAATGATCTCCAGAGAGAACAATAAGTATGTGCAAGATGAAGTATAAATCTGTGGGAGCCGCAGGGAGTGTGGGAAAGACATTGTGCTGATCCGAGCTGCCGCGGCTATCAGGCCGAGTTCTTTCGCTGCTTGCATTTGTCATGCAAAAGATGTCCATTGCGAGCCTGTGCGTCAAGATTTGTGTCAGCGCAACCAGTCCATTGCCCAAGAATTCCGCGGGTGAGATTCTCCATGCAGAGGTTTTGTGGGGGCGTCCTGTATGCATGGAGCCTTCCCGTATGACGGGATGCGTGTGGGCGGATCCGCGAGAGGGCTATTTGCTTACGGTAGTCCTTGTAAACTCTGCTCCACAATTTGGGCAGGATGACTTGGTGGCCTGGCCAGACTTCTCCCTCTGATGCCTTAACAGGTTGCTGAACGTGGAAAACTGCCTGCCGTTGCATCCGTGCTCCCAGCACTGTGGCTTTGGCCGAGTCTGAACAACTCTCACGTGGCCGGGTTCCGAGACCACATTACCGCCACCGACTGGAGGTAGTGGACCACCAACGTGAAGCATAGACGGGGCCGGATACATGATGCCAGGGTGCTCTTGTAATGGCCGGTACTGTGGAGAGAGCGCGGCGTGGCTGTGTGTGTGAGTATGCGACGGCGGAGGTGGTGGTGAGGCTGACGGGTAGCCAGAGTTGTAACTAATGCCCATGTACTCGTAAGAACTCGTGAACATGGCCGACTGTTGGTCTGAGAGTGGCGGCGACGTGTATGACGGCATGTATGTCGAAACGCCAGGTAATGTTGTAACGGGCTCAGATAGTAGCGACAGTGGCGGCTGCACAGTTGTGTAGATTGGCAGATTATTGGCAGGGTTATATTCGTTCATTGACATTGGCGGTGACTGTGATGCTCGAAAGTCGCTCATGGCTCTGTGCGCCCGTACTGACGTTTTCGAGTCCCTGCGGGCCATGTCTCTTTGCCTCTTTAGTTCCCGCTGCTCTGCCGTCAGTGTTGGATGCGGTGGGCTGGAGGTGATAGATCGAGAGTCGGCAGAGGACGAGCTCAGTCCACCGTCCGAACTTGGGCCCACAGAGCAGAAGTCATTGTTCAGAAAGTCTGCATTGGGGTCTAGACCTATCAAGATTTGTTAGGCCCAATCTTACGCGTACGTTTATACCATGTCCTTTCGAACATACCAGGCCAGGTGTACGAGGACCGCGAGACCCCAAAGTCGACTCTCGAGTCATACGGCAGCGCAGTCATGGCACTATCATGCATTAGCATGCTACTTCTTTCAGTGTTGGAAAGATGGCGCGCCTACCTCATTGTAGAAATGTCCCGAGGATTGTTCGGGACAATAGGACGAAGTGGTTCTTGGAGATACTGGGAGGGTAGATTTGTTGGAGGGCCGTGTGTGTGCGCCGTACCCGTGAACCACGGAGAAGGCGTTGCAGTCTGCGCTTGCTCGCGTGAACGTGGCAGCTCGAGTGGTGGAACTGCACCAGAATGGTCGGGTGATTGCGCTCTTGGTGTTGGTGTCTGACTGTTGCTGTCGGACCAATCCCTCGCAACTGGGCTTGCGGCGTCGCTTCGTGATCTGTAAGGCGATGAGTAACTGGGTCTTGGATATCCATGTGTAGACTGAACATGTTCCATCCTTGGAGCGGGTTGAAAAGCGAGGAGAGAAACGAAGTAAGGAAAGGTGCTGAGCAAGGACATACGATGTGGACAAAGGGCTTTACGTGAGATGTCGAGTTTGTTGCCGTTGGGGGCTGGAGCTTGTTTTAGCTCGGAGGGTGGAAATGTCTTGACGAGGGTAACAAAGAACCAGGTCTGGCGTCGATAGCAAGGAGTAGAGAGAGGACGGAGTGAAACAGAAGCAAGCGGAGTATCCGGTAGAACCTTGTCGAGACAAGCAATTTAGCCACTGCTGGGACGCGGTCGTGGCGAGGCAGGGTCTGCGGACTTATAATAAACTGGTTCGAGGTGGTCTTGCCGAGAGGCCTGAATAAGCAGTGCTGGGTTCCAGAACTCGACGAGGCCGGCGGGAATGCGGTCATCTTAACGACGATCGGCCTCCAATGCCTTATGGCCTCGACCCTAGCTCTGTCTGTGCACTCTGGTTAGGCGAGCGAGGTCAAGACGAGTGGGTACAAGCATCCCAGTCCTCAGCCCCCCGCGAGCGACAGACAATGAGGCACAGCGCACCTTGACTATGCACAGAGAGAGGCCGGCCACATCGGCCGTTGCAAGGCACTGCTGGGGCGGGCTAGCTGTAGCAGGGTTGTCGCCGAGGGCGTCTCCCCATAGGTGTGGGAGCAGCATTAGCCCTGTCATGACCCCTGGCTGAAGAGTGGGCTGTCGTTGACGGGCTATGGAGCAATTTGAGGCAGGATAACGGGGCCCGGCAAGAAAGGACTGGTGCGGCGGGATGGCTTGAAATAGCGGGGGATCAGACGAGGCCTGCGAACCAGGGTGGCTGAGACGACTCGCAGGTACCTCGCGAGTACTCGACCTTGCTCGATGTTGTCCACCCCCCACACGCTGGACTGGACTGCTCTGCCAGCTTTGCGCTGCGCGGGCGTCCGGGCATATTCTCCCGCCCGCAGGGCTTAACTGCGCAGATAGCGCTTCTCGGGGCCCACAGCCAGCACACAAAGATCCCTGCCTGCGTACGGACCACGAGCGCTGCTGTGTGGAAACGTCAATGACAGACCACGGCGACGTGTTGTCCTGAACTGGCGGGCTTTCGTCGCGTCCGGGGCCAAGCCCACGAGAGAGACTGGGTTGGGAGTGCTGATACAGTAAGGCAATGCCACCAGGAATGCTTCAAGCAGCAGCAGCTGCTGCTGTAGCCGCCGGTCGCCCTCCAAATCCAATGCACCCACAGACAGGGAGTGCTCGGTTGACAGCGCTGCGAAGTCGCCGGCAGCGTGCGAACAGGAGCTGCATCGTCTCCCGCATCACGAGGTTGGCAGGTTGCTGGGTCGAGGTGCCCGCGAAGGAAGAGCTTGGGGCGTTCGGCGCCGAGCGTGGTGCAGGCTCCATGTCCGTGCACATCTCTGGCGTCGAGATGCTGCTGAGGCGCGTTTCGAGTTGAAGGCAGCGAGGTGTGGCGATGGCCGAGTGCGCATTCTTTGAGGCAAAGACGAGAGTGTCGAGCTAGCTGTCACTGAGTGCTGTCCCCTCATTGCGGACAAGGAAGGCGCGCTCCAAGCACGCGTACCATGGCAACATCCTGACGAATCGATACCTATGCCCTCTTACAGTGCACCCATTCTGTCCCTACGTGCACACTTAGCCACCATGCTAACATTGCACGACACCTGAACAGCCGGCTTCGCACGACGTCAATCAAAGCATTCCTCCCGCAAGACGACATTCTGACGGCCCAACGTGGTGCCGAATCCACCGCTTACCTGTTTAGGCTCCTCGGACCTCCCGGTCTGGGGTTGGCAAGGTAAAACTACTGTACATCATTCTTCAGCGAGAGAGCCACGGCTGCCTAGGGGAGGCCATGGGCATAATCCCTTACCGAACCCTGTCACTGACAGCCCTCTGCAGTCCTGGTTCAATGCGACCTGAGGCGAGGCGAAGCGAAGCGGACACCACACCTGGACAACCTTTGCCACATCTGCGTCGCCAATCCCCAGCTGACCTAGCCTCGATCCCGTAGCCTACTCGCACCATAACCGGCTACTGGCAAGAAATCTGAGCCTGACTTGATGGCAGAGCGCGTTTGGCTAACCGATACTCAGCGCAATACAAGAATGGCCTTGCCACACAACCATAAAGCGACTCTGCCGCGGTGGCTTGGTTCGAAGAATTGCTGGCGAGCAATGTCGAGTAGAGCACTTCCATGCAGAGAGACCCTCGCGTAAGCACTCTGATTCCGCGGAGGCACGAGCCGTGGGTGGCGCTTCTCCTGCCCCTTCGGAGAAATGATAGCTACAAGCTGTTGGAGGCTTGCCCGTCTTCTCCGGTGCTCCATGCTTCGGTGCCAGGTTGCGGCCTCGATCCACGGAAGATTACCTAAGTCCTGACTATCCTTGCAAGGTTGCACGCAGATCCAAACCCCTGGCCGTTTTATCGCACTAACCTCTCCAGGGGCCTTCATGATGACAGCAGCCAGGGTGCGTGCATCAACAACCTTTTTGGATCAGTTGAGACACCCCGGCTGATTGGTTCGGGTATATCCACCGGTCGTAAGGACGCCTGGCTGGTGGAGACCAACGGTCCCAAGAAGTGGTCGTCGCTCGCAGCCCCATAGCACAACTCGACCGAAGCCATCCCAGGTCAACAAGACTTTTGCGCTCTTGATCAACTGTCGCACACACAGCTCCGTTTCCTGGCAACAGGACCAGAATCACGTTTCGATGTCACCAAAATGTTCGTTTCGCGCTACGGGCAGTTCAAGAATGACCAAGGTACAGCCAGCTAATGCTGAACCGTGCGCTGCTTTTGAGGCCGCGGGCCTCTCTACCTTGCAGAAAGTTCAATGGCCAAGATGATGGCAGCGTCGCTTCGTCACCGACGCTTGGTTGCGGCGCGTGGCAGCATGGTCGCTTCGGCCCATTTGCAACCCTCGCCTTATTCAAGCCACTTAATTGGAGGCGTCTCGGCCGAGTTTGGAGTGATTGTCCAGAAACGGCATGGCTCCGAGCGACCTCGCACAAACAGCTCCAACGCGGGTGCAACTCTGAGTTTGGCAGTCTGGCAAAAGCGCCCTGCCCTTACGGACAACTCTGCTTCGTGTTACAATCTTCGAACCCCGCCGCATCGCTAAGCACGTCAGGCGACCGTTGGCCTGATTGCACTTCGAGTGTGATCGTAAGGATCCGTGCTGCACGAGGAACGACAACTTGTCTGCAGACGCGTTCGTGGAAGCGCAACCCCGCATATGGTCATGCCACATGCTGGTGGCAGAACGTAGCCAGGCGCTTATTTTTAGCAGACAACGATGATCTGCAATCTGAGAGGCGAAGATATCGCGCTGCCGATCAACAAGGTGCTTGCAGCGAGTCTTGTCAGGGCACGCTCTAGGTGAGACCAACAGCCTATCGCCACGACCCGCACATCCACATGCTCGCCAGTACAACAGGTGGGCCACGAGACGGGGCGGGATGAAGACTTGTGGTACAAGACAAGGTATAGGCGTGCTGGATAGAGGAAGCAGTTGCATTACATTTGAACACAATGCCTAAGTAGGCAGGGATGGTTCGCACGATCAGCACCGAGGTTTCGTCTGCCAACACTGGACTGGACGCTGCTGCTTCATGGGGCGGGCGCGGCTGACGCCAGGCAAGGCGCAAGCGTGGGGCGGCGCGGCTGTTGGCGGCTGCGGCCCCTGCATGCGCTGGGCTGATCCCATGCAGAGACGAGCGGACCGGCGCAGACCTCACAGCAGAGTCAGCCCTACGGCGAGCTGCGCGCCTCGTCGGCGGCAGCCTGCCCACAACGCCAATGTGGAGGCTGACACTGAGGCACTGGCCATACATCCACAGGACGAGCCCCTCGGAGAGAACCGCCAGAGGGTGTCTGGCACCTGCTATTGTTACCAAGGACGTACTTACACTATGCAACTGTGCCTGGTCACCAGGTGGAGACTGCGGCTGTGAACGCTTGGCGGGCCCAGGCGACAGTCGTTCGTCCGACACGTCCGACACGTCCGTCCAAGCCTGCAGCATGGCCGCTTCCGACTGGCTCCAGCATGCTCTGAGCGGGCATGGCCTGCAGCCTGACTTGTTGGCAGCGGCGTGACCAGCGCGGCTAGTCTGGTGGCCAAGTCGCAACCCCAGATGCTGTTGTCACGCAAGCGCCGCCACGTTTTTGCGCGGATCCTCAGCCCTGCCGTCGGAACCCAAACCGCGTTGAGCGCTCAAGTGCAATCACAAGTCCAGCAATAGGCACATGCTCGACAAGGGCCATTGTTCTTCAATCGATCCAACGGGCTGAAGGGGCTTGTTTGGGACGGAAGTCGGCTGACACCCGGCCCCGACCCCCCCCGACCCCCACCCCCACCCTTTTCATCAATTGCCATCTCGGCCGCTTTGACGTTCGTCGTGAGAGGTTCGCAGGCCGCCGCAATATACTTGCGACCTTGACCAGCTGTCCAGAAATACTCTGACTGGGTCTTTCAGTACTTGACAGCCTGTCAAGTTACAACCTGCGTGGTCCATTCCGACCACGCCATGTGCACGGTCGGGATAGTGGAGACGATCATGCGGCTTTGGACCATCGGCACTTACTTCTGTAAGCCGGCTGGCTGACTAGACCATGCACATGCCCAGTGGACACCAGGATACCATGCCCAGACTTTCTGTCTGTTCTTGCGATCATCTTTTCTTCTCAGCGACCACATTACTCTAGCGCGAGCACCGAAACGCGATGGGTGGCGACGACGGACAAGAGATTGCCACCCGTCAGACCGTCCTCTTGGCGATCCCGATCCCCTTGGAAGCTTCTTTGTGTCTATTCTTAGGGCCCGCGTTGTCAATAGCGTGGTGGTGCGGGTCTCACGGTTGTTGACCTGCAAACAGACTGCTTGCCATGATGAATCCTCCATCTTTCGAAGCGGACTACTTAGTGTTCCCCCGTCGGCAGGGTGAAACATTTCATATTTGGAGGGGTTGGCGATCACGAGCAAATAACACGGGCACACAGAAAACAGACCATACGAGCTACAAAGTTGAGTGGCGTGGCACAGCGCTTCGACCGCTAAACCTCGCTTGCTGTCGAGCCGTTGGGGGCAGCATTCCCGGGCGACATTATCATGGCGTGGCCAAGTACAAGGACGGGGTTTTACCTCTACACATGAATAAACCTGTGTGTATGTAGTAGCCTGGCGAGTGTGAAATGCCGTTCTATGATACTAGGCTTCCGTCATCCCATGTTGCGCTGAAAAGCCAAACACGCGCCCTTACAGATGGCCCAGTACCTAGTGACTACCTGCAGCCTTGGGCGGCGGCCGCTACCGAGGTAAGCCTTTGGCGTATTCTGGGACAACGAGGCTGTGATAGCAAGCCGAGGCCTACGCGGCATTTGTGGACGGTCAGCGAGGACCACCGACTAAGCAGCAACGCCTGATATAATACTTTGGGGGCCGAACAGGCTTCTCACCGGCAAGATAATCTGTCCCTGGACTTCCGGGGGTACTCATCTTGTCAGGGTTTTATGTGCACACCGTCACCGGACGAACTGACGTCTCTCTGATATTTTCTTTTTCTGAAAACAGTGGTCCAACGCGGCCTTTACTAATAAACATTAACGAAGACGAAGAGAGAACAGTGAAGGAGTGTAACCTGCCACCCACAGTATGAAGTGCCAATGGCTTCACCAAGAAACGGCCTTTCCCCTGTAGCACCTAACGATTAGAACGGAGAGACCTGCTTGCTTATTCGCTAGACTTGCGGCTACTACACACGGCTGACATGGAGTAGACATTGGCTTCAGGCTCGCCCAAGACACCATGCCGCACGTTGCCATGCCTTGCGCTTTAAGATTACAAGGAAACCGTCGTTCTCAAATGCACCCGCCCGGATTCCGCCAATTTTCCCTTTACTCGCAAGTATTGGTAGCAGATGCTGCTTGCCATTGCCTTTGTCATGTTTGGGGGCCGCAGTTTTCATGACATGATGACATGGCACAACATTTGGACACACAACAGGGCATGCATGGCATGGCTGTTTTATCAGATTATGTCAGGCATGACTGACTGCTTCGACACCGCAGGTAGGCACACACCAGCCACCACCCCTTCCCCCAGCCCTGGCTTCTGTGGATTCTTTGTTTTTTCTTTCTCTTTCTCTGCAGCAAGGGCACGGCAGCACAAATGGCCTTGTGTCTGATTACTTACCTGCCCCCCCGGTGGGCGGCAGGCCCCGTTTGATTGAAGAAGGGCTGTGCCGCTGGGACTACTGTACTATCTTGACCATGTACACATAGAGACGGAACTCGGGCCGCTTTGCTGGTTCCGCCATGGGTTTGACTTATCACAGCTTTCCTAACGAAAGGGCGCTCGGGGCGCCCTGTTGCTCAACGGAGGGGTGCTGCCACCTCTACCCGGCCGGCCGCCTAGGGGCCTGGGAGGGCCCGGGGGGGGGGGGCCTTTACGCAGCAGGTAGGGGAAAGGGGACAAGTATGCGAACAAACCCAGGCAGATGCACACGGTGTTGGATTAATTATTTCTCTCTTTTTTTCTTCCCCCGGGGTGGTTCGTCTGGTGTGTGTGTGTGAAGTGGCGTGTAGATTGAAACATCACCACCACGCGCGGGAATGCATGTTTCGCGTGAATGACCCCGACTGCTTGCATCACACTGGCGATCACTAAGAGGGGGGGGGGGGGGCGATTTGCACCCACCTCCCCAGAGAAGGAAGTGGGCACAATGTGCTAGCGTTTCAAGAGTTTCCCGAACCGTCTGTATGTACTATGGTAGCTCGCTCCATGACAGGTCGCCGAACGAGCATGCACGGGTTGGGGGGGGGGGGGGGGGTCGGGGTCCCACCACCGGGATTTGGGAAGGGGGGGGCAGGTTTGCGTGATCTCCCGTCTGGACGATCATCCCGTTGTTGTTGGCCGCCCGCCTCGCTTCGAAAGCTGGGAATTATCAGCTAAGCTAATAGCACAGGGGTGTGTTGTGGTCTTTGTCTTCTGGGGGGGAGGGGACGAGAATAGCAGCAATTGTTCCTGTAATATCAGAAGGGCTGTTTTGATTGATTGATTGCCCGGCAACGCTAGCTAAGCCTCTGGTTGAACTTTATATGGTGCTACATAGTTGTGCCAACCCTGCTGCCCTAGCAAGGCAAAGCACGCCACGATCGGGGGGGCCTGGGTCTCGCGGCTGCAACCCATATGGTATTTCGGCCGAGAGACAGATTGGGGAGAACCACCCAATTCGAGAAATGTTGCAACGTTGGGTATGCGGGTTGGAGAGAGCTTCGTTTAGCGTCAAATGAAGAGCCTTTTCCTTTACCGAGTGGGATACTGGGAGGCCGGGGGTTTAGGGGGGGAGGGGGCGGCCTCGCACCGACGACGACCCCTGGCCCAGGGCAAGATCTCATGGAATGCAGAGAAAGTTGCGGGAGCATCGTCGCTGTGGCGCCTGCACGTGGGGGGGTTTGTCCTGCAGGGCAGGCAGGAGCAACAGAGGACGATCAGGGCAGCTTTTGGCGATGGCTCTTTTTTTGGTTTGTTTCGACCACTGCTGTCCATTATCAATTTCCCCATGCGGCCGCTGCAGCAGCAAAAAGGCTGACCTCCGTCTGGCGGGACGCTGCTTGCGGGACGACTGGCGAGAGATTAGAGTAAATTACGCTCCTCGGGCGAGATGGAGAAGGATTTCCCAAACCAAACGAGGAGCACGAGCTGCCAAGACCCCGAATTAGAAGCAGCGGGCCAATCGAACGGCGGGCCCCTCCAGGGTGGAGCATCGTCCTAACTGGAGAGTAACGGTACAAGTGGGGCGGCCCCGGGGGCGGCCCCGGTGGGGGACCTCCAGGGCTGTTGTGCTAACCTCGGAACCCGCACCTGTCCCGCTGGTGATATCGTCCGGTTCTTTTCTTCTTTACTTTCCATGAAACACTGGCAGGGCTCTATTAATAGCGATGCGCTAAAGTGGCAATGGAGAGGGAACCCGCTTCCGCCGCCACCACCCAAACGGCCGCGCCTGCCAGATGCCCGGGACCGAACGGCCAGGCAGGCAGGCGGGCAGGCAGGCAGGCCCCTTCCAGTGCTAACCACGCCAATCAAGTCGTGGTTGGTCTTCTTGCCGTGGCTGCCATGCTCGCTTGGGCGCGCTTGTCGCCTGCCCCTGTTACCGCGTCACACACACACACACAACTCTCTGGTTCGCCAATGCGCTTGCTTGCTAAACGACGCACGCTGCATTACTAAGTCGAGGCAGCTCTTGGCACACGCTCCCGCCCGGGATGCCCGCCACTGTTGCTGTCGATCTGCCGCCTCCGCGCGCGTGGCCGTCGTCATTGTCGTTATCTATGTCATCGTATGCTTGACGTGTCGCGAGGGTCGATGGCTTGCCGGCAACTCTGCTCTCTCATTTCCTCGTCGCAATCGGGCTTGGCCCTGTTTCTATTTACGCCATCACAGCCCCAGTCATGACAGGCTCTCTTGGAGGCCTTTCTCCAACAGACCAGCCAGGGACCACTTGCCGGTTGACAGGGGGGGCTCCAAGCTACTTCCTGGCGCCAAATGTCTGGCCGGCTCGCCAGCTTTGCCTTGCCGTCAAAGAGAGCCAGTCCTCAGTCGGCCTACGACTCGACTCCCCGTTCCGACATACCTGGTCAAAGCCATCGGGGCAACAAAGACAGTCATCCATCCATCCATTCATGCCAGATACATACCATGTATATCTGGCAGTATACACGGCTCCCCTCCCCTCAATGCATGGGTGCACAGCCTGGCCAGCATGCCATGCCGCAGGGTGGCCAAGGTTCAGACCTTACTTCCCGCCCAGGCAAGTCTTGTCAGCAAGCATGACCACTCTCGCCTGAGGCCCTAGGCTCCTCACTCACCATGGCGAGTAGGTAGCAACGCTGGAGGTGCGGGAGACCCTGGGGCTTGCCGCGAGGTACATGGCAAACCAGGTCATGTCCCTCTCTGAGTATCAAGCCCGAGCGAGCGAGCCAGACCCTCTCTCGGACCTGCTGAGAATATCCTGCTCAAGCCTGCGTAGACTGGCCAATGACACCTTGACGTTCCCGCGTGTGTGCCTGCGGCTTCACGACGACACCGCAAAATGCGGCTCCCCCACTATAAGTTCCACTTCGGTGTAAGATGGAAGAAGCCGGGCAAGGTTGTCGCAGACCTGGCCACAAGGGGACAGACAGTGCAATGCTGAGCGAGAGGACTGTCAGGTGGGTGCCCATAAAATGCGTCTTATGATCGGCCTTGGGCCTGGCCTTGTCGGCCTCGGTGTTGCTAATTGTGAATTTCGGTCCAAAGGTTGATGTGCTCGATGGTGGTCTTTTGGTCGGGCTACTGGTAGTCGCAGGTTGAGTGGCATGAGCACACTAGACATGGCCCATACGGCGTAGCCGACTGTCTTTGCGCCACGGCCAGCTAGAAGACCAACAGTAAATATCGTGGAGATCAGCATCGGGACCCCCGGATCGGCACTGCACACGCCCTACGAAGGCCTATCGCCCAGGTCGACCATGGCATGCCGGTCGATGCCTTTGACCTGTGCAGGGCCCCTTGTGCCCTCACGACGGACCCTCCCCATGTAAGCGTGGAATCCCGAACCATCAGCCCTCAGATCTCGCCTCGCCTCGCCTTGCCTCACAGTTGCTGGGCACTACATCGAGGGTGATGCTGCCTGCGCGGCACTCTCTGGAACGTGGACAGTGTTGGGCCGTGCCGTGACTTGCCACACACTGTCCTTCCCCTACAGACATGGGCACGCTCGCTCCAGCTGCAAGAACTCAGAGGTACTTTGATCACAGCGGTCTGACTCGCTGGTTGACGGGCTGGCATGAGCGCTTGTCCTTGAACTACTTGTTCTCTTCGACGGAGGAAGGCACGATCCACCGTTCGAAATGTCAAGTACATATCAAACGATCATGGCCAGATATCAGTCGGCATTCCAGTGGTGGTCAGTGGAGCCCATGACTCGATCAACAGGTGCCCGCTCCATCTCAGCCTCTGCCTTTTTGCGTGCGATTGGGGACTACAAGATCGCAAAAAGACGAGTCTAGCCGCGCTCAAGGGTCTGGAGTGCCTAGATACCATTCTTGCCGTCTGTCTACACACCCTCCCTCCCCTCCCCCTCACATCCATCCCCGTCCCCTGGTCGCCCTATGTAACAAGCGAGGGACTAATCGCAAAGAGGAATGTAGCTCGAGCAGACCATCCGTGCTGCATATGTGGGTGTCAGTGGACGGGCGGATGTACCTTGGCAGTACCGCATGACATGTCTTGTCCGCTCTTGTCCTTCTGTCTGCCGGATCAGTCAGCGCACAGCTTCGACGGCTGTTCCTGGACCTGAGCCGGACATCCACTCGGCAGACAACATACAGATCTCCATGGGGATACATAGTCAGATCAGGAACTGTGTCCACCTCCGACGAATGCACCAGATCGCCGATCTCTGTTCTGCCGTGCTACTACTTCCTATCCTTCTGTGGACTCCCTGCCTTTTTCTCGTCCCTGTCTTGGCCGCTTCTTGAATCCTCCTCCTGCTCGTTCCCTGCAGGCTGCAAGTGTCCTTACCCTATCGCTCTCGGCCCTTTCTCTGCCATGCGTCACGCTTCCTTGTAGCTCTGGGTACTGCTGCATGCCATGTTCTGCGTCGTCCATGTCCCCTCTCTCCTCTCTCCTCGATCCCCCAATCAACCAGCCATGTCAGATCTTGGATTGAGTTCGTGGCTGACCAGCTATCCAAGGGTCCTGGACCCTCATTGATGAGATAACGGCAGCTTGATCGAGGCGGCAGGATAGACCCCTCTTTTTCGCCTTGCCGACCGGTCGATTTGTCCTGCTCGATCCTCATCGCCAAGAAGAGGCCATGGGCAGTGTGTTCAATGTCGACCGTCCTGAGTTGCACACCCTGGCGTATTGCTTAAAAGCATCGTCCGCTCTTGTCAACGGCTTGCGATAGGATGAAAGAGCGCTGTCTTATGGGTCGCATCACATCTTGTGACACGGGAAAGAGACGAGGATCAGAATGGGTCCTCCTCGAGGACGAGGCCAGACAAGCTATACGAAGACCCAAGCACACAGCGGCAAAGATATTGCAAGACGTTGGCTACACGGAACTTCTGTCATGCGTTTCGTGAAGCAGAAAGGGCGGACAAGCGGCAGCCGAAGTGGTTGGGTTTCGAATAATATGTCACGGGCCGCCCGAACCGCCGCCGTCTCGCTGGCAAGTTTCCCTCGTCTGCTGACAAGCCGAAAAGGCCGAACGGCGACCTCGAAATGCTCATGGACGATGGATGAATGATGTGCCCTGCTGTGGCTAGGCTCCGCGTGCATGTGGACATGAGCCATGTCACTTGACTTGCCCATGCTCGGCCGCCGGAACTTTGCGATGCGGCCGGCCAATGTGGCACTGGGTTTTGCGAGCGACGTCGACATGGGAAAGTGAGAATTGGGACATATTGCCAGCCTGTTGCCTACGATCCCATGCATTCGAGTGCCATTGCAGTGGCTTGGCAATGCGGAGCGAAGTTTGTAAGTGCCTCCGCTGGCCCATTCCTCCCGAGTCTCGGCCCCATTGCAACACATATCAAACCCACGTGGATTCCGCCAGTAGCCGGCTGGTTCGAGGTCATGGCCGTCATTGGTGGCGGTGTTGCAGAGAAGAAACTGCTCCTGGACGCACTACCACCACCTGACCACAATAGAGAGCGCCTAGGGCTGACAGGCACATGGTGTAAGCACGGCGCGGCAGGGTCCTTCTGCTCAACAAGCCTTCTGCCTGGCACCGCAACGCAGGACTGCATCGGGCCAGAACATGCCAAGTGTCCGGCCGTTCAGGTCGTGGTCAGACGAGAAATGTTCGGGGCCCCTTGAAGCACGCGCCGGACTGCCGCTTCTGATGCCCCGGAGAGGGAGCAGAGACCAGGATCGACGGGGTCCTTCACGTCATGGTGAATCTGTCATCATGGTGTGTGGCTTGTGTGGTGGGTGAGTGGTTGGCGGTGCCATGCCGGACAGAGAGAGGCGGACAGACACACAGACAAAAAGAGACATAGATAAAGTAGCCAGGGGTCTGGACAGGGCCCATGGTGACAAGCAGTGGCATGCCAACCCCCGCGGGAATACCGCTTCTCGCATCACCTTTCTCGATCCGTCTGTCCCGCTTCCAGGGACCAGAGTTGTAAGCCCGCATTGGGACGGTGCCCGTCCACGCTGGGCCATGGGAGATGGATGGCATTTCCCACTCTTGCGCTCTTTGATCCATGGGAAATCCTTCTCGCCCTCCCCCTTCTGCTTCGGACTCCTCCTCCTTCGGGGACGGGAAAACCCCCCATCTGACATCGAACACACTGCCTGCTGGTACCCAGACGATACCCGCCCGCCGACTTCTTTGGGGTCCAAAATCCGGGGCCTCCCCTGTTGCCTGCATGGCCCAGTCTGGCTGTGCTCCTCCCCTTGCCCTGCCGTTTCTTACACTCCTCTCCCCGGGGAGGGGCCGTCCTTGGTCCGGTCATCAGTCCAGGACTGGATGTACCTAGTAGGTAGGTAGGGCATGGCTTTTTCTGACTTTACCTTGAGGGATTCCCAGCATTGCATCGCATCGCATCGCATGGCAAAAAGGATACAAGACGATGCCTCATGTCGTCCATGGCATAGCCGGCGCGGGCCCTGTCGTTGGGTCGTCGTGCATGCACACACACACACACCCACACACAAACACACAAACACAAATACATCCCTCGTTACAACCCGGCCCCAAGCAGCGGCCACGGGCCAAACCAAAAGTGCAAGATCGGAATTTGAAAAAATAAGAATGCGCGCCACCCGGACAGATGATTACTCAAACCCCCTTGCTGATGACTAAAGAAGGAAAGAAAGGAAAAAAGGCACGACCACTCCACACCTCCTACAACCGACGATAGACCGGCCACCACCTGGTCTCGACGTTTTTTCCCCTGGGTGTGTGTATGTGTAGTGTTGAAAATTTTTGGCCGAGAATCTCGCCTTCCTCGGGGACCATTCATTTCCATGAGATTACCCCTTGGTGACCTTGAGCCTGTTGTTTTTGGTGGTGTCTTAGGCTGGTGACTGCCCTTTGTCCCTCTCGGCGTCTTTTCCGGCGGTCAAATAATAATTTTTTTCCTCTTCGAAGGCGCTCGGCGTTGTTTCATTCTCACGCGCTCGGCGGCTTTTTTGTATCTAAGCAGGCACCATTCTGGGAGGACGCCTAAGAGGTGTTCACAACGATTGAAGCTAGATCTGGCCTTGGATGCTGGACGCTTGGCTTTTCTTGCCGCCGTCGTGGTCCTCCTCCTCCTCCTCCTCCTCCTTTATTCTGTATCTGGATCGGGGCATGGGCTTTAATCTTGACTGGCCTTTTTTCTTTTCAGTCCTCCGCGCGGGGGACTGGTAATGCTTTCCGGTAGGAATGGAAGAGCAGCCGTGTTTGTCCAGGAGATTATTATGGAGGGCACTCCTGGCTGAACCACAAGAGGGCATCGCAGCGCTCATGTGCTGGATCTTGATGATGATGATGAGGAAGAATCTGGCCAACCTGGCCGCATGTTGGGAGGAGGCTCTAGAAAACGTCGTGGATTGGCAGGATCAGGAAAATCTTTCATCGGCAGCAACCCTTATGCTAGTAGTCATTCTTTTTCCTTTTTCTTTTCTATGTTTCTTTACATTGGGATCCCACGCGAGACCGCTACAGACAGCCGCAAAGTTATGTTTCCCCTGCTTCTGTATATGTCTCTCGGGAACTCATTTTTTATCTTTTGTCTTTTGTCTTTTGCCTTGGCTTTTGCGATGGCCTTGACTTGTGAGCTACCTACCCTACGCACGCACCATTGTCGAGGGCCTCGGCCAGGGAGACAAAACGAGACCTGAACTATATACGCGCTGCCCGGGTACTTTTTCAGAAGCGAGCCTCTCTCTGGCGAAAACGGCCACGCAGTGGGAGTTTCCGCAGTCTCAGACTTCGCCGTTGTTGTTGTTGTTTCTTGCTGTTTCTTACTGTCTCTTGCCGTTGTTATTGTTCTTGTTCCGGTTAGATGTTGAGAAAGCCCTACTAGGGCCCTTGAGCCCATGCGGTTGTCATACAAGGGAACAACAGCTGCTGTGTTGTTTTCAAATCACCGGTGAAAGGACGAACAACGCGATTATCGCCATGTCAATGAAAAGAAGACAAGTACATCTGGAAAAGAAGCCATGGGGGTATGCGGACAAGACTGCGAAGCCAAATGTTCAATCTCACTGGTGCCCCTCCGCACCTTCTCTTCGGGCTTTGACAGACACAAACATCTCATCGCTTCGCGCCATGTTATCCCACAAAAGTAAAACGACTGGCAGGCCAGAACCGAAAGAGTGATTGAGAAAGGAGGGGGGAGCAATCAGTCAGAAACATTCACTCCTTCGCGGGTCCAGGTACTCTCCTTTTTGGGGGGGACAAATCTGAAACAGCAAAGTTCACGCCCTCTTTACGTGTTTAGACCGGCACAAAAGTAAGATTATTCAACCCAAAAGTGGCGTGAGGCCGCGTAGGTTGCTGTCCCGGGCGCGCTACTTGGCTTTTTCTTCGTGGTGTGTGCGGCACAGCAGCACGTAGCGTGGCAAGTATACGCGCGGTTTCGGTTGTGATTGGGCATCTGCCCTCGTATAGTCTAGTCTAGTCTCGTGTATCACATTAGTGGAGGAGAGAGTCACGTCTCTCGGTTAGCGAATGGCGAGTGGTGTGGACAGTGACCCCTTTCCATTGTGGAAAATGTGTGTGTGCGCGCGCGCGCGCGTGTGTGTGTGTGTGAGAGAGAGAGAGAGAGAGAAAAAGAAAGAAGCACAGGGTCCCCAGGTCTCAGAGATTGCCGACGCACGGCATGAACAGAAGAGATCGGCAAGGTCAGAAGAGGCGCGTCGATCAGGTACGCCGCAGCAGCGCCCACGCCATGGCATGGCATGGCATGACATACTTATCAGATGCCAGAGACAAGGGCACTGCAGCTGGCGACGCAAGGTGATCACTTTATCTGAGGGTGGGCGGGTAACGGGGGAAAGCCCCCCCAAAAACGAACAAAGGTGCGTTACCTGATCCAGGCACCGATGGGCCGGGTCCAAGCAAGATCACCGAGCGAGCATCGGCGGCGGCGGCGCCGTGCGACTTGATTGGGCTGGTGACGATGATTTGGTGGTGGTGGTGGTGGTGGTGGTCAGGGCCAGCCTCAGCTGAAGAGTCGATAGGGGCAGGTCACAGGCAGGGCTGGGGGTGGGTTGTCATGGACCTGCTCGATTCGCCCCGCGGCAAAGGCACGTTTTTAGCAGCACGAGCAGGCTGTGACGGGGTTCTGCAGGGTGATGTCAACGGCGTATGGGAAGGGGTGTGTATAAGTCGACGTGTTGGTGATTTGGACCAGAGTATCACGCACGACGGGGAACAAGGCTGAAGGTGCATAAAGGGTGTGTGGAGGAGTGGGCATCACATCACAGCAGAGCATCGTGATGCTGCAGATCGGCAGATGGTCTGCTACGCCAACCGCAAACCAGGGACAACAACAACCGACATCGACACATGATGGGGCCTGGAGGAGCTCAAGACGTCAGGTTATGTTGGCCCTCACATTTAGGCCACGGCCCTGCGAAACCTGGTACTATGTGCAGAACAGGGACTTCATCGCATTATGCCGGCCGGCAGAAACACGACGGCAAATAAAAGGGAATGTCAAAACTACCAGTTGTCACTGTGTTGGCGCAGGAATCATGAACTGGTTTTCCTTAGAGGCCTCTCAGCGCTGAGTCGAGGCTGTGAGACAGAGAGGCCACGAACAAAGCGACGGATGTGCAGGGAAGCAACACTGGACCTGAAGTGGATATATTTTTTGAGTTAAAATACATCAATGGCACGGTGAAACCAGCAAGCGGATATCCATTGCTAACAGATCGCAGATGTGATGATCCGGTACCTAGTTTGAGCTTCGCGTGCTAACATGTCTACTGTTGCTCTTCTAGTAACAAATCCGATAGGGACCCCAGGTGACAAGCGTTCGATTTTCAACCACGCGAATCCATTTGACGATGAAATTGGCCCAGCAAAGCTGGAACTATTATCATTCCAGCAAAATGCCGGAGAAAGATACCGACATGGCCAACGTGTCCTGCCCAGGCTTAGAGCGATGATGGGCTTGGTGATGGGTGCGGTGACGGATCAATCCAGACAGGCAGGGACTACCTCCAGCTGGAGCATCTCAAGCGTGGCAAGTCTTCGACATGTGGAGAAGAACGACACGGAGGCTGGCTAAAGAACTCGTAACTGAATAGCCCAATCCTTGAGACTTAATCCTGGCTTTCCCTACCACATACGCCCAGAGAGCTTCCAAATACCATGACACCAGTCCTTCAGGACTACAAGGACATTGAGACAGGTATATCAGACTATAAAGCAGCCCTCATTGAAACCCCGGATTTTGGCACAAGGTTCTGTTGTCACAGTCAGCTCTTCAGAATCGTCGATTGCGAACCCCCTTTCCCTAGCCCCGAGTATGGGTCAGCGTCCAAGTTGTGGGCGTTGGCTACCGGGAAAGTCGTTTTAATCTGCAAGCTAGCATAGCGAGAACAAGATCTCTACATCAGTATATCTGCAATTTCTGCAACAGCGCGCGCTCAAGCAGTGACTGTGTCGGCATCATAGAATAAGCTGATCTGGGCAGAAGCAAATGGTAGAACTTGGTCACGTACCGCCTCTCTTATCACGACATCTCCCGCATCACTGTGTGCTATCGATCCCGGTGTGCTAAAAGATGTTTGCTCTTTTGGTGGTGGTGGTGGTGGGGGGGGGGGGGGGGTGGACCGCTAATCCAGCGTCTTCTCGCAAAGCAAGCACTCTGGAGCAAAACATCCATGGATAGCCGAGGTCTCTCCATCCCGTAGTCTCCCGGTCAATAATTAGCTACACTGATCGACGTGGGACCGTTGCGAGGGATGAGTTCTTGTAGAAGGCGTCTCGATGAAAGAGGATGTGAAGTGCCCGAGTGCAGGTGAAGACTTGACCGAGTCAGACGGTGCATCTTCTCGATTGCCAAGCCTTAAAGCTGCCGCAACCCGTGTAGGCAGGCGATGGAAGCTAAACATGGACCATGCCATGGTGTAGTGGTCTTGACACTCCGAGATGGCGTGCGGCGCAAGTGTGCTTTAGGACCCGTAGTGGCAGAGAAAAAAGAGATCCAGGTCTGTATGATACATCAAGAGACGCGGAGATCCCTCAGGAATAAGTGGTATACTCTGAAGAGTACACCATGTCCCGCCCGTCGCCATACTTTCCGGGCCATATTTCAACCATCCGTGTCCGCTCACCGGCCTTCACAAGTGGTCACATGATGATATCTCGCTCTCTTCCTCTCTATCTTCCTCTCCTTATCCCGTGCAGCTCAGCAGAGATATTGTCCAAATTATTCGTTCATCGCCCCCCCCCCCTCCACCTCCTCCAAGCACAAAAGAAACCCTCCTTCATATCCAGGAAGCCAGACCGTCCGTCCCGTCGCCCCCGTTGGTCCCTTGGTGTCCCATGTTTTACCACCACAGGGTCGACCACAGCTTATCGCCATTGCACCCCAAGTCCTCCATCATTGGCTCCTTGGGGTCAAAGTAGCCAAGGCCGCTTAACACTTCTAGCACATGTCGTCGAGATCATAGCACCAAGCGAAGCCGTTTACGTACTTTGCTCCAGATATGTTGCTGGTAGCGGGCAGTCGACGAGATCTATCATCCATCTCTCTGGTGCAACGAGTTCCGCTCCACGGGTGAGTAATCCTGGCAGGCGAGCCTGACGTGGCTGCTCTCCTTGTTCAACAGGATGCCGGTCCCATATTGTATCTTCAGTGATTACGCGTACCATAGCATAGACACAGTCGTCTGTATGACAGAGCAGTACAGAAGGTCACAATGGAGCACAAACGCGGACTGTGTTAAGCTTTTACTGTATTCGTTTCGTCAATCAATAAAAATCGAGCAGCCACAACTTAAACAAACGACAAACAGTGCGACTGGCTCGAGTCGTTTCGTAATCCTTGACAGTTTCCCCGCCTCCTTAACCGTAGTCTAATTTGCCGAGTGAGTCTAATGCAATAAAAGAAGCCACGTGGGGTTCGTTCTAGTAAAAGTGTTTTGTCGCCTTTGTGTGAACAACCGGTAAATGCAAAGAAACGTTGCCGCCCCCTCGCCACCCCAATGCAATGATCGACAAGCGAGGTGAGAGACCACACTTGTATGAAATAGGACAGAAAAAACATAACAGTACTCATGATGGAAAGGACTGATGGAACGCCATTAATGCGGGAGGGTTTTTTTTGTTTTTGGTGGTCGCGTGCACTGCCCGTGTGCCTCAGAGCTCCGTCTTTATAGCTTTGTCCGGGTCATCCAACATTGTCGGTAGAGGGGTGAATAGTTTGGCCATGTCCAGAGTGAGGTCCGAGATGCCGTACTTTTGGTCAATGTCTCCGACAGAGCCGAGCTCTTCGCCACGAGACGCCCCATCGGACAGGACCCAACTCTTGACTGACTTGAGGAGATGGATGACCCGCAGAAATCTATCGTCAGCAGGAACCTGAAGATCATCTGCGCTATTGTGCTCGAGCATCCAATTCGCCAGCCAGAAGAAGTGTATGCCGTCTCGAGAGAATCCATAGCGGCGAGGATTATATGTTGCCGGCGGGAACTGGATAGCCATGTCCATATCCCAGTTGGCCTTGAACTTTGAAAGTGCCATCCGAATCGCGTTGTAAACATGTGGTTGCATACCATGGTATGCCCCCACAGGCGTTCCCGAACCGCTATCGTTTAGCGACTCCTGAGGACCACCACCTGTTGTCGCGACCCAGTCATTTTCTACCAGCTTGGAAGTATGATCAGGCAGGGATGCCAGCGGTCCCTCGAGTTGCGCACGCCTCAGCTGTGCGATGATAGCGTGAATGAGAATGAACTTCCCATGCAGGTTTGTGCTGCCGGGATGCATCTGATACGACTCGTGCAAGAGAGCTTGCAGTGCGAAAGAAAGTTCAGGCTGCTTGCTGCGCTGAGATCCGTCTGGATTCTGAAACCTCGTGGCCTCGTTTCCAAACAGACTCAACGCGCTGGCAGCCTCTTCCGCATTGTTGGCCTCCCAGGCCGCGTCATCGGCAGGCAAGGGAAGTTGCAGCTCGAGCGCATCGAATTCTGCTGAGACATTGAAGTAGAGACCATTGGCGACATCGCACAGGTAGAGCATATACAACACGCGTATGCGAGCCTCCTGATGAAGCCAGGCGTCCCAGTTGAATTGCTCCGGAGAGATTGCTGGTAAGGATGGCTTTTGCTGATGTAGAATGCTGAAAAAAGCGGAACCCTCATCCGTGATCCGTGACAGACCGGACTCTTTGGCGATGGTAGCGAGTCGAGGAAACAGGCTTAGCCCTCGTTCTCGTTGGCTCGGGGTACCATTCCAGACGAGCATGACTTGCAAGAGGGTCAGAGCTTGCAACCTCTCAAGACCCCCCTGGCTGTGCCCTGACGGCATGGACGCGTCAGAATCGGCATATAGGTCACAATCGTGCTCGAGTGCGGTCTGCAGGCAGTCGATAACTTCCCGGACATAGAAAGAATCCACGGAGTCTGTGTAACAGGCGCCGACGCAGCATAAAGCAGCAGTCAGACCCGTATAAGTATTCATGATGCGGAACGTAGGAATGTGCAAGAAGGAAAAGTGAACGTGGAAATGCGTATAATTCTCAAGAAAACATCTGATATTCGTTGCTGAAAAAAAACCGTTCATTCCGGTGATCTGCTCGGCGGAAGTAGCTCCAGAAGACCGAAGAAAGTTCAGTACTTGGTTTGAGAGTACATCGTATCGGTTCTGGAATTGAGGCTGCGTCTCTTCGCGGTAGAAGAAGAGTGATCGGTCATCGACGGCGGTCGAGGCCGCACCGGGCAGGCCGGGTTCTCCCTCCGGAGGGAGATTAGGAACGGTTCTGGGTTCGCTCGGTGTCTGTCCATGATTAGGAGAAGGATACGATTGATGGACAGAGGTAGGGTGCGCACCAGGTTGATGAGGGAACATCTGGGTCCAGTCATTGACCATGCCAGACGGCTGTGTAGCACCCGAGGCGCCATACATGGGCATGCCATTCTGGGTCGGGGGCATGCTGAAGTTGGCCAACTGAGGGTTAATGTTGGCGTCGCCATTGTAGGGACCAGGCATGGTTCTCCTATCACGGTTGGCCGCATCCTGGCCGACGCTGCTGGAGCGCGAGAGCTGGCTCTGGTCGTTGCCCATGTTCGCCATGTTATCGGGCATCTGGACCATGCCAAAGCCGTGAGCAAGGCCGTCAGTGGGCATGTTGCCCATGCCGTTCATGTGGTTGAGATCACCTTCAGGCTTGACTGCCTGCTGCTGGTTCTTCTTGACGTGAGCTTGCGGGTGAGACAAGTGGCTCGCGCCAGTAGGGTTTCCGCGGCGAATGGAGCACTTTTGGAAGTGGCGCTTCAGGATGTCGCTGCGGGAAAACGTATCGCGGCACAGAACGCACATGTAAGGGCGATCACCAGTGTCTACACATGAAACTTGTCAGTGACCAGTTCAAGATGAGAAGGAATCTGTCACGATGCCCATAGGCAGTTAATTATCCAAACTGAAAAAATGTACTCACGGCGGAGAAGGTGACGCTTCAGGTGCTTCGCGTGCAAGTATGTCTTTGTGCAGTGTGGGCACGGGAACTTGCCATCGGCATCCTTCTGGGGGATGACCGTGTTCTTGGAAGCGCCTGCGCCGGTGGGAGCGGCGGGGCGTCCAGGAGCACTGGGCAGGATTCCGCGACGACCCTGGGAGCCGACGACGTGAGTGGGCTGCTCAGCTTCCTGCATCATCGACTGCTGGTGAGGCATCATAGGGCTTCCACCATAAGGGGAGGGCAGGCCAGACTGGGGCATGACGCCGCCAGCGGGCATGGGGCGCAAGACAGGCGGCCTGGCTCCAGAGGCCGGAGCAGGCGCGATCGGCTGCGGGTGCGAGGGCGCCAGAGAGGTCTGAGGCATCATGGGCTGGGTGGTACCATAGCCCTGCTGCTGCTGCTGAGGATACGGGTTAGGCATCCACGAGCCGCGGTTGGCCTGGTTCGGCGGGGGGTAGTTGCTCATGTTCTGAGGCTGGGGCGTGTGAGGGTTGCTGCCCGTGCGAGGAGTGCTCGGGTGGCTTCCGTAGATGTTCTGCATAGTGTGGTTCTGCGACTGCAACGGCGGAAGAGTAGGAAGGCCTTGCTGAAGTTGCTGGGGCGAGATGGCAGAAGCAGAGGGATAGGGCGGAGCAGAAGTACCGATACCGTTTGTTCCGTACGGGTTCGGGTTGGAAGCGCCGTCCATATCCTGGCGAAACGCGCGAGACGTGCGACGAGCGATGAACTACCTGCAGGCAAGTAGTTCGTGTGACGATTGAGCGGCGAGACAAATAAATGTCGCGACGATGGCAGATGAATCGACGATGAGTGCGTCAACGAGGATGCGCGAAGGCTGTGGGTGACTTTTGACACGCTTTTGCGACGCGTTGGCGCGTTGTTGATTTTTGGTGATGGCGGAGTCTGGCCTCACTTTTTTTTCCCTCTAGAGTGGAGAGCAAGGAAGACTGCTGCACCAGGCTTGGGAGAAGCGTTTTGAGGAAAAGAAAACCCTTGTCTGATCCTCCACGACCAATACCTAATGAGAGGGACGCGGTAGCTGCCACCAGTGCTGGATGGCGATGTGGTGACGACGCGGTGGCTGTGGCTGGTGCTTGTGGTGAGATGGGACGTGGTGGTTGATGGTGAGGGGAAGGTTTGTTTTGGGGTTGGGCGAGGAGTTGGGGGTGCGGTGGGAAGGGGACCCAGAAGGATGGAGCCTGTGGACAAAAGCAGTTCGTGAGGCTCGCGAGAAAGAACTGGGACTTGGATGGGGGTCCCAGAGGTGTTTGTAAAGTGGAGAAAAGGTCGGCGCTGAGGAGGGTGGTTGCGGCGTGCCGGCTGCTCTTTATTGGGAGCCTGCAGGTCGGGGGCCCTAGTCCTTATTCCCGCGCGTGGCTGTCTGAATTTTCTTTCCTGCTCCTGCCTCTGGCGCGCCGTCTCTCTGGCAAGAGAGAGAGAGAGAGAGCGAGCGAGCGACAGAGAGTGTGTGTGCCTGCCTGCCCTGTGTCTGGAGGCCAGCGTGTGTGCCTGCGTACGGTGCGTGCGGTGCCGTGCTAGCAGCAGCGCCTGGGGGGCGTGTCCTTGGAACACCCTGGCGTGTGGAAGGGGCCTTTTGCCTGGGCGGCGAAGGTGTGGCCTTGTCAGGATTGCACCGAGATCCAGGTACAGGTGGGGACGGCCAAGTGGGCACAGACTTGGGGGGCGTGCACCACCGCGAACCAACGACTCTGCAGAGGCGCGAGGCGGCCCCTCGGTCACGAGCACTACTTCGACTAGAATGCCCTTGGTGCAAATGCTCTTTGACTCTGGTGGCAAGGTCGTCGTCCGAGGCGGTCGACCGTCGAGACGAGCGGTCAGCAAAGGGCCTGCTGCGGTGATGTGCTGGCCTTGTTTGCTGGCGGCGCTGCCAATTACTACGTCGGTTGCAGCCCTTGTATTACCACCACGATGACCAGGAGCCAGAAGGCCGTTGTCGGGCTACCACGAGTCACGAGCCTACTTAGCTGGCTGGACGTCGGGCCGGCAGTGGGCGATGCAGGACGAACGCGCGGAACAGTCAGGGAGCCGTACTCGACAGGCAGGCGGGCAACATGCAAGCCGTGTGAAGACTACAAGCGCAACCACTCGCTCGCTCGCTCTGGAGAGGCAGCAAATGTGCGCGTACATACTGTACGATATCAGTGAACGCGATGCAGAGAGCAGCAGCCGTGTATGTTGCTTGCGCAAGGTCTTCCGCCGAGTCGCAGTGGGGACTTGGATCTCGGGGGGTGAGGGGAACAAGGGGAGCACGATGGTCAGACGTGTCGACGGCAAGAGAAGCAGCCAGCCAAAACCGGGAGGTCTGGTGTGTGGCAGGCAAGTGTCATGAGTAATACATCTTGATGGCCTCAGACCGACGCAACACGCGCCTCCTGCGCACACCTGCTCGGAAAACGTGGAAAACTCTTTTTTTTTTTTTCCATCCACGCCTGGCCGCATCGCTCTTGTCGCTGGTCGTTCCGCGAACTGGCGCCTGACGTGATGTAGCGTCCAGAATACAACACACCGCCCAGTGATTGGCCGTGCTCACGGTTGGCCGGCACCTGGGTGACAGCCCTGGGGGGCAGGGAATGGGCCAGCAGCCATGGTGGGGCCCTTCTCGGTCGTCTTCCTGGCCACCCTCTTTGCCAGGCCCAGGTATCGGCGGGCACTACGGTCAATCAGACACGTGCTGGTAATAGCATCATCCGTTGCTCAGCTCAACGTCTCACATCAGCGAGGCCCGAGAGGCAGGCAGAGCACGAGCTACGTACCGCCGAGCTCGCCCTTGACATATCAGGGGGTGAAAATCCAAGGCGGCGAGCAGCAACTGTCACAGGCGTCGGGCCATCGGATCCCAGGCATGCTGGGCAAGGGGGGCGAATAGCACGACCGACCTCGACTCGCTGCAACTCCGGGTATTTCCCAGTAGAAACATCGAGTCAAGCAATGCAGACCGAAGCGCATTTGCCGAGCACTCTCTACTGTTCACATGATTGCAGTCCTCAGCAGTCCAGGCCTCCGTCACTCTGACACGAAATGTCGCGCATGCAGTGATCCAGTCCGGATAGAGCTCAATCCCAACCTTGGAGCGCCCGGCCGGTGACTGATCATCTTGACATCTTGACCATGATGCCCCCAAGCGACAGGTGGTTGGCCATGTACCGAGTACGTCCTACGACACTTGCCTGCGCCGCCGGTGCCCCGCGCCGGGGGAAAAACACGGTACTTTCACTGTGGACGGCTTTTGCAGGATGCATACACACCGCAAATGCCTTGTGCTGTTCACGTAGCCTCGCCTCCCTTGGGGCACTGTCCGACGTAATGGTGCATCGATAAATTCGCCATCAAATTGGGGCCAAGCCTTTCCCTATCGAGTTATGTGCCCAAGAACGTTAGCGAACACAGGAGGCGACGAGCCAACAATGTAATTTGTGCCGCAGTCTCGAGCCCGCATGATGCCCTTCCTCTATCATCGCACGACGCAACATGGTGCGAATGAACGAACTGATCATCCCATCTCATTCGGCTAATCCGCTGTTCGCGCGCACGCAGTCTCCGCGGCGAGTTGCCTCTGTCGAAATCGGCGACATTTTGCTGGTGGAGTCGTAGAGGCTGCCAATAATATGCCGCGACAATATGTACAAAACGCGGAGGCCGCTTGCGGTGGTTGGTTGCGTCCATACAAGAAGAAAAAAAACCTTGAGGGTGGTCCGGCGAAACTTTTGTGTGGGAGGCTATCCGGCCTTGCTGGCATCTCGCATCCTGCCATGCAGATTACACGAGGCATCATGAAAGTAAGCCCAGCCAGCATGCTGTTTCGTGTCACTGGTCTGTAAGACCAAGTACTTCCATCTGACGAATGCCCAAGATCGACATCGGGACCAGGAGCTTTTGCGACGGGAGTTCTCCTCCTCAACCTTCGGCGCCTTTCCCAATCCAGGACGTGGCTGTGGCGTTTTCCAGGCTTAGGAAACGAGTCAGTCGTCGGTATGGACGATGCTTGCGCCGAAACTACTGAGTGTCTGTACGGACACTACTGGTGTAATTGCGGCCGTGCACACATGTCTGGTATGTGTGGCACGTTCTTCGCAAGCACTATTTTAGCTTCGAGTGAAGAACGTCGTGGTGCATTGCAGTAATGAAAGATGTCTCATTGGCGCGAGAGACGGACCCTCTGCAGACGAGGTCCCCACGAACAAGGACTATAGCTCGGTCTATAGAGCCCGAGTCTTTGAGGCCTGTCGTTCTGGCATGGACGACAATGGCCCCACCATCAAGCCTGACAAGTCCTATCGATGCGTGACAAGACCCAAGATCGACGCGTCAGGTAGACGTTCTCATAACGAACTGAATCTCATGGGGTGGAATGACCCCCAAAGTGCCGGATGCCGTGTGAGCGCACCAACGGCGCACTACATGACAAAGAGCTGTGTCAGCGCCAGTGCCCCGGAGTTCCGTCCCTGGTTGCTCAAGTGTGCGGCACTGTTCCGGCCGTCGCGCAAGGAACTTGCCACAGAGCGCGCTGGGTCCAACTGCGTTGAGAATAGCACGCTAATTACCCATCTACATTGGCGTGCCTCGGCGGCGAGACATTGGGTGCCTGTGCGGATGGCATCCCAACCTTTGAACCTGGTTATTACAACACATGACGCTGCTAGGCAGAGGTGCCTTGCGTCCATTGCTTGTAACCTGGGCTCGGAGCGCGTGATCGATTCAGGCATTCATCCTTTGGCAAATTGGCACGAGTCAAGAGAGGAGCGTCTCGTGCCAGGGGTTCCCCGTCTAAACAGACCTCCAGCTCCTGGGTGGAGTCTTCCTTGCCGCAGCCCAGGCCATGTCGGATAAATGCACACCAAGCTTTGCAGACCCTGACTGTGCTCCGGCAAGATGGACTGCTTTGAGGAATCAGCACTGTATTGTGCGACACCTGAGCATGCCAAGAGTGCTGTTCATGAACTACAGCGGCGCAGCGGAATCAGGCCAAATGGTCAGGTGATTTTGCTCTTGTGTGCTCGGATTACAGCGCATCCTACATTGCGAATACAGTGGTCGTTATGTTGCTTTGGTCTTCAGATCAGATGCGCGCAGCTGCAATTGTGGCCCCCTGATGTCAAATTGACAGGATGTGACAGTTGGGTCGCGAGCGCATCTGCTTGCCAGGCCTCGTCGTCGGCGTATCTCAGGCACGGGCGTGGGGCCAGGTTGGGCCGTGGCGACGAGGACCGCAGCCGACGTGCAAGCGCTCGGGGCCGATGGCGCGAGGTGCGGCAACGCAAGCGCTGGCGTTCGGCTGGGAGGCGGTGGAAAACGTGGTCTGGCGTTGTGGGCTTGTGGCGTCGAATCTGCCATGCGGGCGGCTAGGTAGGACCCTTCGAAATCTTGTGTAACAGAAGCAAACGGGGCCCAGCTGAGGGGCCTCCCGTGGTAGGCGCCTTGTATGCGTGCGTGCGTGCCGGCGATGTGGTGTGTGTGTGTGGGTTTGCAAGGCATGGGCATCGGGTTGTTGTTGGTGTGGGTGGAGGGGCTCCATTCCTTCTTCAATGTTCCACACATGGAGATGCCACTTGAGCCTCATCTCGCCCCTCACACCTCGAAACGCCGTCAATAATATGAGCCGCCTACTCACCAGCACCACGGCAGACAGAGATGTGCACCAACTTCGGCAAGGCACCAGGGCGTTCCAGT